CACCTCCATGGATGCCACCGAAAGCCATTCTACGAGCACAACAACAGCTCCTATCAATTCAAATTCGGGTCTCACGACGACTACCGTCTCTGAGGCGTCCACCACTCTACTAGGTGGTAGCTCATCTGATGCGACAACTGGGTCCACTTCTATAGATCATACAAATTCGATCTCTCTCTCTGTTTCTCCTACTACTTCGATTGCCCCCACACCAACAATCGCACCGCAGGCTGACAAGTTCAAGTTTGGTGGATGTTTTGTGGATTCATCAGATGCAAGAATTCTTGTCGCAGACTCGACTGAGGATGGAAGCGAGGATGGAATGACAGTTGAGAAGTGTGTTGCTTTCGCCAGCGATGGTGCTTGGAAATATGCCGGTGTTGAGTTTGGAAGGTCGGTCCATAATGTAAAGCTCTTCTTGGTTTGTCCTCCGCTAACAGCCCTAGTCAATGCTTCGTTGGCAACACTTTACATGGGCAAGACAAATACCCAGACAGTGACTGCAACACGCCCTGTGCTGGGGACCTCACTGAGATCTGTGGCGACGGCGGCAGAATCCAAGTCTACGAAGACCCTACATGGAGCGATCCCACATTGGAAGAGCTAGCGGGTGCTGTGCGGCAGTACGCATCCGTTGTGGACGATGTTCGATCTCTAACGGTCAACTACAGAGCCACCTTGGTTAATCTTCAGGACTATATCTCCTCTGTTAAGGCCAAAAGAGATGAGGGAAATGGTCTTGACGATATTCAGAGGGCCATGTTGGAACATCAACGCAAATTTACCGAATACCAGACAACTACCCGTAGCTATCCCCTCTTTCAATGCCTGTTTCGCTTGCTAACTGGAAAATACAGAGACCGTCAGAAAGACCAGCGACCGAATCCTCCTTCAGGGAGAGCAAAGGGATACACCCTATAGCGCGAACCCCAAAGTGAGTCACTGCAACTTAGTAAATGCCGAGAAACATCCTTTAATAATGACAAATGAAGGTCCCGGGAACTATCGCCACTAAATGGGACTTTACAAGTACGTCGTGATTGCGCTCAGAACCCCAAGGAGCTCAAATTTTGACTGGACTGCAGAGTTGGAGCAACAGATCAACGAAGCCAAAGAGAATTGCGAATATAATGTCGCGGCGATTGAAATAGCAAGAACTGGAGGTACTGTTCCTCAGGTTGACACGGCTCTGAGCATAGCTCAAGCAGATGCTATGGTAAGATTGATCTAACCCCCACTGTTGTCTCAATAATTAACCTACTCAGATTAAGCTCATCGGACTTGGGCTTGTGTCAGCGGCGGTAGGGACATTCTGTGAGTACCAACCACCTGATTCCTTCTGGGTCTCAACGTGCTGGTCATTCATTAACGACATTTTTGACAGTGTGGGCACTGGGGGAGATTTTGAGCTTTTTCGGAGGAGACACGAGCTCATCCCCTGAGCCTGGAACTGCTACCACAGTCATGCCGACCACAAGCATACCTACAGGCTCAACAACCCCCTCCACAACGACCACATCCTGTACAGCAACCGCAATAACAACCCCTGTTGGGATTTTAGCCAAGCAGGGAATTAGTCTTGTCGAGTTCAGTGAATTGGTGGCTGGCTTGCCACAGGACTCTGGCAGCATTCAGCTCACAGATTCATGGCAGCCCAATGTGAGTTATATTCCGCTTATCAACGTCCTTCTATATAATGAGCTGATCTTTGAAGTATCTTTATATCGGGAACATCGATGAGTGCACCGCCGATCTTCTCAATACTAATCCACTTGTTGCGCGATGGGATTATGCATCGGTCTCTCAGCCCGTATTCGTGATCAACGAGAACGGCATCCCCGAATGCAAGCTATAAGGAGACAAACTATAAGGAGATCAGATGGATCAGGCCAGGGTCTTCTCAGTTTGCGATTTATGCTGTAGCTGGGTGTGTAGTTGGTGCTCAAGGGGGTGTTGCAAAAGAAAATTGACACTGCGTTGCAATTCTCGGTTACCCAAAGGTCCCATTGTAGCTAAGAGATGAAGGCTTCTGTTGAGAAAGAAAACGATCGTACTTCCTCTATTACAGCTAAATACTTTCAAGTACTTCCGTTATACACTTTCCCCTCGGTGTTCTGTCTGTGCGGCTAACTCGCACATTTTACCTTGAGGTGTCTGGGTGACATCTCGATACTAATCCAGGTAACTCATCATAGATTTAGTTCTCGAGTGAAATTTTCTCTCTTGTTATCTACACATCTACACCAAAAACAATTGGGTAGCATCAGTCCGTGGTTGCTTCAAATGTCTGCCTAAATCTCCCGATCCACGAGTATTCCAGACTAACAATTGTTTCCCCAACACTTGATGGACTTGACATTCGCACCATTGCTTCCCAGTGACTTGCAGATTCTGTAGCCTGTATTCCACTCCAAGGTGCCGAGCTTGTTGCCTTGTCCGTTGTAATCGTCGTATAGTGCACAGTAGATATCCCAGTAGTCGCCGCTGGTGATTGCAAAGCTGCGCGCATTGGTGAGTTGGTGGTTGTATGAACTCCAAGAATTTTGCCAGTTGATGTTTGCAAGCTGGCTGCCATTGTCACAATTTGAGCCAGAATAGTAGGTGACGCCAGCTATCACGCCGCAGGTGGAGCGTTTCTCCAAGGGTGTCGTTGGAGATGTGGGGGCAGCGCGAACGGCTGAGGCGAAGAGTAACTGGGATAGTGTGGCAAAGTTGACCATGTTGTCGTGGGTAGCGAAGATTTCAGGATTAATTGAGTGGGATCTTGGGGAAATTGAAGCGATAGAGTGGACCAGATATAGACTAAAACTTCATCAATTTGAAGGTTTTGGGGGATTCCATAGACTTTATAGTAACCATTGACAACCGCTATACCAGCCTCTACCTGCGCAAAAGCACGCATAATAGGATTCCCACGTCAATAAGCAGACAAAAAGGCGGGGCTCTTGCTACACACATCCCGCACTTGCGTCCGCTAGCCTCAGATGTCCCTCGGCGGATGCTACCCTGAAACGCCATCAGCTACACGAAGACATGTCTAGCAATTGGAAACAAAAATCGAGCTAAAGCTTTCCTATATGAGCTGTTACAAAGTCGGTTCTGATGTGTTGGGAGGTGGAGCGTGGCCAAGCGGTCTTGTGACGCCACAAAGCCCTAGGCCTGTATGCTCACAACCTCCCGCCAGGCAACTCTGCCTGCAATGTTCAGGTGCTGCCGGATCGGTTCCGGCCAGGGTCTATATATTTTTCTTTTTTTCTCTCCCTTTCATTGCTCTCACCACTCTGTCCATTAATCTCACACCCTTGCACACTTGTCAGGGCATAAGTTGTTGTAGAGACACATCCTATTGCGGGAAGAGCTGAAGATAGAGAGAAATATGAAGCTACGCCTCTCTCTCGCTTCCCTCATTTGTCCTTTACTAACAAATCATTGATCTACTGCTTGTGCGCATGTTTATTTTCCGGTCTGTAGCTCTCATCACAATCTCATCTTTCCATTTCTGATATAAGTTTCCGTGACCATGCTCAGGCCGAAAAATTACACGGAAGAGAACCACAACAATATCCATGATGAGCACTCAAGGCGCCCTGAAAATCAATGTTGTGACATCCATCACTCGTTCTCCACATGACGGCGTTGAAATTATATCCACCAGGACTGGTCTCAGTAAAGCTGTTTCTGTTAGTGGTAAATTTCGGGACCGCCTCAGAACTAAAACATACAAGATAGAACATTGTATAGCAGAGCAACTTTTGAAGCCACCGTAGAGGAGGCCTTGGTAGGTCGATCCAGTGTTATAGTCGGTGAGGTAAATCGTCTGGAAAGAAGGACCTTCTTGGTCAATGAGGGCGGACGCAGCCATTTGGCCGCTGAAAGCGCTCGCATGACCAAGCAAAGCCAGTGTACTGAGAAGAAGTTGGTACTTCATTGCCTTTGGAGGGAAGAAGGAATATTGAGGTGAGACGAGATGTGAGAAATAAAATTTCCCAGATAGTTTGAAGTGGTACTAGGGACCAAGCAAGAGACTTGAATAGATTCTTGAAGTAGTCAGGGCTCTTGTATGAGCTTGACAGAAATCTACATAATGCTGCAGACCCCAAAATGGATAATGGTCAACATCCGCAGTATCACTCAGCTCGGGTGTAGTTCCGTGCCCCGCAACGGGGGCTGCAGTAGCCCGCATTGCTTGCGGCCCTGGCGCAACTAGCCCGCAGCTGAGGAGAATTAGCCTCAAGTGCAGTGACCAACCACAAGACACCTTGACCGGCGTTAACAAAAATTTCTTTCGTGCATTTATAGTATTTCTAGACAGTTCGCCGATAACTTTGAGAGGGAGAGTATTAAAGCAGACATTCAGATCCAATTTAAGTCTTCCTGCCCTCACCTCACAGGATTTGTACCTCCATATCTCCTGAATCCTATTAGGACTTCATCGAGCATGTAAGAAGTTCCAAATGCTCAAGATTCAAGCCACTGATACCAGGCAAAGTTACAAGATGAAGGTTATCTCCCTATCCGCGTGCATGGGTTTTGTCACAACTGCAATGTCAACATCTCTCTATGTAAAGCCTTGCTATTACACAGACAGCTGCGAGACTTACGAGTACATTTCCGGCATTAGCTTTTCGAACGGGCAGTGTATCAACTTCTCTCGAGGTATGGCCTCGTTCGCTGTATACGACGCACACAGCCTCTGCACGGTCTACAGTGGCAGCAATTGTGGTGGAAGCACATGGAACTCCAATCTGAATGGTCAATGGTTCAATTCGGATATTGGATGGCTTTGGTCTTTCAAGTGCACTTGAAGTGGCAACAACTATTGTGGCTTGGCTGCTTCTAAAGTTGTTGATAAGTAGCATGGTCGAATATGGAGCAATATAAAGTCAACATGTAATTGCAAGATTCATAATGCATTGTAATACCTCTGGTAAATCAACCAAATGGTCAAGCATATTAACAAAACCTTTCCATATTAGGGGAAATATTAATCTTGGGATGTATCACAGTACATATCGGCTGTGAGAACGTTAGTCGCCATTTGAAACGCATCACGATAGCTAGTGAAGACTCACAATCTCAAGTTCTCCTTATCAGTCAAGTCCAACTGAGTGTTATCCACAACACGAGCACTTTTACCGCCCTCTGCATCGACTGTCTCGATGATTCCATTATCGGTGACATGACTCGCCTCTTCCAGCCTATCACGGCGTTTATTTTCTCGACTCAAATATACGCGAAGAGTGATGATGATGATTGACGGAAGAATCGCTGCCACCTGGAAAAAGAATGAGTCAAGCGTTTCAATATATTGTCCGCCTGAACTTACCACAAGCAGTATAACCCAAGTAGGTCTGTATCGAGGCTTCAAGATACGTCAGCTTTGATGCGTGATTAACCTTGTCAGAATTGACGGCTCACCTTCCATTCTGGTCTGAACAATTGCGGTGAGATGATGTTTCCGAGTCCATATCCGATGTGATAAAGGGCTATCACAGTGGTTTTCTTCGTATGACCAGCCGATGCATTTGCAGCCCATATCATCACCACCGCATATGGTATTCCAGCTGTAGATCGAATCCAGATTCCGGCAATGAGTCCCCACCGGTTGGACCACGGTAGTGCTTTTGGCATTGTTAGACGTGAGGCATACGGTTGAGCCTAATTCTTACCTAGAAGAAGAATACTGGATAGGCCAGCAGGGATGTATGCAAGTAGCGAGATCCATGCTCGGAAGTTCTAGATGAGTTAGGATTTAGATATCTTGATCATGCTCTTTTGATCGACGTACCCTGGTGTAGTACAATGTGACAGCTGCTGATGAGAGTGAAAAGAATGATACCAAGCCACTCACTGTTCCCAGCAATGTCGTTTGAAGGACCGTGAAGCCGAAGGAGTTGATGATGAGTGAGTATTGATTGGTGATTCCATTTGCCATTTCTTGGGACCAGGCATGTAGAAAGAAGAGCCAAGTCTTAGGGTCTTTGAGCGCTTCGATAAATCTGTCTACCATTTAGTAAAATTATGCAAAAATAGCTGGGGGATGCTGACTGATATCTCTTGAATGTCTTTTGTTCGATTCCAGAGTGGTTTTCTTTGATTCTCAGGATTGCTTGTGCGCGTTCCTCGTATGTCAAAAAGTTGGCATGGAGAGGGCTATCAGGGAATAACATGTAGACCCAGATACCGAAGATCACCGTAAGAACACCGGTGATAACTATGGAGGTTAGAGCTGTGAGCGCTGTCATATGCTTGTAAACTTACCCATGAACCATTTCCACGGAGAGAAACTGCTTGTATCTATCCACAGTACACCATATGACAGCAAACCCGAGGTGATGGGACTTGCATTGCCAATTGACCACATTACCGGCATCATCACGGCCTGTTCATTGTATGTGAAGAACATGGACATGGAGAGCAGAAATGCCGGCACGATGGACGCTTCAGCCACCCCGAGGAAGAATCTCACAACAAACAAAGTAGCAAAACTGTTGCATGGAATATGTAGGAGAGTAATCCCACCCCTGCTAAGTCAGTGAAATTCAAGACGGACGCTTGCGCAAGGATAAGGACATACCACACTATCAAATTACCAGCCAGCCATTTACCAACTGGAAACCTTTGTAAAGCCCAGTTCTGGGGCCATTCGGCGAGTAGGTACCCAAAGTAAAAAATAGAGGACAGCCAATTGTATTGATTCGAGTTGAGGTGGGCATCGGTCATGATCCCGAGAATCGCAGAACTTCCCAGCTACTGGAGTTAAGGGCCATTTCATTAATTTCGTCGCTTGCCAGACGTACCGTTTGCTTATCAACATACATCAAATGATATCCGATGCATAGAAATGGTAGTATTCGCCATAAACACTTGTTGCGTATGGCTGCCGCTTGTTCGGGTGTTGGATCTGTCACTTGGATTTTCGAAAATAACTTGAAACTCTCATCGGCAAACTGATCAGGAACCTTGGGCGCTGTATGTGACTCGTCATCTCTGTCATTATTAACTCGAGTCGTTGCCTCGATGGCTGACTTCTGATGCTCGCTCATAGTTTGGGGCTTATGTACAGCGATTGATAACGCCGCGTAAAAGGTCGAATGACGCACGGATAAAGGGTGGGCAATGCGAGCATTCTCCATCTTGTAGAACCCCAACAGCAATTGCGCAATGGTCTGACACCTGGTCGTCTTCACCTTGCGGAGACATTCCGACATGGAAACGAGATTAGATCGCGGGGGTTGGCCATGATTATCTCCCAACTTGGAAGGTCAAGCAATGACACCTGCTTGGCAGGGGATTCACTGCTTATGTTTCTGTATCAATTGGCTCGAAACACGAAAAAAAGTGTCAAAAGCACGCCTGAAGTCGCCATTGCGGGGTTGCGTCACCGCTGCAGTGTTGGCGTGCTTAAATGCGATAGCGATATCTCAATCGAGAGACTGATCCGCGAACATTCCTCTCAAAAATCTGTCTGGACAATAATTCGAGTTCATCGCGATGGTAGAGCAACCCAAATCCCTTCGAGTCTTGATTGCCGGCGCGGGCATCGCCGGTCTAGCGACCGCTATATCGCTAGCCAGGATATCGTCTGTCGCAAATCTAGATGTCCAATTGTATGAGCAGGCCCCAGAGCTCTTGGAAATTGGAGCAAGTATTGCACTTGGCCCAAATGTACGCCCACTTCCCATTGACTCCTGGACTCTGTCGAGTGGTACCTGACGTGAACAACAGGGAATGCGCACGCTTGAGAAACTCGGTGTCCATAATGCTTTGAGCGACGAAGTCGGATTCCGGGGCCCAGGTGGTATACCGCAGATTTTCCGGTATGTAGTTGCACAGAGTTGGGTCAGTATTTTGGCTAGTAGCTAAGACTTCAGGCAGTCACTGGAAAACGGACCAAGTGGTGTCGACCGATACTCACGCAGACGTTTCAGACCCTCGGCACTACACGACGCGTTTCCACCGTGGTCATGTGCACTCTGCTTTACTTGAGCATGTACCCCCAGAGACGATTCATCTGAACAAGAAGATCAAGCGCGCCGAAGCTCGTCCAGATGGCGTCTCACTGTTTTTCGAAGATGGGACTGACGTACATGGGGACATTCTCATCGGAGCAGATGGCATTCGATCGGTTTGTGAGAAGGCTGACAAGTGAAGTTTCATGTCACTAACTCAAAAATAGAGTGTCAGACAGTCATTCATCCCGGATTACAAACTCCGATTCAGCGGCAAGGTGTTCATGAGAGCGACGTTTGATGCGTCGTTGGTCGAGGGCAAGATACCGAATTTACCAGCGGACTCGATTCATTGGGTACAAGGATGCCCGCCTAAGACTTGAGAAACGTTTGCTGATTTTATTATAGTGGGGGCCTAAGGACAACTTCTTTGCATCTCGGCTTGGTAAGAAGAGATATCGTCTAAGGATTGTCCGAGTCTAACAAAAATAGGCAAAAATCAGTATACAACAGTTGGTGCATACGACGACCCCCGCTCGTCGGAAGAGCTTGAGAGAACAATTGCCTGGGATCAACTCGGCAATGTTGAATTTCTCAGAAACCGATACAAGGTAAAGCCAGCCAACTCGACGCCGCGCCACGTTTGTTAATCCAAAGTACAGGATTGGAACCCCACAGTGAGGGCTCTCACAGAGCTCACGCCATCGACAAACCTTTACCCTAATTTTGCTGGCGACGCCTTACCAACCTGGGTCTTCGGCTCGCGTGTGACACTAGTAGGAGACGCAGCACACGCGCACGGTGGTGCATTCGCCGCCGGAGGCTCACTTGCACTCGATGACTCTCTCGCTCTTGGCCTTGCATTTAAACACATCTTCCAGGGGGCCACGTTCTCAATTGAAAATATTGAAAAAGCATTGAGGCTGTACAGCCAAACAAGGCAGCCTCATACCGCACGATTATTGCGCATTGTGCATGACCAGATCGATAGGAAGGCTGCAACTTTCGCGACAAGTGAGGCTGAAGATGAAGCGTTGGTGGCCCGATTGAAAGGTCGGCCTGATACAGTGTGGTTATCCGAACATGATGTCGAGGCTGCTTTTGGAGTTGTTGCTCAGGGGTCGCACGACGCGGGGGCGCAGCGTGTTGGGGAGGAACTAAAAACAAGTGGAGCCATCCAACTGGAGCCAAGTAAACTATAGAATTGAGCTCGTCGATGTTGTCTGAGCTGGCAAAGAGGACCAATTTCAAGTGGGAAAAATCTCTTCTTAGATTTGGAGTTTGCAATTGGGTTTGTTGTCTTCCGCCTCACTTTTCCATTCTTAGCAGACGTGTTTATGAGTCCAAAAATATCGACGGGGATTTCAAAAGAGTCTCATACAATGATCCATGATATCGTCACCCGACGCGAGTCGTGGGTCTTTTTATGGCCATCATCGGGATAAATGATTCTGCTGTACAAGGCTTGTCCCGGATATGCCGGAATCAGGACGACTATCACAGCCTACTTTGGTATTATCTTCGCGGGACGCTAAAGCTCCGAGCTCTATTTCTATAATCGACAATGTAGTAGCCTTGTACAATGGGCAATGCTGTTGGGAGGCCGTAATGCACGGGCTGGGGAAAGACATGGGTGGCAATGCTTGATAGTGGGTCTCGGGCCTGCTAACGATGCCAGAAGACCCTAACGATGGCCAAGACAAACCATGATAGGCAGAATAATAATACTGGGGCTTAGAGGAGAAGAATAAGGATAGCCTTGCATGCAACGCATATCTCGGGGGTTGAGAGAAGCCAACAGGGCGGAGTAGAGAGTCACGGGGTGTGGCTGGTGAAGTTGACTTAGAGATGTGGCGCAGCTGAAAGCGGACTAGATCGGCACTTTGGACGATGAAGGCGTCGTCTCCGGAAGTGGAGAGAATGAGGGCAGTGCAGTCTAGTCTGCGCCTCCTATGGCAAATTTTCTTTAAAAGTCACATCGAATCCTCAATTCGAAGACAACAAAAATTTCAAACAAAGAGTTCTAGAATTCGCCTGAGGTTCTAGACACCCGCTTATCTAGTGGCAACCTCCCCTTTATCTCCTTGTCCTTTATAACCGCCCCTCTCCCAATACATCCGATATTCAACACAAACAAAAATGGCCGCTTCACCTGCTCTCAGTGCAAGCTCACACATGTCACACTCATCAAGACCATCTCTATCGCTGGATATGAGCAACATTCCTCAACTATCTAAACCCACACCACCATCCAACACCCTCTTAATTACCGATCTCAACGATCTGCTGGTCTTCCAACCATCCGCACTCGAAGAAATCCGCAACCTCATCACCTCAGTGGCCGTACTCAACTCCTTCTCGCCCCTCCCATCCCTCCGCCGCATCGTCTGCTCCTTCACCAACACCGAAGATGCAACCACCATCCGCAAACTCCTGGACGGCCAACTCCTACTCAACCGCGTGCATCCGCGAATCTACTTCGGCGAACCAACCCCATTAAATGACCGTCCCAAACTTCTCGAAGCACCCCAAGTCTCAAAGCTGTTCTTCATTTCCCCGCCTCCCAGCCCACCCCACGGCTGGGTTCTGCGCAATGAAGACCCGCCCAACAAAGAGGTCCATGCCTCTGATCTCGCTCATGCCTTGTCCCAGCTGAAGACGGAGCCGAAGGAAGATCCCGCTACCCCGGTCTCAATCTCGGATGATAAGCGCACCCCCAGTTGGCCGATTGAGGGCCAGCGAAGTCGGAGCAGCACCATTATCTATCACCCTGATACCCATGGCGATAGTCCCAATTTGCCCGCTGTCATGGTGGAAGATATGAGTCTGGGTATTGATGTTGAGGATGTCGATATGGATGAGATGAGCCCTATTGAGATGTCTGTTAAGTCTATGCCTCCCAAGACTTCGAGGCCACCCGTCGAATTGATGGAGTAGAGCTGGGTTTTGGATTTTAGCGTTTTTCAAATTTACTGTCACTGCATTGTTCTGCTCGGCGTTGGAATGGGCATCACTTCTCGGGGTTTTGATTTTGGCTACTTTGAACATTATAGCTAATTAGATGTCAAAACAAACTTTTTTGGTTACTACCTTAAGCTTCCTTGGTTCATTTGCACTTATCAGTGGTTCATTTCCAATATCTCTACTCCGTAGCTTTCCTGTAGCTTCCAAGGCTCCCTTGCTCAACTTGATCGCATAGCTTTTTATTTCATTGCCCGCACTCGAGTCAATGCGTCTCATATTCTAATTTTTTCCACTGGTCTCACCAGAACTTATAAAAAGGGTTATAGTATGAACAGAGGGTTTCAGTTCACCAATTGCAATAGATGACAAAGAAACTAAGGGGTAAAAAACTCCAAGCGCCCCAAATCACCAAATCAAAACGCCATGCATGCTCGAGTCCAACTTTTTGCGTCCCTCAGAACCCGTAGCTAGTCTGGCCGTAAGGCGTGGCACCGTAAGGTGTCTGTGCACTGTTCCAGCCGCCAGGAGCACCACTTCCGTATGAAGTCATGTTACCATCGATACCCTCAGGAGGTTCGTAGGCGTCGGGGTCATTGGCGCCCATCATCTCGGCATCCTCGCCAATGCGGCCCTCACCCTCGCCGGACAACTCGCTGACAGTGGTGGCCAGCTTGCGCTGCAGGGAGACGATAGATTGCTGGAGAATCATGTCGGGTTCCAGGTTGCCAATGCTCTCAACATCGAAGTAGAAGGTTGTTGGCTCAGCATCGTAGTCGAAAGGCTGGTCTGGGTTGGCAGCGGGTTCCCAAGCAGCATTTTCAGAGACGGGCCTGTAGAATATAATTAAGAGTCCGAATTGAGAGCAAGACTAGATTCTGTAACTTACCATTCCTTCGCTGCGTCCTGCTCGTACCAGTAATCCACATGACGCAGGTTGTTGTTGGGATCATACTCGAAGCCCACAGCAGCAGTAGGTGCCCACTTTGCGTGTTCCTTGGCGGTTCCCTTCTTCGCCAAACAGGTCATCTTGATCTCTTGGCCCTTGCGCAGCTTGCAAATCAGTGGTCCCTTGCCCTCGGGGTCGGTGGTGACTGGGTCACCAATGCTCTGATTGATTCGCTCGCCAACAATGACCAGATCCCTAGCGTATACGGACATCATTCCTTGGCCACAACGGGCGTGCAAGGACAGAGTCACGCTGCACCGCACGCAGTGATCTTCGCAATCGCAATCTCTTGTGTACTCGAGGTCGTGATCGCAGTTCAATGAGTTCAGGGGAATCATGCCAAGACGATGGGCGAGGAATTCATCAGGCAGGACGGAAGTGTTGCTTTCGATTTCAATGAGGTCGAGAGCGAGGGTTGGCACTTCAGAAAGCATAGTGCGGCGGAGGGAGTTTGCGAATGCAAGATCGACAGCTGATAGCCGAAAGTCGACGCGATATGGCTCCGCCTGTTTCCTGTTAGTGATTTGGATTTGGATTTCTTGAGTTTGCTTACTTCGCGGACGGTCACTTGGGGCCCGGTGGGCTCGAGGTCCATCTCGAACTCCATTGTGAGTGTACGGCCGCGCTGGTCCCTGCAGCCCTAGTTCGAGCTTTTTTTAATCTGCGAATGGAAGAGTATGGGTGTTGAATGTCGATTGTGGAAGTGACGGGAATCGTAGATGATGTTGTGGTTGATGGGCGCGAAGTCAAGCAACTGAGGGTGGACATCGCGGATTTGCTCCCTCGGAGGCAGCTTGGCGCTTAACCTAATTGGGAAGACCTTGCCCAAGTGCAAACCTGGGCATCTCGGATTAAAAAAATCTACGTGACTTTAATTGTACTGTTATTAAAAAAAAAGAGAAAGAAAGGTGCTGCTCTTTGTGCTCTTTTCTCCCCGTATCTGAGGAGAGGAAGAAGCAGTGATTCATGAGTAGAGAGGGTGTAGACGCTCTAGCATCCAAACAGCCAAGATATCTAGAACTGAGAGAGATTTGCTTTCAACACAAGCCTGACAGGTGATCCCAGGGCAAGCAATGGATTTAGATAAGATAGTCTGATGCCACAAACCAGCAAGGAATCCTCCACTGCTCCGTACAAACGTAAGTAAATAATGTTCCAAAGGCCCTGTTTGCAGGGCAGGGAAAAGGCGTCTATCAAGACGAAACAGGGCGCAAATTCAAGTGCTCACGCGCAGGTCACAAGACGGGTAGCAGCAGCCCATCGGAAAAATGCAAAACGGAGTAAAAAGGTAGAAGCCAATTGTAGAAGCGACGAAGCCACCGTTTTTTGGGGAGTTGGTCATGTCGAGTCATAATCAAAAGGGACTCTCTCAAAATAGTTGTGCACAAAGAGGTGGATGTCGGATAGAGTATGCGGGGGAGAGAGATGAGGGAGATGTGCGAGAGAGTTGGAATGCGATAGGTACTACCGCTTCAAGGAACTGCGATTCAACGCTTCCAGCAGTTCCGGTCGATTTGCGAGCGCCGTCGCGGCCTGCGCATAGGAGACCCATTGACGTTTTCGTTTATACATCTCGGGCCATTCGGCTTCCTCGCGTTCAACAGTCACCTCGAAAAACTGATATGAGGCTTTCGGCGCTTGCGCCGTTAAGAGAGCGCATGGTCTCATGTCCGGGATGACTCCCAGATCTCTGCTCACGACACACACCACACCGGCCTCTTCCCAGGCCTCGCGGCATGCCGCCTGCTCAGCGGTCTTTTCATCCAGCTCCCATCCTCCTTTGGGGAGCACCCAGCCTCCGGGTCCGGCGGACTGGATCATCAGCACTTTGGTTTTGTCGGCGGAAATAGGGACAACGCCAGCTACCAAGCGCTCGCCTTTGGATCCGTAGCCTACTCAACCATTAGAGTCAAGGACGTAAGGGGAAGTGACGATCTGCCACGTGCCATAGCCAGGGAGACATACGTTGGTTTTTCCGCCCAACGCGGGCTTCCATAGACCGTATTTGGGCCATTTGAAGAGTGTGAGAGGCTTTGTTGCCGAAGGTGTCCGAGGGGTGGTAAAAGATGAGAGTAAAAAAAAACAAAAAAAAAAGAACGGGAGGGACCAGGTCAAAAACGAAGAAGGGAAACCCAGAGGCTTTTAGAAAAGAGCTCCCGCGGAGTCTGTCAGGGTCTGGAGACTAGGAACAGTAGAGCGTAGGGCGGTCGGGGGGGTGGAAATTTTCTTTCCTAGGACGAGACGAGATGGCAATCAGGTATTCCTCATTCCCGGGGGATTGGAATGAAAAGAAGAACAAATAGGCATGGTTTCAATATAATATTTCTGAGGTAGTTGGAAGATGGAAAAAAAGGGAAGAGATGTGGGAATGGAGGGGCAGAACCGGCGGCGCAGTCCGGCTGTACGTCTTTTTTTTTTCTCCTTTTTTTTTTTGTTACAATTGTTACACTCTGGATATTGATCTTTGCTCTATGAAGGGAGTTTTGATTCTGTCTCTGTTTCTCCTGTCTTTCATCTTCCCCTTCTTTTTTTTTGTCCTATACATGGTCATGTGACTCATGTCCTAAACCGTCGAAAAGGGTGTCGGAGCAGAGAGAGCCATCTTCATTGGAACCTCTACATTTTGAGTCTCTCCGTCCGTGGTTAGTCCAGGTACCTATGACTCTTAGATTCTTTGTTCATTCCCTGTGCATTCTTTTGATCTACAATATTTCTTATGTATGTTCAATAGACGTTTCTGATCGGAATCGGGGTTGACCCTAACGGGGTTTGGTACCGAGTGGGAAATTCGGGGCCGATCAGTACAGGTGGCTGCTTAATATTTGATTTATAGATAGAACAGGGAGATGAAGTACAGAGTAGAACACTATAAAGAACCCCGAAGTAAGCAATATACTAAAGCACCTATTTGCCCCCCTTGCCGTACGCAGAGTAGTCCATACTGGTACTCGTCTCGTACACTCGTACACCGTACGATCACTCCGTATTGTGACCCCTCCGCCATCACCTTCGCATCCACTGAGGTATTTTGTCTCACAATGCAGGTGGTTGACGCCGAACGCGCGCGCGAGCTCTCGCTATTCCGGCCGCTAGGTATGTTCCCACTCGCCCGCAGCGAGCCACTGAGATAGACCTCTCTTCCCCCGTGGCGCTTCCACTGGTCCAGGACCCTGCCGATTGGAGTGACTTGGCGGGGATATCAGGATCGTCCTACCCCTCCCAAGAAACTAACAAAGTGAACAGGTTACCAAAGCAACTCGTGTGGTTACTGCAAGTCCAAAGATGGCAGTGCGTTGGCCCCCTCTGACTTCATTCTCATCACCATTGACACGTAGCAGGCGCATCGTACTACACCAGCTCTACCTCCGTACACCCGGAACATTATGAAGACCTGATCAACAACGGTTGGCGACGGTAAAACCCTTCGGTCTATATATGTAATTACGCTCACTAACAATGCCGTCAGCTCCGGCTCCCTCTACTACAAGCAGAACTTGCGACAATCCTGTTGTCCGCACTATACTCTGCGGTTGGAGGCGGCCGATTATCGGCCCCGCCGCGACCAGCGCAAGGCAATCAACAAATGGAACAAATTCATTCTGGGGCCGGAGTATATGCGTAAGGCGGCCCGGCTCTGCCCGCAGACTCGCGCGTAAGCATCTATTCGTCGCAGACGACTGGATCTTCACTGACAACCCACAGCGAGAAAAAGCACCGCAAGTGCAACTTCGACGTGCTGTCAGCAGTGCATGCGAGCGAGTATGACAACATCAAACGGCCCGTTGATCCTGTTACCAAATGTCCCATCGAACCGGCCCATCGGTTCGAGGTCACCACTGAAAGTGACTCCGTAACCCAGGCAAAGTATCAGCTGTTCCTCAAGTATCAGACTGCCGTTCATAAAGAGGATGTGTCCAGCACGACGCCTAAGGACTTTCAGCGCTTTTTGTGCACCGGTATCAAGCGGTCTCCAAATCCCTTGACGGCTTCGAATGCCAACGAGAAGAAAGTCGGCTCGTGGCATCAATGTTACCGTCTTGATGGTGAGCTCGTCGCTGTTGCAGTTCTGGATCTACTCCCCACTGGCGTCAGCTCAGTCTACGTGTTGTAAGTTACATTGAAAAAAGTGTAAGAGGAGTGATGACCTAACACGTTTCATCCTAGCCATGATCCGGCATACGAGCAATGGGAGTTTGGCAAGCTGAGCGCCATGCGCGAAATCGCCTTCTCAATTCAGAATCAGTACAAATACTACTACATGGGTGAGTCAGATTCGACGTCAGTCCGACTAAGACTAACTAGAATTAGGGTACTACATACACTCATGCGTGAAGATGCGCTATAAGGCCAATTTCAGACCACAATACATTCTTGGTAAGTTTCATCTATGTCTTACGACATGTGTGTACCACGTGGGCATCAAACACGCCGTCTGACCATCCTTTCTGCCACACAGACCCCGAGTCCGGCGAGTGGGATCCACTTGATGGCGAGTTGACTGAGAAGCTCAATACTCGTTCTTACGTTTCGCTATCCCGGGACAGATTGGGTTCCCCGGCTCCCATTCCATCTGCTGATTCCAGTGCCGACCCCGATGTCTCTCTCTTTGATATCAACATGCCTGGCGCGCTTACCGTAGCCCAGGTAGAGGCATTGGACTTGGATCATTGGCTGCTGTTCTTCAGAAAAAACTTGGTTCACATGGAGGTACGTCGGTTTCTGGTACTTTTGGAGAAGCTCGCCGTGACTAATGATTAATAGGATTTGGTGGGTTGGGAGACTATGTCTATGACTGAGCCGCAGTCAATCAAGGGCATCATTGCAGAATTGGCGGCAGTTCTGGGTCCCAAAATCGTCGAAAACAGCGCCGTTGATCTGTTTGGCTGAGTATATCTAGGTTTGTGGGACGCTTGTCTTCCCTGGTTCTACCAATGCTGTTCTCAATCTCATGTCCCATAGCGAGGAGTCATTCAAACTGGTGTATTCTAGTTACATTGGAGGTACAGCATCAAGACTTGGAACTCGAGTAGGATTCAGTCCTCTGGGGGGCTAACAAACTCCCCGGCGTTGCAGCATAGCAAGGTGAGGAGAGTTCTGAAGATCGTATAGTTACCCTAGGATCAGCGTAGTCCTCGACTTTCTGTGATCAAACGTCAACATCCAGCGTTTTCCCAGTCTGGGCACTTTGGATAGCGAGCTCTATGAGTCGAATGACGATAGCAGACTCCACAGGGTCGACAGGAGTATTGCCCTCATCAGCCAACGCCTTGGCAAGCTTGTCATAAAAGTCGGTATACAGCGGTGCAGTGACGGTAGGCACAACCTAGGTCTTGAATGTACCATCGGATTGAACAGAAGTTAATGTTCCTGAATACAAAGCGCAACCAGCATCAAACCAAACTCACATTCTAACTCGAGGAAATGCACTTACCGAATCGTTGTGAAGGCTCCACTCCATACCCATCATCCCCAGGTCTCATACCAGCCTTAAGCTGCTCTTCTTGCACATCAAAGTGATGCTAAGTCTGTCAACACGCACATTCACGGCTATACGAATAAACCACGGGACTAACCTTCATATAAGTCCCCTGCGTACCCCTAACCCAGAACCGCAATTGCTTCTCCTGTGGACTGACCACCGCGGCTTTAGCCGTAGCGAGGAATCCATCGTAGTGCATCAACACGGTGAATGAGTCGTCGCTACCACTCACCCCTTCCCGCTGATTACCCAGGAAGGCAGTAATGCGCTTTGGTAGACCGAATAGCTGGACTGTTTGGTCGATGAGATGGGCACCTAGATCGTAGGTTGCGCCCCCGCCGGGCATCTCTTTGGTTCGCCATGCTGAGCCTGGAATTCCTGGTACATGGCGCTCAAACCGGGTCTCATATTCTACCAGCCTTCCTAGAGATCCATTCTTGACAATGTGGGATAGGATCCGGAAGTCGGTGTCCCAACGGCGGCCTATTTGACTTGTCAGCTGAATTCAGGAAAGGCCGGTGACGCACTTACTTTGGTACACCGTGAGGAGACGATTCTGCCTTTTTGCAAGTTGGACGAGCTCTTGAGCTTCTTCGTATGTCGGAGTGAACGGCTTTTCGACGACAACTGACACAATACGAATGTCAGGGAACAGTTCTCTGTCTGATGTATCTTGACTCTTCTAGCATACCGTGCTTTCCTGCGTTGAGAGCCAATTTTGCCAACTCAAGATGAGAATCCGGCGCAGTAGTCACGACTACGACATCGACAGCGGGATCTGAGACCAAGAGCTCGGTGCTGCGGAAGCTCTTGATGCCAGGCCAGTCTTTTTGTGCATCATCATCTGGCTTGGGCGTTCTCTGTACAACAGCATACAAGTTCAGGTTCTTTGCGGCTGTAATGAACGGAATTTGGTAAATCTTGCTACTAAGGCCATAGCCAATAACGCCGACATTGAAGACTCGAGAGGCCATGGCTAGGTCAATGGAATAATAAGATATGTATAAACTAATGAATGTGAGCTCAAGGGTGCTCTTTAAGTAGGATTTGGCTGACCGCGAGAGGTATTTGCCGGGTGACAACTTCACGCTTTTGTGGCTTGAGACTTATCACCACAGAGCATAATCGACTGGACCTCAAAAAGCTCTCTTTCGGTGCTTCGGTGCCATTCAAGCGAATGTGTTCTTACTTCCCCGCAATCATTCTCCGCATGGCGTGAAGTGGATAGTAGCGGATAAGTCCTTAGGCGCGTGGTAATGACTTTTTTCATTTTCAGGGTCGCTAGCTTCGCATTTCCTAAATTGTTTCTAAATTCGGACATAGTATGGTGCTCTCTTATCAAGGGAGGTCATTATACGAATACTGCCAAGGTTTAATCCCAAAATCTTCATCCTGGGGTTGTCGATCCATAGAGGGACATGATTAGAGAGATAAGCCAGACTAACCTTGGAAGTCAAGGCGGGTAATATTTTGCCCAGAATACGAATTTCATGCATTTGTAAGCCTTGGAGAGCTAAACCTGCTCAAGTGGAAGTGTTTTTGTTCGCGAACTACGATATCGAAAGCGAGGACATTCAGTAGTGGATTTCAAGCACAACTTAGAAGTACAGATCAACGAAGCTAAGAACTACCAGGATATCCGTTCATTGGATGATGCAGGAAATATCTATAGATATACAAATTCCACGAGAAAGAGTTTGAGCTTTACCTCGTCCTTCAGAAGTGTCATCCATGCTCCAAGGTTGGTTTCCACCTTGTGGCCCGCACTGGGCTTTTCAGAGAGTACTAATACACAAGATTCGACTTGATCTACAAATCGTAAGTGTGAGACTGGATCTTAATCGATGAGACAGTCCAGGTCTTTCCGTTGTCGGAGGTCTTGAGACCAGAAGAGGTGGCCTCTTCAATAGCCAATGTGTCTTTGAAGGAAGAGTCAGCGGCGTTCAAGATGATGGTAGTGTCGAGGTATTCTATGATAATTAGCATCGGTCTCATTCCTTGGATGTCTAGATTGAGACCCACCGTGAGCAGCAGCAGTGCCATCGCACGCTTCAGCCTGACACTCGACGGCAGTACCCCAGCCCTGAGCCTGGCCGGACTCTAAAAGTGATTGTCAATTGGAGAATTCTTTGGTAAACCACGAGACTGGCGAAACTTACTGGTAGAGAGAGTCGACACGACTTCTCCGTTGATGGAGACCGTCTGGTCGAACTTGCTGGTCTCGTCATTGTACTTGTCTAGAGAATGATCAGTTTATGTTCTTGCGTCCAGTGGATCAGAGCTTACAGTGCATATTGACTTCATCGCCAGCATTGGCAGGGACCTGCTTTCCGCCCAGCTGCTCGCCTTGGAGTGTGCTGGCCCATGTGCACCATTGTCCAGCAGTGGCACCACAGTTACTGCGTTGGTCAGTTACATACTATATCCGCCGATGATCTTTGAGCACTCACGCCGAGGGGTCGCTGAAGGAAACGGCGAGCGCCTGGATCAGATCACCGCCGCTGGTCCCCATACCAGGCCAAAGAGCAAGACGATCTTGCTGAGGGCTCGGGACCTCAGGGAGGACAAGCGTAGTGTTTGCCTCACGAATCCATGATGAAGTAGGGCCGAGGGAGAAGTGAGGGCCAAATCCGATGGTTTCAGCGTTGGCCAGGCCGAGGAAGGCGAGAACAGCGAGGCTTCTGATGGCGGACATGATGAGCGTACGGATTTAATGAATGAATGTTGAGCTGATCACAGTCTTTATATGAACAAGAGAAATAAATTGAGGGTCTTCAAACCGTGACCTAATTCAGGGGAAAGAAATATAAATCGGATCATCCCACTCTCCCAATCTACTCGTACAGTTTCTCCGTTTCATATACGGTTGAGAGGTGGGCTCGAAGCATGAATAATATTGGAGTTGCTTGTTTCAAATAAGCTACGTTGAAACAGACTAGCTTTGTTGGTCTCCAGGAAAATGGATCGGCGCAATATCCATGGCTGCTAGTTTCAGTCCGTTACATTCACAATTAAATAGGAGTTACGAATACGACTACAGCACATCCTCTCAGAGTGTTCGAGGATAATGCGTCGGGAAAAAAAAACAGCAAAAAAGATAGTGCATCATCCGTGAATCGAACACGGGCCTCGTCGATGGCAACGACGAATTCTACCACTAGACCAATGATGCTGAATCAAGCAGTAGATGAGAATTCTCATTGGCTGCTTATATTTGGTGGGTCAGAATTTGAACCATACACCTTGAACCCAATCCTTCCAAAGGGATGAATCTGACCATGAAGCCTGAGCCTCAAATGTTCAAATGTTGCTTCGATTAATGTTCCTTACGCATCTGAGGCATTCTCGTTGATAAACTAAGACATTGCATCATATTTCTTCGTTCTGCGTAAATAAAACGTAAATCCCCATGTTCAGATTATGAACAAGAAAACACAACGGGTAGGGCCACCAGCCAGACGCCAAAAGTCATAAATCAGTTCAATAGACAGAATACTTCGATCCACCCTGGTCAGGATCAGAACCATGCAATTAACCATGAACAAATGATAGCAGATTCCCTAAGCACCATTGCCCGCATCCTGGCTTTGGGATCCACGGCGATGGAATGGATGTCCAAAGTGAAACACCTTTTTCACGGCGTTGGTGATGCTGTTCTTGCGCCTGCCGGTGGGTGCTTCTTGACGCTCCTCGGGCTTCTTGGGGACAGTTGCATTGTCGGTAAGGACAATTGATGTAACCGCCGGCTTGGGAGGCCACTGTCCGTCGGCTTTCCAGCCCTGAACCATGGCTTTGGTAAGATGCGCCAGGTTGACAGGCATCGTTGGGGTCATTCCTTGGACGACAACTTTTGAATAGATGGACGGGTAGATTGAAGGTACGATGGTTGCGCGCACCGGGTTGGTATCTGGAATGAAAGGCGGTGCCACAGGAACAAGCGGCTCATCGAGCTCTTCGATTTCCTTCTCCTCTTCTGTCTGGTCTTCAACAGCTGGGAATGAAGTCAAGCCGGGTAGACGATCCGATGCATCTGGCTCAGTAATGTTGGTTTCTGACGATGCTTTTCCTTTGGTCTCTTCGTCTGGTGCGGTGGATTGCTCTTCCTCTTGATCTCCTTGTTGTCCGGAAGTCAAGTCCGCGCGGTGCTGGAGCTCCTCGCTCTTCTCCCGGTCCACAATTGCTAGCGAAGTCTCCGTCCGAGTGGCCAAATCAGCAGAGCTCCCGGTCACAGAGCCGGTGAAGGTCGTGGATGGCGTTGTCGCGGAAGACGCCCCAGTTGCTCCCTCCAAGCCATCCGACTGATCTGTCGTATCTGTCTGCACACCAGCCAACGCGCGCTTTTCCTCCTCGGTTCGAATCTGCCTCTGAGTCTTTGCGCCAGACCATGCATTGCGCCTGGCCATCCACACACGCAGTCCCTCATTCCACGCCATCTCATCGTCCATCTGCCGACGGCGTTTGCGGCGGCGCTCGATATCGGTCTGTTGGCCACCTGTGGTCACGGGCTCATCTTCGCTGTCCGAGGTCTGCGGTTCGAGTTCTGAGGTTGAGCTGTCGAATTCGCGGACTCGCCATTCGCACACTTCGCGATTGTGGCAAAGGCTGCCATCGGCGGATGAGGCGGGGGGAACACCGACTTCGAAGTCCCAATCATTACGAACGACTTCCTTGGCGAAGACTTTGGCTTCGCGAACCGAAGCATCCCGGGACCCGACGCTCATCATTGTCGCGGTGGATGTGGGGGTGATTTCTGTTCTTAAAGTGGGGAGCTCGAAGGAGGAGTTTTTTTCCCACTACTGCAGATCCGCTTTTCTTTCAACCCACATGAGTTCATGAAATAGAAGGAGAAATGCAAGAAATGAGACAGATCGAAATTCAAAGCAAATATCCCACGGTGACAGAAGTTCAAAAGCCAAAGTGGCGGATGATCGGGCGAAAATGTCATAAGGCACGTGCCCCAAGTGCGGAGATGAGCTTCGTCTTCGGCTTTTCTGCTCTATACTTCGTATTTCTTACTCTTACTTCACATCGATGTGAGCTTGAATCTATTTTTCATCCATACTCTTCTCAATCCTTGTTACTAGGCTCTCAATTGACCTACCTATGCAATGTTCATGGTTCTGCCAGACCTTGTGGACTGGACTAACTGGGCTAAATGAAGCGATTGAGCAAAAGGACCAGAGACTAAGCGGATGGCCTGACGCAATGCCAAGTGGCAATTCCAATCCCTGCCATTATTGTACGGTGCTATAACAAGGCATCAAAGGATTACAAGCGGAGATGTTGCATCATCAGTCTGAATGCAGACATCCTTGGGAAGACAAGTGCCCAGGCGGCTTTTTTGATGAAGGGGCAAAGGGTCCATAATGAGTTGAACTACAATTCATGCATGCATCAATAAACTCTCAATAAACTCGTGCCAACATTTGTGGGTAGGTCCATAGATATTTTGGGATCTTCCGAAATGACATAGTAGTATATACATTTTGACTAATAGTACAAGTCTATCACCGCTAAAAATACATGAGAATGGTTATAATTTCCAATTCAGCCCCTAACGTACAAGCCACGAGCCTCCCAAGAATCAGGTTCGAACACGCGCAGAATCAGCCGAGGCCTCACCACTTGGAGCAGGAATGAATCCCCAACCAGGACTCTTCTCCCGCCGACCTTTGCGGTCACCAAATTGCTCATCGAACTTGCGAATCGCCGACAGGGAGGACATGTCCTCACTGATCGAAGCGGAGATCTCTTCCATTCCACGCTCGAAATGCGTGCGTGTGAGTATCCGCCGCTCGGGATAGCTGTACGGCTCATCTCCGGTGTGTTTGGCGGCAGCGGCATTTTCCTCGCGGACGCAAGCAAGTGCCGCTGCCACTGACAAGTTCTTGAGGTCGGAACCGGAGTAAAGAGGTGTGCGGCGGGCTAGCTCGGCGAGATCTACGGAACCATCAAGTTGTTCTTCTTTCAGGTGAATCTTCAACACTGCATGGCGATCCTCCTCGGTTGGCAAGTCGACTAGGAGACGCCGGGGAAGTCGGCGCAGGACAGCGTCATCTAGATCGAAGGGTCTGTTTGTAGCAACCATGATGAAGGCCGAGAGATCGTTCATTCCGTCCCATTCGCGGAGGAATTGATTGATCAGTTCGCGATGGGAGGTGCGACTTGCTGCTCCTGTGCGCGAGCAGAAAATAGCATCTGCCTCGTCAATGAAGACGATGCAGGGACTGAGCTTCTTGGCTAATGTAAAGATTGCTTTCACGTTTTTCTCACCTTCGCCAACGTACATGTCGTAAACTTCAGATCCACTGACTTCGAGGACGGTTGCTCCGCTCTCGCGGGCGACGGCCTTGGCAAGAAGTGTTTTACCCGTTCCTGGAGGACCGTAGAGGAGAAGGCCTGGAATTTTGTCCGTGGCGAGGACACCGTATGTGAACGCCTCAGGGCGGATCAGTGATAGGGAAGTCAGGGTCTTCAATGCATCGATGGTCTCGGGAGGTACGTGCACGTCGTTGAAGGTGGTTCGGATGCTCTTTGCATCGACTACACCGTTGAGCAGCTTCTTTTCGTGCGTGTTGCATGTCTTGCGCAGGGATGCCAATAGCTGCTCTCGGCTCTGGCCTGGTTCTGAGTCCTTCTGCTTGGGGGCTTTCTGCTTCAGCCACTCATTGGTCACTTTGTCACTCTTGCTCATAAGCTCGAGTCCTCGTTGGATGTGTTCAAACCCGAATGATTCGTTGGTATCTGCGCAGCCCAGTGCAAGGGTGGCAATCCAATGCACTTGGTTGTATGTCCAGAAACGATCCTCGATCCCGGACTCCTTGATTGCCGAAGACTCTAGTGGCCAAGCTCGGTCGCTGAGTATGTTGTCTTTCACAGGCAAAGACTGCTCGTTTAGTCGGAAGCGGAGCATGCTCTGAAGGTGGCGAATATTAATGTCGGTGGTGCGCTTCTTGCGGTCTTCCACGAAGACCTTTTCAGCGAACTTCGAGCTCATGGCAGGCGTGATGAACAAGGTTTTCGAGTACTGATCATCGAGGACATTCTGTAGAAGGCCGGATCCATCTGGTGATGGCGTGCTTCTGATTTCCTGTGAGGTGGTTCCAATCAACAGAATCTTGGATCCTGATCCTCTCCGGTCTTGAATGACTTTGTGCAAGAGTGAGATAAATCTGGATCCTTCCCGTGTGTTTTGGATGTCACGGTAGTCCTGAATGTGCATAATTACATCTCGAGATGGTAGATCTTTGCTGACATCCCCCTCGGGGGTTTCTGCCAATTCACCGGGGGTGGTTGTGGGCCGCCCTGGTGATCCCAGGAGCCCATTCAATAATTCAGTCCAGCGGCTTTCGGCGCGCTGTCCGCTTCGTGAAGCGCCGACCCCGGGGTCTGCGTCTGTTTGGCCATTGATTGACCCACCCAAAAGCGTTTTCAACCCAAGCCAGTTGGGGATTGAAATGTCGCCAGAGTCCTTGCTGCTTTCAATTGTGATGAATCGGGGTGACCCAGCATCGCCTCTCATTCCCTGGGGGCCAACTTCAGCAACTTCGTCCTCGCCATCCGCGTCCAGGTCTTCGGTTTCCGAGTAGATAGGAGGAGCCGGTCGGTAAACCTCGTACCCGAGAGATCGAATCGGTGAAGTGACACCGGCATCTGCAAGATCTTGTTCACTGAATAATTGCGCAATATCCTGGGCGTTCAGGGTTACCAAGTCAATTCTTAACTCGTGGGCAAGTCTCTTCACAACAGCCTCGAGAAATGAACTTCCATCGTTGCCAGGATAGTGTAGCACCAGGTGTGACTTCTTCACCGAGGGCTCTTGGGCATATTTTGCCGGCGGAAGTCGTAGGCCTGCTTTGACAGAGGCGCGCAACTCTTCCCACGACTCCTCGGCTATCGAGTACCGGTTCTCCGACGGTGTGCTGTCAGGATCAGATGGATCAGAGCCACCCCCGGAGACCGTATTCTGACTTGTAGTATCCTCCTCCAATTGTGATCCTGATTTGGTGATCCTGACCTGTTGTGATGATTGCGCAACGGTGCTCTCGTTCTGGCGACAAGACACCGTATTACGCTCATGGAACCACGACGGTACAGTGGTAGCTGACTGTGATGACTGTTGTGACAATTTGCGATTTCTCATCGCTCTGCGCGCGGCGGAGCCATATGTCTTTGTTAACGATTTAGTCGATTCAGAGGATGGGACTGATTCCGGGGCCCCATTGGGGATTTCGTTATCACTCTTGAGGGTATGTTCATCCACAGAGTTCCCTAACGTTGCAGACTCGACATCATGAGGGTCTTGTGGAGATGCGAGCCATCTTCGTGATAGATGGAATTGTCGCGATGGGGCAACGAAGGGTGCGGAGTAGCGACGGCGAGCGACAATTCGACAAGGGCGGGCAAACAGCCGAACCTTATGGATTGAAGAATACATGCGCGACAACAGAATTGTCTTCAGAACTTGTGATCTTGCGAGAAAAGGAACCCGAGGCTGGGCTTCCATCGGACACACCTGGGCAGAAATCTATGATTAGTAATGTTATCTTATCGCGAAGTTGCCTCATACGGCTGGAATTTGCGGCCATTGCTCCGGATATCACTCATGTTTGTTCAGCGTACGGAGTAGGTCATTTTAAAGTTGTTGGCCCTGGTTCTGTAGATCACTGAGCTCCCCAAACGATGCTTGAAGCTTGGAGTTTTCTTCTTCCTCAACATGATCTGGAGGCTTCGGGCCATTTTTTGGATTTTCATATTGTGTAGGGAGTCATTTCCGAGGTTATATATCACGGCAACTTCAGAATTTTTTGTCGATGCCTTTTTTTATTCAGGATCTAGTCCTTTTATGCCGTGAATACTCACATCAAATGCAAAGTATTATTGTACTCAGCTTACAACCTCTAGAGCTGTTTTCAGGTGCCAAAGTTGACATGGTTGGGCACTTGAATGGTTGTTTGCCACTTGAGCATTTCCTTGTACAAAGTACAGATGGTAAAAACAAGTAATGTGGACTCTGAAAACCACTGGAAACCGGTGAAAATTCCAGAGTCGCCATTTCTAAAGTTTCAAGTCTGTTGGCACTGAGGGCTTGCCAGATGGAAACAGGAGAATCAACTGACACCACGCTGTAATAACATTATGCCTTGGAACCAAATGCAATCTTGCTTGTACCTGGTCTACTTCAAGGTTGAGAATGAGTACATACTACTGAAGTAGCGCCAAGCAGGTGAGGCTCAACCCTGCAAGATCTGACCATGCTCCTTAGCTCCAAGGTTAATGTAGGTACTCCCATTCTAGAGTTACAGACTACTAGCAATAAGCTTCTAAGTTTTCCAGAGCTAACTACAGCACCCCAAAGCTGGAACTTTAGAATGTACAAAAGAATAGAGCTAAAATGTTTTCATTCAGGTATCAGACTTTTCCCAATATATAACCGAACAACACAAGTGTAATGGCGAAATGATCATCAGAAGGAAGGCAACGGAAATCTCTACACGGTTTTGCGCATTAAGAACAGGTCTGTGAGTTTACATCCGAGAATTTTTCGTCACTTGATCATTTCGCCATTATACCATGCGAGCTCATGGCATATTGTGGTTGAGTTTGAACTAGACTGAGAGCAATGTTAGCACAAGCTCAATACAAGACATGAATGAATATGAATTGTGATGAAGAGTTCTCAGCAATATATACTGGCAAGTAGCAGACCAACCGGGAAGGAAGGTCCGTATTGTCTCCGCATTGTCGATTTGGAGGGTAAAGAAGTAAAGTGTTTTGTCATCCTTGAACGGATAGGAAAGGCAGAGGAAGAGAAAAAGTTTCTGACTTACGTGAAACAGGTTGTGACACCTCTGCGGATAAGCTGTCGGGGTTAATAGCAGGTTCTCAGCCCACCATATCACTGGAGGAATGCTGGAAGTCTGGAAAATTCAGAATCATGCCATGTCACATCAGGTGTTGTCAACATCATGAGAGCACCCAAAGCGGCAAAGACAAGAAAAACCAAATTGACAGTCCCAGAATGCAGCTGTTTGTGAGTCAAAGATGACCCAGCACAGTGATACAGCAAAGGCTGATATCAGGCATCATCAGAGAGAATGCTCAATATTCAAGAGCGAAGAGAGAATGAGGGATGAAAGAAGAAGAGGAAACGACCGAGAAAAAAAAGTCGTGAAGAAAAAGACGCGACGCTAAGAGATTTTTCACGTGACCACACCCCGATCCGGGATAGCGTGAGGATGGGAATCAGAGGACAGCAGAGGGCGAGAGAAGAAAAAAAGCCTCAGCTGGCTCTTTAAGAAAGAAAAAAAAAGGCATACAGGTCAACTTCAAAGACTCTATACAATTATTCCCCCCCATCATGCTATAGTTCCTCTTTTCCCTTTCCTACGCCGTTGTCGTCTCGGTTAGATCCAACGGAACCCGGAACCTCCGTCCCCAGTTCTCTCTTTCCCACCGGGCGATCATCCTTAATTCCTATCTTATGGGCGTCAACAATCCCCTAGCCCCTAATTTCTGTGATCGTTGAGCATTTCTGTAAGTGATGGGATCGACAACTTCGGAAAAGCCCAGCCCCTCCACACCCCTAACCACCTGCCTCCCCCCGTCTTGGGCCTTCCTTATCACTCCCCACTGACACCGCCTGTCCTGAACAGAGAGAATTCTGTCCATCGCTGACGTGGAAGCATCGAGATTTCAGCATCTCGCGTCTGCTGAATATCAGTAGCCGCTTCCCACGTCTGGGCGGTCATCAGTCGCGTCCACCTACCTGTCCCTCCCGTCTCCTGTCGCCATCGCGAACGATCCGTTTTGGGGTCCCCCTTTTGCGGTGACTTTGTCGCTCAGCAATGATGATGACGCAGCCGTTCCCTGCCCACCAAGGCATGCCCCAACATGGGTTTCCTCCCGGCCATCCAATGGCCGCGCAACATCCAAATGGACACCCAGGCCCTGGGATGGCACAGCAAATGCATCCCGGTGTATCCGCGCCAAGCGGGCCCCAGGTCAGCCAAGCGGGCCCGATGATGGGTGGGATGCCCCCGGGCGCTGGAACCGCTGGCCCTGGTATGCCAAATGCTCATGCTCTCTCCCACCTGAATCCTGCGCAGGCGCATATGCTTCAGGGCCCGCAATTCCAGCAAAATTGTTAGTATCTCGCCTTCCCGTTTCTCGATATATTGGTCGCCTATGTGATTGTGCACGGGATGAGAGATCGACAACCTTCACCCGGCGATTTATCCTCCCCCGCTGCATTCCGCATCCCCAAACTACCGCGATGCACTGCATGCTAACGTTTTCGCAATTTATAGTTGCGAATAATCCTCAATTCTTACAGCAGCAGCAACATCAGCAGTTAATGCGACAACGAATGATGATCCAACACCAGCACCAACAGCAACAGCAGCAGCAACAACAGCAACACCAGCAACAACAACAGCAGCAGCACCATGGCGTCCCCGTTTCGATGCCTAATGGCACACAAGGACTCAATGCTGCTCAAATGGCCGCAATGCAAGGAAACCCCGGAATGCGACCCGTCAACATGGTGCATCTTCAGCAGCAAATGCCACATGGCCAACCGCAAAGTTTCCAACACCAACAACAATTCCTCGCGATGCAGCAGCAACAACAGGCGCAACAGGCCCAGGCCCAGGCCGTCCAAGCCGGCAATGGACAACCAGGCCAACATACCCCGCAACGTGCATCGGCGCAGCCCCCAAACATACATGAACAAAGTGCCACCCCGCAGTCACAGCACGGTGGTCCGCCCCAGGGAAGTGGCACTCCTCAGCCATCCCAACCATCTCAGCCACCATCTTCTCAGCCCCCAACTTCACAAGGACCTCCTCAGGGCCAGGCCACCCCAAACCCGCCTCCACAGCAATTGCCTCAGTCCCAACAGCCCGGCCAACTGGGCCAGCCTGGCCCGCAGCAGCAAACCCCCCAAAGCGCGCAGGGCCAGCCGGGCCAACAGCCAGGGCCTCAAAATCAGCATTTGACGCCCCAAGAAATGCAAATGAAAGCACAGCAACATCAGCAGATGTTAATGCAGCAAAGGATGAAACCACAGAACCAGGCACTCATGGTTTTAGATGCCTATTCTGAGCAATTGTGCAACTTTGTATCCCGCAGCGAGGCGCAGGATCTTTTATATTGGCAGTCGTTTGTTGACCGTTTCTACTCCCCTGTAGGTGTGTTGCGGCAGGGTGTTTGGTGCACAGCGGCAGGGTCTAAACAATTCGAGATCGCGACGCCTGCATTGGCGCGTTATTATCTGACGCAATTCTCAAGCGGGATTACATCCATCCAGATGGTGGTGGAAGGCGCCCGCGAGCGGGAATCTCAGAATGGAGGGCACTACGTCGAAGCTCCCAAATGCTCATTTATTTACTGGTTCAAGAATGAGTGCCAGCTCTTCACCACTGGTTCCCTACGCGCGCACTTTGATGCCAATCACAAGCTTGAAATGCTGGATATTAGTGTGGTCAACCACAACGAGTATATCCCACGATCTCTCCTGTTGGCCATGGAGGCAGACTCGCAGAAGCAAAGCCCCAAGGTTCCTAAGAACGCAAAGCGCGCCCAGCAAAAGCCAACACCCTCAGTGTCACTGCCGGACTCCATCATCAATGCCTATGGTGTGCCCACTGAAGTGATGTCCTTCCTAGAGGTCGCCGAGACAATGTCGCAGATGCAAATGCTGTTCCAGTTCTCCCACACAAATCCCCAGCTCTCGCCCCCAAATGCTTTACGGAATCTTGTCGGTTCTTTTACAGCCAATCCAGGCTTCGTACCAGGCCCTGTGAACCCTGGCATGAACCCGGGCATGAACCCAGGAATGACTCCGGGCATGAATCCCGGCATGAACCCAGGAATGAACCCAGGAATGAACCCAGGCATGAATCCAGCCATGAACCATATGCATCCCGGTATGAGCCCTGGCATGAATCCAGCCATGAACCCAGGCATGCAACCTATGCAAAACGTGCGGGGACCTAGTATGGGCGCCCCCTCGCAATTTGCCTCGCCCGCCATGGCCCATCTCGGCCTTCCCGGGCAGCAAGGCTCGCCTCATCTGTCAGGATCAGCACATCCGAGCCCGGCCCAGAGCCATCTAGCCGGTCCCCCGGGTATGCAACCCCCCATGCAGCCGTCTCCAGCTGGCGTCAACAATAGTCCAAATGTAGGTGGCAACAAACGTCGCCGGGCGAGCACCGTGAAAATGGAGTCCGAGGATGGTGCTGGAGTCGATGCTAACGGCGCTCCGCAGGGCTCAGCGAAACCCAAGCCTAGCCCTCGGGTGACCAAGCGACAGAAGGGGGCCGCTGCTTGATTGAAGTTCACCACCTGCTTTGTTCCTTTTTTTCTTGTAGGGAACTGGCGTACGACTGTATCTTTGGGCTTTCACCGCCCCTTGCTTTTGACTCTCTCAACTCGAGGGCATCCCCCTGGCTTACAGCACATCACGACTCAATTTACAATCGACGGGATTTAATCGGTGCCCGAGGCTTCCTGCCTCATCGATCCTGCTCAACTCCGACCTAATGTACTCTACTTTACTTTCAGCGTTTTCGTCGGGTCTCGACCTTGCATGTTCTGTTTGATTTTCTCCTCGGTTTCTATCCTTGTGCTATGTCTGGGATTTGATGACTTTTGAATTGGTCTTGTTGGGCTTTTGCCTTTTCGCTGACGGTCTGTTATTTTTTCAAACCGACAGAAGTTTTGATATCCGTGTTTGGCGACTGAAATGGCGTCCGGCTCTTATGTTTCCTTGCGTCTGCGTGCATTGAGGTGTTCGATGTTCCAGGCCCTTTGGTTGTGGGCTTTGAGTTTTTTGATCATTCTCCCCGGGGTTTCTCTTTGCCGCTGTTTGACGAATCTATACATACCTGCTTTCAATCAACATGCATTGTAGTTTGTATTGGGAGAGTGTTTTTTTGTCGGGACTTGATGCTGTGTAGGAACGAGTCATTGTCATTTAAGCATCAAGGTGCCCAGGGGTGATCCATGGATGATTTCCAAGGTTGCTGTTATATCACCTGGGTATGAACTACATGATACTTTTACTTACTTAAGTATTGGTCTATGGGAAGGACAGAACACAAAAGTGTTACTTAAGTAGTACCTTGAATGTACATATCTCATGTCTAAAATGCTCACTCAGAACTCCCGGACCCGCTCTAACGATGGCCGAGACGTCAAGTTCGGCGACCTCCGTTCTCGGCCAATTGATAATGATGAAGCTCGGCATTTGTGTTATCAGTTCCCCACACTCCTTGCTTTTAAAAAAACAGTGCCCCTCATCGTTCACTTTTTGGTCTTCATATTCCATATATATCCCGAACAATGGCGCACTCTCACTCTCACGATACAGGTGTCGAACATTCTCACGATGACCCGTTCAACGGTCACGGCCACTCCCACGATATCCTCGACGGCCCAGGCTCATACGTCAACCGGGAGATGCCCTTGATTGAGGGTCGTGACTGGAAGGATCGTGCCTTCACAATTGGAATCGGTGGGTATGTACTATGCGCCGTGGATGAAACCTTTCTCCCATCCTAAACATCCCGGCCCATCCGGATCCCTATAGTTCAGCAATCAAAGTACTAAAAACCAAACCTGTACACAGACCCGTAGGATCAGGCAAGACAGCACTGATGCTGGCTCTGTCTCGGGCTCTTCGTGACGAGTATAACATCGCGGCAGTGACCAACGACATCTTCACGAGGTATGCGTCTACTCGCCCAGACGATAATCATCAAAGCCACTGACTCGGAACAGGGAAGACGCTGAATTCCTCACTCGACACAAAGCCCTTGCGCCCTCGCGCATCCGCGCCATCGAGACAGGTGGCTGCCCACACGCCGCTGTTCGCGAAGACATCAGTGCGAACCTGCTTGCTCTCCAGAAACTCCAGAAGCAGTTCTCCACTGATCTGTTGCTCATCGAGTCTGGTGGTGATAACCTTGCGGCGAATTATTCGCGTGAGCTGGCTGATTTCATCATCTACGTCATTGACGTAGCAGGTGGTGATAAGGTGCCTCGCAAGGGTGGCCCTGGTATCACGGGCTCGGATCTGCTGGTCGTGAACAAGATTGATCTTGCTGAGGCTGTTGGTGCGGATTTGAGTGTTATGGAGAGAGATGCGGCCAAGATGCGCGAAGGCGGTCCCACTGTCTTTGCGGTCGTTAAGAATGGCCACGGGTTGAATCACATTGTGAACTTGATCATTAGTGCCTGGAAGGGAAGTGGTGCCTATGAGCTGAGTTTGCAGCGTTGGAAGGATGGTGCGGTGCGCGGATCTGGAAGTGTTGATGAGTAGACTCTAAAGTTGGGTGTTAGAATCTCCAGTTGGTAGACACAACAAGAAAGAAACAGCGAAGAAATCTTGGAAGTACTCATGATTTATCAGGATGTCAATTCAATATATTCATCTCTTTGAAAGTACATGATACAATCGTTAAAACACTGCTTTTCCCCTCCGAATACAAAAAATATTCACCGAGAACGCCTGGAATGCAGCTGTCGCCAAATCTCCAATATTTCACAGAAGCCGTTTGGGCTGGGTATCTGGGTGCTTTTGAGCAGAGTTTCCTCCGGTATCACAAAAAGCCCTATTTGGCGAACCGAGACAACGCCGGTCCAAGATCGTTCCGCTCTGCCTTGAGTTTCTCCTTATGACGAGCAGCATGCTCCTTGCGCAAAGTCTCAGCCTTGAGACGCTTCTCGTCAATAACATTCTTGCCTCCCTTCTTGCGCAGGTACTTGCGCAAAGCACTGTTGCGACCACGACCACGGTTCTTGATCTTGTCCATAGTATCTTCGGGCTTCTGATCCGGGTTGCGCTGCTGCTGGTACTTTTGGTCGCTGACCGTATCGAGCTTTCCAATGACATTGGGATCCAGCGAAATCATATCCGGCTGCAACTTGGTGAGCAGCGCGTGGACTTCTTGCTCTTGGCGCTGGCGCACGTTCTCGTACGGGTTGGCTTCCAATGAATCGAAGTTGGGTTCTCCGGCGCCAGGAACGATGACACTGGCGAATCCTTGGTCGTGGCCAACACCAAGGATATCTTCGTACGGGCACCAGCGCACGTTCTCGATACGCTGGCCATCCCCACCCCACGCCATGTAGGGGCTTTGCACCTTGCCTACATCGGCGGCAGCGGCGTCGAACAGGCCTCGCCATACGCTCATCTGGGTGCCCCAGCCGACTGCGGTCAGACCGCGGTCACTGATGGATACTGATGCTCCGGGTTGGTAGCAAGAATATTTGTGCACTTCACGATACATGCGGATATCCCACACGCTCATTTTCTGATCTTGGCCGGTGGAGACCATGTAACGGCCCTGTCGATCCATTGCCATTGATCGAACGGGTCCCTGGTGCACAAGTGCCTTCACGAGAGGAGTCTGAGAGTTAGGAGACCACAGAGTCACGGTTCCGTTTTGGTGTCCCACGTGGAGGATGGCATTCCACGGGTTCTGGGCGAGAGCAGTGGGCTTGCCCAGACGAGTAGGAAGCTCAGCGACGATTTGACCGGTCGAGGTGTCGGTATATTTGAGATGGCCGCTCATTTGCTATAGAAAATTGGTCAGCCAGAGACTCCACAATCCACAATCGAAATGTACTCACAGCGCTTGCAAGAAGGAAGTGGTATGGCAGGAACTCCAGGAAAAGAGGCTCCAGGTGCTTGCTCAAACAGTGCAATTCAGTACCCTGGTGGTCGTAAATATAAGTGTGCTTCTTCTGTGCAACAGCGAAGAATTGATTGTTATGCAACCAGCGGGCATCCCGCACGGTTTCATTCAATTGCAACTCGCAGCCCAGCTTTCCCTCGCGCCAGTCCATAGTGGCAACATGTCCCTTCCGTCCCGCCAGCAACAGATCGCGACCGTTCCGAGTGTAGTCCATACGATAGGGGCCCATGTCCGGGAGCTTCAGTTCGAATCCCTTCTTCGCAGTTTCGATTCCAACGCTTTCCTGAATCTCATCTTGGCGAACCTTGTATGTCTTCTCAAGTTCGCCCTCAGGCTCAAGGAAACCTTCGGTGTGCTCAAGCAAAATTTCGGCGTCCTTGGCCTGGAGGACGGCCTCCTTGTGTTTGAATTCCTGTCGCTTCAGGTTCGCGCGAAGCTTCTTGTCCCGGGCACTCTTTGCATTGACACCTTGGCCTCGTCCGTAGATTTGCTCAGCTTCTTGGAGCCTTAACTTGGCTGCACTGTCATCGGTGGCGACGGCCATCTTGGAGGTTGGACCGGCCATTTTTGGGGCGGATGTCTTCTTGATCGTGAAGAGATAGCGGAGACTTGATGAAAAAAAAGTTGTTTTGCCCAAAATTTCGCCAAGGCCGGCGCTCACCGCTCGCTTATCCTCCACTCGCGAATTTTTGTTTTCTTATCGCCTTTTTCTTTTTCTGCAGAGGCCCTTTCGATCTTTTTTTTTGTGTACTTTCGTGGTATAAATCGAGTCGGCTTGATCTTCGCCGAGTAACTCCAGATACTTTTCAATCTGGCCTCCATTCCTTTCCGTTTCAAAGGGTCTAACGCCAATATGGCGCCTGCCCAGACGGTGCACCACCACCGCTCCACCACCAAGGTTTCCCACAAGCCCTACAAGAGCAAGCATGCCTCCAAGAGCGCCTTGAAAGATCAGGCTAAAGGTATGAATTTCAATGTAATTTGTTCATCTCAAGGCACATTTTTTTGATTTCCGTATCACAACAGGCAAAATCGAAGGTGATGAGCGGGGCGGTCGTAAAACACCCCACCAACAGCTTAAGACGAAACTCGATCGCCGAAACACCGCCCGCCAAAGACAGGCACTGAAGCACCAGGAAAGGTCTCAGGCTACCAGCATCTTCGCGGGTCAGAATGGCGCACCTCGCCATGTCGCAATCCTGCCTCTGTCCCCCGATATTGACGCCGCCGCCGCCATTGGCTCTATTAACGAGAGCGTTGACATCCTGACTGATGTTTCGCCCGAAGGACCTACTCGTGTGCGCATTGAGCGATTCCGCCAGAGCGTCCAATATCTGCCCGCCAAGTACGATGTGATGAGTGCGCTGGATGTGTGCCGTATGGCCGATTTCGTCGTCTTGGTTCTGTCCTCCGAAGTTGAGGTTGATGAGCAGGGAGAGATGCTGTTGCGATCTATTCAAAGCCAAGGTATCTCAAATGTTCTGGCTGTCGTGCAGGGTCTGGACAAAATCAGCCCGCCCAAGAAGCGTCCCCAGGTCGCCGCCTCTTTGAAGTCTTTTATCAACTACTTCTTCCCAAATATCGAAAAGGTGATGTCCCTCGACTCGCGACAGGAATCCTCCAACGCCATCCGATCTATCTGTACTGCCACCCCCAAGGGTATTCACTGGCGTGATGATCGCAGCTGGATGTTCGTTGAGGATGTCAAATTCCCCGAATCTACCTTGGAAGTGGTCGACGATGTCGTCGTCACTGGAGTTGTCCGTGGAAAGGGTTTGAAGGCGGATCGCATTGTCCACCTCCCGGGCTGGGGTGACTTCCAGATTGACTCGATCACAGCTGCGCCACTAGCCACAAAGGCTAAGCGTGACGATGCCATGAACGTCGACACCAATGAAAGTGTACAGATTTTGGATACCCCGACATCCGACCAGGATGACATGGCTGTTGTTGCCCCCGAAGAAATCGAGATGATGGACGACGACATGGTATCCATGGCCGAGACTGAGAAGAAGGGTGTCCTTCTGGATGATTACCACTACTTCTCTGATGACGATTCCCACATTCCCCCCGTACCCAAGAAGCTTCCCAAGGGTACCTCAAAATACCAGTCCGCTTGGTATCTCGAGGATGTTTCCGACTCTGGATCGGACTTGGAGGACGACGATGAACCTATGGAGATGGACACCGCCGGAGCACCCGAGGATGGGGTGTTCCCCGACCACCAAGATGCCATGACCGAAGGTGGCCCTTCAGAATACCCACAATCAGAGATGTTCCTAGACCCATCCCCAGAGGATGAGGCCCAGGAATTGGCTGCATACCGCGAAAGCCGCAAGACGGAAGCTGAAGAGGACTTGGAGTTCCCCGACGAGATCGAATTGCACCCTAACGTTCTCGCCAGAGAGCGTCTTGCCCGTTATCGTGGACTGAAGAACCTTAAGCTCAGCAACTGGGAAACCTCCGAGGATCGTCCCTATGAGCCAGAGGACTGGCGCCGTCTCTTGCAGTTCGCTGATCACAGGGGCTCCAAGAACCGCATCATCAGAGAGGCTCTGGTTGGTGGTGTGAACGCTGGCACCCGTGTGGATGTCCACCTCCGCGCCGTGCCCTCCATCCTGCGCAACGGTCCCAAGCCTCTTGCGCTCTTCTCTCTTCTCCGTCACGAGCACAAGCACACTGTGGTCAATGTTAGCATGACCCTCAACTCCACTGTGGAGAAGCCACTCAAGGCCAAGGAGCAACTCATCGTCCAGTGCGGTGCTCGTCGCGTGGTCGTCAACCCCATCTTCTCCTCTGCAGACAACACCCCCAACAACGTACACAAGTACGACCGATTCCTTCACCCCGGCCGTAGTGCCATTGCATCCTGGATTGGACCCATGACCTGGGGTTCCGTCCCCATTCTCATCTTCAGGAACAAGCAAGCTGATACCGAGGATGACGACGAAGAGATGGAAACTGATGCCAAGGAGGAGCCAATCAACACAGATGATTTGGAGCTCATCGGTACCGGTACCGTTGTTGCCCCCGATCAGAAGCGCGTTGTTGCCAAGCGCGCCATTCTCACAGGTCACCCCTACAAGATCCACAAGAAGGTCGTTACCATCCGGTACATGTTCTTCAACGCCGAGGATATCCAATGGTTCAAGGCCCTCCAATTGTGGACTCGCCGTGGCCGCAGTGGATACTTCAAGGAGAGTCTGGGTACACATGGTTACTTCAAGGCCACCTTCGACGCCAAGATCAACCCGCAAGACTCTGTTGGTGTCAGTTTGTATAAGCGTGTCTTCCCTCGCAAGGCTCGGGCTTTGGATTCGATTGCTGCTTAAGCGGTGCTGGTGTGGATGATATGATACCATTTGACTGATTTGATTGCACGATCATGAGGGTAGCTCTGTTGGAGTTTACCAAAAAGTACATATAGACCCGAGACATCTTAAAATGATGAATTACGAATCTTTTGCGCTTCATACCGTCCCTCCCTGTAGATATTGTACTTAAGTACTAGCCATGACTCGCGGAATGGCTCAACCCAAATTGATATTTCTAGGAGAGAATCCATGAATATTTATGAATCACTGAAGAATGAGCCCCAAAAGCAACCTCGGAAAGCCTGCTCACTTACTTAAGTACACACAACATGGCTAACTCCGCAAGGAATGTGAGGTTGATTCATTTCCAAATCATATAAGGTTCAAACCAGATAATAACAACAAAAAAAACAAAACACTGCAGGGTCAACATGCTCTAGACATGATGGGGAATCACTGAAGAAATCAATCGTCGTTTACGAAAAGTCCTCCTCAGCCTCCTCGATGTTATTCTTGACCCGCAGAAGCAGAGTAGTCTTCCACTTGTCCAGTTTGCTGAGTTGATCATACTGGAACAGTTTCTCAGCAAAGGCCTCCTGGTCGCCTTCCTCAACCGCTTGAGTCAAGTCCACGAGAAGCTGGTGCTCCCGCATTGACGCAAAGCTAGGGTCGATCTCCCGGTATGATTCCAAAGCACGATTGGTCTCGACCAAGTCCTGATTTGAATGGGTTAATATGTCACCGCCGGAAACAAAGATAGAAGCCCACATACCTTGGTAGCAAGATGGCAGATGCCTGCCTTCAACAAATAATCCTTTACGCTCCATCGCATCAGGTTGTTGTTAATAGAAGACCGACCGATACGCTCGTAGTAAGTGATGGCCTTGTAGTAGTCGTTCTCCAGAGCAGCCAGGTCTGCAACCTTGAGGAAGTGCTTGTTTGCAAGGCTAGATGCGAAAATGTTAACTTGTGCTCCAATAAAATCTGATCAAGGAACGATAGAATCTTACGCTTCAGCATTGTCGCCCTCGAACCATTCGGCAGCCTTCTCATATGCCTCAAGCGCCTTCTTCATATCTCCAAGCTCCACCTCATACACCTCGGCCAGATATTGTTGCTGGGTCGCCGCACGGCGCAGGTTTCCTCGTAACACGTAGTGCTGAATAGCACTAGAAAGGACTCGAGCAGCATCTTCGGGGTCTGACTTGCGGTACACCTTGAATGCTTCCTGGAGGGTATTGGCGGCGTCATCAGGCTCGTTCAGGCTCTGGGTTTGGATGGAAGCAGCTTTTTCAAAGGCCTGGCCAGCCTCCTTGTCTATTCATCGCCACGCATCAGTCAAGTTCAGGCACATGCGGCGGGGTAGCTCACTCATTTTCTGTACTCGGAAGGCATTTGCGGCCTGGGTATAGAGATCTGCGGCGTTCTCATACTTTTCTGTTCTACCTCCAAACCAGCTAAAACCACCTGAGGCGCCGGAGAGTGCTTTGTCGGCCTAGTCCATCCCAACAAGTCACATTGGTCAGTTATCCGGGGTATCGTCATACTGCTGTCAAGATGGAAAAGCCTGCAGGCATACCTTTTGAAGGAGGACGCGGGGATCTTGAGTCATCTTTGGTGTTATCTGTGTTTCCTGCCGAAGAAAGGAGCAGTGGATATGCGATGTGAAGCAGTGTGGCTAAACGTGCTATCGATGAGAGCATGGATCGGCGGGCCCGTGGAGGCGGTGTCCTTTATTTTTCGGTCTCCGCCTAAGCTCCTTTTAGTGTTGACCTGCATTGCTGCACTATTTTTGGGACCTCTTCTTTCGCGCTGCAACTGTCTTGGCTACCGTGTTTGTCTACCATTTGCAGAGTCATCCGCACTGAGACCGTATCTCCCATCTTGGTTTTAGAGAGTTCCCTCAGTCCACACCTTGCACAATGCCCTCTCTTCGTTCCGGTGCGCGACTATTTCAGTCACTGCGCACGAGTCCGTCCCAATTGAACACGACATTATCTCGCCGTTTTTCCGACAAGTCTGATTTAGCAGACATTTCCTCTATGATTGGTGCGCCAAACTGGTCTGTCAAGTCGCTGCTACCGAACCCGGCATCAAAGCCACCTCCATCAATCACACCGAAGGAACTCCACCATCTACTGCGCATCTCAGCCCTTCCCCAGCCCGCTAGCCCAGAGGAGGAGCAGTCAATGCTCGATACACTGGAGTCTCAAATTCATTTTGTCAAGGAGATCCAGCTTGTCGATACCACCGGCGTGGAACCACTTCCGAGAATTCGTGATGAAACTTCCGACGCAGTGAAGGAACATACAATTGGGGTCGAGCAACTTAAAGAGTACCTGGCCAAGGAACATACGTCTGGGCGACGAGGCAAAATCCAACGTATCGTAGGTGTCAAGAATGATCGCCCGGATGGGGAAGCATGGGATGGAAACGCACTCAAATCCGCCACCAAAACGAAAGGGAAATACTTCACGGTGGAAATAGGCAACTAAGTCACCAAGTCAATGAGTAGTCCAGGCCCCAGTCTCTCCAGATGTCCTCTGATACCTGTCTGGGCAAACGACTTGTGCCTGAGGCAGAGATAGAATGAGTCAGCTGGCCCCAAAATTGGAGCCTCAGCTATGACAGCATCGCCCCTCCAAACATTAGCGACCTCAGCCTGTTTCTTGAACATCATCCCCTTAAACCCAGCCATGTTCAAAAATCTCAAGGAAAAACATGCATCGTTGTTTGAATCAAAACAACCTAATGCATCTACATCGGAAAGCGACAGAGGTCAGGATCTTTCATCGATCTTAGACAGATCGCAGCGTGGAGACCTGACCGTCCTTGTGGCCGAAACCGCCGAGTCAATGCGAGTGAGAATTCTTGAACTGTTCGAAAACAACAAGGATTCATCTCCCGACCGCGTCTCTCCGCAGCCATCTCCGCAAAAAGACCCCCATGGGGATCAAGAGGAAGATTCCCCACAGTTGCCCCCAAGGCCACAGCGCAAGCCTGTCCCAGGCGAAGCTGCGAGGAAGCAATCGGAATCTCCCAACAAGCCATTGAATCCCCAATCCCGAGTTACCGTGCTTTCTACGTTTGAGAATTGGAGAGACTCGGTTCTGCTTCGTGTTGGTGAAGTCGTCAATCAAGATAACGATGACCAGCCGGATCAAAAGGGTCAATCTGAATTGCAAAAGGCCGCTCAGTCTGATGATCTTCCCTTGGATGAGGATGAAGATAGATTGAAGAAATTGCAAGAAATCTATCACCCCATTGAAACGCCGCTGGTTCATCTTCCCAAAGCAACACGACTACTGATTCTTCATTCCTTACTGCTTTTGCTGCTCAGTCTAGAGCACTACAGTGCTTACTCGCGAGTATTGATGTTGAATGTTGCATCCAGCCTGAACATAGATATCAATATTCTTAATCAGGATGAAGTGAAGGTTGCTCGTGGCTTGCTGGCGACTGCACTCGCCCTGTCAGCTGATAAAAGCACCGAGGAAAAGCCGAAGAAGAACGACGACATGCGTAAATGGAAGGTCGGCATTGCCTCCGTAGCTGGAGCCGCATTAATCGGTCTGACGGGTGGCCTGGCTGCTCCACTGGTAGCCGCTGGCCTGGGGACAGTGCTGGGTGGAGTGGGTCTCGGTGCCACGGCTGCGGCTGGTCTCTTGGGAACACTGGCTGGAAGCAGTGTTGTTGTTGGTGGGCTCTTCGGTGCTTACGGCGGACGCATGACTGGTCGCATGATGGACAAGTACGCCCGCGAAGTGGACGACTTTGCATTCATCCCTGTTCGTGGTGAACGCAAACGAAACCAAAAGGACAAAGAATCCGCCGAGCAGGATCATCGACTGCGAGTCACTATCGGTATCACGGGCTGGGTCAAGGAGGAATCGAACTTTGTGGTCCCGTGGAGAGTGATCGGTGCCGACTCGGAGGTCTTCGCTCTTCGTTGGGAAATGGAACCTCTCATGAATCTGGGAAATGCCATCTCTGCGCTCGTCACCAGCGCGGCGTGGTCGGTTGCCGGTCGTGAGGTCCTGGCTCGTACCGTGTTCTCCACACTCATGAGTGCTGTCATGCTTCCCCTCGGCTTGATGAAGGTTGCAGGCGTGGTCGATAACCCTTTCAGCGTGGCCAAGTCGCGCGCCGACAAGGCGGGTGAAGTACTCGCGGATGCTCTGATCAACAAGGCTCAGGGTGAACGACCCGTGACCTTGATAGGGTACTCACTCGGATCCCGACTCATCTTTTCTTGTCTGCAAAGTCTCGAGAAGAAGAACGCGTACGGGCTCGTTGAGTCTGTTATTCTGATGGGATCACCAACACCCTCGAACACAGAACACTGGCAAAAGATCCGGAGCGTCGTGAGCGGACGGGCCGTGAACGTATATTCAGAGAACGACTCAGTCTTGGCCTTCCTTTACCGCACCAGTAGCATGCAACTTGGTGTTGCTGGCCTGCAAGCGGTGGAAGGTGTCCCAGGCATCGAAAATCTCAACGTCAGCGAGATGATCAGCGGTCACTTGCGATACCAGTACCTGCTTGGAAAGATTCTTACATTGACCGGGCTGCAGGATCTCGATGCCGGTGAGATTGAGCGCGAAGAGGCTGCCCTGGCGGTCGAGGATAAGAAGGAGGAGAAGGAACGGTTGAAGAACCAGGAAGATGCCGGCGTCAAAGACCCCGAGTCTGCCGCAGCCCAGGAGACGGTGAATAGCAAGGAAGGCTTTGGCGAGGATACCCGTTTGCAGAAGCAGGTTGAGGTGCAGACCCAGGAAAACATGGCCAGTCACCGGATTGAGATGCTTGATCTGGATGATGATGACTACTCGACGCCTTTGAAGGATGATCCTTCCAAACATTCTGCTCTCTAGTTCTGGGACCTACTCATATTATCTACATACGGTTCAAAAATACTACGTGACAACTCTTGAATCACTGCTCCGTACTTCCAGTGCTCATTAATCTGCTGTGTGGGTGTTGTATCTGCAACTCGGCCTCAAAGTCCACCCAGGTGGGCTTCGAGGATTAAGACGAAGAACCGCCCATGACCTTAGGTCGGAATCATTGTCCAATAAACAAGATAAAAAAATGGAGTTCCATTTGACATAAACCAAGTTTTGATGATCGCTATTAGTTTTGAAAATCTAAGAATTGGCAACATGCACAACGATCTTGCCTCTCGCTCTTCCAGAGCGGAGCTTCTCAAACGCCTTCACAGTGTCCTGGAATTCAAAAGTAGAGTCCAGCTGGATTTTCACAGCTCCAGTCTTAACCATCTCACCAACCTTCACCAGATCTTCCTTGGTATTTTTGAAGAAGAAAATCACATACTTTCTCCTGCCACCACCCAAGAAACCCGGCACCACCAATCTCTCCGCAAAGGTAGCCATAGCCGAGGCCCCAACCTGCACAAACGCCTTGCCAGGCTTCAAAAACGCATTGGACTCGCGGTACAGCGGCGCCGGAACTCCAATATGATCAACGACATGATCAAATGTCTCCCCGTCCTTCAATTTTGCAACAACGTCCTCGGCAGAGTAATCAATCACCACATCTGCCCCAATGCCACGGACGAAATCCACATTCCGCGTCGAACAAGTAGTCGTAACATGACACCCGAGTTCCTTAGCAATCTGGATCGCGAAAATCCCACACCCCCCAGACCCACCATTGATAAAAACACGATCCCCGGCATTCACGTACCCAGCCAGACTTTGGTACGCCGTCTGTCCGGCAATACCAATAGCAGCGGCATGATCAACCTCGACACCCTCCGGCACGGGCGCAAGGAAATTAGCAGAGACCACCAGGTATTCGCCCAAAGAGCCGTACCGAGAAGGTCTGCTCAGACACCCGTAGACGAGTTGACCTGGCATGAATGGTCCACTGCTGATGACTTCGCCGCAGAAATCCATGCCTGGGATGGCGGGGGTGCCGATCACGAGTTTCTGGGCTACCATGCCCATCTCGGGAACTTTGTAGTCTGCTGGGTTGAGGGAGGCGGAGAGGACTTTGACGAGGACTTCATCACCTGAGACTTTGGGGGTGCTTGCTGAGGTGTCGAAGGTGAGGTTTTTCTCTAGTCCATTTGTTGTGCCGGAATATATCCAGGCTTTCATAGTGGATTGGGCCATTTGGGGGTTTTGGGGGGTTGTTGATGGTGGATGTTTTGGGAGCCGGGGTTAGAGTGAGGTTGACGCGCGCAATGACCTCAGGGCAGCATTGTGGTTATTGGCCACCACGCTCGAAATGCCACAGTATTTTGGATCTGCTGGCTAGTCGGGAGATAAAATAAGAGATATTAGGGATTTAAGAATTGTCCTCATGGAAGAAAAAAGCAAAACATTACAGTGGACTACGGTGCTGCGCACACTGATGTGCGAAAAACGCATGTGTTTACAAGCGGTGATTGTGACTTGCATCAACGACGCTGGCTCCAGTCCGATGTGAAGTCATCAGGAGGATCTCATTATTACGGGAGATTGCAAGGTACTTGGATCTGAAGCAAGATGGCAGGCTGACCAGCCAGGTCAAACTGTACCGGACCGACTCATCCGGACTACAGACATTTCAGGTTGGAGCCTGTTGAGTCACAGAACATCAAATTAAGATCCAGGATCTGAGAAGCATGGGTTGATCTGATCAATGGGTAGGTGCACTACAAGGCCGAGAGATATCAACCGAAGCTGAGAGACTAGCTAGACTGATCGGAAAATGTGTAGTTGAGTGTCTGCGCAACTGTGGCTCTGTCGGCATTTAATAGCAAGATATTTAAGATATGTACAAGGTAGTTGGAGGAGACATGGCAAGATTATGAACAATAAAACGAAAAAGATGAATGTCTTCTGACTTGATCCTAGCCTAGCAGAGAGGAAGTAGAAGCCCAAGGGCAGCCATCCAATCCGCTTAGGTAGCCAGAAATGATAAGTTTGATCTGCGATCGACGGACCCGCTTCAAGAGTGTATGAGAGCAACTCTGAAACGATCTCCAGATCGGAGTCTTGAAGTTGATCCAAGACAGCCCATGCCAAGACACCTTTCTCCCAATCAATCTATGGGCGGCTCCGACGATCGTAAGCCAAGTTTCAGCGTGCCGGAGCAGCGTCGACTTTAGCGGCCGTTGGTTCACTCGTCTGGTCCGCAAGCGTCCCAAACTAAAAGCGTGAATCCCGATCCTCTAGCCAGCTCCCATGATCGCACCATGTTGAATGGATTCTTGTTCCTAGAAGGTGTCAAGGCTCCCCCCACGACCAAGACGCACCTGAGAAATGGTCAAAACAGGAACAGGGATAAATGGAGGGAACTCACGTTGAGGTTCTACCTTGGCCAGCCCGGAAAGCCTTGGGGAGGATTTAAAGAAGAAGAAGAAGTCGAAGAAGAATGAGCTCTGGAGAGGATGAAGAAGAAGAAAGAGAAGAGAGAGAAGAAAGTGGGGAGGAGGGTATTTATACCTGCAGGGGAAGAGGAAAACGAAAAAAGAAAGAGAGCAAGTGGGAAAAAAAGGAAGGAGCTACCAAGAGAGAGAGCTACCCTAGTACGCAGAAGGGTCGACTCTGCTACCTGGTATGGCGCTGCAGCTGTGCCATATCAATGCCAGGTCGAGTAGGTCCGTCTAACCACGCCTGGAGGATACAATGACTGATCCACCAATTGATCTACTCTATGACTATTCCTTTGACGTATCTCAGATCAGTTTCTGTTTACGCTCAGCCCAAACATACAAGCTGATATCATTTAAAAACTAGATCTAAACACCAGCACTAAAATGCATTCAACCCCAAAGTTACTTGCATCGTTACTTGGTAATGCTCATGGATAGGTTCATTGAATCCGTACTGTGTGTGTAACCATATTTGTTAGACGAATAGACCCCAAAATCTTGTAGTTTAAACCCGAAGACTGAAGTACAAACATATCTACTTCTTCAAGAAGGTCAAAGCTCCAAGCGCCATAGCGTCAATGCCTGTTTTCAAAGTTGGCTGAAGAACCGGAGCAAAGAATGGCGAATGGTTCCCAGGTAATTGTTGCAGAGTTCCCTTGGATTCGGCATCATCCCAAACCTTCTCATCCACTCCACCAAACATCCACATAACATACGGTGCCCCAACAGCAGTCGCCAGCAAAGAAAAGTCCTCGCTAGCAGCAGGCGGTTCTAGCTTCACAAGATCCTTTCCAAAGTACGGGCCAAAGGTCTCACGAAGAGAATCAATTGTCCTTCCATCATTGACAGTCGATGGAGTCGAGAAAGTCCGCTTAATATCCGGACTCTGCTCCACACCAGCAGCCGCACACTCCGCCTTGATGATGCGATGAACAGCAGCACAAACCCGCTCACGCACATCCGCATCAAAAGTCCGCACATTGAGCTGCAGATCCAAGTGCGCGGGGATGATGTTCGACGAGCTTCCCGCATGAATACTACCACACGTCACAACAGCAAGCTTACCAGGCGTGACCTCCCGCGAGACAATGGACTGCAACTTCGTGACGATCGACGCTCCGATAACGATCGGGTCAATCGTTGTCTGAGGCGCTGATCCGTGTCCTCCACGCCCGTACACGCGCACATCGTACGCGTCTGCAGCTGTGAGGAGCGGACCGGCACGCAGGTTGACGGACCCTGCTCGCATGCAAATCACATGCTGTGCGAGGACGATGTCCGGCTTGGGGATCTTGTCGTATAGTCCGTCGTCCAGCATGGCCTGGGCGCCGTCGAGATGCTCTTCCGCCGGCTGGAAGACACAGAGTAGTGTTCCGGACCAGTGCTCGCGGGCGCGTTGCAGGAGCGTTGAAGCGGCCATGAGTGATGTGGTGTGGAAATCGTGCCCGCAGGCGTGCATGACTGGTTTGGGGCCGGATACGCCTTTGACTTCCTTCTTGCTGGCGTAGGGGAGGTTCGTTTGTTCTTTTACGGGGAGGGCATCCATGTCCGCCCGGACGAGAATGGTGGGGCCACTTCCATTGCGGAGGATGCCTGCTACGCCGTGGCCACCGATTTTCGTGATGACTTCAAATCCGAGAGATTTGAGGTGGTCGGATGCTATCTTGGCCGTTTGTTCTTCCTGGCCGGATAGCTCTGGGTTGGCGTGGATGTTGCGATACACATCTTCAAATTCTCCGATCTCTGGGCGGTAGCGATCGATGATCTCGCCCAGCTTGGATTGTTCTGGATTCATAGTGAGTATGTGGAGATGGATGCTCGATATGAGTCGTACCTGGCAATTGCATGTTAATGGCGGGGGGAAAGGATTAAAGGATCCAATTCCTTACGTCAAGTCCACTTTATACCCGAGTTTACTGTGAATGACGGGCCACAATAAGTTCCGCTCTAAAGAGATCTGGTTGCCGAAGATGGGATCCGGATAGGCGACAGGCGATGGTCGGCAATCTCTCGAATCAATTCCACTTTCCCCTCACTCCGCTTGTGTTCTGCCCGCAATTTCGAAAATCCTACACATTACTTGTTGTTGGCAGTGGGCCTTGATTTTGGCTTTATTGTTTCTTTTAGTCGCAAAAATCGGAAATATTGCGGGAACGTGGGGTAATGTAACACCACTTAAATATGTTTATGGATATTTATCTGGGAAAATGACATTCAATAAAAGCGTCTATATTGTTTCCTCGACATCCACCTTAAACACACCATTATCTCGTGATAAGTGAGGATTACTCGAAAGATTGAATGAACTTTAGAACCACTTGAGCACTTGCAGAACAACAAGTTTCATCTCTGCCAGGTACTTAAGTAGCCGATCAAGCACCTAAGCCTGAAGTAAACAGGGATCCTATAATTACAGTGTCAAGCTATGCCAAGGTTAGCAAGTTCACTTAAATTCAGCCATTGCCAAGAGACCATTCATCTCCGGGGCCTACCCATCAGTGAGTAGGTATAATACTGCAACTCTAGCGTAGATTCTTATACTTACAAGACACAGCGACGCACAGCCGAGATGATCTACTTACAATACTTAAGTATATGTACCTGATTTGGATTATGACTGCATGAACACAGCCTTAGTTACACAGCATCAAATTGGAATTCAAGTACAACGTGGGCTTACTAACTGTGCGTATTTCCTGCATTGTTAATCAATGTGAATGCATGAATCATGCCATAGCTACAAGGTTCAGGAGGTTGGCCACTGCTCATTTCCACTTGAATGGCTGCCGTAGTTGAGCCTGGCCACTTGCAGTGATGTCTACTCAATCAGCAGACACCAGGGGTTCTAAAGTTGAGCCGAATCAAATAACTTCTCAGTATTCAGCCAAGGCGAGTTGATAGGCTTCAAAGCGCAATCGGAAAAAAAAGCCGCAAGGAATCCCAGGTCATGCTTTCAGAGCTCATAGGTCTCCAATACTCGAACCTTGAATGCAGTACTACTTAAGTATGCGTAGTCCAGCCAAATAGCCAGCAAGGCAGACTACAGCTCTCTGTTACCAAGCACACTACATACATGATTTGATATGATGACTATAGTCAATATAATTTACTCAGATAGGAAAGATAGCTGCATGGCACGGTGGCGATTAGAGGATACAGTTTCCACCGACCAAACCCCCAGGCAGCAGACCCCCCGATGGAGCTGGGATACCGAAAATCATCGTCTCACTGTATGTCTCACTTCAAGCACGTTCAGTCGGCAGTTTCTCCCCGAAGCCCGGGTTCGCAAATTCTTGCACGTTTGTGTGAGGATGGGACCCGGGCTCTGCCGCGATCTGTGCAACGCCCTGGGGTAACCAGACCCTTAATTTTACATGGAAACTAAAAGGTACCGGAGTGTCAGCATTGGTGTGTAATTTAATGCAGTAAAGAGTGACAAGACCAGTCCAATGGTGTATAGATTCTGTATCAGTGTCTGTGGCGGAGGTATATGTCATCGTAGCACCCGGGTGCACAATATTCTTCAGGAAGTTTCTTTTCAACCAAGGTCAGCGAACGAATGATAGGGAACCTGGCAGAATTGTAACCCATACAATGTCAATCGAAGCCTACGCTATACCTGACTGAATGATCCATACCCAGCTGAGGACGAAACTTTACTTGACAAGGCGTTCTCTGCCTTGCGCTCGGACCCACACTCCGTCAATCTCATGTTTCTGACTCTTGAGGAATCCTGTGTCTGTTATCTACAGGTATGTCGGTTGACATTGCGTGCATGACACCCGACCAAAAATTGAAGTCTGTTGGTTTGCCGGGAGGTTCCCAAGCAACGGCCCCACTTTCGGGCCCCTTAGCCACTCAAATCGTCCAGGTCCATGGGTGGAGTATGGGCAGCGGAATTTTCTGTTTTCAGCAAAAAAAGAAATCTTAAAGACCATGTTGGTGTTTTAGGAAGAGCCGAACGCGGGGGTCGAACCCGCAGCCTTAAGATTAAGAGTCTTACGCTCTACCGATTGAGCTAGCCCGGCGAAAGGCTGTTAAAGATTGTCAGAAAAATAGTGCTTCATAAAGGGAAGGCACTGGGTGTTCGTTGGGGCACCTGTCAAAGTGTCGAAGTGGAGGATGCGGCTCTGATTTGGCGGGAATAAGAGATCGCGGTGGAAGACGGTCCGGGCGTGTGGTGAAACCAGAGCCAAAAAGGCCGATCTGGTCCCTTGGAGTCAATGCCCGTCATTCGGGGGGTCGGACCCCCCAGGCACAGGGACACGGACATTGATGCCTGGGAGGCAGCAAGTGAAGGTGTCGAGAACAGACACCTATGGCGCGACAAGCGACGCATGTCATAACATGAGTGATGGGAAAGAAGATATTATGCAAGATGGGAACCCCTGAGTGCCGACGATGCAGGAGGGGCGGTAGGACAGGGAAGTAAGCAGCTAACGGCATCTGGAGAAGAATACTTACATCAGTGGCTGGTGTCTCGAATCAAGAATCCATGATAGCACCATTGTGGCTGGGGCGAAGCAGAGGGTCTGGATGAGGAATAAACCGGACAATAAACACCCAGTGAGAGGGTATACGGGGTGTGGCTTGAGGCTGAGAGGGGAAATTGAGGCTAGTAAGCACCAGAGCGTGGGGTCCGAAAAAACAATCCGAGTCTGCACTATTCTTAGTCTTAGCGTGTCGAATGCGAAACGCGAATCTTTAATTTTGGAACAAGAGAACAATGCTCGATGTTTTGAGGAACCGTTTGGGAGGCTCAAGTGTCTCGGTTGACGCTTGTTGTCAAGCAGCGGTTGCGGGGGCCTATGAGCGTGGAAATCCGGACGGACGCTACTCCATAGGGATCAAACGTTTGAGAAATCGAGTGGTCCTGATTGAATCCTGAGATAGTTCCTAAAATGGCTTCTAATGACGTGAACCTGAGGCCTATGTATGGAGTACGCACGAGACACAAGCCACAGGAACTCCGTATGAAGTAATACGGATACCAGGTAAGATATTGATGTCATGGGAATAAGGCTCGCGAAGAAAATGGAGTTCGGGGAGACCAAAAGGGAAAGGTGTGAAGAGAGAGAGAGGATGTTTGACCGTCTTTCAGGGGATTAGGGCCAATCACAGGGTCGGGAGAGGACGAGGTCGGCGGTGTTTGAATGTGTGCACCGCCTCAGGCTTTGTACCAATTTAGTACTTGCGTCTGGGGCTTACTTACAGTGGGGCACCGTGTAGCCGCTAAGTACTGCAGATCATGGTATTCCAGGCTCCAGGGCTCCTATGCTACTATGGCTTGCATACATCTATATAATTGACTATCCCCCCCTTCAAATGGGTCTTCATTCTATTCTCTAATCAACATTCCAAATCAAAGTCACACTTCCAGATCTAATCAGCTTTCAGCTTCAATCATCTACATACGGTGATCATCTATCTCCCTCGTGACCCTTCATAAATCAGTCACCGTGTCGCCCTTCCGCTCAACCTCGTACATCGTGGACCCCTCCAACCTGACTATTTCACGAGAGACCCCCAACTCCAGACCCTTGACACGACGTCTCCTCGGGCTCCGTCGAACAAACACTATGCCTGCCCCAATTGAGATAACCGATCCTCTTGCCATGTCGCGCGATCTTTACGACGATGAGAAGCTCGTCGTTGACGACTTCGAGCGTCACGCAGGCCACTGCACTCTATGTGCCAGCCCTACTCAGACTCATAAGAACAACCGTTCCCTCTGTGCTAGAGGGACAAGCTATGCTCGCGCCGTTGCCAACTACCTCGACAGCCGTAACGGCAAGTACTTCTCTGCGGTAGACTACGAGAGCGGCCGATCCACCCGCATCAAGCTCCCTCGTGACGCTTTCGCTGTCCGCGACCTCCTCACTGCCCTAGAGCAGGGCCTGCGTATTCGCGATAAGCCCGTCATCGTCCAGCCTGTCCAGCCTGTCCAGCCTGTCCAGCCCACCGTCAGCTACGACCGTACCTACCCCATTCCCGCAAGAGGAGCCAGCAATCTTCGCCCTCGCTCCATGTCCCCAGACGCATACCAGATTATCGAACGAGCTCCCCGTCTCTCTCGCTCCCCCACCTCCATTATGTACCGCTCCCCCGGTGGCTCTCCCAGCCGTCCAACTTCCAGCCGTGGCTCGCTTTACGACTCCGACTTCCAGGAACGCGGGGAGCGTCGCACAGAGACACCTCGCCGCTATGTCCAGGGTACCCGATACCACCGTTGATCGACTCCCCCTTTTGTGTCTCGATCTATGAACCCACATCCCATTTGAACACGATTCAATTCATTGGCATTGATTGCCAACCACCCACGCCAGTGCGCGACTCCCGCACTGGTATTCACCCATAGTCTTGGATTGAAAGGGCCGCTGGATGCGCCCTCGGAAATTCTGTTTTTTCCCCCCAAACCTATCTCTTGACTCGAGTCCGGGATTCCTATTTTGGAGCCCGAGACCTCTGCTCGTGAGTTGACATTGTCTTGCGTCTCGGCCGCTTATTGGTTTGCTGCTGTCCCCCAGTGTGGGGGATTAGCCAATGGCGGAGACGGAATGTCGGCAGTCTCATGCATCTTCTTGTGTCCTACTGCGCGCTTTATTGGCTGCTTTTCTGTGACTCATTTTTTTATGGGGACTTCCCCATTGTTTTACATGTATGCAGTACTCTCCGTACGATCTGTGTGTTGCTTTTATCCGTTGTACTCTTACTTGGTACCTTTCCTTTGTCTAACTATTATGATCTGCGCCCGGGACAGGGCTGCCCCACGCTCACGGGAAACCGGTGAGGACCCTTAAGGGTCTTATGTTACACGCGTTATGAATCAAATTATATGATGTCTTATTGGATATTTGGAGAGTGATTAAATAAAGAACTAGTGTGACCCCCTCCAGGGCACTTAAATAAGACATCGGGGAGATTCATCACGATGTATAGTCATGTGGGGGTCCTAGGTTGGCTCAGTCGCGACGATCACGGAGCCCGCTCACGCTCTGTGCATCCTCGAATAAATTACCGTTCAGCTGGTTTTACAATTCTATACATGAGTCACTGGGAACTGTGGCTGAGGCTCTGATGTTAAAATGTTAAAATGTCAAAATGTCAAAATTTTCAAATACAAAAACCCAAGTGAAGGTTAGCGTCTTGGTCAACCAAGGGATCTTTGAGGCTCTGTCGGCTCCACCTGAACGCTAAAGAACTTGTACTTGGCGTTGCTGTGACATTTCATATATTTTCAATAGTCTTGCCCTTTCCGTGCTTCACTACTACATCGATTCATGCCCCAGGGAAAAATGCTCAAGGGATTATCGCCAAGAAAGCAACATCAACACATTGCTTGCGTTATGCCCAGGGCCAGCACAACGGACATCCTATGACATCATTGACCCTGCGCTCACAAGTTGGGACAACACCGATGTTTCGAACTACGATCTTGCGATTTGATTGAATTGGTGTGATAGCTCTCCAGTTTTTTGAACCGGAACGCATTGCTCAAAATGGCGTTGTTTTGCCAGATATGAAGAAGTTTGTGATGATAGGCTTTGCTTGTGGCCAGCCTATTCAACTAATCGAAACATCTTTTGAATTTAAGATGCTTGAAAGTACCTACGATGGATGATTCCAGAGCACAGAAGTGTCAGTAATGGAAATTCCTCGAAATTAAGCAAATAAAACAAGGTGATGCAACCAGCAGTGGCCCAGAGCTTCACTCTCGAAGATCGGTGGTATGAAAATAATCGAACAATTGCCTCAAAGAACGAGCCATACTCAACAGACTAGGATGCACTCATGTCAAAGACCATAAACTTGTGATCCCGGGCATCAGTCTTCTCAGGAATCACATTACAATCCTGAACCTCACAGTCCCTGAGGACGGACTCACGACCGATTCTGGCCCGCCGACCGATCACACACCCACTCAACTGAACACGGGCTTCCACAACCGCCCCCTCCATCACTACACACCGAGTGATCCGCGCACCACTGTGAATATGGCACTTCGAATCAATGCAGCTTTCCTTCACTACACAGGTTGATTCGATCACCACATGGTCCCCAATCAAACAATCCTTTTCTGTGACTATGGTCCGTTCCGCGATGAGCTCAGGTGAAGAAATCTTGCGCGCATGTGCAAATGGCGAAGCTGCCGCGCGACCGACTTCTTCGATTGGTGGAAGTTTGGCGAGAAGCAGAGATGTCGCAAGGAGGGTACCGGAGTTATCGACACGACGAATCAGCTGGGCGCCGTGGTGAATGTAGGCTAGGAGCTGTGGGAGATCGGCGGGTGTGGGAGGGGGAGGAAGCTTTTCGGCCTTGAGACTCTTGGGGTCGTGGATGTATTTCGGGGGTGGGGTATTCAAAGCAGATTTGGTGGTGCATAGACGCTGGAGGTCGATCTTCGGGTGGACCCATTTGGCTTCAACGTTGCTCTCGAAGCTGGACTCCTCGAGGGATACGGTATTGTATTGAACCATGCGGGTGAGACCGAGCTTCTCGCCTAGACCATCCTGCCAACTGGACTTGGCCCAGTTTCCGATTAGATCATCACTGATTGATTGGAGTCGTTGCTGACCGCGGACCAGCTCTCTCACCCAGCGTGGAAAGACGTAGAGATGGGCATCTCGGAAATTGGCGAGCAGTCGGATGTGCGCGTGGGTCTTAAGCAATGAGTGCCGAAGGAGAAGGCCCTTCTCTTCCTCCAGTTTCTCTTTCACTGTTGCCACGGGCATTGAAAGCAGCAACCTGCAGAGATTGAATCGAATGGGCGCCGATTGAAGGTCAATTGGCGGTATGACAGTCGCGTCGTCGTGTCTGAGAGGCGCAACAGCCATGAAGTCGGCAGATTCCCCTTTGGCAATGGCATTCCCTGCTTTGTCCACTGTTTGATAATAGACAGCAAGGCCTCCGTATCGGCCTTTCTGTCGTACCTCGATTGTTTTCTTGTCAAACGTGTTAAACGAGTTGCGTCTGTCTTTGCTAGATTTGTTCTTACAAACCACCCCCTGGGTGGCCATCCATGCTTCAATAAGAGACTCCCCAGAGAGATCGCAGATAAGATCACAGGGCAGGAGAACAAAGTCGGTTTTGATGACTCCTTGGACTTCTGGAAGGCGCAACAACTGGGCGGTTCCCATCGTCATATCCAGACCTTTTGGTGCAATGACCGATGGGGTTGGGCTGTGGAAGGATGTGAGATATGGATCGAGTTTCATAGCAGAGTAAACTGCTGGGTATGAGGACGGAGGTGTGATCATAGTGATATCTGGTATTATCAGCTTCAGTCGTTAGACGGAGAGGGTAAAATTACCATAAATGCCCGACCGTCTGCAGAAGTCAATAACATAAAACAACATTGGCCGATTCGCGACTGGAATCAGACACTTTGGGTAATCTTCTGGCTTGGATGTGAATGTGGTAAGTGAAACTCCAGGCCCACACAGAATGAGGGCCTGGAAGCCCAGTGTGAGGGAGGGTGCCATGGCCGTCGAGGTGAACAAATGGAGATGAGAGAGAGAGGTGGAAGAAGAAGTTGGAATGAAGTTGGAGTTGGTGTTCTACTCGAGAAAAGAGAAGGGGAAGGAGTGCGCGTTTTGACTTGGTCTACATCCCATCACTTGGATTCCACCTGCGCAGGTTTCAAAAGACAATTTAATTCAACTGAATACTTTTAAATTGTTTCCTACCCTTCTGATACACAATGGAAGCAAAAGTATTCAGAATATTCGATAGCGACAGTCAGATCTCAATCACAAGAGAGGCGGAAAACAAAAATCGAGAGCACACGCGATATCTCGCAAGTAGGCGACTAGCAGTACTCAACCCAGGCATCGAGGTTCATGTTCTTGATGACAGTAGAGAACTTGTCGGCGCTAGCGGCATTGCAAGCTGAGGTCTTGAGCGAGACCGAAAGAGTGGCTCTAGCTCGAAGCTTGTGATGTCCGTGTCCGTAACGGTGCTTGGGCTTGACATCGGCGGTTTCATTGGCGTCTTCCTTATCGTCCTCGTCTTCTGCGTCTTCTGCGTCTTCTGCATCTTCCGCATCTTCCTCATCTTCATCGTCTTCGTCATCTTCTTCGTCATCTTCATCATCTTCGTCGTCTTCGTCATTAGCATCATCGATGGAGTCAGATGCGTCTGTGGTAGTAGCAGTGGTAGATGTAGCAGTCTTGGAAGAGACGACGGCTGTGGATGTGGCAGTAGCGGAAGCAACAAGACTAGTGGTACCAGCAACGGAGTCAATAGCCTTCACACTGCCGTCAGTCGCAGTATCATCCTCATCATCATCGGCTGTTGAAGTGGAGGTAGCAGTGGCCTTGGAAAAACTGGCAGTGGTGGTGACATCGTCATCAGTGTCCGCGGAAGAAGTAGCACTACCAGAGCTGCTGGACTCGATAGTCTCGTCAGAATATTCAATGTGGAAGACAGGCTTGTTGACCTCCGTGAAAGCAGCGTAGACATCACACTCATTGTACTCGGCACACTGCTCATTCACAGACCATTGCATCTTGTCAATGACCGAGCCAATGATATCGCCGCCATTCTTCAGTCCAATGGACATCCCACGCGAGTGGGACTCAGAAGCCAAGAAATTGAGGAAGTCAATTGAGTCAGCCTCGGTGAGACCGAGTCCATTCTCATTGCCGTACGCATCGATGTTATCCGGGTCCACACCGTCGCAGCCCTTCTCCTTGGCCAAGTCCAAGCGAGCGGTCATGATCGATCGCACGGTGCTGGACTTGATGTTGAGCCAGCGCTCGCCGGGCCACTCGTCGAGGTTGCTACCGAAGTCTGCGGTGTCGAACTTGCTGAAGTCCGGGCGCCAGTCCTCAGACGTGCCGGCGGAGAAGTAGCAGATGACCTTGTGGCCCTTGCCCTTCAGAGTGGAGATTGTCTCGGCAGTGTTGTCGAACATGTCGATGTCCCAAATGTCGGCATCGACCGAGGTGTCTTCGACGGCATCGATCAGCTGGATCTGCCACTTGACACCGGCAGCGGGCTGCCAAATGGCCGCACCGGCGGTGGTGTCGCGCTTGAACATGGTCATCTTGCTCTGACCGGCTCCGTCGGCACGGAGATCAGCCACCAGGGCGATGAAGAAGAGACCCAAAATGCAGGACACCACGGTTTTTCTGTTGGCCACCAGGACCTGCCAGCTCGAGGGTTGGGAGGAATACATCATTTTGGAAAAAATGGGTATTTGAAAGGAATGTATGAATTGAATGATGTTATTGTAAGGAATGGATAGACAACTTGAGTCCAGCAAGTGTCAGAATGTCAGTGAAAGGAGAGACTGAAGGATAGTGATGGAATAGTGGGCATCATGGAGCAGACGATGGATACTTATAGTCCTCGCCATGATGCCAGGGAAAATATAGTATACCCTGCATGAGAATGTTTCATGATCCCAGCATTTCGGAGGTATAAGGCTGCGCAAGATCACGGAAGCGGGGGGTCATCGGACCTGGATCTGGCGAAGCCACTAGTGAAGGCCGTTAGACCAGCCAAGCAAAATCAAACTTGTCACACTGCAGATCCAGTCGCGGAACAGGTCGCAGTGAGAGAGAATGTAGGTACGTCAGGCCAGAAGAGATGATGAAACCACTGCCAAGAGCGCCTCGCGGTTGACATAGTCCGTTCATTTACGAAATTTGCAAATTCTTTGATGCAATCTGACAAGTATAACGTTCTGGCCTGGTTAAATGAATTAGTGTGGCGTCCCAATCGGAGGGACCGCTGATCGATTAATTAAACACTGTGGGATCGGCGAACTTTAGAAGTGGGTTAACGATTTATCGTGTATTCAGTACGGAGTGATCCGTATAGTTGTGGGTTCAATGACTAGCAGTACGCAGAGCATATTGTGGAGTGAAATCGGAGAATAGGACAAATTGTCTAGATTTTACATTGAAGAGAAAGTGAAAGGTAAAATACCCGATCTCGAGCCTTAGTGTCAAGCCTCGTTAGGGGGAGGCCAGGAACATCCAATAGCATTTCACAGTTGAATAGTAACGCCCCTTGGCCACACATGGCGCTGGAACGAAATCATTCCGCTTCGCCTTGGCGCTTGACTAGGGGCGCTTAGCTGCATTTCATGCAAACGACTCTTGAGATCCTGACATGCGTCTGGCCAGGTACCGAGCCCGGAGAATTAAAGTAGTAGAGTCATTCTACTGTGTGATGTGGGAAAAGACATTCCTTGGGCAAACTAGTAGGGGAATTTAGTAATTTTGCAATTACATAGTAGTAACCCAGAAATCTAGGACAAGTTCAATTACAGCACAAAGAACTCAATGAAAAGATTCCACCCTCAACCGATGAGGCTGATCTAATTTCAACTAAATTTCCAGGGCTAACCCGTTTACTGTCCATTATACACCTCATATCCGTACCTCTTTCCGAAATGGTCATCCCTCAAACGCTTCTGCCCGGCGCCGTAGACCCTCTCGCGCATTGTACCACTTTCATTCAGGGGCGCATAGACACCTCTCCTTCTCAACTCCGGCACGAGAAGCTCAACGACATCCTCAAACGTCCCCGGTGTCTGAACATAGCCAATATTGAACCCATCCAAGTCCGCCACACGGACCCATTCCTCCAAAAAGTCCGCGACAGTACTCGCGGATCCAACAGGAACCGGCCCAGCCCCACCAATTGAAACGTGCTTGCCAATGTTCCTTGGCGTCCACTCCGGCACATCGGGACTCTGGTAACTGAGGGTGTTGATCGTGGAATGAACCCGGGAATCGACATGCACATCTGTCGGCTTGGTCGGTGTGTCGAGATCAAATCTGCTGAGATCAATTCCACTTCCGCCAGAGAAGAAGGCAAGACCGGCCTCCTCGCTCGCATTTGCAAGTGCTTCGCGGTACTTCGCTTGCGCTTCCTCCTCTGTGCGCCCCACTATCGGCGTGAGAATAGCGAAGACCTTCACAGATCGGGGGTCCCGACCATTTTTTGCTGCTTCTTCGCGGATTGCCTGGATGCGTGGGGCGAGAATATGCGGCGATGGAGCGGATACGAAGATACCTTCTGCGTGTTTGGCGCCGAAGGCTACACCTGCAGGAGATGTGCCAGCCTGAAAGAGGAATGGAGTCCGCTGCGGAGACGGATCTAGAATATGGGGACCATCGAATTGGAAATGCTCGCCATGATGGTGGATGTATTTGATTCGACTTGGGTCAGCATACACGCCTGTTTTGGTGTCTTCTTGAAGAGCATCGTCGGCCCAACTGCCCTCCCACAGTCTATAGTGTGTAAGTTGTCTAAGCCCTTCTGCATCTTGAGACATGCATCGGGTGCACTTACTTGTATAGAGATGTCAGGTACTCGTCAGCTATCTCGTACCGCTTGTCGTGATCTACCAGGGGCAAACCCACCTATGCATGTCAGCTTCTGATTGAAATCCTTGGATTGTCTCAACTCACTGCTTTGGCAGCCGATTGCTTCCATGAGGTCACAATGTTCCACCCGAATCGACCCCCAGTCAGATGGTCTAGAGTTGAGAACCTCTTTGCCACCACATATGGAGCTTCGTATGAGGTTGAAGTGGTGATCGCAAATCCAAGGTTTTTGGTCACTGATGCCATGGCGGAAATAGGCTAAAATATGCATTAGCAATTGCGATGCAGGTTCACATCACCAACATACTATCGCAGGGTCTCCCATGGGATACTGAGCACCATTCCGGATTGCAGGATCTGCAGTACCCTTGTACGTGTCATACAGACCATAGGTGTCGGCCAAAAACAGTGCATTGAAATCGCCCTTTTCGAGAATCTTGGCCAAATTGGTCCAATACGACAAGTCTCGTCGCTTTGTTGCTGAGCGATCGGAGGGATTTCTCCACTGACCGAAAGAAAGATGGCCTACCGTGAACATGTCGAAGCCATTGAGGTATATCCGCCGCTTGGGAGTTGAACTTTCTGCCGCCATGGTTGGTTATTGTTTTCTTTGATCAAACAGTCTGTTGACTAAGATCAAATCGAATAATTTTTAGTTGAAGAGAAACTGTACCACCTCTTTCGTTCAATTTATTTTGCTCAATTGAACACTATTTATCATTTTGGAATCATGCCAGCCCCGCTCGATACCAGTCTGCTGTCATCCTCGCAAGAAAGCACGAATCATTCTCCGGTCGTATCAGATCAAACGATTTCAGCATTAGATATCAGCTCTATCCTTTTTATGGTCATCTCCTCACGGCCAATGTCCGAATAATGTCCACAGGAAAATCGCGTCATGCAGAACATGATAAAGGGTAACAAGCAATATCTTCGGTGCACTCTCCGACGCACCATTATGGTGGAGTTGATTCTTGTCTCTGGTTCAAAAGACGAAATTCTGAATGTTATTCCAAGGTTGTTGAAAAGAAACAAAATCTAGATAAATTGTGGAGCTTCTATAGAACCGTGATTGTAGCTAACTATGGGGTTTTAGATTTGAAGGGACAAACCACAGGGATCTTCTTTATATAAAGTGACTGTCGGAGAGGGAGAGAATGGGGGAAAAAAACCAGGCATCTATTGGTAGAGAGTAAGGACATATTGACATACAAATGAGGGAATAGACACTTGGTCCTTTTGATCGACCCCCAGACTAGAGCCAAATGCTAAATCACAGCAAAGAATTTCGCAAATAATACTGAGGGCAGTATAAAGAGAAATCCATGGGCCATGAGCCACTACTTGGAATCCATGCTCCGCTCAAGCGACTAGAAACAGTAAATCAATTTCAAAATGTGAGCAAATGTCCAAGCAGTCAGCCAGCTTAGAGAATTTAAGGACTGGCACATTTGCCAGACTTGCAGACAAGATCGTCTGAGCAATCATCTCCACTAGAGCAAGAGGCACCTTCATATTCATTAGTAAAAGCTGGAATCAAAGCCCCGAAGGAATATCTTACCGGCACAATGTCCGGACCACGAACAAGAAGTTGAGCTGGCACACTTGCCAGACTTGCACACCAGATCGTCGGAACAATCATCTTCGCTAGAGCAAGAAGCACCTTCACAGAAAATTAGCCAGTGCTATCGAAGTAATGATCGTAAGAGTAGTCCCACCGGCGCAATGTCCCGACCACGAGCAAGAGCCACTCGTCGGCGAAGAACCGATCGCAGTGGTGATCAAGGTGGTAGGTGATCCTCCAGCAACCAGGCCTAAGTTCTTTGCGAGAGAGTTGACCAGCTTGTCACCCATGGAGCGCAAGGTGCTGAAGTTGGTGACGTAGTTCTTGTTCAAGGCACTGCTGGGAAGCACTGCCTCGCTTCCACTGAAAACAATGTCTGTTGGAGTTAGCAAAGATCCACAGAATCCAACATCTAGGACTTACAAGTCACATCGGCAGCACCGTGGCCAGCGTTTCCGTTCAAATCCTTACCCGGGAAACAGGTTCGGGCCATCAGCCAGGATGCCTCCCCAATGACCTCTGGAGTATCTCCATTGCTGTCTCCGTAGATGCCATAAAACATCTTCCCGTTGCTTTGCCGTCGTCAGATCCAGGCGGAATTTATATGATAAAGGGGCTTTGGGGACTTACCAAATGACAGCAGCGAGGTTATTTCCCGGGAACTCACTGGGGTACGCAGTGGCAAAGTTGTCGGGAATCACAATGAAGGGCACCTCATATGCCGAGAGAGCCCCGAAGTTGGTCTGGGCTTGTCCATCGGGGTTGCCCTATTCATCTTGGTCAATACCCTTTTGCGTCAGCGGAAAACTCTATACTACTTTCATACCTTGCAATTGTGGTTCAAGCCGTCGCAGTCCACATCCATATCCGCAACGAAGACGAATGCCGCACCCTATCCAGCTGATTAGTACATAATCCAGGGCTTATACACACAGCACAGTTCATACCTCCGAGAATTTGGACCAGTCACTGTGAATAGTGACTTTTTGAGCACCGCCATTGTTATTGATGGCGTATGTGGATTTTGATGCAGCAGTGCTGACTTGAGTCGCTGCACTCTGCAAAGCAGCGACGGGGATTGTTGCCGCCGCTGCGAAATAACTAGCCGGAGGGCCGGCAGTTGGGTTGTTGAACTGAGCACCGTCTACCTGTTGAGTAAGACCGGTGCCCACGAGAGCCACGAGAGCCGCTGCCAGAGAGTACTTGAGCATCATGGTTGCAGCTGAGAAGGATGGTTTGAAGGTTGTGATTGCTGTGTCTGGGGGGGCTGAAGGTGGCCTTTAAGTATTCTCGTATACTCCCCGGAGTCTGAGACAACAATCAAACAAGTGCCCTAAGGCCACACGAGATGCTAGGAACTTTTTTGATTTGCAGTTCTGAGTAGATTAACTGCAGGGACTATTGTTCGTAGTGTGTACTATTCTCCCTAGCGGTTAGCCCCATCCATGCAGGTGGTCACGAGTATGCGCGAGACTGGAGTATGCTAACCCAAGATGGGACTGAATACTGTACTTACTAACCAGAATAGTCGAAAGGGTCAAACGTGAGACTGAAGGATTTTCCTATTCTGGAAACGTGTTCGAGTGAATGGTAAGTGGGATGAGAAGAGAAGAGAAGAGTGGGATGATGGTGGGGACTCTCATTTATGGTCTCTTCCTTCCACCGAATTGAGCGTCGGGGTGTTTTGACGTAAATCACTGTAATATACATTCTTCTGGCGGCAAGACCAATGGAGACATTGAATATTGGCACAAAGCTTAGTTCCAGGGCTTTCAGAGTGAATTGAGACGAACCATGGCCAGATATGTGCCTACCGCAGGGCATTGCCGTGGTTATGTTCACTTTGGCATCACACCATGGTTTATACCCGCCTACTAAAAGAGACTGATTTGACTGCATGTGAAAACCTGTATTCATACTACTTAGGTTTGTACAGACCTCGGGACTAGCCCTGGAGTCAACAGGGAACTGAGTACGGAGTACACTCATATCTCCATGGGCCCTCCAACTTGAGAAGGCGATAGCCCCCATGTACTTAGACTACGGATACCATAGACCCACAATCAGAGTATCTGATATCAGATGCCTGCCTGCTCTACGGAAGTATGCAGGTGTCACTACCTTTTCATCCATGGATGACTTCCGCCACCTTACGGAGTAGACTTCTGCCCTTTTGCCGCTTTTTGGCGTATGCTCCTAGGTGATACAACACACATAGATACAATGATGCTCTAATACCAGGACCCTATCTATTGGTAGCATTGGTAGATTGTATTCGAATTAGAAAGAGAGGGAGAGGGAATTTTGCACGAAGACTTGGAGCCTAGACTACTTCAATATAAATATACTTCATACAAAAAATATAAAGATATGGTGGAATCGATCTTTATTTCTTTTTGAAATATTGAATCTTATCTCAGTCTTCTGTCCACAGATATCTCTTTCCTGTTGTAAGCCTTTGAATGCTGCGTTGATCCGGACGGAAGGAGTACACAGAGTAGACGGAGTGGAATGGGTAGTTTACACCTTGGGCGTGAGAGGTAATCTGGATAGTCTTCCAAGGTTAACTGGGGGCAAGGTTTGGTAAGTTACAATATTCAAAAAGCGAAGAAGCCGCATACTGCCGTAGCCTGCTTCTTCCAAGAGGTGGTTTAGTCGGCGGTTCTGTTCCCAGGGAACAGATATCTGCTTGTCTAGACAATGCACCAACGGTGATGCAACGAAGTGTCAGGCTGTATTACTTTATACACGAGGTGGCATTGCGCATTGTGTACGGGGTAAGGAGGATGCTGTCCCAATTACCCTGTCAAACCAAAAGCAATACTACTAATAACATACACCCCTGGGCAGATACCCTTCCCGACACGGACCACCTGGGCAGGGCCGGAGACAGCTGACTCAGCGCACGTGACCGGGCCAGAAACAATCAACTCCGGCCTCGAATTTATCCCGCAACGTCAACTCGACTCACGAACCTCGAGACCGCCCAAGATGGCCAAGAAAGGTACGTGAGCGAATGGATCCAACCGCATATATCTCAATCACCCCTGCCTGACCCCGAAACCCCGAAACGGCGCAATGCCCCCGAATTGACCAGCCCCGATCCTCAGCCGCTAACAACTGAACAGCGAAGTCCCGAACTGTTGCCGTCCGGTTGATCTCCATGGCTATGACCGGCTACTACCGTACCATGATCCGGCCGCGTGTGCACCGCCCGCTCAGCATGATGAAGTACGACCCCGTGGTCAAGAAGCAGGTGCTTTTCCTCGAGGCGACAAAGGGTGGAAAGAACAAATAAGCGCTTCGCGAGATCGGTCTGCGTCCACTGCTCTTTTTTACATCGGCTGTCAATATTCCGATCTGATTGCAATTCCGATCTTGACCTTTCTCGACCCCCCTCGACCTCCGAACTCCACCTTTCTGCGCAACCGCCATCCCGATTTCTTGATACCCGAGAGTTTGTGCGGGTGTGAATCTATGCGAAAAGGGTGCCAGGGACGATCCCTGTTTGTATATTATTTACTGGGAGGATGCAAACGGGAAGTTGTGAAACCATAATTTCTCTGATGTTTTGCGGTATACCTCTTGGAGCATTGTGTTTGGCGTTAAAGACTACAGAACTGGGTACCTTGAATAAGAATAAATCCATATCCCACCTCCCGATCTCCTACTTGATATAGCCTGTTGAGTTCTTCCGATGGAACAAAATCCCCATAAGGTGATACCTCGAGCTGGGAAACACATTCCTTCATAAAATGAATCTCAAGAGTCAGTACGCATGCTGACACTGTTGATAGCGAAGACAGTGCGCCGTCATGATAAGCCGCCGAATCATCCTGCATCCTGGCTAAAACGCTGGGTGTAGCGGTCGCCTTTGCTTTGTTAGCTTTGTCTGACATGGAAAGAGCAAACTTTATCTACCTCGACTGCGGCGCTTGGCCCGAGCTCGCGCATTGGTGGCCAAGCCGACTGGATTGCTTCTACTGCTGCCCGAAGCCAATCCTTTGGGAGTGAGACGTCGTTCAGGATCATCGCATGTCTTGCGTGATCTCTTTGGTGGTTTGCGCGGTGCATCAGGGTCTTCAGCCATTTTCTTTGGGTCTTGCTGGGGATTTCCGGCCACATCATTTTTAATTGATTGCAATCCTGCGTTGGTCTCAGTTGAAGTTTCTTCCTGGGCCACTGATTGACGCAGACGACTGTAGGTGCGTTTTTGAGTTCGCTTTGTCTCTTTGCTCTCTGACTCTATTCCAGAGCTGTTATCAGTGGCATCCGACAGTCGTCGGGTTCTGCCAACTTCAGTCCGAGCAAAAGCCTGCGTGCCCTCGAAGCTGACCACTTTTTTCCTGGTATCGACTTGCTCCAGTTTGGCGCGGTTGTCAGCAATCAAGCCAGGGGGGTTTCCTGGAGTGTGTCGGGACTGTTCGATTTTGGCAGAGTCACTCACAGAATCAACCTCTTTGGCAAACTTGCTACATTTATCTGATGTTGCTGAAGCCTTGTGGGTCTCTTTAGATGCATCATCACACAGCGCTTTTTGCCTGGGAGCAAACGGTCCTTGAAGATCGGGTGTTGAAATCATGAGCATTTCCAGCTCAGCTGTATCATTGAACAGTGAAACATCGTCGTCTTCAGGTGCGATCTTCTCATGGAGAATTGAGAAAGGAACGATATTACCATGGCCGATAGGCAACACATGCCGTGGGTCAACACAGTCATCGAGTCCCAACGAATGTGAAACGTTGCAGGCGTTGGGTGGTAACTGAACATCTGTCTTCACGTCTTCAATCCCATGGCAAAGTCTTTCACTTAGTTCAGCCGCAAACCTAGCCTCCGCGTTGCGGTTTTTCAGCCCATCAGGATCATTGCGATCCTCTTCTGTGTCCAAGTCTTTGTTATGCTGAACGTTCGCACACACTTTGCCGTCCAGGGTGTGTTGCGCAACCGAGTGTTGAAGGGCGCGTTCAATTCTCTGCCATGTTGTCTCAAAGGGCTCGTCGGGCTGTACATCCACGACCTTCGCGATTCCCTCCCTTATCATCAATTGCCAGCTTTCGGCTTCTTGGGCTCGCTGAAGGAGAGAAACAACCTCAGCATTGGCCTCCGCCCCGGTCTTCTCCAAGGCCGCCGACCGGCTTTCAAGCAAGCTGAGGGTTTGCTTCATGGTTAGAACCTCTTCACTCCTCTTTGTCGCTTCTAGCTCAAGCAACAGGAGGGCTTTTTCGGCCTCTTTTTTCGCCTCTTCTTTCAGGTGTTCAGACTGGGTCCTGATTTGCAGTTGGGATTCCAGTTCGTCTGCCTTCTGCCTGGTCTGAATATTTGCCGTCTCAAGTTCCTTGATTTCATGCTCAAATCTAGACATTGATTCGGTCAAAGTTTGCTGGAGTTGCATGTTTTCAGATGTTTTACTACTAATTTGCGTCCGGAGAGAGTCGATCTCACTTGATACCTGTTGTAGCTGCAGTTGCAATTGTGTGTTCTCACCAAATTTCGCATTGAGCTCCTTCTCCAACACAGGGTTTCCTGCTGGTATCCTCGCCGCAGACAACATCTGACCGAAGCTTTGCAGGGCGCAAATGAGGCTTGCCTCGGTCGCCTCAACAGCTTTTATCGAACCCCCCAAATTTCCAAGGATTGGCTCAAAGGCTTGGACTTGCTGTTGGAGACTGTTGTAGCAGTTCTCATTGTTGGCAAGCTGCTTGACCAGTGGTGAATAAGGGCCAAGGTTTTTTTCAACTGATTGGAGCCCTTCTTCTAACCCCCGGAAAACACTATTGCTCATCTCGTTGCTTCTGTCAAGAACGCTTGTGAACTGACCAGATAGGGATTCAAAGCTATGATGATTGTCAGCCTAGGCTTCAGCTAGTGAAGGTCATTCTCAAAACTTACCGACAGGCGGTTTCTTGTACACTTGTGACAAAACGCTCGGCATTGATGGTTCCAGCAGAGCACTGACTCTTCATTTCTTCAACCGATACGACACATCTCTCGACCCCTGGCCCCACTTTTGACAAGATAACATCCTGTGTTTCAAGGCAGGCCTTGCTAAATTGATCGCACATGCTGTCGAGCTTCTCGGTCATTCTGCTTTGCTCTTTCTTGACAACGTTTAGATGACGCGCCTGGATCTGAGATTCATTTTGGATGTAGGTCTCAAGTGCCATGGTTCGCTTTTTCTCGCCCACAAGCTGGGTTTTGAGAAGATCGCCCCTTCTTTCTGAATGATCTAACGCTTCTTTCAAGTGGGCAATCACCCCATCAGAGGTGGCAAGTTTCTCCTTCTGGTCCTCGATCATTTTGGCGTGTCTCGATATCTGCATCTTGAGATCGCTCAAGGTGGTTTGAATCTGGATCTTCTCGTTGTCGAGGGACGACGCAGTCTCTTTCAGATTCATTGTTTGTTGGCGGACCTTGTCATACTCACGACCAAGCTCTTGGATGACACCCTTGAAAATGTTGATCTTGCCCTTCCACTGGTCTAACTGTGCACGCTGGCCCTTGGCTTCAGACGATGCTTTGACAAGTTGTAATTGTTGTTTTTTGACTCGCTCCTGCAGATTTTGACCTTTTTCTCTCAGTGCCCGGTTGTCCGACTCGATCTGCCGCACAAGACTTGCGGCATTTTCTTCGCTTTCTTCACGCTCTCTTATCTTCATAATGAGCTGCTCGAAGAGGTCATTCTCACTCAGCGGGCCACTTATTTTTCCGGTGATAATCGGGAGCTCCTTTTTCGTTGGCGCCTCCTTTTCAGCAAGCTCAGCCTTTCTCGAAGAACGTGGGACATTGACCGGTTTGAAAGGTACCCTTGAAAATTGGAAACTTGTACTATCCTGGTGTCCACGCTGAGCTCGGGGCTCTTTCGCTGGTACTGCAGCTCGGGGAAATGGGGTCCCAGTTTCACTCGGTTTGGGGAGGGTCGATTCTTTGGGAACCGCCGTCTCAATGTCTGACAGGACTTCAAAGTCTTTCTCCAGGCGTCCATCTTCAGCAGGCTCATTCACCTGGAAGACAGCTCCATGATGCTCAGGCTCAAAGGTTGATTTCTCTCCATCCCCACTGCTATACTGGCCGGAGATCACGTTTGCTGCGCCACTAATTGTTGAAACTCGACGTGCGGGCTTAGCAAGCAGGGGTTGCCTCGCTGGGGAGGGACAGTTGGACGCTGGCTCTATGACATGACTGTGAGAATTGAGAGGGCTGTGTTACCGATGAAAACCTGTCGTAAGCGATCGTCCGTGCTGTTGACAGTGATCTGGCTGATACATACGTGTCTGGCCTGATCCACGGTGGGTTACTTGCCACCTGCTTGTTCGCTGGTTGGTCAGATACTGGAGGGTAACCAAGCGAAGATGAACCAGTCGAAGGTTGCTTAGAGATGTTTCTCAAAGAAAATGGCGTTCTGCTGGATGCAGGCTTGGTAAACGAAAACTCTGGATCATCGGGCAAAACACTTTCGGGTCGCTGGAGTAGGTGAGGTGTCCCAGTGCTATCCATGATGTTTTCTGACAGTCACCCGACAGACAAACAATAGTCGAATCAGAAGCAGAGACAAAAGTATGAGTCGAAGTGGAAATCGAAGCCAAAGTGCCCAGGTGGTCACCAGCTCAGATGAAGGAGCCCGAAGAAGAAGGCACGACCCTCTCTACTCCAGGGCTTCACAACTTTAGAACCTCGTAAATACTACATCCTTTTGGCGTCGCATATATTAACGAACGCTGGTAATCTGGGTAAATATGTCCTATCCGCACAGCCATTTCCCAGGGATTAGCATTGGTGATGAGAAAACCTCGGCTCTATTTGCACCTTTTCAGTTTCTCTTCATCGTGGGCGCCAATCAGACAGTCCCCGAGTGCAATATACAGCGGCTCAATCTCATTCCAGGGTTCTAAGATTTAACAATCTGAGCATGCTAGACCTTTGTCGCCGTCCATACACAATAATTCAAGAGAGTATCCAAGAGAGTGGAAACGAGGAGAACAAAGGTTTAGTTAGAATTCTTAACCATGTAAGGATATATCGTAGAAAGTAGTATGATTCACAAGGGAGATTGGGCCGCTGCTCAAGTGGGAACTGACCCGGAGGGTTCACAGGTTGACTACAGGCGCTATATGCAGAAACATATGATAGACTCGGATGTGTCCGAAATAGAAATATCCCATTCTCCACCGCTTGTTTCAAGTAGATAGAATTTGACTTAAAGTTGTGGAACAATCTCACTGACTCGTTGATGTGCTCATGGGCCCGGATCTGAGGCTGAGACGAGAAATTAACCACACTCAATTCGATGGGTGAACAAAATCCACTCAAATTGGAGAGATCGACTTTCCTTGTAGTACTGTCTGTTGATCCGTCCTCTGTACGGAGTAGTTACGGAGTACAGGTTTGGCCATCTGAAACGACCAGTCTCAACTTGACCGCGGCTTCTTTGTTGCTCAGCCAACTTATTATATGTATGACAGGGGTGGACCAGTGAGCTATCCCTATGAGCTTACTTGGCTACAAGGTTTCTGGTGACCCGTTTGGCGTTTCCTTTTGGCCCATGAACCCTGTGGCTGTGACGCTAGCAATCTGACTGTGTCCAAATACCACCAACTAGTGAACTAGTTATGAGTAACTAAAAGTAGGCATTTCTGGAACCTGGAACGCTCAGGCCGTTTGGAGAAAGAAAAACCCAAGTGAAACCCCATTGGATATACGTGTCTAATGCACCGAAAGCCAAGGATCCTCTAGAGCTGCAGGCTAAATCGGCGCATGTGATAGGTCCGGTTGAGACTCGCATCGAACATTCTACACGGCTTCCAGGGCCATTCTGTGCAACACCGGCGTTTCCGAAACAACTTCCATTCCGATTAGCAACGTGGCGGCCACGGGAATTCGGGGGAAATAAGGCCCGGGGGCATATCGCCCGGTGATGAGTCCGGTGCGGGTTGCGTACGAATATATGCAGGCTACTCTCCGGTTCGATCGAACTAATCTCCAGTGATCAGATTGTGATTCGTGTGATCTTTCCGTACGAAACATGGTCAATGTTCATTGCGTGAAACGTCCAAAGAGTTGTTCTGGCCTGGTCATGACAGAGTCTCACATTGGGAGAACGTTGAACATGCTACGAGTAGTTTGTTAATAATGATCTGCTCGTACTGCACCCCGTAGACATGTACTCGTACTTTGTGTCGGATGCCTGTGGGTGCCACCCGGTTTCAAGTTGAATTTTGATCGCCGGGATGTTCGTCTAGGATCAAACTGGACAAGTCACTGAGCGAATGGCGCGAGTCTGTGCATGCTGGGGCGGATACGGTAGCCTCCGCCCATCAAACTAAGCGGGCCCTGGTTCGTACTGGGCAAGGCTGCTTCCTCTCCGCTTTGTGTACAAAGGGTTGCACATGGAGAAGGTCGTGGGTCCCCCTGGGACATTAAGTTCTTCGACTTGGGATGTCTAGACTTGAAAGGCACGGACGGGGGTTAACGCTCGGCAATATCTCCCACACCGCAGCTAAGCTTGAAGGGTAGCAAGGAAGTGTAGATCGCACGGCGACAGCCAGAACAAGCATAGTATCGCATAGGTGGGAAAAGCGAGTAAAGCCAAAGCCTTTTTTTTTTTTCTCTTTCACCCTTTCCCCATTTCGTTGCGCGTCACGCGTGATTGGCCCGCACTTACTGCCGCTCCTGACAGACCGCTCGCCCGCTTCATCCCCTTTCTTTCATCTGCTTCAACTTCCCGATCTGAGAACGGGTTTTTTGCTTCTTATTGGTGTCAGTCAACCCTTTTGTCTCTTCCTATCTGCTTCTGGTCTACGGCCGTCCCGCAAATTGCGCCGCCTGCTAGCTCCCGAGCCCCGGTCTCTCGATATACATATGCAGCCCTGTATCCTGGCTTCTTAACATTTTTCTCTTTTCCCTGGAGCTTTGATACAGTACTCGTGCTTAACTGCCCAGCTTGTTGAAACCGTGCATTTGCATTTGGACCTGCATAGAACGCCTTGCGACTCTGAAACACTCGACCCCCCCGCCCGGCCGCTCTACCTTCGGAATTCGGTCACCTCTCATGGACATTGCGATTTGAGCACGATATTCGCCGAAAACCGATTGCATAATTCTTTTCGATCTACTCACGTTGAACATAACTTCTCACCGAAAAGCATACTGGGAAAAGTGACATGTTGCCGGCATACTAGTCACTCTTTGAAATACTTCAGCCATCGCCCGGTTTCCTCAATATGGGTAACACTCAGGGAAAGCCGGTGAACTGCAATGATGCAGGTATGTTTAAATCCCTGGCTCTTTGGATTTTCTAGAAAATGAAATTGGTGCTCGGGCTTTATCATTCACCCCGCCATAGCGTTCGAACGATAAGCTGATCGCGCGGACTCTACTAGTCAACCTTCATCATTTTCGGCTTCTTCGTGTCGTTGGCAAGGGTGCCTTCGGCAAAGTTCGAATTGTCGAGAGAAAGGACACCGGTCTCACGTTCGCCTTAAAATATATCCGCAAGGAGGAAGGTTCGTGGAAGCTCAAATCCCTCGTTCGCCACGGAACCGCAGCTCACACCCAATTCAGTTGTTCGTTCGGAAAGTGTGAGGAACATCATTCGTGAACGGCGAATGCTGGAGCACTTGAACCACCCATTCCTTTGCAATCTGCGGTACAGCTTCCAGGATATGGAGTACATGTGAGTCGTTCCCGCTCTGCCTGGAATACTTGTCTCTAATTGCGAGATAGTTACATCGTCGTTGATCTTATGAATGGTGGTGATCTGCGTTTCCACATCTCACGAAAATGTTTCACAGAAGACGCAGTGCGCTTTTGGATGGCCGAACTAGGCTGTGCTTTAAAATACATCCATTCGCAGGGTATCATCCATCGTGATCTCAAACCTGACAATGTGCTCTTAGACTCCGAGGGACATGTCCACTTGGCTGACTTTGTAAGTTCCACGATGATCAACCGCGGCGAGTCTCTGTCTAACCTTGAAATTTTAAGAACGTGGCCTCCGATTTCCGACCAGGGAAACCTCTCACCAGCAAGTCGGGGACACTAGCCTACTTGGCGCCGGAGGTCTATGAAGGGAGCGGCTACACTTTCGAGGTGGATTGGTGGTCATTAGGCGTTACTTTTTACGAGTGCATCTATAACAAGGTATGCCATGTTCATTGCTTGCTCCGCTCCCCTTTCGTCTGATCTAATTGCGCGTGCAGCGTCCGTTCGAAGGTCGGAGCCAAGACACACTGAGCGAGAACATCAAAAAGGCCCAGCCCAAATACTATGTCACGAATCCTGCAGTTTCAGTTCCTTGTCTGCGGGCTTTAGGATCATTGATGCAGAAAGACCGAAGCCAGCGAATTGGAGCCATCGGCTGGGAAACTTATACCCAGCACATGTTCTTTGCGGAAATCGATTTCGAGGCTCTTGAGAGGAAACAGATTCCGCCTGTGTTCCGTCCATCCAGCGACAAGACCAATTTCGATGCGACCTACGACCTGGAGGAGCTCCTCCTTGAAGAAGCACCACTCGAGGCTCGCGCTCGCAGACAAAAGCCGCGAGCTGAATTAAGGGATGATGCGACCGCCAAGGAAATCCGAGAGGATGAGCTCCACCGGTTAATTGAAACGATGTTCGAGCCGTTCGACTACACCTTGACGGACTACCAGGGCAATGCCGCCGACGCTATTGCTGCTGCCACGTAAGTTCTTGGTCTTCCAGATGCCTTTTTTACCAGTGCTAACAGCGTCAATCAGCAACCCCGAGGAATGCTTCCCAGTAGCTACAACTAACTCTGCCAACGCTGAACATGCGCGTCAATATTCTCAAGCCGATGCCCCCAAAAACATATATCCCACTCAACCCGACGGACAGTTCCGTGCTCCCCCAAGCCAACAAATCACTACAGTCAACGAGAGTCTCAACCCCCAGGATTCCACGACTGGCCCACCACCATCACCCTCTAATCGCGTGTCACCCTCACCACCGCCCGCCCCGTCTTTTCACCGACCTCTCCCCCAAAACCACCGACCACGCGGCGCCACTCGGCAGATGAGCAAGAGTGGAGGCGTACAAATGGTGCTCAACGAAGCTGGCAGCTGGAGTGAGCTGGCTCATTCTTCTTCCACGCTTCCCGCTGAGGGTCTGGAGGGCGGTGACGACAAAGGCAAACAAGCCAATGGCATGCTCTCCTTCTTCAGCCGCAAGAAGGGTCGCGATCGCAGTCCCAAGCCAACCGAACCGGGTGTTCTTGGCAAGGAGGGAGCTAGACAAATCATCAACTGAAGGCCCTCGTGAGGTCAAACACAATATTCTCGGCGCCGGCTGGGGGATGCTAGAACGGATGAGATTTTAAAATCTGAGCATGTGTGCCATCGCTTGTGTCTCCATCTCTCCTTGACTCAACACCGCTAGCTCGTTGCTATCACAGGCCCCGCGACGGGGCCTTTTGCAAATTCCGAATTTTTCGTCCTCCAGCCTGGCGGCCGCTATTTGCCCGACTCTCCGGTGTGTTCACTGTATTGTTTACCGGTTGAGATCAAATTGCATCTCTGTTGACAGCATCGCAACATATTACCTGCTCGAGGCACCATTTCACCTTCTTTTTTTTAGATTCCCTGTGACCAGCGCAATATCATCCGCTGCTCTCATCACTCATGGGTTACTCCCCAGCTGTACAGTTGTCTAGGGGAGTCCCAGATAACCAGACCCTTGTTCCGCTCCCTTCCATCTGGATCGGCTCGCATTTCGTCTTCCCTTCGCAATGATGTGTTCTTCAATCTTTTCGTGATTCCCTGGAGTTTGCATACCCACTCGTTGATATGACCTTTTTGTTTTCTAGATTGGCTTGGAGTATGTACACGTGGACTGGGAAGGGTGTATTTAATGTCTTTTATTACCTGTGAACTATATTCGATGAATAACTATCCCTGACCCTCGCCGATGTCACCATCCATTGATAATCCGTAACCCCCAGTGTAATACGAAGTGCATCGAAATATCAACTGCATCTGCTTAGCACCGGGTGAAATCCGCCAATGCTGGGGCTTGGCAATAACGTAAGAACATCTTGCTCTAGTTTCTTGGACACGTATACTCGGATTATCAAGATTCGGTTCTTTGATCATGATGCAGCATGCAAAAGAGTAAGGGAAAACGATTTATGTGTAGCTGTAGGATGATATCATGCTTCTTCGCGACTCCATGTACTCAGGAGGCCCAAGCCCTGTCATACACCGAAGGGATTGAAAGCACAGTTAACCGATTGATTTTGAAATTCCACTCAAATCCGCGGAGATCTGAAATCAAAGCATGTACTATGCATACAAGTAGATAAGTTACCAAACAACCGTATAGTTAGGGAGACGCCGTGGCGCCGATCGGCCGTGTGGGGAAAAACCAAAACAACGCAGCCTAACCAAGATCTCGCCTGAACGTCGGAGAAAAACTTGGCCATGAGGCCCTGATGCACTTTCTAACGGGCCCAGCCCAATCGTGACATCCCACCACTCCGACCAAAAGTACCACATTCCAATCCCACTTCCCCCTTCCCACCCGGAAATACACACATTCCGACACAAGGAGGCATGCCGAGCCAATCGCGCGACCGAGAACGTCGCGACAGACGAGAAAGAGATCGCACACGAGACCAGGAACGCCGACGTCGAGATCGTGACTACGACCGCGACCGCGAGTATATTCGTGGTCGCTACGAACGGGCCGAAGAAGGCACACCCAGTCCCAGCAACGAGCGGAGCGCAAAGTACCGCTTCCGCGGGGAATCGGGGCACGAATCTAATTCACACACGGATCGTGATGAATATGACGAAGAGCGCGAGCTAGAGCGTGAACGGAGGCGAGAACGCAGACGTCGACGCCGCGAAGAAGATGCTCTGGCCTATGGGTCTCCTGTCTCGGAGCGACGGCGGGAACGGGGAAGCTCCAGGCCGAACGACTCTCCTATTTCGCCGGCTAAAAGAAGGGAGCGACGAGAGGACCGTGATGGCTACCGACGAGGAGATGGTGACAGCCCTGTGAGAGAACGTAGGGACCGTCGGAATCGCGATGTTGACGTTGATGCTGAGGCCGAGGCGCGACGACTGAGACGACGCGAGCGGGAACGGGAAAGACAGCGTGAGAGGGATCTTGATGCCGCTGCTGCTGTGCCGGCGAAGAAACACCGCAGTATGGAATCTACGAGCAGTGCGTCCCATCTACTGAGCGTTGACGCTATGGCGCGGCTGGCTGCCCAACATGAAGACAATGATCAGCGAGAGCTGGCACGGAGCGAAGAAGAGGCGCGCAAAGAGCGGCGACGGCAGCGAAAACGGCCGGTCGTGGACGATGCTGGTAGTGCTGCGCTTAGTGCTGATGTCGCGGAGGGACGCTCACGTCACAAAGCTGGGGCCCGAGTTGTGTCGGGTGCATACTTGGAGGAGGGGCATAGTTCCGATGCACGGGTTCGCCGTCGGGGTGGCGGTGGTCCAGCCATGGAAGACCACTGGAAAGAGGAGGATAGCTGGGAGGGCAGCTATGATAGTCGAGGAGGACCGCCAGCATGGAAGTTCTGGTCCAATTGGTCTAAGAGAAAACGCATTCTCCTCGGCTCTCTGTTATTGTTGGTCCTAGTACTAGCGATTGTCATACCAGTTGCTATTGTCGTTTCCAAGAAGAATGATTCCGACACAGGCTCATCAGGACCGTCCAGCTCAGGCGATCCCTCAAATTCGAACCTGGATAGCATCAGTCGTGACAGCATTCCGGTTGGTCTGGCCTTGAATCTTTACATGAACATGACTGACAGTTATATTTCAGAGCTATGCAAAGGGCACTGTATTGGATCCATTTACATGGTACGAGACCAATGGATTCAATGTCACATTCACCAATGCCACTGTGGGGGGTCTTTCCCTCATGGGCATCAACTCATCCTGGGATGACTCGACACGGGCAAATGACAATGTACCTCCCCTCAATAAGGCGTTCCCATACGGCACCCAGCCCATTCGGGGAGTGAATGTTGGAGGATGGTTATCTATCGAGCCGTTCATTGCACCATCATTATTCAAGAGATGGTCATCATCTGATGGAATCGTTGACGAATACACCCTGACAAAGAAGCTCGGAAACTCTGCGGCATCCACCATTGAAAAGCATTATGCCGACTTTATCTCTGAATCGGACTTTGAAGAGATTAAAGATGCTGGGTTAGACCATGTTCGGATCCCTTACTCCTACTGGGCTGTCACTACCTATGAAGGTGATCCATATGTCCCCAAAATTGCCTGGCGTTATCTCCTGCGCGCCATTGAATGGGCCCGTAAAAATGGACTGCGTGTGAAGCTTGACCTCCACGGTCTCCCTGGCAGCCAAAATGGCTGGAACCACAGTGGCCGCCTGGGCAGCATCAACTGGTTGGAGGGCTCAGACGGCGAACTTAACCGCAAGCGCTCACTCGAGATTCACGACCAAATCTCGAAATTCTTTGCCCAAGACAGATATAAAAACGTGGTTACCATCTACGGCTTGGTAAACGAGCCTCTCATGTTGTCACTACCGGCTGATAAGGTTCTGAACTGGACGCAAGAGGCAGCGGAGCTGGTTCGCAAGAACGGAATCAATGCCACTCTGGTCTTGCACGATGGTTTTTTGAATCTCAATAAATGGGATAACATGTACAAGACTCACCCGGACAATATGTACCTGGACACCCACCAGTACACCACATTCAACACGGGCGAGATTGTCCTCAACCATACTGCTAAAGTGGAAATCATCTGTAACAACTGGTACTCCATGCTCCAGGAGATCAACTCGACATCATCTGGGTAAGTATTGCTCCCCCCAGCTCGACATGACAACTAACCCGACCAGATGGGGCCCCACGATATGCGGCGAGTGGTCTCAAGCGGATACAGACTGCGCGCAATACGTCAACAATGTCGGTCGTGGCACTCGCTGGGAAGGAACATACGATACCAAAGATTCCACTGCGTATTGCCCAACAGCAGACGATGGGACCTGCAGCTGCTCCAAGACAATGGTCGACCCGGCCATTTATTCAGACACATACAAAAGCTTCCTACAGACCTACGCCGAGGCCCAGATGTCCGCATTCGAGACAGCCATGGGTTGGTTCTACTGGACCTGGCGCACCGAGTCAGCAGCACAATGGAGCTACCGCACGGCATGGAAGAACGGATTCATGCCCAGCAAGGCGTACTCGCCATCTTTCAAGTGCGGAGACACGGTCCCTGATTTCTCAGGCATGCCGGAATACTACTGAGCTCGATACCCAAGAAGTTATTTGCATTTGTAAGATACGATTTAATTCATCACGTTCTGCATGAGGATATGAAAGCCATTTACCACTTGGAATCACATGTATCCCATCGCCCGTAGAGCGAATATCTAGCCCTTGAACCATCCACCCTCCTCCCACTCCCCAGGCTGATAGATGTGCTCTTCTCGTACCCATTGGTGCTTTATACCCCCGAGCAACCGATCCAAACGATGGAAATCGATCGGCTTCAAGATCCAACCATCGAACCCCGTCCTGATATATGTGGCGCGGTTCTCTTCAACCAGAGATGCCGAGACGGCAAAGATGGGAATGCGAGGCGCAGGGGTCGACTCATTCGCTATCTCCTGCTGCTCGTATTCGCGGATCAACCTCGTTGCACTGAGGCCATCAACGATGGGCATCTGTGGAAAAACAAAACAGTGAGCGGGTGTATGTCTTTGGAGATACGGTTGACCTACTTGCAGATCCATGAGCACAGCATCAAAGCGACCGGGGCTCTCCTTGTAGACGGTCAAACATTCTTTGCCGTTGGATGTGAGGTGAACGGTATGGCCGAACTTCTCCAAGCGCTTCTTCACGATCGTGCTGTTGATGGGTTCGTCTTCAGCAACGAGGACATGCAGACTCCAATCCATTGGTGACGAGTCGGTGGACTGTGTTTCTGGTGCAGCTTGTAAGGATTGTTTCTGAGAAGATTGAAGTGATCGTGCGGTGCTTTCGGGTGGCGAGGGATTTGAGTCTGGCTTGTTTGCTTCGCTCTCGATATTCTCAGCAGAAAGTGCGAGGGTTCTACTCTCGCCGGTTTTCAGATTCACATCAATATAGACACCATGTTCTCCAGATCTGAACTCCGGAGTCTCACCACATTCACATGGAATGCCACCTTTCTCCTGGTTCATGCAACTTGATGCACTGCCTTGCTTTAGTTCATCTTGGTTTGTGTTCATGTGCCCGGCTGCGACACCAACTGGGCTTTGCACACTCCCCTCCTCGGGAAGAGGAAACTCAAGCCTAATCTTGAAGCAGCTTCCTTTCCCTGCCTCGGACTTCAGACTCAGTTGACCATTCATGTTGCGCACGATTCGAGCCACCAGGGCAAGACCCAGACCGAGGACACCCTCGGTAGTCTGGAACTGATCACTCGCCTGATCAAAGGCCTTCGGGTTCTTCATATACCCTTTGTTGGAAACCTGCTCTAGTTCGCAGAACAGAGTCTCTACTGTCTCCTGTGACATGCCGGAACCAGTGTCGTGGATGGAAACCTCGACAGAAATACAGTCTGGGTTCAGTGATTCTGGCACGACACAGGATTCGATTGTGACGGCCCCCGAAGACGTGTGCTGCACTGCATTACTGATCAAATTGGTGATGACTTGACGCACACGCCGCTGGTCTCCAAGTACGGAAGGCAGAGCAGCGTGTTGAACGACCTGCAGATCGACGTGCTTCTGTCTCGCCTCCTCCCAGAAGATGTCCGTGGCTTCGGTAAGGGTCTCGGAGAGGTCGAATACCTCATCTTTTATCAACCGTTGTCCGTTCTCGGCATTGGTCAGATTCAAAAGATCATTGATGATATATACCAATGACCTGGACGCTGAATGGGATCTAGATATATTGTCCCTCGTCTCTTGATCCAGCGGTCCATCGAGTGCAATTTCCAGATAGTTGATGATAGCGTTCAGAGGGGTCCTGAACTCATGTGCAGAGTTGGCAAGAAGCAGTCTCATCAATTGATTGTTCTGCAAGGTCACCTCCTTCTCTTGCCATACTTCGGTGAATGTGCAATACAGCTGGGATAAGATGGAGGCTTTCCCGATGTCCGTCGTCGACCAAAGTTGCTGACGCTTTGACTTTTGTCCCTCGGGTTCAACATGCAGCTGCGTCGTCTGCTCGGACTGAGGCCCACCAGAGCTAGTCCGAAAGAATATGATGAAATCGTGTCCGTCTCCTGAAAGTGGAACGTAAAACAAACCAGCTAGATGATGAAAACCACGTGAATAATTGAGATCGGGGAAATCAGCAGCGATATCAGTAGACCAACAGACGGAGTCGTTTTCTTTGACTCTCATATATTCTAGCAGCGCAAGGACTTCCTGCGAGTCAGTTGGACGTCCCAGAATTTTTGCTTCGCCGAGGATAGACGCTGCAGCATAATCCGCGCCGAACAAGCTGAGCAGGTCACCCTGGGGAGTTTTGATTGCCTGAGCCCCAGTGCTTTCGCACGACAAGTCACTCGGCTCTTTCAGTTGAAACTGCAGACTGTATGACAGACGTTCAATGTTACTTGAGACAGCTTCGGCAATGAACCAGCAAAGCTTGAGGTCAAGGGGATGGAGTCCCCTCTTGCTTGTATAAGACTGACACGAAATAAGTCCCCACAACTTGCCAAAAACATTGATATGAATAGAGAGACATGCTTTGACTGGATTCTCTGTATGGGAATCTGACACCCTCGGTGGAACAGAAAGATAACACTGCGATAGATCAAGCGGTACTTCCTTCGCACCAGTACGGCACACAAGCTGTGCCGTATTTTCCGGTGCGGAGTATGAGAAGCAGACAGTTTTCCGTGTATAATGTCTCCTGAGATCTTCCGAAAATGCCGACTCTGGAAAATGAACGCCTGCATGCTGAGTTAAATCCACAATAGTGGTGGCGTCGGCGAGAACGATTCCATTTCGATCACTATCAAAGTGATAGATGCTCGTTCTGTCAAACTGGACATGTTCTTGCAGAACTGAAACAGCCTGCTGAACTAATCTTTCAAGAGTCTGTGCATTCGCAAGTCGCCGAAGCGTTCGGGGGATTTTGTTCAACAGTTCTGATGCTTTCGATCTGTTGCTTTCATCCACGACTGGTGAAACCAAGTCTTTAAAATAAGCCCCGGAAGTTGAGTCTAATTGCTTGCTCTCGCACACAGCTTGACTTTTGGGCTGACTCTGTGGAGGGTGGGCTGCATTTTCTGGCTGGATCTCGCAAATGACATACCCCTTGTAGGGCTCCGTACTATGCATATTGCACCACACTATTTGAAGATCGCCGCCTGGCGATCTCACAGAAAACGAGAAAACCTCCGGGCCACAGTCTTCAATATCGTATTGACCATCCAAGACCGCTTTGCTGTGGGTTAGGAAGTTATCCATGTGTGGAGATTGCAAAAGGTCACAGAAAGATTGAATGCCAAACAGCTCCTCCGGGGAATATCCAATAATATCCTTGGAGTTGCTGCTCGCTTCTTTGACTTCAAAGTTGCCATCAGATTCTACAAGAACAAGAATCGCTCCAAATGGCTGAACGGCAATGTTCTCTCTGGCCTGGCTCGAATATTGAACCCCTGTTGTCGTCGTGCAAGTGCCGAGAATATCGCTACCATTTTGCAAGGTATCCCGTAGACTCTTCAAGAGCTCTCGGTTTTCCTTCTCATGATCCGAGTCCAAGCTTCTTTCATTGCATATCTTTGCCTCGAGTCCATCTTCAAGATTATGCCGAGCAGTCAAAGGCTCCGTCGCCGTCGATGTGGCCTTACCCTCGTCTCTGTTCTTTTGATGTAATCGGGTTGTCTCATCGGATGCCTTCGATATATTTGCATTGGAGTTGACACGTTTCAAAGCACCCTTCTGTTGGCAGACGGACTGCCCACTGCCAACTTCCCCAACCAGGGTATCTGAGAATGGAGATATCGGGGTCTCGAGTTTCTCCAGAGAGGGTGTAGGTAGAGCGGATGATGGCGTCGAGTCAAAAGAAACCGCTGATCGGACTGGAAAGACCCTTTCTGCGGATTCATTGCCCAGTTGAGGAAGTTTCAACTTGGGTGAGAGCAGCTCTGTGACTGTGGATATCTCGGTCTTGGTATCGGACATGATGCACATTGTCTTTGGGATAGATAATGTTCGAGCGAGTGTTCTTCTTCTATCGGACAACTTGTTTTCTGTTTGTCCATTTTCGTCGTGAATGACGGTCCAGTCGCCGTAGTCTTTGACGTCGGTGGGGGAAGACATGTCAAGATTTATCTATCTCGATTAAGGCAATGGCTCGAGATGTGTGACTACCCAACATCATTATGTTAGCTCACCCTGAAACAAAATCAATGACTGAGATGCACGGGGATCTTCTCACTGAAGACAGAAACTAGTAGTCCAGGATCGAGTCGAGTGTCGGGACCCCCATCTGCATCTATAGATATATCAAGTGAGATCCCGAGCGATGAAGGCGAAACAGACAGAATGAGAGAATATGGGCGTATACTTAAGTAGTGTCTGAAATTGAAAGACCCCCACGAAGATTTGCAACCTGGGAGTACCGTAGATCCCCAATCCCCGGCTGCCTGTCTTGAGCTATTGGCCTATCAAGCCGCAGACAAGCTTTCTCCCTGGGGACATGTCCTCGGTTCCCTTGTCCGGTTCGCCGGACATTTCCATCGAAAAATAACTCGCAATCCACAGACCAGAGGGCTTCATCCATGGTTTGGCTCTTCGCTACTTAAGTATGGGGGAATTGCTCCCGCCTCCAGGACTTCAATCGTATAATCTTGTAAAGATGTGGCTACTTATATCTTCCTCATTTTTCCCAGTATGCTGAATTGCTTAGATATATGCCCCAGAGATTCTAAGTCATCAGAAGAGACCAGGTAGAGAAGTATCTCACGGAGTCAATTTTCCATTTTACCAACATGCTGGGAACCTTGGGATTGTCTTCGTTCACATTAAGGGACAGTCCTGGAGGAAGGCGATCTTCGGTGACCCCGGACCCGCTCCATTACAGCTATAGCCTGGAGGTAATGGATGTGTCCGTCTAGACCTGTCGAGCATCTAGCTTGCACGCCAAGTTTCTAGGTTCCCCACAGAATCACCTTAGAACCTCGAATCTACTCAATGATTCGCCCTGACCGGTGCTGCCGGATGGCGAATGGCCACATGTCTTCAATGTCATTCTCTCTCCCATTTATTTTAGCCGTACCTAGTAGCTATTTCTATGAGCAAGGCAGAGAAAATTTGAAGGTATACAGCAGTCCCGGTAATACTCATTGAAACAAAAGGTCCAACCAGTGCCTAGGTGATATAGCCCAGGCGAGCAAGGAAAAGTTCGCGATGACTTCAGCAGCCCTAAGTATGCATAATGTATGCTGAATATGGGGATACAATCTCCAGCTCAACTACACCAGTCGGACCCTAATGCCGGGCTCTCGCCTTGTCCAAGTTTGGAGTGAAATCTGACTCGTGGGCATACATTCCGGGCGAACCCTGGAGAGGCGCGAGGCTGACACGTCTACTTCTCAACCAAGGTTCTACCAACAGTCGAATCGGCGCTTAGAAAAACGGAGAATTGCGAAAGCTCGATGAATTGGCATAGTATCAATTCACATCCCGAGAGAAGAACGTAGATCTATGATACATTATTTCACAACCTGAAAATTCCGAAAAGACTCCCAATTCTCCACATAAATTCATAATTTAGCGTCATTACCATCGTCGGCCGTAGACGGAGTGTTCATTACGCGAGTTTTTGATTGGGGGCTCGCGGCCGCGGCTGCGCGAATCAGACTGAGATGAGCTTTGAGGCGCGACATAGTCGGGCTCGTCTGCAGCGCTCAGTAGTCGGGCAGGCTTGAAATCCAGTTTGTCTTGATCATCGGTGAAATTATTCTCCGCGTCACGACCAAAGAGAGCCATCATATCACGCATGGTGAGCTTTCCAGCACCAGTCTTGCCCTCGATTGTGGCGTTGGCGAGTTCACGCTTGCGATCCTGCAGAGCAACAATTCGCTCTTCAACGGTGCCCTTAATCACCATCTTGTAGATCTTCACGTCAATGGTTTGGTTCAAACGGTGGACACGGTCAATGGCTTGCTCTTCCACAAACTGAGATTCGGGTTAATAAAATATACAGGCAATGGATAGGTGGGATACTTACAGGATTCCAGAAAGGCTCCAAAATGACTACACGGCTAGCGGCAGTCAAATTCAGCCCCAATGCACCGGCGCGCAAACTGCAAAGGAGAACACGAGTTCCACTGTGGTTACGCAGCTTCTCAAGACTAGCCTCGCGATGGTTGTTCGCCATTCCACCGTCGTACCGGGCAAAGCCAATATTGGCCCGCTTCAGGAAAGGTTCGATCTTGTCGAGCATAGAAGTGAATACCGAGAAAACAATGAACTTGAAGTCTGGTGCCTCGCGGTTGAGAATACGCATCAGGTGGCGAATCTTGGTCGATGGAAGCTCCCCATCTTGTCCTTCATTGTTGTAGATATCGTCATCACTTTCGGAATCGGTTTCCTCTTCGGATTCACTGAGAACGATGGGCTTGCTCTTTCGCCGAGATGGCGATTCAATTTCATCGCCAGAATCATCTGTCTCATCTTCAGAGTTGAGCCATTCACCGCCACCTTCGGGGTTCTCGTCCTCTAATCCCCCGGCCTTGCCAAGGCTGGGTAGCTTACTGTGCTGATCCTCAGGAACAATCCATTCGCCTTCCTCCTCTTCCTCGTCATCACTGTCAACAATGATGCGTCGGTTCTTGCGAGAACGGGCAATCTGCGCCTCCGATTTGCGAGCAGATGGTGATTCTGGTGCTCCATCTTGTTGACCACGGTTCTTCTTGGATTTCTTGGATTTCTTCTTCTTCGTATCCGCCACCATGAAGTTCGTGTTCAGATCAGCTTCGCACTCAACACAACGAGTGCCGCCTGCCTTGACTTCTTCTTTGCTGAGGTCGGTCTGACAAACATCGCATTTTCTTGTGACGACGCTCATAGCACCAAAGAGATCAGCAATATCATCAAGGTCGTCTGATTTTGACTGGCTGGACTGGCTAGACTGATTGTTTGAACTGCCGTTCTGGAGGAGGATGTCCTTGTCCTTTGCCAAGTCACCTTTGACCAGGTCAGGATGGTTACATGCCTGACGAAGACGCAGAAGCAAGACCAAAGCGCCAGCATAGTTGACCTTGGCGCCGCCCATCATTTCCTCAAGACTGTTTTCTGTGCGCTGTTCCAAGCGCTTGTAGAAATTCAACTCGCCAGGCATGAACTCTGCCCCAACCTTGATCACCTCACGCTTGGTGATGTGGAACCCATTGGATGACTTCTTTGGAGGCTCATCCGATGCCTCGTCGTCAGATTTGGAGGCATTATTGAGTCTGAGGACATCCTTGGTACGGCGTTTCATGAAGGCCTTCAAATAGACTTGTAATCGCTGAATAGCGAGACCTCCACGGCCATTATTCAAAGGCCTGCTGATTTGGTCCCTCCAAGCTGCCAAGTCATCGTAGGGCTTCACCCGGAGGAATTTGATCAGACTTTGCAACTCATCCAAGTTGTTTTGCAACGGCGTTCCTGACAAGCACCATCGGTACTGAGCATCCAAAGCATAGGCGGACTGAGTGGCTTTGGCGTTCCGGTTTTTGATGGTGTGGGCCTCGTCAAGAATGATACGGTACCAGTGGACGGCAAAGATACCGGCCTTTTTGGCCTTGTCCGATGCCGATGAGTTGAAATCGGAGGTGAGTGTTCCGTACGTTGTGATGACAACGTCGTACTGGTCCAAAGTGGTTGAAGTCTTCGCACGTGTTGTGCCATGATACAGACACACCCGAAGTTTGTGACTTGACTCAACTTTGTCTTTGATCTCCGATTCCCATTGTTTGATGAGCGCGAGGGGTGCGATGACGAGCGTAGAGCTGCTGCAATTTGGCGGCAGCTTGGTAGTCTTACCCTCGGATTCGGGGTTGTTCTCGCTGTGCTCGGTGGCAGATTTGGGGTTTCGGAGCAGCAAAGCAATTGCCTGCACGGTTTTACCCAGTCCCATGTCATCTGCAAGAATTCCACCTTTAGGGAAGATTCCCTTAGAGTTCTTGCGCCCGGTTTCTTTATCGCACATCCACCTCACACCTTCAATCTGGTGGGGCAAAAGCGTTACCTTCAGACCTTCAACGACCCCATCATCTTCCTCCTCTTCCTCCTCGTCATCTTCCTCTTCTTGCTCTTCTTCCTCATCAACTTCCTCTTCTTCGCCGTGTTTCTTGGAAACCTGGGCCTCATCTGCGTCACTGTCGGATTGTTTCGGTTCGGATTCGCGTTCCTTCGGGTCATTCACTGTTACACCGGAGAGTTGAGCGGCAAGATCATCAAGATCATCAGCAGCTTGCTCCTTTTTATCGTCCTCAACGACCACATCCTTCGACTTGGTCTTGGACTTCTTCTTTTTCGAGCCCTTCTTCTTTTTGTTTGTAGATTTCAATTGGGTCTTTTCCTCTTCGTCTTCAAAGGCACCCTCAAGCAAAGCCTTGATGTTTTCGTTTGCCATAGCTGTATCGACATAGCCATTCATGTCCATGGCCCCGAATCCGGAGGGAGCAGGGGCCGCTGGCTTTCGGGGAACTGGATCATTTGCATCGCGTGTAAGATCGATGAAGCTCTGGAGATTCTTGGACGAGTTGCTGGGTTTAGGCGGAAGAGGCTTGGATTGGAAGATCGGCCTTGGGGCTCGAGGTGTTGTCCAGGTGACATTCTCGGGGCGCTTAATGCTCACTGACCCCGGTTGAAAGCCCCCACGGTGATTGTTGTAGGCGGATGGTGCCACTGGCTTGAAGGGGTCCCATGGCTCGCTGCGCTTCGATGCAGGCGTGGCAGCAACCGCCCCAGATGGGACTGATGGACGATACCCTTGAGGCCCAGCAGGTGGGGGGTTTTGTCTCGCGCGTGGATCGGATTGGTTGTTGAATCTTTGAGGGACACGGTGATGTTCGGCACGTGCTTGGTTAGGCTTCGGAATGTTAAAGAGGTGATTCGATTTTTGCTGTGGGCCGATCGGCGAAGGTTTACCAAATTCGGGTTCCTGGATATGCGAGGGGCGATGTTGGTTGTTCGGCTTGCCTCCAGGGGTGAGGGGCTCTGTCGGCGCGGTGCTTTCTTTGGCCATGGCGTTGAACAAGCGGTGTGTTTTGGCACGTTGTGTGTCTCGGAAGTGGGGTTGACCTTCAGATAGAAGATCCTCCGGTAATTGTGTGGTCCAATATGTGTCGGATGAGACTCGTATCAATCAATCGCGAAGAGAGTTTGATCGGACTGGAATGTGTCAGTCTGTCTGGGGCCTTCAATGTTTCGGGGCATCCAAGCTGGAAAATAGCCCGAAATGACTAATGTGAAATAGAAGTGAGTGATATGGGAGTATAAATCTTACCTTCATGCGTAACACACTTCAAAAATTCTCGATTGTCGATTGTCGATGGTTGGTGATGGCGGGGTTGCGAAGTGAAAGAGTTGCGGCTGTTATCGATATCAGTGTGTTTGCAATTGCCCCGGCAACGAGCTCTGCCTGAGGCGGACATCGATTACTCACTCCTATCCTCCGAACTACACCTGGGCATATATATTCATGGACTCATGAGATTCTCAAACTTTTATGTCTTTGACTAAAATTACAATTTTTCCAGCTCCTTCTCAATAACCCTCCAAGCCTTGGGCAACAACGCTCCACCAAGCCAATAGTCGTCACCATAATCTTTCCCGAACATGACGAACGCGTTGAAAGCATCGTACATATGATCGAGGTATTCGTTGTAATAACTGATCATGGTACCTGGTGGATTCCGTCTGGTCTCTGAGCTCTCGCCCTGTCGTATCACTGCGGGTCCAAACTGCGCAGTCTTCATTAATTCGATCTTGATAACATTGTTGACAACCATGCAGACAGCGTTCGAGGGCCCGAACAAAATGCGAGGCTCTCTGCCTTCCTCGATATCTTTCATCATGCCGTTCATCAACAGACGACCTTGCACCTCTGTTCCCTGCTCGGCAGTATGCTGCCGATTCACCAATGCAATTTCACTGAGGGGCGCCCGGGCCATCTTGGCTGAAAGGAATGTGAATGTCCCGACGCAGATGTTCTGAATAAACACACCGGTCGATTTAGCCAACAGCGGAATCCGGAAGCGCATGTTCAAGAAATTCAGGACAGTGATTGGACGAGAGCTGGACTCTGATAAAGCCAAGCACCGTGCTGCCCACCCAGAAATAATGTCATTCTCGGTGACCCACGGGGCATTTTCGATGTCAGTGGCATTCTGAGTCAACTCAGTCTTGATCTGAGCTTTCATCTTCAGGAATGATTCCTTTGGAAGGTAGATGACGCGCTTTTCGCGTGTGCCATTCCAGAGGTAGTCCCAAAGGAATCGCAACTGGAACAACACCAGGCTGGCCCCACTGAGACGATCCTTTTCTAAGATGAGCTCTTCTTTCTCTTCCTTTCGAATATCTGGGTGGTGAAGAATATCTTCTCGGGCACCTATCACTTCGGGAACTTCATCTTCCCGTCCAGCCAATACTGCCGACCATCCAGCCAGCAAAGCTTTGCCACCCATAGCATCCATCAATTGATGAGGCCAGGATAGGGCGATAATGGTCGCATCGTGGAAAGAGGTAACGTGTACAGAAATCGGAGGAATATCACTCTGTGTCATGTCGCGAAATACGGGGAAATTTTCGCGGCTATTGAAGGGTTTGGAATCGGGCGAGACAAGGTGGAGGGATGGGCCGACGGTCCTCGTTGGGAGTTTGCTGGCCACGGGGTCATCGCCAATTGCAGAATCAATCACATTGTGTGTGAAAGATACATTCTCTCTGGGTCCGGAGGATGATCCTGGAACGAATATCTCTAACATGCCGTCCGGCTGCTCATGGTTAGTATCGCCATACCACTTCAACACCTAACACTGGACAAACCTTGTATCGAAATCGCCCACCAAGTTTCTTCCAGTCACCAATCTCCAGTAGTCTGGACAGGGACTTCTTCAGCATATCGGCATCAAGGACATCGTTGTATCGCATCACCCAGTCGACATAGTTTGGATTGTGATCCAACGTATGCAGAGGGTAAACATCATCAGGGACATAAGGAATCTCATTCACGACGCAAGAGACTTTCTCGTGCATCTTTTCTGAATCCATATTGTGTGAACTTCAAGGTTGACGATTGAAGACTTCTTCCAAATTACAGTTTTGCGCGGATTTACCATAGCTGCTATTAATTTCATTCTGGTCACAAATTGTCTAGCGCGAAGCACGATTAGGTTCATCAAGGCCAAGTATAGCCCCGTTCTAGTGTGATCTAGTGTGCGCTAGCCCTCGAGCTACTTAGACCCACGCTAGGCATTAGTATTGTTCTGAACGTGTACTCGGAAAAAAGCCCCGTAGATATTCCTGTGAGTACAAACAACACAACTATCTCCAAGAGCTAGGGCCTGTCAATTTCAATTATCCATACCAGTTTCACTACCGGTTGTTGATATCTGAGACCTTTTTATCAAATCTGAGTTTTCTGTTACGAGTGGAAATATCCACATCCGCTTATTGTGGATCTGCTTGAGCATCTGAAGATCCATCTGTCATCCACACAACCAACCCATTCAGATTTGACTTTGCCTGAACAGCCTTTGGCCAGGTGAAATCTGCCCCTGTCTAATTTAATTTTCCTCTCGATCGATCTGCTGAGAGTTCGACATCGCGCCTAGTCAGATCCCAACCAGCATTTCTATTTTCGTTTACTTTCGCCGAATGGGGCCCTAATTTCCACTCAACCGATTTCATCAGGGAAAGCAAAACACATCAGCACAAGTACATTGACATACATCCGCAGTGCAATGCACACATAATTTATTCCGTATTGGCATGGAAGAAGACAGACACACAGCAACCCTTGCATATACAAGGGTCATGGAGGACCAATGAGGCTGCAGTTAAGCGGCGCACTGGAATTGGACACGGGGTTGGCGCAAGTGCGAGTAGACCAGACGCAAGGGCCTCCACTCCGGAAACTGCTCCCTTGGAGTTCTCTTCGGAGGTTTCTCGTACAATTTCTTTCGGATGTTTCGGATGTACTCGTATGGACTGACAACAACTCCATTTATGGAGCAAGATCTGTTGAGTTGCCGGCGACACGAGATTCGCCGACGTCCCACTCCATTTCTCAACCAATAGTGCCGGAAATAAACCGGTGCCAAACAATCTGGCCCATCTGGATTGCAGATTGGCATCTACGAGTACATAGCAAGTATTTACCAAAATGCCGGATCCATTACCGAAAGTCAATCTGAGTTTTACATCGAGATTAGACTTCAGGAGGTATGGAGCTAATTTGGTGGCTTTCAAATCTTGTTTTTCTAATCATCTTTCCACATCGAAGGAACGCTGTATTTCATTGTGTTTTGTTAGTGCTAGAAATCTCCGAAATCATGGATTCACTTACGAGACTTCAATGACTGCACATTTTCCACCCTGAACAATCGCTGTTGCTTCCTGGATAGTGGAGTCGAGTTCACCTTGCGTGGTGACTGAGGCACCCCAGGCATTTCCGGCTGCAGTCGCAATCCCAGGGTAATCGGGCGAGGGATCAAAGGAGATATTGAGGTCTGTGATGGATTAATTAGGGACCGCAGACCAGATGGATGACTTCCATTGAACTTACCGCGTCTATTCGACTTTGAAGATAACCCGTTCTTGTGCACGAGAAGTGCAGATACTTTCGGCGCATTCCATCCACCATTATTGAGCACAACCATTAGGAATGGAATATCGTAGCGTCTGGCAATCCAGTAGACGCTCTCCATTTGAGAGAACAGATAGACTCCGTCGCCAACACTGAAAACGTTAGATGCCGCAATAGACATTCATCCTCATCGGCTGCAAAAACTCACATCCCACACACGAAAGAACCTGGTTTGCCTAGCTTGACACCCAAAGTTGCACCACCACCCCATCCAAGACCACCAGCGCCGCTCGCAATCAGGCTTCCAGGCTAAAACGTTGTGAGTGAATTTTCTCGAGTATGAAGTCACTGGTGAACACAAACTTCGGTCAAATTCAGGTGATGAATGAGATGTCCTGCATTGGTCACAGCCTCTAGAACGTACACAGTATCCTTGGGAAGAATACTTCGCAATCTTGAAGCCAGATAAGGCACACCCACTACACCATCTTCTGTTGGTGCCTCTAGTTGAGACAAATTGGTTCTCCACAATTGATAGTTCTTCGATCGCGCATCAAAGACTTTTGTGTAATGACTTTTGGAAATTTCTTGTTTGTCCAGGAAAGAGTTAATCTGCCGTATCGCATAACCACAACCAACCTTGAATCTCCGAGTTGCAGGGATAGAAAATACTGTGAAATAACAGTTAGATAACAGTTAGATAACAGTCTGGGTGGACAACGGCTCTGCACGTACGGGGCATTTGTTGTTTCAGCGGATCAACATCTAGATGGAAGATCTTTGTGCCTAAGACGCGGTCAGTAATGACTTCAACCCAAGATCTCTCAGTGTATTTACCATGTCGAGGCGTGCCGGCCGTGGGAATCCAAGGCACGTCACAGTCAAGGATAAGAATAACATCGGCTTCGAGAACTTCCGGGTGAGTACTGACAGTGACACCACGGTATGCTTCATGGTCACTTCTAAGACAAACATCAGAGCCAACCATCTCCACGACAGTAATCGGCAGCTTATCACATAGCTCAGCCAACAGGGCTGGTGCTTTGAGGTTTCGTCCGAGAGAAGTGGTGAGCACAAGTGGGTGATTTGCTCCCATGAGAGCATTGGCGATCAATTCCACATCTTCGCGAGTTAGTGCATTGCATCCAAGACTGAGAGATATTGAGCTTACCTTCTTCTGGTAATGCGCTTGGTGAAACTGGGCTGACAACTTCTCCGTCCATAATTTCCGGGCCGACGCGCTTGCATCTTGTTAGCTTGATCCATTAAATCTGGCGGTGGTATTTCTTACATCCTCGAGGACCTCCCTGGCTGCCATCAGATAGGTCGGGCCCTTTGGATCGGAAGTAGCAAATTCCAAGGCTCGACGGACCATCTGTTTGATGTTGCGCCCGGTCTTGATCTCACCGGTATACCTGCAGTACTGTCGCACAATCGCAGATTGATCGGGAACATCTTGCAGCCAATGAATGAATCTGAAAATTGGTGAGAATTTTTACTGTGAACATTTCAAGTACGTGCTCTCACTCAGTTCGTGAACCCAACAGCTCACCCCTTGAAGTAAAGGGGCTCAACCCAGCAAAGCAAAGGACAGGGACTCTGCTAACAGAGGCATTGTGTATGGACTGGCCCAAAGCCAACGTTCCACAGTCGACATGGACAATCACACATTGCTAGACCTGGGTCAGCTTACATCAAAATAGCACGGCGAGTTCGTGATCGTACTGGAATCCCGGTAACTTGAGCATATCCCAATGCTGCCGATAGTGCAACAAGCTCAGAGGGACATGTGATGATATTTGGAAAATTGGTCTTGTTTTCTTCACGGAATCAATTATTTAGGCTCATGAATACAAGATTCCGTACTAACCTTGTTTCGCCTTGATCATAGCTTCCAGCATGGCAGGATGATCGCTTCCCCTATCCAAGCGGTTATGGCGTGGACGCTCGATAAGGATCATGAAGACTCACAGATTCACAAAGCAGTGGGAGACACCGGCTTCAGCTAAGGAATTGATAAGCTTTGGTCAATCCAGAGTAAGTATTCAGGGCTCTCATACACAGGGCCTCGAAAAAGTTCTCTGCAGCAGACGTGAGCGCACCGTCTTTGACAATGTCGGCCTCATCGTCACTATCACTCTTCCTCCGCTTTTGTGGGACAGTTTGGCTTGCCATGTTGTATTGGCTTGAAATCAAGTTGAAGTGAGAAGGACAAGTTCAAGTCGATCGGCGAGAGGAACAATGTCGCTCTTATACAGTCCAATAAACCCTAGTCACCTGATCGCCTGCAGCAGCAGATAGTGAAACCTTAAGTGAATTGCCCCTTGACGACGTTCAAAGTGCTGAATCCAGCACTTGAGGTGCCGAGGGTAAACTCAGCTTTTGTCATTTATCAAGGACAGAACGCTTCCCCTCATCTCGCGTCCGCTCTCCCGTCCCATAGCCGTCGGATGCCCCATGAGAACGGGTGCCTACAAGCTCTTAGGGTTTTCTTTTCTCTAGAATCTGCGCATTATCCAACAAGACTAATGCTGCCAGCGCATGCTTTCTGGGTGCTTTGGACCTGTGCGACGGCTTCAGGGGGGTACCCCTGATTTACAAACTAGTCGAGGGTCAAATTACATATTGGATGATGTAGCCACTATAAAGACCCAATCTATAAATGTAGGTCTGCCACCGACGCGCCTTCAATGTGCTGGCGAAATCTATAGACCTCGAGCGCCTCACATCTGGGTTCCAGCACCAACCTTTAAAGGTTGGAAAATGTTGCCATCCCCAAACCAAACCCCCCCAAAACTCGGCAAACCCCCGATTATTTCAGACTATGATATGCCGCGCGTAAATGGTTCATTTATGGAGAGCACATTTCCGCTTTTTTTGATTCTCAATTCCGCGCTCTATACCAGACTGCCGAACAGCGCAGTTTCTTGGTCTGACCGCGGGATATCCGCATGGGGCCGAGCTCTCCAAGGTTGGTATATCACCGTGTATCACTCATTTGACAACTTATCAATTCTGATCTTGGAAATTGCTAAAGCTTGAGTAGATTGATAACAGGTCTAGGGTATGCGAAACACCTGCCTACAGACGTGCCAAGTAGGTTGTACTCAGTGGTCAACCCTGGAGAGCGGCGGGGCCTGAGCACTTTTGATGGAATGGAACGCCAAGAAATGGTAGAGAAAACCGAGTACCCAATTGTATCATTCGGTCTGAAATTCCCTGAGTATTCATGCTCAAGTGGATTCCAACCTTCGATTGATATGGGGGAAATTGGCTTCACTCAACTCGCCCGCCAACCTTGGAAGTAATTTCCAAGGTTGAACCCCGGCCATCTTGGAACTTCTAAACTTCAGAAAGACTGATTCCGCGATATGGCGCCCGGGAGCTTTGTAAGTTCATATTTCACCGATGACACTCTTCAATATCTCGGGAACAACAAGGCCGGCGTCCCCAGTAAAAAACCAGTCGCCGTCGTGGAGTTTGCCCGGCTTATCATTGGGGTCCATATTGCACACCGCAACCAGAGCGCCATGTTCACGAGCCTTTGCAACATATCCAGCAGCCGGGTAAACCTTGGCACTGGTACCAATCACTAGGCATAGATCGACCGGACCTTCTGCAATCCAATTCTCCACGGCAGTCATGGTTTTCTCTGGCAAGGCTTCGCCGAACCATACAACCCCGGGTCTGAGTAGGCCCTCCTTGCATTTCGGACATTGTGGCAAGTCTTCTTCTTTGATATCTGGAATGGGAACATTAGAATCCGAGATATCGAGCTCGTTGTCGGTACCAATAGCCTGCCCGAGGGTTTTGGCAGCTTCTTCGCCAGTTTTGTCTGTCGACGAGGGTTTGAGATCGGCGATTCTCCTTGGAATATCCAGGGCTGGAACGATAGGGTCTGTGAAATCATTTGAACGGGTGTAGTCACAGTAGAAATTGGTGCATTTGATATCGAAAAGGGACCCGTGAAGTAGATGCAATTGCTTGGAAGGATGATTGGCCCGCTGCGAGAGCCCTATCGGTCATGACGTATGATGGTCAGCATATGAGAAAACTGACAACGGTGAGCTCTCATACCATCGACATTTTGACTTAATGTGATAAAATTCTCATTTCTTCGTGCCAACTCCGCTAACGCGTAGTGGGCTTTGTTTGGTTCGGCCTGGAGAGCCATATGTCGCCGATAGCTGTAGAATTGCCATACCAGTCCGGGATCTTCCCCAAAAGCTTCAGGGGTTGCGAGCGAGGTGGCATCATGCGAGCGCCACAGCCCGCCGGCACCGCGAAATGTGGGCAAGCCAGAAGATGCTGAGATACCAGCACCAAGGAGAGCCACAATTCTCCTACATCCTCTCAGATATTGAGTAAATGACAGGAGATCGGCAGCTGGGACTATAGGCTTTGCTACTGGCCTCATAATAGATAATTTTTGTGTTCGGGTGTTAGCCTTGAGATGAATACAAGACAAAATGGGTATCGGGAGTGGCGGGGAAAATACATGAAAGAACCTGCGTAACAAACACCCTTGCTCTTGATGCCTGATTTGTTGGGCATGCTATTTGTACCATCCAACGAAAGCTGAAAAATTTCAGACATCAAATTTGGGACTTTGAATAAATTCACCATGGACTTCGACTTCAAAAGAGATCCACTTGACCATACTAGTGTGCTCGGCTTCCAGCTCACACTTCAAAATTGAACAACCATATGCTGCCTGCACAGGTAATTGTCTCTAACTCTCCGTAATATTTTTTTTTTTTTTGGGGAGGTTAACTCCAGGGCTAGAGAACATCGAAGGAAAGATGTAAATCAAACCCCTATAGGATTTTTTTTTCTCAAGCCGAGGCAGTGGTATTGCGAGTGAGCCAAGCACCAAAAGCACCTAAACTCGCGAGTTTAACACCACCCGCAGCTATTGCAGCATTTACAGCCGACATACCCATGCCACCAGCACCAGCACTTTGGGCAAGAGCTGCCACTGAGCCTATGATCATCATGAGAAAAGGTACGGATGAAGAATGGACTTGAAGAATAACATGTGTGATCTTCTACAAAGACGGGATACTTGGATGTTGACGTACCAGCTTGAATGCCACTTGCAGTAAATCCCAGACCTGCTACAACTGGTGCTGCCACTAAGACCGGAGCTGCAGCAACAACCGCCCCTGCTGCTCCTACCGTCAAAAATCCGGCTTGCGCAGGATTGTTAAAAGCCCAGGATGCCCCCTATTTAAAAGTCAGCTCATTGTTAATAGCATGGATTATATTTTAGTTGGAATGCGGACCTGGGCAGTGAGGTTGGTCGCGTGTTCAAAGAAACCCATGACCAGTCTGATAATTCAAGATGCCCCCAATGTTGAAGTAAAACTCGCGGATCAGCTGTATTGTGGTGTAGTAGAAAAAATCTTGGAAAAAAGCAAAACTTAGGTATACTCAACAAGAGCATTCCTAAAACAAATGTAAACTTTAGAAGGAGGCGAAAAATCTACTTAAATAGCAGAGGAAGACTAAATACCCATAGACCACTGGAGCAAGCAAGCAAGCAAGCTGGGAAAACAGTGTATTCTAAAGTTCTGTCCACGGGTCACACCTTTGATGTATAATCAAATGAAGATTCTTTGACTAGGCAGGCCTTGCATTAAATTTTGACTACATCGTTGTCCTGGTCACTATGATTTAGTGATACGATCTAACCAAGCAATCCACGAATACCCATGGATTGCAATTTCAGACTTACTGCCGTGTTGAGATGCAACAGCTCTAGAGTGACACCAATACCCAGGTAAAGCAAATAAACTACAACTTCTATCACAATCTTGGGAAGTATGCGTCTGTTGTTTATTGCGCGAAGTAATGATTGAGCACCTGGTATACTTCTGGATTTGGCCCCCACGCCAAGGTGCTCCACATCGCCTGTCCAGGGCTAGTTATCTTGGAAGGCGGTACTGTCAGCCTAGAAAAGAAGCGCCCGACCAGGTTATCCATCTGTTCTTCAACTTGTTTTCGGGTCGAACTGTGATATTATTCATAAATGTTGAGATAGATCCCTGGACTACAAAGTTCCTATGTTGGTACTTTGTTTCTCAAACGACAGGTGGCACCATCAAGAATGCGAGATGATTTGGAATGGAAGCGACTGAGGCTCAGAAAGAAAATCCGCCCTCAAAATGATGAATGCAAAACTTTCAAAAATGAGTCTCTTGCCTCTCGGCTGCGGCCACTTACACCCCCTCTTCCAGAAGCCAACGACTCCATAAAAACATCATCAAGTCGCCCATGGCGGCTGTCACGTTCCAAACGGCAAGAACAGCAGACATTCGACCAGAATCAATCCCCTCTCTTCAATCGCTTACCAGCTGAAGTCCGATTACTTATCTGGGAGCATTATCTGAGCAATCAGAAGCTACATATGATACTCTCCAACCAACATACGTGGAAGCAATCCGACTCAAAAATCATAGGATTGTCTTGCAGCGAGAGTCGTGATTATTGCCCATGTACTCATCATTGCTGGGGACAGCGAGCCCGACGCCCGGCTGGTGGTTGTGTTGAGGTTATCAAACACGTTGATTCACGGTGGCACGAAGAACATGAGTGGAATTTCGACACTGGGAGGGTGGACTTTGTGCCACTCCTTCAAACATGTCGAGCAATGTAGGCTCAACATCACTTTTTTTTGGTGATATCCCCGGCTAAAGCAACAGCAGATATTCCGAGAGCATTGACATGATGTATCAAAACAATACATTTCTCTTCAACAATACATCTACGATCGTGGACCTTTCTCATACGCTGTTACCACAGCGCATGAATTTGATTCGAAATGTGCAACTCAGCTTTTCAGATCCTGGGGGACCGACGTGGGAGGCATGCTGTCAGGTTCTGGCTACAAGAATGCCGGATCTCAGAAACCTGATCATCCATTTGTACCCTCACGTCACAAAGTTCTTGGACTCTTGGCTTCTGCCTCTACATCAGATACAACAAGCCTCGATTTTTGAGGTTACTCTGATTAAACCGTGGTATTTGGATCCACAGTGGGAAAAATCAGTTGGGCTTATTGCTGCTCCATTCAAATTTGCGCTTGTTGATACGCAAGCACGCTGTGTGACTTTTCCTAATGATCAAACTCGTACAGAGTGATAAAGCAAGTTCAATGAAACACATGAAAAGTTGGCATGATACACTGACAATCACTTGAATCATTCATTTGTTGCATTCCATCGTTGAATCGACCCAGATTTGTACCGATGCAGCAAAAAGCACAGTAAAAGGGCTCATTGAAGCATATTTTCCCACTCATTCCTCAGCTCTTCCAAGGATCTAACACAAGGTTGAGATGGCCTGAAAATTCTCTGGCCTCTGAAGTTCATTTCCAAACCCGCGAAGGAGATAAAGACGTTGATCTCACCATCACTTAGAACTTTGATATGTCCTGGTCCAAATCCCTCCTGTGTGCCGTACAAATAGTGGAGGTTGAGACGACAGTTTTCTCTCGTGTGCTGGACACCGTGCAGGGTGCTGCTGAAAGCCTTTGAACAAAGCTCACCCCATACCTCATATTCATGTCGATAGAGAGTAAGATGGGATCTGAACGACTCAATATTCGCCCGAGATGATATCCAAGATTCTGGAACAATGGGTATGAGTGCGAACTCCTCCCCAAACAATTGCGGATACATGGGATTTCCTCGTGCTCGAGAGAATTCGTTCAGGTTGTGTGATGTTGTGATATCGTGTTGGTAATCAGCGACACAGCCGAGGCTAGGTTCTTTGTTCGTTGCGCCTGGAAACGTTTGGCCCTAGATTGAACAGTCAGACACGAGTATATCTTCAGATCTGTATATCCTTACTGTTGGTTGGTCCGCCACATGGAAGAAAGGGTTGATCTGGCATCCAGTCTGCTCACTGGCTGCGCCATGTAGTGTAATCGGACCTCCAATAACTTCTTCGTCTGAAATAGTACCGAGAGGCACTCTGTCTTGGGGCATAGTACCGGACTTATGGTGGTTGAAGTGCGAGCTCAAGCTGACCCCATAGCAGCCATCTTCTTGTGTAGTGTCTCGAACTGGACAAAGCTCTCCGCTCTCAAACTTTGGCTTCTTCTGTTGTTGCGGATCGGGGGAGACCCCTGCTTTCCTCTTCTGCGACTGAATATCAAACCCCATTTTATCACCGAATTGACGTTGAAAGCGGAATGGTGAGCCTAAACGTGGGCCGGGTGCGTCTGGTGCAATGGTCGCTTCCGCAGTGGCGCCTGTCTCTGGATGAAGAGCCCCCAAGTCACCCTCAATGAACTGGACCCTCCATTCCCTCCTCAAACTTTGCTCAACTCTGACGATTCCGGTTGGTACAGTCAGAGTTCCATCCTGAAAGGCCTCGAAAAGGCGCATCTTTGCAATCGGTTTATGACTTGACGAAGGCAGACCGAAGTGAAGGAGCTGTGCTTGGTACCAAAGCAAATCGTAATCAGACTGACCTCGAGGATCAGAGATGCCACGTAGTTCTTCACGTGTCGCTCGAACAAAGTGATGGTCTTTCTCGGGACACGTAGTGAAACGAGCGCCATCGAAGAAGAAGGGGCCATGCCCGACAAGAATCGTATCCATGACTACTAGTGACTGATTCCCCAGTGAAGCGAACAAGAGACAATCAAAAGAGACGATCAGAAGAAGAGACAAATTAGAATAAAGAGTACCTAGGCGGGATAACAGATCCAAAAGGGGACGACGACGACATCATCGCATTTGGACGCTTAGTCGTCGTAGTTTCCATGCAAACGATGATGTTGGGTGTGCTTTCTTTCTTGTATTCTACTGCAGTCTTCTCCAGGGCTTTCACACTCATAAATGTACTTAAGTATCCACGGGAAAAGTGCAGGAGACTTACAAAAAAAAAATTGTAAAATGATCACGATGCTACTTGGACTTATGCTACTACTTTGTCACTCCGAATGGAAGCCCTGGAGGTGAGGTCAACCGAAGTAGATGCCATTTTCGTTGTGTAGTGCTGTCACTTACCAATCTTTCCGAAAATTCTGGATTACAATGTAGACTGATGTAAACAAGTAGTCGTATCATGATTGGAATATATGTGAGCCTGTAGGGCTCCAAGGATGATCTACTCTGTACTCTGCCACTCAATCTAAGCGAAGACCACTCTTCAGGTGGTGAAGGGATATACCATTTGTGACTGATTATTGGTCAAGATGCCAAATGAGCCGTTGAAATAAAAATTTGAATAATCAGAAGTTCAAATGCATCATCAAACCATCTCGTTTGGAGATGGTCAGGTCATTGATGTTCTGGCTCAGGGGAGGGTCAGAAGACGTGGGCTTTCGTCCACGGGTGTCTTTCCAAATGAGCAATGACCGTCGGGAGCCACATCAAAAATGAGCAGGAATATTTTACCCCTAAGTCTCGGACAACTCCTACTTTTAGCCAAAGAAAAAGAGAGTGTGTGACAGACACAGAGAAACTTAGAAGCTTTGAGCCCGAAATAGACATGGGACCAATGAGCTGGCAGGCTATCAGTTTACCCTTCGCGATAAGCTCCCCACTCTCGACGTCAACGTCAACCTCCCCTACACATTCATTCAACCACTTAACCTTACTATGAATCCCACTTCTATAGCCAGCTCGCCAAAGATCTCTCCAAACTCCGAACCCAGTACACTGCCCCATCGCCCTCTGCGAAGCTCAGACTCACCCAGAGACGCACCCATACCCGACGACGACCATGGTGCAGATCTCCCAATGAACATGTCAGCATCTGTCATGTTGACCAACCTACCTCGCGATGCGACACAGGCACTGGCAGACGTTGAAACTATCGACTCGGGGAAAGGTTGGTGTCCATATTTCAGCATTGGGGTTACAACTAGCTGACCAGCACAGTCACCGTTCGCTTCCAGCCTCTACCATCTGCTCCGATTCTTAAGAATAAAGTGTTCAAGGTGAGCGCATCACAGAAATTCGAAACGGTTGTCAAGTTCTTGCGCAAGAAGCTGGATTGCAAAGAGACCGATTCTGTCTTTTGTTATGTCAACAGTGTATTCGCGCCCGGGTTGGATGAAGGCGTGGGTGGACTTTGGAGGGTGAGTTGAGCTACCCAACATCCGAAATCATGCATCTAACGTTTGTCTACAATGTAGTGCTTCAAGACTGACGACCAATTGATTGTGGCGTATTCAATGACTCCAGCATTCGGTTGAGACAGCTCAACTGGACGAACGATGCTATGTACAATGACGATGAGAAAAAGCTGTGCAACATGCAGAACGCCCATCAGAAACAAAAACAGAAAACGTCCGTGTGGTGATTACACCCGATAAACCTCATCCACGGCCTTCTCAAATTCAGCGAGTTCATCCTTCGTGATGGGATAGGTGTATTTCTCCGAAGGGAACTCGCGACTCTTGACTTCATCTCGATATAACGAGATACCCCTCGCGGCTTCTCCCCAGACGTCGGCATACTTTTTAACGAATTTTGGAACAAACCGACCAGGCTGGAAGTTACCTGTCATGTCAACCTGCACGAGAACTTGGCCCGAGCAGCCGTTACCAGCGCCAATGCCTATGGTCGGGATGCGGAGCTTCTGTGTGATGATCGCCGCTACCTCTGAAGGCATAGCTTCCAAGACAAGCATGAATGCACCAGCTTCTTGCATTGCCAGTGCATCCTTCAGCAATCTCAAAGCGCTAGCTCTGGTCTTTCCTTGAACTCGGAAACCACCGAGAGCGTTCTGTCGCTGCGGTGTTAACCCGACATGCCCTACCACCGGCACACCAGCTTGCGTGATGCGTTTGATTGTAGGCGCGAGTTCCTCGCCACCTTCGATCTTGACGCCGTGGATACGACCTTCCTTGACTAGCCTTAATGAAGATTCAATGGCTTGTTCGGCGGAGACTTCATACGAGCCCATTGGCAAATCCCCAATCTATTTGCATCAAAAGTCAACTCGCGATTTCACGCAAAGAGAGCCAGATACCAAACTCACAATAAAAGCACTTTTGGCTGCCCGCGCTACACTCCGGCAATGCAGAATCATTTCGTCCATTACTACCTCGGTGGTATTGTCCAGTCCGAGGGCAACCATTCCCAAACTATCTCCCACCAACACAATGTCCATTCCCGAGGCGTCAGCCACATGTGCACTGGGGAAGTCGTGTGCCGTCAACATGGCGATCGGTTCGCCTTTTTTATAAAGGTTCTGCAACGTTTGGATGGTAACCTTCTTGCGCGGCTTGCCATTATCGTTCAGTGTCGGTCCCGAATATGAACTTTGCCGTGTTTGCGAGGAATGTGTCGGGGATGCCACAGGCAATGGATTAAAGCGAGAGGAGAGGAGGGATGTCCGATGCGTTCGGGTATGCGTGGCTGTCTTGACAAACGAGGACAAAAGCGTTGTTCGCCGCAGCGCGAGGCTCGGTGCTGCCATTGTGGTTGATAGGGTGAAACCCGATGGAATTTGCGGTATTGATTTCGTATCAAATATTCGGTGGTTCAACTAGTGATCACCTCACACTATCAATCCAATGGAGCTGGTACACAGAAACCGGCGATCACGCGAGCAAGCTATCAAAGCTTCGGCTGGTCACAACTTCCAAGGTTCACCAACCCGTCAAAACTCGTAGGATATTTGGGATAAATATGAGCCAGCGTTTGTCAGCTTTATTCATCTATCCATTCGTCCGGACGTACTGGGTTATGCAGCGTAGACGGGAGCATCTAAAAATTCTGGAAGATCATCTTTTTTTACTGCCGTCGATTACAGTGCCGAGTACCGAGATGTTTTGCGGGGCAAGATCCCTACACATGTCACCACGTACTTAAGTAGTGAATGGTCAGGCTGGGGCAGTTACTGCGTTGAGTGAAATCACTGGGAACTCATCACATCTTATATTGCGTACTTGAAACTGTTGACAAAGGCTCTCCAAAGTTAGAACGCTGTTTATGACGGCTTTGTTACCTCTCACCGCCTTGGTGGTAGCCTAGACCGCCTACGGCTTTGCGCCGAGGTGATTACCGAATCGGGAAATGGTCTAGCTACAAGTCTTTGTTGGGGATCTTTTGATAGGGCTGGTTTTATTTCTCAAGATTTCAATAGCAGACATTTCAATTAACACGATACAAGCTGCATAGAGATCATCGAGGCAGATAAATGCTTATTCAGGGAAATAATGTCACGAGAAAGGGAATGTCTCCTGGAGACTCAATTACCTGTTGGGCAACGTCGTCGAAAAACAAAACACCACCAGTAAGACACAAGGAAAAGGTGAGATAGGAAAAATGGGCCCGTAGGACCAGAAAAGTGGGATAACGATGTGATGAGAGGGCCATGCAAGGGAGCCCTGAGGCTCATGCGTTTGTCCATTTTACCTTCGGTACATCACAACCGGCCAAAACACGAGATGAACTGCGCGGACTGGTGCGATCGCTTAGGCGAAAGCATGCATTGCAAATTTTTCAAGACACGAGGCGTGAGCCCAGAAGTGCGGTCGGCGAAGAAATTTCGAATTTCGAATTTCAAAGGGGGATGCTTGGGAGAAATCAGATATTGAATACAGTGGGAGAAGTGGAAATGTTGTCAACGAGTGGACGACTTGGGAACAAGTCAAATCAAGCAGAGAGAACCTCCGATCGATGATGTTGCTGATGCAAAATAAAACAAAGAAAACGCCACCATGCATGTGCGTCTATGCCGAAAGATTGATTATGCATCTGAAGTCCAAGTCAGGCATGACAGGAGGTAATGAAGTGTGGCAGTGAGGCAGGAAATGTAAATCAGAATGCAATCTCGACTTGCACTGGGGAAGGAGTAAAGGTATTCGATAACAGGTGCTGTCGAGGTCCAAAAAAAATCATGGCGTGCAGTAGTTAACAGCAGGCCTATTCGTGATATTCGTATTCATCCTTGAGGGGACGCTGGATTTCAGAGAGAAGGGCGTCAAGTTCCGCCCAGTTGGTTGAATTAGCGGCAAAGCGGCGATGTTTTCGAGTAAGAGTATGCTGGAATACAAGTCAGTCAAAGTTTTTTCGAAAATACAATATGGGACCTATATTACCTCTTCAAAGTCATCGAACTTGTCTCTGCAGTTCTCACAGTACCCGGGCTTCGGGTCCCGTCGCCTTTCAGCTTTCTTGTGATGGGCATCCTTCTCATCCCTGCTCCGTTTGGAGCCGGCATGGTCGTGGTGGCCCTGGTTCTCATTGTGGGAAAGGTTTGACTTCCCAGGGGGGTTGAGGTTGTCCTTCATAGGAACCGCAGTTGACTTTTGTGGCGCAGCCATCGACCCAGGTGTGAAGCCACCTGTACCCTTCTCGAGAACCTTTCGCTTGAGGCCATGGACCTCTTTGCTTAGTCCAGCCTTTGCACCAGGTGCTGCAGCAGTTGACGAGATCATCTGTGATCGGATGGCGGATGTCATATTCGAGGGTTGAACACCGGAAGCCGCAGGCTCATGTCCAGTGTAGAAAGGGCCGGTACGGGGGAAGTGTGGAGGAATGAAACTCTCTGAGCTCTTTCGCTCATGGGTATCATCTCCAAAAGGCTTTTGGGTGTCATTCTGAATTGGTGGTGAAACACGCTCCTCGTGTTTGACAGACGGCTTGGCGAGCTCCGTCGCTTGCCCTGCTTCAATAGCCCTAGGAGCAGATTCTAGAGGTTTTGGTTTAGGTTCACGAGCTTCAGCCTTCAGTGCAGCTGCCTTCTTTTCTTTCTGAAGCTGGCGTAGTCGGTGACGGTCGTACTCCTTTCTGCTTGGGGGTTCGTCAACAAAGGGGCATTTGCCTAGAGGTGCGCTCCGGAACTGAGGCCAGGCCCCATCTTGTCGTCTGGCAACTCGGGTGTATTCGCGGACCAGAACCGGCTTGGTCTTTTCATTCATGTCGTGAATGTAGATGAATGGTCCCTTGAAAATCAACATCTCCATTGATGCCAATGGATCACGATCAGATGGCCCATTTAGTAGTTCCTGGCGGAGCACTCGCGACAGATCGTTTTCACCTTTCCCATGTCCGGCACTGACACCTTTATTGCGTGAGGCATTGTCGTATTGACCGCCAATGTCACTGTCATTGATGGTGGTAATCATACGCTGAAGCTTCTCCAGAGCCCAGATCTTCATGCCCATCTGCCGAGCTCGTTGAAGAATATCCTTGATCCCTTGGTCACGTCGGGTTTCAGTCTTGAGTGTGTGAAGGTGAGGCTCGCCATTCCGCTCCAGGAGTGAAGGATTGACGGTTTGAACGTTTCTGTCGCCATTTGTCGGTTCGGTGGCAGTTGACTCAGGTGGAATAGTACGCGATGTAACAACATGAGTTACCAGACGTGAGAAAAACTTCTCCTCGCGCTAGAATGCGGTCAGTCAGGAACATTCCTCTGGTTGAAAGCCAGAAAAAAAGAAGGAAAAAAGTAGGGACAGATGACGCGTGCAGAATGGACCTGGTGAGTAAAAAAGAATGAGAATCACTTACAGCACCTAAGGCGATGACTTGACGAGAACACTTCCTTCTCATCTCTTCGGGCATACTGTCGAAGTAGAAGACGAATGAGGGAAATGCCTTTCGGTAGTGGCGCTGCCATTGTCGAATAGAATCCAGATTCTCGACTTTGATGGGCTTGGCTGCCGGCTGGCGTTCCTTCTCTCTAGCAGCCACAAGCTTCTTCTCAAAGGCGCTCGGGGTAGCGTTGTTGGAACGTCGGGCGAAGAGTTTGGAGTCCGTGTTCTGGCCGGTCGTCGAGACGACGGACTTGCCCGCCTCTTGGCCCACTTCGTCCATCACTTGCTTCTTGGGTGGCGGTTGGCCGTAAGGAATTTCCATCTGGGTCGATCGAGATCGTTTCGCGGGCAGAAGACCTGTCCTGTGTGGAGAATTGGTTGCATTCGGCACATTTGCGAGTGGGCGACGAGTCGCCATAGTCAGTGATGGCTGTGGCGATGGAGGTACGAATACAGTTGCCATTGGAGGGCAGGTTGCCAGTATTGACGCGTTTGGTTGTAGACTTGCAGATATCAACAGTTGGAGAGGGGTACTGGGATAGCACGCGACGTGCTACACGTCTTGGCGATGGGGAAGTAAATTAGAAGAACATTTTAGGACAAATGACAGCGACTGGGAGAAGAGGAAATCGAGGAATTTGGCGTTGGGACGAGAGAGAGAGTGTGTGTTGAAGACCTAAAGGGAAGAGAGAGAAAGAAGAGCAAAGCAAGTCGTGTGGTGTGGAGCTCAGTTTGTTTTGGGCGGAGGCCTGACAACCAACAGCAGCGCGCGAAGCATGAACATCAACATTGCATTCCTTGACCGCGACCAGGATTCTTTTGTCCCTCTTTTCTTCCCTTTTTATTCCATTCTCTGCCTCCTTTAAGACTAAAGTGCCCCGGGCGTCTTTACATATAACAATACAAAATACAAAATACAAAATCCCAATTCTCTCCAACCACCTGCCCTGGAACCAGCCTCCAAACAGCCAAACAGCCAAACAGCCCCCAGACCAGCCACCAAAAAGTAATCTAGGCAAGATTATTTCAAACATGTGGGGTATGAAAGAGACTAATTAAGGGGTCTCGAAGTTAATTCTTGGGGGCCCTGATGCTATTGTACATGGAGATCCGAGGGTATCTGGCAACTAACAGGATACACATCATCTCTAACTACGCAACGCCTCGATGTCCTCAACCTGGTACAAGTTAGCAATGCCCAGAACTGAAAATCCTGGAGAGCATACCTCTTTCACTGCCTCGGGGGTCAAGACGATCGGATGTTCGTCGCCAACACAAACACTATCTTCAATACGGATGCCGATGCCCCGGAAGTGGGCCGGCCAACGCTCATCGTTAGGAACATAGATACCCCTGGCATGTATTAGCGTGTTTCAGGGTGAAGCAAACGAGGCTGGGGGCACGAACGGTTCGATTGTAATACATTGACCTGCCTTCAGATCATATCCTCGGGAATATCCAGGGCAGTCGTGTACGTCAAGACCAACATAGTGGCCCAGATGGTGGGGGAACAGAACATTCAGTGCCTGTCGGTATTAGTGGGCATTCAAGGTCGAAGGAGCAGTACACATACATCGCCAGAAACATCGAAGCCCAGAGACTTGAGCTCATCTTTCAACCCGTGTTCTGCAATACCATGGAGTTTGTCCAGAGAGAGGTTGGAAGTCTCGCGACATAGTGAAAGACAGCTTCGGTGCACTTTGAGCACGGCATTGTACAAATCACGCTGGGGGTCGGTGAACTTGCCGTTCACGGGCCAAGTCCTAGTGATGTCGGAGATATAAGTTCCCCACTCCTGCGACTGTGTTAGCGTTCGGACTCAAGCGTTCGGTTTTCAATGCACCTACACCACCGCCATCAACAAGGACGAGATCACCATCCCTAGAATTTTTCGTCAGCATGCAATTATAAGACAAGTAAAAAGATAACCAACTTGAGAACGTCGTCGTTTCTGGTGTAATGAATAGCCAAGGCGTTCTGTGTGCGTCAGCATGAAGTCGAAAATAGGCGGCTGAAACACTTACCTGGCCTCCAGCAACCACTGGGACGAAAGCATTGGTATCACATCCATTGGCCTTGAATTGGTATTCCAAAAACGAGTAAAGATCCTTCTCGCGAGTGAAATCTTGGCGCATGGCTTCTGTGAAAGCTCGACCGGATGCTTGTCCCAGACGACGCATCTGCACAACCTCATTTTCGCTCTTGGTGACCCTCATCTCATTGAGCAGGTGCTTCAAAGGCTTGACTCTACGGTTGTCGACAACTTTTCTCAGCTTCTCCGATGCGACTGTCGGACCGTACAAGTAGCGGTTCAAAGATGATCTTGAACCATCAAATGTAGGTATGTCTGAGTAAACCTCTGTGGCACCCTGGACAATGCTAGGCAAGAAATCTCCGATACGTTCTATGTTCCCTGACTGTTGTCATTGTCAGTTCGAGATCGTGTTCCATAGGATTAGGCTTCCATACCTCATCGGCGTTGAATACATCCTTGGCAGCTTGAGTACCGGATCGTGCTCCATCCCAAAGCTCTGCCTTGGCGTCTTTCTCCCGAACATATAGATGGAAGATGTGATTGTCGCCTGAGCCGTCGTTCCCAATGATCGCCAGTGCGTTCGGTTCGTTGTATCCTATCGTGCGCGCAATGTCAATTCAGTGTCCTGTGTTGCCATCAGGTATTCCCCGAGCTCACCGGTCAAGTAGAAGAAGTTCGAGTCCTGTCGATATTCATTGAAAATCCCCGAGGCACGGTATTTCACCTCCGAGGCGGCCAGCACCGCAATCGCGCCTTTCGGCAGTTTGTTGGCGAGTTTCGAGCGGCGTTGAGCATACTCAAGGGCGGTGATTCCCGGCGTCACTGGAACGAAACGATCAGCTTCCTCGATATACAAGCTAGACAATGAGAGAATGACTCACACTCGCCTGGACTCAGGATGTGGGGATGTGTTTCATGCAACGGCTGGCCGAATTTAAGTTCTGCGGCGGCCACCGAGGTAGCATAGCTGCGAGGGAGGGGATTGCATTTAGGCAATTGACGTAGCGAGTGACTCAAAGGTCTGAATCGCATGTGCGATGCACACTGGCGAGCAAGGATCCTGCAGGCCGCCATGCTGTCTGTAAATTCGCACTGTAACTCGTAAGTGATAAGAATTGCAAGTTGTTATCGCGGAGCTGTCCGCCTTCCCGGCGGTGTGGGCCAATCACCTCCACTGTGTTTGGAATCGGACTTGATACTCCCACGCCCTTTGGCTTTATGATCTCGGCATCTGTGCGCCTGGTCATGATACGAGTAGCTCTGGCCTTTGTGGGGAAATGTTGCTCGGATGGACCTTCTACAATTGGATGAAGTGTCTACCCAGGTAGTATCACCTGTCTACGAGTAGATTTGAATCATTTGATAGGGTTGTCTATACAAATATTTAAAGTGCTTCATTTTCTGCTTCTAACATCTCATTTCAATCATCTCCCGATCAGAGTACATCATGGGTCGAACCTTGACTTATCCGAAACGGACTTCCAACACTGCGAACCGCTACAAACATCGAGGTAAGGCAGAACCAAGAGGATATATCTTGACATCTGCAGTTCTGATAATTTGGATCAGCAACCTATGATTTGGGCCCGATCCATAAAATCATCAATGACTCCCAGGTGCTTCATGTATCATTCAATCCCGGTCCGGATGATCCTTTCCCGGCCATCCTGCCAATGATCGGACAGATGGGATCATTTGAATTCCCATCCGCTAGCATCGATGAGCCTCTTGAATGCTATCTTCACGGCTATGTCAGCTCCCGTATCATGAACCTGGCCCGGAACTGTTCCGAGGGCGAAGGCCTCCCAATCTGTGTGGCAACAAGCAAGGTAGACGGATTGATTCTGTCGCTCACCCCCAATTCGCACAGCTACAACTACCGCTCTGCCATCTTACATGGCTATGCAACCCTCGTCACAAGCGAAGAAGAGAAGCTTTGGGCTATGAAATTGATCACCAACTCCGTACTCGAAGACCGCTGGGATCACTCGCGGGTGCCGCCCGATCGTGCAGAGATGCAATCGACGGTCATACTCAAAGTCAAGATTGTTGATGGCAGTGGTAAGATCCGTGACGGTGGGGTGTCTGATGAACGTAAGGATTCCGACAATGAGCAGATCACCAACAGTGTCTGGACTGGTGCCGTGCCTGTCTGGGAGACCTTTGGAACACCCATTCCTAGTGGTGATGGCAACATTGCTGCCGTGCCGGAATATATTAGCTCATATATCACCAAGAAGAACAGCCAGAATCAGGCGCTGGCGGAAGGTGCTGTGAAGATTCAACTTCCACCTGAGGAGCAACACTAAACACTGCAACGACCGACTGTGGGCCTCAATTTATCAACACGATGGGAAGCAGAACCATTCGACGAGAAATTATTTTTGCGCTCCAGGCTGCTCAAGTGGTACAACTGACGTCCAGATACCTTCATGCTGCAAGAAAATCCATTCAAGTACTTAAGTATACACTGTCCCTCATTGTATTACTGTAAGTGAATTTAGCGAAGGTTCTTTCTGTGAAAACACAGATTATGTCCCAAGTAAGTCTGCAATGAATTTTGAGTGACTTTTCAAGGTCCCCAGTGTAATCATAGTATTAGTTCATTATTCAGGACCAATTGAGTTAAATCCATTCACGCCCATGGATAGGATGTCCTGGGATTAGGACCCTAAGCTGACCCTTGATTGAAGCCACGAGCAACGTTTTCGTTTCCCAATAATAGAGAAGATCCCTGGACAAGGTGAACAAGGTGAAATGTTGCAACCATGAAGAAATGCAAGTGTATAAGCCTCGCATGGGTCCACCTGGGCATTCATCTCTAGTGGGGCGATGCTGACTCAACCACTCATCATGCCCAGGTGCCCCCCAGGATAGCTTCCAACCTCTTTTCTTTCTCTTCGTTTGCTCTCAGCTTTCTGACCTCTATCAAACTCTCTCATATTTGCTCAACAATATACCATCTTAGTGTTCGCTCACTCTCGGCGGTTCACCACTTCACTGGAGCATTTCACCGCCCCGCTCATTACTTCCCCGCTTCGATCTCGATCTGCTTGACTGAACTGCACGCCACTTTCATACCTCCGGTCTCTGGTCTTCTCTCCAGAAGTCTACTTGATATTCATTTGACACCAATAACCTCGCTGAAATCCTCATACCGCCACCATGAGTAGCCCAAAGCGCAGAATTGAGACAGATGTAAGTTGCTCCTTAGGAAGCCCGATGAGCTGTGAAGGTCTCTGCGGATGCTGACGATGCTCGTTCTGTCGGATTAGGTCATGAAGTATGCTCTCAAGCTCGAAGCGTCTTCATATAATATGGTTGCTAACCGTCCTCTAGGATGTACGCGCTAGAGATTCCCACCCCCATACCAATTTGGCCTCTGCCCTCTACAGGCCGCGGTCGGCACGGGCAAGCAGATTCGAGCCCTGGAAAATATATCTGACCGGACTGATAGGCTTATGAGTGACTACGAGGTAACCTTAGTAAATGACAACAGTGAGTTTCCCCGATCATTGAGCCCTGCCTTGGTACTGACGTTTTAAATTCAGTGTATGTACCCAGCCCCCTTCGCAAATACCTCACGATACCAACATCATGACCAGGCAAGAGTTCTATGTCCGGTTTAAGGGCCCAGAAGAGAGTACGTCTTCTTCGTGATGCTTCGGTATGACATCATACTAAACATTTCAGCGCCTTTTACCGGGGGACATTGGAAAATACATGTCGAGCTGCCCGATCAGTACCCATACAAGAGCCCAAGCATTGGATTCGTCAATCGGATCTTCCACCCGAACATTGATGAGCTGTAAGTTGGGTGATCTGCATGTTCCCAATAGTCTGAAGCTAACGCATATTGGGCATAGATCGGGCTCGGTTTGTCTCGATGTGATCAACCAAACATGGTCTCCAATGTATGACATGCTCAACATCTTCGAGGTGTTCCTCCCCCAGCTTCTCCGCTACCCCAACCCGGCCGACCCTCTCAACGGCGAAGCAGCAGCACTGTTGATGAGAGAACCGAAAGCATATGAGGCCAAGGTCAAGGGTATGTTTCATGTGAGCCGAGAGTTTCTACACTGATACTGACCCCACTCACAGAATACGTTGCTAAATACGCGAGCAAAGAGGCGGTGGATGAGGCCGGCGAAGATACTGAATCTGAAGATGAACTAAGCTCCGCTGGGAGCTATGACTCTGGCGGTGAGGAGCCAGCAGGAACTATGGACGATGTCTAGTCACGATATTGCAACGCCAGGTCCGAGATCGGCCCGGCCCGGACATACTGCATCTCTCAGCTCTATTCTATATCCATGTTCGAACAAGGTCAGCGGGCGTTTTCTATTCTTTTCTCTTCTCAACTCTATCTTTGTACTCTCTTCTTTCTCTGTCCTTCACTCAAACATTCTACTTAAGTATCTTTGTCCTTTTCCTTTTCTTGGTTCATTCAAAGTACCAGAGAGGCATTTACGACAGTAGTAGGTGGGGTAACAGCATTGGGCGAACTACGGCCTATACTTCAATGAGAATCCTTTAATGAAAACGACAATTGAGGTTGTCTGACATAGGTCTGATTAGTCCCTGTGATCAGTACAAAATTCCAGTACGCATTGGTCCAGACATGTCTGTTTGTAAGGCCGAGAAACACTTCATCGGCCAATTTTGTAAAACACATAACTAAGAAATTCGATTGTTTGTCTACGCCGGAATAGTGGAAAAGCTTCCCAGATGAAACAAAAGAAGAGATCGACTATACAAGTAGGTCACAGAATAAAACAAAGAGGACATAGATGAACTCATACAACAATGAAAAGACGCCAGCAGAACGGAGAATCAAGATGTAGCGAAGGTGAAATCTGATACAAAAGAAAAGAGTCTGCACCAATGGGTATTAGCAGAACAGGGTGACAAGAGAAATGGCTATGTGTGCAAAAAGAGCAACAGTCGACCTGCGATCATGCAATAAAAATCAAAATCCCTCAAGAACATAACAACGCACAAAGAAGAGATAAAACAACGGGCCTTCCAGGACCCTCATCCTGTGCACTCCAATCTGATCCCCACACCTTTTGTCGTGTACCTCATCATCGTCAATATACAGCGATCAATGCCCCAACCAAAAAGTGGCAGTCTCGCTATTTGATATTCAACACGCCAAAGACATCATGGTTGACTTTGAGATCGGTGTTCATATCAGGACGGGAGCGCTTCTTGTTTGGGTTGACAACAACTTCGCCCCAGTGTTTCGGGACTGCGCCTTCTGCGCCCGAGGTGGGTCTGCTTGGCGGCGATGTGCGGTGGGTAGATGTGACGGGTGTTGTTCCATCTGTCCGTTGTGATGGGGCGGGTGATGCAGATATAGGTGTATGGAGGGTCGCATGGGGTTGTAGGTGTGGTTGCGGTTGGATGGACCAGATATCGATGACAGAGCTATGGTAGTGGTTTAGCGATCATTCTCACAAGTAGAGTGATTGACAATTTGGTTTTGTCTATCACGTTATACTCACTCTGACGTGCGTTGACAAATGGATTCCAAAGCCTCCCTTTCACGCCTCACGTATTCCGGATCCGGCTGACTAGCCTGCTGGGCATGATTGAGCGCTCCATAACTATACCCCGCTTGATATGGATCTTCTTCGAGCAGACGAGAGGACTCGGGCTTCAGGGCGAGAATGTTAGAAAATGGTTGTCGTCGATCACCCCATGCATGGCGCATTAAGCCGAGGTAATGTATAAACATGATAGAAGCAGTCTCTAGACTTACCTCAGGAGACTCGTGGCGATTGCCGCCGAGGCAAGAGGCACAGACACCCATTTAAAGGGATCGAAGAGTGGACTGGCGTTGTAAGGTGCACGTTTGCGATGTGCGATGGGCACGAGGCATTAATCACCGCCAATCGCCTTGGAGGTGAAAGCAGAGCAGACGAGGTGAGGGATTATCGAGAGTCGAAAGGAGTGTGTGTGTGGTATGCAAAAGAAGCAGGAGATCAAAGGAAACAAATGGCGCAGTGGTTTAGTAAAAGAGTCGAGTAGAGAAAAGGACTGGGTTCTCGAAGTCTGATGGGGTCCGTGCCATGTCATTGATAAGAGGCCGTGGCCGCAGATGTCTTGGCGTGGAAGCAGCATTTTCTTGACTTCACGATTGGTCTCATCTTCTTCACACACCACACAATATGTTTGAAGAGCCACAAGCTAAGCGGTATGTAACAGTCCTTGAACATCATATTTTTGCAATTGATTTGACTAATACGCCCTTTCTAGCGTTCGCCGCGATGAGATGCGCTCTCCGGCGTCGTCCCGCTCACCATCGCCAGCACCTGATAATTCTGCGGCTCAAGATGCTTACGCCAGATTGGGGAAGCTGCTCAACCTCGATCACTTGAACGATGCACTGGAATCTAATGAACAAGACAATGGCCCCTCTCAGCCCGCCGACGAGGATGACGAGCAAGAATTCGAATTCCGGCTGTTCAGCGCCCCCGCCAAGTCCACAGAAACGACCAAAGAATCACAAACAGACGCCAGTAAAGATAAGAATCCTACAGATACTGGTTCGAAGCCCACCGGCACAACACAAAAGCTACGAATCCGGCTTCATTCACCAACCCCCGGCACTGGCGACCCCTCGAAGGCTGGATTCGTGAAGGCACACCGTAATTGGGATTATTACTTCTCCACTCCTATACTGTCATCTGTAAACAGTGGTGAGATCAGCCCGGAAGAAGTCGTTCAGCTGGCCGAAAAGCAACAACAATTCGAGAATATGGCCGTCAGTGGTGATCATGTGCTTGGATGCGCGCAGTCACAGCCATGGGTAAGTACATCCAACTATCATACTGCCAAAAAAGGCGCCTCCTAGTCTTTGGTAACTAATTGATCCATAGCCCGGGTGTCATCTCCCATGGCGCGTAATCCACCTCAAGCGTCACCAAACCAAAACACCTCGACCAGCTGGAAGTCTTCCAATCTACGTGGTGGAAGGTGCTCCTGTTACCAAGAGTCCACTCACGCGAAAGAAGCCTGGAAAGAAGAGACGTGTTCAGCTACGCAAGCGCGTTGTTGCGGCCCAGGTAGCAAAGGAAAATGATGCAGAGAAGCGCACCCGTAAAAACCGCGAGAGAAAGCTCAAGCGCAGACAAAAAGCCCGAGAACAGAAGGCAGCAGCAGCTGGTGTTAGTGTCGAGGACATTGCTATGGCTGAGGATGGTGCCTCATCTGGCGGAGAGAACTAAACGCTAAACTATATTTGGAATTTGATACCCTAACCTTCGCTCTTTAAGCACTGTGTAGATGTACGTTTCGCCACTCATGATTGTATCAGAGAATGTCTTCATGGCATCGATATCTTTGGAATTCAAACAATCAGCTAAATTTTTCTAACTGTTGAGGTGATTCATCTCAGGGTCAGACCGCCACATGTCGAAAGATACTTTGCCCTGTCGGCCTCTCTCTTACACTACTTCTCAGTCTCTGGCAGATAGCAATAGATGATGATCATTGCGGCAGGCTCTGCGTCTTTGATACCAACGTGCCTGCCAATGTCCTTTCGGGATGCAGCAAACAGGCGTTCCGATCAAAGAAGATCCATAGTACAACGAACACGAGTAAACTGGTGAAACTATCGTGGTTTTGATGTAGTTTGTTCTGTAACTAGACTCCACTGGCCTATTTTCTATAGATTGGGACGCAAGATACATGATAGAGCTGGTCATAAACGAGTCGTCAGGCACACGAAGTGGCAGTTGATAATCGTGATGTGTGTGTGTGTACAGCAAGCATGTAAATTCTGTGTGGGAGTTAGTAACTGCCTGAGATTAAGAGAAATATCACCACCATCTTACACGATTTAACATCTCTCGTAAGCTTACGGAATACGAATTTCCCAGCAGTACATTGCAGCACTCGTGTTGAGAGTTGACATTGTTTTTAGGTAGTCAAACCGAGACAGAGATAGAGAGATATCTTGATGCTCAAGGAAGGGAAGACCAGAGGGAGAGGATGATTGAAGATACAGGACTATATCATGAACACAGGGAGCAAACGAGCTCAATGGAAGCAATGCAGCTTCTACAGGGATCAAATGCATCATCAGCGGCTAAGTGCAGTTCCATGGAGAAATGCAGCTCAACAGGAGAAGTGCCGCTTCATGGAGAGACATAGCTCCATGGATAAGTGCAGCTCCATAGGTCAGAAAAAGGAGTCCATCACAAACCCCTACTTCTCATTCAGGGATGTGTTGAGGGCTGTGATGGAGTTCAGGGTGATCGAACATAATTCCACATCCAAGAGATATCACCATCACCCCTAGCTAAGCAAAAAGCGAAACCCACCATTTGTAGATAGATCCGTCCCCAACTTCTCCCTTCCTTCTCTCTCTCTCTCTCTCTCTCTCTCCGCAGTCAATTCAATCGGTTCTGTCCGCTCCTTCTTCCTTGCCCTGTAGTCTCAATACCAAAATGAAAACGAGGTATGTCCACTGGGGGTAGAGTCAGTCATGTGGCCCTGTAGGACTCATAGATCTTATGGGGAAGGTGGACATTACCTTAAGTGGAAGATTTGCGTATAGCTTCCCGGTGAACGGCTGAAAGGACGCGCTGGTCCGCTCCCCACTTCTCTCTTCTTCTTCCTCTCTCTCTCCCCGCAGTCAATACAATCGGTTTTGTCTGCAAGTATATCCACTGGGGGTATAGTCAGTCACTTGGCCCTGTAGGACTCATAGATCTTATGGGAAAAGTGGGCATTACCTTCGGAGGTAGGTTTGCGTAGAGCTTTCCGGTGAAAGATGATGGAGTTCAGGGTATTCAAACCCCCACTGATCCTCTCCCGACTCTCTCTCTTCCTCTTCCTCTCTCTCTCCCTGCATTCAATACAATCGGTTCTGTCCGCAAGTATATCCACTAGGGGTATAGTCAGTCACGTGGCCCTTGAGGACTCATAGATCTTATGGGAAAAGTGGGCATTACCTTGAGAGGCAGATTGGCGTAGAGCTTTCCGGTGAAATGTGATGGAGTTCAGGGTAATCAAAACCCCACTGTTTCCCTCCAAGTTTGCATTCCGGGACCTCAGAAAAGGTAATCCACCACAAACCCCTACTCTTCATTCAGGGCTGTGTTGAGGGCTGTGATGGAGTTCAGGATAACCAAACCCCGACTGTTTCCCCCCAAGTTTCCATTCCGAAACCTCTCTTTTGTGCCTGGATGGACCAGCTTTCATATTTCCTTTGCCCAGGTTGCCAAGCAGTGCCGTCGTAGCATTTGTGTTGAGAGTTGGCATGCCTTTTGGGTAGTCAAACCCCTAGTACTCTCCTCTTTCAGGGTTGGCTTCTGTAGCCTCTGTCTTTTCCCCGAATCGGTCGGTGTCCTGAATTCCCTCGCGAATGCTACCAGGCAACACTGTGGTAGCACTTGTGTGTTCCCTTGTTTCAGGCTTGCCTTCTGTAGCCTCTGTCTTTTCCCTGAATCAATCGTTTTGTGTGATTCCCTCGTCCATGTTACCAGGGTGTTCGCAGCTCTTGTGTTGAGGGCTGTGATGGAGTTCAGGATAATCAACCCCCCCCCCCCCCCCCAAATCCCTCTCTTTCAGGGTTGTCTCGCCAGCTGTATCTTCCTGAGTAGCTCGTTCTTGCTCGGTATTTGGCTCTTCATAGACCGATGTTTGAGGGGGTGTGCTCTGTAGCCTCTGTCTTTCCCCTGAATTGATCTTGCTGCGTGGCTCCTTCGTCCAGGTTGCCATGGTGTGTTGTGCAGGGTATTCGCCCCAACCCCATATGTAGATAGCTCCGGGTCCTTAGATTCTTCCCCCTTCTCTCTCTTCTCTCCCCGCAGAGAATCAATCAGTCGGTCCAATCTTCTCTCTCTCGCCAGCCAGTCCTAACATGGTGTTTGTAGCTCTTGCGTTGAGAGTTGGCATGGTTGATAGGTAGTCAAACCCCCAGTGTTCTCCTTCAACGTTGCCTTCTGCAGCCTCTGCTTTCTCCCCGTATCGATCGTGGTTCGTGGTTCCTGATTCCTTTGCCCCATAGGCTCAAGAGCTTGGATTTCATATGGTGAGATTCAGCAAAGAGAGTCCTAATGCAAGAATCGCAGCAGGTATGTTTGGGCATAGGCGCACGATTCTATGGGGAGTTTAAATGCTCGATGCAAGTTAGCGAATATAACAACCAACAAGAAGGGAATGGGACAATACAGATTGTGCCTGCGGGCTGATATAGGCCTTTTGTTCGAGTTGCCCATCGCACGCATGTCGTTTGTGTTGAGCAAAGTGGACCGTGCACTGTAACGGCAGATGCTCTCTTGTGCTCCAGACTCTGAGTGCCATTGATGCACCTGAGTTGATACCTCCAGGCTGTAGAGGCCAGCTCAGCATCCGTTGTTTTTGGCCCAATCACCTGCATCAATCGCTTAACCTGTACTGTCGACTAGGATGACAGCTTTGTAGATGTGGCAGGACATGCGTATTCACGTATTTCCGAATGTGTACGTGCGTCCGGTGAAACAGCCAGCACAGTAAGCTACATCCCCTCTGTCGTTGTCGTTCGTGAGATGCAGATAATTGAGCACCTGAATCATACAGGAGCCATAATTCCAAGGTCACCTCTGCATTTGATCTCTCTGCACGACTAAATTCATGACCCGGTTATGTGGTTGTCCTCACTCGCAGTGCGCACGATTCTAGTCACAGCGTCGGTATTGAGAGGGGGGACGAGCGAGCCGGGGGCTTTCGGGATGCTGTGATAGACAGTCTCATTAGCTTCAATAAGAGTTAGGGCTCGGGTTCGGATAAAAGATAATCCGGCCGAAGTATAGGATGAGCAAGATCTTGTGAATGGTCGGATGGCGGGAAGTTCGAGGTAGGGGATTTCAATTTTCAAAAATTCTTAGGTGGGCGACGAGGATACTCCCTGGGGCCATATTAAGGAGGTACTATGATTCCTACCAAGGCCCATTTCAATCAGCTACGGGTTTACACTGAAGGCAGGCAGGATTTTTTGATAATTGTATGTTATTGGGCGGTCTGATCAAACCGAAACTAGGAAACAGGAGCCATGCTATGCTCTTGTATCAATGAACGCAAAGGCGCCGGGGCCCTATTGGGTATTGAAACAAATGACGAGCTGCAGAAAAACAGAAAAAGAAAGAGATCAGACTCGCGGTTGCTGTTCAATCACGATGAACGACATGATGAACATGATGTGGCAATTATAATGCCTTAGTTAACGGCAGAAGCGCCTTAAGCAGCTGTCAGTCCACATTCTGACTCAAATAGGGGAAGGATACTGACCAGTCTTGGTGGCAATATCCACGACCTTGGTCGAGGGCTCAGCCTCCGCAGCTGGGAACTCAGACTCGCCAGCAGCCTTAGCCACGGGCATGTTGGGTTCAACGATCTTGATTGCCGGACCCTCGTCATGAGCGACGGTAGCTCCAGCGGAGACGTGAGCTTCGTGAGCCTCAGCCTCAGCCTGGGTCAGGTTGCCAGTTCCTGGAGAGGTTAGTAATTGTTTGAGAGATCAAGGTAAAGAACGAAGAAGGTTCCATGGAGTCAAGTGGGTAGGGGGTATAGTGGACCGGGTAGTATAGTGGATAGGGAAGCATACCAGGAACAGCAACATCAGCGGCATCGTTTTCAACGTCGGGATCCTCCTGGCCGCGGTTCTTCTTACGACTGAAGAGACGCTTAAGGCCCTTCTTCACCTGCTTAAAAGCGTCCTTGGCTGGGGGTATTGAGTTAGTACCATTGTGGGCTGCTAGGACACCGACCGGTAATCCAGAAATATAAAGGGGGCATGGTATACTTACGGACACCAGGCATCTTGACGATTCAGTAGAGATGAAAGTAGTTTTGAAAATTGGGTTGTGGCGATCGTACGCAGATGGAAAGGTTGAGGAGGAAAGAGAAATGGGCGCGAGAACAATCGAAGGTTATGAACACTTATGGGATCACGTGCGCCCCCCTTCGAAAGTATACGAATTTCACCTTTGACTTGTGGTTGACTCTACGACTTCGTTTTTTTATTTATTTCGGTGTTGTATCTGGGGGGCATCCTTCATTGGCCCACCCTCCATGTAAATGGGTCCCGTCCCGCATATCTTGGCTCTGACAGCTATTGTGGCTGTGCTACCGCTAATCTATTGATATCCTTGGTCAAAAGTAGGGAATTCAGGATGTAATTTAGCTTACAAGCAAAAGAAATCTAATATCTCACTCTATCTTATTCTATCTATATTCTACCCCATACTACTCGGAATTTATTTAAGATCCATAAATACTTTGAATCTTAAGATCAGACTATTTCCATCCCATAGATCCAAATCTAGATTAACCTTAGGACTAAACAAAAATTTTAAAACAAAACCATTATTTTTGAGATCGGCGGCTGATCGAAGGCGTGGCGAAATCCCAATACATTCTGTGGAGGCGGACTGTGCTAACTAGCGCCCTTGAGACGCGACCCTTTTCCTCGAAAGTTTCGCTCGACGCAAGACTCATCCACCAAGCGCAGATTTCCGAGTGAATGTTCGACTTACTGAAGTAAAGTTCTTGTTTTATTTTCATGATTAATCTCAAAACTTTAGAATAGGGTGGCACCTGGGCCTCTTGGTATGCCAGCTAACGTGAAATTGGTTTAATATCTAGACAGGCCAACTTTAGAACAGCCAGAGTTTGCATGTGTATAACTAGTTAAGTGCATTTAATATAGCCAGAGCAAAACGGAGCAGTGGTAAATCATGAGTGGCAGTCCCAGATAATAGAGATGAAGTAAATTATGACTGTGGCCAAAGTATCAATAGTGGGTATCATAGAAAGTTCGCCATAACGATGGGTATATAGTCAGAAAAAATGCATGGCGATTGAAGCAAGGGAATGCACTAGAATAAGATGCGGAAGCAGATGTGTCAGAATGAGATGCTTGAACCCGTTGAAGCTGCACCAACCAAGAAAAAGGATCACTATCCCAATTGCAACCTTCATGTTTTGTGTGGCGATGACGAGCAGGAGGATGACACAGAAATACCATGCAGAATAACCTCCAACGCTGAGGCTTAGGCCGCGTTCCAAGGCAGTTGTTGTATCATCGATGGCTGCTTGTAGGTTGGCCGCTGAGGCACTAGCTTTGGTTAACAGTGCCTGCGAGACTTGCGCATGGAATTGGATAGCCTCTTGTGCCTGAGAGTGTGCAGAGAGAGCTTCGGATTGTAGAGCCTGAGACTTTTGCAGCTCTATTGCGTTTGAATGAGATTTCTGTATAAATTGTTCCATATGTTGGAGGTGCTTCATAGATCAGTACATGGCTTTTGCAGGGTGGAAACAGCCGTACCTCTGTCATTTGGGCTTCCTGGTCGAGGATTGCGCTCATTCGACTGGTCAACCATTCCTAGAAGGGGTGAGTCTCACAACTTGGGTGAATGGGAAGGCTTTCAACATACCATGGTAGCATCAAACCTTTGCATTCCGCTATAAATTCTTTCGATATCGGAAGCTACCAGTGAATCAAGTGACTGGTGCAATGAAGACACAAGATCTTGACTGACAACAGCACTTGATTCTTGAGCCCGAATAACCTCCTGGCTTCTGGCCATCGCATCTTGGTGCGCACATTGCAATGCCTCTCGGAGAGATTTCGCTTGAGTTGACGCATTTTGGATATCCTAAAAGACTGTTAGCAGTTTTCTCAATCAGACGAATGGCCTGTATCACCTTTTCGAGATGACGTGTTTCAGCTCGTGTTTCTTTCAGCGCCATGGATATGGCCTCTTGAAAGGAAGTGATTCCACCTTTGACCTCTTGAAGAAACCACCCAAATGTTTGCTTGAGCAAGGAGTCTGTCACACCAAGCTCTGAGACAACCTGTTTTTGAAGGGTCTGAACCTGTTGTGCAAACGCCGTTTGCTGCTCAAACTGGGAAGCTGCATCTTTCAAAGCTTCTTGGAGCCCATTGTTTAGTTTGAGGTTGCTCTTCACAATGGATTGGTGCAAGTCAATCAGCTCTTCTTTTTCGGCCTCCATCCGCGTTGCCTGGCATATGATGAGGGCATTTTGCAGACTGTTGCTGTAGGATGTCCACCACTGAGGACGAGACTCGAGTGTTCTGAGACACTGCTCCAATACCTCCTTTGATATTTCATCCAATGCAGTGTCTGCGCCTCTCTTACGGTTCCCGAAGCCGAACCGGTTCCTTTGTGGAGGTGGCGAAACGGTGACCGGAAGACACGGTGGAGGAACTATGGCACCCGCGCCATCAATCTCACACAGAGCCAGTCTGGCCGCATAGGTGGATCGAAGAAGATCGAGGTTCCCCGGATTATCTGACTGTGTGTCGTCGTTTCCGTTCGTAAAGACTTGACACGATGCGACCAATCGCGTTGCAGCAACTCGGTTGCATGATGGTGAAGTCCTCATCGATTCCAAGAGATGTACTGCTTCGTTGAAGATGGTATCCTGTCGTTGCCTCTGAGCTCCGAGCAACGCGACGTTGTCGATGTCTGGGGGTCTGGCCGGCACAGCTGAGAGATCGCCTTGGTGAGTTAGCAGCGGCAACTGAATTTGACTAGATTGTCCTACCTCCGTGTGAGAGCCTTGCTATCCCAGGGGCACTCAACATGAGAAGAACGTAGGGGACCAAGTGACAACCCCCAGCTATCTTCATTGTGGACTTGCTGTGTCGAGTCTTGACTGAGTGGAAGTACTTCGATCGGCTTCCGCATATGTCGCATGGGTTGGATTGTAGTTGGCCACGATGGTTTGGATGGAGGGCAATGGTGGTATATTATTACTGTTGAAAGAGACCAAGAGAAGCTCTCAACTGAAGATTGCGGGCTGCAGATCTGACCAAAGACCATACAATCTCAACACTACCTCTCGGAGCTACACCACCAACTCAGGTCATTAAAGCTAATTTGAAGAGTATTTCAAGGTGAAACTTTTGATACAAATTGTTCGACATGGTGTCATATAAATCTATGAAGATAGGAAAGACGAGTGCCATACGGCGGTAGGATACTTCCGGGGTTGTTGATGGGCTCTTCAGAGGTCAACCTTCACTAATCAAGTTGAGCTTGTCCCAAACATTCTTGGTCGGCTTTACCACCGGTGTTGATTTTGCTCTAGTCAAGGTTTTGACGATAAACCAGGAGGCCCGGCCAACCTGATCTGTAATCGAACAATTCGGGTCTGATGATCTATTGGTGATGAAAATATGGGAGACGGATGTTGTAGGAACACATTTCAAGAAATACTTCGCTGCTTCATATGTGTATTTTGATATATCCTCGAAGATGCCAAACAATTGAGAAGTGTTCAAAGACCGAAGTGAGCGAAAGAGCAAACGGTATAGATGGTCACGTGAGCGCTAAACCCATTGAGGATTATCGGCGACAAAATCCAAAGTCCGCAAAGCAATAGACAACCACAAAGACGCGCCATCATGTCTGTACCTCAGCGTTGTGTTCGCCAGCTCCTCAGAGAGCCCTTCCAGCGCAGCTCACTTCCCATCTTCCTTGCCCCGGCATTCTCCTCATCCCGCTCACAATGCTTCTCGACCACATCGCCGGCGCAGTCCCGAGTCGGAGGTGCCCCCATCAGCATCCCCCCGGAGGTGACATTCAACCTTGTCGATCTCCCTGAAACTCTCACCCGGACTCGCGGAAAGGATATCCCCAAGTTTGCTGCTGAGATCAAGGGCCCAAGGGGTAAGCGATGCAGAATCATCGTCCGGAGGATGCTTGCTAACAGGTCCTAGGCGAGATGAGCGTCAACATTCCCTCCTTCCTTACTGTCACCCGCGACGAGACCGGTCAGAAGGCCACCCTTTCTGTTCAGGATACCGAGATCCCTCACCAGCGTGCTATGTGGGGTATGTTATTCTCCTGGAACGCAATCGTTCGGTCCGCGCGGCAGCATCTAACAATTTACTGTACAGGAACCATCCGCGCACTTATCCAAAACAACATCCTCGGTGTTTCCGAAGGCCACGTCTGTGTATTGAGTATGGTTGGTGTCGGATACAGGGCCACAGTCGAGGAAACGGCCACTACCGTCGAATCCACCTACCCCGGCCAGAAGTTCGTGTCTTTGAAGGTCGGCTACTCCCACCCCATCGAATTGGGTATTCCCAAGGGTGTAGAGGCCAGCACACCGCAGCCTACCAGAATCCTGCTCGAAGGTGTGGACAAGCGGGTTGTGACCCAGTTCGCGGCCGAGATCAGGGACTGGAGACGCCCCGAGCCTTACAAGGGTAAGGGTATCTTCGTCAACGGAGAGACGATCAAGCTCAAGGCCAAGAAGATCAAATAGACGAGCGCACTTTTTCTTTTTTACGCGGGATATCTGGTTGGTCCCGTGTCTGTATTCTTATCGTTACATATGTACTATTTTTCATTCACAGCGATGGTATCACAAATCTATTTCAGTGCATCTAGCGTGATATTCTTTTTTTGGCTCCCCAGGAGCTCTCGGGCAACTTGATTGGACAAATCTCAAATCATGAATCCATTAAAGCTTCAGCACATTCTTCACGGCACCAACAACAGCATCCTGGTGAGCCTTGGGCGAAGCAACGACACCCTTGTTGGCAGCGAGAGTCCGGCCCTTGCTGAAGTCCAAACGGTTACCGTAGATGTCAGTGACCTGGCCACCGGCCTCGCGAACAAGGAGGTCACCAGCAGCGTGATCCCAGATCTTCTCCTGGTAGTCCTTCTTGACGGGAAGGCGGAGGTAAATGTCACCGGCACCACGGGCAATGGAGCAGTACTTAGCCTGCGAGTCCAGTCGCACGCTAGGGGCAGTGATGCCGAGGAGCTGGGCAACGGCAGCGTTGTCGCCCTGGGCGGAGTGCGCAGCCTCAACACCCTCACAGAAGACAGCCTCGGAGATGTTGGAAACAGGACGCATGGAGATAGACTTGCTGGCAGCAAGGGTGCCGCTGGTCAGGGGACGGCTGGTGGCGCCCTCACCGAGGACAGCGGAGAACAAGACACCGTTGGCGGCAGTGGCGGTCTGCTGAGCACCAGTGTTGGCATCGAGGCTGGCGGCATCGTCAACTGGGAGGTTGGGGGTACCGATGGCGCCAACCTTGACATCGCCGTCGACCATCAGGCCGAGACAGACGGCGTACTGGCCGCCACGGAGGAAGCCCTTGGTGCCATCGATGGGGTCGAGAGCCCAGATGCGGCCCTTGGCGCCACCGGCACTGTTTCCGTTGTCAATGATGTCCAGCATGCTCTGCTCGCTGGCAAGGGGACCACCGAGGATGTTGTCGCTCTCCTCATCGTCGAGCTTAATATCCTTGACCAGGCGCCAGATTTCAGCGCTCAGGTCCTTGTCCTCGCGCAGAGAGCTGGCCTCCTCTTCGGCGACGATCTCATCGTTGGGGAAGTTCTTGCGGATGGCGGAAATGATGAGGGCTTGGGCGCCGAAGTCACCGATGGTGACGGGGGACTTGTCATCCTTGGAGACAGTACCCTTAGCCTTCTCGAAGAAGACCTTCTGGGTCAGAAGACACGCCCGCTGGACGGCCAATTCGGCAATGTAACGTTCTTGTTGGTAGGACATGGTTTCGACTTTTGTAGAGAAGTGGGGGAGGAGGAGGGACAGACGAGAGCGGGATCTCAGAGCCACGCTGAGGGCCAGGATGAGGGTGGAGCAGACAATAAAGCGGGACAGGACGCGTAACAAATAAGATCGCGAGGATGGACCCGGTCGGCAAGCCGTCTGATGGTTCATTCGAGGACAAATTGGGGAAATTGAGGCAGCTGTACAGCACTCTGTAAAATCTGTAGCTGCCGCTTCATACTGATTGCAACGGAATCTCCATTGCAACACCATCGACACCTCAGGCCACAAACCCCGCTCTAACCCCCTTTGGCCCAGTGTGGTCACGAGCCGATAAGGTTAAACGGTCTCACGTTGTTTCGTCTCTTTCCCTTCCCCCCTGGAGCTGCTTGTACCTTGTACATTGTACGTATTACGGACATTTGACGATATTGCACATTACAGACTTGTGAGGGTGTCCATCTGTGCAAGATTATAGGATCTCGGATCAGCAGTCGCCGCCACACTGACACGTGCAGGTATAGCTCCTGATGATCTTTGGCGCTGTGATGTGGACTGACCCTATTTTTCAGCCATTTCAAGTCGAATCAGCTTTCAGATCATTGTCGATAATTTTACCTCTCTCCTCCCTTCCTGCGAAACCCTTTTGTAAACAGCGCTGTGCGGGGTTATCTCCATACCGATATCGCAACGCGGGGCGAACGTGGGCTGTTTAATACAAGTGGCATTTTGGTCTCTACATAACCCGTCACTGTTCAACCCAACTCCTGCGCTATTAGCAAAGGAGACCTCGTCTTCGTTCCAATATGTTTGAGTCTTCCGTAAGTCAATTCGGTGGAGAGCACTGGCTATCTTGCTCCGACTGACATGACCATGCATAGAAACCATATTCGGCAGTGACCGTGCAGATCGAGGTACTCACAAGTGAACAATATGAGGTCGAAGATTCCAGTGGTATTGTCGATCTGGTGGAAGTAGTTCGCATTCAAGCCAGCGGCCCAACGGAAGCAAGTCGGGCTCTGCGCAAGAAGCTGTGAGTCTGTAGCGCGCAGAATGACGTACCGATCTAACCGAGGAAGAAAATACGGCAACCTCCACCGACAACTTCGCGCGCTCGTGATCCTCGACTTCCTGGTGCAAAATGCCGGAGATCGCTTCCTGCGCGGGTTCGCTGATGAAGCACTCCTCGAACGACTTCGAATCGCGGCTACGGATTCCGTCTCCGACCCTCTCGTGAAACAGAAATGCAAACAAATCTTCGGACAATGGGCTTCGACTTTCAAGGATACCCCCGGGATGGCGAAGGTCACGGCGCTATACAAACAACTTCCCAAGCGGAAGCAACCTGCCACCCAGGCAAAGGCCAAGGTCCTCCGTGAGGGCTCCAACTCCAATAGAAATGAGCCTCCTATGGGCCACGTTGTCTCTGTATCAGGAGGCAGTGGACCATCCACCCTGCTGACGAGCCCCAAGCAGAAGGCCAAGGCAAAGAAAGACAAGAAAGACAAAAAGCTTGGACTCAGTAGCAGCAGCAGCAGGAAATTCGACTTGGAAAAAGAGCGCCCTGAAATCTTACAAGCGCTTGCAGCTTCATCTGTGGCTAGCACGAATCTATTGAACTCACTGAAGTTGGTCAACCGTGAAACACACCGCGTGAGCGAAGACGCAGAATGTATCCATGGATTCGACACTTGCAAGGATCTTCGTCACGGTATTCTTCGATACATCCAATACATCGAAAGCGAAGAGTTCCTGGGTGGTCTGATCCATGCAAACGAGGAGCTCGTGACTGCATTGATGGCCTTCGAGGTTTTGGATAAGAGTTTGGACTACGATAGTGACAGTGACGATGACATTCTGGAGAACAGCTGGAAGCAAAGACATGGGCTTGGTCTTGACGATGATGTGAATGGTGGCCTTGCTGGACTTTCAATTAATCCCCCCAAGCCACCGCGACCAAATCTGCCTCTTGCATCCTCGACTCAGCACTCCCGACAGATCTTCGAGAGTGAGAGTGAGAGTGAGTCCGAGGAAGAGGATGACGACAATCCCTTTGGAGATCGCAATGCTATTAAGACGCCGGGTATCGAGAAGACCGGACACACCTGGTATGTCAATCTCGTTGTTTCATCTAGTCAAGTACTGACACATGTACAGGAAAGAGGTATGATGTGATCACGATTTGGAACAGGTACATGATACCGTGTTCGCGCTACTCATTGCTTCTGATATTCTGTGCTTGATTCTTGCGCTTGATCGGTATACCCCAGGCCATAGCTCTCGTGTTGCGAAAGTGAATATTATTATTATCATAGGTGTCTCCAGGGCTAGGATGATCGTATCGTAGGCTCTATTATGCAGCTTCCGAGGGTTTGCAAAAGCTATTGCTCCATTCCTGGATACTGCAGATCACAGCAGGAACGCCGGAGCTGCCTCTGGCATTAAACGGGGGCTAAATCTAAATGGGGCCAAAGCCAAGTCGAAGACGCAAGCTCCGGCTGCCTACAGGTTCCAGCCTCGTAAGCCCGACAAAATATAAGACACCCCTCAAGACCTGATATCTGACAATTCGAAAGAACCATTTACTTCTATCTCATTTGGTGCATCTCAAGATATTCCTCAAAATTCAGAATGGCAGTTACAGAAGTCGCACTGATCCGACTGAAAACCGACATCTCACCAACCACAAAGGCAAACCTACGAGCAGCCCAGAATGCCCAGGGAGAATATTCAAAGCACGCCGTCCACTTTTTACATCAGATCGAAGACTCGTCGTTCTACTACATACTAGGTGGATGGGAATCTGTCGAGAAACATACGCACGAGTGGATTCAGTCCGAAGCCAACCAGCGACTGCTAGGTCTGTTAGCTCAGGATTTCGATGTTTGCTGGATGTTCCATTTGGATATTGATGTAAGCATTGCTGCGCTTTCAGCTGTTGTTGTTGGCTTGTCACTACAGGTAGAGAAACTAACAGAAACAGCCATCGGCATCCAAAATCCCCCTCGATGCACCGGTCCTCGCAGTGAGCAGGTATTTTGTCGAGGCTGATAAGAAGGATGAATTCAATGCTGCTTTCAGAGCTAGTGTGTCTTACTTGGGCGCGCACACTACGCCATTTTCATTTTGTGGTGGATGGCGCATTGATAGAGAAGGCAATGAGCAATTCGTGCTTTTCAGCGGCTGGAATGATGAACGAGATCATTCCGAGTTCGTTGAGAGTGAGGGCTTTTCGGAGTTTGTGAAGATCAAGGATCTGGTTCAGGGGGTGGAGATAAAGCACACTCGACTTCAAACGTGGGAGTAGACATATCATCATTGTTGTGGTGGAATCATGTATGTGATCGACCGTCGGGGGAATGAGATCCATTGAGGATAAATGCAACCAGTGATTTCCTTCCATCTAGCTTCAGTGGTGCATCTGCGTGCATTGCACCGAGAACACTTTTGGTTTTGATCGACAGGCCTAGAGATTTGGCCTGCGCTTCTATTTGACCGGGCACGTAGGCAGGTATCACCTCGTCTTTTTCTGCAGAAAGGAGAAAAATGGGTGGAATCATGTCAGATCTTGCTGTTGTCGATCCCAAATTGGCGTTTGGGGTTCCGGATTGACTGCTCAATGTTTCTCCATCTTGATCTCTCCATTTGGCCAGATGCCTCAAGCTTCCCTTGATATCCCAATTATTCCAAGAGAAAGGCCACAGATATCGATATGGCAGCCACTTCTGGGGGTAAAGACTGACGAGCATATCTTTTATGCTGGACGTTGGAGCCTCCAAAATCAGTCGAGTGACAGGCGCCAAGGGTTGGCCACCCCTTCCATTGCATGAAGTTTGATCTTTGATCTGCCGGGCAAGGTACGCGGGGACAGCTGATGTTGCAACTGCAGCGCCTAAGCTGTGTCCCCAAATGACGATTTCAAGATCTGTTTCCGGGCCCCCGTAGGTTTCTGAAATCCAATTCAAGCATGCTTGGGCGTCCATTTCGAGACCGGATTGCGTCGCGCGACCGGATGATTTCCAGTAGCCACGATAGGACAGCGCCACAATTGTATATCGAGTAGTCTGGGGGTCAGAATGGGGATCCAGTGATTTCGACGTTTCCGAAATCGTCCGCAGGACCTGAGAGAGAAGAGGCAGTCGCATAGGGGTTGATCCCCCATTTCCTTGCAAGTAGCAGATGACAACCGATTTCTTACGGTCAGAGTCTGATGCTTGCTTTCTCTCTCTGGGGTCACTGCGGTCTGCCAAGGATCTGCTCTCTTTGGGTGCCAGGATCGGTATGCGACCCTCACAAATCGCCAACTTCGTTCCGTCTAGGCTACGGATTTCTTTCTTCTTCCACCGTACCGGCTTGCACTCAAGCTGGTAGTCGGCGATGACTTCTGACCGCGTAAACGGCGGCAACCAGGTGAGGTAAAGAAGTTTGTTCTGTAAGACGATGATCCAAAAGCATTTCCAGGTCCAGAGGCCCACCAAGAGTCCAATGAACATCAGAGGTGGCACGAGAAAGCCGGGGATTGCTGTTGTTGCCAGGCCTCGTGGTCTAGCTCCCGCATGTTGAGCGACCGTTATTCTCTTGCTTTGGGTGTGAAAGCCATTTGATGTATGGACCCTTAATTGCCTTGTATGCAGTTGCCCGCGCGGCACGCGTCGCAAAGTCTGGTTTCGCAGCATCAATCCAAGAAAAATTGCGTTAGTTCTGGAACATACATTTCCTGAAACCGGGTGATACCTAGAGGCCTGGAGGTTCACATACGAGTACGCCCGCGTTAGTAAGCTGCCTTCCACGGCCCTGAGCTCCAGGGCTGCCCCCAGACCAGCGGCCGTCCACGGGTCCTCAGTCCGGAGGGGTCCACGGGTATGGCCATTACTTTGGAGTACCTGATTGCCCATCTCTTAAGGATAATTTTCCAATGATATATGTAAAAATAAGTAGTTTAATTCCAGTACAACCAGGAAGATACTATGTACTCCCGCAAAACGTCCAAAAAAAAGCATACAGCCTCAACGCGCAATATAAATGGTAGCGTGAATTCAAATGGGTATTGTGGTCGTGATCATCCGGAGTCGTCATATGAAACAAAAATAGTAACAGAAGAAAGTGGCAGGAAGGGAAGTAGAAGCCCGTTTATGCCCCAAAGTCGGCCGTGCAAGTTTTTACAGGATTTTGGGTCTCATCCACTCGCTCGTACCGACTCCAAGGTTTAGCCCATTGCGTTGCCACCAGCGTCGAACGCGACCTTCAGCACCGGAAGATGGATCAGCATCTTCGAGCGCTTCCTCGATATCACAGGTCTTGAACTCGACCCGCATGCCGCAGGTTTTCCACCATTGCAAAACGTGGTCGTGGCCATTCTTCGTCGGACCGACCAAAACCTGGTTATCGAAGATCATTTTGGGGCCTTTGAGCTTATACCAAAATTCAAGGACGTGGACGTGGCCATGTGTGCTCGCGATGCGGGCAACATTTTCGGCGTGGCTGTATGGGATCCCTGAGGCATCCCACCAGGCAAGAGATGTAGTGCGGCCCATCTGAGCCGCGAGAAGAACGCTTTTCCCTACTTTGAGTGGCATGGGGGTGCTAGATGGGGGGTTGGCACATGCTCGTTTCCACCAGTCGAGCACTTCGACTCGACCTTCGGCGCTGGCTGCTTCGAGAGCTCGCTCGCTGTATCGCAGTGGGAGGCCAGAGTGGAGCCACCAGCCTAGCACGGCGAGAAAGCCTGCTCTGGAGGCGCCGTCCATGGCGTCTGCGCCGTATTCCTTGTTTGGGAGGGCGGGGGCATCACGCCACCAGGTGAGAACGTTCGGATTGCCATAAATGGCAGATGCCCGGTAAGGGATACTTGTGAGTCGAGAAGTAGTCCAAAGAAGGTCAAGGTGGTTTTCGGTGAGGTATGAAAGGATGTCGGTTCGGGAGAATTTCACGATGAGATGGCAGGCAAGGTCAGAAAGAGGCTTCCAGCGAGGTAGCGCTTCGATGCGCTTTTTGATCGCAGCGAAGGATCCTCGGAGGATGGTGTATTCGAGCGAAGCTGGCGTAGACATTTTGGGTAAATGGCTTTGCCATTCTTGGGGAACAGGTAGATTAACCGGAATTCCCACAGCTTTCGCTGTTTCCCAATCTCCGAGCTGATCTTCGAACACGCTAAGCCAGATCTCGAGTGGTAAAAAATCGGCGCTACCTGTGGGCTTCGCATGTGTAGATTCGGTAGTCCCATGAGTCGTTGGAGTTGCGTATAAGGGATTTGATTGAATTTGGGCTGGTGTCGCAGAGCCATGACCTGCCCCAGTCGCCGCGGAAGCTTTCCATGGTGGGATCTGCAATGTGGTCTCCAATGTGGCATGCAATTCGCTCAGTCCATCCCAGGGCAAGATGGTCAGTTCCTCTGGGCCATTTGATCTCCAAAGTACTGGCTTGACAATTCGAATCCACGGCCAAAAACGACTGATTTCGTCTAGCTGCCGGGCACTCAACGGATGATCCCATTCGGACACCGTCATGCCGGGTATGAGAATCACCGGCTTTTCTGAGACCCATCCGCGAAGGAGCGCAAGTGTCAAAGTGTTGGTCAAGCCCGCCAACATCGCCCCAAGAGCTCCAGCATCGATAGGCGCAACTAGAAGCATATCAGCCCATTCGCAAAGCTCCGCTGTTTTCGCCTGCAACCATTTCCGTGCGCCAGTTTTCTTGTCAAATGTTTGGCTATCCACTGTATCCATATAATGCGGTATCTTGTTCGTACCCGTGAGCAGGGCGGAGGGTTCGTCGGTAATCAGTCGCAGTTCGATGGACGGATTTTGCACGAGTGAGGGGAGAACCGTGTCGGCAAATGCGCTATCGGTGGAAAGGAGCAGACGCCGCCGCCGTGGTTGGGATTGCTTTCCATCACGGGCCGTGTTGTCGGAGGATTCCTGATAACATTTATTTCCAATCACCGTTCCCTGGCCACCGCCATCCGCCTCCATATCACTTGGCCACGTCTTCTTTTCAAGGGGGTTTCTGATTATTGGTGCCGATGTATAGGCCCACGAGCCAACTGCCATGCGTTGCGAAGAATAGGCTCAAAAAGACTTGAGACGAGACGGATGGACCCAATACAAAGTTCGGAGAGGAAAAGCCGCCAGGTCGAATTCGAGAGAGGTGGTAGTCAATTGGAAACAGCGCTGTACAAAAGGTTCGTGGTACGGCTATGCGAGTATCTGTGGTCTGATCGGACGAAAATCATGCAACCACCAGAATTGTACGGAGCATTCGGGACTGTGCTATCGCTTCGAGCGGTGAAGTCGGACCCGTCGCCACGTCGCCACGACGCTCTGCAGTTGCGCTCCAGGCAATCCCGAGAATCTTCAAGAGATCAGATCCGCCAATGAACGGAAGGCAGAGCATTAATTCGAGGGTCTCTTGCAGACGGTTAAAGGCGGGCCATGCAGCAAGTTCGGTTTGATTGGCAGAGAGACAGAGATGCGGTACTTTTGCGATGATCTCAACTGGCTTTGACCGCCCTGGCCATCTATACCCAACACCTTTCTGGCTTCACGTCCTCATTCCTGATTCTGTTCTTGGCCAAAGCTGGTGTTTAATGGCTGTCTATAACTCGGACCAATCGTCATCCATGGATGTTGACTGTTGTTCCACAGCAGAGTGTACTCCATCTTTCTGGGCTTCAATAGGACTCGTCAGCCCAAGCCCATTTGGCGAGAATGAACTGCTGATCCATACTTCATATGCCCAAGTCTAAGAACGCCGATCTAAGCAGGTTTATACAGTACAATCTAGAAAGTACATGGTACTTTGTACATCTATGAAGCCGCTCTCTTGGGATTAATGAACACCCGATACGGCAGCACACCCATTGCAGGATACATCAAGCATTCCCTACCAATTTCAGCGTTTCTTCCCGAGAGGAGGAAGAAATAACAAGTCCAGGAGGTCCTATATTGCAAAAATATCTTCCACTGAAAACTGTCAGGCAAGTGTTTACTCGAGGTGTTGACCTCAGTATCATTTCCCTTGCCGGGGGTATCCAAATTTTTCCTCAATTCTCGAGTGACAGAATCGGGAACATGCTCATAATTCAGGATGGTGTCTATATCACATCTGTAGGGTGTAGCAGCTGTATACTCGTCCCAAAGGAGGTGTGTGTGCAACGTGAAACCTTCAATGTTGACATCTGGAGACGGAGCTGGCCTTATGTGACACCGCAAATTGATTATTTGGTGCATTTTCAAGCTTTGGTCAAGAATTAGTACACGCAGCTACTCGTATGGGTGAAGATCTCTTCTTATGGATCGTGAATCATGAATGAACCCTCCAAGTTAGAAGTGCTGAAACAATGTTTGTAGCACCTGGTTTGAGCTAAATGAAATCCAATATCCGGCGCTCTGATAATCTGTCCAAGGGAAATAACAGATGGGTGGGTGTTAACGACTCAGACATTTCGCAGTACGCATACGGTGTCGCAAAGCCTACAGCTCCCGACATCTCAAATGTCCCCTGCGTCATGGCTGTTTGGCTGTTCTCGCCTAAGGGTGGGGGCTCGGATTTGGCACGGCCCGCTCGGGCGGTGGCCAACGGTTCACCGCAAGGGTGGCTTAATCTCATACTCTCTGTTTTTGATACTTCTTTCCCATTACCCAACTCAACTCACTTGAACCCGACTCTACTCGTACAAAACGCATACATCCATACCCACACGTGTACTTCATACGATACACTCTTTCTGCTCCTCAGTCTTCATACGTCACTTCCCAACATGGCATCCTACGGAACCAGCGGACCTTCTGGGGCCCAAAATCAGCCTTCAAATGTTCAACCTGGGCTCCAATCCAACGCCCAACACGAAGATCCCACTGTGCCCCGAAGTGAGGTTACCGATGAGCTCGAGTCCTCCAACCAGGCCCTTCAACTCAAACTCCAAGCTTTACAGAAGGAGCTCGAGCAAACCAAAGCTGAAATCTCGGCCGTCGACCATGTCCTAGAAGTGGCCAACAATGACAAACCTTGATTTGCATTTCCGGGAGCTTCGCGTTGCTTCATGAGACTTTTATCCTGGATGCCTTGGTTTTCGATATGCCGGGTCTGTTGTATCCCAGAGAAATTGATTTTTCAAGATGACGGCTGAGTAAAGTCATCTATAACCAAATTGCTATGTGCTGGAGCTGTCAGCCTCCTACTACGCAAGGTTCCGTCGAATTCTTCGTAATTCTGTGAGCATCCCGAGCGCCGGCCCCCGGGCACGGTATACAACAACTCCCACGCAGTCAACAAGATAGCTAGTAAATTACTTAACTTGGAAGTAGAAAAGGCAGAATGATCCTCGCAGTAGAGTATCTATTCAATCTACTATCCATATCGCCCAACCTTGAAATCATCAGCCCATAGATTCATGGACAGATATCATCTTGTGTGCAGGTAGGACTCCAATTCGTTCCAACTTTTTTTAGTATGTTTGCCTCCAGCTATAGTCCTTGAGAGCGCACGTCAAGACACTATGACTGTAATCTCCTAACTTGAGAAAGATGGAATTCAATTAAAACATGTCATCCATGTAGATCTATAGATACCCAAAGATGGAATCAGACAAAACGACCTCGGGAGTTGTGTACACATGCACCCAGGTACACCGAAATAAAATTCTACTTAATTGCATTCCAATATTTTTCATCAACTCAATCTATACAAATTTTAAACTTCCAAGCGCAGAATTTCCAGGGTTTTATCTGTGCAAAATCACACACCCACCGGTGTGTTCAGGTTTTAGCGCCGGGACAAGTTGTTGTGCAGTGTATGTTCCCGCATAGCAAGACTCGAAAGTGAGCCCAGAACGGCAAGGCCCAACAATGTCAAGAACACTGCACGCAGGGAGTCCATGTAAGCATCAAGGACACCGGGTGTCCAGTCCGCGGGTACATTCCAGATCTCGTCCAAGCTATCTCGCAGGCGTCCAATCATCTCTTTAGCATGTTCACGTTCACCAAAGCGACCCCAGAGGCCCATCTTGAGGGTATTTTGGAAGACCGCGGACGCAATTGTGATGCCGATGGTGCTTCCGGTGCTGCGGAAAGCATACGAAGCTGAGGTTATCACAGCATGATGCTGGTGGTCAACAGCAGATATGAGTGCAACCAATGTGATGGTTAACATGCTCCCGTAGGATGCGCCGCCCAGGAAGAAATAGAGAAAGGGCAACCCGACTGGTGTATATAAGTCCAATGTGCAAATCAGTCCCGCCGATAGTACCTGCAGGCCCATGGCAACATAGTTAAGCAGCTTGTAACGACCGCTGGCACGCATAATAATGCCTGATGCCAAAGACCCGACCGAGGTACCAATAGCCTGCGGAACCAACCGCGCTCCAGCAGCAGTTGCCGACAGGCCTTGTACCTGGAAGAAGACCGGGAGATAGAAGAGAAGACCGAAGACTGCCATCGTGGTGAACCAATTGGTCAAGCAAGCGGCTGCGACAGTGCGGCTCAGCAGAAGGCGCACGGGGATGACAGGCTCCGAGGCGACTTTAGCCTCTACATAGATGAACACACATAGAAAAACAAAAGACATGGCCAGCGATGCCAGAACCAATGGGTGGGTCCAGGGAACTTGGTTACCGCCGGTATTGAGGCCAAGCAGTAAGGTAACCAGCGTCAGAACCAGCGTAATGGCACCGAGGAAATCGACGCGTTTAATGCGCGCTGTATCCGAGTCCTTCACAGGAATGTCGACTTTCACGGCAACCAGCACGCAGGACACCACAAGGAAGGGCACCTGGAGCAAGAAGGCCCATCTCCAACCCAGAGTGTCATTGATCCATCCACCAAATACACCCCCAAGTCCCATGCCGGCGCCAAAACAGATGTTTCCAATGCCTTGCCATATACCCCGCTTACGCAGAGGGATCAGGTCAGAGGTGACAAAGGTCGAGATCGCCGTTAGACCACCTCCGCCAACACCTGCCACAACGCGACCAAGAATGATGACCCATTGAGCCCTGGCTAGGCCACAAATCAAATTTCCAATCGCGAAGAAGATATTGGAGAATACCAGTCCCCAGCGACGAGAGTATATATCAGTGAGTCGGCCACTGAGTGGTTGACATGCGGCATTGGAAATCAGGTAGGAGGTTGCGAGCCACGAAAGCAGTGAGAAGGAATTGAAGGACGAGGAGATGGGCGCGGAGAGAGTGGCGACGATGGTCGTGTCTGTAGCGGCTGGTTAGTTCTAGGCAAACGAGGAATTACTCGGGCTTTTTCATACCAAGCGCGGCCAGGAATACACCCAACCAAATACTCCCAAGGATCCAAATCAACTCCTTGGTGCTGACTTCCTTTGGGAGTGGAGTATCACCATCGGGCGCCCGCAAAAGAGGCGTCTGCTCAGATGCGGGCTCTCTCACATCTTCTCTGGCCATAATGCTAGATCCTGAGCATCAAAAAGAGAAGTCCGGGTATGGGAAATCTCGAGCTTGGGGCGGGGGGAACTCAGCGGGGAAGGCGGCGAACAGCGGGTGCGGAGAACATTTTGAATATTCAGCCCTGGATATCACTTCCGGATCCATTGGTTCGACAGGCACGAATATCCCGAGATTCTTACATATCCTTTGAAGCTTGTATATTGCTTGCTTTACTAGTGATTATATGGCCTTGGATACCGTTCTTGCCAACTGTTTGCTCCGCCAATCGCTTTTTATGGTGTCTAGGTCATAACTTTCATTAAAAACGAGGGGCGGATACCAACTTTAGAAATACTTTGCTTCTTCTCTGTGTCTTTCAATACTTGAATAGAATGAATATTTAGCCCTGGGGTGAGATTGAGCCGGTAGTCGGGCAATTATTAAGTAGACTCTCACACCTTCGAAATCTGATGTCTGTTATAGAAAATATACTTAAGTATATCACCTGTAAATGGTTGCTCTAAGGATATAGAACGGGATTAAGTATAGGATACCAGGGAGGTCCTTGGAAGGAATGATGTAACCTTGCTCAACTTTAGAACTAGAAGTGGAAAACAAGGGCCTCTCCAGTCCCGAGGGGCTCAATTCTAAAGTTCTGCATATATAGACATCATAGTAGCAACTTTAGATCCTGCACATGTGGGCTTAGAACTTAGAATTTCTGCTCATGTTCGTTATGTCGTCGCAGCGACACATTTGATATCCCTAGCAGTGTTCCACATCTGTCCTGAAATCGCAATCTGGCTTTGACTTCAGGACATCATCTATAGAGGAGAGATAAGTTGCACGAGGTGCAGACCTATATTTCTCAACCCAGTAGAGTAAGTAGCATTGTCTTCTCCTTTCTTCGGGGTTCTCCCTGCCCCCTGCTCAAGTGTCTCGCAAAATCGACCAGCATCCATGGCTGTTGCTTCCTTCAATTATGCTTTTGAAGTTTGACGAAGAAACAAAATTGTATCGGCTAAGCCATCACCTCTTCTTCAAGGAATGATCAGATGGACTAAGTAATTAAGTATCATTGAAGTCATACTCTCGGGAATGGCAGTTGTGCTCAAGTGAGAGCTGGCAAGTTCGGTCACATTGGGAAATCAGTGAATTTACATACAGTTACGGGCTGCATGTTACACTCGTTACGGAGCACTTTTATCCGCGTCGAATGGGCTGTTTACGTCCCGTCACAGAACAGTTGTTACATGTAATGTGAAGTGCCGACATCCAAAGCCAGATAACGCCGCCGTAGCCACGTTTGTGGGGATCCCCGGATTTCCCCTCACTTGCTAAGTCCGCTGCGACATCGGATATCCCATGCAACTCCACTGTTTTGAATTTCCCTGCAAGCCAAGCTTTAGGCAGCTCATATTCTGGCCCGATTTTGTTTTCGCTTTCCATGGCTTGTTTCTTGGTCGCTGGGTCTGCTTGAATAGCCCTGGAGGGATTTTTCGCAGCACCGGGTGACTTCTCAATAGTGCCTCTGCGCCGAATGAACTCTGCAATAGTATCCGATATCCGCTGCTGATTAGATGTGCCCTCAAATTTAAACATCGCCCAACTTTGTATCGCACTCGTAAGTGCCTCAACTTCAGAGTGGAGCCGGGTCAACGTCGGGAAATTACACCATTCCTTCAAGGATCGGCACCGACGATCCCATCGGGAGCTCTCAAGCTTAAGAATTTGTCTCATCTGCCGGCGGAGCCCTTCCTTTGATACGTTTGTTACGGTATGATGTCAGGAACGGAACCGCGGTATTCACCATCCATGGTATATAGTCTTGCGTCCGCAAACCGTCCAATTTGATACGATTTTTCTCCCAAAATGACTCGCTTTCTTGGACTACCCCTCGTAGCTTTGGGCTCTGTAGCCTTGGCTACCCAGGATGCGTTTCAATCAAAGTGCGCTAAGTTTGGCGATCAGATTGATATTCCCAATGTCAAGGTGAACTTTGCTGAGTATGTTCCTGGGGGTACCAACGTGTCTTTGGCGGACAACCCTCCTAGCTGTGGTTACTTGAGCCAAGCAGTTTCAGCGGACCTGTGCCGAGTGGCTATGGCCGTAAAAACCTCCAACAGCAGTGAGATCACGTTGGAGGCCTGGTTCCCTCGTGAATACAAGGGCCGTTTCCTAAGCACTGGCAACGGGGGTGTCTCTGGCTGTAAGCGCCTTTCCTGAAACTTGATTCAACTTACCGCTGACTCTTCGACAGGTATCCAGTACTATGACCTTGCCTATACATCCCAATTAGGCTTCGCATCAGTCGGAGCTAATAACGGACACAATGGTACCTCAGGAGAGCCCTTCTATCGCCACCCTGAAGTTGTCAAAGATTATGCATACCGATCCGTTCACACAGGAGTTGTTGTGGGCAAGGAACTCACCAAGCAATTCTACGATGAGGGCTTCGACAAGAGCTACTACCTTGGATGTTCAACTGGTGGCCGCCAAGGATGGAAGTCTGTCCAGAAATATCCCAATGACTTCGACGGTGTAGTTGCTGGCGCACCCGCTATCAACCTGGTCAATCTGTTCTCTTGGAGTGCGCATTTCTACCCCATTACCGGCTCCCCATCTTCAAAAACCTTCCTGTCAGCCGATGAATGGCAAATTGTCCACGATGAAATCCTCCGTCAATGCGACTCAATTGATGGCGCAAAGGATGGAGTCATTGAAGACCCTGATCTCTGCCGCCCTGTCTTGGAGACTTTGACATGTGACCCCAGTGCTTCAAACAAAACCAGTTGCCTCAGCAGTGCACAAGTCAACACCGCTCAACAGGTCCTTTCTCCCTTTTATGGAATCAATGGTACTCTGTTATACCCGCGCATGCAACCTGGTTCCGAAATCCTTGCTGCGCCCATAATGTACAGCGGAACTCCATTCCAATACAGCCAAGACTGGTACCGCTATGTGGTATATAACGACCCGTCCTGGAGCGGTGCAAACTTCACTGTCAAGGATGCTGCCGTTGCTCTTGCACAGAACCCATACAACATTCAGACCTGGGAAGGTGATATATCAGCCTTCAAGAAGACTGGTGGCAAGATACTGCATTATCATGGCTTGCAGGATCAGCTTATTAGCTCCGAGGATTCGAAGTGGTACTATTCCCATGTCTCCAACACCATGAAGCTGCCTCCATCCAAGCTGGATGAGTTCTATCGCTTCTTCCAGATCAGCGGTATGGGCCATTGTGGCAGCGGTGATGGTGCTTATGGTATTGGCCAGGGGTTGAAGACGTATAGTGGCGACAATGAGCCAGAGGACAACGTGCTGATGGCTATGGTCCAGTGGGTTGAAGAGGGCAAGGCGCCGGAGACTGTTCGTGGTGCCAAGTTCGTGAATGGCCCCGGATCTAAGGTTGAGTACAAGCGTAAGCATTGTCGCTGGCCTCGGCGCAATGTTTTCAAGGGCCCTGGAAATTATACAGACGAGAACGCCTGGCAATGTGTCTGAATAGTATCACTGTATATATAGAATTTGTTAACATCCCTCTTCAATATGAATTATGGATGTCACATATAGCAGCATGATCAAGCAAATGTCATTTAATCAAGGTCAAGACAACCGGAGAGCATGTGACAGAATATTGAATGTCCCATGCAATCAAAGTCCAAGAAACAAGATCACGGGACAAAAAGGGTCATTTGGCAGAAAACGGTTCTATCGCCGACCGCCAAAAGGGTGATTCCTCTGGCCTTGACAGGCCGAAGGGCAACCTGTGTCACTTTATCTTCATCATCTCCGTACATTCTCATATAAACTGCGTGGTCTCTCGGTCTCATTCGACCAGACATCCCACACTCCACTCATTAGCGCACGGATCACCGTTCGCGGCCATTGAAGCTGCCCCTCGGATCGCGTATATCGCCGCGTCAATCCCGCACTCACTACCAACCTCGATCAGCCCACAGTATATAAGCCAATTCCCTCACAATGGTGGACGCCGACATGGACCAGTTCGCACAAACTCGCGGCGGGGACGACCTATTCGACGACGAGATCATTCCGGTCCCCGCAGAACAACAACACAAGCAGACCGAAGTTATTGCCCGCGAACCGGAGCCTGAAGGACAGGAGGTACATGTTTCTGAAGCTGTAACTACCGGAAAGACTACCTCGCGTGGAGACACTCCGCAGCGGGGCCGTGGCGGAGAAAGAGGCCGGGGGCGACGGAACCGGGGCAAAGGGGGACGTGGAGGTCGGGAACCAGACCAGAAGCCGCCCGCAAGATCTTCGCGCAAGAAGAAAGAAGCAAGTGTGCCTGCTGCTGATGCGCGCGATGCCAGTCCCAAGCCCGATGGGACTGAGGAATCCAAAGAGCAGCTCCCCGTGGAGGATGTCAACGGCGAAGAGGCGGCAATTGGCGCCGATGCTCAACGTGTGCCTGCTGTGCGAGGAGACCGAAGTGCCACTGGGGGTTTGAGAAAGGTGGGAAAAAACCAATGCCAAGCTATTGAGCCGAATGCTGACTGCTGATTAGCCCAAACTCACTGAAGAAGAACTATCTAAGCGCATAGCCGCTGCAAAGGAAAACGCCGTCAAGAAGGCTGCTGCCCATGCTCGTGCTGAAGCAGACCATGCATCGTTCGTGGAGCGCGAGCAGGAAGCAGCTAAGAAACGTCGCGAGGAGCTCGCGCATCGCCGCGTGATGGATAACGAACGCGAGCAGAATAGACAACGCAAACTGAAGGCCCAGACGGGCCGTGAATGGGACTCGCAAAAACGCGAGGAAGATTATAATCCACGGGGCGGTGGTAGCCAATTCCGACGTGGTATGCATGGTGGTGTTTCCGGCCATGCACGACAGGACTTTGAAGGAAGCCGTGTGGAAGGCGCTGCTGATAATGCTGGGGGTCAGCGAGGCCGTGGACGGGGTGGACGAGGAGGACGAAGTCGGGGTTCACCACACGCTGCACCGGCCGAACGGTCCGCGAATAGTAAGGGCTTGTCCGGCAGCATGTGGGCGGATAGCCCTGCTCAGCCGGTTGTGGATGACAAGGATGAATTCCCTGCTCTCCCCGAAGGTCCGAAACAGGCTAACAGTAAGTCTGAGACTAAGCTCGACACCAAGAATGACGCCAAGCTTGAAGTACAACCCGCGCCAGAACCGTCGAAGCCTCTGACATCTTTGGAGAAACTTGACTCGACTTTCTCGCCTATCACAGGTAGTTGGGCGGACCAGTTTGACGATGAATGATAATATATCCCCAGATTGGAGAAGGACGGACTGTATTAGTCCATTCCAGCTTATAACGAATTCCTTTGTCGCGCTGCTCACGAGATGAAATGAGCCGAGTTTTCCTATTGCAATTGGATATTTTCAGTACCCACAAGCCTTCTTTGAGTGATCCAGGTGGCTGAGATGCTAAAAACCATCAAGCAATAGACTCGGAGATAATCATTAATCGGTGTTGCAGGTAGTGTGCCAATGTTTTGTCTTGGTCTGAGTTGAGAAGAAAGTCGAACTCCGCCATCGTGTGCCGAAAGCCTCATCTCATTTGCTGGCGCTGGGACTGGTGCCGGGACTGGTGCCGCAATTGACATCCATCGAGACAAACATCTGCGATATGACACTTTTGCTATCTGCGGAGACTAGGGGAAGGAGAGAGAGAGAAGGGGAAGGAGAGAGGAGCTCACCCCGAACTGTCTAGTATCTTGCGAGACCAGTGCCCCCTCACACGCAAGGACCGCCAGTGATTCTCTGCTGAGAGCACCAAATCCCGCATTACGTGCCATTTTCCTGTTCTACTGGTCTTCTGCTCAAGTGAACCTGGTCTATCACTGTTATGAAAAATCTCATTTGTGCACAGTATTCTTGCTGGTCATGATACATAAACAATTGAAAAAAAAAAGTTTATATCATCAAGTGATGCATGTCTCCAGGGCTAGGTCGATGGGTATGTGTAGGTGTGCGAAGATATAGTCGTTCCAAGTTTCCATCAGCCCGTAGCATTGGAGTCCTCTAGTTTAAAATGCCCCAGACCACCTTTAATTGACCCACTTGTGCCCCGCGGGAATTTCCGAAGTCATCTTCTCTCCCAGTGACCTCACCTTCTGCAAGATTGAGGTATTGTGGACGAACCAGGCCACTCTAGCTATAGAGTAGTCAAACTCCCAAGCCCCAGAATATTGACACAGGAACCGAACTTTAGAACTTGTCGCAGCATCATATCTGACCTTCGCCTCGGCAAACCGGCCGCGGGCATCCAAAGTCCGACCTCATAAGCAATATGGAAAGTGGAGACGAACGTCCATATCGCTCCCATACGAAGCCAGCATGTCTTCCCTGCCGGCGTAGAAAGTCGCGCTGCAAAATTGAGCCCCACACTGAGGCGTGTTTGATGTGCCGTGCGCACGGCACTGATTGCACATTCCCAAATGGACGGGCAAAGGCAACATCTCACAAACGGCATTCCACGGAGACAGCGCCGAGAGTTCCACACCCGGCTTTGCGTACGCCTGTGGCTGGGCCATCGAATGGACTTCTGGCTGTGTCACCACACTTCTCGAACTCACAAAGCCAAAATCTGGACACACCGTTGTCGCTTGAAGCTGATGATGATAACCCTCATATCCTGGGCCCAGCCGTGACCGGGGATAATCATGTTCTGGCTGACTACCTGTCAAATATATCGGGTGGGCAGGGGATACGTGAGATCCGGCCCGTTGAGCCGGGGAGTTCCTCGTCCCCTGTCATTTTTACGAAAGTACAGAAAAGACCTTTGGGGCTTACTGTGAACTGCAGCCCAGCAATGAAAAACCTCGAGACGATTGAAAAGCTCATCGAACCATGGGGGCCACATCTGATTGAGCTGTGAGTTATGTTAGGGGTACAGACAATTTGACAATGAAAGCTGATGGTCACAACCAGATACCTGAAGAAAGTCAATCCTTGTCTTCCACTCCTTGACGAGACGTCATTCAGAGCGCAATATATGAATACAAAACACCGGATATCCCCCGCCCTACTCGCAAACCTGTACGCGCAGTCACTCACATATTGGAGACACGATCCGGTACTATCGCGAGAAAGATGTCCAGATTCTCGCTTTGTCTGGAACCTTGCAATAGAAGCCTCATATTCTGAGCTGCATGCATCAGCCGGTATATCGACAATCAAATCCCTTTTACTGGATGTAGGGGGGCGTCCAACAACTTCCATGACTGGCAATGGTGTCAGACTTAGCTCAGCTCTTTCGCTGTGCCATTCTCTAGGGTTGAATAGGAATCCGCTTCCATGGGATATCCCGCAAGCTGAAAAACACCTGAGAATGAAAGTTTGGTGGTCAGTGCTTATCCACGACCGTTGGTATGTTTTTCTTTGATGTGTTCACATATAAATACCCCCAATACTGATTGCCCTCCAGGTCAAGCCTTACTTACGGCACCCCACCTCACATAAGACGCTCACAGTATGACGTTCCACTGCCGATTCCCGAATATCTCTCAGACTGGGAATACAACCGCGCAGCGAATTCAGTATTCATCGAACTGATGAATCTGACTGATGTCCTTGACCACTGCTTGGAGCATGTATACAACATCCGCATCGAATCTCAGACTCCGACGAGAAACCTGGAGCTTGATCTGAACAAATGGGTGGACTCGTTGACAGGTGAAATCCGAAAAATAATAATTCGCGGCTCGAATCTCGACATTCCTGGTGCTTCCAATCTTCGGCTTGCATACCTGGCCACAAGGCTCTTGCTGAGGCGAATCGATCTCGACAAGGAAAGGCAAGCACAAGACCCTAACCCAGAGGCAATGGCCAATCGAACGATGGAGGCCCGCAGGACAGCGGAAGATATCGTAGTTCTGGTACAGGAACTGGAGGAGGCACAGCTGGGCGACTTTTGGCTCCCTGTTGCCGCATTTACCTTTTCTTCGACTGTAACTTTCCTTATTCGCTGTGCACTGGAAAAAGAGCAGGGAGCCGGGCTCACTGAAAGCGGTTCTTTGAGAATGGCGAGTGATTTTCTGGATTCGCTGAGGTCACACCAGCGGAACTCTGGGTGGGATTTGGCTGATATTTGCCTAGCGCAACATTCTGAAGTTGTCGAGAGGCTGTTAAACTCCTCGCCTCCAGTGATCAACTCAGAAACAAACGCAGAGCAGCATTTTGTTCACGACATGGCCTTTGTGGATGACATGTTCCCGAGTATTTGGGACACTCTGCAAAGTATTTAGTGAATTTGAGCCTGGGGCTCCATGTACTGATATTCAAATAATGTCTAGGGGTATTTTCTCCGAGGAATAACACTTCACTGATCACATAACTTTTCCCGCAGGGCTACCTGGGTATTCGTGGGCCGCAGTTCCGTGGCGAAGGTACAGACGACATAGACGAAGGACCTGGACTTGACTTGCGGGTAGACACTTAACCGGTTGATCGAGCAACGATCAGGAATCTCCAAACAGGCCTTGGAACACCACTACCTCGCCAGATCCGAATTTCTGGGCCACTGAACGTTGCAATGCTGCAGCCAACGTGATAATATGACAGATAGCATGGCACCCGGATCTGCAGCGCCCGTTGAGGCTCCGGCAATTCTCACAAAGAATGAGGAGCAACCTTTTCTATGTAATAACATGGACCAGGATGAGCTCTGAGCCAAAAGCTCTAAGTATCTTCTCAACTATGGAACTTGATTCAACAAGGAGGTGATTGGCGCTAGCAAAGGCCTCTGGGTGTATATGGTATCGGGTCATTAAGTTCCCGATTTCACATCCTGGCTACATATAATCCATGAGGAGGTTGTCCCCTCCATCCCGACCCTGAGCAAAACTTTAGGCAACGGAATACCGCTTAGCGCGGTGACTATGAACGCGGAGATTGAGCGCGTGTGCCCAAAACGAGACTATCGTTTTTACGAGACCCAGGGCAATGATCCACTTCCCGCTGCAGCAGGTGACAAAGTGCTTGAAATTGTGGTTTTCAATGGGCTGGTCGCCCATTCGCATGTAATGGGCCAGATCTTACATGACAGACTCAATGCCCGAAAGACAACAGATGTATAGGTGATGTCCGTGGGGGCCCATGGCTGGTATGTATTGGGATTGTCGAGGATCCGGAAGCAAAAACCCCTGCTCCGGCATTGGGAAAGGCTATTGGTAATCGGGCTTATGAATTAGGCTTGTGGGCCAACCTAAGTACATCTCGTACGAGTACTTGTACAGTCATCCCGACTTTGGGGGCACTTTTCGCATTGCTCCGGCTATCTCTACGGAGTGACTACCTATGTGGTTTGTTATCACGGAGCAAGTGTGGCTTGGAAATATTGGAAGAGGCGTTTGCAACAACAGCCGGCACTTTGCCTGTGCACGTTTAATTGGGTATTCTGAACTTTTCTTTGGTGCGCCATGGAAAATTCAATAGTTTGAAAATTCTTTCAAATCGCGAGATGGGAATTTCCCCGAGATTTTCACACATGGTCTCAGATCGGGCGTGTACTACTAAATCGGGTCTGTGTGAATCGCCGTTGAGAGATCCGTTCTTTGGGTGAGATCATAAAGAGATCAGACTCGGTCAGAGTTTGCCCCAGTCATTCAATCCTCTGTGGACTCTCTTTCGTCAAATGTTTCAAATGCGATAGATAGAAATCGAGGTCAGAGGGGCGCTTGGTCTAGATTTCCAAATTCTGTTTTGTAGCCCACAGTGAAAGTGGACCATGATTGGTTCAAAATGGAGATTGCGATCATCAACTTAACCACCCGTGGGCCTTTTCGCCTTGGTTGGGTGAGGACCCGCAAAGTGGATACCACTCCGACTCACGATTGGATTTTCATGTTTGGTTGCGCGCATGGCAACCATGCGACCAACCAGCCGTGGACAGCACATGTTTCGAACATTGGGAGGTTTGTCATACAATGATGTGCTTTTTCCGTCTCTGCTGGTGATATTGCATGTCCCACAGCCTGCAGGAATACAAACACCTGGGCAAAGTTGGATATATGCCGCGTGTGACGAATATGGCCGGGGTTGTCTTAGACAACATTCAGGAACAGAGATCCAAAACATGGAAACGCGGACGGGAAAAAGGGTCCGTTCCAAGATAAAAGTTGGAATTGCTGGGTGGGTTTGTAGATTCAAAAAACTCATTTGCAGGATCTTCTACCCATTGATCCACCCATTGCATCAAAGCATACTAATCTGTCGGGGCTTATCAGAAATTGTTGTGAAATCGAGTCTTTGATCGCACAAGCTTTTCAAGGTTCAGCGGTGTTTGCTCCACTACACACTAGCCCGGGAATTCTTTATTCTGTTAGTTCTTAATACGTTCCTGATCCACCGCTTGGCCATGTCAACCTTTGACGTCTCTCTACTCGTACCCTAAGTTTAACGATGAGGTGTGGTCTGTCCATCCCTCAGATCGTAGGTGCAGGCCTCACTATCGGTCTAGCAACTGCGTTGTCACCGCGCACTAAAATCAACGATGCATACGACTTTGTTGTCGTGGGTGGAGGTCAAGCTGGTCTCGTGCTAGGCGCTCGTCTTTCAGACTCAAACCACACCGTGCTGGTTTTAGAATCAGGTGGCGATGGAGATGACTATCGTACTCGCATAGGTATGGAATCATCAATGGCGAGTTTGAAATGTACCCTAACAAACGAAAAGACACCCCCGCCGACTCCTATTTTGACTCCCTGTGGACGACGCCTCTGAATTGGGACTTCTACACCGCCAAGCAACCTAATGCAGAAGATCGTGAGATCGAGTGGCCTCGCGGAAAAGTCCTCGGAGGTTCGTGTCTTGATGTAATCCTTAATCCTCAACCAGACTGACACCGGCATTCAGGTAGCTCCGCCATTAACGGACTGTACATGACGCGTCCTGGCAAGGATGAAATCAATGCCTGGCAAGCTATGCTCGGTGACATGGATGGTGCCGACAATTGGTCTTGGGACTCATTTTACGCAGCACTGAAAAAAAGCGAGACTTTCACTCCTCCAAGTGATGCTATCGCTGAACAGGGCGGAATCACTTGGAACTCGTCACACCATGGGACGGAGGGCCCAATTCACGCCTCCTATCCTGACTAGTACGTTCAATATGTGAGAATGATCTCCTTCCTGCGACGATATTGACTTTCCACAGCACATTTGACCAAGTCGGTGATTGGTCAACATCCTTGCAAAGCATTGGCGTCGATATCTCCAGCAATATGTACGGCGGAGACGTTTGGGGTGCGGAAGTCTCGACCTCTTGTATCAACCCCTCCAATTGGACTCGATCATACAGTCGGACTGGATATCTCGACCCTCTTCCAGATCGCACCAACTACGATGTATTGGCCAATGCACACGTCACTCGACTGATCTTTGACAATTCTACCTCGACCAACCTGACAGCCAGCTCTGTTGAGTACACGTCTGACAATGGAACCACGAAGTCGACTGTCAGAGTGAAGAAGGAAGTTATCCTTGCCGGTGGCAGTGTTGGTAGCCCGGCGGTGCTGCTTTATAGCGGTGTCGGCCCGAAAGACGTCCTCTCCGCTGCTGGCGTTGACCTTGTCTCCGAGCTTCCCGGTGTTGGCCAACACCTCCAGGATCACATTGTGAGTTTGTCTACAGTCAGATCGGGATTAGTTGACTAACCCAAACAGAGTGCTACTGTGAAATGGAGCACCAGTGTGGACACAGCCGGATCTATCTGGTATGAAAATGGTGCGGATAAGGTATGCCTTGGATATAACTACCAATGAAGTGAGTGAGAGTGCTAACTACCACAGAACAACACCGATTATCTTTCATATATCGACGATGCTATCGCATACGTGAACTCCACTGCCCTCTACGGCAGCAAGGTCGGTGAATATGAGAAGAAGTTCCTTGCCCAGATGGACAAGTACACACCGAATACTACGACAGACGACGGTGTCATTGCCGGCTACAAGGCAATTTACAACACGACCGCCTCAACGATCTTTACCAGCCCAATGGGCCAAATCGAGCTTCTGTTCATGAACAGTGATGCAAATGGTGATGTTGGCATCAGCGCAGCACTGCAGCACCCTTTCAGCCACGGCCGCATCTACATCAACTCTTCTGACCCGATGGATTACCCTGTCATTGACCCCAACTACTTCGCTAACCCATCCGGTATGACTGCAACCATTCAACACACAGGCGCTTGACTAATATTTTCAGATATCGAAATCCTTCTCGAAGGCATCAAGATGGCCCGTAAAATCGGAGAAACCAAACCGATAAGCAACAACTTCACCGAAGAGATCACCCCGGGATCGTCTGTCCAAACCGACGAAGACTGGACTCAATGGCTCCGCGAACAAGCCACCACAGAGTTCCACCCCTCTTCATCCTGCGCAATGCTTCCCCAGGACCAGGGTGGTGTGGTTGACGCCAACCTTCGTGTCTACGGCCTTGCAAACGTACGAGTCGCAGACGCCAGTATTGTCCCCATTGCTCTGTCGTCGCATCTGATGGCTTCCACATATGGTGTTGCCGAACAAGCCAGTACAATCATTCTTGAATATTACGACCCATCCTCCGCCACGGACCCCGCTTTCAGTTCTTCCAATGTCACTGCTGTCTCCAGTAGCACTGCTACTCCGAAGAGCGACAAAAAGAGCAGCGCTGCTAAGGCTATCAGAGGCTTGTCGAATTCCTGGATTCCCTTTGTGCTTGGTTCTATGCACCTGGGCGTCATTTTCAACCTTCTGCTATAGGTCTGTCTTTCCAGTGAGGCATAATCTTGCCATTTTATTGATGCTGGTTACTTGCTGCCTAAAGCATCACTCACATGCCATTTTGGTCTGTTTAGATATTGGGGTAGAATTAACGAATTAATGATAGAATTTGAGAAGTTGAAATAGAATCTGCAATGTACATGACAAGACAAGATATAGGGTGGCTGGATGGCGCCGGACCTTCGAATGTCCGGAACCCAATTTTGGCGGTGTTAACATACTCCGCGAGGAGCTTAGAACCGACAAGAACCCACAAGAGTCCAACCAAGACAAGCTTGGCATGTCTATCTCTCGCTTACAAGCTCGGGGCCGTGCTTGCTCTTTGACCACCCAATAATCTCCGGCTTTCGCTACCCCGGAGTCTAACCAGTCAATGGCGGGGAAAATCCGGGGATCCAAGCTGAACCTGGAGTACATGATGCGGACTGGTTGAGCGTTAAGTCTTGGAATCTTGGCGCAATTCCTTCGACGTGCATTCGCCATACTTTTCGGGAGCTCTCAGGCATGATTTTGGAACGGGAGAAAGATGAGACGGACTCTCTTCATCCGCATGGGAAAAAGTGCCTATAAAGGGCTTTGACACGCATCACGATGCATGAGTTTTGCCGAAGATTCTGTTTCCTATATTCGGGTGATTGTATCGCCACTACCTCTTCCTGAATCTTTGGTTAAAATCCCCGAGTCCCAGGTACGGTCAAATCACGAGCAAGCTCTACTTAGAACAATGGCAATGTTTTCAAAAACCCCAAAAGCACCTGAAAGGTCGGACTTGGATGGCAAAGGGTCCGAAAACTCTCATGTTGAAGATGTCGATTCCATTAAAGCGGTCGACGAGAAAGCCCAAGGCGATTATTCCGGTGCTACAACCAAAGTTGACCCCGTTGAAATCAAACTCGTCCGCAAGTTGGATATGAGGATTATGCCTATTCTGTGGGCGATGTACTTCTTGAACTATGTATGTCGAACATACCAGAATATCTATTTTGGCTTTTCCCGGGGCGGTGGCTAACCAATGGACACAGATCGACCGCAATGCAATTGCGAATGCACGTCTCAACGGACTTGAGGAGGACCTTGGCCTTGTGGGAACCCAGTACAACACTTGCATTTCGATCTTATTTGTGGGGTATGATGAGGATCCTCTACCGATATGAACGAAAGCCTGATCTTGGAAATAGATATCTCTTGATGCAGATTCCATCCAACATGCTCATGTCCTCGAAGAAATTCCGACCATCCCTATACATGAGCGTTTGCATGGGACTGTGGGCCATTGTTTCAGCGTGCACAGCTCTCACCAAAAACTACATCGGTCTTCTCATGGTTCGATTCTTTCTAGGAGTGACCGAGGCCCCATTCTATCCCGGTGCATTGTTCCTTCTGTCGGTCTTCTACACGCGCAAGGAAATTGCGCTCCGCATCTCTATCCTATACACTGGAAACATTGTGGCCACTGCTGTCGCTGGTCTTATTGCAGCTGCGACCTTTGAAACCCTGGATCACCACATGAACTTGAAAGGTTGGCAGTGGCTTTTCATCATCGAAGGCGCTGTGACATTTGGCGTTGCAGGTCTCGGCATCTTCATGCTACCTGACCACCCACTGACTACAAGATGGCTCACCCCCGAGGAGCGACAGCTTGCCCACGATCGGATACAGCGAGATACTGTCAACAGCGAGGAGTCCAAGGGTGCACTTGCAGGCTTGAAGCAAGCCATGGCTGACCCACGCGTATATCTTTTAGCTTTCATGCAGAATATGCATTTGAGTGCCTGTGGATTCAACAACTTCTTTCCAACTGTTGTTGGAAGTCTTGGATTCAGCAGTACCATAACCTTGGTTTTGACATGCCCTCCTTATGTCTTTTCAGGAATCTGTTGTATCGTTGTTGGCATTACCTCTGGGCGGTACAATGAACGCACATGGCACATCACCCTGGCGATGGGGGTTGCTGTCATAGGATTCATTATTTCCTGTGTGACGCTCAACAAGGGCGCAAGATACGTGGCCTGCTTCATGTTTGCCAGTGGTGCATATGCAGTTAACTCGGTCATTCTGGGTTGGGTCTCCGCAACACTTGGCCAAACACCGGAGAAAAAAGCCGCTTCTATCGGTTTCATCAACGTTGTGGCAAACGCATCTTATATCTATACGGCCTATCTGTACCCGAAGACTGACGGCCCTCGCTACTTGATTGGAATGTCAGCAAACACAGCGTTCGGGGTTGCAACTATTGGGAGTGCTTGGGCTCTGAGGTGGTGGTTGCAGAGCACAAACCGGAAGATTAGTCGTGGATCTTTGCCTGGTGCCGGCGAGGTCCTATATGCATATTGATACATGGCCCATAGCTCACCAAACATCTCTATACTCGGTCTTTACAAGTGGATGCATGCTGTTCGTTCTATTAAATGCCCTATACTATCGTCGCTTTGCCAAAACAATATCAGTTTATTAGGGACAGTCTGAAGTCAAGCCCAAATCAAATCAAACTTTAGCAACCCCTCGCACTATTGGTCAATATGTTCAGCTGTCTTAAGTGCAGGCCAATCGAAAAGACATGAAATTTTTCGGTGCTGAAGTCCAAACGGAAACCTGTCCGAAAATGCTTATCTAACCCGACAAAATAGCCCTGGAGTGCGAACTCTACTCGTATCCTTTGCCCTTGACACGCCATTTCTCAACATTTCTCCTGCATGAAATGAACAGTACCGACTGGTCGGTGGCTAGCCAATCATTTGCCTCCAATAGGCCGGCCGCGTTGGTTAACTGAACCTGGTTGTCGATCTGGGTTGGACTTTTGCAACGGTCAGAATGCCCATCGGTCGACGATCGCATACGAAATCGAGGACGGGATGTATGGGCTGCAAGAAGCGTAGAATTAAGGTACGAAAGAGTTTAATTTCTAAAGCCTGAAATTATCCAGAGGCGTTCTTGGATTGTCTCGGGAAGAGAACTTGGACCACTTGTGCCCTTCACGCGCTACATTGCCGAAGCGACCAAGACTAAAATTTTTCGACAGTGCGACGAGGGAAAACCTGCGTGTACGCAATGCCTCCAGCATAGGATTCAATGTGATTACAAGAATCCACCAGTACCAAGCACCCGTTTACCAACCGCACATACTATCTCTGCTGTGTTATCCCCAAATGGACTTACAGCCGCGTCAACTCCTATATGTGCAACAGGGGCATCTTCAAGTCTCCAATCGCCTCTACAGGATATTGACACAACGGACTTCAGACTTCTCCATAATTTCACCACATCAACCTGTCTCACTCTATCTGACCAAAAGGAGCTACGAGACCTATGGCAGCAACAGATCCCTGATCTCGCCTTCTCACACACTTTTCTTCTGCGAGTGATTTTTGCCATCTCCGCTTTGCACCTGTATCGAAAAACATCAGATACGAATTACCTGGCCTATGCACTGCAGAAATATGAGGAGGCACTGAAATCCTCGTCTTTGGTCCTTACCGCAATTTCTCCGGCGAATTGCCACGCACTTTACGCCTGTGCAGCCCTCGGGTTCCTCTTCGAATTTGGCGCCCCGAGCGAGGATCAAAATATCCTCTATGATGCTAATGGAGCTTTAGCACCCTGGGTTATACATGTGCGAGGGGTGCGAATAATCATGGCTTCATCGTGGCATGATCTCGAATCCGGGATCCTGGGTCGTCTTTTTGGACATATATTCGTTGATCAAAGCGTGGATAATATCGAGGACTGCCTTGGAAGATTCGCAGAGCATATTGAGTCCACCGAAATCGACACAGAAACTCTTTCTACATATCTAGACGCTGTTCAGGACCTCACAAAATGGTCGAAAATGGTGGAAGCTGGGTTTTTTGCCTGGATGTGTCAAACTAGCGATGACTTCGCGACCCTCTTGGCAGAAAAGCAGCCATTCGCTCTTGTGATTTTCGGCTATTCGTGCGTTCTTCTGAAATATGGCGAGCCAAGGTATTGGATTGAGGGACGGGCCCAGCGTTTGCTGCGTGAAATATACGGATACCTGCAACCCCATCTTAGGGTATGGTTGGAATGGCCGTTAGCAATAGTAGGCTGAAAAAACCGAATCTCACCTAATCATGTTCATGAAAAGTTTGTGGTTATTTGAGTTAACAAAAAGGCCTTTAAAAACCCCGGAAACATTAGAATTATCAAACTTCCATTGACCTTGATACTTAAGTATTTGTTTGGATAGGAAGAGATGCACTTTGATGTAAAAATTGCACATTTATACTCGCTGCGTAACTTCTAAGGTTCTATATCCTTACTCAAATAGAAGGAAACCTTGTTAAGACAACCTTGGAATGATGGCAGAAACCACGACACCAGGAAGCCTTTCAGACTTCAGGAGTTCTGATGAAGTGAATTGGGTTTCCAACCCAGCTTAGCGCATCTCTGAACCAACGCCACAATAGCTCTCTGGAGAGAGTATCTTCCCAGGGTGGTAGAAATGAAAGACAACCTGAACTATGAACATTGGAATCGTGTCGAACACGTACATAAATGCCTCATGGTTCATGAGGTACCCGTCATTCCCTTGACAGAATTCGACAATGCGATAGAGACAACGAACGATGATCAATGCGGAGACAGCAAACAGAACATATAGTAGGACGCCGTATGGCAGGTTGAGAAGTGAGGTCTTACTTCGTTGAACCCGCCGCCCGAATATAATCGAGATCGAGAGAAAAGCCCCGAAGAATATGAGTTGGATAAAAAGCCCAACGATAGTGATGATCTGCCCCATCCGCGACATAGAAGCTATTGCCATCATGCCGCCTCCAGTGGCTTGTGTGAGAAATGCGAGCACATCCCCAATAACGAAAATCTTCGTCACTTTCAGCGGCGACACAATAGACAGAGCCTGCTCTTTGGCGTAGATTACGATACGCCCATATATCATGTAAATGGTGGCAGCGTAAAGGGAAGGTGGGAGGAGAATGCAGACATTTTGTGCGATATAAGGACCCAGGGCCGTCTGGTCTCCAGCCGAAACGGCTCGGAATATGTAGCCTAGGGTCATCACTTTGCCGAAAAGGTTAGCTAGTCGGGTCGGCAATGTTCCATCGGAATACAACTCACTGATAGCTCCAATGATGAATGTAGCAAAGAAGTAGGACTTCAACTTGACTAGTTGAAATACGTGGTAGCCGGCACTGGCGCCATAGAAAAGCAACGCGATGATCGCTCCAACTTTGCTAGGGCTGTAGTCGTAAAAAGACCAATCTCCCATGGCGAATGAAAGATAACCGAGGCTGATGTGATAGATAAGTAGAGATATATGGACACAGGTCAATGGCGGATTGAAGTGGAAAGCAGAGGTGAGTGAATGTTTTAGGGTTGTACGAAATGCAGAAAATGCCCCTTTTTTATAGAGCCTTTGGGGTGTGAAGATTCAAGTGAGCATTTCTTACTTGTTTCCAATACACTAGCTGCTTTTCTAAATCGGGTGCAACACTAACCACTTTGCACCATCGGAACAGCAACCTCGAGGATATCCCCATTTCTATCCTTGAGGCCGTGCTATGAGTTGACCAATCACAGGGCCTACGTACTCGTGATTTTAGCGCGCCGAGTGGGGTGGGCGCGGGCGTCCATGGATATTCTCCTGACCCACAGTAGTGTCTGAACACTCGGAACAGGGAGACAACAGCGATGAGGAGTAATCCATGGATAACTTTAGAAACGTACAATAATCAATTTCAAGTGAGATCCGAGACTCGGCCTAATTGAGCTATGAGACAATTTTGGACAAAGAGATTAGCTTCGCTTCACATATCCACCCATTCCGACGGCTACAACCATTTTCACATATACGAATTGATCTTTACCCCGAGCCTTTGAAGTGTAGAATTTACGACGATAGATGTTCCAAGATCTGGCTAATGGGAGGTCAAGGAGTATTGCAGAGTTACCTAGGACTTGTGTATTATTTTACCCGCCAGACGGGGTTTAATGGTCGAAGCTATGACTCGGGGACATTGTTGGTTTGGTAAGTACTTCAGTAGAACATCCATGGGCGCTGATCCAGGTTGAAGGCGATATTGACCAATCTAATGGGCGACGTATTCGCATTTCAAGGGTTTGATGTGGACCCAAGACTGTAGACATTTGTCGATCTCAAATCTCTGATAGCTCACTTTTTAAAGTTATTATTAGCCTCGGAGGGACAGAAAAATATTACTGAATATTGGTTTCATCTGACACACATTCGTATACGCTGCGAGTACCTAGATAGCTCTCAAGTTATAATCAAGTTGTTCAATCGAAATCCAGATACTCCAACACTGCTTGTAATATGGACATAGAAATAGTTTCTCCGAGTGTGATACTGTCTCAATCGCTCTGTCATTCCAAAAAGCGATAAACCTCACATCAACCCAGATTACTGTCCACCAAGCATAAGGTTCATATCAAATCCATGCACAATAGCCCAGGCAAAAGAACTCAGTGTACAGAAAATGACATCCCAGCTCACACTACTGCAGGCTGGGTGAACATAGACCGTATCCAGCAGTTGCTGAGCCACCTCAGCATAAGATAACGAGGGACCGATATCTTGCAACATCAACGCAGTTAAGTAGGCCTGCACAGCGATGGAGGCGGCTGCAATCCAAGCGATGAATACAACATATCGCTTGGTCGTTTGGTCTCCCTGAGCTTTCGTAGTAGGCGCCCTTGAATTGATGTCATTTGGACGCAATACGCAGGGAACAAAAACCATCGCGTGCGGCGCCAAAAGGATCAACATGAATTCCTTCTTGTACGCGAAAATTGGGACAGCTACCGTGTCGAGGATTGAGAAGATGACTGGGAGAAGTTCGTATACCAGCTCAGGTGACCATGCAAAGATACCTTCCTTTTCGTTGGGCTTTTGGGACACAGTGATGGCTGCAAAGAAGAGATTCGCCGCAAAGGATACACTGACGGCCTGGGCAATAAGCATGTAAATCCAAACATGCGGAATGCGATATCTCCGGCCTAGGAGCATGGGTCAGCGAGAAAGGAAAACAAATAGATATAGAGATATCTCTGAAGGGATTGCTCCTATTCCTCTAGAAAAGCTAGACGTAGATCATACTTACCGGTGATACCAAGGAAGATACTCCACCCGATTGTCCAGCCAAAGATCTGCCCGCTCCACCAAAATCGTGCTGCATTCTCAGAAACTGTCTCCCAAGCTTCCTGGAAGACATATGTATTCTTGAGCCAGAGGCCCATTCGGACGATGACATGCATGTCTACGTCCGAATACATCAGCCCTTCTGGGCTCGAAAACCAATTACGGTATGACCACACGAACAAACAGATCATATGAAACCAGGTAAAGCCGAGACTCAAGACTGCCAGAATGGAAAAGAGATAGAATTGTGTGCGTCGGTGGGGTGAAGCCCAGTCATTTTTCTTTTGGCGAGCCTGAAACCGGGCGCGAATCAAACGGATTATGCTGATGATTAGCCCAGCAGCGATGGTGAGATACCCAAAGAATACTGCAAGTGATCGATAGTAAATTGGAGGAGAACCAGGAGAATCAGGCGCGTTTAAGTCAGACATATTGCCGGTGAGACTTCAATGTCATGAACATTATACGGAGTTGTTTGGGACAACCTGGGAACCTCGGGAAGCGACCTCGGTAATTCTGACTAAGCTTGACCCACAGTGGACACTGAACCATGGGGTGAGCCCATACCTAGCAGTATCAACAACCCCAGCGAGTCGTTCAGAGGTTCCTGGTCGTAACATAAGTAACTCTAGGCCCAGGACGAAAAGGAGCTTGGAGGTTTGCCTATTTCTGTCTATGAATTGAAGACTCTTGTTACAGGCATCCACGGCCATGGAACCTATTAAGATCTAACACTAAAGGGGAAAAAATGTCATCGAAGGCAAGGCCCATTTGGGTAGCAGTAGATTTTCACTCCTTCGCCTTCCGTTTCGGCACTCTCATCAGCCAATATAGCCCCACCGTACATGCAATATTGAAGATACAAAATGCCCACATGAACCCAAAGTCCCGCCAGCGATTATCGAAATGCATATTCATGTCCTCCAGAAAGGCGTCACTATTAGCCGTGCCACAGAAACTGCAGCTGCTCGTGCTATTGTCGACGAGATACCCGCTCTTCTCCTTGATATAGGGCTGCAAGTATTCCCCGCACGTCATCCCCTTTGGGGCCGTGAACTGGACGAGTTCCTGAGCCGTACAGATAACCGGCGCACCAGACAGAGCTGTCCCGAGGAAGCTTTCTATCACGTAGGTGAATGGGTTGACGCGGTACATGAAGATCCAGAAGCGGGGGAGTTCGTTGGGGCCAGCAAGAACACTGTTTGAGATTAGATAGGGAATTCAGTATGTCTCAATGTAACCAGAGAGTGCACATACCCAGGGAAAGCAAACATAATGTTGAAGAAGAAATTCAGAAATGCACCGGCGATCTGCTCGGTCTCGATACCGGCAATGAGCATGTTTGCAAATGTACTGGTGAATGAGAAGAAGATCCACATGTGTAGACACGTGGTTATTCCACGCGAATTCACGGCATCTGTCCATTCTGCGTTTCGCTGAAGGCCCAAGGGGAAGTACCAGAACAGGAACGACAAAAGCCCCATCAACTGTGTTTGAGTTAGCTCTGCCACACACAGCAATATGCAGGAGTCTCACCGAGTTCCAAGCCAGTTCGACGATGATATTCCCTGCGAGGCAAACTACCCAAGAATAGGCTTTGGCGGGTCTCTCTCGAGCTTCGTACAAGGTGCGTTGCGAGACGAACATGGGCAGGATTTGTTCCACAACTTGACTGAAGATGAATAGGAAGATGTATGTTGCTAGCATCTGATTGAAGAGGCCACGTTTGGTGACATCCTCATTGACCTGTGACAGTCCGATGAATAGTGCCTGCGATGGTCAGTCATACCGACCTAAGATAAAAGATGGGGAGAACATACTGATCCAGCGCTTAGAATGAACTTCGAGAAGATATAGCTCGGGGTCCTCCAATATTGCTGGAAGGCGCGCTTTGTAACTTGTGTGAGTTGCACCGGGAAGCTAGCAGCAAACTCCGCCAGAGTAGCGGGATCGGCTTCCGTAGTCTTTCCCTGACCTTGACGAGAGAGACTTTCGAGCTCTTGGCGGACATTCTGAAACTCGGGACTTGCACGCCACACCGTTGGCCAGTCAATGCTGCTTTTCTGTTTTGACGCAGCCCCGACGATGTCAAGCATATATTCTGCAGGGTTAGTACCGCGTTTGAACTGCGGGGCTCCGTTGCGAGTAAAGTAGTCGATAAGCGTGGAGGATCCCTGGCCGACCTCTCCAAAGTATACAGTGCGGCCACCCTTAGCCAACAGCAGTAAGCGATCAAACCGTTGAAACAGCGCAGCCGAGGGCTGATGGATTGTGCATAAGATTGCCTGGCCATTACGAGTCAACTTCTCCATTAGGTCGCAGATGGCCCAGGACGTCTGGCTATCCAGACCAGAAGTTGGTTCATCAAGGAATAGCAGCAGCTCGGGTCGCGCTGCTAATTCAACTCCAATTGTCAATCGTTTTCTTTGTTCAACGTTCAGACCTTCGCCTGTGTGGCCGACGATGGCATCCGCACAGTCCTCAAGGTCGACCAACTTGATCACTTCATCCACATAATCGAGTTTCTCCTGGCGGCTGTACCGAGCCGGCTGTCGTAACAGAGCACTGAACTGAAGAGCCTCTCTGACTGTAGAAGTATGCAGGTTTAAGTCTTGCTGCGTGACATATCCAGTCTTGCGCTGGAACGAAGAATCTCTCAAATGTCCATTCACAAGCATTTGACCAGAAATTACACCCATCGTGACACGGCTGGCCAACACATCCAAAAGCGTTGTTTTTCCGGCGCCAGACACACCCTGCATATGTTAGACCAGTATCAACGCAGTTCAAGAATTGAACCTACCATCAGTGCGGTCAATGTTCCCGGCTTCACCCACCCATCCACATTGGCCAGAATTGTCCTCGTCTCATCCTTGATCTGAACGGTGTAACAAACATCTTGCCAGTGAAAGATCGAGGTCTGCTTCTCGATCACCTGGACTTGATCCATCTTTGTATCTCTTTGTTGAGACGTAACATGCTTGATACCTGACTTTTCCTCGTCACCTCCACCAAGCTTGGATTGTTTCTTCAACACCTTTCGTGGGAAAACAAGAATTTCGCCCCTCGAGCGTTCCGACGAAATCACCTCAACGGCAACCAAATGAATCACCAGGAAGAATACCGTCATAGCAATGAGGATTCCAAGGTTCCGCCAGCGGTGTACGTCTAAAAACCCGTACATCACACGCATGTGGGCACTGCCATCAACAAACGCCTGGCCTGCTTCAGACCCCTCGATAGAGCAGACCTGGCCACCAGCATCTAAAAGATCCGCTGCGTAGCCGGGACCGCTGGGCACGAAATCGATACATGAAAAGCTCCGACCGACAAACTCGCTGAGCGATAAACTTTCCTGCACGTAGAAGAGGGGATTGACCCAGCGGAGCCAGCCAATCCAGTCGCTAAGATAGGATTGCGGGATGATGAATCCACCGTAAAGCATGAGACCGAGGATAACGATCGCGCAAGGCGCAAGGGCTTGCGATACAGTTTTCGTGACGGAGGCCAGGAATCGGAAGAACATGGACATCGTGATGGTTATGGTACAGGCAAGAAGGTAGAAGAAGAGGAAGGGCCCTGGTTCGCGACGGAGATTGCCCATGAAGTAGGCAGTCACGTTGATACAGATAGCATTGACGAGTTTGAAGGGTATGTCCATTGCGATTGAGGCAAGGGCCTCCATGCTTGGATGGTAGAGGGCGTAGCGGACATGTTTCTCGACGATTTTCCGCTTGGAGTATAGCGTGAGGACTTCAAGGGCAGCGGTCCAGATGTTGATCATGAGAACGTAGAAGATGAACAGGTTGCGGCGGAACATGCTAGAGCTGTCTTCTTGCATGTTGTAGAAAATACTTGAGACGACGAGGGATTCGAAGAAGTTGGCACCGAGGAGAGTGATCCAGAACCAGGGGTCTGCGATCAACAGTCTGTAGCTACGCCAGAGGTTCAGGAGAAATTGGCCCGCCAGCGAGAGAGTAAAAGGAGAGGCCGCACGTAGTGAGTCAGACTTCTGTTCTGTTCTTGCAGCGCGGAAGTCCTCGGACTGACCGCCGCCGATCGGGAATCGTTTCTCGAAGTCTTCGATCTCGACAACAAGCGACTGGCGGTTCTGGCTTTCGCGCCATGCCTGCGCAAATTCATCTGGACTGCGAGGTGGCGGCTTGCCTTTCCAATCAGGCTTGGTGATTCTCTCTGAAGGACTGGTCATCGAAGTCAAAAAGTCGGGTGTCGTCTGTTCTTGTGGACACTCGAACCCTAGGCTTTCGAAATATGCCTTGGCCTCGCGAGTGCGACCGAAGAATATTTGGCGGCCTTCATAAAGAACAATGACATTGTCAAAGAGCTAGAGTCAAAGTCGAAATCGTTAATATCAATCCGCTGCAAAGTTTCCGAGGACTCACATCATATGCCTCCTGTGGAGCTTGGTAAATAGCGACGCAGACGCTGCCACCTAAGGTCTCTGATTGCAATCGGAGCATGCGACAGAAAGAGACCGCGTTCGCGGAATCGAGACCGCGAGTACTGTTATCCCAACATTGCCAGGGCGAGTAGCTCAAGATGGCCTCTGCGATGCTGACACGCTTGCGCTCACCTCCACTCACGCCGCGAATGAATTCGTCTCCGACAACTGTATTTTTCGTGTGCGAGATACCAAGCATTGCCATGACGACATCCCGAAGGTGCTCCGCATATTCATGCTGATGGCTGACCAGTCGCTGCGGACATCGTGCTCGCGCGGCGAAATAAAGGGTCTCCCCAACGGTAAGCTTTGGAAAGTGATAGTCAACTTCAGCGTTGTAGATTGCCTCTCCCTTGTAGTCCTTTGCGATCTCGTCTTTTCCGATACCTTGGTAGTTCAGTACGCTGCCGTCGGCGACTTGGAAGCCGTATGTATCACCCGCAATAGTCTTCAAGAGAGTTGAGCATCCAGACCCAGGGGGGCCAAGAACGCACAGCATCTCACCACTCTCCATGACACCTTCCAGGCCCTGAAGGATGTCAATGCGCTGCTTTTTAGCGGATCCGAAGAAACTTCGGGCGATCTCAAAGGGCCCGTAGATGAAATCCTTCACGGTCCTTTGGTGCTCGGCAACAGCCATTTGACCGTAGACATTGAGGTTCTTAAAAGCAAGACACGCGGAATTCGGTGGTCTCCCACCAAGTGCCTCGGTCTGAATGTTGTAGAAGGCCCTCACCCATTTTTTGGCGTCAAAGTCAGAACTGTTGGGGTCGAGTGCGTCCTCTGTAGGTTTGGGCAAGATATGGTTCCCGGTTGCCACCGAGATGGAAGTGACCCGGCGAGCAAGTTCGTTGATCTGGTCGCTGACATTCTCCTGGATGTCCTCACCCTCGGTAGTGCTCTCTGAATACGAGTTATGCGGTGGGTGTGGGGTGCCATGCACCAGCTCTGGGCCAGGAACTGTTGGAGGTCGCATTGTGATGATTTTAGGAGATGTGACTACTGCCGGCATAGGTGATTATATATATTGCATCAGCAAGGCCAAGGAGATTTTGCCCATTCTCCATCGAGCTACTAGATTCGGGTAAAAACATGTCTGTGGGCCTTGATAATGAGGTATTGAGGATCATTGTAAGTGCGAAAGTGCGAAAGTGCGAGAGGAGAGTTCTGACAGGTCAGAAGCACAGAGAGTAGAGCCGGGCTGGGAGATCTCTGGAGTGCCGACATGATGTGTGGGGCACAGATAAGAGTGTCTGTCCAATCAAAAGCCAAGCAAACATGCAAGATCCCGAAAGTGCGAGAGAGCGAAAAGGCGAAAGTGCGAAAGTGCGAAAGTGCGGGGTGTCAAGAACTCCGCCAAGAAGACCTCTCCGCCGATTGGAGTATTTTGACCTCCAGCCCTGTTTCCCCCGACGTCTGCTGCGCACTGAATTTTTAGGCCCCGCAGATTGATCCCTTGACATGGCATCAGAGCAGCCCAACGGTCGACTTGCGGTAAGTTGAACCCAATTAGGTCCGGTGTACAGAATAGTGGATGCTGAACATACAGTGCACCCATTGCCGTCGCCGAAGAGTGCGGACCACCCTAGAATTCCACAGGGATCTTCGCTCTAACTTTAGTTTTTGATCGAGCAGCTTCGATGCAATCGCGCATTGCCGAGCTGCGACCGATGCCTTTCCCATCAGTTCCAATGTTCATACCCGAACAGGCAGCGCCGGGTCACTCGGAGTACAGGGGCACCGGCTTTGTATGAACCCTTTACCTGGCTTTCTGATGTCTAACTTGGTGGAGTCTTGGGAACTAAGCAACACGAATCATAGACCACAACGTGCCTCCCGAACAGCTCGGCCAGAGACATCTGAACATCTCGAACAGCCTGCTGCTAATCTTTCTCAGCCGAGAACAACTATCCATGACAATGCAGCAAGACAATCATCTTTTACCCCAAGCAGACACGGATCATTTACTTCCTCAATACCGAACGAATCCCCCGCAACAACGTATGGCATCGATGCCGATCTGTCCACTTCACTGTCTTTTTTAGAGAGAGGCGATGCTACCCTGCTCGATGTCACCTCGATACTGAGCCGTACTGTTCAGCAAGTTCAACAACTCAGGAAGAAGCACCGCTTCGGAGTGAGAGCGCTTACCCTGGAGCCGATCAATATTCCCCCGGAAAGTGCGAAGCAATGGATTTACCGTCAGCGATGGCCCTGTTTTTGCTCGAATGTAAGCTGATCATCACTATCCCAGATTACTTCACAAATATCGATGGCAAACTACTGCCTGCATTAGTGGATCGCAAGCTTATGGACCTGATGCCCGATCTCATTGACATGGACTACGTGCATTTTGACCCCTGCATGCTCGTCATTTATTACTGTATCCTCTGGCAAGGCCTTTTCTTCCACAAAGCATGCGATACCAACCAGATTGACAATAGCTATGCCCGACAAGTGTTTATCTGCTGCAAGCGTACAATCCCGATCTGGCAGCAAGAAGCCACTGGAACGGTCAACGATTTTATTGCAGCGATGTATATGGTGATTCTTCACTCACGAGTCCCACAAGTGGTGGTATCTTAACTAACAGACAGAGCTACAGACCCAAACAGCAACCGAAAACTTCGACTTCAGCCTGAGTTGGGAGATGCACAAGTTAGCCTGCGAATATGCCCAGACACTACAAATGCACAGCCTCGACAGCCTCGAGAAGCCGGTCGGTCACCTCTCGATGAACGACCGCGATCGCATGGGTATGTGGTGGCTCATCCACCTCGACCTGTTTGCTCGCCTTATAAACGATAAACCGGCGGTGTTCTCATCCCAGCTCAGCGAGTGGAGGGTAAATATGCCACGGCTCGCAGCAGAGTTCTCGCAGGAGCGGAATAAAGCTGTTCCAACGATGGCATTTCTTTTCAGAAGTCGACTTACCTTCATTCTGATAAGCTACTTCCAAGTATCAGAAACCTTGAACTACGATTCTGATAGGCTGGCGGCCATTACACCACTGTGTGAAGAGGTAGAGGCTCTATTCGAGGAATGGAAGATAGCAAGTTCAACCCATACTTTTCCTTGCCTGAGCTCATGGCTAACGTGTATTAGGAAGAATGGCTCGAAAGCTACAAAGAAGGGGACATCAATGGCTGGATCCTCGGCGACCTCGCATTGTCGGGATATACTTGCATCCTTTTCATGCTCCGAAAAGCATCGAACCCAAACAGAAGCGAGCACGAATCCATGCTGTCAGACAACGATGACATGATTCCCAGAAGTAATCTGTCAATGCGAACATCCAGACGGGTCCTCAAACTCGTCCACCACATGATTCATGTCTTGGCATTGCCTGGCCCAGAGGCCATGTCGCTGATTCTTGGCACTTATAGGGCATATATTGCCCATGCTCATGTTGCTAGTGGAATTATCCACGACCCCACCGCTCCAACATGCCGCGAAGACTTGGATCTTCTACGGGATGTAGCTGAGTGTATACAAGCACTGGCCCAGGATGTAAACGAGTTTTTCCCTCTTGCGCGTGTGTTCAAGTTGGTGAATGATGAGGTACGGAGGAGGGTTGGCCAACCGCCAACGCTTGAAATGTGATGTGGTAACGACAAGCTCGGTCCTGCTGCGGCGATCGTTAGCCTCTTTTAGGGCCGGTTGCAATTGCGCCTTGGCGGGATTGCTCTGCAGCCGTATCAAAGAAAAAAGAAGAAGATCGAATGAAGTAATAGAGAAATCCAAACAGCATTCGTTCAAGCTGAAAAGGGGGTACGGTGATAGCTATGAACTGCTGCACAAGTGTTTTTGACTCTGTACCAGTGACCAATATAGATAAAGCTCACCCTCTCAGTCCGTCCCTACTTGGCTAAGTAGGAAAGCTCTCGATTCTATCGATAATCGGCCTTGGAGCCCTTGTCTACTGACTCAATTCACCAGCTTGCGGCAAAATGCCCAGGTGAATGCCAAGCCCCGCGGGCCGCCCCCCAGGGTCCGACTGACAACCTTGACAGGGCCGCCGGCCGGGTAACCTAATTCTTCCCGTGGCAGACAGACCCACTGCCACTTGATGCGTGTGCTTGAATTTCGAGCCAAAGGAAGCCAATTGGACCGATTGTGCATACTTCGAGGAATGGTTGTTGGCTCCCGAGAGCAGTTGCAGGATATGCTGTATTGTTTCGAGGCAAATTCGATTCGCCCCGTCATTAATAGATGTTTTGATTTCGAACGGGTGAAAGAAGCGTATCATTATCTATGGGGCTCAAATCACACAGGCAAAGTGGTAATCCGTGTGTAGTTGACCTTTCAAAGGCCATTGCCTCCAGATGTTTCCTTAGGCTGCTTGTTGGGCATGATTTGTCCGAAGAACCTACTGTTTACTGGGCCTCTCTCTCCTTGTACATTTCCAATTCCCACCACGGGAAGAAATAAATGTCAATAGAAGTGTGAAGTCTCGAGCAGTTCACCAGCAGGCTTCTTTGAACTCTGGAGTAGACGCCAGTATATCTGGCAGGGTTACCCGTTCAATGATTTAGAATCACCAGCAGTGTTGCATAAAATTGCTGGCATATCATACATTCTAGTAACCACGGCCCTCTGGCACACCGGGGTTATGCCACGCATGCTCAAAGCCACCCCAGCCACCATACTCAGGCTCGTCCACGGCATACATGGCGTGGACAACCATATCATACGCGCCATCAGCCGGCGTCTGGCCTCCGCAGACATTTCCTCCCATAGCCACGTTAAGCAGTACTGTCATGTCCCGCATTGGACGTGTGCCTTCCGGAATAGCCGCTTTCATTATTGGTCTTCCGTCAATAAACCACATCAATCGGCCTTGACCTGCCTGCCCACCTGGCTGGTCCCAAACAAGGTCATACCGCACCGGCCGACACGCCATGTCTTGGATTCTGGTGCCGAGAACGCGGTGCTTCTCTGGTTCGTGGTGCTGGCCCCAATGTAAGCAGGAATGGTTCTCGCAATCACCATTCCATGTCTCTGCAATGTCGATCTCGCCGTCAGTGGGCCACGCGAAGGGTTCCTGAGGGAGCAGCCAGAATGCCGGCCAGATGCCCTGCGCGCAAGGCGATTGGATAACTGCGACGAGACAGCCGCGGTCGCGGGAGAGCGGCTGTCGACTGACGAGCCGCGCAGACGTGTAGCGCTGTTCGGGTGTGGGGGCTTGGCTTTGTGCGATGGCGCGGAGGACCAGGATGTTTTCTTGCGGGCTGGTATTGCATTAGCTATGATTTGTGTTTGAGGTGAGTGTGAGCATACAAGAAGACATTCTGTGGCTGGTCGGTATAATGCTGCAGCTCTTGATTGCCCCAGCCGTCCGGGCCATTGCCGAGCTTCGCGTCCCACTCTGCCGTCACGGCGGCATGGGGTGCATGATTTGGTCTCCAGTAAATGTTTTGTCCCTGTGGCGCGAGGTTTGGGAAATGGTTTGGTGGAGGGTTTGGCGGGGGCTGGTGGGCTGGGGCTTGTGGGGAGTCGGAGCTCCCTTGTATTTCCGACTTGATGGCGTTAAAGCCGTCCTTGAGCTGCTTGAGGTGGTCTTTCCAAGGCATTGTGGTCGTTGGCGGTGGTCAATTTGCAATCGGAGAACAACGGTGAGAGCTGTGAATTGAGAGCTGCCTAGTCATGGAGGTTAGTCCCGCATGCTGCGTCATCAAAACGCTGGGCATGCTGGTAGCGGTGTCTGGGCAATATAATAGGACCTAAACAATTTGACCTCATCAGCGAAACACCAGTCCCACTTGCCACTGGGATTTTCCTTGTGCCTCCTTCGGGCCAATGCTGCTGGATTGCAAATCAAGTCAGGGTCCCGAGGTCCACTGCTCTTGATGGCCCTGTAAACAGTGCAAACATCCAAACTCTTGAGCGGGTTTTTAGTGCAGAATGCGCAGCTTTTATCTTAATGTCCTCAAATGTTCCTCGCTTACTCCAACAAAACCACAAAAGCCAGAAGCCAGACTATAACATTACTTCACATTTTATGCTTACACGTATACGGAGTATGAAATGTCAAATTATCCAAGCCTCATGTGGATCGACTCACGTTCGAAGTTCGATCACGTGGGAAAGTATGGCTGCTGCCTGAGTGCCTGAGTGCCTGTATGTAAATTGTGGATACTGATCAGCACTATGTAGCCTGCTAGATTTTCCTAGTTTTGAGCACAAGGATGATTAATATCTATTTATCAAATTCATCAATCATCTGAAAATTGGTATCGTCACTAGCAACAGTCACCGCCAAATCAAGCTTATCCCGGCGCCTTATTGTAACTCCACTTCTGAGTCTGATGCTGTTGCAGGAGCAAGCGCTTGAGGAGCTCTCCAATTCTTTCCAACCAGAAGAGCAGGATGCAATCCCGTCAAACAGATGCACGCAATAGTAATCATGGCACCCTCGAGAATCATCAATGCTATCTCGTCATTGGCCAGGCTACTGTGGAATCCACCCTGGAGCTCGGCCACTCGGAAGGAAGAACGGATCAAAATAGTCAAGACAGCAATTGCCAGGCCTGATGGTCATGTTGAGTTAGCAGACTTCTTTTCACTTGAAGTTCGAGAACGGTTAACATACCGATCAGGAATGATCTCTTTTTCCAGTCTGCCCGGCGCTTCTCGCAATGGACACGTCGTCCCCGTGCGACTCCAATTGCGTATTCAATGACAAGGACACAGAAAATCACGATTGAGGCAACTTGAAAGACTAACCCGGCAATCATGATGTTGACACCCGTATCTTGCAGTGATTGTTCATCGGCAATGGAAGTGACAGCGCCACCAGCTGCTTGTAGGATAAGTGAAATCAAATCACAGGTCACAAATATGTATACATATGTTCTTGGCTTCAATCGCGAGTACCTCTCACCGTAGACGGTGATGATTCGACCGAGGCAGAGGTATATGCCGGCTGTGAAGAAGGCAGGCGCAATGGTGAGGCAGATCAGGTACCTGTTCATTCGATCAGAAACGTGCTGCAGCAGTGTAATGTGACAAGCCTGAGGCTTGAGAGCTTACATCAAGAAAGCATTGAAGTCGAATGGGTTGTTGTGTAAAAGAACTCGGCCCACATATCCTATCACTTCTAGGATCAAACCAGCAGCCATGGGCACCATGAAAGTCCAGGCTCGGAAGAATATGCCAGTACCAATTTGTCCAATCAACATGATTGCAAATAAAACAGCAAAAAGAATATTTCCGGCCAAGTTGGGTTGGTAATTGATGTAAGCCTCGCTCAAAGGGCATGTCTGTAATGTGCAATCATCCATGTTGATATCCGACATGATAGCAAGAGGGGACAGGGCTCGACTAGGCTTGAATCAAGATGAAAAAGAGAAATTGTAACTGAGTTGATCATCGAATAAAACCATACGGTCAGCACCTATTTATCCCCAGAGTCCAACATGCTGCCCCACGCTGCTTATCCATGAACTCGTTTAACTTTGAGGCTGTGTTGATATTTTTAACCCATTTAATTGAGGAAATCCTCAGATCCTTCGATTTTAGAACCAATGATGATCTTGTTCATTGTAGATTGATACGATCGGGTGGATCCGAAGTAAGCCGTTGCCTGTCGCTGATGCCAAGACATTTGGGGTCCGAGTCCGTGTCCGTCTCCGCCTCCTTGTCCTTGTCCTCTTCACCTGCTCATTCCCTTGCCCTTACACACCAGATCGCAAAGAACATACTTGATTGGGAAGATGGCGCCCCCTACGGTGGAACACGTCAAAACGTGCGAAAATTGCGCTCGGGGAAAAATCCGATGCATCCGAGCGCCGGACTCTTCTGTATGCGATCGGTAGGTCACGGCATCCACTATGGGCACGAATCAATAACCGGCTCTTTTGCATTCAAGAACCAGGCTCTGACCAAATGATCTAGATGTCGTCGTCTTGACAAGGAGTGTTATTTTCGGCCCGCTCGAGCCCGCTACAATCCCACCAAGAAGGGGACGTAAGGCACCCAGATTCCATAATTGGTGATTCGATCTAGTGCTGATGAAAACCTAAAATGTTAGACGAGTGGAGGCACTCGAAGCAAAGGTTGATGAGCTGTTGGCCCGGGTTGGTAACCAGCAGCACACTACACCCCAGCCCGAAGTTTCTTGTGTTGCGCCTGCTGAGACGAGAGGCCCGTCCAACACAGATAAAACTCAAGATGTGATTGATCGTGGGGTAGTCAGCTATAGTGATGCTGCAAAGATGCTTGACTCTTTCCGGCAGACTTTGATGCCATGTTTTCCATTTGTTATCATCGCGCCGGAAACGACGCTGGATCAGCTTCGGGCAGAGAAACCGTTCCTCTTGCTGGCTATCATCAAGGTCTCCATGTATAGGGACATTGCGGCCCAGCAAATCCTGGAGGAAACATTCCAATCCGCGGTTGCAGATCGAATGATATTTTCCCATGCTCCATCGATGGATGTTTTACAAGGACTACTCGTAGCCTTGGCATGGTGAGTTGGGTCTCTCCGGCGAACTCGGTGCAGCATGAAACGCTGACCTCACGCTTCAATTTGACAGGCTGCATCATCAGATCCAGCATATGAGGTTTTCTAGCTATCTCCATCTTGCCTGGAGCGTTGTGGGTGATCTGCGGCTTGATCGAGTATCTGAAACCCAGTCATTTTATTCACGGATGGATATGAGCAAGGTGTCATCAGACCATCGCAGCACGAAACAATCCAAAAACGAAAGCCGGAGGGCTTTGATTGGATGCTATATGTTATCCTCATGGTGAGTCTTGATCCTTATGTCGTTCGCCCTTATCCCGCTAGATCGACTTACGCATTCAGTCGATCGACCATGTTTCAAAAGGATCGCATGATGACTCGTCTATCCTATGTCGAGAAGCAAGCATTCGAGTTACTAGAAAATGCCGAAACTGCCAGTGATAGATGTTTGATACATTTGGTCAAATTGCAACAGATATTTGAGCGAATCGACGATGCCGTGGTGACTACCACGAATCCAGCACGACAAATTGATATGAATGGGTTTCAATCTGAGATAAACGAGTATAAAACGACTCTGCCCGCAACGTTCTCTGATAACTGTGAGTGAGAAGCCTCAAAGGACTTGTGTTTCTCCGTTCAATACTGATTCCCTGTCGGTGGTATAGCCCTTCTTCAGTTCAATTTACACACCCTGCAACTTTTCCTATGCCAGGCTTGCCTGTTCGACAAACATGAAACGGCCTACATCGCTACTTCATCATTGGCCCGTTCCCACGCTGATTCTGGACTCCCGCCTCATCTCCGAAGTGGCCAGCACCCACTGGATCTATCAGATTTCCAAGTTGAGCTCCTAAGCCTTGGTCTCACTGAGTCGAAGAAGTTCTTTGATTACTTTTTCAAGTTCTCCCCTGAGAGTTATGGTGTTATCAGCCATACGCAATGGCTGCAAACAGGATTCAACTTGGTTTTAGGCTGCAAACTTGCCGTGACAGGTGCAAGATATGCCCCGCGAAATCAACATGTCGGGGCCTTGTGCTCCGCTCTGAATATGCCTCAAATCTTGAGGGGAGCATCACAACGGCTCCAATGGTTGAGCAAGGATAAAGTGGATGCAGATGGGAAGCGACAATCAAAACACTTCTATGAGGTATGGGTGGAACATATCCTTGAATGGTTTGAACAGAAGTATCATCTGGCGCAGCCTGAGGTCACAGTTACTGCTCCCTCTGGGATACCGGAAAGTGGCTTGGGGCCATCTGTGTTTGGCAACCCATCACCTTTACAGGATACACCTCTCATGAGTGAAGGCCCTGGCGCCACACAAGGTGCACATACTGATGTGACTGCCTCGTGGCCGGACTTCCTCTGGGATATCAGCACAGAAGACATACTGGGTGGGTATATGGGGTTTTTGGATATGCCATACTCCACTTTACCATCTGGTTACGACATGCCTTTGCCTTGAACGTAAAGAGAGCCTCGGCTCGAGGACTGTGAACATATGAATCTGCCAAGCTTATGTTGAGCTTGAGTTGGCCAAATTTGATTTTCTGCTCAAACAAAGAGTCCAAGATCAACAGGGGCCGATTTCATTTGATCTTCTTGAATCTCACGGATCAATGGACTGTTCGGGTAGTCTTCCAAATCCAGATCCAGGTATCCATTAGGGGCCCGTTTCTTCCCTGAAACGAAGAACGAGTGTCCATTAACTGCTTCATCTCCAAGGATCCTCAACAAACATTGTGATGCGTCTTCTGTTTCCGCGAACTTCACCCCGACACTGAAAACGTGCTTGAAATCATCGTCCGATAGAATGTTCGTTTTCACATACCTGGGAACTTGATCAGTATCATGCCTCGGTACATACAGAATGTGTGCTTACCAGGGGGAGATGACATTGACACGGCTGCCGTAATAAAAAGCGGTTCTTCTCAAAGAATGCATAATTCCACGCATGGCCCACTTGCTGCCAGAATATTGAGGAGCCCGTGGGCAGTCCAGGAAGGCTGCCCCTGACCCGATCAGAACCAACGACGTATCATCTTGCCCAGGCAAGCCGCCTGCACCATTTTGTCTAATGAAGTGGTGTGCGGCTAACTTGGCAGTGTACAAAGTTCCTTTGATGTTCACATCAATGACACTGAGGTCAGGCTCTTTTGGCTCTTCGTGGTCACCAGAATACAGGAAGACGTCGTCAGGCCGATGTATTCCCGCGTTCGCAATGACATGGGAAATCTTTCCTGTTTCAGAAAAAGCAACTGCGTCTTGGAAGAGCCTGACTTGTTCTTCCCACTTGGTGACGTCGCAGCGGATAAATTTGGTCCTTGTGTAGAAAGTATGAGCGCCTGGGGAAAAAGCTTTTCTCAACGGAATTCATTTGGAACTCACCCGTTGAGCTCTTGCTCTATCTTTATTCCTCTTTCTTCGTCGGGGTCACCAATGCAGACTCTAACTCTAATCATTTGTTTCATTGTCAGCTTAGCCTGGTGTGACTTATCCATCACTTGGAGATCACATACCCTATAGCTACCAGAGCACGGACATAGGCTTCCCCTAAACCGTTGCAGCCTTTTTGTATGTGTGAGCGTAAGGCAAATTCCTTCCAAGGTTGAAGAATCAGGATCTTACCTCCAGTGACAATTACTGTCTTTCCCTTGAGATGCTCAACCTTCGGCAATTGGGTGCAATCCACAGCTCCCTCGTAGGTATATCCTTGCATCATATCTGCTCACGTGTGACGGAGTGAAGTTTAAAAACCTTGAAACCAAGGTGGAATCTGTGAGAGCGGCAAGCTTCAGAAGAAGGTACTATTCGACGAAGGGAACTAAGATGAAGAAGACTATGGAAAATCTGGAGAGAGCTGCTCTTATAGTACAGAGAGTATGCAAAGTATGCAAACGCGCAAACGCATGTAAAGCAAATATGCTGATGGTAGCAAACCATCACAGAATCTTCGAAATATTCAAACTTCTACATACTATCACCGCAAAGCCGCCGACGCCATATAGATCTCTATATTCCTCTCCACATTAGAAGACGCTTGTTGCTTACATTGAACCAGGGTTACAGGAGGCAAGACCCACCCTAAGGGGGCCTGATTCGTCAATTTGAATGACCACCCGCAGATCACTTGGACGCTAAGCCTAACAGAGGTTAGCAAGAATAAGCGTCTTGCAGATTCCCGGGAGACCGAGTCTGTCAGCATTGCTGATCAAAGCTCGATGCCAAAATGCCTTTCTTATCTCCGGAGCCAAGTAGTCCGCTTACCCGTGGATTGCATATCTGCAGCAATAGACCTCGAAATCAATCGCTTAACAGGCAGACATTTTTCATCGGCATGACATTAGTCGTCGAAATATCATCTCATGCAGATAGCTTACATTGAATTCGGGACGAGCCCACATCCATGAATAGTCACAAACATGGGGATACAAGTAGTGCCCCATCCCGCCCATTGGACAGTTTCTGTAAAACGATTTTCACCAGCATTCTATTTATTGGCCACTTTCAATACCCGAAAAATGGCTCTCAGCAATATGACTTTGGTAAACGAGACCATGCGGGCGGTTGTGTGGCAAGGCAATCCATACAACGTGGGCGTTGTGGACTTGCCGATGCCGACAATTATAAATCAAAGTGATGCCATTGTTCGCATGTCCAGAGCAGCAATCTGTGGCTCTGACCTGCACATTTACCGAGGAACAAATGAGGGCATGCCAGCCCCATTTGGGCTCGGTCATGAAGGGGTAGGGTACATATCTGCGATTGGAGCTGGTGTGGGTTCTCTTCAGGTGGGAGATCCTGTCATTGTTCCCTTCACTGTCGACCAAGGCCATCTCCACGCCGATCTCACTTCATCCATGTACGCTGGCTATGGAAATGGAGGTGACATCGGGGGAACACAGGGTACGTGATTTTCCTTCACAGCAATTTTATTGTTAGCTAATATGTTGACTCAAGCCGAATATTTGCGGGTGCCCTTTGCCGACAATGGCTTGATACCGATTCCTTCACTTGAATATACCAATTCGACCACGAATGAATCGACATCTTTGATCAACGACTATGTAATGCTCTCCGACATCTTCGCTACTGGCTGGACATCCCTTGATTACGCAGGTTTCCAGCCGGGCGATACGGTTGCGGTGTTCGGCGCTGGACCAGTTGGTCTTATGGCAGCCTACTCTGCTATTCTACGAGGCGCGTCGAATGTCTATAGCGTTGACTACGTTCAAGATAGGCTAGACCTTGCCAAATCAATCGGTGCCATTCCGATCAATTTCCAACACGCCGACCCCGTTGAGCAGATATTGAATCTCGAGCCAAACGGAGTTTCACGGAGTGTTGACGCAGTTGGATATGAACAAGTCAATAGAAATCTAACAGTGCAATCAGATATCATCATTAACAACATGCTCGCTGTGACATCCACAGGTGGAGGCTTGGGTACCGTTGGAGTTTACAGCCATCAATCGAACGACACGGCAACTGCACCCCGCGCTTCCACAGTACACACTGATATCAACTTCTCTTTGTCTGACTTCTTCTATGGCGAATACAAGTGGGAAGCTGGACCATCAGACCCAATTGAGCTTGCACCGAAGCTCGTGCATCTTGTTGCGTCAGGGAAAGCAAGGCCGGGATTCATCGTGAGCGATGTGATTAATATCGAGGAGGCTCCGGATGCCTATGCAAGGTTTGAGAGACATGAAGCGACCAAGGTTGTCATAGCCTTTGATTAAATCAAATGAGTCAATTCGATGGGTCGGAATTGAAAATTGCACCCCGTGAAAGAGCAGGCACGACAAGACCCAGAGAACTTTCGAGAACTTTTGGGTATCAAACATTAGAAAGAGGCATATCATATTCTTCCAGCGTACCTACCTCATCATGGATTCGTCTGGCTTCGGGAGATTGGTCTTTTATACAGCATGGCCAACGTTGCCTTCCATGAAATTGGCTTTTCTCCTCTTTTGACTCTCCACTGATTGGTGCTTCTCATCAAATCTTCACATCCTCGAAGCAAAAATCCCCATTTACGTAAAAAGGCCGGAGTTACCTCCCAATTTCCTGGATCCCATGATTGGCCCCATACTAGCATAGTGGCATCTGTATTTCTCGTGTCCCAAAAAGCCATCAGATCATGGCAAAGATCATCATCATCGATGATATCCTGAACAGCTATGAGGTTGTCCCGCATATTTGGAAAAGGGAAAAAGTCTAACCAAGGGTGATGAGGTATAAGGCGCTGACACTGGGTCGGTCGCAGACTAGGTGGTATTGATGAATCAGGTAATTGAGGTGTGGGCATGTTGAAAATAGAAATTGATTCATCTCGCTGCGTCCACTCCATTGTCATTCCTACGGCGTGAATGTTTTCGATAATTGCACGCTGAATGTTCAACTTGGACAGTGATAGCAGGTGGTCGGTCGTGGGAGAGTTATGGAGGTAGCTTGATAGTGCAATGGCCTCAAATTGGCGCATCATTGAGTGGACTTCGGGTGGAGCGATGGTGCAGGTGAAGCTAGCTGCATCCCGATCGATCTGAATGGGTGGGGTGAACCCAGATTGAGTGAGCATGTGTAACCAGGCGTCATCCTCTGCGTTTTGCTGAAGCTTCTTGCGTGTGCCTTATTATGTTAGAGTCAAGCTATTCATTGATTGAAAATGAGTACATCTTACGATAAGATCTCTGATTTAGCCGGTTCTGTAATTTTCTTCGCTGAACGCGATCAGTAGTCCCGGTCCAATCATCTTTCGGGGTCTGAACACCCTCTTGCTGTGGCATTCGCCTCACGGAGATTTCATGAATATCGGCCATATCGGATGACAAGAATGATGAGAATACAAACCGGCACGGCTTTAAAGATGTAGGGTGCTTATGCCAAGGCTGAGTTTTCATTGGCCCGAACCATGGGAAATAGGGGGCGCTAATGCAAGTTGCTTACACGCACTAACTGTATATAGACTAGCGCAGTCAATTTCCTTGGATTGGAATATGCGTGTGGCCCACCGATACTGTTAACAACGTCTCTATAAGGACTCTGGATGGAGAGGATGTGATAATGTGATATCTTACTAAGACTTCAGGATAGACGAAGTATGGCGGCCAAAATATCAACTTATATCTTTAGCTTCCCACCAGGCGATAACAATACCCCATCTTTTCGTACAGCGAAATCTTTATCCTGCTCCCAGCCCATCCAGGCTCTGAGTGTCTCCCTGCCCCCATCCCCTGGTAATAGACCTCCACTAGTCCACCCTCCCTGATCGGCCTGTATGGGAGGGGCAGGGGTGCTCGTCAAATGGACAATAGGACGTTGCTCGTATCCGGCGTCTTCAAGCTCCGCCTGCTCAAGGACAGGCGTCGCACAAGCATCAGTACCATCAAAAACTGCCTCCCACTCTGCGCGCGTTTTCTCTTTGAAGCGACGTGTAAACATGTCTCGGAGCAAGGGCCAATTAGCACGATCCTCACGTTTAGGCAGACTTTTTGGGTCGAGCTGTAGCCCACGCAGCAACGCAGCATAGAATTGGGGCTCTAATGCCCCAACTGCAAAATATTTCCCAGAATCCTTCGTCTCATATGTATCGTAGTAGGGGCAGCCACTGTCAAGCAAGTTTTCACCACGCGGGCCTGACCAACTGGGAGTCTTCTGCGCAAGCCGAGGGAATGTAGCAAGATATGCAGACCCATCAACCATATTGGCCTCGACCACCTGACCGCGACCGGTATGAGATCGTGAGATGAGCGCAAGGAGGATACCCTGGAAGCATATCGCCCCGCCGCCTGCGAAATCACCTAATATGTTCCCTGGCGCGTAGGGCTTTTCGCCTGCGCGGCCTAGCATGGACAACACGCCTGACACGGCGATGTAGTTGATGTCATGGCCGGCCATGTCTCTATACTTTCCGTCACGACGAAACCCCGTCATTCGTGCAACAATAAGACGCGGGTTGTGTTTTTGCAGAACCTCGGTCGGGGAAAGGCCGAGGCGCTCAAGAACGCCCGGGCGGAATGGGTCAATCAGGACATCTGCGGCAGTAAGGAGTCGGAGGAGGATATTACGCGAGCTGGTATCACGGAGGTCCAAAGTGATTGAGGTTTTGTTTCGTGTCAATTGGTCTGCGCTCACGGCGGAGGGTCTGTCAATGCGTAGGACTGAGGCGCCATAATCGGCTAGTAGGAGACCGGCAAATGGCCCTTTCGGGATCTGTTAGTGAGACCTCACAATGTTGGATACAGTACATACCCGGGGCTAAGCCAGCTAGTTCAACAACTTTGATGCCCTTTAATGGAAACATTTTGGGTTGAGTAATGGAGGCGAAGTGGTGAGCATTTAAGTTCTCTTTGGCCGAGGTCCGTGGTTATGACGATTGCGGGGAGCCGGGGCATGTGGGGAATCTCAAGATACTCGGTACTTCCAAGGTTATCAATACAACAATTCCCAAATGCCCGACTCGATTTGTGCACCTTGAAAACGATTGCGTGTTCAAGGAGGTCGCCAAATGCCCACCAAACACTAGATACGGGAAAAATCTTTCCTTGGGCAACATTACTCCAACCTCCCGACGCGGTAAGTGGGATGGATCTCAACTGTGTGGTGATCGATGACACAGCGAATTCTGACTATGGGGCTCGGAATGGCGACGATTGCATTACTACGACTTAGCCTATATGTCATCACGGCACAATTTTCGATGGCAACGTTTGTGTCTCGACGAAGTCTCCGAAATGTGATGAGCCCGCGATTCCGGATAAGAATGGGAACCGCATCACTACCATTCACCCATGGTGTCCCAACGGTTCCAAGTTCCAAAATGGCAGAATTGTGACAGCCGGAATTCCCAAGCGCGAGGTTGGCTCACGCCTCTTCAATGGCAAGTGCGAGTCTCTCAGCCGCCCGGAATGTGAGACAGAATTCCAATTTAGGAACGCATGGTCCACCCGCACAAGCGAGCGTCAGGAGTACAAGAAAGAACATACTTTCAAGGATGGCCAGTGTGTTTCCTCCAAGGAGCCTGACTGTCGGGATGGCATGCCGTTCAATGGGGAACGTTGCGTGTCGACAGAACACCCAGCTTGCCCCCCGGGAACACGCTTGGAAGGGGATCATCGTGTATCTGACTCTGCTCCCAAATGCCCGGATGGATTGAGACTCCACGATAACGGGTGCATTGCGAGCAGACCACCATCTTGTCCGGAGGGCACTAAATTCGATCGCCGCACTCGTGACTGTGTATCGGTGGAGAAGCCCCATTGCGGTGAAGGCCAAGTCTACAACAGTGGTAGCTGCGTGCTGGGAAGTGGTAAATATGTGGAGTATCAGTTCTGTCCCACGGGGGTCCCTATCACTGATGGCTCTGACTCTGACTTCACTGGCGGCTCAGATTCCGGCTTCATCGTCCTACTCGTACGAGTACATATGTACAAGAGTAAGGAATGTTACAAATAAAATGTGGAGACTTTTATTCCTCGGACGGGACGGCGCGATCGGCACCCAATTGTTAATGTCGGAATATTTCCACGGGTTATCACATCCATGGATTATTTGACAAGTTTTCACTGGCAGTATGAGTGCATTGTTATGTACAATATTATGTAGTCTATTGCAGGTGAGGATAGTAGGAAACAAGATGTACGAACATAACCTTGAAACCAATGCAAGGAATGTGACAGCAACTGAGACCAACAGAAAGATCTGGTAGGAGTATCATTAGGAAATAGAGAAAGGAATATGGATCGTACCGCTCGTCGATCTTTTTAAACCAACGAGAGCCGTATCGATATTGGCCTGAGTAAATCACAAAAAGAGGCCAAGAGGTATTGAATCACGCCATAGGCGATCGATGGGAGAATATAATAAAACAAAATCGTAATGGAAATCACCATAGCCATGACAGGTTCTTGAATCAGCATCGTGAGATCAATCATGTTACGTAGACAGTGAGATCATGCTGATCAGGCAAGCGGGATCGCTCACAGAATCATGAACATGGAGAGGGCGACGGCGACAAGGCCACCGAAAACACCAGTGACGGCCTTGGAGGCAGCACCGGTGTAGACAGGGGAGACACCCTCGTCAGTGCTGCTGGGAGCAACGGGGCTGTTGGTGGCAGCGGTCGCGCCGGTGGTGGCAACGGTGTGTGCGGCCGAGGCCGAAGTGGAAGGGCGGAAGGCCAGAGTGGAGGATGGGCGACCGGGGCGGAAGCCTCCAATGCCAGTGCCAAAGATGGCCTTGGATGAGGACGAAGGAGCCACGGGGACAGCACCAGTCACAGTGACCTGGGGCTTGCTAGAGTCGGAGCCTTGGCCAGAAGAGCCGGAGCTGGATCCTTGACCAGTGGCACTGGCGATGGAAACAGTGGCAGTAACGGTGCTACCAGAAGGACCGCACTTGGGGCAGAACGTCACAGTGGTAGTGTAACCCTCGGGCACTGAAGGAGCGGTCGTCTGCGAAACAGCCTCGGTGGTGGCCGGGGCAGTAGCGGCGGGCTTGGTGAGGGTCACTGTAGTAGGGGTGGCAGCACAGTGAGTGCAGACGGTCACAGTGGTAGTCCAGCCCTCGGGGATATCAGCAGTGGAAGTGGCCGGGCCGGAGGTAGGAGCAGTCACTTCAGCTGTTCCAGTAGGGGCAGTAATTTGAGCCGTTCCAGTGGCGGTAGCGGTGGCAGGGGAGTTACCAGGGCACCAGGTAGTGGTGATAGTTGTAGTGATAGTAGTGAAGCCAGTGGGGCAGATATCAATGTAAGAAGTAACAATGATAGTGGTGATAGTACCAGGAGCCGAGGGAGAAGGAGTGGCAGTCACGGAGGGAGCGGCTGTGACAGTGACTGAGTCGCCACCGGTAGGCTGGGCACCGGAAGACTGAGCACCGGTAGACTGAGCACCGGTAGACTGAGCACCGGTAGACTGAGCACCGGTAGACTGAGCACCGGTAGAAGACTGAGCACCGGTAGACTGAGCACCGGTAGACTGAGCACCGGTAGACTGAGCACCGGTAGACTGAGCACCGGTAGACTGAGCACCGGTAGACTGAGCACCGGCAGACTGAGCAACTGACGAGCTGGCGCTATCAACAGTGGAAGAGACATTGGACTCGGTGGAAGAGGAAGCTCCAGAGGAAGCACCAGAGGGAGCAGCAGACTCAGTCGCGGAAGCCGAGGCACTGGAAGAGCTCGTGACCAGCGGAGTAGAGCTTGGGACAGGCTTTCCAGTGGTGGAGGGGCGAGGAGCAGGGCGTCCAGTGGAGGAGATAGCCACGGAGCTACTGGCGACAGCAGAAGAAGAGGAGTCGCAAGGGGTCTCGGAGGGGACAGCGGAGCTAGAAGCAACGGAGCTGGAGGGAGCAACGGAGCTGGAAGGAGCAACGGAGCTGGAGGGAGCAGCGGAGGTAGAGGGAGCAGCGGAGCTAGGGTGGGCAGCAGAGCTGGAGGGAGTAGCAGAGCTGGAGGGAGTAGCAGAGCTGGAGGGAGTAGCAGAGCTGGAGGGAGTAGCAGAGCTAGGGTGGGCAGCAGAGCTGGAAGCAGTACTCGACTCGCAAGGGGTCTCGGAGGGGACAGCGGAGCTAGAAGCAACGGAGCTGGAGGGAGCAACGGAGCTAGAGGGAGCAGCGGAGGTAGAGGGAGCAGCGGAGCTAGGGTGGGCAGCAGAGCTGGAGGGAGTAGCAGAGCTGGAGGGAGTAGCAGAGCTGGAGGGAGTAGCAATGCTAGAGGGAGTTACGGTGCTGGAGGGGGTGACGGTGGCGGAAGGGGTCGGGGTAGCAGTTGTAGAAGTAACAGGAGGAGGGGCGCAGCCGTACAGAATCTCCTTCATGTGCTCAGTGTAGGTAGTACCATCAATAACGTTCTCGTCACCAGCGGTAGCTTCCCAAAGCATAAGACCACCAAACTGCTTAGGGTAAGCATTCATATAGGTCTCGACTAGGGGCTGGACTTGATCAGGGGTCAGGTAGTTGCCGGGGTTGGCGGCAGTCTTGGAAGCAGGAAGACCGATGAAGAGCTTGGTATCCTTGTTGGCGCTGGCTTGGACGACATCGACCCACTGGTCAAAGTTGAAACCGGAGGTGCCATTGGCAAAGTTGGAAGCAGCGCAAGATGGGGTGTTGTAGAACTGAACCCAGAGGAAGTCAAAGACGGAGTTCTTGATGGCATCACTCAGCTGAGCATCAGGGATTTGGCACTGGGGGGAGCCGGAGATATAGTAGGTCTTGTCAGAGACCGTAGAGTAGTGCCAGCGCATACGGTTGACAAAGGCAGCCCAGCCAACACCGCCATTGTACTCAACATCGAGATCGAATCCATCAACAGCGACAGTTTGGAAAGGACGGGGGAAAGCCGTGGTAAGCAAGGCAGTGGTCCAAGACAAAGATGCGACCTTGGAGTTGTAAGGACCGAAAGAGTACCAGAGGAAGTCAGCAAACCACTCGGCAGTCTTGTCGTCTGGGAGGGACTCAGCGGTGGCACTGCCACCACCGATGGAGAGGAGGACTTTCTTTCCAGCAGCCTGACACTTGGGAATGTCCTCCCAGATTTGGTGGCAGCCAGACAGGAGTGAAGAGCCAGGGAAGAAGGAGCCATCACACTGATTGGCAAAGTTGGAACCAGGGAAATCACCGACGGATTGGGGGAACTCGTTGATGAAACCGATGTTGATGATATCCATTGAGGTCTGCTCACAGAAGTGGCTGAGACGATCCTGGCCCGAACCTTGTCCGTAGTAGATGGCAACATTGTTCTTCAAGCTGGCATCGAGAGCAACAGCAGTCGATGCAAAGAGTGACAGTGCCGACACGGCGGCAATAGTTTTGGTGAACATCTCCGCGAGGAAAAAATGAGTGTGATAACTATAATTAGATGCGACGAAATTCGCTAATCAACCTGATAAAAGGAGTGACAGGCTCGTGAACAACGAGAGGACGCAGACGAAAATCTGCTTGGGAGGTTTCCCAAAGAGCTCAAAAAAGAGTGTGTTGATGGTCGAAAGGAAATGCAACTCCCCGGGGGAAAAGAGACTGAAATACATAACACAGCACTCGGAGGCGCTGTCTGTCTCCGCCCCCTGATGTAGATGCCGACCTCCGACATGAGGTGCACTAATCAGAAAGCAGAACAGCACCATCAGAGTGTGGAAATGAGCCTGTGATACGAGTATCCGACCATTCTATGGTGGGTATCTGAATTGCCGCCTTGGATACACTCCACTCTGGCAAGGCCAGCCAACGCATTTGGGTCTGGTGGATTCAAAGCTTGGTAGTAATTTCACTAGGGCCGGGGGCCAACAGAATGAGTCCTACTTGGACGGACAGCAGCCTACTTCCACATTGACACCATGTGCACAGTAAACCGCTGTGGCCGCTTATGGGACAACCGCGTGGCTTGGAAGGTGGTGATAGACCTGGTGGCGTCCCAGAGTGACATCCAGGTTGAAATGTAAATCAGCCAAGTCAGCCCAAAAGGACCTCTAGACAGGGCAGTGTGCTGGCTCCGTGCCTCATTTGGCGCAGTAAAATTGCAAGAGCCGCATGAAAGAGAGGCTAACAGACCCTAAGATACCCTAGTCGCATTAGCATCAGAGTCCTGACTGGATCAAAGAGAGAGTTCGATTCGTGCGAGCCAATCAGGGCCGGTCATTTGGATGCATAGCACGGACTCTCCGAAGGGTCCACCGTGCCTTGAGCTCAACGGCAAAAACGCGATTCCCGCCGGGAGTCAGGGGGATGCGGGGTGGGTTTGTCACGCAAAATAAGCATCGTAGTCTATGTCTTTGATTTTATCCATCTCAATCCACTTGAAGACTGCAGGAAAACAGCCATGGACTGAAAGTTGCAGAGGGGTAAAGAAACGAGGTTATCGGAAGCGAGCAACGGCGAGGTCCCTAGGTTTACGCTAAGCCTCCGGGGGCCAAGTAGTGGGTCTAGTATCCGCCAGGAACACCAATCATAGATGCGCTACCCGGGACACCGGAGCCCAGCCGGATCACCGTTTCCCTTTTTCTTGGAAATTGTTGGAAATTACTCCGTACGCATACGGATGTTAGTTACATATGGTATTCCAGCACTCATCGAACGTACGGAGAACTAAGCCGTATTGATATCCTTGATCTGAGTTCGTAAATCTCGTTAATCACTGCTAGTGTCTCTTGGCTCGTGCCCTACCGGTCGAGAACCCTGTCTTGGCAGGGTTTCTACAGAGTGCTTGGCCCCCGATTCTCCCACGTTGTTCCTTTCCAAAAAAGCAAATAACTTTATGCAAGGTACTACGGAGATATACCCAACCTCAGAATTGTTTTCAAGCGACAAGGACGCCCCTCATCACATAACTAACTACTAGTCTTGATTGCTTGTGTATTATTGAAGCGCTAGTCATCACACGTTCATAAGCCGCCACCAGACTAGGGTGGATTTTAGCCGAGACACATACATAACTACGAGTACTACTACTCGTACAAACTGTGCACAGTTGTTTTCAAATCGGACATAGCTCCCGGATCCGGAGGCTCAGTTACTGGCCGAGCAAGTCCGATGGTTGCGTAGGTGGAAACTTACCACGATTTATGTGGAGCGTAATTAATACGATCCTCTCTATGGAAGTTCTAGCCTTTGATTTCTATACTCTCATAACCAAGGCGAGGATCGCTGATTTTGAAACTTAGTGCTAAATTTTAGTTAGCACATTTTACCTCAATTCCACCCTTGATGTCATTTTTACGCTTAAGTACTCGTATGCTGCTGGCATGGTGTACGAGTAGGGGGCCGAAACAATCCCTCAATATTGAGTCTTCGGAAATGACAGGTCGGGCATAAGGTTATTTTTTTCATTTTGCTTGGTAATTTTCATGAATCCATTCTCCCAGGACTAGATCTCTTCTTTCTTTCTCTCTCTTTCTTTTCTCCCTTCCTTAGCTTAGATCTCTTTGATTCAATTGGACCGTATTCTTGCGTTTTGCCAGCCTATCACCTCCAGCTATTTATAACCTTGGAATCAGTGAGCTGATTGATCTCATAAACGATGTACTTAAGTAGAACTTTGTCAGAAAAAGCCACCAAACCGCAATATCCAATCAAGCAGCCCGATCTGAATAGGAGCCCTTGAGTGGGGATTTAATATACGACATTTACTCATCGGACTCACATACAAGATTTGGCAACGATATCTTTTCCTGTCGACGGCGCACCAAAACCTTGGCCGATATATCAGTCTGCATTCGAATCCCACTTCTCGTGACCGGGGGGTCGTCCCTTCGGCAAGTTTGAACTCATACTTCAACAACACATGACACAGTGCGATCTTGCTTCGTTGACGGCAAAAAGTCTCCCAGGACAGGCATGTCTGCCCAGTCCAAACCCCATATGCTCGGGTGACAACGAGAGCAAGGAGAACCTTTAGAAGAATTCCCATGGCCTGCAACTTCTCGCAACCTGACGAATCGATACGGATCCAATGTCTCTGGGGTTTCATAAAATCTTGAATCCCACATCCGGTCATTCGTGATCATGAGCCCTGTTCCTTTAGCGATTTCCGCTCCATCGGCTAGCTTGACGTTTTCCATCGCCATGCGTTGGAATGTCGCTGGCGATATATTCAGTATTTAGACTGGCCTCTGGGGACTCAACTCACTAAGAGCAATCGGTTTCATTCGCTGTGACTCCTGCAGAAAGCTGTTCATGAGCCGAAGCTTGTACATCGCCTTCTTTTTTATCGCATCCTGAAGTCTTCACGCAACACAAAAACAACTTCCTCTCTCAGTTCAGTAATCAGCGTCTCCTTTTCACGAAGACCCAATAAAGCATGTGTGAAAAAAGTCCGCAGTGGTAAATATAGCTACGAGGGCAAGTCCCAAATGCATCAATGCAGGATCATAACGACGACTCGCCGCAACATCTTCCATCCACCTGTAGACTGTGTGGCGTCGTTGTGGGTCTCAGGGGCCTTCCTATTTTTCAATGCATTCTCCTTATCTTTTCGCCTATTCTCGAGGGCTGGTTTCATGATGCTGCGGGCTGCTTGGACTTCCTTCTTGAGCATCCGCGTCGATTGAATACACGTGGCAACAATCGGGCGAACTAATAAGATCCTGAAAGCTGAAAGTAGGATGATTTCGAATTTCATCCAAATATGTCTGGGATAGTACGAGTTGAACACCAGTGTCACAGGTCAACCGAAAGATATCACACTGGAACCTTGGAAAGATCTTGGAATTAGCTGAGCATGTTCATTTTTTTCAATTGGGCATCATTAGAACCACAATACTTTCGCAAGTCCACTCTTTATCAGGTCTTTGGCATGATAGACAAATTTGTTCTTCGCTTTGAAGGATGTGGGCTCAAATATTCCCTATACATTGACGGATGGGAAGACCGGTCTCGATGGGACGATATAATATACAATCAAAGAATCCAACACAAATCTATAGATGCACTGAGCAAAAGCAGGAAGGATGCCCAGTTCAGTAGTACCAATTGATAATCTGGAAAGGTCGCCATTTTGTGCGCAAACTGTCCACGTTTGAGAAAGTATCGAGTCTCCTGAAGTCCTCAGGCGGCTCAGGCTTCCATCTGTATATCTTCTTCCGCCGGCCCCACAGAAGAGAACTTTTACGGTGCGATTCGCACAAACCTAAGAACCCAGGGCTTTGAGACAAAATTTATGGTTACTTTTAAGGATGTGTCTCGCGGGTGTTACCAGGGAGGGTAATATCGAGAATGGAATGACTCATACTCAAGTAGTATGATAGAATTTCGACCTACAAAGCTACCTGGGCATCTCTCTACCTAGCCCTAGACCCGTTATTACCCGTAGACGAACAGAGATACTTGTTTGACATTCATCCATGAATGCAAGGTTTCACTGGTATTCCTTTTCCTTGACTTGCAACCTTAAGAGACGTCTGTCACTATGGTCTTGCCTCGTTGCACAAGGAAAAACAATCAACCCCAAAAGTACAACGGATCATAGGACCTTCTCACGCATTGAGCAGTGTGTCTATTTTCAAGGTTATAGGGGTCCCAATTAGGAATGCGCAAAGTTGCAACAGGTTGACATGAGGTACTCTTCAAGGTATGGTGATGAGGGTGTTTGGCAAATAATGAACATAGGCAGGTAGGCCGCACAAAGGGTCTCGGGGTAGATCCGATGCTGCATAAGAAATACAGACAAGAGACTAGTTCGGCAATGTGATACCATCAAAGCTATGTCGATTGGCCACAAAACACTCCATCTTGAATGCTAAACCCTGCACTTGCAAACATACCCACCCACGTAGCATCGTCACTAAAAAGGAAGTTTGACGCTTCATCTATCTGATTATTGAACCCCATCCCCGAAACAGGCTGCATATTAGAGGTTGGTTGCATAGGAGGCATAGTCGGGTCGTATGGCTGGGATGGGCGGTGGAAGTAAGGTGGATGGATAGACGATGGCTGGGAAGGATGTTGCGAAGGTGGGAATGGTTGGTCCGGATTTGCTGGAGTGGATTGTGGGTGGAAGGATCGGACCGCAGAGGCTGGGTGGGTATCTAAGGGTTGGCCGGCGGATGACTGGGATTGGACTGTTGCGGGAGAGTCCGGGAATGAAGTAGCTGTAGAGCTTGGGGCGGAAGGCCTGTCGATTGGTCGAGGGGCGGTTGGGATTGTAAGTGGGCGAGGGCGTCGGATGGTAGAGTACTCCGATAAAATGTTGCTTAGGAATTTTGATTGGAGATTGCAGCTTGTGCTTGAGGATGAGGATTGAGCCGTCAGCACATTTGCTGCGGCGCGGATGGTTGCTATGGTGTCGGATTCAATCTCTTGACTTATGGCAGGCGGCGATGAAAGTAGGAGCTATAGAAAATTTATGAGAATTGACAGCTTGTGACGAAAACGAGCAAGCGCCCCAGGCCCCGGCGGGCTCTTACCTTGATCAGAAGAACGGCGGAATAAGCCGTCATGACATGGATAGAATCCTGGCAAAGCCTTAGGAAAGACGAATACTCGGGCATCAAGCGTAGCATAGTCATGGCGCTCTGATAGCTGACCCAGAACGGTTTTAGATCGCAGGTTTCGTCGAAGTTGCTTTTCCTCAGAGTCTCCTGGAGAGGAATCGAAAAAAGCTGTAGGGATTGATGGGCGCCATAAAACCGGATCAAAAAGGCATGACAGCCCGCTGTATCCGTCACGTCAAGCCATCTGGCTTGCCAACGCTCGATGCGATTTTGTAAAATGGACAATGGCCGAGGCGCTGGATACTGGCTGCCGGGATTTGACAAATCAAATACCTCCGCTGCCAGCAGCCGGAGAGTGACAAAGCTACAGAGAAGTCTGTCGTTTTCAATGGCATGTGGATGCATCCACCATGATTGAACCGATTCGATGAAAGGGCTTCGCTCTATCATCCACGGTTTCCCCGTTTGTAAACTCATGCTGGCCGAAATTAGAATCGAGGCTTGCCCATCAAGGTGCTACTCTTACCTGCGATCGTACACAAACAGCACCAACCAAGTGCGTTCGTCATTTCTAATTTCCCTTTGGCGGGTGTCGGTCAGATCTTTGGGAGAAGTCGGGGTCGTGCCTAGCTTGTGCCAGCCAAGATCCATTGACATGCGAATTGCGAGACCGACAGACATCCAGGCTCTTGTGTCATTTGGCTCTTTCCAGTAAGTGAGTACCATGATCGCCTGGACGGTCTCGGCTGATTTATCACCGCGTCGGAAAGCCTCCATAAACAGCTTATCAGCGTGTGCCAGCATGCTCGGGTATAATGCAGGCTCAAAAGATTTGGACGCCGCTGTGAGCACAGCAGACAACAAAAATGACGATTTTTGTCGCACATATTTTAGTGAATGAAGGTGAGGATCCAACTGGCTGATATAAGGGTTTAACTTGGTCATGAAGCTGTTGTAATATCAGCATTAAAACTCGTCGCCAGGATTCTCAGGCCTGACCTTTCAAACAGACCAACAACTTGCTCATAAGTGACAAGTCCACACCGGATCGGATCGTCAATGGAGACCGAGTCAACAGGCCGATCGAACGACGATCCGTGATTAGTACTGAGGATGTTCTGCAGCGAGAACTTGCCCTTCATCGCCTGGTGACTTAAGAGACCATCGGGTTGCAGCCCTTCGGACCCAGCCCAGAAATCTGAGACGCGTTCGTCACGCGAGCTGGGTTGCGCCGACTGTGCCGACTGCACTGACTGCACTGACTGCACTGACGGCGCCGGCTGCGCTTCCACTGGTCGCTCGGGGATCGCATCCTGCATATGCGAGTCGAGCGACCGCTTCGAACTGGCTTTGATCAACCTGGGATTGTGTTTTCCCGTGAGTGGACGATCCCATATGCGCGACCGAGGGAACACTTACCGTGTCCCGGGCTTCCTGCCGCGACGGTGCTCACGGAACGCACAATCTATTGACTTTCGCACACAGCGATCGCATTTGACGGGATCTATCGTCATGGTACATTTCATCTTCACTCGACGACACGCCAAGCACGCATTGGCGCTGTTTCATTAGCAGGGGGGTTCCTTCAGGGATCGGGCAATTAGGCTTACCTGGCCTTTGGGGCCGTGGACCCATCCGGCGACATGGCTTATTGCTTGTGTAGAGAGATCTTGCAAGGTGGACCAGGGAAGTCACTCCACGGTGGCTCCCCGAGATCAACCGGGACCCGACAGCCCGAGGGGCTCTCTCTTTCTCTGGGGGGCGCACTGTCTTCCTATTCGGGCATCCGGCCCGCCGATCATCGGCCACTCGGAGGGGTTCGGCCGGTGTCTCAATTCGGGGAATAGAACACCGGTCTGCCACTAGCTCTGGCGACTTTTCCTGAAACAGAACTGCAAAGTCACCGGCCGGTGAATCTTTTTTGGGTTTCTTGCAGGGGGTCAACTATGAGGTTGAAAATATCTGTGATTCAAAAAGGGTTCTCACTTGCATTCAAATCGAGTGAGATTCATCATGGCTCCTACAAAGCCCAAGGCGGGCCACGTCAACATGATGGCGGATACTAACATCGCCAACTTGCCCATCGAAGGATTGCGAGCAGTCATGCGTGGCATTTTGGCGAATAGACCGGACTGCACTCCCGTCTTCGAGGAGCAGACCAGACATTACTTGGGAGAAACGGCGTCTCAATTTTTGAATGTCACCGTGATTGATCAGGCATCGGATGGATCATTCCAGACGACAAGTGCCTTCCATCAACTCCGCAAACGCATTTGCTGCATGGTAGGATGCGGTATGTGCTACCAAGCCATTCCTCTCTTGCAAGAAATCGTCGAGCAAGTTTCGACGATTAAGCTCGGGCCGGGCCAGTCGGCTATTGTGGACCAGATTGCTGGTGTTGATGGAGACATAATCCAGGCCATCACCGCCGTTCAGAAGACCCTCTTTGTGGAGTCAGGGTCTCGGGATCTATCTGACACCGAAAGAGCCCCTCTTGAGGCGTTGTTGACATCTCTCACCGCTTGCAAGGCTGCCTGGGCCAAGAACGCACTGCCCTTTGTGTTGGAAAGAGGTCTTGAGGCTACTATAGATCTAGTGAACCCTGCTCTGGCATCGGCCCCCGCGGGCAACGATGACTCCTTTACAGAGAAGGCACCGCGTGCCATCTCGGAGACCTTCCAGATAGCAAGCTCTCAGCTTCCTCGCGTCTTCTCCGGTCTGTGGCAGTTGTCAAGTCCCGCATGGGGAAGCGCACCTCGGTCCAAGATCATACAGCAATTTTCAAAGCATGTTGGAAGTGGTCTGACAGCTTTCGATATGGCTGATCATTATGGCGATGCAGAAATCCTGTTTGTAAGTGTCTCCACTACTCTTGTTCGCAAGTCGTTTACTAATTGAATATAATTGCCTATAGGGTCAATACCGATCGTCCAGCAAGTACTCCAGTTCCCTCTTCGCTGCAACCAAATACTGCGTTTTCCACCCTATGAAAGTGACCCGCGACGCCATCCGCGCGAAGGTCGACGAACGCTGTCAAAGACTGCGCACCGATAAGATCGACCTTTTGCAGTTCCACTGGCAGTTCGTGAGTTATACTCTTGCACCCAACATAAGCTCGTCCTATCGCTGATCCTAGTTACATCTAGTACAATGACCCCCAGTACATTGATGCTCTGAAATACCTCCAACAGGACAGCCGAATCCAGCATCTTGGTCTCTGCAACTTCGACACAGAGCATATGGAGAAGGCGGTTGAGAGTGGAGTCAAGGTCTACACTAACCAAGTCCAGGTACATATATCCCCACTTTCTGCACGACATTCGTATAGGCTAACGAGAATCATTCTTAGTTCTCCCTCATCGACTCGCGTCCAACAGTCAAGATGGTTGAGTTCTGCGAAAAGCACGACATCAAGCTTCTCACCTACGGCACATTGGTAAGATAACGAAGCCTCAAACACAAAAACTGCAAAAGCTAACCCAAACAGCTGGGTGGCCTTCTTGCAGAAAAGTGGGTCGGCCAAGCAGCGCCGGACCTATACGCTGAGACAATGACCCCGAGTCTTCGCAAGGTAAGATAATTCAACCGCCACAAGCAAATTTAACTAACAAAGTCCTGTAGTACTTCGCCATGATCCAAAACTGGGGTGGATGGGATCTGTTCCAGGAACTCCTTCGCACATTGCAGAGCATTGGCCGCAAACACAACGTCTCCGTCTCAAATGTCGCCACGCGATGGGTTCTGGACTTCAATTGTGTTGGTGCTGTGATTGTGGGCGCACGTATGGGTGTCAGTGAGCAATCGGAAGAGAACTTGGCTAGTTTGGGTTGGTCGCTGGACGCAGAGGACCAGGGACTCATCCAGGCGATCTTGGACCGCAGTTCCCGAGCTGAGATGTTTGAGAGCCTTGGTGACTGTGGAGGTGAATATCGATGATTGATGATTGATGATTACAATTCTATATGGTTTATACAGTCTTAAAAACAGCTAGATGAGATAGACAAGGGTTTGGGTATACGCTGTGACCCCGTTGTTAGATCCAGTGAAGTGTACGTCTCCACCATGACCAGTCAAGTTGATCCTTGGTGAGATAGAGACCTTGGGCTTTCTCCTTCTCGATTTCTTCGAATTCGCCCCGGATGTCGATCTCGTCCAATGGGACAACTTTAGATTTAAGGAAAATCTTGAAGAAGATGTAGAGTCCTGCTGTGGTGTTAGTAGTGTTCAGATGTTCTGCCCTTAACACATACCAGCGAAGATAGCGATGTTCAAATACGAGGTCAAGAAGCCGGATGCCGTGAAGTTGTTCTTGGTGAAAACATCAAACCCGGAAGTTAGGACGATCATAACAACCATGAACGTAGTCACCCACGCAGTATATGGCTGGAAGGGTGTACGATAGGGGAGCTCTGAAAGCGTCGTCAGCACAAACCTCAGCACAATTGTGATGGACCATACCGTCTCTCGAAAAGCCCTGCTTCTTTAGACACGCAAAGAAACGTAGATAAGTGCCACCGATAACGATCCAGCCGATCAGACCGGCGACAGTCGTAATGTTGACGAACCAGGAGAAGACGGTGGCCGCGCTGCTCCCCAGACTCATGTACATCAGTGGTAATAGGAGAACCGTGAGACCGACGGCATAGTATGGAGTTCCGAACCGGTTGCATCGTTGGAAGAACTTGGGTGCATGTCCGTCCTGGCTCAGGCCATATAGAGTGCGAGATGCAATGAAGATACAGCTAGAACTTCCACTGATAGCTGAAGTGCATACCACCGCGTTGATGATATGCGGGACCACAGAAACGCCGGACCGCACGAATGCAATGACGAATGGTGATTGTGTAGCTGTGCCAGTTGAGATAGTGAGGTCCTTATCGTTAGATGGGCTAAGGGCAAATGTTAGTTTTTTCCAAGTTTTTTTCAGGGTTGGGGTGCTTCTTACACAATGAGTCCAACGATGAAAATGCTAACAACGTAGAAGAAGAAAATTCGAATGAATGTCTTTCTTGTCGCATCAGGGATAATCTTCCGTGGATTCTGAGTCTCCGCGCCTGCAATGGCCACTACCTGGATGTTACCGAAACTGAAAGCCGAGGTCAACAGGACTTTCCAAAAGGCTAGGAACCTTCCGGCGGAGCCTGTGTCAATGAACTCGTTAAACGCGCCTGGGTCCTTCCAGTAGTGGAAGCCAAGACGCTCTTGTCCCGGGGTGCCACCCAGGTCAATAACGATGCCACCGATGATGAGACCAATGATCAGCATGATCTTGAGGGAAGCAAATATAACCTCCGACTGAAACGTTGTTAGATTGGCAACAGCGAGGGTTTGGGTTTTCCTCTTCCGAGACACTCACCTCTCCATATAGCTTGACGTTGCAAAAGTTGAGGGCAGTGATAAACACACCAAAGACGGTGATCCAAACAGCAGGACTAATGGATGCATTCCAAAATTGGACGATGGTCGCAGCAGCAGTGATCTCCGTTGGTGCCGAGATAGCCATAGTATACCCTGCATTAAAGTCAATACGGATTTAGATGAACGCAAGCTCGCAGAACGTACAAAAGTTCCAACCAGTAGCCGCGCCGAGCGCAGGCTCAACGAATCGTGTGGCATGGCGAACGAAGCCCCCGCTGCAAGGCATGAAGGACGAAATCTCTCCAGTGGTGTAAGAGATACCACCAGTCACAAAGCCCATGACAATGTATGCCAAGAAAGCACCTGCCGGGCCAGCAATGGCAATGACCTGACCAGAGCTCAAAAACAGACCCGTTCCCTGCGACGTTTAGCATGCAGATCCGCGTCTACAGGTGTCGATCGGGTCAGAACTTACAATCATGCCTGCGATGGCAATCATGTTGATATGCCTTGATTTAAGATCTCGTTTGATCTCCTCTCCCTCCATGGTGGAGGAACTATAGGGTCTCTCGACATCGCTGGCCGTACTGGCATGCTTCTCATTGGCGAACGCCATGGTGATAGCACAGGATGTCAGATAGAAAAGTATAGACAACTCGACACCATGCAATACGAATTAATAGTCTCAGACTTAGTTATTGGCCATAAGCAGTCGAGTTTCGTGTCAGTTCGTCAGCTTAGGTGGAGAGAAACACGGAGCAAAAATCGGGGAGGTGGCGATCGCGGACCTGGAACGCCGAGACTGGGTCGCCGGCTAAGTTTGTTAGCCGATGCAACTTGTCCCCATAAAAAAGAGGTGCAACCGCCTCATTATTGAGTTTTGTTGATCTGTTTATCTTTGCAAATTGAACCACAGCCCTCAATGGACGCATTTCAGCTCTACGACCTTCGCGTGGAAGTGGTGTGCCCCCCGGGCAAACGCATTATGTGCGGAGCTAAGGAAGGGGATTACTTCACGCTCAAGGGCGAAATGATGTACCTACCTCCCGGCCAGGGGATTAGTATCTACAGTCTAGGTGCGTTTTGACCTCGAGATCTCCAGTTGTGTTGAGCTCACCACCGCGTAGCGTCCGTTCTGCCCCTGTTGGCCTCCAAACAGCGAATGACTCATGAAAATGACTGGATGACTACCGACGCCAGTATTGCGTGCCCAGATCCTCATTGTCCCTCGCAATTGAAAATCATCAGGACTGGCATCACGACTTTCAACCATTCCGACACTACGGTTGTCCCCAAGCCTTAGGCTCGAAGCCCCTTGTTCCCCACCGCAATGAACATCATACGGAGAATCACTCCGTTCGACGTTTCATCCAAAACATTCTAATATTCATGGAACCCTGAATCGACATCTCGATACTTGATGGGTCCCACACGTGTCGCGACAGGGGTTCTACACACTAGTGGCCCGTAGTGGAAGAAAGCCGAAAGCAACACAAATCCCAACCAATGGCAGATGGTCTCGTCCGCCACTTATCACAGACAATATAATTGTTCCCTCTGTGTGTTCGCGTACTCGTACTTTTGACCTAGCGCCTGCATGGGCGCGTGAAGAGTTTCGAGTAAAAACTGCCCAACCCGCGCATTGTACAGGGATTCTTCCCGGAAACCAAACTTCAAAAATGGCTCATTGTTCACGATGGTGGAAGTCGTTCATCGCGCTGTTAACGCGTCAAATTCACTCTCAGCAAAGACAAATCTCAATCGGACTTGTCGCTTTGGTCTGCTTTCGCTTCGATCATTCGAGATTAGATGTCATCGGAGACATTAATGACATATGATGGATTCAAGAAACCATGACTGGAATGCCGCGCACATTCCCCGCGTTCGGATCGACGCGATGGTCTTTGCACGATCGGGGCATGATTGTTCTTGTTCGCTGTTCGAGTATCCTTACTTGTCCGGCAGGCTGCATGGTTATCTCAAGCGGCTATCCCCTGATCGACGCGAGCGAGCGAATCTGCACCTGCGAAACGGTACTGATAAGTGCACTTGGTCAGTGTCAAGCCTGTGGAGAGATATGTCGGATTGTCGAACATCGAATAAATCCCCGCCCGGTGGCAGATCAGAAAACAGTTATTTTCAAGCGGCCGTTGAGCCTGCCCCCAAGAGGTATATTTCGGCGTAGTTCAACAATCAATTTCAAAGACCATATGGTGAGACGGGTCCCCAAACCAGAGGGTTGTTTCCGCGAAGCATTTGAATGAGCTACTTAAGTAGAAGAACGTCTGCGCCTAACCTTGGAAAGGAAACTGCAGGTACATAAGTATCAGACAACTTTGAAAACTTGAAAAGCTCGGGAGTCTCCTGAAGTCGGACTTCAGGACCTCCGGACTTTACCAAACAACGACGTTAGGAGGGAGGAGATTTCTATTCCTGATATTATGCCGTACAGCGTCTATATTAAAGCACCAAATCAAGCCCAAAAGGCCGTTTGCAGTGCATCACACATGAGGGTGATGCATCTTTTACCCTCTGACAACGCCCCATCCATAGCAAGGAAGGGATGCGGCATACCCTTCATCACCTGCAAATCAACAGGCACACCAGCCTTCTGTAATTTCTCTGCATACTGCTCGCCCTCCGTACGCAGCACATCACACTCTCCCACCATGACCAGGGCAGGCGGTAGTTGTGAGTAATCTCCCTGCCAGAACAGTGGGCTGGACTCAGGATTGGTGCGGTCGGAATGGTTAGGCACATAGTGATCGCGGTACCAATACATTTTGCGAGCAGGAAGGGCGGGGGTGTGCTCATACCGCTTATATGACTCGCTGTTCTCGACCGTGGCTGTGTTGTCGGTGACAGGGACAGAGAGCAGTTGGGCTCGGAACTGAACAGGCGGTGACAGGGTAAGCGCCTTTTGCGTCATGATCGAGGCAAGGTTGCCGCCAGCGGAAGATCCGCCAGTTGCGAGTTTGGATACGTCCACTGATAGCGCGGCGGGGCCATCGGTGATCAACCACAAAAGGGCTTCCCAGCTGTCGTGCACGGCGGCGGGCCAGCGATTCTCGGGTGCAAGACTAGAGCACGGTTAGGTTTGACTATGACGCGATTGATGCATGTGCTTACCGATAGTCGACAGTGACCACAACGCAATTGCCGCGCACGCAGAGATTAGAGCAGACAACGTTCTCGGTATCAATGTTTCCCAGCACCCAGCCACCACCGTGGAAATATAGCATCACAGGCCATCCACTGGGAGGTGCATGGCCTTTGGGGGTGAAAGCACGGATGGGGACTGCGGGGCCCTCGGTCGCGCGACGTTGAACAGTGATATCTTGGGTCTTGCCTACTTCCAACATAGGACCGGCACCAGGAATCAAAACACCGCTCGTCCGCGAGGCCTCCACGGGCTGGAGGTGGACTTGTTGATTGTTGATGACATGCTCATTGTAGAATGCGACGTACTCTGGGTCCAACAGATCCTTGACGGACTCGTGGAGGGGGTAAGGAGGTTGTGTAACGCCGGAAGTCATTGTGAACAGAGGAATCTATACTGAGCAAGGGGGAAGAGAGCAGAGATGGTCTCTAATAACAAAAAATAAACCCCCACGGATGCAGTGGGGGTGAACAATGCGGGGGAGGAGCCGATAAGCTGATAAGATCCCCGATGCGGAGAAGATCAACAACACTGTTGCAATGACCCGCCCTGGTCCCCATGGTGTGTCTCCATTGTATCTCCATTTCTTCCCCAGTGGGGTCCAGTCATACCCCATGTCCTCTGACAGCCGCTCCAGCTGGACATTATCGGTCGCTACCGTGCCACTCGTTACGTTTTAGCCGACGTGGGATGCACCGGATGTCGGGTTGATAAAGAGGGCGTTCCCCCCGCGCAAGGGGGGAAGACAATTCTTGCTTTTTTTCCCTCTCCCTCAACCAAGCCCATCCAATCCTTTGCAATGTCCACCAAAACCCCCGTTCTCACCGACAAGGCTCCTAAGCCCCTCCCTGGCATCTATTCCCAGGCCATTGTCGCCAATGGTGTCGTGTACTGCTCCGGCGCTGTCCCTATGGACGCTGCCACTGGCAAGCTGATCGACGGAGATGTCAAGGCTCATACTGTAAGAGCAGACTGCATCCACTATCTCACCAATTGGCGTGTCGCTAACACCATCACTAAACAGCACCAATGCATCAAGAACTTGACTCACATCCTCGAGGAGGCCGGTACCGATATCACAAAGGTCGTTAAGGTCAATGTTTTCCTATCAAACATGGATGACTTCGCCGAGATGAACTCTGTGTACATGCAGTACTGGGGTGATGTGAAGCCCTGCCGAACGTGAGTTCTACCCCACCCTCTCCCTCTTTGTTACCCCCGAAGTTGAGATAGAGTTGTACCGTGCTTCTGCTCTGGTTTCCTCGGAAATACAAATTATTTTGCGTATTGCTGTGGTCTGATTTGCTGACGTACTCTGCAGCTGTGTCGCGGTCAAGACGCTCCCTCTTAACACTGATGTTGAGATTGAGTGCATTGCTGTGCTGTGAAGTTGCTTTTTTTCGAGGTTACCTATAGACAAAAGGAAGAATGATTCATGACTGCTTCTTAGTTTAGTTCTCTTTCTCCTGTAACGAGAATGCAGCACTTTGATAGGCAAAGTAACTATACTGTAAGCCAAGTACATGTGGGCATAGGTGTCCAATAATTGAATTCGTTAACCCGAAGAACCTAGCAGGGTTGTCAATTGACGCGCACCTTCGCACAAACCTGCTAGACAGCACCGAATGCGCGTCTATACACAAAAATATGACCCGAGTAAACATCAACTTACCTGAAACAGTGCCTTTTGAGACCTAATAACAGCGCGTGGTATGAATTTTACGAGTGTGGGATTCGTAGATCAGGCAGTGTCAACAACACGATCACCCTTTCCATAAACCTAACAACTGACAGGAACATTCCTAGTCAATCGAGGACATTGCATTCAGGTGCCTGTCAAATACGTCAGAATGTAGTGAATCTAGGTGTATAGGCTCAGTTCTCGTCCTTACAGGCACAACCCCTCGGATCACGTGGGTTCGAAGTGACCAACTTATCGCGTGGTACGCTGTGAATTCAAACGATTAGGTCGGATCATTCTCAAATTCTCATCAATACATCAAATAATTTGCTCGAGATAATATTGCTCATGATCTTGGATCGCTCGCAAATGTACTCTAAAGTTCAGAACGTGGACGTTGACAACGTCATCGAGGGATCTAGGGCTGCGGTTAACGGCACGATACCTCCCTTCCCCATCAAGGCCATCAAGGTCAACCCTTCAACGCACGGAGAGACATTGCGAATTCTTGAAAAATGAAACGAGCACTGTACCTTTCATTGAGGGACTGAAACGACCTCGAAGGACCATCCCAAGGCTGACACCCAGGGGCAAGGCGAACAACCCTCCCTACCACAGTGCTCAGCATTCCAAGTGACAAAGTCAAGATGGGCCACTTCGAGGATGGGATCTTCCTCGAGGCCTTGGATTCCTTCCATGCCCGCCCCTCGGCTGACATTCCACCCCTCCACACTTTATTCGCGTCGACGCGCCCTGGAGGGCCATGAACCCTCCATTAAACTCCCCTTTGAGTCCTGCGACACTCTCACCATCAGCCATATGAATGCTCTTCGCGCGCCATTCGTGAACTTTTAGTGTACTGCATCTGGGTTGGATTTGGACCTGGGGCATCTATTACGCCTGTCCTTTGCTTGTTATATCGAAGAACCCTCCCAGCTTCCGTGTACCAGACGACTTCAATAAGGCGATAATTTGCCTTGTTCGTCACTCGACTCTTCTGTCGCAATCATGGCATCGGGATTCTCAGCTACCCCAAGGAAGGAAGGGACTTGGACGAAGCTTGTCATATTCATCGCGCTTTATGTCTTGATCTTCCAGTCTATCTTGGAATGGGTTCTTGTGCTCTATCTGTACGGCAATCGCCAGGTGGATTCCAAGATGACTCTCAGTGTGGTGCTCGCGTTGGTTGCAGTATGTTCGAACCAATGCCGCACAATTTATTCGCTAACCTCCTACCTAGTCGTTCTTTTCGATACCCCTTGTCGGTCTCCAGAGTCTGGTCGCATGGCAGTATAACAACATTGGTGGATTTGGAACCCAGAAGACTGTGCTGCACAATATCTGCACCTATGTCTTACGCTTGGACTTGATTCTTTGGCTTGTGACAAGTGTCACCGGTCTAGTCGTCGCCGCCCAACAGGTATACTGCCTCCCTGCCGGAACAGATGGGAGTTATTGGAGAGTTGGAATCAGTTGTGCCTTCCACAGGGCATCTGTCATTGTATCGGTCACCTCGATGTATGTCCCTCTTTAGCCGCAGTCTACTAAACGTTATGGCTAACAATTTGCTTCTAGGGTGACGGTTTGTGTGATGTACTGCGCGAGAGAGCTGTGCGATCGCCCATATGATGTCTCGCTTCTTGGAATTTACAAGCGCCCGGCAATTCTTCGCAATGGTAGCATTCTGTCCGGCAATAGCTGGGATAGTGAAGAAACACTCAAGAATGAGATTCTCTACCTCTGTCGCCAACATGACGGCAATGGAACAGGAGAGTTCTGGTCTGTCGACCCAATTGCCAACAAGGTCAACTGTCACCCTAGTATCCGACACCCTGCGCCTGCTCGTTTGCGACCCCAACTTCGAGTCAACACTGACCCTGGCTCGACATACGGAGAGATTGTATCTGGAACATCGATTTCGCCCGATGAAAATTTGCGACGGGTTTCACCCGGATCACAAAGCCTGACAAACGACTTCTATCCCATCTCGCGCAATTCTACCGTGATGACCACGCAGACTGCGAACGAGCTTCATGCTCTTCTTTCGGACGCAGCTGCTCGTCAGGTCGCTGCCATCCCAGAACAACAAAGCAGTCACAAACGGGCCAAGTCATCACTTTCCTCTATAAGAAGAATGCTTCCCAAGTCGTTTCCCCTATCACTCCCCTTGCTATCCGACCCTCAAATCCAAGCTCTTGCAGACCCGAACAAAGCCTCGGATGTCGAGAAGCAGGTGGTAACACCCAACAGCATGCCCAAGGGGATAGCTCAATCCCCAACCTACCAGCTCGGAACAGCCAACACGCCAAACGCCTCTTCGACAACTCTGCCGCAAACTGCCAACCCGAGTCCGGTAAAACCAGGGCACGTCAGGTCAACGACAATGAACTCTGCAGATGCTCCCGAAGTAGTCCCAGAGTCCGAGGTCCACCGCGCCCAAACAACGAACGCAGCCCCTGCACGCTCAATCCACCACCCCCATCACCCAAACTACACCTCAGGTCCCCCACCACGCGCATACTCGCAGACCTCCCGTCAAACCTTGGGCGCGCAAATGCGACCTGTTCAGAACTCCCAGCCTCAACGCAGCACAAGTTACCACTTTGACCCATCCCACGCACCACGCCCCAATCAAAACAAGCACCACCCCCAACAGCGCGGCAGTCAAAGCCAGTACTTCCCACCGACCAACCGACGGACCAGCCAGCAACGCTTCGAGAACAACCGCTCAGCACCACGTCGCAACGATGTTGAAATCATCTACCCCAGCACGCGGCGTTCGCGCAGCAACACACATGCAGCAGGTGGCCCGCTCAGCTGCATCTACGAGACTTCATCCAACCCACGTGCCTCCGTTGATGACCATCGTCCTGTCTCGGCGGTTTCGGCAGTCTTCTCCGAGCTGCCATCCAGTCCATCAAATGTGATTGATCCGTCGACTTACCGTGGTGCGAACCGAACCAGCATGAGCTTCCATTAAGTGGGAGCTGAGTTAATTAATTCAGCTTGTCTGCTGGTCAGACAGGTTTTGTGTCTTTATGTTACTTTTAATATATGTGGTTGGATAGTATGCTCTGGTATACAAGGCCGGGGTTTGAGGTGGATTTGGATAAGTGGAGGAACTTGTTAAGGATTCAATCGCGTTAGTACTAGCATTAGCTTTTAGTTACTGATACCAATCAACAATCATATTCAACTTGAATCAAGCGAAAAGTACATCATAACCGACGAGTATTCAAGTTAAGAAGAAACGGATGACAATATCATGAAATCAAGGAATTTAATAACTCCGTCCATCCAAGAATCAAGCAAGACCTTCGCAAGAGTCTTCAACAAGTTCACAGGCTTGCATAACCATGAGCCAAACACCGCTAAGACAAAGAGAAAAATGCCAGACCGGCGTATCATACATAAGACAAATGAGAATACAAAAGACCGGAATTAAGCCTTGGAATCACTCTTTGGCTTCTTCGTGGCATACTTGTAGCGGTAAGCCTGTCCACCCTTCTCACTGCGCCGGTTCTCCTTTCCCTCCGCCAGGCCAGGTCCACGGCCCATTTCCTTCTCTCCCCAAGACAACATAAGCGCCTTCGCCATGCGGTCGCGCTCCTTAAGAAGCAGATCGATACGCCGCTCCCACTCACGTTCACGTTTATCAACAGAGAGGGCGATGCGTTGGTCGACCGCCGCCGCAGTCTCGTCTTTGGCGGCAATGACGGCTTCCAGACGTCTGAGTTCGGTTTTGAAGGATTTCTTGAGCTGCGTTTCTGCGGTTGCGGATGTTGAGCGGAGGGTTGCGAGGTCGTCCCGGAGAGTGGATTCACGTTCCTCGGCTGATGTGAGGAGGTGGCGGATCTTGCGCATGGATTCTGCGTGCGAGGCACGGAGAGTTGAGACTGCTGTGGAGTGCGCGGTTTGGAGGCAGCGGAGCTGGGTTTGGTGGTTTGCCTCGAGGAGTGAGGTGGATTCTGAGTTGGGAATTGGTTGAGAACGGGGTGGGCTTGGGGGTTCAAGTATCTTTTCTTCTTGAAGGCGGGCGATTGTCTCCATAGATTCGGCGTGCTCTTCCTTGGACCGTGCCAAATCGGTTTGCGATTTGTTGAGAGCTGTTGTTAGCTCGGTAACCCGATTTGTGAGGCGAGAGTTCTCGGCCTCGATGGTCTTGAGCAGGGTCTGGGATCCAGATGCTTCACCTTGTAGACGGCTGACTTCAGCATCTGAGGCTTTTTGGGCGGCGAGAGCCGCTTGGAGTTCCTGTTGCAACATGGCGAGCTCCTTCTGGTGCGCTGTCGCAGGGTCAGGTTTAGGTGACTGCAGCGTGGTTTGGGAGTCTGGGAATTTATCCTTTAGGAATGGGGACTGAGGTGCGGATTCTGGGTCCCCATGCCCTAAGTCTTTAATCAAATCAAGAATCTCACTGTAAGTGCTGTGTCCGCTAATAGGAAGGTCTGCTGCAGCTGCTTTCAGTGCACTCTCTTGGGCTTCCATGTGGGACTGAACACGGGTGAGGCTGGCTTCGAGTGTCGAGTTCTTTTCTTCCAGGGGCTTGTTACGGGTCTCCAAATCAATGAAGCGTTCCTCCAACACCTGGAGGTCATTATGAGCCCGCTCGAGTTCTGCCTCTAACTTTTCATTCTCCAGGCCATAGTCATCAATTTGACCTTGGAGCTGGTCGATCTCGGAGTTCTTCTGCTGCAACTGTGTATCCTTGGAATCGTTGGCTTGCGCCACTTCCTTGAGCTTTGCAAAGGTCTCTTCTAGAGTTTGATCTCGCTTTCCTGCTTGCTCTTGCGAGAGAGCAAGTTGCTGACGCAGGTGCGCGATAGTCTCTAGTCGCTCCTTATCCATATCACTTTGCGACTCACGGTCTCGTAGCTGCTGTTGCATGTGATGAATCTGCTCAAGGAGAGGATTGAGATCCTTCTCACTGTTAGATCGTTCCAGCCGCTTTTGAAGATCTTGATTTTCTTTCTGGAGGGATTGAATCTGCTCACGGAGCATCGCATCCTCACTACTCTTGATCTGGGCTTGTTCTAGGAGCTCGTTCTTCCGTTCCAGTTCTATCTGAAGGTGACGAATCTGTTCGCCGGCAGAGACTGCTTCAAGAACACGGTTGCGACTTTTTTGGAGTTGGTCGTCTCGTTCCCTCAGGGCATGTTGGAGGTGTTCAACCTGTTGGCGAAGATCTTGCTGTTGGTTTGGTTGGTGGCTCGAAGCATCGGACAATTTTCGAACGGAAGGGGATGCTGAATCTGGCCCTTCGTTATCATCAGGGTATTCTTCGATGTCCTCCAAGTGCGTGGCATCCTTCGGGAGGGTATTCGGTCTGTGGAGGAGATGCGACGGGGTTGACATGTCGACTGGCGGGCCAAATTCGCTGTACTCTACTGAGTCTGCCTCCTCAATCGCGGGTTGTTTTGACTTCTGGAAAGATCGTCGCACTGATCCAAAGTCTACTTCTCCATCTTGTTCCCCGTCATTCAGATCACCCATCAGGTATTTCTCCATATTCGCAGTAAAGTCTTCGGGTCCTCCCACGTCCGACAATTGATCAGCCTCCTTGTGAAAGGGTGGCAAAGTATCCTCGTTTCCATCTATGGCAAAATGACCACTAGGGAAATTACTAAAATCCAAGGTGTAATCTGCAAGGCGCGCATCCAGGTCTGAGCCTGTTGGGCTTCCGGGAGTCGGCGGACGTGAGACATGATCCAGCTCGTTTACAGAATGATTATCGTCATCATCACTGAGGTGATTACTGTTCTGTTTGCTTTTGTCTGTGACACGCTCGGTTGCGGGTGTTTGGGCGGTATCGGGGGTTCCCAATGGGCTAAGCGGCTGCTGAGGAGGAGACGATGGCATAAAGAGAGGGGTTACCAAGGTGGACTGCCCGATTGTATCGTGGGAGGTGGGGAATGGCGAGGTATAGCCGGTGTTCGCCATGGTTGCGCACGCGTTGCGGGATGCGCAAAGATAGAGGACGCGACAAGGCCAATTCTGCCAAACCAGTGAGTAGGGGCAGTCCTAGAAGTTACACTAGGCAGCCCCAAGGGAAATGTTTCGGTGGGGTGAATAAAAGTAATAACACGAGCGATTGCGGGAAGCTGAAGCCAAAGGAATCTCGTGTTATTCGCAACTTCTGCCTCAGGCACCAATGTTTATCCACTTCCTTTTTTGGTCAAGCGGGGTTTCATGTTTTGAAGTCGAAGTTGACTATACATAACTATCACACATCCTTTGTTTCATGTTCATTGTACAGACTATGCTACATTTTCCTGGGTCTACCAAAGAGAATTGATGATTGGGAAAATATCAAGCGCAGGTCTTCCACTCCTCAAAGCCAGGGGGAACCACAGATGGCTCCGAGGACCTGCCACGCTGCTTGGCTTCTAGCTCGCTCTCCTCGTGCTCGGTAGCTTTTCTCCGACGCTCTTTCGCAATGTCCTGGACTAGGATTCCTGGACTAGGATCAGCTTCTGTCAATGAGGATCGTGGTTTATCTCTGACATACATGTTTCTTGGTATTGGTGCCATGAAACCCTCCGCCACTGGCCTTGCCACCTTTCTTTCCTCCCTTTTGGCCTATCGCTGAAAGCTCCTCATGAGAGCGATTCGCAAAATTTCCGGGATTGGGGTGATTCCCATGGGGTGGTACTGTGGCAACACCTCGATTCGATCCTCCCACAACCACATACTGTGCTGATCGAAACAGTCGAAGGAACGAACGTGACATTATACGGTTGCCACCGGTTAAGGCCATGATGCGTCAGTTTTGCAATCGGACATGCAGGAAGCTCCAAGGTTGTTCAGGATGGATGACGGTCAAGCTACTACAATGGGATGTTGCGGGCTTACTGTTCAGCTTTTATATTCCTTCTGGGCTGGCTATCTTGCCCCTTTCATCATAGAAGGCAATGTGGCTATTGTTACTGCTTTTGCATGGAGACCCGCCGAACCGCACAAGTCTCGCTAGTGGACAGAAGATATTGCACCCGGCCTTTGGTCCTTTGCTCTGTCCCCCAATACGGGACGACTTGGGATGGTTTGCTGGAACACTGATCCGACCAGGTTTGATGTCATATTTAAGGCCGCCCTAAGATTTTTCCCCGCCATGTTCAACTTGTGATATCTGGTGTATTGATACTGTCAACTATGATGAGAATGATAAATCGTAGAGGCATTCCCGTAGATCACGCCAGTTGGCTCAGCTGGCACGGGACGCCCGGGCGCCCGGGCGAATCGCATGGCTTAGTAATTTTATTCGGTCGGAGTTTATGCGCTGTGGTCTACTATAGAGTACTACACTGTGCTGCAGTGATATTCGCCGCATGATTATAACTCCTGCTGAATACGCAGGGACTCGGATATCCAATTCGGTCACATCGTTCGTGCACTAGGGCCTACGAGCAGCTTCCAGGGCCCGCAGAATCCACCCCACTCCGCCATCTCTCCAACGATATCCATCTGGGATTTCTGGAATTCTCAGCACATATTGAACAACATGCCACCTATCAGAGGAGGTCTGGGTGAGCGCCCACGGGTCATCTTGTACCACCAAACCCTCATTCCCGGCGGGGGCCAATATGTCTCGATGCTCCCACTGTTGGAAAATAACACTGGAATCACACATGTAATTCTAGCCGCCATTCACCTCAATGAACAACCAGGTGCTATCACTCTCAACGATGATCCGCCCGAGAGCCCCAAGTTTGATCCCTTATGGGCCGAAGTACCTTTAATGCAAAGGCAAGGTGTCAAAGTGATGGCCATGCTTGGCGGTGCGGCCCCGGGCTCGTTCACGCGACTCGACGGCACCCGTGAACAATTCGAGCAGCACTACTATCCGCTCTTGACTATGATTCGCCGCCATGGTCTCGACGGGATTGACCTTGATGTTGAGGAAGAAATGTCTTTACAAGGTGTGATCACGCTTATTGACCGACTGAAGGCCGATTTGGGCGATGCTTTCATCATCACTCTGGCTCCAGTGGCGGCTGCTTTACTGGGTCTTGGAAATCTTTCTGGGTTTGATTACCGGGGGCTCGAGCAGGCTCGCGCTTCCAAGATCAGCTGGTATAACACCCAATTTTACAATGGCTGGGGTCAAGCGGAGGATCCAAGAATGTATGCCACGATGATCGCGCAGGGATGGTCACCGAGACGAGTGGTGTATGGTCTGTTAACCAACCCAGGGAATGGGTCCCAGGGCTATGTGTCCGAGGAGAAAATTGGACCTGTTCTCGCCATGTTGGTCGAACAATTTCCCAATTTTGGTGGCGTGATGGGCTGGGAGTACTACAACGCTCTTCCTGGGGCCACGGCTAAACCGTGGCAGTGGGCTACTCAAATGTCATTGAATATGGGCATGAAAGATTTGGTCAGAGCAACTCGGGAACTCATGTCGGCTGGGCCGATGGCGAACAGTCTCAATAATTTGTTGCAAGATATGATGAACCAGGGTCGGCGATTTTGAGAGTACATACCTTTTGAACGTTGTCTCATATCAAAAGACACACCACTGTTTTGCTGTACACAGACTGGGCCAATGGATGGGTGGATGAAAAGAACGACATCTTCAAATGTAGATCCATTGTGTTAATTACCCGAAATACTTGCATATTTAAGCTGCAACTGCTCAAGTGGACAGCTACCTAAGTACTAAGTAGTGAAGTATATACGGTCCAAAGACCCTGTGTTTGCCAAGAGAACCGAAGGAGCTGTCAAACTACGTCATAGGCTCCAAACAAATGTCTTGGTAACTATTTTAATTCCTTGTCATCTATTCGTTATTGCTCCTCTACTTAAGTACTAAGTAGAAATATGCATTGATCATACTCCAGAGCGTCCCTTACTATTGGTTCATCTTATACTCCATATCATGGCCTCCCTACAGCGCATAGTCGCGGCCACTAGCTCGACAGCCATCCGGCTAGCAGCATTCGTGTTTCTGAGATGGGTATGATGCCACCATCCAAACTCATCAAGTCCCCGCACTGATGTCGCTTTAGATCCCTGGTCATCACTTTGTGCCCCTGGTCTTCACCTCGCTAGTGGTGTATCTGTCGTCGATCACCTCCTTAACGTGGGGCTCCCAGCCCCGTACGCGACAGACCAATAAATCTCAAACGGACAAAAACAGTGAGACACAAGTCCCGAGGATACCAATTATATCAACTCTGACTCTGAACACACAGGTCGAAAGCCAGTCGCTGATCCAGCTCAGACCGGCGATTCCGTTTTCAAGACCTTGTTGGGCGGGCTGCCTCACGCAAAGTCAAGATGGTTGACATACACAACTGTTGTGATCAACATCATCCTGACACTTTTGTGCTTTGACTTCCTTACTCGTGGCTATTTGTTCTATCCCAATGACGATGTCTCATTCTCTCGCATTGGGCATGTCTCCTCCACTACCGCCAATCTGGTCTTCCGTGAGCCAGATACAGCTCACCTACCGGTAACTGTCGGCTACCAAGAGACCGAAGAGAATTCTGGAAGCTGGTATGAACAGGGCATCGTCTACAGCTTGGACAACAGCACAGACTTCACTGTTGCAGTGACTCTCGACAATTTGAAGCCATCAACTTCATACCGTTATTCACTATCGAACAACAGGTCCGGCACGTTCATAACTTCGCCAAGACCCAAGTCTCCAGAAGCTAGTCGACTTTCTTTTGTCACTTCAAGTTGCTTAAAGCCAAACTTCCCGTACAACATACTGTCGCACCCGCTGCGTGTGCCAGGCATCGAGCAGATGACCGATGTTCTCACCAAACTACCCGAATTACTCCGTCCAGCATTCATGCTCTTCTTGGGTGACTTCATATATATCGATGTTCCCTATCGCTTCGGATCATCCATGTCCCATTACCGCAGCGAGTATCGAAAAATCTACTCATCACCCTCGTGGTCCTACGGCTCAGCAGAAAACCGTGCCATCGATCTCCCCTGGCTTCACACACTCGACGATCACGAGATAGAGAATGACTGGTCTCAGGGAAACAAGACATCCCCATACCCCGAAGCCGCAGACCCTTTCATTCACTATCATGTGGCAGCCAACCCACCCATCCCATCAACCCCTTTTGCAGAGCCTCACAACGTGACCTACTTCTCTTTCACCAATGGCCCAGCCTCCTTCTTTATGCTCGATACACGTACCTACCGCACAGAGCCAGCACAGGAACACTCCACCATCCTCGGCCATGCTCAACTCCAATCACTGCTTACATATATCTCGACCCCGGAGCAGCCAGGTATTCACTGGAAAATCGTCTCCTCCAGCGTCCCCTTCACGAAGAACTGGCACGTTGGCACGACAGATACATGGGGTGGTTTCATGAACGAGCGACGCACCATATTTGAAGCAATGTGGCGGGCCGAGAGAGACCTAGGTGTTCGTATCATTCTCCTCAGCGGCGATAGACATGAATTTGGTGCCACGAGGTTCCCCGATCCGGCTCTGAACCTCCCCTCCAATAAATTGCAACCAAACTCACCAGGGCTTGGGCTGCACGAGTTCAGCGTTGGTCCGCTGAGCATGTTCTACCTCCCCATTCGCACTTATCGTCAGACTGACGACGAGGATGTGACGGTGAAGTATGCGCCACAGGGGAACAGTAAGTTTGGAATCATCGATATAGTTGATGATGTCGAAGATGTGGATCCAAGTTCTGAGGCACCAGTCCCTGTTCGCAGCTCGGTACTTACATATTCGCTTTATGTGGATGGGGAGGCTGTTTGGAAGTATCGGTTGAGTGTTCCGCTGGATCAGGACCCCGTTGTTCATGCATCCTTGTCTGATTCTGCTAAGGCCTCGTGCCTGCCATCTGGCCGTGTGCTTGAAGACAATATTCCAGAGCTGGGCTTGGGTATTGCTATCGGAGCGGCTGTTGGACGAGTACCAGAATTGGCAAAATGGGCTCTTGGTAAATCCCAGGATGTTTACTTTGATCTTCTGGAACGGCTACAGAAAGCTGAGAGGCTAAGTTGACTTGGCTTGACGGTGCTTTAGCTTTGGAGCCACACCATGAAAGACGTTTTTAGACACTAGATAGATAGCACTGTATCAAGACAATTTGAACACAACTCGGAGTTCCATGTGTAGGAAGATATATGTGATGGTGATATGGGTTCATTACCAAATTCGTTCTCATGTACAAAATTGCGCATAATGCGAAGAGCAAAAATAACGCCAAACACCAGCCCGGATGCTAAGTTGATGAGCCAGTGGTTCGAGGGAATAACAAGTAAGAAAAGATCAAGTTGTGGACTTAACGTCCACCTTTTCCACGGCCGCCGCCGCCGCCCATTCCACCCATCAATCCACCCATTTGACTCATGAGACTTTGCATATCCATGCCGCCCATATTGGGCATTCCACCGCCTCCGCCGCCCATCATCTGCATCATCTTGGCCATGTCAGGCATACCACCGCCGCCGCCAGCACCACCCATGGACTGCATGCGCTTTTGCATAGCAGCCATCTGCTGATCCTTGTTTCCGCCCTTCATCATCTTCTGGGCCTGTTGCATCTGCTTCTTCTGGCCTCCAACACGCTTGGCCATGCCAGCCATCATGCGGTGCTGGGAGAGAACATCCTCAACTTCGCGAACGGTAGTTCCACTACCGTGAGCAATGCGAACCATACGGCTCGGTTGCTCGACGAAGTTCTTGCCATCCCCGTCAAGCTCGGCCGCAGTCATACTGTCGAAGATGTAGATCATGCGGCGCAGCTTCAGGGAGCCGTCCTCGTCGTCCAGGCCTTGGGTCATGTTTGACAAACCAGGGATCATACCAGACAACTTAGAGAGAGGACCCATCTTCATAATTGATGTGATGTTTTCACGGAAATCGCGCAGAGTGTAGATACCCTCAGCAATGTGCTTGTAAGTTTCCTTGGCACCAGCAGAGTCCTTGGTCATGGCCTGAACGTGTTCGACCAATCCAGCAACATCACCCATACCCAGAAGTTTTTGAACGAAAGCACGGGGCTCGAACCGCTCGAGATCCATCATGTGCTCACCGGTACCAAGGAAGATAATGGGGGTGTGTGTGGCAGCGACCGCAGAGATGGCACCACCACCAGCCGCATGGCCATCAGTCTTGGTGATAATAATCGCACCGAAGTTGGCGGTAGCCTTGAAAGCGGAAGATTGAGCTTCAGCAGCCTGACCAATTGTACCGTCCAACACGAGGATGGTTTGGTCTGGCGTGACAGCGTCTTGAATCTGAGTCATTTCCGTAAACAGCTCCTCCTCCTGTCTGTGACGACCACTGGTATCAACAATAATGACATCAAAGCGCTCTTTCTTGAACTTGGCCACACCCTCAGCAGCCACAACGGCAGGATCCGTCTGTGTCAAACTACCATAGTAAGGAATTTTGGCCTTGGTAGCATTCTGCTTCAGCTGATCAAAAGCACCAGCACGGAAGGTATCCGCGCAAACCAAGGCTGTCTTGAAGCCTCGCGTCTGGTAGTGGCGAGCCAGCTTCGTACACGTTGTGGTTTTACCCGCACCCTGCAAACCGACAAACATGATGACATTGGAACGACCCTTCTTGGGGCGGAAAGAGTCGGCATGGGGGTCGACCAGTTTGACAAGCTCATCGAAGACGGTCTTTTGAATCAGGCGCTTCTTGTTCACTGCGGCCGGGAGGGAGGCGAAGTTTACGCTGGCTTTAATCGATTTGCGCAGGGTACCGACGAGACGGACGTTGACATCGGCGGAGAGAAGAGCAGCGCAGATCTCCTTCAGCATGTCATCGAAAGCCTAAGGTGGATTAGCAAAAGGTGTTTGGGGCACACAGCGAAAGTCATACCTTCTCATCAAGGTTATTGGACCTTGTCAGGTCATTGACGGCAGAGTTGATTCGCCGCCCCAAATCTTGGAGAACCATGGTGAATAGAAGTGTAGCGCGAATGTATTAAAAAGTGACGAAAGTAGTGACCACCGTAGCAATCTAGAATCCCGCGATGGAGGAGGGGTGGGAGTGCTTCCCATCGAAAGACCAGAGAGGCAATGTGGAGGGGCCAATCGGAGAGCCAAATGGTCTTACCGCCCTCAAAGGACCGCCAAAAAAAAAAGTTGATACGGCCCGTCGAGATCATCGCATCTTTCTGTTTTACTTCAATTTCTACCATTTGGAATTTTGTCAGAATGCCTCCTGGTTTTTCCAAAAAGCGCAAGGTCCTCGACGGCCTCAAGGGCGAGACCGGTCGCAAGAAGAAGTTCACCAAGCAACGCTTCTACCACAGCAGCTCTGAGGATGAGGAAGACGACGACAATTTCAATGCCGTTAATCTCGGCGACTCAGACGAAGAAGGAGGTGTCACAGTGAAGAAGCCCTCGGCTATCGATATTCGCATGAAAAAAGCAAAAGAAGCCAAGGAAGCGCCCACACCGCAACCGAAAAAATCAGACGCCAGCGACTCAGACTCCGCCGACGAAGATGAAGAAGAGATTGAGCTCGGCTCCGACGACCTCGAGGATGACGATGATGAAAACGATATCTCTGGCTCTGACGAAGAACTCTCCGACTCTGGCGCCGCTAAAGGCACCAAACGTGGTCGTGCCGTACCCAAGCGCAACGATCCAACCGCATTCTCAACCTCAATTTCCAAGATTCTGTCCACCAAACTTCCTTCATCCGCACGGGCTGACCCCGTTCTCTCGCGAAGCTCGTATGCTTCCAAGCTTGCTGCCGAGGCCGCGGATGATAAGCTGGACAAGGCTGCGCGCGCTAAGATGCGCGCCGAGAAGAAGGAGGAATTGGATCGTGGTCGTATCCGTGATGTGATGGGCATCAAGAGGGGACTTGCGGGTCCTGTGGCTGAGGAGGAAAAACGTGTGCGCAAAATGGCCCAGCGTGGTGTGGTCAAGCTGTTCAACGCCGTGCGTGCGGCTCAAGTCCGCGGTGAGGAAGCCGCCAAGGATGAGCGCAAGAAGGGCACAATCGGTATGGGAGAGCGCGAGAAGGCCGCTAATGAGGTCAGCAAGCAAGGATTCCTGGAGCTGATCAACGGAAAGAAGGGAAAGCCTTTGAACATCGAGGAGGCTTGATTGCTGGATCTACGATTACCCATGGCATGTTTCTGGCGTTTGGAGACTTTCGTGTTATATACTTTTTTCTGCACTGTAATCAAACTACTTATGTGGAAAGTCTTGATCGAATGATACAGGAGATTTTCATTTTGCGATTCCGGCGCAAGCTTGCTAGATGCATCAGATGGAATAATACAGTACAGAGTCCTCACACTAGGACTATCGCCCCCAGGTTATCTTAGTATGTTGAATTGGGTTAGGCGGGGAATTCAGCGACCCCGGGGTTTTTAGTTGATATGATTATTTCGACTCGAAATCGCTCGCTTGCAGATTCCGTGTCATGGTCGGCAATCGCACGACCATTCCGTCGAGTTCCTTGGTCATAAGAACCTGGCAACCCAGTCGGGAGGTCTCGGTGAGTCCGAAAGCCAAATCCAGCATGTCGTTCTCGTCGTCCGAGGGCTCTTCCATTTTATCAAAGGTATCGGAGTCGTCGACGATGACATGGCATGTCGAGCAAGCGCAAGATCCTCCACAGGCGCCTGGATGATATTGTCAGTGTTATATCGAACGCTTGTGATTGGCTCGACTCACCTTCCATCTCCAGATCATTTGCCTGCGCAATGTCTAGTAGATTATCGCCCTCAGCAACCTGGAAGTCGATCTTGGTGCCATCCTTGTCAATAAAAGTAATGTTGATCCTGCAGGCGTTGGTTAGCGGGAGCATCGGCGGGAGCGCATTCGGGGCTTACTCTTCTCCGGCCTTTGGCGGCGTGATGTGACCATGCGCGGCTTGTGCAGAGACAGAGAAAGCACGGCGAGCTGTATTATATCGTTGCCATTGTTGAAGGCTTGGACGGGCAGTGTTGCGCTGTGTTGTGATTCCGGTGTTGGTCCATGTCCTCGAGCTCAGGTGTCTCCGCGATTGAGTCAAACAGATATCGGCGGTCTTGGGCACACGGCGCAATTGCAGGCCGACTTCTTTCCAAAACACCATTTTTTCAATAGGATCAAATTGATCAAATAAGAAGATTGGAAGGGAAGAGGGAGAAGAAAAGAGGATCCGGGGGAAATTGGGAGTGAGTAACGATCGTCCAATGGCCGCGGAGAAAAAAAAAAGACCAAGGCGGCGTCGGACATTCCAACTGCTCCTCCCGTTCTTCCTATCCCCGAACCTCCAACACCCATCATGGCGAATCGTGAAGGGATTAATCCCTTGCGGCCCTACTATATCCCTCCCTCTGGGTTATCGCCCGCTTCAAATGCGCCCCCTGAAGTGACATCTCCGTCCTCGGCCCAAGTATTTGGTAGCACAGCGCGCGACCTCATCCCCGATCTAGACTATGCCGACTATCTGGACGCCTCGCCCTCGGTCTCCGACTGGGTTCGCGATGCATTGAATGGAGCACTCGTGCGCTACACCAAGGTCCTGACTGCGCAACCATTTGATGTCGCCAAAACCATTCTACAGGTGTATGTTGTGCCCGACGCCGCAGATGAGGAGTTGGATCGGGAGCCCACACCGGACAAGGCAGGAAGCTCGTACGACTCGGTAAGGAATATGACATCGAAAGCCTTCAGAAATCTGCTTTGCCCCAAGCTCGAGGTAGCTAACTTGCCCGCGTTTAGGAGTCCGAGTCGTCCGATGACGAAAGCAGCTACTTCACATCAGCGGCCCCTCCAGCGCCAACACCGAGCACACCGCGATCTCGCAGATCACGACGCCAGATCACTGACCGGAGCGGTTATCTTCGACCCGAATCTACGGCGAAGCCTCAGCATGCGTTGACCCTGAAGAACTCGAATAACCTCACCGAGGTTCTCTCCCAACTGTGGACTTCCAGTGGCCCAACCTCCCTATGGAAGTCCTCCAACGCGACATTTATCTACTCTCTGCTCCTACCAACGTTGAACACATTCATCCGCAGCTTGCTGTCAGCTATTGTCGGTCTACCGGAGGATGACATCTCCTCATCCATGGCAGCCGACATCCTGACTGCATCCTCCCCGCTGACGACGCTGGTTCTCTCCTTCGTTTCCTCCTCCCTTTCCGCTTTGATCCTGGCTCCTATCGACACAGCCCGCACATTCCTGATGCTCACGTCCGCTACGCATGGCCCGCGGTCCCTCATCCGAGCTATCCGCCAGCTTCCCACTCCCAACTGCACAATCCCCTCGCATCTTGTCCCAATTACCGTGCTGCACTCAAGCTTGCCAAACTTTATAATGACCTCTACCCCACTCTTCCTGAAAACATACTTCTCTATCGACCCCCTCCTCAACCCCAACACCTGGAACCTATGCACATTCCTCAGCTCGGGCCTCGAACTCGCAGTGCGATTCCCTCTAGAAACCGTGCTTCGTCGTGCACAGATCGCCACATACACTTCTCTGAGCTTGCGCCAGAAATCTTCAGCTGGCAGTATTCGTGCTGCGTCGATTGACGCTTCTGATGTCGAGACTATTGTCCCCACCCCGCGCACATACCGCGGTATCGTCGGTACAATGTGGCACATCATCTATGAGGAAGGTATCAGCTCCACACCTTCCGATTCCGAGCGCGCAAATCACCTCCTCGGCAATCCCTCCACCAGGAAGAGCCTCCAGAAGCGGCAGCAAGGCCAGGGCATCCATGGCCTCTACCGCGGCTGGCGCATTGGTATGTGGGGTATTGCTGGTATCTGGGGGGCCAGTTTACTGGGCGGGGTAGCAGGAGGCAGCGAAGACGAAGTGACGACAAGGGGTGGTCATGGCCGTTCCAGCGGTGGACGGTTTTGATCAGATTGATCTTGTCTGAGTTTCATTGGGCATAGGCTTGCGATATATCTTGATCTCAAGTGCGTGCTCTGTGCTCTGTGCTCTTTCGCGATCTTTTTGGGACAACTTGACATCCCATTTATCTTAGTATCAGCGTTTGTGCTTTGTTCGCTCTCCGCTCCCTCTTGTCTACATTTATACCCCGGGGAATCCAGGGGTAAGGGCGATTGGCGTTACTTTGGCTTCTTATGTAGAAATCCTCTCTCTATCTCTTCACATAGCCATGTAATGAGATGAACAATTTGGTCTTCTGGCCAGGTACTTAAATTATCGATGACTTGTTATCACTCGCTCGTGTCTTCAAATCATGAATGGTGTACGGATGTACCTAGGTGCGGAGGAGAAAGCCGACTGGATGAGAATGGGAGCAAAAGCTACAGCCTCCAGGGCTCCCCAGCTTCTTCAGAGAAATTACTCACACTTGAGCACCTACACTACCCCGTTCTAGTATCAAAGCAATGATGGTTGTAGTACTCTCGTTTCATTCATAAAAAAATATCACGTTGTACACATCATCCCTGGAAAAATCAACGCCCGAGAGACAATTGATCTCGAATAGGAGAGATCAGAAACACAAGGGACCACCAAATCGACCACTGACCAGTTCATAGCGGCCAGTTCCTGCACCAAAGGCGAGATCGAGAGAAAATGTGCTTTTGTGTAGCGGAGAGGAAGGAGACAAATAAGGCCCGATCGCGTCCTCCGTGATGTAATGTAAGTGTGTAAGAGACATTAACTGTCAAAGTCATGATACAGTGCAACCGGGGGACATGGGTATCAAAAGATCCCCAGAACGGGGGATCAACGCAAGCAAAGAAAAGAGAAAAGCCCCCGGCGGCAACATGGGCTTATTTTTCAGCGAATCGACGGTCAAAGTAGCGCAGAACACCCATTACGCTCGCAGCCTCGACTTCCATGGCAGCGCGGCTGTCTGGGGGCGCTAGGTCCCGGGGATTAGGGAGGGTGTGAAGCTTCGGCAGCCATGCGGAGATATCATCGCTTGCGCGGCTGAAGTTCGGGTGGCGGGAGAGGGTGGTGAAGGCGTCGGCGCAGGAGAGAGTTAACTCGGAGGGCGAAGCGGGCTTGGGTGGGGGAGGTTGCGTAGGCATGGCGGTGTTCTTACGCGTGGTGGGGGCATTGGACTTGCAGCAGCCTCCGTCCTTGCCGCCTCCGCCGCAGCAGCCTCCCGATGGAGTTCCGCTCGCTGACCGGGAGGCTGCCAGCGTCTTGCAAAAAAGGGTGCTTCGAGGGTCGGCAAGACACTGGGCGCAGGTGCCTGGCCCGTTGGCGCAGGGATTCGTTGCTTGGCTGATGGGGGGAAGGGTGACCTCTGAGCGGGCATCTCCTTCAGAAGGGGGAGGGGTGAATTGGGAGATGGATTGAATTGGTGCTAGACGGTTGGCCTCGAAAGTGCGGTTGCGTTGCTGCTCTTGAGCCGCCATCTCGGCACAGATGCAAGGCGTGCCATCCTGGCAGAAGCCACAAGGGTCGACGGGGGGTGAGGATACATCTTCGTGGGACTCCATGGGAGCTCCGGAGAATTGAGCGGTGAAGTCTATCTCCATCTCTTCCGGGTCTGGCTTGATGGCGGGGTCACGGGTGTCGCGCTCCGGGCTACCAACGCCGTGGGGTGGATGCCGGCTTGCACGGGAGGACTCGTGAGTGTCGATTGGCATACCGAATGCATCTTCGATGCATTGGCAGTGAGAATTAGAGCAGTTGTTACATCCGAGGGGGACATTTGACTGTCCGTCGTGCTTATCATGGTCAACGCTGGTAGGTTGGACATCCTCCATTCGGGAGCTTCGAGTCTTGCGAGGCGGCAAAGGCACAGAGTCAGGGATTGGAGTGGTTTTGTTGGCGGTAGAACCAGATAGGGAGGAACGGAATTCCTTGACCAGGGCTTCCTTTGCGCTACGCTCGATCGACACCTCTTTTTCCAAGGCATGGCATCGATCGCGCCACCAGCTCATCTCCTCCCGGCACTGGTCGACCTCCCCGGAGAGGTTGCCGATCTGCTGCTGGAGGGAGGCCACTTGGATATCGTGACCATCTTCGATTTCCTTCATCTGCTCTTCGAGTTCACTGACGCGGGCGGCCCGGCGTTCCCGGAACGCCCGCTGGGCAGCGCGGTTCTGAGCCTTGCGCTTTGTTGGCGGGGTGTCTGTAGCAGGCTTCCGGCCAGGCTTGGGGCGGGGTGGAATGACCCATTCCTTCGAGGTGATGGACCCGGGAGTACCTGGTCCCGGCGAGGGGGCCACAGAAGCCTTACAAGCCAGTGCGGGCGCCGGTGCCAAAGCCATAGCAGGGGTTCCAGCAATCGCCGGGGTCATCGACACACCAGGGGTGGCCATGGCGAATTGGTGTTCAAATGCTGTGGTAAGGTCAGTTGGAGGTAGATCCAAAGTCGGGCGTGTTCGGGGACGCACGAGCCGTTTCTCGGTCGGAAGAGCGGAAGTGCGCTCATGCGAGCCGATAAGCGAGAAGAGCCAGAGGAAGTAAACAGCAGACGAGCTCCCAACACTACAGTGTCGGCTTTTAAGTTTCAAACTTGGAATGCGACGATATATCTTCAAAGGAGAGAGGAAGAGAGAGAGAAGGGGAGGGGAACGGGAAAAGAAAAGATGATCAGATTAGATGTGCTCACATGATTCCGGTTTCGGACGCAACACTTTCGGTATTTTTCCTTTGCGTTTTTTCCCTTCGATTCTTCTGGTTCTCTGATTTATTCTCTATTTCTCATTGGGTGGACCGGATCATGTTGGAAATTTTTTATCTGATCCGACCCCAGGGATGTGGAGATCCGAGAAGGCGTTGGTGGGCTGACGCACAGCATTCTGGTGATTTCGACTATTTTTTCGCTAACTGCGTTTAAGACTTGACTGGTAAGCCCATATTTGGTGCATTATGATCGTGTCTCTGTGCTCCGCTACAGGGCTAGAGCCTACACGTAGGTCAGAATCATACATGATACATAGCTCAATGCGCAACTCTGTACCTCCTTTTTAAGTACTCCGTACATCGTACCTGGTATGTACGACCTCGGGACGTACAATGCACATCCTCTGCAGCTCACCGTTCACCCGTCTCGATGACTCAATAACAGCCCTGGAGGCCGAGTCTGTTTCGTTCCACGGCAAAAATTGCTCGAAGTGGAGCGTCTGGTCAATCCACCGTGGGAAAAAAAACTCCCTACCTCCCAGCCATTACCTAGCAAAAACCGCCATTGGGCCAATAATAAGATGCCAATGCGCCAAAAAAACTTTTCCCCTCTAGCGGTGAAAGGCAATGGATCGTCAAGGAAATGGGATCCCGTTCTCGGTCTGATCTTATCTGATGGCCCTAAGTTTTCCAACTGGTACTAGTCGGTCGAGCTGTCTGGCACCGACTGACATTGGTGGGAAGGGAGGTTAAATTGGAGAACGGCTTTGCATTCTTACCCTCTCCTCTGGTTCTATTTCCCCCTTGAGGTTTCGGACTCCGCTGGTTGGATCAATTTCCAGGCGAATGAGCGAATCCTTATCAATCAGTTCCCGAACCAGGGCCGAACAACGGAACGTCGCATACATGACCCAATTGGGATGTCCGACTCGTGAGGTCGTGACGTGAAAAACGAAAAGTGGATGGGGAAAAGTGGACGTGGCAAGTCGCCGCTATTGGATCTTTACCCCTTGTGATGTCCCCATCGCGTTAAGACGTCCTTTTCGGTGGCGATCCGAGGGAAATCCCCACTGGATTCGGTCATCATTTGCATTCTGGCTGAAAAGGGTATTTTGTACGAATGAAATCTCGTACATACGAGTAGTATACTGATGTGATTTACCTCGCCAGAATTGGCTACATAGTGAAGCAATTAGGCGTCTGGGGTTGATCTTAATTTGTTGCAGACTTGACGGGAATTTCCAGCCAGGACCGCCGTCTGATAGAGCGCGATATCCTAAGGCATTTCCGATCAATTCCGACCCCGAGTTCGCATTCTCGGCTTTATGATTGTGCATGGAATTCTATTGAATCTCTAATGTTTCACCCTGCAAGGGAGCTAACCCTCAAGTCAGATGAAATTTTCTTCTGTTGCTGTTCCGAACATTGATACATCACACCCAGGTGCTTTAACTCCAGTGCTGGTTATTCATATGAGTAAGAAGAAAATCATGATCGTCATTTAGGACTATTTGGCTGGCACTCCATATAGAGTTCGGACAATCAGAAGTATCCAGATCTACTACCCGACTCTACCTTCAAACTTTAGAACAATCAGTTGGCATACTCGTAAACTTCTCCTTAAGTTACTCCGTAAAGACGTTGGAAATCATCTGCCTCCGGGTACAAATAATTGGTTGCGACCCATGGGCCGTGTTCATCAAACCGAACGTACCCAGTGCCAGTGCCACCAGAGATATTGGAGCCGTGTTCTCGTCGCCACCATGATCAATTTTGGGAATATCATGTCTCCTTGGGATGGAAACGTGGGTAATTCGATCAATTCTTGATTCTCTTGTGAGTGTGGCGTATGTACCGAGCTGCAGAGGTAACTCGTCAGGGAAGTTCCAAGGTTCATATTTTCGATTCCGACAGCTCTGAGACAGCGGTTGTACGGTCAATTGTTGAATGATGGGATGATTTAGTAGCCTACTTAAGTAAACGCGTAGTGTTTGACATAGGTCACATCTCCTACCGCAGGTTATTTGGAGCATGATGACAGAACTCAACCAGAATCCTTACTGTCTGCACTAGAATGCTAATGAGATGTTGGAGTAGAACCGAGGACGGCGATTTACATATATTGAGAAAAAGATAGGGCGGGGGGTAGAGAGAAAGAAAGAAAGAAAGAACGCAAATGTATGTTGATATCGGCGCTTTACAGCTAGGGCATCGACGCGCATAAGTTAAAAATTTGTATCATATGAGGTTCTGTCCTCATGCTCCAGATAACCTGCTCTTAGTGTGCTTGTGGGAACTGGGGATGCATGATCGCTAAATCAGTGCTGTGTGTTTTGGTACCTAGGCATGAGCCATGGACCACCTCCTGGAGCCTGCAGCATCACATTGAAGTGATTCTATTGCAGCGGGATATCGGCAGCTGAGGTCGAGAGGCCAAACAACTTGGGCAGCTGAGCCCGTTATCGCGTCACCGGATGCGATAAGCAAGGGGCAGCGCCAGCCTCCGCCTTTCCCCTCACGAGTCACTCCCTCTCTCTCCAACTCTCTTGCTCATTCCATTACTCTTATACTCAGTACAACATGACTAGAAAGCATACTTCAATTCAAGGCCTTGATATGCCTTGGGCCTCGCAAATGTCTGCTCAACTGCCTAACCCTTACGAGCCAGTACCTGCAGCTCAGCCTGTCCGAGCTCAGGCACCGACCGCAGATGAGCCCGTCCGACCCGAAGACTACGCAAAGCCATATTGCGAGTTCATGACCTCCAACCCTACCATATTCCATGCCGTCAAATCTTTCTCGAAGCAGCTCGAAGACCATGGCTACAAGTACCTTTCCGAGCGAGCGGTGTGGACATCGGAGCTCAAGCGCGGTGGGAAGTTCTATACCTCCCGTAACGGGAGCTCTCTCATCTCGTTCAATGTGGGCTCTCAATACGAAAGTGGAAACGGTGTGGCTATCGTTGCTGGCCACGTTGATGCATTGACCGCCAGGCTGAAGCCTATTTCCAAGGTTCCCAACAAGGCCGGCTTCGAGCAGCTCGGTGTGGCCCCATACGCTGGTGGTCTCGGTCCCACCTGGTGGGATCGTGATCTTGGTATCGGCGGTCGCGTCCTTGTCCGTGACCCCCAGACCGGAAAGGTCGAGACGAAACTCGTCAAGCTCGACTGGCCCATCGCCCGTGTGCCTACTCTGGCACCCCACTTCGGCGCTCCTGCCAATGGTCCATTTAACGCCGAGACTCAAATGGTCCCGGTCATTGGAATTGATAACTCCGATCTGTTTGGAACTGCTAAGACTGATTCGAATAACATTCAGTATGGCAAGTTTGCTTCAACCCAGCCCGAGAAGCTGGTGAAGATCATCTCCAAGGAGCTTGGCATCACAGACTATAGCACCATTGTGAACTGGGAACTTGAGCTGTTCGATACTCAGCCCGCTCAGCTCGGTGGTTTGGAAAAGGATATGATTTTTGCCGGTCGCATTGACGACAAGCTCTGCTGCTATGCCGCCCAGGAGGCTCTCATCGCTTCTTCGGACAACACATCGCCCGGAACAGTGAAGATGGTCGGCATGTTTGATGATGAAGAAATCGGCAGTCTGCTTCGCCAGGGTGCCCGGTCAAACTTCATGAGCAGCGTCATTGAGCGTATCACCGAGGCATTTGCTAAAGATAACTACGGTCCTAACCTTTTGTCTCAGACGGTTGCCAACAGCTTCTTGGTATCGTCTGATGTCATCCACGCCGTCAACCCTAACTTCCTCAACGTCTACCTGGAGAACCACTCGCCTCGCCTCAACGTCGGCGTAGCAGTGTCTGCTGATTCTAATGGACACATGACTACTGACAGTGTCAGCGCTGCTATTATGAGCCGCGTTGCGGAACGCGCCGGTTCAACACTCCAAGTCTTCCAGATTCGCAATGATTCTCGTAGCGGTGGCACCATTGGACCCATGACCAGTGCTCGCATTGGTATGAGGGCCATTGACTGCGGTATCCCGCAGCTCAGTATGCACAGCATTCGTGCTACCACCGGTAGCCTTGACCCTGGTCTGGGTGTCAAGCTGTTCAAGGGATTCTTTGATCACTTTGAGGCGGTGGACAAGGAGTTTGCTGACTTCTAAACCACATCATAGTATAGACGCGCCTCCAGGGCTGTTTTTATTGAACTTAGTCGGTCCAGGCCAGTTCATGGGTGCACGAGTGGGTTTAAGGTTGATTTTCCTAAGCTGTCTTCTAAAGCTCGCGCTCTCATCATTATCGCTGTGCCATTTCCTATGCATACACTAGTTCCAGGGTTATTTTTGTTCTAAATGATTGGCATTAAAATATCTTTGAGGCTCGAGCGCTGTACTTTGACTATATATCCAAGAATATCCATGTTCCGCTTCCAAGGTTTCACAACACCCGTGGACCGCATGTCCCCAAGGGACCAAGAGAGAAACAAGAAAAAAGGGGGAATCAGCCAAAAGGAATGTCTCCACCGTGGTGAGCTGCAATCATTAATAAAGAGATAGGGTAGGGGAGCGTGGGGTTCCACATCATTAGTGAACCATGGGGTATGTATAGCATCACGTTTTGCGTGATGTCCTGTCCAAAAGAGAATTTGCGATGAAGATCATAAGCACCGCGGATGTATTGATTCCATATCAATTGAACGACGAGTATGAATCCGTCGAATGAGTGACTCGATGGTTTGGCAGTATCTGGGGCGCAGGCATTGGATGTACCTGAGTCATTCCCATCGGTTGTTGAGTAACCTCGGTTTGGGGTGATTTGAATCCACGCCCAGGAACAAGCTCAAGAATGCGCTCGGGATCTCCAGCACCATACTCGGGGTCTTCACATGGTGCGCCGAGGGTTGATTCATCGCCGTTCCAGGTGGAGATACGTTGGGTTGTGTCGCCGTGAGTGGGACTGCTTCCGCTGAATGTGGTGATCATTCCGGGGAAGAGACGTGCAATGAGCGGTTTGAGGGTTGGTAGGCAAGCACAGATAATTCCTGTATTGCATTCAATTGCTGACCAGGATGCCGCGCCGACGTTGTCGTCTGCTCCGAGTTAGTCACCTTCAATTCATTCTCATGGCTGGTGGCTGGCAATACATACAGGTGGGGTCGGTGGAATCGGATATTGTCTTCAAACTGACAAGACGGACGATACTGGTGATGCAAACACTATCGGAGAAGTTAGCTTGAGTTCCTTTCTTGCCTTTCTATCCGGTATTAGAAACTCACAATCCACCTAAGGCGAACATAACCATCAATGCAAATTTTTGCCTTCGTGGTAAATCGACCGCCATAAGAGCTGGGATGGGAATGATGAGAATAGCAAGATCGGTCGCTATATGCATACTGGCGTTCGAGAACCAGAGTGCGGTCTTGCTCAAACAAGAGCCTTGGATTGAGTCATCCCAGAATTTGGCAACTGGAATACAGTTCAAGAAAGCACTGAGCACCGCCCAAGTACCGTAGATTCCCAGTATCGAGATCATTATCCAACAGACCACGCGCATTCGTTGTGTAGGGAACACTCGGAAATACTGCATCAAGATCGAGGCTTTGGCACAAAGCACGGCGGCGTTGTAAAAAGGGATGGTGAGCCAGAAGGCCTATGATATTCGTTAGCTTTCGTGCAAGATTGAGCCATCGACTGGTGTCGAAAGAAAAAAGTTAGGGTTGTATTACCTTCATTTGTCGTATAAAGATGTGAGGCGGGATATCTACAAAGTGCATGCCCATGCCACTGACAGCCTCGACAATGTCTAGGCTCATGAAGACATATGAATTGACCTTTCCAAAGATTAACATCTAATGTTATCCAAATTTGTAGGACCACTTACCAAGGCAATGACCACCATCCAGTCATTTGCTTCCACACGTCTCATGAGCTTGATCCGGGTATACATCCTCAGGGCCACAAAGCAAGTTGCCAGGCTTGTGAAAACGACGCTCACAGTCAATCCCTGCACGCCACGGGAAGACAGATATGTGTCATTCTTTCCGATAACTTCTCGAAGTTGTAACATTTTGTCGGTGTCGATGTAGTTTGTCTTGGCGGAGCGTGAAAGGACAATGTCTACCCCGGAGTTTGTCTAAATCAGATCTACCACGACTGAGGGAGCCAAGTGTGATCTAAAGTAGAACAAACCGGGAGAGGAGTGATAGGAGGACAAAATCCCTTCGACAAAATTGATCAAAGGTTATGGTGATCATCCCCTTATTATAATCCCAGCGCAGATATCCAACAGCAAACCAACAAATTAAAATAAGAAAAAAGATCGCTGCAGCCCCAGAAATCAAACGGCCGAGGACAGAATCCACTATCCCTATCTAGGCCAGTAGAGGATTGGGGTTGAGCCTGCATCAAGTCTCCTCGCTCCCCATATTGGCGGGCCGACGGCTAGACATGAGACAGGATTCCATCCTGGGAGAGGGCGTTTGCATGCAGCGCAAGGGGCTGCACAGCACAAATCGGATTCAAATTTACCTCCGATGAGCTCTACACGTATATTACACTCTCAAACTGTTGGTTCTAATTAAATTTGTGCTTGCGCAGAAGTCATCATTTTACACGCAGCTTTTGTACTCCGTCCAAGGACATTCCCGCATGAACGAGGAGATAGACTTTTGGACGGTCTTCGATATATCGAATCCCCACCGGCTCTGAAACTTCAAGCCCCTTGGCCAGATTTCTCTTGCTGTGCTCTGAATGGCCCAATTGCTACCTTGACGTTGATCATGACGATCGCATGTGGAACGATCCGAACTACCGATCAGATCAGGTCTGTGCATGGGCCTACCATTCTGGGGAACAGGATGATGCATGGCAGCGTATAAATTTCCCACTATCATTTTGTTCCAGATTACTGGATTTATGGACCTTTTGATGGTCGTAGTACAGAGTTATCTTGATTGTTTTATTTTAATAATGTAGGAGACACACACACACCCTGTATACAGGCCATGGGGATTGTGTCCCTTGATGTCCAGCCACATCTACTTAAAAGGTACCACCGAAGAAGCATTTGACAGGAGGTCTTGACGAGGGGTCGTATGAGGGGCAAACGATACATTTACACCCTATGTACTCCGTACTCTGTACTTGAGTTATATGCACACGCTTGTCCGGTCTGCGGCCATTCCAAGGTTTGTTGAATACTCGTACTCCGTCAGCCAATTGATCTACATATTCCGGATTTCAAAAGATATCCGCATAGCTCTAGAGTCAATCCTACTAGTATGTATTGGGCACTAAAGCTTATGTCGTGGATATGCACGTCACATATGGCGGAAATCCATCCCTCGCATCTCCTTCCGAGGCACAGCCGTCATTCGGCAAAGACGGCCAGGCAATTAAACTGCATGGCGCACGGTAAAAGCGGAGATGAACAATTGATTATTCCAGGTTCCAGGATGTCGGGATGGAAGGTGTAGGAAAGATCGATAAATCAGAAAGTGGCCCGATCGTCTTGAATCTACTCCGTACAGAGCATGCATCGGCTGATCGATGCCAGTGTGAGAGCATCGTCTACCGCCCCTGGAACACTCGTATGGAGTACCCCTCCTGTAGTTTCCTTGGGGACTTAAGTCATGATTCTGATAGACTTTAAGAGGTTTGAGCAGTTGACAGAGAAACGAGCTCGTTGTGGAAATTGTCTCAATTTCGCATGTTAGGGCACCATTAAACTCAACGCACGGATCGTTGACGTGCAAGGAGGTTGCTCCCCTTGCCACCAAACTCTCTGACGATTACAGTGACCAAATAACTAAAAAGACAACGAACAAGGAGACTCTCTAAGTTTAGGTTGGGCTGAGGTGTAAATTTTCCTATTCGTCCTGAAGTCGGACACAGCCACCATGGAGTAGCGGCGGGCTCTTGGAAAATGATATCCGTTGCCCTTTGACTACTTCACTACGGAGTACGGAGTATGTGGACGAATTTCATTCGCAACAAGGTTAGACAAATCACTGGCTACTTCCCCTGTACGGAGCAGAGACAATTGTATTCATGGCCGATCCTGAGTTTTGTGTATGATGTATAGACAACAATAACTCAGCATCTGCCAGATACATAGTCCCCAAGTCTTGTGTTCCCGTCACACGTCTCGCAAGATATAACGATGCAGTGGGAATCTTTCATGTCGTGGCAATCCAGAGCGAAAAAATCAAGAAAAAGCAAGTTGACAGACAATTATTAACAATATTTTCTAATTCATTGACATCCGAGGGGCGCTCAACCCACCACTCGGGTGGAGTTCCCAGGGAAATTGACACATCACATCAATCATGGACATGTCGGCATAACTGAGGCCAAACTGTTATTCCGTACTCCGTAGTTACAGAGCACGGGTGACTTACGGGGGTTAAGCTGTGTATTTGCTATAATTTCCTCGCATAGAGCACTCTGTATTTAGGGATCAGAATATGTTCATTTCCACTTCCTGCATTTTGATGATACGCAACTGCTCCCGTGAATGTCCGTGGATGCAGGTCCCTGGACACTTTGGTTTGAGCTTGTATGCAGGTTGCTAGGTTGCTAGGTTACTACGGAGCATAGCAGCTCGAACTTCAGAGGGCTGCGAAACTCTGAACTACAATCAATACTTAAGGACATGCCGTACATTTCCCCCATTTCACATCACTAAACGTTATCTATGGATATTTTACACCTTTTTACAACTTTTCTCTTCTTCTATATCTTAATCGGAGACTCACCAGCGATTTGGCAATGGCTGTAGGGGAGGCTCAGTTAATCAATACACATGGGATATGTGCGGGCGTTTGCTCTGATCCACCTGTAGACCTGAGCGGCTCTGTACAGGGTCTCATTGGTGGGGCCATGGGATGGATCCTCCTCGGGGCCATCAGTTGGTTTAAAGCTCTTTGAAGCGATATCCTGCCAACGGGCATACTACCTACTATCTCCAAGGTCGAAGGCTAGTGGGCGGAGCTTATGCTCCATCGTGGCCTAGACAGACAGTGGAAAGGATGCAGGTAGCCGGCGAAAACGTGTGATTATGCCAGTTCAATGTTTGAGCACATGCACGGAGGTCTCTGTCGACCTTAAAGACCGAGGTCTTTGAAAACTCACTCCACGTGTGGCTGGGTGTTGACCGCTGGTTCGCATCGCAGTTTCGAGGCTCTCCTGAAGCTAGATTCAGCGTTTGAGGAAGTGTTTGCATACCAAAAAGAAGAGCTCTAGGGTGAGCAAAAACAGGGCAAGGATTCTTTCGCTGACCATAACATCATTTGAGCAATGGATTAATTACAAAATTACCGACCACTCTAGACTTAGGTATGCATAAAGCCAAGGCAGGCGTCTTTCTAAAGTTGCTCAGACGAGGTCTCACTCATACTTAGAAGCACTGTCAATAAATTTGATGGTGTGACTTGCATCCCCTTTGCAACGTGAGTCTTCATTGTCAGTTTCGAATTAGACTAATTCTACATCGAGGTCATGCATTTTTCCCGATTTAAAACCTTGAGGACGAAATATGCCCTGCATTTCTGCTCTGTTGTTTTGGGTGTTACAAAAGGTACAGAACGTTTCCAGTTTATAATCCAAGTATCTAATAGATGCTTAACTCTAGAATTTAAGACCCTATCTAAGCTATGGGCCATAAAGTTTCGTTCGCATGTTTCACCTACTAAGGCATTGGTGACTTACGTCGGGAAGACGCAGATACTAGTTGGTCTGGATACCAACATGGGCCGATCTTACTTGGCCAATTAGTTTGTGGCTTGGAGAACGGGGGTCTTGTGTGTAAAGAAACAGAGCCTAAGACTGTTTAGGCAGGACCATTGAGTAGATGCAGGTTTTGCACGATTCGCCATTAGTTCCAAGGTTCAACATTACCTTAGGACTACCCGTGGGTGAAGATATACGAAATAAACGTATATCAAGCCATGGAGTGAGGTTTATTTCCTCAAGGTACTTCGAATGTTCGAAGCTTGTAATTTAGCGAATATATATTTCCAGCGTTGTCGGGAGAGCTGCCCAAAAGTTGAGGATAAAATAATCATCAATTCCCCCACAGCCAAGTCTAAACAGATAGGCTAGAAGAAATGAAAAGACAGACCAATTAGAATATCTCAGGATTGTGTTATTGTAGAAGAACGAGGCCGTAAATCTGGATGTGGATAGGCGATAAGATAGACCGATAAGGACGCACAGGCCAAAGAGAAATTTCCTTCCACCTTCTACATACTACCAAACAACACCGTCTTTGGTTATTAACAATCCGTGGAATAAGTCCTCAATTATAGGACAATATGGCAGAGACAACTGCCATTTCCACTAAGCCCGTCCACACCATTGTGTTGGATGCTGGCCCGATTCTTAAAAATACCCCGCCGCTTTCCACCCTCCTCGCCCAGTGTGAAGAAATTATCACCACCCCCTCCGTGGTGGGCGAAATTCGCGACCCGGATGCCCGCGCTCGTGTGGAAACCCTCTACCTTCCCTTTTTGAAGCAGCGATCTCCAACCCCGAAGAGCTTCAACATCGTCAGCGAGTTTGCTCGCAAGACTGGTGACCGATCTGTGCTGAGTAGAACCGATATCGAGGTCCTCGCGCTTGCATATGAGATTGAATGCGAAAAGAACGAGGGTGACTGGCGCTTGCGCAGTGTTCCTGGGCAAAAGAAGATCAATGGAAAACCGCCTGTCAAGGAGGCACCGACCGAGGCCGCGGCCGAATCTGCGGACGTCGAAGCCATTACCGAAGGCGTGAAGGATACAACTGTCGCAGACGCCCAAGAAGCGCCCAAGGAGGAAGAGGCTACTGCGCCCGAAGAAACCGAGAACCTGCTCGAGGCTGCTGTTGAGATTGCCGACGAAGAGGCCCAAGAGGAAGATGAGGAAGCAAACGATGATGCTGCCGATTCTGACGGCGGAGAATGGATCACTCCCTCGAACTATAAGAAGAAACTGGCCGCAGATGAGTCTGGATCCGCGACTTTGACAGCTGCACCCAAAACAATGCAGGTTGCGACAATGACTACTGATTTCGCCGTAAGTACACCCCAGATCCGACCATTGGCCAATCATTGATATCAAACCAAGTGTCAAAACGTTCTTTTGCAAATGAACCTCAACCTTCTGTCTACTACGACCCTCCAGAAAATCCAACACCTGCGGACTTTCATCAAGCGCTGCCATGCTTGCTTCTTGACTACCAAGGAAATGAACAAGCAGTTCTGCCCTCGCTGTGGCAAAGACACACTCACTCGTGTCTCCTGCACGACTACCGCCAACGGCGCATTCACCATGCACTTGAAGAAGAACATGCAGTGGAACACGCGCGGTAACGTGTACAGCATTCCCAAGCCCGTTGCCGGAACCTCGAACGGCAAGTGGAAGGGAGGTGGTGGCCAGCGAGGATGGGGTCAGGAGCTCGTTCTTGCCGAAGACCAGAAGGAGTATGTCCGCGCCAACACCGAAGAAGAGCGCCGACAGCGCCGGGAGCGTGATCTCATGGACCAAGACTACCTGCCTGGTATCTTGACAGGTGAGCGCAACCGGACCGGTGGTCGTACCAAGGTCGGTGCTGGCCGCAATGTCAACTCGCGGAAGCGCTGAGTGTGTCTTGGGTTTGCATTTGATTACATGGGCTGGAGTTTTGGGGCATGGGAAGATAAAAGTTCACTTGGTTCAGGGCCGCACAGCGGCTCTCGGCCTTTTTATGAGGAATGACCATGTCTGATTTACAGTTGAGCATAGAATTTAGCCAAGGGCTATGAACATATATCAAGATCCTTGGTTTCATATGAACCTAGATTAGGTATCATATTCTAAAATGTCTAGGTGAAGCCCTGACTAGATTATCCAAGTATAGCAAAACAGGTATGGACATCTCAGCCATCCGTGACCGCAAGAAAAACACCATTCGCCAAAACATGGGCTGTGCCCGGTAATTCACTTTTCCGAGTGCCGTGTCATTTAGAGAGCAGCGGAAGTGCCTGCAAAGTGCGAGTCAGTCTCGAGAAAAGAGCAGTATTTGGGGGGAAATCAACGTACCGGCCTGCTGGGTGAGGAGGAGACCGTAGCGCTTCTTAAGAGTGACACGGTGACTACCAACGATGTTAGCTTCGACGGATTGCTTTTCTTATGCGCCAAAGGATATTCAGCTACTCACCGAGAGTACTTGTCATCGGGGGAGAAACGGGCGGGGTGGGCAGACTTGGTGACCTCGCCGTTCTGGACCTGCAGTAGCGAAATATTAGCCCCATTGCTCATTCAAGCCAAACAATGAGCATCAACCGCGAGATCTCGGCGTATCCTCATGTCAATATTCCACATACCTTCTTAAGGGTGTAGACACGCTTGCCCTGGGCGTCGAGAGTGTACTGTTGGCAAAAAATCAGAGGCTTGTTCTGCGGAGTTGAGCGTTCGTTTTCGGTCCAGCTTGACGTACCATAAGATGCATTCTAGAAAAGCGTAATGTTAGCAGGTGAATCTCAACACATAGCGACCATCAATAACTCACTTGGCGGTATTTGTCGAATTATCCTTGGTGAACTGTTGTATCGGCGATAAGTGGAGGAATTTTTTTCTCGAATTGCGAAGCTCGGACCACCCGCTTAGTCACGAGCTCCATTTAAATCGGAGCTTTCGACCGCAAAATTTCATCTTCCTCCAGAAGTCATTCTTATGCCACTTCTCACTGTTGATGCGCAGTGCTGCCTTCTGTTACACATTTAGCGACATTTGTATTTCATTCTCTTCAGGTAAGATCCTGTCCATTGTCCTCTCATCCCACACCCACCTTCGGTGATGACACCACTTTTTAGCTCAGGCAAGCGGCACTTTGATTTCTAGCTGCTTGTCAATGATCTGCTGAATTGACTACAACGGTATCTGAGAAGATCATACCAAGACGATTGAACCACTCGCATCGTTGAAGACCATTCGCTAACCTCGGATGTCTTAGGTTCTGCATATTATCTTCAGTAATAGTTTGGAAATGGCTACCCCGGCAGCCAATATGGACAAGCCGGTGGCCGCTCCGTCAAAGCCTGCAGGATCGGGTCGTCCTCGGACACCCCGTCCCCCTAGGCCCAACTTCAGACAAATTCACCAGTTTCCTTTGCCGGTCAACGTACATCATGTTCCTCCTGTAATTCCTCATAACCCTCTATCTCTCATAAGCGTTGCTCTCTCGTACCTCACATTTCTTATCATGCCACCTCGTCATGAAATCTACTCGGCTTACTTTGACAAGACCACTTCGTCGATTCATGTCACGGACGAGAAGTCCATTAAAGCCCTCTGGGAGATGGGGTTCTTTGGAAAAGGTAGTCTCAGTCGAAGTGAGCCAAGCTGGCTGGCACGAGAGAAAAAGCGACGAGGGTTACATGATGGCAAGACCAGCGAGGAGGTTACAAGAGCTCGCAGGGAGGAACGTCGTGCGTTGAAGTTGGAGCGGGCTCGGATGGAGAAGCTCGCCATTGAGGAGACGTTGAAAGCCGAAGCTGCCGCCAGAGAATCCGGCCCTGCTGAAGGACAGACACCAGATGATACGGCGAATGGCACAGCCACTGCAACCGAGAAATACTCTTTGAAGAAGGCGAAAGAAGCCAAAATGTTGGAGGCCCGGGAAGCACGCCTGGCGGCTCAAAATGCGGAACTTGAGCAGAAGCCCGAACCAAACGGGAAATCCGTGCGCTTCTCACCACTTGTGCAGAAGAAGGAGTTCTCATCAAACTCGCCTTCATCTGAGACCGTCATGGATGCATTCGATGCTGACGACTTCCCCAACGAAGAGCATCTTCAACTTTCGAACGAAGAAGCCTTCTTCCTCGCCTACGGGCTAGGCGCTCTGCAGATCTACGACGCACCCTCGAGCGAAAAGACCCAATCTACCTCACCCACCCCAATCTCTGCTCTCCTCCAACAGTTTTGCCACCATTCCTTCCAGCCAGCTCGACACGATACCGCTGCCCTCCAACCCGATGACCCCTTCATGATCTCTTACACCGTCTACCACCATTTCCGATCTCTGGGCTGGGTCATCCGCTCAGGTGTGAAATTCGGCACCGACTACTTGCTCTACAACCGCGGCCCCGTCTTCTCTCATGCCGAGTTCGCAGTGGTCGTCATTCCATCCTACAGCCACCCCTACTGGTCAGAAACCGAGGAGCGGAGAAAATACACAGCGGAGAAGCAGGCGCGAAGTTGGTGGTGGTTGCATTGTGTGAACAGAGTGCAGGCCCAAGTTATGAAGAGCTTGTGTCTTGTCTATGTGGATGTGCCTCCGCCTGCTGCTTCCATTGATGATATTGGGGCGTTGTTCGGCCAATACAATGTACGCGAGTTCATGATCAAGAGATGGACTCCAAACAGAACTCGTGATTGAGCTTGCTCTTTCTGGTCTGCAAACTCCAGGGCTTCTGATACCCGCCAATTTTTTTGGATCTTACTTTTGATTTCACCCATTTGTACAATAATTGAATAGTGGGCCATCTTGTCTCATGTGACAGTCACCAAATGAGATTATATTACCGAGATCAACTCAGTGCCAGCAGAAATCGCAGTTCTATAGATCGTGTAGTAGAGTACACGCTAGTCCGTAAAAGGTCATATTAATTTCCAGATCATGTGACTGACGCGTTTGCGCGTCGCCTTGGTTCGCCTCCAGCTCTGCTTGTCTCTATGTGAAAGGGCGGAAGGCTCAAGGTGCGAGGCATGTTAAAGAACGAATTGTCTCAATAATCCGTCTACTCCGTATTGGCGTGTTAAAGATATGGAGAGCCAAGACAGCATTGATTTCGCGAAGATACAACGCGACGCGTTGGGGCTAGTATGTAACGACCCTGCAGGGCTCCTCACACCTCATTGGGCTAATTCCAGCATTCAGCACGATCCATTTCAGCCGAATATTTCGCAGTCTATCAAGTCAAACACCCTCCGTCCCACACACGAAATCAACGACATCTCCATATTCAACGGCCAACCTCCGAAACCTTCACTCGGCCGCCCGAACAGAAGTTGTCACCCTCTATTTCGACCCCGGCAGCATGCAGCACACATGATGATGAATAATGATGAAAATGAAGCGGCGACTGCCCCGGATTCGCAATTCGCCAATATGAGCTCCGCAGAAGCTACCCCGGGGGACACCCAGGTCGTCTCACAGTCAGTGTACGACAGCATAATCCGACAAAATGAGGATTCGATGCGAGACGACTATTCGCAGACAGGAGCCGATGGAGCCACTCTGAGGACATTGCATGAGGGTGATAGCGGTCACATCGATCTCCTCGCGGAGCTGGAAACGCACCGTGAAACGGCCTTTTCCCAAGACGATAACGACATTGCAAGCACGTCTGAGCCGAACCAATCTTCGCCAATGGCTTTTGCACCCAATCTATTCCCTGAGTCGCAACGATTTCTTGCCGAAACGCCTGCGACGGCGGTTAAAAGAAATGACATGGAGGGTGTGACGACCGAGACCCCGACCGTCTCACGAAATCCGTTGGCTGATGACATTGAATCGAGCGGTGGCATTCTCCGCCTGAGTCAGTTATTTGGAGCCACGCAGGCTCCATCGTCTCCTCTTGTCCATGGTCTACATCCCGAGCTAGTATCTGATCGCCCTTCGCCCAATATCCCGATCCAACGGGCCCGCTTCACCAATGGTATATCGTCGCCAATGGTGGGTCTGCCCGGCCATTTCATGAGAGATTCTTCAGAGCCAAATTTGAATTATATTTCCATGAAGGAGTCGCAGACGAACCGTGACCGTACGCTGGACGAGAGGATGGTTCGATCAGCCGACAACATCCTGTCCGATCAGAGTGACAAGGAATTCTATAAAGAATCCAGCTTTGTAGAACGTGCACGGCGCCAGCGGGAAATTGACGCGGAAAGCGCAGCCCAGTTCAATGGCCTGAGTGCCCCTGCCCGATCTACATCGGCGAGGCAACAGACATCCCCTGAGCCACCCACTGTTGAAGACCAGGTTATGGCTGAGATTGTCGCCAGTGAGGAGGAAACCGAACAAGAGGAGGATTCCGTTATGCAAGTACCGAAGTCGCAAGACGCCCCGCAATCTTCAATGGAAGAAGACAAAGAGAATTTCGATGGCCCTTTGGATGCGGCCGCCACTACTAGTGCCCATGACCGGCTATCCCAGATGCTTGGGTATGATGCCAACATTTCTCCGTCCCGTGGCGGGTTTGATCCAGAAAATGGTGAAGGTGTGGGTTGTGAAGGCTCTCTGGTCTCACATACCAGTGGACAGCCGAATGGAATTGTGCGTTCTTCCCAAATAATGGTAAAAGACTCCCAGCCATCGCCTGAATCATCACCCAAACGCATCGACCGCGAACACCGGGAAAGTATCCTCAAATCGCCCACACCATCTCATTCTCGTGCGCGTCTCTCACCCCGAGAACGCCTCCGATCCTCGCCTCCGCTTTCTCGACCAACATCAAGACATTCAAACAGCAACCATAAAATCCAGAAAACGAATGGCTCAGTAACACTTGAACATGTTGTGGAGCCTGAAGCGACTGTACCGTTCGACGAAAACGTACAAATGAACACCAGCAACACACCAGATGAGCAAGCTATAGACTCGTCACGATCGGAAGCGGAAGCAGGGACGAGAGGAGCCTCTTCATCCATGCCAATCCATGCAACACAGACCCCTGTTCATCGAAGCTTGAAGAATGTTGGTGACTTGGCTCGACTGACCAGTATCCCGGAAACAAGTCCCACTCATTCCCAGTGCAATTCCGAAGCTGGATATAATGTGGAAGGTGTGAATAACGAAGACGACGACCTTCCACCGATGTTCAATGGAGTTCCAACCACCGGTCGGAACAACCATAACCGTCCCACTGGGGCAAGGGCACTCTCTTCGCCTCTCAAGAAGCTACTGTCAAGTCCGGGAGGAGGTCAACGCAGAGCTCTGACGGAGATTGCCGCTGATCTCTCTCCGCAGGTCGGAGCTGGAGGCTTCGATCTGGGAATCGAGATGTTCACGACCGGGGATCCAGAAATCAGAGCATTGATGGAAGGATCGCCAACTCGCCCAAAGAAGAGGCGTCGCGGCAATAATAGCTCAAGTTATATTGCCTCTGATCCCATCATACCCATCACTCCTCGCCCACACCCGCCCAAATCTGTTGCACCTACCAATTCGTCTCAATCTCGGTCGGCCGCTATCCCCGAAGAGCCAACCCGTGCTTCTTTTGTGCAAGTCCCAGAAACGGAAACCCGGCGGCAACCGAAACCCCAAAGACGAGCTAATGATAATATCTGGGAAGTCGAATGCTCACCTGAGCAAGCCCCGCGACGAAAGTCGAGGATTGGCAAAAAGGCTGTATCACGCTCCATGCAAGAAAAACATGTGCCCACCAAAAGCTCTGGACTTGTGGAGAAAGCAGCACCTTCATCCAAGCTTGTAATTTCTAGCGAACCGAGTCACCGCCCACCGTCATATTCCTCATCAGACCTGACAGAAGTATCGTCCATAATTGCATCCGATGACATCGTTGATACAGAAACAAACTCCGTTCAAGACTCACCCACCACACCTCGGAAGTCTCGTACATCATCAGAAGATTCCTCTCAGATCGCACCAAGCCAAGTACTTGCAGTATGGATGGGCCACAAGCGTGCATACTACCCTGCAACTTGCTTTGGGACGCCACTGGGAGTATCGCAGACTAAATATTCAGTCAAGTTTGAAGACAGTTTGCCTCTCGAAGTGACTAAAGGTGCTGTCAAAAGGTTTGAGCTTCAAATCGGAGACGGGGTCAAAATCGATATGCCCAATGTTCCCAAAGTCACACATATTGTGCGTGGATTCGATGACAAATTTACAAGAGAGGACCTGGCGAAAGCAGTTGATGATGGCCTCCATCCTATCACCGACATTTACGGGCACTCTACCGTCATAGTCGGACCAAAACAACGTAAAAGCCTCCCAAATGGCGGGTTGAACAGGGGTGAAAATGTGATCAAGGTTCCCATTGCCCGTGTTTATCTTGATACGATCCTGTGGAATCAACTCAAAGACCGGGCCTTCACATATCGCCCAACCCCTGTTCTACAGGAGAACACAGTGCATACCCCGTCCGAGAAGTCTGTACCTGCATCCCCTAGCTCTCGCCTATCGCGCAGCATATACCAAGGCAGCGGTATCTTTGCAGGAATGGCATTTGCGGTTTCTTACAAGGACGATGAAACGTCCAAGAACCGCATCACGAGACTCATCATGGAAAATGGGGGTACTGTATTACACGATGGCTTTACCGAGCTTTTCGAAGCCGCATCCATCGTTCCTACCGACACCCCCACGAAGTCAACAGGCAAGGAAGCTTCCAACAGCAAAGGACTCCGACTCACAACCCTCGCGGAAGATGTTGGTTTCGCGTGTCTTATTGCAGACACCCACTCCCGCCGTGAGAAATACATGCAAGCGCTCGCACTAAACATTCCTTGCCTCTCCGGTCGCTGGGTCGAAGACTGTATTTCAAAAAGCCGTGTCGTGGACTGGGATATCTACCTCCTCCCAGCAGGCGACTCAATGTACCTAAACGGCGCAACGAAATCACGACTCATGCTCCCAACACCACCTACTACAGCACGTCTACCCGAGACTATCTCTGCCCGCCCCAAATTGCTGGCCGGTCATTCTGTTCTCCTCGTCATGGGCCGCGGCAAAGCAGAGGAGAAGCGCAAAGCATACATCTTCCTCACCTATGCTCTGGGCGCATCACGCGTAGACAGGGTTCCGGATCTGTCTACCGCGAGGGCATTGATCGACTCGCAGGCCGAGGCTGGCTTGCCTTCCTGGGATTGGATCCATGTTGATGATGCCGACCAGGCTGCTGCGAGGTCTATGCTTGCACCAAGGACGCAGAGAATTCATCTGTTCCATGGAAAGAAGAGAAAGAAATCTATCGCTTCGTCGACTCCTGTGTCAGAGACGAATTGTACTACACGGGTTGTGGGCAATGAATTCGTTTGCCAAAGTCTGATTCTGGGGCGCTTATTTGAGTGATTGTTTTTCGATACCATTGTCATATGTCATTTACCATCTCAATAAATTATTATAATGTGCATCTATCATCTGGATTGTTTCTCCGTCTCTTGGGGTATTTCTTGAGTCCCTTCGGGGAGTGTGCTTAGGTCGCCTGTAGCACGTCCCTTGGTGCTCGTGGGTTGAGGCAAGTTCGATTCCGAAGATGATATCTCTTTGTTGGTGGATTCAGTGGTGTGTGCCCCTGGGTTCTGGTCTGCACTGGCAGCGGAAGACGAGGCTTGGGGATTGGAGTCTGCATTATGCTCTGGCTCGACTCTGTGCTCTGGCTCGACCCTGTGCTCTGACTCGACCCTGTGCTCTGGCTCAACAATCTGTGACTCAGAAGGTTGACCAGAAGGGTCAGCGCTTGGTTCAACCTCCGCTGGATCCCCTGGCTGTGAAGGCCCAAATTGGAAGAAACTCCCATTCAGAACCTTCATGAGAACCTCCGCTTCAGGCGGCGAGGGAATCAGCCCACTCAACAACTCCGTGGCACGGAGTTTGCGCCCATACATTTTCTTATTCGCATCAGCCCTCTCCATCAAAGCACCCCCTTCAACCGTTAGACCACCATATAGTCCACGAGTTTTGGAGTACGCGAATACCCCAGCAGAACCCTTAGTCCCCACAACACCACTTGCCTCGGCACTGCGGCCAACAGGGCCAACGGCCATTGAGATGTTTCCACCTAAGGTCAGAGATCCAGATTGCATGAAAGTTTTCACTGCTGCATCGGTGGTGAGCACAAATACAAAGTCGGTCAACTCGGCGCCAAATTGACCGCCTGCGCCGACGCCGCCCATCGCCATGGCCGATGGCGCAGTCCAGCTGCCATCGGGGAGTCGAGCAATTATCAGTCCCGAGCCAAAGCGGATAGACCCCAAGAAGCCTACCCTAAAGGCTGTGTAGATGGCGATTCCCTGGGAAACGGATTGAAGAGTGAGCACGATGGGGAAAACTTTAGAATGCGTTTGTAGACGTATTCACCTTTGCTCCCTCAAATATTTTACGAGGGATCTGTCCATCAATCTTCAATTTAGGATTGATAAATGATTCGAGGATTGCAGCGGCCTTTTTGCACTCACCTGTGGATGTCAGTCTAACGAAGCCGAGTGGAGCATTCAGATGGATCAATTACTAGAAAGTGAGGCAGGCAATGGATTGTGAACCGAGTTCTTCATGGCCTCAAACCACTCTCAACACCCGAGTATGGCGTCAAAGGTTCAATCTGGACTCTTTGTAGAAAGTGCAAAGACATCTGACAGGGGCAATCCGCGCACGGACGTTGGGGGCCGTTGTAGTACGTTGAAACTCAAATGCATTTAGAATCGTATTTGATGCTGTGTTGCGTGCTGAATTGTAAATAATGATCTATTATCAGACCCGGCGCTGAAGCGCTGAACCTACAAGTACCTACGATAAGTATGCAGGATATCCACGCCGGATCTGAAAGGCATACGTAGGAGTATCGCCGATTCGTCAACTTTGAACTGATCCACCGGTATAACTTTAGAACTATTTAAAGGCGTAGATTGGTGTATTAGCCGAAATTGCATCACCGTTCTAGATCTTAATCAAGTGAGCCTAAATTGCCGAGATAAATCGCCGACACCCTGGAAGATATGTTCTGCACGTCTGTACTAATGCGTTAATGCAGCACTTGAGCAGGCATTGTGTGTAGTGGAGTCCATGGCGTTAGGGCGTTAGGGCGTTAGAGTGTTATGAACGACCCAAGATTGGGTCGGCTGAAGTTCCGTTTCAACGTGAAACTGCGATTTTGAGGTCCACGTCGTGATATTTCTAATCTTATGTCACGCCGCATATCCATACCTGCTTTCGAGATACAGACTCCAAGGTCGGCATCGGGAGTCATGGCACATGCATTCAGAAAACTTGATTTTTTCAGAGGCAGACATTCGACATTAAAATACCGGTACGGGGGATGCAAATCAGGGGCACCCGAAGTCCTCGGCGTTCCTGGGTCTCATTATTGAGAATTCTTAGTTCATACGGAGGGCAAGCCGAACTACTGATCGTCTTGGCATGAAACAAACTGTCTCATTACCATCCAGATTTCGATTCAAGGCCTGTGGAAGCTGGAAACATCTGGATCCTTGAGCATCGCGTATCTTTTTTGTTCTATGTATTCTTTTTATGTTCCACGTTTAGGCCCGGGGAGAAGAGTATCGACCATTCAACTTCACTTTCAAAGTTAGGGCTCAGCCATGCTTAATTTTGGGCCACCCGTGAAACAAATTCAACGGCCCGATATCAACCTTGAATTTGTTCAGGTACATTTGCATTCTCAAGGCTAGTGAACCCGAATTATGGAGCCTCTGGGCTCTTCGGCCCTTGTGGCTCTTCGGGGAGCACCCTTTTCTGATCTTCCCAATTTAGGGTTGGAGATCTCATCGACCACAGGGACACAGCACAGCTTCGATTTACCGAGGCACTGTCATTGGGGAATTGGTGGAGCAATATATTATTTATTTCAAGTCAGTCTCGCTGTTCAACTAGGCATTTCGCTTCAACGTGACCGAAATCGCCCCCCATGTTGTTCCAGACTATCCTTGTGTATCTCGCGTTCCAGGCGAGCGGCGTTTCCGCTGTTGCTTTTGAAAGGCGACAAGCTCCTATCACCGGACGTACTTTTGATTACGTTGTTGTTGGGGGTGGTACTGGAGGAAGTGCTCTAGCTACCCGCCTGGCGCAGAGTGATCTTAAGGTCGCACTTATCGAGGCTGGTGGACACTATGAGCTAGAGTCTCTTGCTGAGGTTCCTGCGGCCGATGTTCTTCCCGTCGGATCGGACCCTAAAACGAAATCTCCCGAAGACTGGGGCTTTGTGGCGCATAATGTACCGGGTGCTAATGGTCGGGACGTTCACTATGCTCGCGGAAAGTGCCTCGGAGGATCGTAAGTGGGCGCTGTTCCGAACGTGAAATAGACCAAATCTGACTTGTTGTAGCTCCGCGCTGAATTTCATGATTTATCAACGGTACGTTTTCCAGAAGCAGAAGTCGAGACTCAACTAACGGGACTCTACTAGCCCGACGCGTGAATCTATGGCTCAATGGGCAACTGCAGTCGATGACCCCAGCTACAATTTCGATGAAGTTTTCCCGCTATATAAGAAGAGTGTGGATTTCACCCCTCCAAACAAGAACTATAGGGCTGAAAATGCCTCGACGAGTTACGATTCCAGTGCATACGACCCCAAGGGTGGTCCATTGCAGGTGTCTTATGCCAACTTTGCCATGCCATTTTCGTCCTGGATGAACCTGGGAATGGAGGCAATTGGAATCGACAAAGCAGATGATTTCAATATGGGTTCCCTGATGGGGGCACAGTATTGTTCCTCGACTATCGATCCTGCGACCGAATTTCGCAGCAGTTCAGAGGAATCATTTCTCTCCAAAATCAGACCGAGAACGCTGACAACTTATTCCGGCACCCTTGCAAAGAAGGTGGTATTCGACAAGAACAAGAAGGCAACGGGAGTTGAGGTGAAAGGTGCTTTCGGCCGCACGGTGACTATCAAGGCATCCAAGGAGGTCATCATTTCCGCTGGCGCTTTTCAATCTCCGCAGCTGCTGATGGTATCTGGCGTTGGTCCTTCCGATCAATTAAAGGAACATGGCATTGATGTCATCGCTGATCGACCAGGCGTCGGTCAGAATATGATTGATCATCCATTTGTGGCTCCCACGTACCGAGTGCAAGTGACGACTCTAACCCAATTCGCTACCAAGCTTCTTTACGCAGCCAAGCAAGTCGTTGGAGGATTGGTTTTGAAGAAAGGATTCTTGACGAACCCTGTCGCTGATTTCTTGGCTTGGGAGAAAATTCCACAGTCACTGCGCAAGTCTTTCTCCCAGGAAACGCTGAGCAAATTGTCCGAGTTCCCCAAGGACTGGCCCGAAGCAGAGGTAAATAGATGCACCTCGATGCGAAGCAGCTATGCTGACAAAAACAGTACATTTCCGGCGCAGGATATATGGGCGATGTTTCAAACCTCCTGACAACCCAGCCCAGAGATGGATACCAATATGCATCAATGCTCGGCGTTCTGATCACACCTATCTCTCGAGGGAACGTTACTCTCCAGTCAGCAGATACCAAGGACTTGCCGATTATCAACCCTAACTGGCTGGAGGATAAGGCCGATCAAGAGGTTACCATTGCGATGTTCAAGCGCATCCGTGAAGCGTTCCAAAGCAAGGCTATGGAGCCAGTGGTCATCGGCGATGAGTATAACCCGGGTCTTCAAGTTAAGACTGATGATCAGATCCTCGAGTTCATCAAGGACAATGTGATGACACTGTGGCATGCTGCTTGTACTTGCAAGATGGGCACTAAAGAGGACAAAATGGCTGTTGTGGATGCTCAGGCAAAGGTGTACGGCGTTGATGGGTTGCGTGTTGTCGATGCCAGCGCTTTCCCTTTCCTGCCCCCTGGACATCCTCAGTCGACTGTTTGTGAGTTGATTCAAAAGTCTTGCTCTGATCATGGCTAACTTCGTTTGCAGACATGCTAGCTGAGAAAATTGCCCAGGATATTATTAATGGTGCTAAATGATTGCCCAGGTGCTCAGGCATCAAGCCCGCGCTTGATCATCCGGCTGAGGCATCGTCGAGATTGTATGGGTTGTATAGTATATAGATCTTGTTCTTTGCCTAATTATTGTATCTACTTGAGAAATTGGAATAATGATGTTTAGGAAAGTTGGATAATGCTCTTTCTATAATACAATAAACCCCAGATACAGATCCTGATATCGCTACAGAAACCCAGAAGGTAGTGGAACAAGACATTTACGCACGAGACAAATGTCCTCATTTCTTGCCAGACTTCTTCTTGCCCTTCAGACTCTTCATCTGGGCAGCCCGCTCAGCTCTTTGCTGACGCTTTCTCCACGCCGTCCAACGGTCACGACGATCATAACCCATAGAGAAGATACCAGCCCGCTCAGCGGAGCGACCGATCTCCCAATTGGCCTCACGGTACATGTAACCAGGGCGCAACTGAGGACCGAAGACGGCCTTGACGGCCTCGACATCCTCTACACGAACACCGTCCGCGTCAACGGAAGCAGTCAGATCAGATTGAGGCTCCACGCGCTCCTGAATAGGCACAGTAGTCATGTTAAGCTTGCGGCGATTGGGCGCATTGCGCGGGTGAGGGAGCTGCTCCTCCTTATCGAAAACAACTCCGATGAAGCGGCGCTTGGAATGCTTCTCGGGGTCGAGGTAATAGCGAACGTAACCAGCCTGCGTGGCATAAATGGTGTGGTCCCGGCCCATACCACAGTTTTCACCAGGGAACCAGAGAGATCCGCGCTGGCGGAAGATGATGCATCCTGGAACCACGTATTCACCGCCCGAGCGCTTTGCTCCGAGACGCTTGCCGGCAGGATCACGGGAGTGTCGGTTGGCTGTTCCTTGCGAGGCGTGTGAGGCGTAACGCACTTGTGAGAATGGGAGGAGCGTGCGCGGGAGAGAGGGTGTTTGAGGTTTCGGGAATGTAGATGCGGAGAGTGTTCGCAGGACGGATTGTGGCTGGGAGAGCGAGTGTGTCGACCGGATTGAAGTGAAGGAACGCTCCAGCGCCCGGAAAGGCGCTAGCAAGCGTGGTTGGAGCATTGTGGATTTTTTTGATTTGAATGTCGGGTTGAATGTGAAGCTCCAGGGAGTCGAAAAAGTTCGGAGATGGCTTGGCATCACGTGAGCCCCAGTAAGCCATCTATACCACTTCCCAGGACTTTCTCGTCGACTACGCAATCGGTCACGCATTACTCTTGATTCGTTTATTTGATATGCTGCAAAGCTGGCGCCAAGCCCTCTGGGCTCTCCTCCTGCTTGTCTCGGTCGCTCAGGCCCAATTTAACTTCTTCGAGCAAATGTTCGGAGGCGGCGAGCAGCAACAACGGCAACAGCAGCGGTCGCAGAACGCCCCAAGCGACAGCAGCCGATACCAGCAGATGTGGAGCGGAGGTAAGATCATTTTTGACTGACCCTATGGTGGCCGTCACTTGATGCCTTCAAAAACAAACAGAATGACATCGCTAATACAATACTCCCAATAGCCCAATGCGAAAACTACCTCTGCCCCGGAACTCTCGCATGCGTGCATTTCCCACACCACTGTCCATGCCCACATCCCGACGTGGAGGAGAAGGTCGAACTCGGTGAAGGAAGTGCTATCTGTGTGTCTAAGGGCGGATATAAGGCAGGCGAGGCTGCACGGAAAATCGAGTTGGCTCGCAAGGGTCTTCTGTAAGGATATCAAACACTTACGACCATCTGGTTTATATATGCTGCATACACCCGTCGGCTGCAGTCTGGTTATTGGGCCGGTATCGCAGGTCGAATCACATAGTCGTCACTATAACAATCCAATCATATAAATTCATTGATAAAGTGACAGTCGCCTGACAGCTACATTCTTATACTTAGGCCTGTTATAACCGTGCAACGAATGGCCATATCCAACTTTCCAGCTAAATAGATGGATAATGGCAAGAGTGCGTCCATACCTGAAGCTGTTCGTTTTGTCGGTAGTGTGCTGCTCTACCGATTGAGTCAAGGTTTGTAAGGAAGAGTAGATCCAAAAATTTTCAATTGGTCGACATTGGTCCTAGAGGCCAGAGCTTAAAGTCACAAACATTCCAAGTATGCTCGTACGAAGTATTCCTGGGGGGAAGTTGATAAAGGCGATCTGCAACGCAGTGTTATCTCCGATAACCCCGTGGCAGATTTCCGTCATAACCTTGAGCCTCTCTTCGTCATCCTCAGTCCATCCTATATTCCTCCTCGCATGCCAGCGACACCATCCATATTTCCCTGGCTATAATAGCTCACACCAGTTAACATGTGGAGTCTAAGACTCCGACCGCTACAAAGGCAGTTGGCCCCGACTCGGTTTCGGGCTCTTTCCAGCTTTAAAACCCATGGCTCTCAGCGCGGTCCTCGCAATAGCATCCAGAGACCGGACCTGATCAAACCACGAGATACCGTACAGCCATCCCGGTCAAATGAAGAGCCTCAATCTAAGTCCACTGCTCCTGAGCCTCAAGATGCTGAGAATCCTAATTACGACCCCTCGCAAAATACTCTGCTGGCTCCTGTCCATCTACCAGAGGACCCCAATGGTGTACTCAAAGAAACACATCCAGCTACATCAATACTGGCAAACTCAGGGTTGGTTGTACAGCGACAATTGGAAATGATGAATGTCATGATGTGAGTGCAACAGGAGCTTTTTTTTAGTTATTGCCGCTCGAGTCAACAGCATTGTACTAACGCGTGCTTTGGCAGTGGTTTTGAACAAGCCAACAAATATGTCATAATGGATGCGCAAGGAAACCATATTGGATATATGGCCGAGCAAGAGAAAGGACTCGGGAACGCAATGGCACGGCAATCGTTCCGCACCCATCGAAGTTTCGTGACACATGTCTTTGACCGAAATGAGAATGAGGTTCTTCGAGTACGTCTGGGGGATTCAAAAGCTCCGCTATTATTGTGCTTCGTGGCTAAATGTCTTAGTTCCATCGCCCATTCGCTTGGATCAATTCCAAAATTCACGTATACGACCCTCTCCATCACACACCACACACGCTCTCCCCATCCACCGCCCTCGAGGGCGTCTCAGCCGGATCCCTTGTCACACCTGGATCCCTGTCAAATACACGCATATCTCCCCTAGAACTTGCTCAGATGCGAGTCATCGGTGAAGCACAGCAGCAATGGGCACCCTTACGGCGAAAGTACAACCTTTTCACCCATCACAAATCCCCTGACCCAGCATTAGACATGGGGACGCGGTCCTCGGAATCGGGCACTGGTTTATTGCAAGCAAGTCAAGTCCAGCTGCAATCATCGTCTAACCAGGGCGAAGGCCAATACAGCCAGTTCGCCTACGTGGACGAGCCACTCCTATCGTGGGACTTTTCTCTCAAATCCGAAAATAACCAATTGATTGGATCAGTTAATCGCAATTTCGCAGGCTTCGCTCGGGAATTCTTCACAGATACTGGTGTCTACGCTATGCGCATGGACTCCGCAGGACTCAGCACAGAGTCATCAAAAGATGAAACCCGTGGAATGAGCCTTGATCAGCGCGCCGTAATGCTTGCCACCGCTGTAAGTATCGACTTTGACTACTTCAGTCGCCACAGCGGCTCTGGTGGCTTTGGCTTCATGCCACTTTGGTTCCCCGGCATGGGCGGGGAAGCTGCTGCAGGCGGTGCAGCTGCGGGAGGTGCCGCAGAAGCTGGTGCTGTTGGAGAAGCTGCAGCAGGAACCCTTGGCAGGGCCGGAGCGGCGGGTACTATGACGGATGGCATGGCTGCAGGTGCTACGGGAGCGGGTGCCATGGCTGGATATGAAGCCATGCAAAGGGGCTACCCAGCTGAGCCCAATTCACCTGCGTCCCCTCATCAACCAGAGTCGCAGCCCACAGAGGCAGAGTCTTCTGGGTTTTATGACGAGCCCGAAGACCCTTGGGGTAAAGATGACCCTTGGGGTGGCGAAGCTGATGGAGGCGATGAGGGCGGTGATAGTTGGTCTGACTTTTTCTAGAGCTGCAAGCTGCAAGCTGCAACTTTGACACTCATTACTGAGTACATGAATGTAACAATATCGGATACAGCCTGTGGGGTCTCCATGTGCCTTTGTTTTGTACTCTGTACTTCGTATAGTTGCCCGAGCTTCCTGATTGGGTGGCTCACCGCCCCGGAATTATTCCATCTCCAACTCCTAACTATCCCACCACCCCCGCAAAGTCATTGCCACTTGCACTTCACAGACTTTCACACTTCAAAATGGTGTCTACCGTCGCCCAAAAGCGCTTGTTCCACGAATACAAAAACCTCTCCACCAACCCACCAGAGGGAATCACTGCCGGCCCCGTCTCCGAAGATGACATGTTCTACTGGGAAGCTCTGATTCAAGGCCCCGAAGAAACGCCTTTCGAAGGCGGTGTTTTCGCCGCAGAGCTCAAGTTCCCAAGAGATTATCCTCTCAGTCCCCCGACGATGAAATTCATCGGCGGAGGCATCTGGCATCCTAACGGTACGTGTCTGCGCCGAAGGTGGCGAATCTCCACTAATCGATCACAGTCTATCCCAACGGAACCGTCTGCATCTCCATTCTTCATCCTCCTGGCGATGACCCTAACCATTACGAACATGCCTCGGAGCGCTGGTCGCCTATCCAGAGTGTGGAGAAGATCCTCATTTCCGTCATGAGCATGCTTGCCGAGCCGAATGACGAGAGTCCTGCTAATGTCGAGGCTGCTAAAATGTGGCGTGAGCGCAGACAGGAATATGAGGCTAAGGTGCGAGATGAGGTTAAGAAGGGACTGGGACTTTGAATTGGTAAATCACTTTGGGGGACTCGTCACTACTGGCGAGTTTTAAGACTTGATGATTGGCGTCAGGATTTGGTTTATTGCATGGTTTGGATGCTGATATTCACAGTGTATTCGGACGCGTCGCATTCATAGCGTATAAAATACATGCACTTTTTACAGTTCCTTGATATTGCTGTGTACAATTGGTTGTACACTAGATGCCTATTCAAGATTCAATGGGTTATAACTATTCCCGAACTTGTTCATGCGGTCTCTACTCGCATATAGGTTTAACAATACCTTCCTAGGTATCCCTAGTGGTTCACTCCTGCCGGAACATGCGACGTTCAATCCATCCCTCCAGACCACCGCTACACTCATACAGAATCTCAATCTCTGCCTTGGCGTTTAGGAATAGCATGCGCTGCAATTCCACTCTCCACTGGAGTTCTGGTCCATCGCTTGCCCACACAGGGCTGTTATGTAGCATGGAGATGATCTTCTTTCGATCTCGCCCGGTCAACGAGAGAAGAGCCTTGTCGCCCAGTACTTCCGGGACGGTGATTATGTCTGAAACACGGAGGCCGAGCCATTGGAGTCGAGGGATGCTGAGTCGCGCATTCTCGTGCGAGTGTGCCGCCGAGCCATACTTGTAGGTTGACGTGATGGCTATCCCGTGTGGGTCACCATCTGTAAGGGCATAGAAGCGGAGTGGTACAATTCGATTTGATGCCAGATCGAATAATTTGCGCAAGAACAATCGGGTGGAAAGGTCTGGATAGCCTTTCCCCTGTGGTTATTCTTGGTTAGAAAGAAGAGTGGCAGGTCTTGCAGCCATGTACTTACTGTGACGAGCAGTCCTTCTCCCGCTGTCGCTCGGGTATGGTATGCGGTACGCGCAAGCCGGTGAAAGACCGCCTTTGGGGGGAACTGGTCAGTTCATATTTTGACTTCAGTGCTCGGCCTCGTACCTCCTTTTCAATCACCAGTACCCATCGAACTCGTGAAATCTCGATCTCGTCCGCATTCTCTATGCGAGGGATCAAAGTGTCCTGCTTTTCATCAGCTTGGCTTTGGGGCAATGGGTGTACCTCTGACCTCTGTGGCAGACTGAGCAACGACCACGACCCGCGATGCACGAATCAAGCGAAAATTTCCTGCAACCAGGCCTTTACCTGCTGCTTCCTGGTTAATAGTATGGATGTGAGCAGTCTGGTCTTGTGGTGTCCGGGTCTTCAAGATACAGACCACGCTCAGAGCCTCTCTATCCACCCCTATGGTGTATGCCAGATCATCAATAACGCCGTCGACGACATATTGAGCACGGAAGAACTCGGGGTCGATATAGTATATATCCCTGTCTACGAGTCAGCACAGCCTTGGCACATCCTTGGTCCAGTTTCTTGCTCACTTACCTTTTGGAGATGAGCTGTCCCGTCCGAATGGCCTGGTCCAAGATAGCCAGAATTCGAAGAATGACCGCTATACAGGCACGTCAGTGAATAGAGCAAGGCAGTGTCGGTGCAAGTCATACTAAACTTCCATTCCTCGTATGCCGTCTTTGCAGGCCAAGAATATGTCCGGGTAGTCTCAACTCTTGGACTTGCCTCTAAAGCCCCAGTGATTGGGTTGATGATGCAAGATGTTGAGTTGGCTCGGCGCTTGACACTAAGCGAGAGATGTGCCTCTGGTGGAGGCAGTGCCAACCCGTGGACTAGAGTTACCAACGTTTTCCCGATGTATTCTCGAACAGAGGCATCTTGCTCTTTCAGCTCCAATGACTGAATAGATTGGGATGCCATTGGACTATTAGATTGAGATGGCAAACACTTGAGTGCAACTCACAATCGTCACAGGATTCATTGCGTGCCTGAGGCTTCTCGCCGTACTCCAAACTCCAAGATTTGTTCAGTGGCCTACCAGCGATGCTCTTGGTGCATTGAAGGGCGTGATAATTCTATTGGAGAAACTCACAATTCAAATTTTGGTGAGCTTGTTCATGCTTCTAAGCTATAGTTCGTCTTTCCTTTGACGCGTCGAGGTGTACTCCTTACGATGTAGTATCTCTCTACTTCGTGCTTCGTGAGTCTTCCTTCTCTTTAGTACCTAGCCACTTTGAATTTATAAATGTTTATCCTCTTCTCCCCGTCTGCTGCATCTACTCCATCCATACAAATATAGTCTCTTGTCAATTCGAGTTCACATTCTTAATCCTACGCGGCACTCATGAGACCGATGACTAAGCTTTCCCCGGGTTCCACTCAAAGCTCCTGTTGATCCTCTCTGAACAGTTGGTTTGATCCAATTGCAACAATCATGTCTTCGACTCCTCATATTGGGCCCTGGAGGACTCCAGCAGAAGGCCACCTGACCCCTGATGCCAATGGAGACCCTCAGACCGATTACTCGCGCTGGCGATTGGTTGACGAAGAAGGCCGCCAGACATGGCGGTATCTCGAGTCCGATGCTGAGAACGAAGCTTGGCCACAATCGATAGCTGATAAATATCATATGGGACTGCCAACTGTATCTAAGCCCTGCGATCTGGTTGGCTCAACAAATTATTAACTGGCGTGTAGGGTCTTCCCGAGCTCCCAGAGGCTAAGACGCCATTGAAAGCCGCAGAAAATGGACTGTCTTTCTTCTCACACCTTCAGCTTGAGCCAGGAAACTGGGCTTGCGAGTATGGTGGTCCTATGTTTTTGCTGCCTGGAATTTTGATCACGTACTACGTGACCAAAACCCCTATCCCTCCTGAGTATGCGACAGAGATCAAACGATATTTGTTTGCTCGTCAGCACCCAGAAGATGGTGGATGGGGCCTGCACATCGAAGGCCACAGCTCCGTCTTTGGTACCTCCATGAATTACGTGGCATTGCGTTTGATCGGTGTCAACGAGGATGACCCGCGCATGATCAAAGCTCGTGGTCTTCTGCACAAGTTCGGAGGCGCCATATACGGACCTCATTGGGCTAAGTTTTGGCTCAGCATTTTGGGTGTCATGAAATGGGAGGGGGTTAACCCAGTTCCTCCTGAAATTTGGCTACTCCCCGATTGGGTTCCTTTCGCCCCCTGGCGATGGTGGATCCACATGCGCCAGGTGTTCCTTCCAATGTCATATCTGTGGTCCAAGCAGTGGTCGCATCCTCTCGATGATCTAACAAAACAGATTCGAGAAGAGCTGTATACGCAGCCGTACGACTCTGTCGACTTTGCTGCGCATCGAAACTCTATTCATGAGTCTGACAATTATTATCCCAAGACATGGCTGTTAAATGGCGTGAACGAGCTACTCGTTCGCATCTGGAACCCATATCTGCGACTCCCAGCTATTGTCAAGCGGGCCGAAGATTGGACCTGGGAGCTTATTCGTATGGAAGATGAAAATACCAAATACGCTGGGCTGGGACCTGTGAACAACCCGATGAACATGGTCGCTTGCTTTATCCACGATGGCCCTGACAGCTACTCTGTCCGCCAACACCGGGAGCGGCTCAACGACTACATGTGGGTGAAGAACGAAGGCATGCTCGCAAACGGTACCAACGGTGTGCAAGTCTGGGACACAGCATTCATCACACAGGCCATCGTCGTTGCTGGGTTCGCCGATGAGCCTAGATGGCGACCCATGCTGACGAAGGCCTTGGAATTCCTCGATGACCATCAACTCCGTGAGAATGTGCCAGACCAAGAGAAATGCTACCGCCAGCACCGCAAGGGTGCATGGCCATTCAGCACCAAAGATCAAGGCTACACAGTCAGTGATTGCACTGCTGAGGGTCTGCGCTCCACACTTCAACTCCAAGAAATGCATAACTTCCCCAAGCTCATCCCTGAGCAGCGCCTCAAAGACGCCGTTGATTGTCTTCTCCTAATGCAAAACCCCAGTGGTGGCTTCTCGGAGTACGAAATTACTCGTGCCTCCCCCAAGGTCGAATGGCTCAACGCTGCCGAAGTCTTCGGCGGAATCATGATCAGCTACGACCACCCAGAATGCACTACCGCCTCAGTCACCGCCCTCTCCCTTTTCAGTAAATTCTACCCCAACTATCGTGCCTCTGAAATCCTCGACGCAAAGAAAAAGGCCGTGGCACACATCAAGCACGTCCAGCGTCCCGATGGAAGCTGGTACGGCTCATGGGGCATCTGCTTCACATACGCCGCGCTCTTCGCCCTCGAGAGTCTAGCCAGTGTCGGCGAGACGTATGATACGAGCGCCGATTCCCGACGAGGCTGTGATTTCCTGATCGAGAAGCAGCAGGAAGATGGTGGCTGGGGTGAATCTTATCTTAGTTCTGCTACACACCAGTATGTCCAACATGAGAAATCGCAAGTTTGCCAAACTGCTTGGGCTTTGTTGGGCTTGATGGAGGCCGAGTATCCTGATAAAGAGCCTTTGGAAAGGGGTATCAAGTTGTTGATGAAGCGTCAACAAAAGAACGGAGAGTGGTTGCAGGAGGCTATTGAGGGCGTGTTCAACCAGTCTTGGTATGGTTTTTCTTCCCTGACATTTGCACATTGCTAACCTTTCTAGTATGATATCGTACCCTAACTACAAGTTCTATTGGCCTATTCGGGCTTTGGGCTTGTATAGTCGGAAGTTTGGAAATGGGGAACTTCTGTAGATATTTTTCAGCAAGCGGAAAGATTCCTTTGCTCCGTACTTAATCAATAATCTCATTTTAGCGGGTTGACGCAGAATCTTTGGTTTGAGAATAATGAGCTAGTATTGCTCTTTCAACCTCGTACCAGCAATCACTAATATGACTACGTTGCCTGGCGACTCGTGGACCTGACCTGCTAGCAGCTGAGTGTTACATTCCTCTCCCTGGGACTAATTAGTAGCCTTGAACTTGAGAAGTGCTGGGAACACCTGGCTTGGTTGCTGACGCCTCACTGAACAAGGAAAAGAGGGACAAGATGAGATAAAACCATTGTACTGACGACCTTTGAAAGTTACGCAGATTTGAGAAACTGACCTTGTAGGCTCCAGGCTTGGAGTCTTCCAATGTTCTACCCGTCCTTCGTTGTTCTAATATTTCGACCTCAATTTCCATTTTGTCAATATGGTCCCAAGAGCTCGTTTTCAAAATATAGCCCAATGCGATTAGGAGTCGGATATGCCTAAATTGAAACGTTTTTGATTTCATGTGTGTTCATTTTTTCAATGTACAAAGGTGCCTGTATGTGTGATGAAGCCAGGAAAATAATGTAGTCTCTCTAAACGCCCCAATGCCGCAGGTAGTGGACCGCAGGAATTCATCGCTCGTCACATCCGAAATAAGTCAACGCCAGGTCTCAGGGGGTCATCAATAACAATAACAATAATAATAATACAAACGCAATGATGGTTAGAGAAGAAGAAGGCAGGGTTGAACATCAGCAGGGACCACAGAGTGGCGACCACATAATGGCCTGGTCGTTTGCATAGCCGTCAATCGAAGCATGCCGTAGCAACGGTCCCATGAGGTTGTGATGTGAGTCATATAGATCGTAGTCAACACATTCAAGTGCACAAAGAAAACAGCTTCGTCCGTAGGTCATAATTTTCCCAGGGGTTTAGCGCCAAAGCGGGAAAAGACAACCGAATAGGAAGGCGAAACCACTCATATAAAGCGGGAGGTAGACTGGCAAGATGCGAGTTAGCAGGTTACTTCAAACGGAAAGTAAGATTAAGAATTGCGCTTACCCGCTGAACCTCCACTCGGAGGCTTATTGTGGCCTGAGCTGGACTCCCAATCATAATGATATCCGGTGGACCCAGCCGTAGGCGAGCCGGAAGCTACCCAGGGCCAGACATTCGGAGTGACCCAGCTAGAGGTCTCTTTGTGTGTGCCGCTCCAGGGCACTGGAGCATTCTCGGCGGTTGAAGTGATTGCGGGGGCAGACTCGGTCGACGTGGGCTCAGACCCACTGTTGCCGTTGACCTGGCCTCCTTCGGCGATAATAGACTGCCATGTGCCGCTAGTGTCGCCGTATTTGTATGCAGTTCCCGTTGAATAGTCGGTCACAGTCAGGGACTTCAAGTACATCTTGAAGGGACCCTGGCTGTAATCCGTCGTGCCGCCAGCCCAGTCTACAAAAGAAAATTGTAAGCAATCTTTGGCTTCTTTTCGGGGGAGGATGAGTTCAACTTACCAATGGTGCCTTGGGGGTTATTCGAATCTCCACCGGCCCACGCGCCCACCTTGACCATCATGGGAGTCTGCGGGTACATACCCTCGTTGGCTGATTGGGGGGTAAGCACCCGGACCGTCTTCCCGTTGATAGCCCACACAATTTGAGTGCTCGTCCAGTCGATGGAGTATGTGTGGAAGATATCCTGATTCCCAGGATTGTCGTGGAAAGCGCCGCGGTTATTTGTACTTGTGTCACCCTTGCCGAAGTAGTTGCTCTGGGCCTGGTCACTTCTTCCGCCTAGCCATTCCCAGTCCAGTTCGTCAAGATCATCGGACTGTAGGACGGCGCTGCTGACGATACCTGTCCCGGGGGCTGCTCTCAGGGTGAACTCCACCCGGCCGAACATAATGTACCAGCCTGACTGGATCAGGGGGCCATCTCCCTGCTTGGAAATGGTGAACGTTGCGCCGTTGGTGGAATCATATGTCACGGAACCACTCGACTTGAAGGCATCGGATGCACTTGAGAATTCGAAGGTCTTGTCCGACTGTCCAAACGCAGTGTCTGCGGGACATGCTGGTGACTGTTAGGAGTTGTCCATCAACCGTGGAGATTTCACTCACATTGTTTTGTCGGATTGCAGTCAGTGTAGGTTTGGGCCGCAGCTGCGGTAATCAGTCCCAAAAGCGCTAGATTAAGACGCATGATGGAAAATAATGATAAGTAATCACTGCAGCCTCAGAGATCCAGTAGGAGAGAAGAATGTGAAGAGAAGAAGATTTAAAGATTCAAAGGAAAGTGCCAGCCTCCTCTGTTTCACTGTTTCCTGTTCTGTCGATCCGTGGGTCCCGTAAGCTGTCATTGGTCCAATCAGAGCCTCGGATCGGGCTCAACCTTGGGACGCTCCGGCCCAGTCCCCGTGGACGCCACGTTGTGGGCTGCAAATGGGGTTTCTCCCGCGCAGTTGGAATCTGAACTTGTGCAGTGTTATATCTGTTCTTGCACTCCGTATAGAAAAACAGTCCTCTACAAACACAGGTCAAGGTTGCAAGGAAAGCCGAGGAAAACCAAGGAAAGGCGGCAAGGCCCAAACAAATAATCGGGTGGCCGGGCATATTGGGACCCACCTTGAATCTTTCCCCAGCCTCTCCCTTTTGCACTTTTTCCTAAATTATCATTGAAACATGACCTCATATCAATTTTTAGACTTACGTGTGGCTTGACAAGTCACCAAGCCCGCTTCTATTTATATGGCAAAATGTCCAGAGAGCTCGAAGTACTCCGAACAGAGCACTGCACAGGCTATGGGCGTGCCAAGATTTCTGGGCAAAGAGTTCGTATGTTCAATTTACAAAGTATAGGTTGATTCCATGTATTGCGCACGCGGTGTTCTCGCCAAGTTAAACCGCGCCTTTGGTCTAGACCCAGTCTACTTTGTAGATTTGTACTCGTACAAGTAACTAGAGATGCTCACCGATCTACAAATTGTGGGCGATCGGTGCATAGGTGGGTCACGGCTAAAACCCTATCTCAATCAGGGTGTACAATACCATTATGTTAAAAATGCGTCCATTGGGAGGGACGAGGTTTTAGGAATAGATAAGAAAACAGTTGTCATTCGAGTGGCCGTGGACACTTGTGAATGAGCCTGGGAGCAGAAGCCGTCTTAATTAGGGATCGAATGGCTACTTGTGACGGCGAATAATACCCAAGTAAAAGCAGTGAAGTCACTGATCTCAAATATTCGGTTGAAAATTTCTAGATGGACCAGACTGACCATGTGCAGGATTGACCATTTTCTTTCTTGGTTCTCTGTCCCTCTCTTTTGACTCAAGTGAAGGTCAATGAACATGAGTATACTTCATACAGGGAGGGTCATATGTATCGTAACCCGGTATTACCTTCCAAGGTTGCTCAGGTGGTTTCCCTCAACGGTCATCTATATAGGTCAATCATTGCCAGCATTTGAGAGCCTAGGCAGCTCATGGGTCCCATTTCTGAAGTTGCTAATATCATTTACCCCTACTACTGTGGTGAAGTTCCCGGAAAATATCCTGGTCAGTGCCAGTGCTAGGATAATTTGTGTGTTGGAACGAAGAGCTCACCGGGACAAGCTTCGGCGTCATTTCCCTTGGGGCTACACACGCATCGAATCTCTACCTTCTCTCCCACCCAAATTTATCTTCTCAGCTGGGTGAATCCATATAATCACATACCTCAACCGCCGCTTTCCTCAGGTCCCTTCACTCCAGGCTTTCTACGTTACTCACAGGCGACGCGATGACCCCTCAATCAGAGATCGCTAGCCTCAGCGGCAAAACCGCATTAGTGACCGGCTGCAACAAAGGTCTAGGATTTCAAGTTGCTCGCCAACTGATCCTTTCCCGAATTTCGCATCTGATTATTACTACTCGGGACCATGTCAAAGGTGAAGCTGCCATTTCAGCACTGCAAGCTGATCCGGAGGTTATCAAACTGGTTTCCAAAACCGAGACACCCACCCGCATTGATTGGTTCCAGCTCGAACTTGATGATTACAATTCGACCATGTCCTTTGTTGCGAAGGTAGAACAAGATGTTCCTGAGCTCGACATCTTGATTCTCTGTGCCGGTATGCTACAATACAAGTTCGAGAGAGCCAAGACCGGTCATGAACTGCTGATGCAAGGTAATTGTATGTCCCTATTATCGGGGACGATTTTTAACGCGATCAAGTGAACTGCTACAGCAACTGCCTGATAATCAATGGCCTGTCCAATCTCTTAGGTGTCACTTCCCGAAGGCGACAGTCTCCCGCTCATATCACGGTTGTGGGGTCATACAGTATGAAATCGAGCACTGTGAATAGCGCACGTGGTCATGAGAAGGATCATATCATCCAGTACCTTGATACCGAGGAAAGCTATCGCCCTTTACATCGTTATCCGGACAGCAAGCTCATGATGCACGTCTACATTCACCACTTCGCCGCCCAAACCAGACCATGCGAGATCATTGTCAACACAGTCTGCCCTGGTTTAGTATTCACTGATCTATTTATGTCGGGGCCCTTTTGGTTACGATCACTCATTTGGGCCTCGGGGCGTGTTATGGGTCATCGTACCGTGGAAGATGGCGCTCGATTGATTGTTCACGCTGCCACTGCAATTGGAGAGGAAAGTCATGGGAAATTCGTTCAAAACAATTGCGTTGATAGGTTTGAATCCTCCCGCTGATGAAAAATCCAAGATATTAACCAGTCCTAGTGGTGCAACTGGAATCATTGATTCAATTGGCGCAGCATGCACCACGAACTTTTTCCGTGCCATCCAGCAGGAAATCATGGACCTGCATGACAGACGCGATGCAAAGTCATACCAGCGAGACTGCGATGAGCGCTGCTAGCCTTCAAACGAGGAGAAATCTCGCAAAGTATCTTGAACACTTGTCCTCTGAGTGGTCAGTCAACTTGTTTCTCAACCAAGGGGCCCCTTGTTTTGCTCCCCCGAGCCCTTTGAAATCCTGAAAAGTACGTTACAGAGAAAGACTAGCGTTAGCCAGGTGTGTCTCACTTCAATCGACATATCTACAAAGCCAATTTAGAACTTAAAAGCTGTTGCCCTGGGTTTTGTTTTCGGCTTTGGAGGGGTTCCAGTGGTTGGTTTTATCCGTACTGGGGTTTGGAAGAGCCTGTGACGTACTCCTGAAATCCGCACACCAGGGCTGGCACTTGAGCAGCGACAAAGGATCGTTGTGGTTCCAACTTTAGAAGTTCCAACGTTGTTTCTAAAGTTGTGCGTACCTCGGAATTACCTAGATATTACTCTGGAGTCTCTAGGGCTGCCAATACCTCCGGGCCATTCTCAATCATACTACGGAATTGTCGAGTAAGTAGGAACTACTTGAGTATATAGTAGAACCTTGAAACTTTAGAAGTATTTATTTACACATACAAGCTCTGATCTATGCTCAGGTGGATGTTGAAGGAATACTTAAGTATTTTCCTCCTGAAGTCTCTGAAAAGAGAGGTCTCTACTTAACTTTAGAAGTACTTAAACCACATATCAGTTGAATATGTAGCACTCTCTCCTCTAAACCTTGGAATATACCACCAGATTTGACCCCATATCCGATCTAACGGCAGGGAACCCTTGGAAATATTCACATACCCAGGCCCCATTCTACATTGTCGATTCTACATGTTCAAAAATGCCTGGATTTTCAAAAGGCTAAATTACTACCGTGAGTTTTCCAAGGCCTTTCTAAAGTTATTGATGGCACCGGTGCAGTTTGTTCGAATCAATGTGGGACCCAAGGATAAATCCGCTGGTGCAATAGACTCTATAATCAAGGACCTCGAGAAATATATTTAAATCCGCCGAAAGCGAGCAAGGTAGTGCAACGACCTAGAGATAGACAAAGCAGAGAGCCACGAAGTACAGGGATGGTCCCAGGCGGGAAGCTCCACCGAAGCACGGACAGCATCACGGACCATATACTTGGACTGCTTCATTTCTCGTCTTCAAAGCACTTGAGCTATAGCCCGAGCTATATTGTACCATCAATATGGAGTACAGTAGGTCAGACGAGATTGACGGGGTATGTTTTGGCCTTAGTTTAGATGGTTTCAAAGAGAGACCAAATGTTTCAAAGGAGACATTGCACGACTATTCGGTCATGTTAGTAGATGTGTTCAGGGATACGGAGTAACATATGGTCCCTTTGATGGGAATGCACTGACACCGAGAGCCTCAACATATATCATGCTCCAATAAGAAAATTCAGTGTCGGGCTTTTGTTCTCGTCATTCCGTTGATCCGCCTTTGTCACGGGTCATCCCCACTCTCTCTCTCACACTCTCTCTCTTTCCCCCCCAATGAACTCTGGAAATCACCTGTGCGCCCTCGATACTTGAAAGTGACGCCCAACCGAATCGAAACCAGTGCGCCCGCGATTATTGTCAGTTTCTTAGCCCCGACACCCCCGCCTCCTTCGCGCTTCTCCGTCGATCAGCCTCTCGAATCCGAACCCCATTCAAAATCTCGATCATCCCCTCAAACCCCTTGCATCATTACCGTGTCACTGGGTCGGCCTCTGCATCGGGGCGCTAGCACCCGAGACAGCAGAATCGACGCACGTTGCAGCTTCTCCCCGGTCGCCCACACCCGCCCTCGTCACTATAACTGTTATTAATGCTGAACTGCACCGGGATACCACCCCGCCCCAAGAGACAGCTGGCTGCTACTTGATTCGGGTCGCTGTGGTGGGTTTCGGTTCAGAGCGCAGCGATGCCGGTGCGGGATACCCAGCCTGACACTCGTCAAGGCTCTGAGAGCTCTGGTAATAGTTGGATATCGCAGGATACGGTGCGAAACCCTGGCCAGTCTCGAGATGAAGTAAGCGCCTCTTCTGGGGGTCGCAATGTCGACCCATTTCCCGGTTCATTAAGCGGGAACCCAAAGTAAGTCTCCGTCTGTCAAAATTATCCGGTGACCGTGAGCTATTTAATGGCGCGTCATTCTGTAATCCTCATATCGAATGGCACTAAGCGATACATAGACCGGAGGCCTCCAAACCCCCAAGAATCGATTGGGGAACTTCCGCATGGTCATGGGATTCGCCCAGTGTTTCCCCCACTGAACAGCGCAAACCCTCCGGATTCAGTAATCACCGCGAAGCACTGATTATTCCAAATAACCGAGATATCCCATCCCAGTCCTCCGCTTCAAGCCCTCGACCTCCACCACTTCACACAACACGTGTAGGCTCCGACGAGATTGAATCGATTGCCCCGTGGTCCACACCGCTGAGTAGTGGGCAGCCGGATGGCGGTAGCACGTTTTATCACGATCAATCCGAGCACGAAGCCTCACCCGCGTCATTCACATTCCGCCCTACGACGGGACGAACAATAGCGAGTGAACCGGCTGAATATGAATACCATGGAGAACACCGGCGGCCATCTGCTGCCAGCGCAACGACTGTTAGCAGCCATGGTTCTAGCATCAGTCAGAAGTTTCGAAAGAAGCATTTAAAAGGCTTCCTTGGGGATGACTATAATGCGTCAGGGGAGCATCAAAATGATGATGATGGATCTCAGAACCCCGGAAGCAGGCGTGGAGGGCCAGTTGACCAGCTGAAGGCGCGAGAGAGGGCGAACTCGGATGGCTCACGCAACACTCCCGATGGCTCTGGGGCATCGCAACGAGCACACAGGCAGCGAGCGAACACCCCTTTGAACTCAAGTGAGATCACTCCGTGGGACTACCAAAACATCACCGACGTCGAACAGTTTGGTGAGGCACCGGTGCGACATGCGCCCATTGGCTCCAACGGGCAACGTCTTCAAAATCCAGAAACTGGGGCGATGGGATCCCGGGATCCCAGTCGACGAGGGCCTGGCAGACATCGTCCTTCGCGAAGTAAAGAGGAAAAGTACACTCTCGCCGGCGATCTGGCTGGTTATCAAAATCGACCGGCAACTGGTCGAGACGACGGCGGTCTGCGTCCTTTCAACGATAATTACCTCCATTCAGGCACTGACATGAGTGACTTCGCAGGGGCAGGAGGCCGATCTTCTAGCCCCACACCAAGCACTCGCAGCGCATATCGCGATCACGACCAAGGCTCGCAGCACCCTAGGATAGGTCGCTTTGTCAAAAAGATTCTTGGCCACGGGTCCAAATCGCACGACCGATCAAGACACTCTTCACCACCCCGGCGTGATCGCCAAGGAAGTCTCGAAGGAAATAACTCCTCCAGACACCTTGAGTCAGCAGACTCAGGGAGAAAGGAAACCGGGAAAGGTCTCATTGGGGGCAGAAAACTTGGTCCTCGCCGTGCGTTCACTAATCAAGGTGGCGACCTCCACAATCCCAACAAGGAAGACAAAACTCCTGAAGAGAACAAGCATCTATTCCAGCTTGATATTAACATGGACAATATTGATGATTTCGTTCGTCCCTCCTCCCAAGGTCATGCGCAACGTATTAGGGACGGGACTGTCACACCGGCCGACGATTCCAAACTTGAGAAGCCATGGAACGCTCCTGAAAGTTGGCAAGTGAAGCAACCCACCGAATCCAAACTATCAGAAGAGGACACGGCCCCCGTCGGACCACGAGAACATGAGCCTTCATTCTTTATACGAATCTTCCGGATCGATTCGACGTTTGCTACGCTGTCGGCTGGTGTGAATGCGACGGTGTCCGAAATTCTGCACATGCTTGGTAAGAAGTCATTTTTGCAAGATCATCTCAACAATTACGAAATTGTTCTTCGAAAGAATGATCTCTCACGCCAACTTGATCACAATGAAAAACCAATCCAAATGCAGAAAAAGCTACTTGAACAAGTAGGCTATGCACCAAACGATCGGATTGAGGACATCGGCCGTGAAGATCACAGCTATCTGGCTCGATTCGTCTTCCTGCCAACCAAACTCAGTGGCTATAGCAGTCTCGAGACTGATCCAGGCTTCAACAAGGTCCAGAAGTTCAGCCACGTGGATCTCCAGGGCCGTAGCCTTATAACTATACCGATCACACTGTACGCGAAATCATCCGAAATCATCTCGCTCAATCTGTCAAGGAACTTGTCCTTGGATGTTCCTAAGGACTTTATCCAAAGCTGCATTAACTTGCGGGAAATCAAGTTCATTGGCAATGAGGCTTCGTTGCTCCCTCAAAGCTTCAGCCTTGCTGCCCGGCTAACGTACCTGGACATATCCAATAACTGCCTTGAGGATTTGGATCATGCTCATCTCGATCGACTGACAGGTCTTGTCAGCATTAAGATGGCCAATAACCAGTTGACGAAACTGCCCAGCTATTTCGGAAATTTCACCTCCTTACGGAGTTTGAACATGTCGTCGAATGGATTCAAGGTTTTCCCTGAATTCATTTGCAACTTGAAAAGTCTAGTTGACCTAGACATAAGTTTCAACGGCATTGAGGAACTTCCCTCAATCGGCCGCATGACCACTCTTGAGCGTCTTTGGATGACGAACAACAACCTCAGTGGGCCACTTGATGGATCTTTCCGGGAATTGGTGAATCTCAAGGAGTTCGACGCACGCTTCAACTCGATCACCAACATCGATACTCTGTCCAGCCTTCCTCGACTCGAGCAGATATACTTCGGTCACAACCTCATTCCACGATTTAAGGGCTCCTTCCCAAAGCTGCGAAGTCTACATTTGGACCATAATCCTTTGACGCAGTTTGATGTCGATGCCCCAATGCCAACTCTGACATCCCTCAATCTTGCTTCGGCGAAGCTTTCTCAGTTCCGAGATACCATTTTCGAGAATTGCCCGAACGTGACAAAACTTGTCCTTGACAAAAACCACCTTTCCTCGGTGTCTCCCCAAATCGGCAAGCTGCGTCGTTTGGAGCACTTCAGCATGATCAAGAACCCTCTATCCTCCTTACCTCCAACCATTGGTTGTCTTGTTGAGCTCAAGCATCTCAATCTGAGGGAGTGCAATCTACCATCGCTTCCATCCGAGATCTGGCATTGCGCCAAACTTGAAATACTCAACATCTCCTCAAATATACTCTCGTCATTCCCCAAATACGGTGCCCCGGTTCCACTGGTTCCTGGTGAACCTACTCATACGCCTGCAACTACGCCGGGTATAACCGGAAACCCTAGCTATGAAGATATCGGCCCCCTAGACGAACCAGCTTTGCGTCGACCAAGTCAGACTTCAAATGGCGTTGTCAACTCCGTTTCACCAAACGGGTCTTATCGGAATCCTTCGACCGCTCAATCTGTCTCACAGCAGGGTGGTAGAAAGGTCTCGGCCACGTCGAGATCAATCACCGATCCAAATGCTGTGTCTCGAAAGGATTCAAACTTCTCCCAGCAGATGGCAATGAGCTTTGCGGCATCCCTTCGGACACTCTGTCTTGCCGACAACAGACTCGAAGACGACGTATTCCGAGAATTATCTCTGCTCCCGGAACTGCGCATTGTCAATCTATCGTACAATGACCTGACGGAGCTACCGCCAGGAATCCTAAGAAGATGGCCCTTGATTTCAGAACTCTATCTCTCGGGCAACGAGCTGACTTCTCTACCGTCTGATGACTTGGAAGAGGGGAGCAACCTCAAGATCCTCCATATAAATGCAAACCGATTCCAGGTGCTGCCTGCAGAGCTTTGCAAGGTCAGCAAACTTTCCATTTTGGATGTGGGGAGCAACCACCTGAAGTACAATGTATCCAACTGGCCATATGATTGGAACTGGAATTGGAATCGCAATCTGAAGTATCTCAACTTCTCTGGCAACAAACGATTGGAAATCAAGCCCAACATTGCGTCTTTAGGTCCTCCAGCTGCCAATGGCGCGGACTTGACCGACTTCAATTCTTTAACCCACCTCAGAGTCCTGGGATTAATGGATGTCACTCTTACAATCCCCATCATCCCAGAAGAGACCGAAGATCGCCGTGTCAGAACTTCTGCGTCGCTAGCCGGTACGCTTGCTTACGGTATGGCCGACAGCCTTGGAAAGAGTGAGCATCTCTCGATTATCGATATGATTGTTCCGCGTCTGAAACAGGATCATGTGGAAACTCTGGTTGGTATGTTTGACGGACAAACGCTTGGAACTGGGGGCTCTCGGGTTGCAAAGTACTTGCACGAGAATTTCACTCCTACCTTCTCGTTTGAACTCAAGAAGTTGCACCGCGATCAGGGCGAATCACCGCTGGATGCACTCAGGCGGGCGTTCCTAGCCTTGAACAAGAACATGGCGGGTTCTGCTTATAGGTCTATCGATGACCGCGAGATCCGGCAGTACCACCGCGGTTCGAACGCTGCCAAGCTTCTCAACCAAGATGATATCTTATCTGGTGGAGTTGCCACTGTCTTATATTTGAACAACATGGACTTATACGCCGCCAACGTCGGCGATGCGCAAGCTATTTTGATCAGATCGGATGGCTCAATGCGTACTTTGACCCAAAACCATGACCCCGCGGAACCCAACGAGCGCGCCCGTATTCGGGCAGCCGGAGGCTTTGTATCTCGCAATGGTCGCTTGAATGACAGTTTGACGGTGTCAAGGTGTTTCGGGCATTTCCCCACCATGCCTGCTGTTATTGCAGCCCCTAACACCATGCATGTCGCCCTCACGGAGCAAGATGAAATGATTGTCCTAGCATCAAAGGAGCTTTGGGACTTTGTTACTCCGGAAGTTGTGGTGGATATCACAAGAAGAGAACAGACTGATTTGATGTATGCAGCTCAAAAGTTGCGTGATCTGGCTATCTCATTTGGTGCCACCAACAAGCTGATGGTGATGATTCTTGGTATTGGCGAGCTGCAGAAGCGCCGCCCGAAGGCCCGTCCTTCGCTCAATACCGGTTCCTCTGCGATGATTGATGATCAGATTATTCCAACTGCCAAACGCCCGAAGAAGCGTGATGGCCCCGGAGATTCGCGGCTGGCCCGCTTTGACTTTGTGGATGCTCCAGTTGGTGAACTGGCTATCATGTTTACCGATATCAAGAAGTCGACCAGTCTCTGGGAAGTTTGTCCCGATGCGATGCGCTCTGCGATTCAGATACACAATGATATCTTGCGTCGGCAGCTTGGAATCTTTGGTGGGTATGAGGTCAAGACCGAAGGCGATGCCTTCATGGTGGCCTTCTCTACTACCACTGCTGCTCTTCTGTGGTGTTTCAACTGCCAAAATCAGCTTTTGGAAGCTGAGTGGCCTACGGAAATTCTGGATCAGCCTCAGTGTCGAACTGTAGTCGATATGGACAACAACGTCATATTCCGTGGCCTTTCCGTCCGCATGGGTGGTCATTGGGGTGAGCCTGTCTGCGAGAAAGATCCTGTCACCAACCGAATGGATTACTTTGGACCCATGGTGAATCGTGCCTCGCGTGTTTCCGCTGTTGCCGATGGAGGACAGATCTTTGTTTCGTCCGATTTCATGACGGACATCCACCGCAATCTCGAAAACTTTGCTGATGCCGAGCGTTCTGCATCAACCAGCTCGACTGACAGTCACCCACGCGGAGACAGTCTTGGTCACAACATTCGCCGGGAACTGCAGCAACTCAACAGCCAAGGCTTTGTCATTAAGGATCAAGGTGAACGAAAGCTCAAGGGTCTAGAGAATCCTGAGCCACTTTACCTTGTTTTCCCCTCAGCACTCTCTGGTCGCATGACATCTTTGGATGATTCCCAAGACGCGGATAGCAACACAGCGACTATGAACCCCAACAATCAACTCGATATCCAGACGAATGTTATCTGGCGTTTGTGGGAGGTCACACTCCGCCTTGAGCGACTCTGTGGAGCTCTGGAGAATCCCAACGAGCCCAGCCTGAGCGAACCTAATGTTACTCTCTTCAATATGATCAAGAGGCACGGCGGTGAGCTGAATGACTCAACTGTTCTCAGTTTGGTTGATCAACAAGTCACTCGCATTGAGGTCAGTATCAGATAATCTTTACTTTGTGTTTCTTTGTCTTTTTATTGACGATTTTTTTAGGTCACTATCAACACCCTTTCTATCCGCCACATGATGCGACCCTTCAAACCAGGGGATAGCCTGAAAGATCACGCCGCTCCCATTACCGACGTACTCCAGCAACTATCAACACAGCTCGCCGAATTCCAAGCTCTCAAGGCACAGCTGGCCGATGCTTCACCCCAGAAGCTCGGTAGCTCCCCGCCTCACTATGGCAACCGTCCCTCGGACAGCATTGATAGCGGTATCACCTCTGCTTCATCATCCTTCCTCCATCTCCCAGGCGATGCCAATCGCTCCTTCGACTCCGGCCGCGGTCATCACTGATTGCTCGCGTCTGACACCTACAATCTTCTCGATTTTCTTTTTGGAATTTTCTCTCCTTGTATCTCTCTGGCTTTTACTTGCTGAGCGGCGTCTCACTGGACGGAGGGAGTCTGCAAATTGTTAATACAAAGCATCATGGCGTGGAGCCACGGGGATCGTTTCGGTTTCGTTTCTATCGCTTTTTCTTTTGCTTTTTCTTTTGAACTTCGGGGCTGTAATTGACTTGGCAGTAAATTTATTCCACGTCTGAATGGCTATTCTACATCCATGCGCCTTTTGCTTATCCTTGGATCTTTGCTTGGCAGCGGTGCTATCTTTGTGTTCTTAGGTGGCATCTTGTTGGCGTTCATGGAGGTCTCATCTGTTCCTTTACAATGGCTCTAGGGATAAGTGTCCAATAGTGACGATTTAACAGAGTTGATGTTTCTACTATAAACCCTAAAGATCCCACTCTCTGTATCAGAAATTCAGCTCCGACCCTGAGTATACACACTTGCTTCCGAGTGGCTGATGTGGGGGTCACGTGCCTGTGTTTATTTGTACGTCATCGGCTTTGTTTGCTTTTCCCAAGCCTGAAAGACTTGTCATTTGTCTCTTACATCTCCCCTTAAGCTGGTTGATCGACTCCGCGAAAAAAAAGTTGATTAAGCCTTCAATCATTACTATCACCTCTGCTCTCGAGTTAGGGCATCGTCTCCCGGCCCCGTCTGTTGCCCCGGCTACGACCAGAACGAACTGGGTCTGGCGCATTTTCACAGCTCAAGCAAAAACAACACCCCTGCTACCCCAGTTGAAATTCTAAAAAGGGAGTGATCGGTGGTCTTCAGCTGCTTATTTCACTTACAGCCACACCGTGCACACCGTGCACACCGAGCTGATCGTTCATTTGACTAAAATCGCGGTCGCGAAATTCCATCTCGGTCGGGGTGTGTCGGTAGATTAATCAGGCCACGATAGCCAACGCTGCATATCACACATTTTTCAAAATGGCGGACGAACTGGATTACCTCTATCCAGACTTCGATCTCAACTCCCTCACCGTTCCTCGACTCCGCTCTATCCTCGTCAATCACGATGTTCCATACCCTGCGTCAGCGAAGAAATCTCAGTTGATCGAGATCCTCCACGATGAAGTGCTTCCACAGGCGCGAAAGATCTTGCGCGATCGTGAGAGAGTGCGACGAACAAGTGCAGGAATCACAGACATGGGCAGTCGATCGAATTCAGTGGCTAGCGACATAGATGAAAGGGACTCGATGCCTCCTCCCCCCACGCCTTCGACCGTCGGCTCCACAAGCAGAGGCCAGCGAGGCACCTCGCGACGTAGTACACGTCAGTCAACTGCGGATACCGATGATGGGTTTGCACCCACCACCCCAGCTAGAGCGCCCAAGCGCACGAGTGTGGCTCGATCGGTGGGTAAGCATGTCCGCACTTCGGATACGGAAACTGGCGATGATACACTCGCCACCCCTGTGGCTGCTACACGCCCTACGCCTCGTAAATCCACCGCCAAGAAGCTGCGTCGCAGCGAAGTTCTCCCTTCCACAGAGACCGAGGAACCCACCCCTGGGATTAAATCAGAACCCCGCGATGACGGCATGTTTACAGACGATAACCCTTTCCAGAGTGGAAGTCCGGAAGCACCCAAGAGTACAAGGAAGAGCCTCGAGGCTAAACGCAAGAGTGGCTCGCGCCTGTCTACCGAAAGCCCAGCTCGCGGTCGACCACTCAGATCGCGACTATCAGCAACACCTTCAAGTCTCCACCAGGATGACGGTTACCAGGCTCCCCGGCGCGAGTCATTTGATTTTGCATCGCGGCTTTTGCCAACACAGGAAGAGCCAGAAGAGTCGGAGGAATCTGAGGAGGATGACGATGAGAGTGAAGTTAATGCGGGTGAAGAATTCACCCCGGAGGAACAGCTCGCCATGTCTATGGAACAGCACCAATATCCGCCACAAGTTCAAAGACGACGTACTCAGAATCAGGGAGCTCTCAGCCGCTTGGCACCTTGGGTGGTGATTCTTTCTCTCGCCGGCAGTTTTGGAACTTGGTGGCGCAAAGAAAAGCTTGAGATTGGATACTGTGGTCTGGGCAAGCCCACTTGGTCTTTGGCTGATACTAAGGTTCCTGATTGGGCGAATGTTCTGGAGCCTCGATGTGAGCCGTGCCCAAGCCACGCTTTCTGCTACCCTGACTTCGAGGTGCGCTGCGAAAATGATTTCTTGTTGAAACCGCACCCTCTCGCTCTGGGTGGCTTGGTTCCTTTGCCTCCCACCTGTGAACCTGATAGCGAAAAAGCACGTCGTGTGAAGGCAGTCGCCGATAAAGCCGTTGAAGAGCTTCGCGAACGTCGCGCGAAGTGGGAATGTGGACAGCTGAAAGATGATGGCAAAGATGTTCGCTCCCCTGATATCAGCGAGCCCGACCTCAGAGAAGAGGTAGCGAGAAAGCGCCGCAGGGGCTTGAGTGACAGTGAATTTGAGGACCTTTGGAAGGGTGCAATTGGAGAGGTGATTGGCAAGGATGAAGTTGTTAGCAAGACTAAGCAGTAAGCCTTCCCCAACCGAGGAGGAACTCCCGTGCCTCCTTGGGTACGCTCATCGCTCTGGATACCCATCTCCAGCAGCTTTTCTTATAAGGATCTGGTCTGACATTGTGTACCGGAACTGACAGAGATGCTTTCGCGATTACAGACCTTCCGGCGTCGTCGTCTTATCCTCCACCTCAATCGCGAGGCTCCCCCTCAGATGCGCCATCCGCCGCCACTTCCGACTCGCTCTCGTCGCGTATCGACTCCCTATTTTCCTTCTAATCTTGGTTCTTGGTCTCCTCGGGTATGCTCGCGCACGCGTCCTTGCCCGCCGCTCTGATATCGCCCGCGTCCCCGAACTAGTAGCTACCACCCTCGACCGCCTGTCTACACAGGCTGCGCTTTGTGCCCGCGGCGACGCCAAAGAGCCCTACGTCTCCATTGGACAGCTGCGTGATGATGTCCTTCGCTTTGAGCTACAGGGCAAGCGTCGTGAGGAGCTCTGGCGCCGCGTTTCCCGCTTCGTTGAGGGCAATGCGAATGTTCGTGCTGCTATTCGTGAAGGACGGAGTGGTGACGTTTCTCGGGTCTGGGAGTGGATTGGTGGAATCAACGCCATCAGTGAGCCTGACCAAAATCGACGTCGTGAGAGTGCACGATTCTCCATTCCCTCTCCATCTGGTAATATTGCCATGGGCCCGCAGACTCCTAAAGACGAGGGCAACCCCGAGCCACTGTCAAGCCCACGAGAGAACCGTCGTTGGGATGAGGGCCGTCCTATCTATTAATTGTCTCTTCGTCTTCATGGGATGCACCGGCATCTGTTTAGCCAATTGTTCTACCCAGGTGGTTGTTTCTTAGATATCCCAACTTTTTCTTATGCATGAAATGCTGTTTCCGGGTTCTATGCTGTGCCTCCTTTCGCCTTTCAATATGTTCTTCCAAGGTTTCCTTTGCTTTATTATGCACATATTGCTTCTTGTTGATACCATTTTTCAAGTTTGTACTCCTTACTCACTCAACCTTGAAATCAAGTGAATGGCTCACCGAACTCGAATGCCTTGGCATTAGCTGCATAGTATTTTCCACTGTCGCGTTCCAGGTTCGCATCCACATGCATCGCTCAGTGGGGAAAATGTACAAGAAATGTCGATCCGCGTGACCTTGAGAGCTGTATGCATGTTACTCGTACATTGTAGAGTCTAGATGCACAGTCCTACGGCAGTACATTAGCGGCCCAACCTCCTTTATGAAGTCTACTACTTTACGCGGTAGACTCTTTCTCGAATTTTACTACTTTCTAGTATATGCGTTTGCACAGTTTGATACTTCCATGTAGTTTCTTTTTCTCTCTCTCGAATACTCTCTTGGGTAGTCCTTTGCATATAGGTAAATTCTATGATCAAAGATTTCTATGTAACCTTCAATCTAGAACTATTGTGTACCTAGGTATAGACGGTGACTAAAGCGACATAGGTAGCAAAAGTAATAGATGAGGCTGGGCTGCTGTGTCCTGCCGTGGTCGTACTTCTGACTTGCACCTGGGCAGGAGATCATTCGGTGTTTACTACCTCCATGAAACCATGCTACGCTCCCTCTAGCCTCGTTTTTAAACTTTCAATAGCCTCGAGGTCGGTAGGGGCAGTTCTCAAGGTAATTTATCTGTGCTCGTGTGGGTGATTATCGAGATTAAGCATGCCCTGCACGCACCAGTCATTTAATCCGCAAGCCAGCTTTCTTCATCTATTGCGTTAACTGTCTTCGACTAGTTGCCAAAAATCCATATTGCTCTCCCTTCCAGTAGTGTGTATCGGTCCTTCTAAGGTCGGTGCCCAACGCCCCTCGGTTGATTCATGCCTCCGTGTTTCCGTAGGGTTTGGAATACGGCCATCGATGCACGGCTGTTCTGGGATCACCGTTACATGTACGAACACGGTAATACCCCTGATGAGGGGGCAGGTGTGGGGGCTGTCAAGACGTTCTGTTGCCAGATGCAGAGCGAGACCGAGACTATTCGGTAGGGCTAGGAGTGACTGACCACTGGTTGGCTTAGATCTTTTTTTGTTTATTCAACGACCCCATTGTCAATCCATGGGTGTTATTTGACACTAATGCTCTTTATATAGGGACTGCAAGTAGTACATATTGTACGACGTTTCTGTCCAATGTGGATTGAAAGAATGTAGGCCTTTATATCAAAAGGTACGAAGTACATTTACTTAAGTACCTAGATCACTTATGGGATACATGACTCGGGGAACAAAGAAACATTAGCCAGCAATATTGCTAGCCGCATTGGCACTGAATCCTTCGCCTATGGGCACAAAGCACTCCGGTGGCTCAGGGAACTTTGTACATACGCACGTTACTCGGTTTGGAGATGCCCTAACAACCGATAACATGATGTAAACCAATCATACAGATGGATTGAGAAAGACCAACGCTGGTGAGAAAAAGGAATCAAATCCCTGTCAACCAACCAGCTGTTGGTTGTGCTCTGGGGAAAAGGTTTCCGCGAGTGACGCGGGTCCTTTTGTGCGGGTTGCGCGATACGGTGCAGTGTTTGCCGGGCATCGGGCTTTGGCCCTAGCTCGTAAGTACACATGGCAACTTGTATATTGACCGCTTATTGAGGGCCCTCGAAATGAAGGTGCATCCTATCAATGAGCGCCAGAAGCGAGCGATGGGGGTGGGGTGGATACGGGTGCTGCGTGAGTAGTGTCGCCGTACTGCACCTCCCTTTTTGTCACGAAATTGCGAGATCATTTCATGCCCCGCTGTGTCTAGGAATGAACCCAGTTCGTACGATGATCGCTCGATGCGATGGCGTGGTCAAAGTCCGAAGGTAGGACGCGGCAAGCTTTCTTCCTTGCATTGACCCATCTGGGATATTGCTTCTGTTTAAATTGACGGGTCTCTTGGGCGGATGGAGTACCCCCCGCCCACGTACCGGTGTTGTGAGGGACAAGGAAGTGGTGAACGGGCTAGGGGCGTTGAGCAATAGGAACCACAGCAGCGTCGGAATAGTGGATATTCTCGGGCAAGGCCAGTCTCGGACGTGCGCCACATACAAAGTATAGACTTGTATTGGCAGGACACAATTCGTCAGGGATCAAAGATGCGTCTAGAATAAAATCGGCCTTCTTATCATGGAGTCGGCTCCCAGTCGCTGAGTCGCCGAGGCTCCGTTCTAGGCGGGGGAGAGCAGCTCATGGGCCAGTGAGGCGGCCACGATCCTGGAGCAAGGTTCCGACAGCGCTTCCACTTCGCTGCAGAGACGCAGTCAACCGATCCGCAGGCCCTGGACCACTGAGTTGGATCCTGGTTACATCGACGACAAGACATAATCATGTGTACGAAGCACCCGGACATCTTGTTTCAAGCAGTCAAGTTTGAAGCCGGGGACGCACCGTATTGGACCCGGAAGTAGTTTCCTTGAGATCAGCAAAAATCTCTGGAAAACCTCAACCGAATTTGGCAGATTGCGGTGACGAAGTTTGCCCAGGTGGCTTTTTTTAAGTTATGTAATTTTTGATGATATTAGGGTTACCATGAGACCAGACGATGTGCTCAAGCTCGATGATCAACTAGTGATCGACTGTAGGCATTGATACCCAGGTGCATGCTTCCAAACTTGGATCATGGAATTGTTCGCCGACACCAATCAGAGTCTCTGGGCCTCCTTTTTCCAGCTCCATTGAGCCATCCGTCCTGGACATATCTTCCGGTTTTTAGATATGGCTTCGTGCGCGTGATGGGTGTAGCTTATTCAATTTCTAATCATGAATTCAGTCGCTTCTGCAGAAAGTCGGAGACTTCAGAACGATTTGTGTTACTGTGGGCTGTCATAGTAGATGTGCTTCGGATTCATACCCGCAAGATTAGATTCCTGGGATGGCGCAACTAAACACTTGATTGGAACTTACATACCGGAAATGTCGATCGAAAGCAAACCATGGCCCTTCACGTGCCACCTTGCAGTCATGGATTATGCCAAAGTGTACTTGTAAACCCTACCTATTCAGTAGGTGCAATGTGAGTTAACGGGTGCTGTGCGTACTCTGTAGTACATACACTTTAGCCCTTTCACGCTCGTACGTGTATATGTAGGGAGCTCTGGCGGGGGTAGTATGTAGTATCGTGTCAGTGGTGGCAACTTTTCTCTCTATGGTTGGTTATCATTCGAGCGGAAAAGTTCTCCTGGCACTATGCAGCACCCGCAACTTTAGAAGGTGAAAGTCGATGTTTTGGGGATCCCGACAGGTGTAGCGATATGTGGCAACGGAACGGATTGAAAAGACCAAGCTTGAAATGCGAACATGGCCAATGCCCTACGATGCATTCCTGGTCAAATGACCCTCCACTCAAGTGCATTCGCTTCACTACGATGTGGCAAATTGTAACAAGCCACAGTGGGTACCGACAGCACGATTAGTGGGGTCTGCATTGTCCAATCCATCCAGCCCATACTCCGTACAGACAAGTGGATATACGAGCGGCAACGCTTCCAGGGAGGCTAAAATACACACAAAATCGACTCTTTTTCAATGTGCGCGCTGCGTCTGCATTTGGAGCGTGGGGAACTGTTGGATCCAGATGAATTCTCCGGAACCTTGCGCATAGAGTTCTGCAGGCGCAGCATTTCTTCAGGGAAAAAAATATTTATCAAGGATTGATCGGCATTGACAGATCTTTCGATCCTAAGAATAGGTTCGTGACTCCAAACTTTCTGGAATCGGCCAGGGATCATTTGGAGATCGAGTAACTAAGGGATAAACAAGGGTAAGTATACTCCGTACTAAGGAGACTGGCACTCAGGACGTACGAGTGATTGGGGTCCAAGACTGAATGGAAAAGAACCAGCCAGCGTAATCCAGATAGGCCAATGAGAGCAACAAAGAGCCCTATCGATCAGAACCAGGTTTGTTTTCCTCGTACGGTGTATACAGAGTACCTAGGTACTCGTAACTATTTAATGATTTCGTGTGGGAGTGTAATGGATCCCATCGAAAGAGCCTATCAATCTATCCGGAGTATTTCTCCGGAACCAACAAGAGTCATTACGGACAGCTGTTGTATGCCAATACACAGTGCCGGAAGCCATTCCTCAAATTATATTATCCTCCGTAGGAAACCGACGTCTAGTAAATGTGAGATCAAGGATCTTCTAAAGTAAAGTATTTATTCCCTGAAAACCAAGTTAGGGCTTCGAACTTCCGGAGCATATCTCGAGACAAGTAGGAATTCTAACCGAAATTCCAATATTACCAAATACCCCAGTCATTCGTCGCTCTCGTTCCTGAAAGCCCTTGGAGCTCGACCGTTTTTTTTCTTTTTTTTTTTACTTAGATTTTCCCATGGCGGGAATGTCAGCTTAAAGGCCCACATCCAACACACGCGCAGCTCTCGATCCTCTCTCCTCCTCTCATTTTCTCCTTTTCCTGGATTTTCCTGTTTTCTGTTTTATTTTAATTTTTTGTTTTTCTTCCCCTTTTTCTTTAATTCCCTTTTCTCACCCCCCACTTGGGTCCTTACGGTCTTCTCATATCTAGGCAAACCCACACTGCAGAATTTACTCGTACTGCATCGAACTAGCGCGGCCCCAGCGGCCCCTCTGTCTCTGCTCCATTGTATAATTTTCTCCATGCTCCGTTCGTGCTGGATGTGATTTGTTTGATTATGCTTTCAAATGGTGTCTGGTCAGCACGAGGGTTGTCAGGCTTCTGATTTGTCTACTTCATATTGCTCCTCTTCCCGGTATTAGATCCATGAGTGAACCAACACCTCGAGGCTATCGGCCTCTCGCGCCTCGAACACAGCTTCTCGGTGGCGGGGATGGAGGAGCGAGCCCCGGTGGGAGCGCCCCAGAGGAGAAGCGCATGAGGAGAGCTTCGACAGCTTGTACGGAATGTCAGCGGCGCCGGACCAGGGTACACTTCACTCTCTCAAGACACACAACACTCACACACTCCCTCTCTTCCTCTCACTCGGTCTTTTCGATCCCTTGATCTATTTGTTCTAGAATTAACTTCTCCTTCCTTAGTGTACCGGCCCTCCATATTGTACCGAATGCTCAACCCACTCCCGTGAATGTGTCTTCGACGAAGCTGCCGATAGACGCCGCAAGGCCTCGGCCAAACGAACCCAAGATCAATTGGACCATTTCCGGACATTTGTGGACGACCTGATTACTCTCATCCGGGATAGTGACGGTCCAACAGTTCAATTGATCGTGAACACCATTCGCTCGGGGGCAGATCCACGGCATATTCGCGACACCCTCACCCGGATCCTGGAGAATGACGTCGGCCAGCCCGGCTCCCTCAGCAATCCTGGCCCCCACGACCCCCATATCACTCTCAACTTCAATTCTAATACCAACAACATGGGCAGTTACTACGACCACTCACCTCGTTGAATTGATCCCATCCTATTTCACTCGGCCCACGCACTCGCTGCGTAACTCATCATCGAGCTCACTTCGAGCCCTCTCACCTGCACCGATTCAGATTGGGTGAAAACTTAGCGTGTCTTTTAGAGCTGTCATTCTTGCGTTACTCTTTCGTTGGGACTTGAATCCAGTCACCCGGACCGCTGTCACATTAGCCCGGGCTGTGTGACCGACTCTAAATTTGTGTTTTTTGCCATTTCTCGAGACATGTGGGGATTTCGCCAATAAACCAAATCTGTTACCTTTTCGTGGCGGTCCTAGCATTGTATTTCTTTCTTGCATAGATTCGCCGAATCTGCCGCCTCCAATATGCCACATTTGAGCCAGGATCGCGCCATATTTGTCCCATTCCTAGGGAACGGCGCTTAATAATGACTTTTTCTCACTTGGTCCTTCAACATTTCGGGAGGTTTGAGCAAGGATACGTCCTGGTTCAACCCGATCGAGGCCTATTGATTGGAACTCCCATGATACATCCCGCTAAAGCCATACGACGCTGACTTACAACGGTCTACAAGATGTGATGCATTCGATCCGAAGTGCATGCAGATCCAATCGTTGTCTCTTGGAAATCAGATGGTCTCTCTTGGTCATGGGAACCGAATTTCGATAGTCACTATATTTGCATTTCCCGGATTGTCGCTTACAAAATCTTCACATGGTGAACCCTGCAGGCCGAGGATTCGATTGCTTTTTCTGCCGACATCATTGTTCCAACGGCCTCGCCGCGTTCAAATATCCCAGTGACTCTTTCTAGGGCTACGTGTAACCACAGTATTAACAGGTGGATCATGGGGGATTCGGATATGTCCTGAGGGGTCTGACGATGTAGTGATTCTTGTCCCATTGGCTTCAGGGGTTATTTTCCTGGATATCCGCCTTGAGGTGTCTTGGTTTTGCAGGGCTTGAAGATACATATCCAGCGCCTGAAGTTCTAGATCAATGTGACACGTGGGGTAAAAAGCCGAATATGTACTCGTACTTAAGTACGTGGATCATCTTGTTTATCCACATCCCTAGGAGTCATTACTCTTCTGCAACTATTGAAGTATATCCTAACTCAGCGATGAGGCGCACACGCTTCCTGGGCTGTTTCGTCGAAATCCGGGGAGGTGGAGGTATCCCCGCGCCGACCGGAGACTTGCCGAGATCGCCTTTTCCCTCCCGGATACTTCTCCTCTCCAACAGCCCTGTAATTCGAGTGCTGTAAACACCAACAGGCTCTTGAATTTCTGCACGGATCGGCAAGTCTCGCCAATTCTGATATGGAACCCACCGGAGTTGCCGTGTCTCAGTCAATGTCAGGCGAAAGTACTTCAGCCGAATCACGCAAAAGAAAAGCGTCAGATGTATCAAATAAAGATGCACCAATACCCCGACGAAAAATCACTCGAGCCTGTGATTCATGTAAAGTCAAAAAGACGCGGTGTACGGGCACTCTCCCTTGCACAAGATGCACGCGACTGTCGCTACCGTGCAAATACAACGCCGCCTATTCTCGGGGGTTGCCGCCCGAGCCTTTGCCCGCCTCATCCAGCCCACATGTTGCGGATGAGCGACGTGCATCCGAACCCGAATGCGGGCAGAATCCGAACAGCAGTCGGGATTTGACTAACGGTCCACTTGCGAAATCAAACCACGCCACGTCTTCGCGGAATTCGCCCGAGCCTGGTTCAACTGACTTCGAGGGCAATTACCTTGGCCCTTCATCTGGGGTGTCGTTTATCAATCGAGTCTGGAGCCGTCTGCATCAGGATGAGGCCCATTATCCTGGTGAGCATCAGGATGAATCTTCGAAAAACACCGCCGTGCTTATGTTTGGCGATAAGCCTTACGTTCACTCGCAAGGGACGGGGTTCACCCTTCCATCTTTGGGAAGGGCCCTGGAGTTGGTGGGGATTTACTTCGACTTCTCCATGGTGACCTATCGCTTCATCCATCGGGGTAATGTTGAATCGTGGACCCGGCAGGTCTATGAATATAATATCGGTCCCACCAATCTCCCCGTGGGTAATATGGTGGCTAGAACAGCTATAGTTCTCATGATATTTGCCGTGAGTACCTTATACGTGGAACTTAGACCAGGCGATGTACCTGCTGGGCGAAGTGAAAGGTTGGTGCGACGGAGATGGAAAATTCCTCTCAGGGTGGTAATCAAAACTGACAGCCTACAGTGAGCTGTGGTACGCAGCGTCCAAATACATGTCTTCCCTCGAGGTGGGCCCACCACGACTGGAAACAATACAGGCTCGACTCTGCCAATGCCTGTATCTGCTATCATCCTCGCGGGCAAATGAATGCTGGTACTCTTTTGGCACGACCACCCAGCTTGTGACGGCGCTTGGGTTACACCGAAAGTGGTTGGGCAAACCGTCTAAGGGATGCTCATATCTAGAATTGGAACTTCGCAAGCGCATCTTTTGGAGCGTATATACTCTCGACAAATATTTAAGCATCATGTTTGGAAGGCCCCGATTATTGCACGACGAGGATATCGATCAAGAGCTTCCTGACGAGATGAATGACGAGGATCTGCTAGAAGAAGATCCAACTCGACGAACAGGATCAACAGATAGTATGATGATTGCCTCTGTTCTTCATTATCGGTAAGTTCAAATCATCTTGTGCTCTCATTGTTCGGATTGCATCAGAATCTCAGACCCAAAATTCAGACTCGGCCGAATACTCGGGGATATCTCCCGCCAGCTGTACAGCATTTACCCAATATCTCGACACTCACCTTTGGATACAGCCATCAGATTAACATCTGAGCTGGAAAAATGGAAAGAGACTGTCCCGCCCCTATTCAATAGTGTCCGCCCATCCAGCCTGATCCCACCCCTTTGCCGCCAAAGTCAAGTTCTTCAACTCGCGTACTCACATGCCATGATCCATGTCACGCGCTCATTTCTCCTCAGCGACTTCACAGATCTCAGTCGCAGGCCTCAAGTTCCACACCCGATGGTCAGCTCTTATGTCCAGAAATGCATACAGGCGGCCGAAGACATTATGACTATAATTGACGACCTCGCGCAACAAAATGTGCTCATCCAGTCTTTCTGGTTCACACACTATGTATGCTTCTGCGCCATTCTGGTCGTTTATATACACACAATCCAGCAGCATCAAAAATCAAAGGGAATGTCTAGCTCAGTGTCCGTGTCTTCCGCAGGGAGTCCCGGGGACCCAGATAAGCTGCGATTGCTTTTTTCACTAGCCGAAACCTGCCAGAGGCATCTTGCCGAAGCTACGCGGAAGAACTGTCCCAGCCGGCGTTATGGAATCATTCTCGAAGAGCTGAGACAGGAGGTTCATCGACAGGTTGGCCCAGCTGAGTTCTCGGTTGGAGTATCCCATTCTGGTGAGAATCACGAATCCCAATTCCTTAACACCAATCATGCGGCTATCCGGCCGATTACATTTGACGCTCGGGTGGAGGGATTCCCCGCCATGCACCCAGCCGAAATGGGACTCAATACAGGGGATGATTTAGGCTTTCTTGAGAGTCTCGAAGGGTCCGTTTGGTGGGCGCAACTTGACTCATGGGTGGGTTGGAAGCCCTTGACTGCAACTGATCTAATCTGTACTGTGATTTGCTTATATCTTTCTAGGCCTTGTCTAATCTCCCCAATGATCCGTCGACTTTCAATTTTTGAATGAGGGGGGTCAGATGTTTGCAACTCGTGATATGTGGGCGTCAATTACGAGCAGTGCATGACTAGCTTGGAGTTTATTCTGAGTTTCGTGATACACTTGTAAAATGTTAGAGGTGTTTTATAATAGATGTATCTATTAGACCCTGGAGTCCACGGTGTATCTGTGGATATAACTAGCCTCGGGGAAACCTTAAATAACTTTAAAAGGATTCAACAAGTACGAAGTACGAAAGACAATGTGTCTACGGAGTAACTAATGGAAGGAGATGACAGTCAGTTTCGATACAATGGGACCGGAAACTGCTAAGCAAACCATGAACACATCAAGTGTCCACCCGGTTTGTAGCCCGAATCGAAATCGAAATCGAAATCCCGATACGCTTATTACCTACATAGGTACGTTTCTCCACAGAGCGCGAACCCTTGTCTTCTAAAGTTCGGATCCTGCAGATCACACTACGAGAGCCATCTGCTTTGTCCGGTACATTTTCCATATCAGTCGATATTTTCATTCAGATGCACAATCTCGAATCTTCCGATCCATGCTCATGGCCAATCTCACTGCACCCCTTAGACGGGCTCGGCTATTTCAGCCACACTTGCGGTAAACCGTCTAGACTCTAGACCACTATGACAGAGATAGCCCATTGGATTCGCAGGCAATTCAACCGGCCGAATCCCTGGACTTGTACTCCGTACTCCGCACTAGTTATGACAATTTGTCTCAAGCTGAACTCGGATTCAGGGGTAGATATCCCAATTACATAAATTTTTTTTCCACACATTGGTCATAACAGGACCCACAGAGAGTAGCCCGTCTTTCAAATGTCTCAAATGAGTGTGATGTCCTTGGCAACATACTCATACTCGTACATACGAGTAGTTATATTGCGAGTACTAAGTATCTGCGCAGGTGGTTATGAGTGGTTATGAATGGTGTGATAAATAGTGCCGTTGTAGATCGCATATTGGCCTGAAATCAGCGATCTTGATATTTCTCCAATTGATCAAAACTGCATTTTATTCTGTCTCCAAGATTGCTTACTTTACATATTCATGCTATGTAAGAATGCACTTTTCTCGCTATGGGAATTCTCACATCTAGACACAACTTCTACTCCAATGGGATGAAAATGTTACGAAGCCCATGAGGGTAGCCTTGGATTAGGACGTGAGAAAAGAGCCATAATCCTCGATGATTCCCGGGGTTATTTCCTCACATCGTGATCGTGTAACTGGCAGCTTCGGAGTGTTGTGATGAAGTGTTGTGATGAAAATGATTCTCGAGGTCTCGGTGGTGCTTGCCCTGAGGCGTGACTGCCACAAACATCGATATAAACTGTCCTCAATTCTTCTCTTCGCCAATATCGTTAGGTTGTCGGCTCACAATTCACTCTTTAGGTAAGGAACATGACCTCTCGCCCGGAGAGACGCAATCCTTTCAATCTCCGGATTCAAACCAAAGTTGCGCCCAAGAACGATGCTTCTCCCGGTTCTGGAAGGCCAGAAAGCCCGACGGACCCAAGTATTCTAGGGTCAAAAAGAAGTCGGATAAAAGCCCAGTTTTCTCGGAGTGGCTCTCGAATTCTCTTGCTTCTAGGTCTGCGGGAGTCAAAAAGTCAGTAGTGTTGGTCTTGATGGGAGTCGGTTCGCTGATCTTCTGCCCTAGGTGACAAAGATTCAGTCGCCGATACTGCCTCCTCCAACTCCATTCAGACTGGAGTGAAGAATACGCAGAGCGCTCCTCCTTCCCCGAGCGGTGATCATGATGACAGTCCAGAGTATCCAATTGCGGTCGAGTCCCCACAGAGTGAACCGCTGCCTGTCACTCATTCTTTCAATTTTCCCATTGAAACGGCAGAGTCGCTCTCCGAGCCACTTCCCATCCCACACTCATTGCTTGAAAATCCCGGAGCGCCAGTTGTTGAGGTGCAAAATGCCACAACTGATTCTCAACCTCCAACTCTCGTCGATCAACCGAGCCTAACTAATTCCAATTTCATCGATCGCTTCTCGCACAAAATCTCGCTGACGTTCGGCCAGCCCACTGTCATTCGCCGTACTTATCTTCGTTCCCGACCAATTATTCTTTGTGGCAATCTACCGGTGGTGGAAGATGGAGGAGTTCATGGTGATGGCGCTGATGAAAGCTCTACGCCGTCAACCTCCCCCAGCAGCATGGGCTCTCCACTTGGCAGATACTCGACTCCGCTGACAACTGGTACATCTTTCCCATCTTCGGAAATATCAAAGCCATCCGACGAGCTTAAACAACCAACTGCAGTGAACAAATGGCCATCGATTCCTGAAATGATTGAAGAAGACACGGCCCATGCATTTGACACAAAACAAAAAACTAGTTTGCCGTCAATCAAAACGGTAGAAACAGCGGCTGTCGCCAAAATATATTTGGAGCTACATTTCAATTCTGTTTTTAACGACAAGGATCCGCGGCTGCAGCGTCAGGTAGAGCTGCAGCAACAGATGTATTCATTCGAGCTTACTCCGGAGGAACGCTTGATGACAATGCACAACTGGGTTCTACGGGAAAATGACCATCTTCGACAGTGTCGGGTCCTCAAGTCGAGCAGACATAGGGTGCAAAGTGAAGAGGCCGTCTCTCTCGCCGGATACAAATCTATCAAAGTGCTTGGGAAAGGGAGCTTTGGCGTTGTGCGTCTGGTCCGAAAAGTTGAAGGCGAACGAAAGGTCGCTGAAGATGGCAATGTTTCACCCGCCAATGGAGGTGGCAATGCCAACAGTCGGTCCAAGCATCTGGGACTTTTCATTTCTGCGGTGGAGGGAGCCAAACAGACCCGTCGGAGATATATGACTGGCGAAAAGAAAGAATTTTACGCCATGAAAGTCATCAAAAAGTCGGGAATGATCCGCAACTCTCAAGAAGGTCATATCCGAGCAGAGAGAGATTTCCTTGTTGCCTCTGAAAGGTCTCGCTGGGTTGTTCCATTGATCACCAGCTTCCAAGATACCAGTAATCTCTATCTTGTGATGGATTACATGGTTGGTGGAGACTTCTTGAGCTTCCTGATTCGCAAGGATACTCTTCGCGAGGACTGGGCACGCTTTTATGTCGCTGAGATGGTATTGTGCATTGAGGAGGCTCATCGTCTTTTCTGGATTCACCGCGACGTCAAACCTGACAACTTTCTCATATCAGCTTCAGGTCATTTGAAGATCTCCGACTTCGGTCTCGCATTCAGCGGCCATTGGTCTCACGATCAAGACTATTACAACATTCATCGCTATTCCTTACTGGAGAAGCTTGGCATTGCGGTCAAAGGTGATGCTGAAGATCAGAGACAAGCTGCCGCACTCGAAGAGCACCTTTCTGATACTAGCGTACGGGGCATGGACGATGAGATTCCTCTTGAGCCGCCGAATACGGATCTGCTAGATTGGCGAGAAAATCATGGGAGACGCAGGTTTGCTAAGAGTGTGGTTGGGACCAGTCAATACATGGCCCCCGAGGTCATTCGAGGTGAAATGTATGATGGGCGATGTGACTGGTGGAGTTTGGGTATCATTCTCTATGAGGTAGGTCTGTTCAGAGTTATGGCCGACAATGGACAATCTCTGACCTCAATCTAGTGTCTGTATGGATTCACTCCGTTTGGTTGTGATAACCGACATGACACCAAGATCAAGATTCTTGTGGGTACCTCTCCTGTTGGCCTAGTCTACATCCATTCTAACATCCATACAGCACCACGCAGAGAATTTGAATTTTCCCCGGCAGACACCGTCGGACAAGATGGTCTCTGCTGATGCTCTAGACCTCATCATCAGAATTCTGAAAGAGCGCGAGTTTCGCCTGTGCTCCCCAAAATACAGGTTGAACGACATCCTCAGTGGACGTCCAGTCTCAAAGCAGATGCTTTACTCTATGGACACGCGTTACAGGAATATTGCAAGTTACTACGTGTACGCTAATGACGCCACAGACATCAAGATTCATCCCTTCTTCAGAGGGATTCGATGGCAAGACCTACATCGGTGCCAGCCACCCATGGTCCCTAGAGTGAAGAACTGGGAAGACACCCGGTATTTTAATGAGTGCAAGGTAGCCGGCAAAGCTGTCGACGACGCCGCAAGTGACTCAGAAGGCAGAGCGTATCATCCCGATAAGCAGCCTGAAGATGGTCCCCTTGGCAATCCAACACCAGACACGGCGGAAAATGCTCTCGTTGAATCCCAGGCAGTTGAACCTGCTCCGGATCCAGCACTGGGCCAGGCAAATCCCGTCGAACAGAAAAAAGAGAAGAAAAGGCCTCGCGACAAAATTCTTCGAGATGAAGAGCTAAGAAAGACAGTTTTGGAAATTCGCAAAGGGGGCGCCTTCTTGGGATACACGTATCGTCGGCCTAATGAGGTTGCTTTGGCTTTCAGCTCGGCACGAGGCCGCCAGCGTGCCTCCCGAGGCGATTTGGCAAGCCTCTTTGCTACATGATGGCTGAAAGCAGAGGCATGGCTTTGCATCAAGTCACTGCCCTCAATCCTGAATACAGTCAGCTGCTGATGGATTCTACTCGGTCCAGACATCACCGTCCTTTCAATGTTTGAAACTATTCATATAGCCTTCTTTTTGTCTTGCTTTCATTCCATTCACCCTCCTTGGGCCATTATCTCTACACTAGTCCCTCCTCTCACATCCCCTAAGCAATAAAGCTATATGGCCTGGCCAGACTTTCTGCGTCACTCTTTTGGCCTCTTTCTATGTACCGTTCTCTAGATAGCCGTAAATTGAGTAAGAGTTACCGCTTCGTGGCTCTGCGGGTGATTACACCATTTCAAATGAATGGGTTAATTGGTTCTACTGTATACAAGCCGCAAAGATGTCAGATGTCAACATGGGATTGCTTGTACTGAGCCACACTTCATCGAAGTTGAATGCACACTAAGAATAATAGGTATCGAGGGTCCATACCAACAGCATGGAAATTCACCGCATATCTTATTAACTCACACCTGGCAGGCATAAACGCCGGGTATTAAAACAAAATTTTTGAACAGACATGAAATAATTTGGAAGGGGTATCAAATTCAGAGTAGATTGCGGAATGGATGTTCGGAAACAAGCGAAGCTGGGTGCAAACAATCACAGAACCGGGGCGCTCATGGAGAACGCCGAATCCGTGACACGGTCCTCAGGCTTCATGGTACCGTTCAGCAGAGGGCAAAGCTTCTTGTTTGTCTTGATATGTCCGACTTGACCACAGTTGGCACATTTGCGCTGGGTGCCAGCGGGCTTGCCATCCGGATCGCCGGCACGAGGAATACCCTTCTGCTTCTCTCGGGCAAAGCGGCGCTCCTTGTTGCGGTTGAGACGACTGAGCTCGGCCTCGATGAGCTTTCTGTTGCGAGCGTCGACCTCGGCGTCGCCGGTAGGCTGCAGCGATTCCAGCTTTGTGTGCATGGCTTCGTGGGTGTGGCGATGTTGGATGTACTGCCTGATGACGCGGGGATCCCAGACTAGCTGTTCTTTCTCCACAATTTCGCCGTTGTCGAGCTTGACCTGGCGGGTGATGCGCAGTACTTTCCCGCGCTGGCTGTTGAAACTCATCTTACTGAACTGACTGGTGGTCTCGTCATCACGACGGTATGGGCCCGGGGTGGGGGCTTCTGATCGTGGCGTCGGCTTGTTGAATTGCTCCTGATAATCTTCTTCTTGGTCGATATCGCTCTCCTGATCCGAATGCTCGATGGTAGAGGACAAGCTTTCCTTTTGAGCATCCCAGATGCGGCGGATGGAAGTTTCGTATGATTTTTGCTGTCGAGCAACGTTGTAACTGTGACCGCCAAGCTCCTTCAATCGCTGTGCGTCGAGTTTATCCTCAACACTTTCACCGATGGCCTTGAACCCACCCTTCATGCTTGTCTTGATAAAGTTGTAACCCTCACCACGGCCAGTAGGATCTCCTTCGCCATGAAGTTTCAGCATGGCTTTGCCTTGAGATGCTAGCAAGAAGTTGCGGGTTGCCTTCCAAGGAGCCATTTGCTGCTCGAAGCTCTCAAATTCTTCGTCTTCATCGTTGTCACCACCAGTCTCGGCATCATTACCATATCCTGTGTCGTGAAGATGTTGCTGGCCAACTTGCATGGACTCCAGCAAACAAACATCCTCAGGTTGGACCCAGGAGCGGATGGTATCCTGATCTGGAAGGGTCGGGTCCAGTGGTTTCCAGTATTTTGTGTCTTTGTCGTGTTGCAAGAAATCCTTGACTTTCTGTCGGTTTTGCATATCCGTGGTGTTGGGAATATGGGCTGTAACATCACTGATTGCAAGTCGTTCATCCGGACTTTTCTTCAATAAGCGGTAGACCAGCATCTTCATGCGATTCTTTGCGACTGTGGTCACTTTTCGTGAGTGCGGGCCAGGAATGTCGACAGAGGGGAATTGTTGTCCGGCAACATAGAAATTCTCGATGTTACGCAGGTAGTAAGTACTGCCGCCGACACCGGTGGTGCTACGAACCACAAGGAAGTCTGTAGGCTTATTTTGGTGTGGGTAAAGCGGTGCTCGGTACATGGAGTTGGAGATCGCGGGGGAGATTTCGCCGGGATCAACGTGGCCGAAAATCGAATAGGGACTTTTGTCTTGAGGCAGAAGAACCGCTGTTTCACCAATCTCGGCCCTTGGGCGAGTAGGATCATCGATGTTCTTGCGTCTGTAGTAATTAATGAAGCGGTTGCACATTCCGAAGTTTGCTAGCGTCATGGGAACTTCTTCGGAGTATTCCACTAGAAGAACGTGGGAATTGTCTCCCATAGACAACGATTGGGTAGAGTCAAAGACATTTTTGGCGTCCCGACCGCGTAGTTGCTTGCGTTTGACATGAACAGGGTTCTTGAACCACGATGTCTGTCCGGGGCGGAATATCATGGCGGGTCGGTGGAATGATCTGGCTTCACCCTTGGCCAGCTCAGTCTTGTAGTATGGCCACTGAAGACGCAGAGCTGGGAGAGCATGCTCAAGTGTCACATTGCCAAGAGTACTACGAATCTTGTTCTGGTGGTTCTGCTTGAGCATGTCGTATGCTTGGTCATTCGAGATGTTGTATCGCTGGGTTAGACGGCGGGTCAGATTCAAGTCCACTTCATCTCTGGTACGAGGAGCAGCGTGTTTGGGCTTGTTGGCGATGGCGTCTGCCCTCGATTCATCCACAAGAATGTTGGGGTCGTTGAGATCGATAGTTACTCTCTTCGCGATTTTCATCGTCGCTTGTTCAGGGTCATCCAGTAATGGAACATCGATATGTGACAGCGCAATGACATCCATGGGGGTTGGGCCAGTCTTGCGCTTTTTGCTAGGAGCTTCAGCTTCCATTAGCCAATCATCGTCATCGTCGACATCAAAGCCATCCTTGTTCTGTTGTGAGGTCTGGTCATCGGCATCCGTAACAGAAAGTTCGTCTTTGACGTCCCAGTCCACGCAGATGGTCCGAAGATCTTGCATGGTGAAGCCACCGGGAAGTGTTTCTTCGTCATCCAAATCACCATCACCTGTCTCAACATCTTCGTTCGTGTCCACTTCCTCATCCTCACGAGGTGATTGTGAGATCGTCACAATACCGAGAGATTCGTGATCCAGGCCACGCTTGAGGGGTTGACCGGTTCTGAATGTACGCTCCTGATCAGGCGCCAGTTCGACGTTGACCTTTGTGGGCAAAACAGGCTTGGGTGCTTTGGTGGGCTGTTTTCCGAAGAATATGGCTCTTTTGTGTGGAATCAATTCCAGCCATCGTGGAAGGGTATTGCGATCAAACTGGGGGAAAAGAGAGTGCAGCAGTTCTTCGTGGTTCTCTGGTGGCGCCGGTGGGTTTTCTGGGCCAGACATGGCGAAGAGGGCCTGTTGAAGTTTCCATGCGCGAAGCTCGTTGGGATTCATGCTGTCGGACATGATACTGTCGTCATCTGGGAAGTCATCCTCGTCGGCGGGGTCGGGCTGTGGCTCCGGTTCAGGCGCTGGTGGAATGATTGGAAGTTCGACTGGCTGTTCTGTCAATGGCATTTCTTCGTCTTCGAATAGGCCCCGGGTAGGATCATCCTGTCCAGCAGGAGGCGGCGAAAACGAGCCTTCGCCAAAGAGGTCATCGAGGTTGTCGTCCTGGGGCTGAGCCCCCTCACCTGGGTCGCCGAAGAGATCATCGCCATTTCCAAACAGCGCGGCGTCATCTGAGCCCAGGTTCGCGAAAGGATCTTGACCGCCGTCATCCACAGGAGGCAGGGCCGGGGCCGATGCTCCCATTGTCTCTTCCTCTGGTAGGTCATCATCCTCAAAGTCTTCATAGTCGATTGCATCATCCGCCTTCTCGCCAACATCCAGATCCCGGTCCAGGAAGTCCATGTTGGCATTGCTCTCGAAATTGTTCAGCTGGCGCATCACATCGTCAAAGTCGGTGTCGGCCTCGGCCTCTCCGGCTTTCGAGGTTGCGTGAGGCATGGCGGGCGGTTTTGCGGGAGCCAGAGTGCCTGATTTATCGTGTGTTGGAGTTTGACAGGGTGTTGGGGATAAAGCGGCGTGTGATGCGTGTGATGCGTGTGATGCGTGCGATGCGGTCGGCAGGTGAAAGAAGTCTCAGTTCTGGGCGAGAGAGGACTGAGACGCGGGCCGAAAGGGCGGCGCGATTTACCACAGGCGCATCGGTGTTGAGAATCGAAAGGCTGTGGTAAAGGATCACAGAATGGCGTGGTACTTTAGTAAACGCAGAGAAAACGGGTCCCAAGGATAATGCGCGAGGGACGTATGGCACTAACCGGAAGTGGCAATCAGCTGCCTGATCATCCATCAATAGATGTGAATTACTCGATTGGTAGAGATTATGAATAATGAAGGATGTATTGATCTGTGAATAATACAATAGGACTGGAGAACAATAGGAGATATTTGAGATATTATTATTGAGAGAGTCGTGCCACGTCAAAGTCCCCATAGAAGATGCACAATGCCTTGCTTGCCCCCTCCATACAATAGTGCATCACCATATTCTTTTGCCCCTCAGGAACCAACTTGGCTATTTGCTTCAAGTTAGATGTCCGAGGGATGAAGAGAACCATGTGTTTGCTGAATACTGAGTATTCATCGTACAGCCGTTGAAGTGAATATGGCTCCATGGTCTTCAGATTGAACACTTGATCTGAGCGGTATCCCGGGCCTAAAACTATTAGCCGGGGCTGTCCAGGTTGAAAATAAATTGAACTTACCTCCCCATGGTGGACTGGCAAAGATCACACTATATGGTGCCAGGTCTTTCAGCTGCTTCTGTAGAATCTCAAAGCAGTCGCCTTCAAACCAAGTGATCTTGTCCTGAACACCGTAAATTTTGGCATTGTGCTTAGCGCACTTGAGCACGGCGGGGTTCTTTTCAATGGCATAGATACGCTTCCATTTGCCAGTCAGTGCAAATGCGATGGTGTTTCCACCTGCACCGGCGAAAGCATCTACCAGAATCATGCGTCCAGCAGGTGCCGACTCGGCCATTTGTGCAGCGATTTTACTGGATACCAATTAGCAATGTGCTCCGAAGGTCGGGATATACATCAAGATAACATACTTGGCAACAGGCTCGGGCGTGACGCCGAACCAAGCATCATCGGTCAACCATACACCCTCATCATACTTAGAAAAGATCTGATAGCGTTGTGCCCAGTAGCTGTCCAGGTTAGCTTTGATCCCTCCGTATGGCTCAAGATGCTCACTTTTGAATATCCCAGGGGACTTCTTGAATACTGCTGTAGTGATGCACCTCAGGAGGCGCTTCTTCTTCTTCCATGATGCACTTTCGCGATAAGTCAAGATGATTGATTCTCGATAACTGATAAAGATGATGGTGTTTGCACTGTTTGCACCGCAGTCGGGCCAGCTCATGCCCCGTCAATACAACACAGCTTCGACTGGATTAGACTCCGTCATTCACTTGAGCCCAATCTGTGATCATATCTTGGTGTCATGTTCGGTGCATTAAATCGTTTCATCGGTCGCCTGGACGGAGAGCCTGGTCCGCAACCTCGATCTGGCCCCGGCGACAACGCGTTCGGCTTCCAAGTCCTCCGCAACACAGACCCCGAGCTGCCTTTAGAGCCATGGTTCGACTTTATCGTCGGGATCAACGGACATACAATTGTAAGTCTTGAACATCTACATCCTTCTTATTACAGGATACTGCTTACACCTTTCTGTAGGAAGACCCAGACCCCAACCTCTTTGCGACAGAATGCCGCAATTGCGCTGGTGGAAGCTTGACGCTTGAAGTATGGAGTGCTAAGGTGATACTTCCCGTATTTCTTATTCATCTCTAATTTACAGGCTAACCTCGATTTAGGGTCAACGAACACATACTGTCACTCATCCCGTACCACCAACCAACCCCTCCCTGGGCCTCGCATTACAGCTTGCTCCACTTGCTTCGACGCAGAATATATGGCATGTGATCGCAGTACCATCGCCGCTAAGTCCAGCATACCGAGCTGGCTTGCTCCCATACTCAGATTATATCGTTGGAACCCCCAGTGGGACATTAAGAGGGGAGGCGGCACTGGGAGAGCTGGTTGAAGATCATCTCAACCGCACGTTGGTACTATGGGTATACAATAACGAATTCGACGTAGTTCGTGAGGTCGAACTCATCCCTACCAGAGGCTGGGGTGGAGAAGGTGCCCTTGGTGCCGAACTTGGATTTGGTGCTTTGCACCGCCTGCCGCTTGGACTAGGGGAGGAAGTGGAAGGCCCTGGTGAGGTGGTTTTCGAGACAGGCAAAAGCAACAGTCCTGCACCGGCGGATGATGGTGCGGGCTCCGTGCCAGGGCTAACAGCTCCTTCCAATAACTACTTAGTCCCCGCCAACATGACGGCGCCGCCACCTCTGGCCGCTACTCAAGCACGCGATGCCTCGCCATCTCAGAGCAGGTCTCCAGCGGGCCGTCGTGCAGGAAAGTCACGGCCAGGTGCCTCTCCCAATCGGGCATTTGATGACTACTTTGCCGAGGGTGAAGAGAAGAGCCGCGCGCAGGACTATGCACCCTCACGGCATGGCACTCCTTTGCCTCCCCCTCCAAAGGCGGGATTATCGCAAGATCGCTCGGAGAGCCCCGCGCCTGTGCCTGTCACATCAGTAGGGTCTCCTGGGCCTGCGCAGGAGGAATGATCAAGATGACTCTAGAATCAAATTAATGTAGAGTACGACGGAAGCCAAACATATCAATCATCGCAAACCCTAAGTCTACGCCAGGCCTTGTGTGGAGCCATTGGTCAGGTAACCTTCGAGATGGCTTTCCAAAGTTCCAGCTGTAACAAAAGAAATCAAGTTCATTGTAGAGTATCACAACCTCAAACCGATGTTGATAATTATATCGAAACCATAGACAAGCACACAAAGCTAGGGCTTTATACCGAGCAGTTAATGACCAAACAATGGGAACAAAAGGAACCGATCCGGTATAGTCTTCGGATAAAAGAGTCTCTAGGCGTACATATGCAACAAATCAAACCCGCTCTATAGCCCCAAACCGGGTCTAATTCAGTGGCCCTTGCTGACCAGCTCCTCCAGCTTCTTACGGGTGACACCGATCTTCTCTTCCATCATCTGGCGTGCCATTCCACTGTGCGCAAGTCCAGTGTACCAAATGTGCTCTGCGCGCTCACGGACAGCCAAGTGCTGGTCCGCAACGGCAGGGACCTTCTTCTCGTACTCCCACACCAGGTCGCCAACGTTGCGCATCGTCACGGGCAGGAGGCTGTAGGCGGCAGCGGTACCGAATGCGAGGGGAGACGCAGAGCGGAGGAAAATTCCACGATTGCGCGAAACGATGGAGCCAGCCATGGCAGCCACAACGACGTAGACACCACCGGGGAGAAGGCGCTCACCGGATTCGGGCGATGGGGCAAGAGACGCGACAGTGTTGGTGAAGCAGTTTTCAATGTTGAGGGCCTTGGAGAGGAACTTGTTGAAGCCCTGCTCTGCGGCAAGGGAGTTTGAGTAAAGGAAGAGGCGAGCTTGTCGGACCTGTGCGGTCAAGATGTCTGTCGGGGTGGGCGAAGAGGGGGCTTGTTGCGCAGCCGGTGCGGAGATCAGCTTGGGGGCTTCGATGGCCGCAGGGGCAGCAGGGGCAGCAACAGCGGCAGCAACGGGCGCAGCAGGCTTGGAGGGTTCGGGGAGATCGGCAGGGAAGTCATCGTAGATAGGTTTCCGCTAAATTAGGGAAGTAATCGTGTGTTAGATCGGGCTTGCTGAGGCTGTGGGAAAGCTGCATTCGGATTTCTTCATACGTTGTCTCGGGGCACTTCAGCGAATGCCGTCTGCTTGGGGTACAAAGCAATGCCTCCTGCGAGGAGAGTGGCTGCGATCGGAGCCACAGCCCGCTGGGAACGAGTCAGTGTGGAACAGGCGTTTGGGAATCAATTGCATCCAACTGAAAGGAAGGCAATCTAAGTGCAGCATCCATACCTGTTGCAACATCGGCCGGAAGGACATCCTGAGGGTGTGAGGGGGGAGGAGTGGGTGAGCTGGTAGTGAGGGTGAAGCAAAGTCGTGTTGGAGCAGGACGGGAATTCTTCGGCTCGGCGGAACCTCCAGAAAACTCCGTCATTGCCCGTTCTCCTTCGACAACTGTATACTGCTTTAGAGATCTAATGTGATCTTTTTCTCATGGTTTCTATCTCTCTTTAATACGGTCTCCACCATGCTTCGCCCTGTGCGACGAACGTGGACGTGTCGCAAATGGCTGCATCCGCGAGCCCAGATCCGGGCCTTCGAGAGCGCCGCATCGCCCTCGCCTTCAACGTCGTTCGACTATATTCCCGCGGACCACAGTGCACCCCGAAAGAACAATGATGACAAGACTTTGCGGAGTGTTTTCGATTCGCAGCCGTTTTGGAATGAATTCTCCCAGCAACGCTCCGCGGCCCCTAGACTGGCTGGGCTGGTCCAGAATCAATACCTGACAAGCCCCGAAGGATTCATGTCATTTGCAAATGTCTCGCTACAAAGATGTCAGGCCATTGTTGCCAAAGTGCTCGCCGCTTCGACGGTGGAAGAATACAGGGCGCTGGCGCGGGACCTTGACCGGCTCAGCGACCTTTTGTGTCGCGTTATTGACCTATCGGACTTTATTCGAACGATTCACCCGGAGCCTCGGATACAAGAAGCAGCCACGCAGGCGTGGGCTCTTATGTTTGAATACATGAACGTTTTGAATACAACGACAGGGCTGCATGAACAGCTCAACAAGGCCTTGAACAACCCCGATGTGACATCACACTGGACCGAGGGCGAGACGATTGTGGCTCAAATCCTCAATAAGGATTTCTCCAACTCTGCAATCCATATGCCGCCAAATGTACGACAGCGTTTTGTAAATCTGTCCAACGATGTGAGTCAGTTGGGTTCTGAGTTCATGAACGGCGCGGAGCCCGCGCGGTCCCAGATCACGTTTCCTGCAAACGCTCTCCAAGGATTGGATCCTGTCATCGTTTCTAAAATCAAGAAATGGAACAAGAAAGCGCCAGTTTCCACTATGGGGATTGTTCCTCGGCTCGCCCTACGCTCGGTGCATGATGAAAACGTTCGCAGGGAAATATATCTCGCCACACGCACGTCTAGCAAGCGCCAAATTGAAAGATTAGAACAACTCCTGACCAAGAGAGCAGAGCTTGCACAGCTCACAGGCCACAACAGCTTCGCGCATATGACGCTAGGTGACAAGATGGCCAAGACACCCGAAGCAGTGTCGAACTTCTTGACCTCGCTTGTCTCCAGCAACCAGGGACCAGTTCGAGAGGAACTTTCTAAACTGCAGGCTTTGAAGGGCAGTGCTTTGCAGCCTTGGGATCATGCATATTACGTTCATAAGCGTGTTCTACAATACACTCAAGCTCGTCGCTCTCGTCACACAGGCGTTATAAATGAGTTCTTCTCTTTGGGAACAGTGATGCAAGGTCTTTCACGACTGTTCGACCGTCTTTACGGCGTTCGCCTCGTGCCACATGAAGCCTCTCCTGGCGAAACCTGGCATCCTGATGTCCGTCGATTGGATGTAGTGGATGAATCGGAAAGGCACATCGCAGTCGTCTATTGCGACTTATTTTCACGCCCTAGCAAGCATCCTAACCCGGCCCACTTCACTCTGCGCTGTTCCCGTGAGATCTCTGCAGAGGAGATCTCCGAGTGCGCCTCAATGCACCAATCCGCACACCCGAATGACGGCATGGCCACTGGTGTTGACCCACAAACCAAAACCTTGCGCCAACTGCCCACGATCGCTCTGGTGTGTGATTTCCAGGAGCCCCAGGCCAGTGGTAGTGGCCAGCCAACCCTTCTCAGTGAGCAGAGTGTTCGCACTCTGTTCCACGAGATGGGCCATGCGGTCCACTCGATCCTCGGTCAAACACCTCTCCAGTCCATCTCCGGAACTCGGTGCGCCACGGACTTCGCCGAACTTCCCTCTGTGTTGATGGAGAGCTTTGCGACTGCACCAGAGGTGCTATCTCTGTACGCGCGTCATTGGAAGACCGACGAACCCCTATCTGAGAGTATGATGCAGAGCATGGAGCTTGACCGCACTGCGCACGGCTCCATTTACGGCGCCGTGGAAAACGAAGCGCAAATCCTCATGGCGCTCGTCGACCAGGCCTACCACACCATCCCGGCCGAAGTCAGCTCAGCTGGCATTGACTCCACCGATATTTACCACCGGGTGTTCTCTCAGCACTCCAGTCTTCCTGACCCCGCTAACGTACAACCCCAGACCTCATGGCAAGGTTTCTTCGGGCATCTGTACGGTTACGGTGCCACGTACTACAGCTACATCCTCGACCGCGCGATCGCCAATAAACTCTGGCAGGACGTCTTCCAGTCCGGCCAGGCGGCCACTGATCGCACGGCCGGCGAGCGATACAAGAACGAGGTTCTTCGCTGGGGCGGTGGTCGCAATGGCTGGCAGTGTGTGGCCGGCGTGTTGGGCTCCAGCAACCCTTCTAACGCGGATGGGCGCCTGGCTGAAGGCGGCGATGTAGCCATGCGTGAGGTTGGTCGCTGGGGCCTCGGACGCGAGGGTATGTCTGGTTAATGTGACCTTGTATTATTACTGGATCTATATTGCCATACGAGGCCTTGTAAATAAACATATGTGATCTGATTTGATCCTCTGATCAATTTAATTAAACTCCTGTGGCTTTGGACCGGACTGACTATAGACCAACGAGTCGCCTTGATGCGGTCGAATGCAGGGATCTTGGACCACATGTTTATCCCACATACTCGGCATAACCAATGGGGCTTAGTCTAGGCTCGTCCAGTGATCTCCGGTGCGCATTGGATGCAAATGTCTGAGACTAACTGCTAAGCGGCGCCACCGATGGCGGGGTGACTGAAATGTCTCACTGCCCCTTTGTTCAACTTGTCAACCCGATTTTCTTGATACTTGATCAGTCTGAAGGCCATTCTTGTAGAGTTTTTTTGGTTCTATTATGACTAGGCAGCCGAAGTATATGTGAAGTACGGGGTGAACAGTCCAGACACAATCTCGGCTCTTGAGTCAAACAACCCTATCACAACCTGCTGCACGACCTCTGACGTGCCTCCTACAACACCGTGCATGGTGGCTTGCTTAGCGGTGCCCCATTACCCTCCGATGAATACAAACAGGAATGGTGCGAACTGGTCTCAGAGCTTGCGGGATGCCCAGACAAGGCACATGCTCTCTTTCTTTGTATGTGTGTGTCCTCCGTACCGGCGTAGGGTAGTATGCCGAAATGATAAATAGGTTGAAGCACCGTTCGTCCTGTCGATCTCAAAAGTTTCCGGTCCAAAGCATCTAGGCCCTTATCTTTTAAAGGTACGAGCAATACTTGTTTTGAAGTGCTGCTATATGTACTGGGGGCACCCGATCTGCATCATTAAAGCAGATTCTATTTTCAACCGTAAACTGTTTGCTCGATCTTGAGAACCTATTTATTGTCAATTGGCCCCCTCTACGATCGTGAAATATTTCAGGCTACACTCGATCTGTGTGACATCAATACTGCCCAGGTGCCCAGGTGCTGGTTCAAAAATGCCCGACGTTCACATCGTCAACGACGATGCTTCATTCGCCTCGAGTGATACTTTCTCCACTCGAGACTCGACAGAGCCAACACGTCCTCTCGCTCGACGAAACACAGTGTCTCAGCTTACAAGGAAAGTTTCTAAAAGAATATCCCAGTCAATTCTGGGTGGGGGCCAACACCATGATCTAAGTGAAAGAAACCTCAAAGCCTTGGAGGGCGCAACTGTCTCAGATCGTCAATTCCATGATGCCAAAACATATGACCCTATTCACGAAGACATTGAGGATGAATGCCCCAGCATCAATCCGGAAGCGCAAAGGGAAGCTCGTCTACACGAGTCCTACGCCACCTTTTGTCAAAGCTTTACAATGTCCGGGCCAACGAGGACGAGCAGGCAATTTGACTTGTCTATGGGAACAGAAACGGCCAATGAAAGTGAATTCTCTCAAACAAAGCAGTCCCTTGCATACAACGCCATCGAGCCTCTGCACTCGCCTACTTCCAAGTGGCCCGGGTATATAACGGTCTATTCAGAGCCTGGACCGACTGCGGACGCATTTCCAATATCACCCTCTGGCAATATCAACACGCCCACTTCTCCATCAACGGACTGCAAGAAGAATTCTCACGACTGCTCTCGACCAGATACCCCGATATATGAGGATAACCTCAGCAGACAGCATGCCAACAACCTTGAGACATCCCGTCACCCAAACTACCCTCCGCCGCCTCCTCAGATCATTACCCCGGATGTCTATATGGACATGCAGCGTGAAGAGCGAGAGCGCAAAGCAGCCCGGCGCCAGAAACTACTATATCCCTTTCGGTCATGGTTCTTGAGTGCTCCCCCCTTCTGGACGCGGAGGTATGAAGTTGCAGAATAACGGGTCCCGCTGTCAAGCGTAGATCAAAGCAGGACTGAAACGGTTGAGTTTCAAACCTGCCGGCGGTAGTCTAGATTTTTGGACATTTTTTTAATACATTTTCACTTGCTTATATTATTATGCGCGTTGCTTTTTCCGTTGAAACATCATCTGCATGCTTAAATTATCTGGACCTCGCGTGCGTGTGTACATGGTCTTGATGCGATGCCAGTCTGGACAATATCATGATCTTTGTCCTTTTCTCTGCGTGTGATATCACCTATATGCTTGGTTCCCTCTGCTATTATTTCGTACTTGGCTTTCCATTTCGGTTTTAGTGCTCACTCCTCGTTGCTTTTTTCTTTTCTCACTGGGTAAAACTGTGCACACCCACGCCCGGCAAAGATAATATACAAAGAGCATGGAGTACGAGTCATGAACTTCTCGTGTGTAGGCTCCCAGGTTTACTGCGCATTTTGTGGATGAGGTGACGGTATGTCACTTGGTTCAAATACGAGAAACCCACCAGCGGTTGTACAGCCCCATTGGATGACCGGGATACGGATTTAATGCCTATTGATTCATTTGATTCGCCGAGAGATCTCGTATTGCGGGTATCCCAGCATATAAAGAACAGTTCTACATACACTCTACGGAACACCAGTATGAGTGTTGGCGTGTTTCATTGGAGGGGCCAAAACACGCTACCATACACAAGGCTGTGACTCGTTTATCTCCTTGTCGGCCACTTCCAGGTGATTTCTCTTTTTTAATCCATTACACATCCGAAAATTCAACAATCAATCTCACTATGTCGGATATTACAGCCGATCCAACCAAGATGGTATCTTATGAGGGAGGTTGTCACTGTGGGAAAGTCAGCTACACGATACAGCTCCCGGTGCCCATACAGGAGCAGGTCGTCAACACATGCAATTGTACAGCTTTCTTCTTGGGGAGATAAACGGTGGTTGCTGGATATGATATCACTACTTAAGTAGTTACTAATATGTTTGCTGGGGCAGGTTCTATCTGTGCCATCAATGGCTATCTTCTGGTTTATACTAAGAAGCCTAATCTGAATTTCCACAACAGTGACGATGCTGTCAAGGTAGAAGCCCTACTACTTCCCTTACTTAATTTTGCCCTCGGGTTGGTTATCAGTATCGGTATCTGACATGTCTAAACAGGAATATCGGTTTGGAACCATGAACTATCCCCACGGCTTCTGTCCCAATTGTGGGACGAGCGTGTACGCTCGAGCCGACAAAGATGAAGGTGAACATAGTGGCATCATTGCTATCAACGTAAGTTAGGGTGTCTTGGATTTAATATGTTTTTTCTCATGCTTATGGAGTACTAGGGACGAACTTTGAAAGATGTCGATATCGACTCATTGAAAATTGAGCAGCTAAATGGGAAGAAGATCTAAGGCTGTTTCAACTTCGGAAAATCCAACGCGAGATATTTCCATGGACCAAGGCTAATGTGTACTTAAGTATCTACAAGGTTCCCTGTGATACTTCAGCATTTATCAATTTGATTTTAAGTGCTCAACTTTAGAAAACCTGACATTACATATATATACCAAGTGTGGCTGCCCAGGCTATAGCCGCACGTTTCAACATACTTATAGGAAGAACCAAACCACATCCAAAGTCCGAAGCCCTGGAGTAATGGTATTCGATATACTCCCGCAGGCCTACTTAAGTAAATTTGGACCTAAGTTTATGCCGCAACCTTCTCAAGTTGGAATTGGAGTTTTGAAGATCCACCTGGGCACTTGGGCATCGAAAACAAAACTAGAGCCAACCACAAATTGGATCTAAATCAGACCCAAACCCAGACTTCAGGTGTACAATGATAACTCCATACAGAGAGAAGCAAAATGAAACAAAACTTTAGAAACATAACAAAAACATATCTGTCAGTCATTGGATAACTGTGGTATCAATCATTCAAAACAAAAAGACATGGACTCGCGGGGAATCGAACCCCGGACCACTCCCATGCTAAGGGAGTATTATACCACTAAACCACAAGCCCAATTGGATGAAAGGAGCGAGAATATAGTGCTACTTGAGCAAGAAGCAAATTTCGAACGTACGAGACAGTGTTTCTGCCTGATTATTGCCTGACGTTCTCAACGTAATTTGATTTTGAGGTAAACACGAAGATTCAAGTTACACACTCTATACTTACCTAGCTAGACACACACGGGTATTGCGTAGGTTGCGTGCGCCATGTATACTTCGGTATCAGTCCGACGATGGGAGAGGGTTTACTCCGTATGTAAGATCCATCTACGGGGTAGGAACTTTAGAAAGGCAAGGTTACTATGTAAGGTTGAAACGCCAATCCAACATGCCAATTGGCGTTGGCGTGCAATGCTGTAACTGCGCTTTCGAGAACAGTCCCAATGCTAATGCTTATACAGGTACTAGTTGTGTGTGGTGAATGGTTCAACATCGTATGATGGATTTAAATAAAAAAGTAATACACAATACAAAACATAGAGCAATAAACAGTCACTTTTTCCATGCAGGGATACAGATTCCTCGCGATCATCTCATCCATGCCACATGCAGTGGGGAGTGAGCAGAAAAAAGACAGCAATGGATATCACGGGAAATTATGCAATCAAACCGGTATCCTCAAACACCCCGGTGCAAAAACGGACGAACATCAAGCAATTCATTTGATCTCGAGGAGCTTGACGTCGAAGATGAGCTTAGAGTTGCCGGGAATGCCGGGGAGAGCCTTCTTGCCGTAGGCGAGAGCGGGAGGGATGGAGATGCGACGCTCGCCACCGACAGACATGCCGGCGACACCGATGTCCCAACCCTTGATGACCTCACCCTTGCCAAGCTTGAAGGTGAAAGGCTTGCCCTTCTTGTTGGAGTCGAAAACCTTGCCGTCTTCGAGCTTGCCGATGTAGCGCATAGCGACGGTGTTACCACTCTTGGCGGCAACACCCTTGCCGAGCTTCTTGTCGTCAAGCTTGACACCACGGACCTCCTTCACGCCGAGGGTACCGGTGGGCTTGTCACCCGAGGGGGTAGGGCCCTGCTCGAGGTTCTTGGCGAACTGAACCTTCTTGTCGGTCTTGGCCTCCTTCTTAGCCTCGGGCTCAACAGCGGCGGCGTCACCGTTGTTCTTCTTAAGCTTCTTTTGCTGAGCCTTGGTGAGAGTGGGCTCATCAGCCTTGGTAGCCTTGGCCTTGTTGGCCTTGGCCATCTGCTCGTCCAGACTGGCTTCCTCCTCGGCAGCGCGCTTGTTCTTGCCCTTCTTGGACTCAATAAGCTTGGGGGCCTCTTCCTCGCTCTCGACCTCGGTGATTCTGGGGTCCTCCATATCATCCAGGTCGTCGCTCTCGTCATCATCCTGCATGGCCATGATGTCATCCATGTCGAGCTCATCCTCATCGGGAGACAGGTCGTAGTCATCCTCATCATCCTCATCATCCTCATCGTGGTCATGAGCATCATCCATGGCAATAACGTAGTTACCGGTCAGGTAGACACTGTAGTTACCGGTGACCTTGAAGAAAACGGGCTCACCCTCGCAGACGGTGATATCCAGAGGTTGCTGGTAGGCCTGTGCAGAAGTTAGTTATCGATAATCCACAAAATGTCAAAAGACAAAAAAAAAGATCCAAATATCTTACCTGGTTAGGGCTGAGGGTACAGACGACGTTCTCATCGAGGTCAAGACCCTCGTCGGACTCAGAGTCCTCATCGTCGAGGGCAGGGCCCTTACCCTTAATGAGCTTGGAGATGGCGGCCTTCAGATCGAAGCCCTCGTCATCCTCGTCCTCATCATCATCTTCCTCCATAGCATCCTCGAGGTCCTTGAGGGCAGCAGCCTCCTTGAGCTTGCGGGCCTTCTCCTTGTCGCTGGGGCCACCGTTGAGATCCTCGTCCTCGGAATCCTCCTCATCCTCCTCATCACTGTAATCCTCGTCATCCTCGTCGGAGTCCTCGAGGTCGAGACCGGGAGGAGCGCGGACAATCTTCAGAGTGGCGCGGGAAGGCTTGCTGGTATCCTCATCGTCCTCATACTGGGGAGCCTCATCGGGATCAATGGCAGCCATGCTGATGCGGAACTGGAGACAAGGTTAGCGAGATCCAAATTCATGTCTGTAAGTATAACTGACAGATGCAGCAGCATTGGGGACTGCGGCAACCATGGAACCGGGAGCAACCCGGAGCGCATAGACTGCGACTGGCTGAACAGCAGACATTGTGTGTAGGTAAAATTGAAATAGAACTTTTAGATCAAAGGAAAAAATCGAATCAAAAAAGAATGAACCACGAGATTAATTAAGTGGGTGAGGAAAAGAAAAGGGAAGAAAAGAAAAGATGCTCCAAGAAGAGCATGCGGCAAAAAATCAGAGAAAAAAAAATCGATCAATGATATCAGCGATAGCCTCACCGCTCCTGTATTGCTGGGACTGACCGCTGTCTGCACAGCTTGAGCCCACGTGATGCGTGCCTAGCTTCCGAAGGTTAACGGTTTTTGGAGACAACTGCAAACGTCGGTCATGGTGGTCGTTCTAGCCCAACATGGGCTCCCGTCATGAGATTAACTCCAGTGCTGTGCGAAAACGCATAGAAAACCGTACGTGTGTTGACCAATATGTCTCCACTTTTAATCTGACCGCGTCTAGATGACTTCAGCAATGAAGCGGGCGATGAATATGAGGCCTCCAGCTTTGGAGGCTTTGGGGACTACATGAGGCGGAAAAAACTGAAGCTGCAGAATCTTGATGCCGAAATTCGAGCTACAGCCGGTGACTCCCCGGCAATATTCCGTGGGGTAGTGGCTCATGTCAATGGGTATACCCAGCCATCCCTGCAAGACCTTCATCGCATGATCGTCAGCCATGGCGGCGGGTTTCTTCAGTACTTGGATGGCAAAACTGCCGCCACTCACATTATTGCCAGTGCTCTTACGCCCAAGAAACGGGAGGAGTTTCGACGATATCGCATAGTGAAACCTGCATGGGTGACAGACAGTATCAAAGCAGGGCGCTTGTTGTCATGGGATGAATATAGAATTGTAGACGAAGGCCACGCACAAAAGGTACTCAAGTTTGGTGATGGTCAATTCACAAGTCAGACAAACACCCCTCGTTCAGGCTACAAGGACCAATCAAAAAGCAGCTGGTATCACTCTCAACTGCGAGAGATGGAACATGCCGAAACAGGCCTTGGATCTTCGCCAAAGCCTGTAACACCATCCGCATACTCAAAGCCTCCACAGATGCTGGAAGCTACCCCCGCCGAAGGCCAGCGGTCTCAATCAGATTATGGCGATTTTCCTAGCTCCATTGTCAAGGAAGCAGAAGATGACCAAGTCACCTCCCAAACAGCAAACAACCTAACCAATGATGATGTGGGGCCCGCAAAAGCACCAGAGCAAACCAAGCATATCAATGAGGATCTTGGGCCAGCTGATTCCTCTGAGTATTCTTTACCCAGAAATTCAAGCTCCACCAAGGAAGATATGACATCCGAAGAATATAATGCGCAGCTTCTTTCCGATCCACGAATGAAGAAGTCAAGTGTTGTGAATCCCGAATTTTTACAGCAATATTACAAAGAATCTCGACTTCATCATCTGTCCACCTGGAAGGCGGAGTTGAAAGCCCAACTACAGGCAGCGACAAACGAAAAAGCGCACTCTCAGATATCGAAAAGGAAGCCTATATCTGGTTCACGAAGGTACATATTGCATGTGGATTTCGACTCGTTCTTCGCCGCAGTTTCGCTTCTCAAGCACCCAGAACTGAAAGACAAACCGGTCGCTATTGCTCATGGCTCCGGATCGGGCTCTGAAATTGCTAGTTGTAACTACCCCGCGCGTGCACAGGGTGTCAGGAATGGGACATGGATGAAAGGCGCTTTGGAGTCATGTCCCGACCTGAAGGTTCTTCCCTATGATTTCCCCGCCTACGAGGATGCAAGCCGCAAGTTTTACAGCGCGATCCTTGCTATTGATGGGACCGTGCAGAGTGTCAGTATCGATGAAGCTCTGATTGATGTCACCGGTTCATGTTTGGAAGCCGGTGGCTCAGATGGGAAGACCATATCGGAAGGTGCAATTAATTCTGAGCAAGCCAAAGCTGATGAGATTGCTGTGGACTTGCGAAATTCGATTAAGGAAAAGACAGGATGTGCGGTCTCTGTTGGTATTGGCGGCAATATCCTTCTCGCCAAAGTGTCTCTTCGAAAGGCAAAACCCGCAGGCCAGTTTCAGTTGAAACCAGATGCCGTTTTGGAGTTCATCGGGGGTCTCACTGTTCGTGAGCTACCAGGCGTGGGCCATAGCATGGCGGCCAAGCTTGAAGAAATGGGCGCGAAATCTGTTGGAGACATCAGGAACCTATCTAAAGAGAGACTGATATCTGGCCTGGGACCTAAGACTGGAATCAGGATGTGGGAATATGCTCGTGGGATTGATCGAACAGAAGTTGGCGATCAAGTCACCAGGAAGTCGGTTTCAGCGGAGGTTAACTGGGGCATTCGATTTGTGAATCAGGTTCAAGCGGATGAGTTTATTCGGTCTCTGTGCACGGAGCTGAATCGAAGGCTGATGGAAAACCTGGTCAAGGGAAAGCAACTCACGCTCAAGGTCATGCGACGATCTATGGATGCGCCACTTGAAGCAGTAAAACATCTCGGCCATGGCAAATGCGACACCTTCAACAAGAGCGTTGCTCTCGGAGTCGCAACGAACGCACCAGATGTGGTGGCAAAAGAAGTGATCTCCATGCTGAGAAGCTTCAACTTTTCACCTGGGGACTTGAGAGGCCTGGGCGTGCAGATGACGAAGCTTGAGCCATTTAGGACTGCCTCCTCCGGGCTCGAAAGCAGCCAACGACAACTCAACTTCAGCGTATCCCCGCCTCGGAAGAAAGCCATCCCCGCTGTCGACCCCGATGAACTGGAGAGCCCGCACAAAGATGAAACCATCCGGATCCAAGCGGACCCAGTCCTCGGTGATAGTGCTCACAAGCCTCTGAATATCTCGGGGTCTCAGTTCATTATGCCTACCCAGGCAGACCCCAAGGTGGTTTCTGAATTACCTTCCGATATCAGGTCAAAACTTGTTGCACAATCAAAATCACGACAAAATTTGCGCACAGGATCCCCATGCCCCCTTCCACGTGAGGGACGACAAGCTAGTCAAATAAACCTGCCTCCCCAGTCCCAACTAGACCCTGAAACATTGGCAGCCCTACCAGAAGATGTTCGTTCGGAAGTGCTGGGGTATTATCACCAACCGGCTCCTGCGACTGCGCCATCATCCGAGCATCAATTACCAGAATCAAATCCTCCGTCGCTTCCTGGTGCTCTGAAACCACGGAGGCCATTATCCCCACCCAAAAAGAGACGTGGCCGTCCACCCAAGGCAGTAACACTTGCAAGGAATGCAAAGACTCAAACACTGAATCAGTCTGGATTTGGATTCGCTCGCCCTCACCCAGCAGTCACATCTACCAGTGCCGAGGAGGCTTTGCCGAGGCAGCCATCGCCGAATATCGAGGACCCAGGCGATGTCTCAGCCGACTTTCTTGCCGCCTTACCTGAAGATATAAAGCTAGAGATAATGGAAGAACAGAAGCGGACTCGCATGCAACAGCGTCCACAGGACACGATACCCGTGGAAAGGCCTCCATCTCGACAAGAAGAGGATCCCCCCATATCGGTATTGCCTGAGAAGCGACTTCCGCTCCCGCCTCTTCCAAAAAAGCCTGTGTTCACCTCCCAGCGTCTCTCGCAGCTACCAGATCTGCGAGATTCCGTCGGAGCATGGCATGAAACTTTTGCAGATGGTGGCCCATATGATGAAGATGTTACTTCGTTATGTTCATATTTGACTAGTGTCACTCTGAACGAGAGAGACGTCGATAAAGCTGTTTCGGTTGTCCGCTGGTTGATGTGGTTGGTGGAAGATCACTTGCAACCCGAGCCCGAGCCCGAGGATGCTCAAGGATCGCGGACTGACGGAACTATATCATGGGGAGCAGCGATCCAGCTGATGCAGGACAGTGTACAAGCAGCTTTGGAAAAGAGAGGGTTACCCGAGGTAGATTTCGTGTAAACAGCATTTGAATCCACATGGAAGGACCTACCTGGAACCATAGATGAGTCAAGCTAGATTCCTGGGAACCGTTTACTTAAGTATGAGCGATGTATTTTGGACGCGGCCTCGATGATGCATACTGACGAAAGCCGCAGCTAAATCTTCCCTCAACTTCTGACTTCACAAATAAGAAGAGCCAAAACAAAATGCCTGTTACAGAGAGCCAGGTCAATAAAAGGACAGTAACTACCAAGACTGTCACCACCAAGACAACTACTACTTCTCGGACGGTCGAGTCTAGGACTGCAGCTACCAGACAGACCCCAGTAACAAAGGTTGTCAAGAGAAAGGCCACAGCGCCCAAGAAAGCGACTAGGCCGAAGGCCACTACCGCAAAAGCCCCGGTACTCAAGAGGAAAATGGCAGCAGCGATCGATGAGGAAAGCTCCCAACCCCATCAGACTGTCAAGTACCCGGCGACAGGTGGTATAAATTCACAAATCATGGTCAATGTCAACGTCCCCACGTACAGTTACCGACAACCGAGTGGATACAATGGGGCACAATACGATGAGCGAGGATACGATGAGCGAGGATACGATGAGCGAGGATACGATGAGCGAGGATACGATGAGCGAGGATACGATGAGCGAGGATACGATGAGCGAGGATACGATGAGCGAGGATACGATGAGCGAGGATACGATGAGCGAGGATACGATGAGCGAGGATACGATGAGTCTGAATACGATGGATCTGAATACGATGGATCTCGGTATGATGGGCGTGGATACGAGGACGTGCCTCTCTCGTACGATTCCGTCTTTGCAATGGTAAGATTTACCTCTTGTTATTGACCAGCCAACGTATCCTGACTGATCCGATTAGGGTGCCCATGGTCAAACTCTCTACGATGCTGCACAAGGGCAAATGGATATGCGATATGGTCAATGGGACGATCCGGATGATGATATCGACTCCTATTATTACTAGGGCGAGACGCAGTGGAGAGTGCCTAGCTCCATTTTGGAACGTCCGAGTTTGCTTTTGCCGATAAATTCCACAATCTTGATCTTAAGAATGCAAAGTTATCGTTCCTGTTTTTGGTTGAAGGATTCCCGGCTAGACCAAAAGCCTAACGCGTCAGAATCTATAGATCACATTGGAATGTTGAGACGTCAATTCGGTGTAAAATTGGCAGAATCCAAAAGGGCGCCGCGCTCATAAATATTAAAGAGCCCGCAAATGTTCTCCCCTGTACGTACTTAGAAGCCAGATCCAAGAGTTCCATTAAACTTCGCTATGACGTCCGAAGAGAAAAGTGAGTATTCTTTTGCTCCAATGCTGCCGGCAGGGCCGACTCTATGCCATATAACCGACGACTAACTTGAAACGCAGATCGATCCTCTCCCCCGCCAGAGCTCCAAAGCACACTGGGTCCCATTGACGGAGTCTATCAGATTTCCTGCCCCTACATAGCAGAACAATGGGCGTATTCGATACCCGAGGAAGGGTTTACTATGCGCCTGGTCCGAAAAGATGATGCCGTCTGGGGCTCATACAACCTTGGAATGTGGGATGGTGTCTTTTTACTGAAACAAGGACCAACAGCGCCCTCTTTTGATAAACTTGGTTTCATTTGGCGTGGACAAGAGGTTGACACGGGCGATGTTGACAGCTGTGATGGCTCACTTCAGTTTCTGGGCGGGGGTGAATTCAGAGGGATAATAAACGGCCTGGAAAGCGACACGGAGTTCCGAGGTCGATGGATCAAGGACCATGAGGCCACTGCCACCCGAACAGTGGCCCAGCTGCAAACAGAATGGCATAAATGGAGGCTTGAGACCGAGGTTGAGAGTGAGGATGATTATTAAATATTTGTTTTCTCCATAGAAAAGCATAGATTCTAATAAAAGGTTTCCAAACCAGGCTATTTTTTATCTATCCGATGTTGCGTGCAATTGAGCACCCCACCGAGGAGCGAAGCGACCCCGGGGGGAACAAGCCAAAAAGTACACAAACACCGAAGCCTAGGAAGTTCTAAGTTGAGATCTACCTATCTAACCAACAATCCTTCACCGACCACCTTTTCTCTCGTGTTTGTGATATCCAGGCATATATAACAGCACCTCGTGTCAACATTCCCCCAAACACGCTTTCACCGTGTAGACCGAAATCCACATTCATCCAGAATCCAACGATGAATGGACCCCACGGTGTTCAAGCCCAAGCTCCAACGATGCTCATGCAGAAAGCCCCCATGAAGACCAGGATGCAGGCATAAACCCTTCTCTTGCCTCGGAGAATGCGCCAGCTTTCATCACTGAGGAAGTCCTCTGACATGAGTTCGACAAGGGACGCAAAGATCAAAAGTCCTGCAGAAATAGCATTCATAATCCCGACCACCAGCAGGCCAACCTCGGAATCCGGACTGTAAAGAGTATGCGTTGCGAGGCCGATCGCCTGCCCGATTGGGGTCCTGGGTTTATATTAATATTTTTGGGCTCAAAGAGGGAGAGACGGGTCGACCTACGTGCAGCCGTAGGCGAGTGACATGATCCAGGGCTGAAGTTGTTTCTCTGACCAAGGCAATGCGGAGATGCGAGATCCCAATGCTAGGCCTTCGAATGTTTCTATAATCGGTCAGAATGGATGGCATATTCAAAATGACAGATGGGTGACTCACGATGGAACACAATGGCGATCAATAAGATCACAAATTCATTACCGACTGACACACTGAGTGACATGCCAATGAACACACTGTGGAAAAGGATGCCCATCTCAAGAAGGTAAACCTGCATCGTCTCTTTCTTTTGTTTCTGTTCTGGGGTCAGATCGAATGAGTCGTCGTGTCGCTCTATGTCAGATTGAATAACCCCATTCTCTTTCTCATGATGTGTTTGAACATCTGGAGCAGAAGAGACTCGAACTATTTCATCAGTGCCATCTCCCATGCGGTGAATGGTTCTACTTATACTGGCCGACCTTCCAATCAACGGACCCATGTCTCGCAGATGGGGGCGGCCCTCCAAACCAGCAGAGCGAGGGCTGCGCTCCATGCAATTTTCAGGGCACCCAAGCTCCTCACATGTTGGAGCTGAAGGCTCTGCAGTAGACAAACACGACGGAGAAGGTGAAGGATTCGACCTTTGGGCTGTGGGCTGGGATCCCCCCCGACAAATACTTTGCGCAGGACTGAATACCATCTCAATGACGGTCACAAGGAAGATGCCACCCAAAGCGATGGCTCCTGGCATGGCAGGGTAGTCTTTTGTCCAAAAGTTCGAGAGGCATGGGTCTCCCAGTGAAGTGAACGCAGTAGGAAGAAGATGCACAAATGCGGTCGCGATCAAGACTCCAGTACCAAAGTGACTGACAAAAAACAGGAATGATGGTGGAATATGCATCCGAGGGAATCGAGTTGCGAGGACCGGGAATGCACATGCGATTGTCGAGGTACCCAAGATAATGAACAAGGCCGCAACATGCAACGGCAGATCGTACGCATCGCCGCGAACACCTCCTTGGGCACAGCTTGATCGTTTCGCAGGCACAGGGTAATTTTCCAGTGGAACTTCGAGTACCATTGGCTCCTTGGGGATAAAATAATCCTTCAATGTTTTGAATGAGATAAGAGCCGAGACGAAAAGCACGGAAAGAAGCCACAAGGCCCAGTCCTTGATACTTTGATACGACGGTAGAACCTCGTCGGCTGAGCCTGGTCTTGTGTGAACAAGCCCGGATTTTATATTGTGGGAAGCGAGGCGTCCTGCAAGCACGATAAGACATGGTTTTCTTGAAATGCACCTAATATTCCATACCTGACAAAGTCAGGGACGCCTCGCGCCCCGAGGCGAGGTCATTCCCTACTTCCTTTTCCTCCACCGGAGGTGAGTCTATCCAATTGGAGCTTCCATGTAATGAATTCGTGCCATTACCATCCACCTCGATCTCACGGGCGTTCGCAATACCATTAAGATCTTGACGAGTGGTCAACTCAGGAGCGAAGAAGCGTGGGTTCTGATTCCACCCAGCATGCTTCATGGTGTCATCTGTTCGAGAGGGGCAATTCATGATACCAAAGAGTGAGACTGGTAATTAAAATCTGAAACTTCGAACAAGAAGGTGTGACAAGCAAAGAGAGCGATGTGTTTTCCCCAAATCAAAAGGCAGTATCGAACCTCAAGGCTTGGCGTATGGTGGACACCGGCCCGATATCTTGGCAGCGGACCCCATATTCCGCCGTGATTCGTCCAAGTATCTTCCTCGGTCCGATATTCGTCGAATATTGGAGCCTGTTGCTTTGTGGATCACCGGATTATTGATTCTAATAGTTCCGATGACCGGATTGGGCTGGGATCTGGATTTCATCGCGCCACCGGAGTATGAGCAAGACCCGACAACCCTGCTCGTTGAATGATATCCAATCGTGCATCGACAAGACATACTGAATGAGCGGTGAGTAAACTATGATGAAGGTGAATTGACACTGAATGGTCTGTTAGAGGTGGAATGGACCTCCACGCTATTTTACATATCATCAGCGCGGGATAGCCATGTTGCTCTACGTATGATAACGAATACAGCCCTCACGCAGGGTTGACCCGGACTGAAAACAACCAAGTAAGACAGAGAGGTCTCGGGCTTCATCGATCCAAAGAAGAAGAAGAAGAAGAAGAAGAAGAAGAAACAAGGTAGAGCAATGGGGAATTGTAGATCTTGTGTTTTTATTTCATTCCATCAAGTTACAATTATCTTGCCCAGGGTGCCTTAGTTTGAGCACCAGGACTGTCTCTTTGTGAAGATGACTGCGCAGGTTGACCAGATGCCCAGGGTGCTCTGGTAGGAGCCATAGCACCCGGGGGCATCCTTGAGGTATCTGGCATAATAGGAGGTATCCTTGTTGAGCCATCAGCCGATGGTGCTGGGGCACCTTCTCTCCTAGCCCCCGCCCATGGCGCTGTTGTTGTGCCTACGAAAGAAGGCTGTCCAGCTGATCCAGATTTGGCCCAGGGAGCCTGAGTCCCAGCCCCAGGGATTGGGCGCGTGGCAGCAACAGAAGGCATGCCTTGATCTGGTGCAACGGGACGTGCCTGGGGACCAGAAGTTGTATGTGCCGTAGAAGGAGGAGGGATCGCATTTGGATCACGGTCCCAACTGAAAAGAGAACCGAATGGGAAATGCTGTACCACTGGGAATTTTGAGAGAACTTCCGCGTTATACATCTTAATCATCCCCTGCTGTTTGTTAGCCCAATCACCATCGCAGAGAGTCGAGATACAAACCTTGTTAATCTTGCCCCAACCGGCGCGGATACCGGAAATATCAAAAAGCATGGGGCTGTGCTCCCAGAAAGGGCCTCTTTTCACGTCATATATGAAACCAATTGCCGCGAAGTATAAGTTAGTCTGACGTTCCTTTTCAACAATATTTGCTTTCGCGACGCCCCCTGGATCTGCTGCATTGAGCAATGAGCCCTCCTCGGGAGTGAGGTCACCCTCAGTGATTGCTGGTGAAAGTTGGGCAGACCCGAATATGTAAGGAGCAAATGAATGATCATCAAGTCCCCAGACACCGTGAGAGCCGGCAGGTTCCAGGTTATATGTCTTTATGAGTTTGCGGATAAGATCCAGGTACCTAGATGTTTCAGTAAGAAAAGAGCAAGATCGGTGGGAAACACCCGGAAGACGTACGGGTGAATCACCCCTATGACAATGGCTCTTTCCTCCACGCCTGGGTCAGCTTTGGGAAAGCCATTCAGCTTCCAGATACCACCGAGGAAAGCGAGGAAGCTCAACTCATGGCCCGTGCCGTAGTCCAAGCGCTGTCCGCTTCCCCAGCTGCCCATCAGGTATGCCTTCAACTCAGTTTCCGCCGTCGCACCCTCAATCTGTGACGCTCCTTGCTGCAAGAGTTCAGCTGGAAGGCATTCTTTCAATAGATCGGAGGCGCGGCTATCAACAACCTCACACCATCTCCGGAAGCTAATATTTCCGAACCTGCGTGGACCGGTGTCCGGAGGAACTTCTTGTATGATGTCTTCGAGTTTGAGGAGGAGTCGTTGAAGTTGGCGGACGGGGCCAGAATATTGAATGGCATCGCTGTTGATAGTCCAAGCTTGAGTGGTGTTATCGGGCAGTTTCAATGGGAACATGGATCGATTGAGTTGTAGAACCCAGGTCATGATGTCAGTGTAAGCTTTTGAGGTAAGAAAGGCTGATACATCTTGCGATTCGTGGATCTTTTTGATAGGTTGAGCAAAGACATGCCCTGTAGGCGCGTCCAAAGTGGACAGAACACGAATAGCTAGTCCATTAGCCATAGTTGCTGTGGGTTAGAAAGCCTTGGTGAAGATGGAAGAGGTGGGGGAAGGCGGTTGTTTGTTGCTGCGGCCCCACCCCGGCTCCCTTACCGCGTCAAGCTTTCGATCGAACTCCCCACGCCGTGAAAATGCCGCCCAGGCGAATCAGGAAACTGAATGGCTCCACCGATCAGAGTGTTCGCTGGCTGAATTATGCCCATACTACATCAGGAAACCTGCCTGACCCCACCAGGCGCCGTGCTACGAATGAAACAAACGTATACGACCTCCCCGTCTCCCCAGAACGGCCTCGACCCGAAAGGAATTTGAGAAGCCGCCCAGTGCCTGCAAAAAATGTGCTACCGTCAAACGATTCCACGAGTTCGGAGGACGAGGACGAGAGCCAAGAAGAACACGAAGAAGAAGACCACAAGGACCACAAAGACCAGGGGGAGCAAGAACAATCCAGCGGTGCTGGACCGCAGTCAGTCAGGGACGCGTCTAGTCCAAACGATGCGCCGTCACCAATTGCAAATGAACACGAGTCCAAGGAAGAAGTGGAGTTGAAGAGTCATCAAGAAGCCCCGGAAAGCGACGATGATGAAGATGAATATGATCCTGAATCTAATGTTGAGCCAAGGACAGATTCATTGGCCAAAATCCACGAGTCAGCCGGTGATGATGTTGAGAGCCAGACTGGAGTTGATACATCAAGGGTCGAGTCCAACCCGGGAAGTGATATTAACCCGGACCAAGAATCAGATGATAATGAAGATCTGGCGAGCGATAATGCTTCCACCGATGACAGAGACCAGCTCAGAGACGAGTCGCCAGGCGCAGATGAACCCAACGTTGAATCAGAAGGCGACTCGGAAATTGAGCTCTTTGTTGAAGCTCAGACCGAAGCAAGTTCATCGGATGCTAGTTCTCGCGCGGAGGAGCAGGCTCCTCAGACTTCACCACAAACTCAATCTCGAGGTCTGCAACTGAGTCATGAATCAAAGCACGGCTCACGATCTTCCCAAATCCATTCTTCTCAGCCCCGGAAAATATCAGAAACGCCGCAACCGGCAAAACGCCCAAGCCCCCCATACGTAGAACGCGCAGTCAGTTCCCATGGAATATTCACGTGGATGACCGAGACAATCAAGGAATCTGGGTTCAAGGAAACCTGGGACGTCATCCGCCGTACAAGAAATGTGAAACGAGGAGCCGATCCATCTATGAGAGAATGCTTCCAGCATATTAGAAGGATGAAAGTACGACTGCAAGGTCTCTATGAGACAATGAGCGATGATGAAACCTGGGACTCTAGGACAAAAGATGGGTCGAGAGGACATTGCAGTCTGATTGCCAACAACATATTCAAAGAGATCCAATGGATCATTTTCGATGAAGCCCAAGCCGATGAAAATACGGGTGACTATTTAGTCGAACAGCTGGAAGCCCATGTCGTGCCCTGGCTGATTGAGTTGGTTTACTTCGGATTCCGGGCCTACAAAAACAGAGGCGATTGGGCGAGGTGCCATTTTCGCATCTCCCTCGATCTCCTATGGGGATGCAGCTACAAGATCTCCTGTTATTCCGATCGGGTCTACGGCGCTGGCAAAGGTTCGACCGATTCTAGGGGTGCGATGCCAGCGGTAAAGACCATCAAAGATGCACTCGATGACGGTCGATTGCGCGAGATCAGGAACGTACCCCACCCACCACGGTATAGGCACTTTAGCCTGACGGAGGTGGAGAGTCAGATTTCCTGTGGGCCATGGAAACGAGTAGAGAAAGATGGCCTTCGGAGAGCATTTGAGAAAGCGGTCTTGAATGGCGTCGAAGGTGAGAGAGTCAGTTCCATGTCTAATGAATCTTGCTCACCATTCAGACGATCATGTATTTGTTGAGATCAAATGCGACGCCCAGCATGGCTCTGTTCTCTCCGAACGTATCCTGCGACACGTTCAGGACCAGGCCATTGAACTTGGTCTTGTGGATGAGGACGGAATGGTAATATTGTGATACCCAGAGAGTTTAGTTCGAACGATATGATACCCAGTCCATGGAATGCGATACGCCAATATGCCAAAGCTCAATGTTGGAAGCCCTGGAGTACTTCGTACAATGAGTACGAGTAGCGCGAGTGGAGCAGTCGCGAACCCGAGCCATTGTTATGATTCGACACGCGTTGAAGCATTGCATGGCTTAGGTATTCCGTACAACTACCTCGTAAATCTTGTTTATGGAATTGACTGGACATAGCTCGGGACATAACCTCAAAATTTATCGATATTTAGGGTGGATTCAAGCTCAAGGCTGTGAGAAGTAGTACTTAAGTATATGGGAGATTGCAAAATATACTCCATGCCGTGCTTCTACCACAGAGTGCAGTATGCATGGTTCAATACAAGGAAACAAATTTAACCACAAGGCCAACAGAAACCATTGAACAGTGAACAGTGAACAGTGAACACGGTCTCTCATGCAAGGGGATACCCCGGATGACCCAGGGGGGCCGATCCCCCTCCTGACGAGAGACACCGCTTTCTCTTTTTCCCGCTTTCCCCTTTTCCTACCTTCATACTGTTTATTTGCTTTTTGGTCAATTGCAGTCCGTTGGACTTTGTTTGTATCTGATTTCGATTCTCCTGTTGTTTCCTTGAAGTTGCTGGAAACTGCCAGGCGCGTGAGTACTCGCTTTTCCTTGTCTTTGGCTCTTTCTTTGGAAAGCATTGGTCAGTCGCAAGCTCCCGCCGCAATGTGACGCCCATGCGCAATCCACAAGACCTCGGTTTTGCTTCGAGAAAGTGATGGGCCCTTTTGAGGATGACCCAGATGCCAATCTTGAGCTTTGTGTTGGACCGGAGGAGCTTGCAAGCCATGCGGCCAGAGCTTGCGTTGAGGTAAACAAAAAGCTGATTTGGATTCTCATGGACAGTTCACCTGTATTTTGTACATCACATCGAGTCGCCCAAACCCCAACCCATCCTGGCGATATCACTGAATCATTAATCTCGAACAATCCCACACCATGTCGTCCAATGACGAACCGGTCGTCGCGTCTGCTCCCGCCGAGGTCTCCGTGGAGGTGGATGAAAATGAGCCTCCCGCTACTCCGATAGAGCCAGTTCTCTCTGGAGGGGAAGATGCGGCCAAGTCTAGCCCAGAGGCTGTCAAGGAGGCGCCCAAGGCCTCCCCGGCCAAGGCTAGCCCCAGTGCACCCGGCACCGCGAAGCGTCCTGTGTCGGGAACTGCTCCCACAAAACGGCCCACGTCCTCATCCGCATCAAAGCCCACCACGGGGACTTCTCGTCCGAGTACTAGCAGCAGCAGCACCCTGAACAAGCCGCCCACTCGTCCGACGACCACTACGGCTACCCGGAAGCCGCTGAGCACCTCTACTACTTCGTCCCACCGATCCCGAATGTCCGTGAGTAGCTCCGCAGATGAGAAGCCTCGGTCCGTGGCTAGCTCTGGAGACGAGAAGCGTGGCATCTCTGGTACGGCAAAGCGCATGTCTATGGCCGGTACCACCTCCACCCGCGCTCCTTTGAGACCGTCTCCTTCTGTCGACCGCCGATCAAGTGTTGCTGGCCCCACCGCAGACAGAAAGCCTGCTGTTGTAAGCTCTCGTACCGCGACTTCAACAAGCAAGCCAGTAGGTCGGTTGACCTCTGCAACAACCCCCGCAACCCGGACCGCCACTTCTGCTTCAGCTACCCGGCCGTCTACAACTCGGCCCACTCCCACCACAAGCACAGTCAGATCTGCTACTACCGCAGACCCCAAGAAGCGTCTGAGTACGGTTCCTGGCGCGACTGCCCGTGCAACTGAGTCTGAGAAGTTGCAAGCCCTTCAGACAAAGCTGTCTGAGAGCGAGGAGACCGTGGCCAGTTTGAAGACCGAACTGGAAGGTGTCAACGAGAAGCTCAGCCAGCTTTCTGTGTCAGCGGAAGAGCCCACGGGCAGTGCAGGTGCCGTGGAGGCCAACGCGGACCATGCCGCAGAGATCGATCGACTGACTTCGGCTCACACAGAAGAGCTTCAGGCCCTGCAGGCACGATTGGATGAAGCTGAAGTCCAGCGCAAAGAGTTGGAAGAAAGTTCCCAGAAGGAACTGGAGGAGGCCAGGCAATCCGCCTCTGCGCAGGGTGATGACCAGACAGTAGCCCTCCTTGATGAGCTCAAGGCAACTCACCAGACTCAGCTGGAGGCTATTGAGAAAGAATTGGCAGAGCATAAATCTTCTGCCGCCCACTTTGAAGAACAGATTGCCGCTCTCAAGAGCGAGCATGAGCTTAGGAACACTGCTATCGAGGAAGAGAAAACCCGCGAGCTTGACCATCTCACCCGTGAACTCAAGGGTCGCGATCAGGTGATGGAAAACCTGAACACGGAAATCGTCAAGTTAAATACCCTTAAGGAGCAGGAGATTCGTGCTGCCGAGGAGACCGCACAACAGGCTATCTCCACTCTCCAGGAGCAAGTGTCATCTCTCGAGGCGAAGCTTGTTGCGGCCGAGTCTGCTTCCAAGGACAGCTCCGAGCAGACATCCTCGCTCGCTGAAAAGGACCAAGAAATCAACGATCTCAAGCAGGCTATTGAGAAGGCCCAAAATGAGGTCCAGGCAGCAAGCGAGGCCGCAGCTTCGCAATTGAACTTCGAGGTCGAGCAGCTTGGATCTGCCCATGAAGCTGCAATTGCTCAGCTCAAGGCTGAACACGATGCTGCTATCAGCTCCCTCTCCGCTACCCACGCCGAAGAGCTGACTGTCGCCACCAAGGCTGCTGAATCAAATGGCACGGAGCACACAGAGCAGCTTCAAGAGCTTCGTGACGCCCTCGAGGCTTCCAACACCACTGCCAAGAAGGCCCAAGAAGACGCCATTGCTGAGCTGAAGACCGCTCACGAGGCGGAGTTGAGATCTTTGCAAGACAAGCTTGATGTTTCCGAGAACACTGCCCAACAGGGACAGGGCGTTGTTGCTGAATTGAAGAACGCACACGAGGCGGAGTTGAAAGCTCTGCAAGAAAAGCTTGACGCCTCCGAAGCTGCTCTGGCTGAAACTCGCCGTGCCTTAGACGAGGGCAACGCTTCTGCCCAGGACCTTGCCGTTCAAGAGATTGATGCTCTTCGAAACAAGTGCGAGTCGCTTGAGTCGGAATTGACCTCAGGCACTGGTAAGATCAATGCGCTCCTCGAGGAGATGCAAAGCAAGCAGGCGGAAGCTGAAGCCATCCACCGCACTCTTCGTGATGTTGAGGACCACTCAAAGCAGGAGAGCGCCCAAAAGGACAATAAGATGCGAGCCCTCGAGGAGAAGGCTGCGGAAGCTACGTTCCTTCTCGACCAATACACTGCGCAGGCCGCTGGTGTGTCTGAGACCCACGCAAAGGAAATCGAAGAATTGAAGGCTCAGCATGCTGCTCAACTCGCAAGTGAGCTCGAGAAGGCCAAGGAGGCCTCTGGCTCCAATGATACTGCGCTTAGTGACCTCCAGTCGAAGCACGATGAGGTGCTTGCTTCCCATAAGGAGCTGGAGTCCGCTCATGCCACCCGTGTCCAATCAATCGAGGCTGAGCTTAAGGCTGCATTTGAAAGTCACGCGAGTGAGATCGCCACTCATTCCGAGAGTCATACTAAATTGCAGGAGCAGTTCGAAGAAGTCCAGGCTAAGTTGCAAGCCGAGCTTGCTGCTTTGCAAGACTCCCGCAAGACTGATGCAGAACTTCACACCAAACAAATTACTGAATTGCAGGCTGGCTTTGAGGAGACCAAGGCCCAGCTGCAGGCCGAACTCCAGGCTACCCAAAACTCCAAGGCAGCCGACTCTGACGCCGAACACGGCAGAGCAATTGAGGAGCTTCTCACTATGCATGAGTCCAAGCTCTCTGGCATCCGGGAAGAACTTGAGAACTCCAACAAGTCTAAGATCGAGGAGCTTCAGAAACATCACGGTGCAGCTCTGGCTAGTCTGACCGATGATCTCTCTAAGGCACATGCTGCCGCTCAAGATACTTCTGCTCTAGAGGCTCTGAAGGCTACCATCGCGGACCTTGAAGGCAAGCTCGCTGACTCCCAAAACGCTCATATCGCGGTCCAGGAGTCCGCTGTAGCTGCTTCAAGGGATATTGAGGGTCGATATGCGGCTGAGATTGCCACCATCCAGGCCGAGCATGCTAGCCTCACCGAGAAGTATCAAGCCACCGTCACTCAGCTTGGTGAGCTGCAAAAGTCTGCTCTTGACTCTGACGGCCAGAAGTCACACCTTGAATCTATCATGAAGCAGCTATCCGAGTCTCGTGACCAACTCTTGAAGGCGAAGGCGGATAACGCCGCAGTTTCCGACTCTCTTGTTGATTGCAAGAACCAGAACAAGACATTGGCAGAGAAACAGGAGGCCGGTGAACGTGATCTGAATGACCAAATTGACAAGAACATGGGTCTCCTTGAGCAACTGGGCCAATTCGACTCCGATATTTCTGTCAGCCGACGACGAGTGCGTGAACTTGAGACAGAGCTTGCAGTTTTGAAGGCAGACAGTGCAGACAAGAGCAGTAACTCAGGACTGGGAGGTAGCCGATGGGCAACGGCGGATGAAGGAAGCGAGAACGCTGAAGATGGGGGTCCAGCCACAACGGAAGGTGAGGACCTAGGCCCATCCATTGAGGGAACGGTGGGAGATCCCCGATTGAAGAAGTCCTCCTACTCATCAGATCTTCCCGAATTCCACCCGTTTATATGAGATTGGAGACTGTTCGTGTATACAAAGACTAACTCATGTCACAGATGGCAAGCATCCAGGAACAGCTTAAGCACGTCCGAACGGCCCACGATGATTGGTATAGCGAGCATGGCAGGTGGGTTTCATCCTCTCCACCTAGTAGGGAAAACAAGGAGCACAAATACTGACCTATTCAGACTCATTGGCCAGCTTGCAAACATATCCCAGCAAGCGACACCCGTCCGCAGCCTCTCGACAACTCCTCTTTCGGCTATTTCGGAGGTACCAACATCAGCCAAAGAGCCAGAACCAGCCCGGACTCGCGCAGCAACAGTTTCGTTCTTCGGTAAAGGCTGAGCGCGTTCATCTGGGATGGCTGAGCTCGAAGTCGTGATGCAGCATGACTTTCTTTTGTTCAGTCGTTGTGTTCTTGTGATTCTACTGTATGTAATAGCTTGCAGGATGCCTTCTCTTATAGGCTTGGGTTATCCCGCTATTCTTGTTTCAATACTTTTACTTTATAAATACTTTCGTGAACTCATGTCACCTTCATCACGTCGCAAGTACTTCGGATTGATGCATAGAGATGCTCATACGATTCGCAATACAATCTGCCAATGAAGCGAGAATCAATGCACGGAGACATCTTGCTTTCAAAGGTTGTCTTGGAAATGCGATTACACAAAGCCCTGGAGCTTGTGGCAAACAACCAATAAGAACAGTAAAACCAAACTGGGTATCTCATTAACAACCAAAGTTCAAAGAACGCCTTTCCTGATTTGAAACTCGTTAGGTACTTCGGAATTTCGAAATCACCTCAAACCATTAACGCCATGAAGTGCAAAGGACCCTTGTCATCGATTGAGCCTTGCAAAAGCACACAGCTTAATTACAAATTACTCCGAATCAGAAGGGTAGTCCACAAGTGGAGTCTTGGAGGCATCTGCTAGGGCCTCAGTTTCGTGATCAGGCTTGGATGCAGGAGCAGCGGATGAAGCATGTGGTTTGATGACGGGCTTCCCACGGACCAAAGGCCCAGACGGCCGGGAAATTCTAGGCTTCTTCTGGACGGTCCAATCATCCAGGTCATCCAGACCACCGAAAGGATTTCTATCAGCCCGAGCCTTTGCAAGGATGTCGCTGCGCCAGGCAGCTTTGTGAGCGGCGACCAAATCGGCCTTGCGGGTGGTGCGATGCTTGGCGGGATGGTTGGGTTTGCGCAAAGAATCATGCGGTGGAAACAGGGGTTTGAGACGAATGGCGCGCTCCTCGCGAAGTTCCTTGGCTTCAGCGTCTCCACCGTAATGGACTTCACTCGCTTTCTGACGGTCTGCGTCTGTCATGTCGAGTATCTCAGTGTCAATGCTGAACTTTTCTTTCAGGGCTTCCTTAGCAGCATCTTTCTTTTCGAGACTCTTGCGCTCCTGTCGGAAATGCTGGCGTAGCTTCTGGTTCTTGGTGTATGGGTCGTCCCAGTCCCTGTCGCGGGCCTTCTGGAGCTCGAGGATGCGGTTGGCCTCTGTCTTGGCGCGAGTCTTGTCCTCTATCTTGTTTTCAAGCTTCGAGAAAGGGTCCTTCTCCGCTGGATCTTGGTTCGAGGCGTAGGGCTTGATGGCGATTTCGCCTGGTTGGAGGGGCTTGTCTTCTCCAAGATCTCGCTTGCGTCCACCCTCGGTGACAATGTATGCGGTGTTCTGGGGATCGGTTTTTATCTCGATGGTGCCGCCGCAGACGGTGTGTTTCATGCGGAAAGTGTAGATGGGGGTTGAGTAGTAATTCCCGACTTTGGTTTTCTCTGCATTGAAGCGCACACCTTGGCCGATTATGACGGGGTGCGGTTTGCAGTTGTCACACCATACTGCGAAAGGCATCTCGAATCGCACCACCAGCGCTCCTGTGGTGTTGAGCTTTCTTGCGCGCGCTCCTAGCGGATGCTTTCCTGCCAGTTTGTTTCCCGATGTGACACCTTCTTGGTCCGGAGGAACATAACTGCAAATCAAGTCAGTTTTTTTGCTGTATCAATGAACCTAGGCATTGCTGACCGTCCCATATCTAGCGAGCAGCATGTTAGCAGATTATTCCGCGCATTCTTTGAACTCAAGAGACTTACTAAAGCCTTGCATCTTGGGCGATTCAGGCGATCGTCAACGACTTAAATATAATGAGCAGAGGTATTGCACGCTGAATACGCGATGCAGCAGCATCTATGCAGGCGTGCCAGTCTTTGAAGTAGGGACCGATGTAAGTTGCACGAGTTGATGGAAGTGCGAACGATAAGCGGCCCCGATAACAGTATCGGCGATATCGGGTTTAAGCCCACTATGTCACGTGCTGGGGCCTCGGCTCGGAGCCACCCGGCCTCCGAGCTTGCCCACTAGACATTGACCCACAGATGTTAGTATCATGATGTTCTCACTTATTCTACCTTCGACATTCGGACTAGACAAGGCATGCTAGATTGCAGACATTTGTACGGTTAGACTGAGTACACACGGAATTTTCCAGAAATCTGTTCATCAATCTATGTCAAGTGTTCTGCCGGTGTTCAGACAAGCCAATATTGAACTTGATTCGGGTGATCAGCTCGTCCAATGTTGAATAAGTTAGTAGAAAAGAAGACCTGGAGAGTTTAAGCCAAAATGTTCTATTTTATATCCAAATGTAGGTGGATCCAAGGTTTTGGTTAAAAACCTAGATGTATACTTAAGTATGCAAAGCCAGAGTTCATCATTCTTACAGCGTGACCTGTGATTTGTGTCATAGAATCTCAGTGCAAATACCTTGTCAAAGAAGTAATTTGAGAGAGATCTAGACTTATTTGCCAATCTGCGAGCATCTTCCTAGCCTCAGGCCTACCTGATGGTATAAGAAAGGAACCTTCGCTGGAATCATTGTCATTATCCTATGACCACCGCCGGTGCTGATTTTTGACTTCACTGCCCTGCCCATTTCAACTAAACACTCCCTCCGTTGATACAAGACGCTGCTCAATCTATATGGCGCAACACGCACTCGAAGTGTAAGAAGAACCGAACCTGGGGGATCAAAGAACCAATCTTGCCATCATAAATGGGCACAGCAATGTCCATGGAGTTTGATGTCGATATGGAAGAAGTACTTGATCAATACGAGAAGGGGATCCTGACGGAACTGTCCAAGCTCTCTGCAGCCGTTGAAGATTTAGACTATTCAAGTTTCGACTCTGATTCTGACACACTTCCTGAATGCGTCTGCTGCCAAGAAAACTTTCCAGCAGGAAAGATGGTTCAAGCCCAATGCTCTCACTTTTACTGCAGCGAATGCTTGACCGACTTATTTCAAAAGTCTCTACATGACGACTCTTTATGCCCTCTTCAATGCTGTGCCAAGCAGATCAAAGTCGCCGATGCCAAGAAGTTGATAGGTCGTACACTGATTGCAAAGTATGAATATCGCTTGGCCGAGATTCTAGATCCGGACAAGACCTACTGCTCGGATCTGATCTGTTCACAGTACATCCCACGAAAGAAATCAGGGCCACATCGCGTTGTGTGCAAATGCAAGTGTGGGGTTGAAACATGCCGAAGGTGCAAGCAGAAGGCCCATGGAGACTGGGACGACTGCGCGCGCCATTTTGATCGCCTATTGGAGGATCTTGCAACGAGCGAAGGATGGAAAAGATGTCCAGAATGCTCGCGTTTGATTGAGCTTGAAAAGGGGTGTTTTCATATAATGTGAGCGTGATCCTGGATACATCTTCTCAATCCGCTGCTCTATGATTACTCTTACTGATATCTTACCCGTGGACTAGATGCGTGTGTGGATCGGCATGGTGCTATCTCTGCACAAAGAACTACAACAAGCAGGGCAAGAGTTGTCAATGCCCGTTGTGGGATGAGGCACTTATTTTGAATTATGGGGAAGTCGTATAAGACAGCTCAAGAATGTTTTCCTCTGTAACATTGCAGGTGGAAATATTTCTTCAACCAATGATCTTCAACCAAAAGAGACTGCTACTGTTTATGAATTTGCTGAATGCCAGGTGGAAAAATAATTTTGTAGGTACTTCGGGATATAAAGTAGCCACTGATCATTGATTATGTGTACGTGTGTCCAATTGGGAATCTAAAGATCTCTAGAGCCGAGCGTCGTGATCAAAAATCTCAGCGGTTAAGCGATATCCAGATAATCTATCTTGTTGAATACTTGGGAAATTTGAATATTTTATAACAGTCTGGAAGCCCAGGCTCGATATCCATTGATTATTGAATTGTCTGTAATTCAGATTTTGATATCGAAAGTGGGCACTGAATGATGGAGACCGAATGAAGCCCTCAAAGTATGGCTGCAATCATGACGATGCTATTCGTGAAATTGTGGTTTGCTGGGATGCATTTACTCATATTTAAATACGCAATCCAACAGTTTGCCCCTCACCAGGCTGGTTTCCGTGACTCCACACCCATTTGCTCAAGCGGTACTCTGTATTCCACGTATATCTCCATCCAACTCCGCCGGCGACCTAGAAAAAGAGAAGTCACAATGAATGACCCTTTGAAAGGTAAGGATATGAAATTTGATTTTATCCCCACATTTCAATCGATAGACGGCGAGAACTGACCATTTGAGTGTACCAGGACCCCATGAGAACTTACCATCAAGTACAATGACCGGGTGGATGAAAAGCATTCTGAGATCGTCTGGAATCACCAGGGAGAGGCCCTTGAGGGAATCCACCTCTACCTCTAAAGTGACTGATGCAGTTGAGAACCTGTCCTCACGAGAACAAGTCAGCTTTGGGAAAAAGCCGAAACAGGGGATCGATTCAGCTCTTGAGTGTGTCTCTTGCGTCAACGAGTATCAACCATCGGATACCATCCTGCTTCCTTGCTCCCACATTTATTGCAAGGGTTGTGTCACCACTATATTTGACCTATTTATTCAAGGCGAAGCCCCATCACCACCACAATGTTGTGGTGGGCTGTTGATCGGATCCCAAGTCACAGACATATTAGGCCTCGAAACCACCAAAAGATACGAGGATCGTCACACCGAGTTCAGAGACCCCAACAAACTTTTCTGTTCAAATTCAAACTGCCGTCGATACATATTGCCTAGCAGGACACGCCATCGAGCTGGAGTGTGCGAGCATTGTATGACGCGTACGTGCGTGTGGTGTGGTAATGTGGCACACCTTGGCCTATGCCCGAGCGAAAGAGCCGAGAACACGAATGCTTCAAATGGGACCAAGACCAAAAAGCGCATCAAAAAGACTAAGAAAGCCACCAAGACCAGAAAAGTTGCTAAGCGCAGCAAGAACAGTAAGGTCGCGAAGGGAAAGACGGTCTGCAAGAGCAACGAGGATAGGGAGAACGAGGTGGAGACACCGGAGGACATCAATGCTAGGAACGATGCCCTACTAGAGAGATTGATGAAAAGGAAAGCATGGCGGCGGTGTCTCATGTGCTCCCGGGTGATAGAAAGGATTTCTGGATGTTCCCACATTCAGTGAGTGATTCTTGGACTTGTGCAGTGATTATCGAAAACTAATATTTGATGCTCAGATGCCCCTGTGGATTCGACTTCTGTTACAAGTGCTCTAAATCAACGTCAAATTTCCCACTACAGACAATTACACGGACAGGCACAGTGACACCAGGCCAATGTAAATGTTATGGACGCTATGGACACTATGGACACTAGTCTTACACGAGAAGGGTGGCGGGCTGGCACCAGTGTGGGGGCCAGCAGTTATTAGGAAGTGCGAGATATTTAGCTGAACAGACTTGAGCAATTGCTTATCGTGTCGTTTGAGTATTACTGTTAATGCTTCATGAAAGTCTGACAAAGAGGCCACTCGTTACCCAATCTAAAGCCTCGAAGCTACTTATGAAGTTTTCTGCTTCTTCGAAGGTCTATCTTCAGAATTCCCAAATTCCGTCTTCCAAGTCCCATCCTTGACTTTCGCGTCGCTGCCATGCAACCCAACATCGTACGCATGCTTCATACCATCTAAGCAGATTTGTCGCCTCTCGTCGAAATCGAACATGGGTTTCGGATAGGTGTTCTCAGTGTCATCGGAATCAGAAGTCGGCGTGCCATCGCCGGTGACTCTGCAACCCCATTTCTTCTGATCGGCTATGGGGGCCTTCCACGGCTCATAGATATGCTTCTTGTCGAATTTCGCAAGCTCAGGACAATACCGCCTGATCAAGTTGCCTTCCGGATCCCACTTCTTTCCGAAAGCTATTGGTGAGTAGCAGCGGTAAAACATCGCATAAAATGCGGTGCAGGAGAGCCACTGCCAATTACCGATGTTACACGCGGTTTCATCTAGAACATTGTGAGTGAGTGTCGGAAAGTTCCACTTTGAAGACAACATACGGTCAATCAGTAGCTCTTCAAAGACTTCAGCGCCCCTCTCCCACGAAACATAACAGCCACCTCGGGTCAGAAAACAAGCCACGCTATGCCTCCCAAGATGATGAATCCATCCCTCTTTTCTGAGTTGGCGCATTAATGCGTCGATCCAGGGGAAGCCCGTTCGCCCCTCCTTCCACCGTTGAAACCATTCCTCTGCCTCCTGCGAGTCCACGTCATAAGATCCATCAACTAATCCATCTTTATCAGGTGGGTTTGACTGCAGATGCCAATCAATGAACCTAGCGACCTCGTTTCCGTGCGAGCGAGCAAATCGATGCCCAAGAGGTGCCTGTGCCGCGAAATACATATCTCTGAACAACAACTGGCCATGAAGGTTGGTCGGTACAGACGCAACCGGCTTCTTGGCCTTTCTCTGTTTGTTGAAGACGTCTTGAACATCCCACCAGAACTTCCTCACAGACAACGACCCAAAGTGAAGATGAGGGGATAATAGCGTGGTGGATTGAGGCTCAAAGGCTGCCGGAGACGTTTTAGGCTTTTCAAATTGTGCAACGTATTCCGCGTTCTCAATGCATTCGGCCAATATGCGCAGTGCCTCTGCCTCGCCACCCCGGTGGGGTGTAGCTGCCTGGGATAAGTCGATGCCTATGTCGTCCCATGGGACGGCGAAATCGTTCTTGGGACCCATGAGATTCGAGTACTGCTCATCTTTCTTGGTGCGATGCTCCGCGTTCAAGTCAGGTTTGTTGTCAACTGAATCATGATCGAGACTGGTAAGATCCATCTGCTTCTCACCCCATGGGTCTGGAATGCTCTCAGGGGGATCAAGCGGTTTATCCGGGTTGCCATTATTGATCTTCACAGCAGCCTTCTCCACTTGAGTGATGCTCATTGTTGGTTTCCCATTGTTTTTATAAACAAGCTCATCAGGATCAAAGAGTGTTCTGCCCATTCTGACTATGACCTCAACGCCGGCCTTTTCGGCCAAGGCCACAATGGCTGTGTCTCGATCTTTGGCGTACGCGTCCGTGTCTTTCTCAAAAACAAGATGTGTAACACCCCAATGCTTCCACAATTTTGGAAGAATTGTCTGTGGTCCTTCCCTGACGACCCAGAGCTTTTGCTTGGGATTCAGGCTCTTATACCCCTTGGACAATTCACTTTGACATTCAAGGAGAAACTTCCAGCGATTGGGGCCCACGCGCGCTTTGTACACGTAATGGGGATCCCATGTCCAGACTGGAATGAATACCGACGGCTTTAAAGCCAGAGCAGCGTGTAAAGCTGGCGAGTCATGGAGTCGCAGATCTGTCCTAAGGTCACAATTTCAGCAATCATCTCTCTCAAGGGGCTGGTTTACTGACCGATGCCAATACAGAACAACCGGGCTTGATGCTGAGCTAGCCTTCATATTTTTCAGTCAATCCCAAACAATGGTAGGTTTCTGTCAAACCAGACAAGATTAGAAAAGAACGAGAGGTTAAAGCCAGGGTTAGATCGAGGCTCCGCGATTATTATACCGTGACGTCACCGACATTTGGCGATCGATCGTTCGAAGCGCCTTTTCACGGAATCTTAAATAGTGGATTGCTGTGACTTTTGAAATATACAAGCTTTCTTGGTTTCGGGCTTTACTGGACTAGCGGACAGTCTGAACTACGCCGGAATCGGGACCAAAACGGCGTGGTTACTCTTTACCTCACACGAATATTTGGGGTAAGACTGCAGTTCGGGTGGAATAGACTTGTTGGTGGGATTTTGACATATCACATAATTATTTTATTTGACCTGTTGACGGATCCTTCGTTTTTCTAATAATGCACTCTGGTCCAGGTTCAGCTCGGACTGTTTAGTGTGCTTGTTGCTTGAAGCCTGTTCCGGTGAATTAGGTTCGACCATAAATGATAGCCGATTGATACCCTTGGGGCCCGAAAGACTCAATTGTGACATCTGCGAGTTGGCATTCTTTGTGCTTGAGAGGTTGCCCATTATTCTTTCTTGTCTTCTCCGTTCGTCTTCTATCTGATGCACTGAGAAGGCGACGTCGAAGATCTCGGCCACATTCATAACGTCGGGAGTGCGGCATTCGACTTGGCCTCTGATGGCCAAGCTTGCAGGACTTGGGAGGGATTCAGTTTGGCCACCTTCCGAACCAGCGGATGAATGGCGTTTTAATTGAGGGACCTTCATATGCGTCGAATCTTGAAGCGGTTCCTTTTCGGTTTGATCACCTTGCGAGGCCGCTAAAATCCATGGATGGGCCATGAACTCATCGATAGTGTACCTTTTAGCGGGATCAACTGTCAACAAATTCCTGATGAGATCCTTCGCTTCGTCGGATATATTGTCCCACCACGGGGAATCAAAAGCAAATTGCGCTTTGGTAACTCTTTTCATCAATATTTTGATGTTGGGGTCGTAAAACGGTGGGTATCCTGCTAATAGTGCGAAAAGAACGCAGCCTAGGGCCCACATATCGACTCCGGTCGAGTATTTTTGGTCATCAACGATTTCTGGGGCAGCGTATCCCATCGTGCCGCATGGAGTGGCAGTTAAGTTGCCAAGGATCTTCTTCGAAAAGCCGAAGTCGCCCAGCTTCACTGTCCCTATGCCACCGCACCCAACACCGGAGACAAAATCACCCTCGTCAACTTTCTTCTCTTCGCCTGGTTGGGGTTTCTTGGGAATTTTACTCGGCAGTAGCGGTATGGAGTGGAACAAGATGTTTTCAGGTTTGATGTCACTATCTCTGGAGTTAGTCACGCCAATGAACTGGTACCTTGGTGTGTAAGTCGAACTAACCGATGCACTATTCCTAGCGTCTGGTGCAGGTATTGAACAGCGCGAGCAACTTGAAGAATAACATGTCGACTGAGATCTTCGCTGAGATAAGTCAATTTGACCACCTGATTGAATAATTCTCCTCCAGTGCAAAGCTCCATGATAATGTAACAGTATTCGTTTGTGTCGATTGTATCGATTAGCTGGATCAAGTTCGGGTGGCTCATTTGACGCATTATTTCGATTTCTTTGCACATGCTGGCATTCTGTGTGCTGGTTAGAAACCCGAGCCTCAATTTCAATGGAAGAAGCTCAAATGAGCCCCAACGCTACTCGTACCTGCTGTGAGTTCATGGCTCGCTTTCGCATGATCTTTATTGCGACCTCATCGTGCAAGGCCTCAGTATCTTGAGCTCGAAACACCTCACTGAAGGCGCCTTTGCCTATGGGGCATGTGAGGCGCCAGCGTTCTAGGCCAGGGAATGTCGGCATATTTTCGGCCATGGCGGCGTGTTGTTCTCCAGGAGAACTCAGTTCAGGCTGGGGGTTGATGGAGAAGGACGGGTGTCGCAGTTACGAGATTCTCGACAGATCAATGGTCGTCAGGTTGGTCTGAATATAAGAGTACGTCGAAACTAAGAAAAACCATGATCGTACTTGTCAGTCGTCGTGAGGGGATGAATTCGGGCCCACGGGCGGCTTTAAAGGGGACAGTCGTCAAAGAAACTGGTTCCTCCCTTAACGTCATGTTGGATTGGAACGTCCAGGACGATGAGGCAAGGCAGAGAAGATAAGAATTATACTTGACATCATTGCCGAAGTGAATCCGGATGCAAAAAGACGACTGATTCGGGAGGATCCACGACTTCCAGGATGACGGGTGAGTTTCCGCCAATCAGAAGCGTTTCTGACCCAGCACTGTCGGTACCCACACGGGCAAAGGCTGTGTACTCGTACACTCGTTATACATACTCATAGGTACTTTTGCTTCGCGATTGTTTACCCTGGCAATATATACCTGTAGAGTGAGTTATGTAGTACATGAGATAAAAAAAAATGGTATTTATGTATCCGTATTAACCATCATACATGTATCGGGTAGCAGATCCCCCCTGGCGACCCCGATTTCCACTCTCCGAGGCAAACGTGTTGAGGGACTTCGATTCGCGGAACCTAAGCCAGAAGCTTGGCAAGTAAGATGCCATACTGGACCGTGGCAAGGAACCCGCCAATGTTGATGCAGATGGAGGTGCCATGAATGTACATGAACTGCCGATCCAGAACTTTCTTTTCCTGGGAGACCAAAGTGGATGAATTGCGCCGATCCTTCATATCTTCGGGGACGTTAGCTTCTTTGTCTCAGCTTCAGAACCACTTCACATGAACGACATATCCATACCCTGGTGTTTCCTGGCTTTGACTACTCTCTGCGTTAAGGGGCGGAAAATGATGAGATTGATCAGACCGGCGAGAGCGACCACGGCCATATACCAGTACAAATCAAGGTCGAGTAAACCCGTCGACTTAACCCTTCGAGTCCCCGTCAGAGCTACAAAGACAGGAAGGAAAGATTGTAACGAAAAATAAGCCGGAAAGATCGCGGCCTGGTGTATCCCGAAGGACGGTCTATCTAGCGCCCCGAAGGCTAGGATGCCATTGAAAAAGGTCTGCGAGTTGATCAATCAGATAACATATCGAGGCTGTATTTAGATGAATATGTAGTCACCTGAAAGACTTGGCTCCCGAGCAGGATTCCGTAACTAATCCGGGTATTGGTTAAGAATGTTTCAATTCAGGGTTTCAGAACCCTGGCTGGCAGGGGGTGGAATTGTACCTGATCAAATGAAAGAATTGAAGCAACATAACCGCTGTGCAGCTATGTGAGACCCTAGTGAATCTCTATCAAGGGGAAAAGATGAAATCAAATATTAATTTTACAAGAAAAAAAAACCTTCGAAGAAACCCGAACACCAAAAAAGAAAACTCTGGACCCTCCTAAGGAACATTGGTCTCTAATGAGTGGGCCGGAGATGCCCACCCGGCCTTGCTTCGTATCCACACGGACGCGCCAAAAAACAAGGCCTGGCCAAGTTTTGAACCTTGGGTTTGACAGCAATGCCCATGCGCATAGACTTAATATATTAATACTGAGCGCCGTTCAACTATCAACGTTCTGTTTTCCTTATATCCCTAAATATACCTAAACCTTTGTTAAAACCCAACCATGTTAGAGGTGGATCTGGTCAAGCATAATGTTGGCGGGTGTACCTTTGACACCCCTAGTCGGTGTGTGACTGGCTTGAACAATCTATTGACGACTTAGCCGCTGATTCTCGAAGATATAACAATATACAGCTTCAAGGCTTTGGTGCCTATGGAATTGTGTGGTATGGAGACCTCGTTGGCAAACGATCGCGTCACATAAACTCAATTCCCAAAAATACTGATCAAGTATTTGCAGCTCTTTAAAAGACAATCTTACCTCTGAGACGGTTGCGATAAAGAAAATCCCAGGCCCATTTCGATCGGAGGAGGCAGCCAAACGGACTTTTCGTGAGGTCAAATTACTTCGGCATCTCGAACATGATAATGTCCGTGCACCCTAATGCCGAGCGCCACGGTCTTCATGCTGATCCTACGAAAATAGGTGATCTCTCTGCGAGATATCTTTGTCTCCCCCCGCGATGACATGTAATAGCCTATTCAAGCACACTGCATCATCATTTTCATTACTAACTAATGCAAATGCAGATATCTAGTAACAGACCTCATGTCTACCGATCTCGCGCACATCATCTCTATGAAGCCAATAGATGATGAATTTGTCAAATATATCTTCTACCAAATTATGGTATGTTACCAACGCGATCAGGAGTCCTGTCGACCTACCAGTCTAACGTTCCACGTCATTCAGCGGGGCTTGAAGTACATCCATTCAGCGGGCGTTGTGCACCGCGATCTCAAACCAAGTAACGTCCTGGTAGATGAGAATTGTGATATCAAATTATGTGATTTCGGGCTCGCCAGAACGGTCGACACCACTATGACGGGCTACGTCTCCATGCGACATTACCGAGCACCCGAAACCATGCTTACATGGCAAAAATACACCGTTCAAATCGATATGTGGAGTGCGGGCTGTATACTCGCGGAATTAATTGCAGGCACACCACTCTTTCCGGGCCAAAGCCACGCCGATCAATTTTCTGTCATCCTCGATCTTTTGGGATCTGTTCCCCAGAGTGTCCTACAGACAATCCCTTCCCAGAACGTATGTCGGGCCATCTTCAAGCAGTACTTGATCCACCTACTAAATCTGCGCGCTTAGACCTCCAAATACATCGCAGGGCTACCCGTGCGAACCAAGCGATCATTAGCAGACACTTTGTGTAACGCTTCTTCTGATGGTACGTTTTTGCGAAAGAAAAGAACAAGTGAAACTGCTCACACGAATCACTCAACAGCCATAGATCTCCTGGAAAAGCTGCTGGTTTGGGACCCAAATGAGCGTCTCATTGCCGGAGATGCTCTTGAACACCCATATTTGAAACTTTATCATGATCCTACCGATGAGCCTGTGGCCAAGGAGAAGTTCGATTGGTCTTCAGTCTCCAAAGATCATTCACTTGACCATTGGAAAATTCTCACGTTTGTCACCGCGAAGCCTAATATACGTAATAAAAAGCTGACATTTTGTAGATATTCGGAGATTATGAATCATCATAATGCCCAAATTTCGGATGAATTGATCGATTTCCAAAGCATGTTGGATGAATAACGGTTATGTGATTTTGGGTTTATTTGCGTTCAGCGAGAACGTTTCAGCGCTTCGATTTGCGAGATACTATGTATGTTATGATAATTTTAATTTCAACAGAATCGACAGTTTGGCAATACTTAAGTAGCACATTGGACGGGAAATCCGTAGTCTTGACACGAAGTTGACATTCACCCTTTGGGACATGTCAACTGAGATCTCAGGTAGAATTCGAGTTATCGGCACACGACCATGGAGAGGACCCTCCAGACTCGGCGAAAGAGTCCACTATCCCCACCACAGACCCATACGTGCCTCCTATCATCAAAAAAGAACCAAGCAAAAGAATAAAAACAGACCAGACTACGCCGGATTTCCACTGCAAGGTGCGACTGCCTTTCCAGTTGTCGTATAGCCACATTCCAGCGTATGGTTGGAACGTCAGGAATGCTCCTAGGAAGGCACCGATCAGAGAAACGAGACTCGAGAAGACAGGAATGGCACTGGCGATGATATATGCGATGATGGTGATGCCAAACGTCGAGGAAAGCCATGTCATCCAGTGGACGACGCTATTGGCCGTTAGGTGATCTGATCCACGTAGGATCCGCACGAAGACATGCTTGGCAGAAAGCTAGTGTGGATGTTAGTAAGCTCAAGTAGATCCATACTGTGTAGGGCTCATACGTGAATGAAGAGAACACAGGAGACAATCAAACCAGGCAGCGCAATGCCATATGACACCTTCTTTACAGTGTCTCCAGCGGATCCAAGAGCAGGCGAGGCGACGTAAGATCCGCAAAAATAGTAGACAATAGTACCGACAATGATGTAGACTGCGGTGACAGTAATTTGACAAACACCGAGTGCTCGATTGTACATGACTGGTTGGCGCATCTCGGCAACGATATTGAAAAAAGCGGGAGTTCCGGCATAGGTGAATACCAATGTTGAGACGGCGGATATGGCTTCGGTGAAGGTGGGAGTGTTGAAAAGCTTGTAGTCTGATTCCCAGTGACCGGCCTGAGGTGCTTCTGAAGGGCGGTCTTGAAGACCAACCGCAATAGTAACCACGAAAACTGTCCAAATTTTGTTAGAGCATGGATTCGAAGAAAAGGTCTTGTCACTTACCTGCAATGATAATTGAGAGCGCACCAATCCAAGCCAAAAAGCCAATTTTGTCAAGTGTTCTTATACTACCAAATATAAACCCAATGACAGCAGCACATGCCACAAATCCCGCCGTGCAGATGGCGTGTGTTGAAAGCGCGTTCAAAGAGATGGAGATACTCAGCATGGCTGATCCAGCAACGAAAGTGAAATCTGCAATACATTAGAAGGTACATCATCCTCACTTAGTACTGACTTACAAATGGCATAGGCAGCACCGAACAACTCATATCCGATTCGACCGAAAAGTATTCTTCCTACATCGTCGATGCCGTATACGTCTGGATGATGAAGCTTGATGACACCAACCATATAGTCCGACCATGTTGTAATGCCAGCCATAACCACAAGGAGAATATTACCTGGTATCAAGCCCACGGTAGCAAACACGAGTGGCATAGAGAGGACACCAAGCCCGATCTGTGTTTTCATCATCAAGGCGGTTGTACCAAGCCATCCGACCTGAGAGAAATGCAAGTTCAGTTTTTGAAACATAATGCAAGACATGATATGCTTACATTGCGGTAGTTTGGGCCATCTTCTGATATCTCCCCAAAAACATCGTCGTGGTCAGCGATAGTTCCCAATGCTTCATGTGGAATTGGGCCATTGTTATGGTACTCGAGATCAGGTTCGCCCTTGAGACTTTTCGACATTGTTTGTGGTTTTTTTCGAAGGCTTTGGATCTTTTGAAAGTAGAATAACTATATTCAACCTAATCCCCAGAGTACTACCGCCTTAAATACCCATTCTAATGTTATTACTATCAGACAACCAGCCCCGTCCGTGCGTTAAGAGAGCCCGCAGAATCTGGGGTTGGTGGAAAGGTTATTCTTGCCACCTTTTACCTTTTATCTCTTCTACCTCGAGAACGTCCAGTATAAAAATCATCAAATTGACTGATTTGGGATACTTCCCCGCTCGGGTGATGTTTAGATATGATATCTACATATAGGGAGATAGGGGATGGCGAATTGCACACCTTGGTTATGATTACCCCATCTTTCTTAAGGAAATCGATTGTCTTTGGACCCGGAACCACCTTCCTACATTGAGAGATACCAAGCCAAAAATCATAAATCGAGAGTCAGATAAATCTAAGTTTCTCGTATCTTGACCAGGATTGTGAATCTGGACCTCTGCTTTCATTACCTTCCACCTCAGGCTGAAACAGCGGGGTTCCAAAACAGGCGTAACTTTCCTATTTGGGAATCAGGCAACCGAAAGTCCATAGCCCATCTCCCGTGAGGCGATATGACTATTTGGAAAATAGACCCCGAAGCTCCTCTTCAGATAGCGGCTTCAGACCAAACAACTCGTTTGAAACATCTTGAGGATCGTTCAATGAACCGAACCCTTCTCCAAAGATAGCACGCCAAATGAAACGGGTTGCAATAATCGCTGGGTTTGGCGACGGCTTCTTGAGCTCCTCAAAGCCCTCTTTTTCCAGATCCGCGGTCGCGACAATCTCGGTATCAGTGGCCTTGCCAGACAACCGGAGAAGCTCCTTCTGTGATACCCTGGCCTCGTCGATATAAACAGCAGTGTTCTTGGTGAAATCGAGATTGTTGATGATACCGACAACACCTTTGCCCACACCGCTGAGGGTCGTGGACGAGAATGGCCGTTCGCCGCCGTCGTAAAGTGGGACAACAGGACCAGATAAGTTGAGGATAAAGCCATTCTTAAGACCCCAATCGAGGAATGGACCAGTGATAAGAAGCGAATAGCTGAGACCAGAATCTTGAGAGGCTTTTTTCAAATGCTCTTGAACGTTGATCTTATCGCCAAAGACGGGAAGTTTGGCCGTTTGAGGGTTGACGGTGTTGGAGCCAAACTCGGAGGGAACGAAGCGCTTCACTCCTGCGGCAACAGCAGCATCAATTATGCGAAGATGGATGGCGAGTGGTACGGCACCAGCGTTTAATGTGCTGACAACGACCTCTTGGCCCGTCAAGGCATTCTTAATGGAGTCCAGTGACTCGTAGTCCACCTTTGCGACATGGGCTCGGGGGTCAAAGGTATGATCACTGCCCTGTCGAGTGAGGACGGTGACATCAAACCCGGCGATGAGGAGCTGCTCCAGAACTGCTGGGCCAACGTTACCGCTAGCCTAAGTGGATGTCAGCATGCTCGTATTTTGCATGGGTGAATGTACATACCCCGACAAGTGCAACCTTGATCGACATGCTTAAAGTAGTTATATGTTGATGGTGTTGATATCAAGTCTGTTATGGGAAATGGAAGTGTCCTGAAAAGTAGTTGTGAGGACATGGGCGAAGGCCAGAGTCCCTTTTATAATCACTTGATGAAGCCATGAATATTGAAGTCGCACGCAATACACCCATTGCTTACAGATGAAAGTCGTGATTTACAACCACTTCAAGGATTGTCTCACTATGGCGTGCCCTCATTTCGAAATTACGTGAGCATATAGCAAAATGCTTGAATTATCCCGGAGCTCCAGGTTCAAGTTTAGAACTCGGGTCCTTGATTTCAAATGTTCGGGGCGGGCAAATTCCGCGGCTCCATGTCAGCTTGCCAAGCCCACCCTGGGCATTGCCCGGTGCCAGCTTTCGCATTCCAGCATTTTAGGGCTCTTTCTACATAGATAATCATGGTATGCCAGGGGTACAGACTTTGCTTTTTTTTTTTCAAATTTTGCACTCCAAAGAGAAATGTTTTCAATCATGATCTCAGGCTGCCACATACTTAGCCTTGACCCAGGAGATCGTTCAACCCTCAAAGCCCTGAACTCCTTCGCATTGAAACTATTATGTGCAATTATTATGAGGAAAATATCTATGTGACTGTTTAGCTGCTATATAGCTGTCTGAAATCTCTCTTGTAGCAGGATGTAGCTTCTTGCTAGATAGAGCGTTCTCCGTCTCCTGCTCGAGCGAACATATCAAAGCAGTATGCCCAGGTGTCTAGTGGTGTGGAGATTATGGACCAGGAAGCCCTGATATCCAAGAGGCCTGGATAGCTCTCTCACTCTGTCACTCTCTTACTCGCTCACTCACTCACTCACACACACACACACACACACACACACACTCTCTCTCTCTCTCTCTCTCTCTCTCTCTCTCTCTCTCTCTCTCTCTCTCTCTCTCTCTCTCATTTCTCATCTCTGATCTATGCATCATCTTTCTTTCTTTCTTCGTTTCATAATGCCGGATATCTCCATTGTTTGCCATGCTTACATTATGAATCCTGAGATGCTCTTATATTGCAAATGCAACTATCTACAAGCCACTGTGCATCAAACTGTTCACTCCACGTTGATACCAAAGCTAGCAGGCAACTTATCACTGCAGTTTAGAAAGTGCATCAACCTATCTGCTCCCTAGCAAACGCTCAAACACGGTGATGATAGGTAGTAATTCTGCTTGAGGACATTGAGGCCCCTCAAAGTCAATAATGAGTGAGTGCTGAAGGCCACTGCCTCCAGAGAACCTCGCAATTGCTTCTTGATATCGTCAGACTTGACCTTGCGAACTTTTACATCCAACCAGTGGGTGCCAACCTGTGATACCTCATCGAATTCCGACTCAGTCAGATCATTCAGAGGGTCTGAGAGAGTTCACCTCACCTTGAATGAACCCTCGAAGCTTCTACCATTTGTTTCAGCGCTGCAACATCTTTGCTGAAACAGCAAAAAGACGCGAATGGTATTTCTCCCTTTTACACCTGCCTTCTTATCCCCGGTCTCGCAGAATACCGGCAGTACAGAGTATTGCTGCTGTCTCCTATGCCCCCTTCAACCCATGTGATTCGAAGAGATGGACGGACAAAGCTATGACCGGGCCGAAGTGCGGGCCTGGGAATTGCAGCTACGTGAGATTGACGAGGCCCTGAATTACGATAGCCAGGCAGACAATTTGTCCGCGTCTCAAGAAGTTGCAGATCGCATCATCGGGTTGGAATATCTGAAATCAGAGATTCAACGAAACATCACATTCCAGCCTAATTCCCACACCATGACCACCGAACAGCAGATCACGTTTGAATGTGTTGCTTGCAACGAGTTATTTCCCTTGCAGATCATGGTCAATTGCACTTGTGAGCACAGATACTGCCACAGCTGCGCCATTGAGCTAGTCCAGAGTTCATTGAGCGACATCAATTTATTCCCCCCTCGATGCTGCGGGACACCCTTGCCACTCGAAACAAAATGGCGCTTCATGACCACCGCGCTATGGGAGAAGTTTGAAAAACGAAAACTTGAAACCAGCGGCCCGCCTCCAACCTATTGTTGGACACCAAGTTGCGCCAATCTCCTTCTACCAGAGAACATTACCAACTCGGTTGGCACATGTCCAAAGTGCCACAAAAGGACTTGCACGAAATGCAAGGAGAAGACACATATAGGTTCATGTGCGGGTGGTGTATATGACCATCTCAATGTGACAGAGTTCATATTGAAAAATGGCTGGAAGCGCTGCCCAAAGTGTGGCCGAGGCATCGAGAGAATTGATGGCTGTCCACATATGCTGTATGAGATTGCCCTATATGCCCTCTGTGAGACATGTGACTAACTCTTATTCTAGATGCCCATGTGGTCGAGAGTTCTGCTATTTGTGCAACAAAGAATGGAAGATATGCAAATCCCTTTGCAATCGTTCCAATGGTGTTGCTACCCAGCAACTTGCTACCCCGGAGTTGCGACAGCAGCCAGTACCGTTTCCTGGTGAAGGCCGTACACAAACAGGCCGTACACAAACAGGCCGTACACAAACAGGCCGTACACAAACACGACGAGATCCCCCGGAAGCAGCGTGTCAACCCGATGCTGCCGTCACACCACGGCGGATAGCCCTTGAAGATTTGTTAATCGCTACACCTCCTGCTCCGGATTGTACGCATTCCGCGCCGTGGGAAAAGCTCTCAGATCGTGGCTTTTGCCGGTTATGCCTGCGTGACGATAGGCAACTATACAGTTGCCGCGGATGTGCAAGGACGGGGTGTATGCCGTGCAGGAGGTTTGCAGTATAGGACGGTGAAGCTCAGACAGGTGAGGGAAAAGAGGAAGCACGGAGGATTTAGGGGGTAGGGTTGAGAGAATCGATATGCTTGACAGTGATAGGGACCGAGGCGAGGCAATGCCTCCAAAGAATAGGTCGTTTGCTACTTAGTTATTTTGTGCTCGAGCTATCAAGGGGCAGCATCTTTGTCTGTTCTTAAACAAAATTGAGGGTTGCGTCCACATGCGAATACCAGTATGTCCATGAATCGCTCTCGGGAAAGTCATTTAATGCATCTGGGCATGTAGCAATCGAGTCAAACTCGATGCTAGGGTGATGAAGAATATGCACATACAGTCTCATAGATATCTGGATTTATTGTTCAACAGGGCTTGTGCCGACTATCTAGAAGTATTATACCTACTTAAGTATGATTTCAAGTGTTGCCCCCGAAGAGTATCATATCAAAAACAAAGGTTGAAAAGAGAGCAACTGGCACATTGAATAGAGCATGTCTTCCGGCATGTCTATATGAGCTGACCTCCTGGTATTTATTCCTTCTAGTACTCCAGTGTTTGCTTGATACCATCGAAAATTCCTACAAAAGGGGCATTGGGTTAGCAAACAGTAAAGGAATATGAGGATAGTATTGCACTTACTTGCAACATCAGGAAGGATGAACTGCTCGTAGCTCAGGCCAGTATGGGTGCTCCATCCAGCGACTCGCTTCACGGGAGCTTCTAATCGCAAAAATGCATTTTCCTGCAGGGTAGCTGCTACCTCTGCACCCACTCCGTAATTGATCATACTCTCGTGCACCACCACGGCGCGTCCTGTTTTCTTCACACTCTCGATGACTGTCTGTCTGTCCCAGGGATAGATTGTTCGCAAATCGAGGAGCTCCACGTTAACACCAGGCATCGCATTTTCGATTGCCGAAATTGCAGCAGAGCACATGTAGAGAGGTTGGCCGTATGAGATGACAGTCAAGTCCTTTCCAGGCTTGATCACTTCGGCCTTGCTGAGGGGTATCGTGTAGTATTCGTTTGGTACATGCTCTACCGCCGCACGGTATAGGATTTTAGGCTCCATGAATATCACCGGGTCATTGTGCTCAAAAATCGACGACAAAAGAAGACCTTTGGCCTGAGCTGGAGACCGTGGCATCACTACCCGCACACCGGGGATGTGCGCAAAGAGAGACTCGGGCGATTGCGAATGGTATCTGGGAAAATGTTGTATCAGTTTCCAAGTGCTGGTCTCTGGTGGTGGGACTCAACTCACAGAGCACCGTGCCCAACCGCACCACACGGCATACGAATCACAAGCCCGCCAGCATTGATCCCTGTCCCGCCCTCGCGATAACGGAACTTGGCTGCCTCGTTGACAATTTGATCGAAGGCCGGAAAGACGTAGTCTGCAAATTGAATCTCTGCCACCTAACCACTAAAATCAGTATGTTCTCTTGATCGAGGAAAGTCTGAAGTACCGGCTTCATCCCCTCCACCGCGCATCCTATTGCGAATCCTGCAATTCCTTGCTCTGTTAAAGGGGTATTGAACACTCGATCTGAGCCGAACTCTGTCTGGAGATCCATTGAGCAGCGAAATACACCACCGAACGCGACATCTTCACCGAAGAGGAGGACCTTCTCGGATTTCGATAAAGCGGTTTTGAGGGCGGAATTTATTGCCTGGAAAAAATTGAGTCGCTTACTGGTGGCGCCTGCAGGGAAGTCTGTTGTGTTTGCCAAAGAAGAGGAGGTGTGATGTAGAATTGGGGTAGTTTTGTAGTCAATGGGGAGATTGAGCTTTGCGGAAGGGGTGGGAGCTCCGGAATAGAATCTTCGAGGGACGTTGGCAAAAGATCGCAATGGAGTCCGTAGAGGTGCCATCTTTGGCTTTGATTTGAGATTATGGGCAGAATGTCAAGACATGAAAGGGTTTCTCTGCAGGGGCGATTTCCCTTTAAATTACTATATGCTTCAACGATCCGGGGCAAGCGCGGGGAAAGCGCCGCGGATAGCCGAGGTAGTGCAAACAGACCAAACAGGTCAAACCGTTCAAACTGCCTATGACGAAACCTTCCCGACCCCGGAAAATTGTCACCGCTGCATTGTGGGCGGGAAGCACGGAGGACGGGTTACACACGTTCCATTGATTGTTGATGAACATGTCAATACGGTAGAACCATGCATCCAAGGCTGGGAAAACCAGACAGCAGGTGCAAGAGCCTGTACAGCTTCTTTTGGCTCGGCCCTTGAAGTCTCACCAGCCCAAATGGCCATGCAAACGAACCACTATGAGACTTAGTAGCAAGGCCTATGGTTGTAGATAGGGTCTTGTCTCAATACCCTATGGTCAATGGAAAAGATTTGATCTGACATCCTGGGCATATTGTATCGCTAGACCAAGCCTAGATGATTTAGCGTATGTGCGTTTTCTCAAATTTGCCCAAGTACTTCGGACTCGGTAGACGCCACTCGCCTTCTATACCCTGAGGTTCAGATGCTGCATGCCAGTTAGCTAAACACAACCTCTCATTGGGTAGAATAAGAAGCAACAGAACAAAAAACGTATAGATCTCATGGTGTCCGTCTTGGAGGGGCAAGGATCGCCCCTTATCAGCTATCAGCCGGTCTCGGACCCCCCGTGACTTGCCCACAATTTTTCGCAATGACTCAGTCCCTCTTCTTTTATATTCCACTGTTCTTTTGACCTTTTGATTATCCAACTATCATTCACAATGGCTCAAGGAAAGGTATGTACATCTTGCACCCAATCCCTCCAATTGAATATTTGAATATTCTCAATTGTTCATACACACCGCCACCTTCTGCTCCACCTTCCTGCCCGCCATATTGATGTGGGACTAACATTCGTTCGTGCAGGTTTGCCTCGCCTACTCTGGCGGTCTCGACACCAGCTGCATCTGTATGGATATACCATTGTGAATTGGAGTCAATTGCAATTGCTGATCCCCAATTACAGTGAAGTACCTCATCGAGGAGGGCTATGAGGTCGTCTGTTTCAGTAAGTCGCCAACTCGGTAGCTTTGGAAGAGGGAATACTGACTTTAAAATAGTGGCCGATGTTGGCCAGGAAGGTAATTCACAACTCTAGTCCATAACCGATTACACCCGTCTAATCCATATCCGTCGCAGAGGACTTTGAGGCCGCTCGCGAGAAGGCCCTGAAGATCGGTGCCCTCAAGTGCGAGATCATTGACATCCGCCGCGAGTTCATCGAGGAGCTCTGCTTCCCCGCTATTGCCTGCAACGCTGTTTACGAGAACGTCTACCTTCTCGGTACCTCTCTGGCTCGTCCCGTCATTGCCCGCGCCCAGATCGATGTCGCCCAGGTACGATATCCTCCTGTCCGAACTCCGTGGCCGAGGATAGGATACTGACATGATGAATTAGCGCGAGGGCTGCTTCGCTGTCTCCCACGGCTGCACCGGTAAGGGTAACGACCAGGTTCGCTTCGAGCTTGCCTTCTACGCCCTCCAGCCCTCCATCAAGGTCATTGCCCCGTGGCGCGACCCCGTCTTCTACGAGCGCTTCAAGGGCCGTCAGGACCTTCTCGACTACGCCGAGGAGAAGGGCATCCCCGTTACCTCCACCAAGTCCAAGCCCTGGTCCATGGACGAGAACCTCGCCCACTGCTCTTACGAGGCCGGCATCCTGGAGGACCCCGACACCACTCCCCCCACTGACATGTGGAAGCTGACCGTGGACCCTCTGTCTGCCCCCGATCAGCCCGAGGACTTCACCCTCTACTTCGAGAAGGGTGTTCCCGTCAAGCTCCAGTACACTGAGGGTGGCAAGCAGAAGGCCGTCACCGACTCCGTCGAGCTCTTCCTGACCGCTAACGCCATTGCTCGCCGTCACGGTGTTGGCCGTATCGATATCGTTGAGAACCGTTTCATCGGTATCAAGTCCCGTGGCTGCTACGAGACCCCCGGTCTCACTGCCCTGCGCTCCGCTCACATGTGAGTTTCGATAATTACCTGGGTGAAATTTCCATTGCTAACTCTGCCCCAGTGACCTTGAGGGTCTTGTCATGGATCGTGAGGTTCGTGCTCTCCGTGACTCCTTCGTCACCTTCAACTACTCCAAGCTCCTGTACAACGGCATGTACTTCTCCCCCGAGCGCGAGTTCCTCGAGGCCTCCATCACCGCCTCCCAGAAGTCCGTCAACGGCCAGGTCCGCTGCCGTGCCTACAAGGGTACCGTCTCCGTCCTCGGTCGCTCTTCCGAGACCGAGAAGCTCTACGACATGAGCGAGTCCTCCATGGACGAGATCGGTGACTTCTCCCCCGCCGAGACCACCGGCTTCATCAACGTGTCTGCCATCCGTCTCAAGAAGTACGGCCAGATGAAGGCCGCCGCTGGTGAGAAGATGTAAAATGTGTCAAAATAAATTAAAAGACGCCTTCTCTTCGACTTGGTATATTGGAATGCCAAATGTTGACCGTCCCTGGCATTTCCGAGCCAAATGTCGAGTCTTTCTTTCCAGTCCAACTTTGGCCCGATGATGGATGGCCTTGGACTTGAATGATTGTATAATGAAATAGAGAAAAATAGCGACATTGTGGAATTGAATCTATCAAAAGGACAAAATGCAATGTGGATGATTCAAATGATAAGTACATTACTGGATATTGAAAGCAATGATGTATCGACATGTTAATGTGTGCTTCGAAGTAAGTCGCTAGATAACAATGAGAGGTATACAAACGGCAAATGCGTATCGACAACTCATAAGTTTGCGTTGACTTTGAGATGGCTTTCTTCTGTAGCCAAGTTAGCAGGAAATTCTAATTGAGCACAGCCCAACATACCATTCCAGGTGTTCAAAGCAGCCTTCTCTGCGTCCCAGCCCCAAAGGAACTCCTGTGTTCTTTGGTCAGACCATTTATCCGGGTTATTACCACTGGCCGAGGCCTGGAACTGCGCATCACGAGCAATTTGTTCAGGTCCATCTGGCAAGTGTAACGTGATACGATTCTCGGATCCAGATTGCTGTACGGTCTCAGCACGTTCCTTTCGGGACTTTTCATACGCGTTCAATGCGAGTGGGATTTCCTCGCGAGAAGAAATTGCCGATAACACGACACCAAGCGCGGCGGCATCCTCGACGGCCTGTGCGGCACCTTGGGCAACGTATGGTCTGTTAACATTAGCGATGAAAACTTGGAAGGTGCAGTAAGTGCAGTGATCACTTACAGCATGGGATGGCACGCATCGCCGATCAGAGCCACTGATCCCCGGATCCAGGTCCGCAGTGGATGGTGCAGGCAGAGTTTCCATTCCAAAACCTCGTTGTCATCGACCAGATCAATCAACTTTCGTACTTTGCTGTCCCACCCATCATAATTGTCGACAACTTCTTGTTTCGAACCCTTGGTTGTCCATGACTCCTCGACGCCATGGCTATCAGGATGAAGCAACACCACGTTGTACAGTTCATGCTTGCGTACCGGGTACGCGATAATATGGCGCGAGGGACCAAGCCAACGAGTCGCCTGCGGCTCGTCGATGAGGGCTTTTAATTCGGGGTCTTTTTCCATAACTTCGCGAGGGAGCATGATACGGTATGCTGCGTCACCAGTAGCGACAGCTTTAATAGTCGAATCCTCGAGCAGATGGCTCCGGATCGTGGATTTGATGCCGTCAGCACCGATCACAACGTCTCCGCGGACGATATCGCCATTGGCAAGTGTCACGCTTGCGGGGCTGAAGGTGACATCTTTCACGGGCGAGTTTTCTCGCAACTCGACATTGGGCAGGGCAATTGCCCGGTCAATGATTGCGTTGTGTAAGTCTGCGCGGTGAATGACTACTTGTTGACCGAAGGTTTTGTTCACTGGCACTGTGCCGAGAAGCTTGCCATTGTCCCATCTGCGGACGTGAATATGTTCCAACGCTACGTCTTGTGCGTGAATCAGATCAGAAACACCCCATCCTGGAAGGCGTTAGTCATTGACTGTCTTTAAGGCTGGCTTGACTCACGATCAAACAGACGTAACATATTCGGGGAGACTTGGATACCAGCCCCAACCTCCATGAGCTACTGCTAATCAGCTTTGGAGTTCAACTTTCCATGGTTGATTCATACCTTTGGTGCCGCTTCAAGGACAGTGACATGGTGTCCTCGCAACCCTAATGTGAGAGCTGCGGCCATACCGCCGATGCCTTTGAAGATTGTTAGTTCAACCACTTCAATCCGACTTCAGGACTACCCTAGTATCATACCAGCACTATGGGACATCAGCATCTCATTCTCTTATGAACGTTACAAAATACTAACCCGACGACAATGACGTCCAAAGGCATGTTTGCTTGCGGCAACTCCATGATGATAATATACAAACGGACTCAATGCAAAGGCTAGATGCAAGAAATATGAAGAGAAATCAGCATTGATAAGTACCCCGGAAGACGCCCCCTTGGAGTCCGAAAGGATCTAATTCCTAGTATTCCGGAGTCTTGCCGACCCGGTTCCAGACTTCCCCTTCGGGCAATCAGAGACGAATCTCTTAATCTTGGACTCTGTGAGTCCTGGCCCCTCAACTGCACATCTCTACTATCATTCGGCGTTCGGTATCCCCAAGGTTGCAACCTACGAGTATTCTTCTTTTCAGAAATGTCCGCAGCTTCCAATTGGATGGGGAATGTCCTGATATGCAATCCGACAGAGTCGCGGGAAAAAAGAAGAGTCCAGCGGCGTATCTCATTGGTCAATTTTCATTCGATGGAGAAGCACCGGCTGTTTGGGGAGCCTCTATCTGCCGACGCTCCCGCCCCATCGTCTCCATCTCTTGCGCCCGCTGCATCACACTCGCTGTGCGAGGCTGACCCTTGCCGGTCTGGTCTGGTGATGCTGGTGGTATTCGACATGTCTTCACCGGCAAATTTGGATTGAAATCAATACCGACGCTAGCTTGGCTAACTCTCCCAATATCATGGCGTTTTGACTAGATACTACTAGTAGATCCGTCGCTTACGACTCTCGATTCCCGATCGTTTCTAGAGATACTCCCTACCTGTTGCAGGCTTCCAAGAGTCGGGGGCGCAATTGCATTGCCAATCTCGCCATCACATGTCTCCTCACATTCCACACATACACTTGTGGATTCAGTGCAACTTGAGTGTATCCAATACTTGTGTGTACAATAGCATCGCAAACTATGCTCCGTACGGTTGAACCCACTTTTTCGAACAATCGCAAGAGTTTCCCATTACTCTAACGCTATGACAAGCACCGTTAAAATGTGCACCTGCAGTCCCCACAATGGGTCTGCGGAGGCCGATCATCGGCTTTCCTGGTCTGCATTCTTTGCCGCGGACTGTCTGAGAAATGTGATCTCACCAAGCATGGTTTCGAGTTCAATTTCTCTTAAATGGTTTTTTTTTTTTTTTACTTTCTTGGCCACCCCTGCCCAGCGTTGGACAGCATACGAATATTGCCGCCGGTATATTCCTCTCAAACTTCAAACATACTAAGCATCTTTTTTGGCAGCTCTTGAAACACCAACACCGGATAAATCCACTGATCAGCTTTCGAGCACGGCAGGATACCCCTACTCGTACGACCTGTCAAACCCACTAAATACAAAACTACGTCTCTGATAGCTACCGCTTCCACACGCGACAGGACCCCATACCCGAAATCAATTCCACTTATCACTATCGATCTGACAGCGGCGAATGGTGAAACACACCGGGACAAATCATCATGATAGGAGTATCGGATCCACCAAGTCCCGCTATGCGCCTTTGGCGCCTCACCTTGACAGCACCGGCAGGCGCGCATAATGATAAAAGCCTCGCTGCAGCATCGCGAAATGATATCATGATCTCATGGGCGCAGCGACCAACAAGTTAGGCCGCAACAGGTCGCTTATAATGTGGGTCTGATGCGTGGCATGGCGGAGATGAACATGGCGACCGAGATGGAGATTTCATCTTATCAGACGATCTTTGATCCAAATTTCCTACCTTCGAGTAACTACTACTCGTAACAATAGGGGGGCTTTAATGATCTGCGGGACGGGGCACAGGGATTGCGAAACTGCGGGTTTTGATCGCCGGATCTAGTGTCGGCGTTGAGTCTGTTGTGCTCACGCCATCGAAGCTTGACCGGGAGTGGGGTATCCTTCTTTCATGAGATTGTATGTCAATCTTGAAAGTTTGTAGGTTGGTATGTCCACAGGCTAGGCACATGTTGCAGGTGTAGATGTAGGCTCGAGTATAGAGTAGGAAATGTGAGGGTTTCACTTCATATTCTGAGATCAGCCCGATAACTTTGGAGAACCAGTCTGTCAGCGGTACTTACCCCAATGACCGATTTGTCCTGTTCAGAACCCATTGCAGTATCTGGTGGCGTCTACCTAGGTATCTACCAGTGCCAATCCACCGGAACGTCTTGGAATCATGCGTGGAGGCTCTGTGCGTGCAGTTTTACCCAACGGCCTATGGCATTTATTTCCAACACCCAGGTTCTGGTTCCAAGGTTAGCTGCACTTAAGTAAATCTCCATTCCATTAAAGAGTCCACGGGTATAGACTCCCGAATTTGAGGAAGCATGCAACCTTGGGTAAGTCTTGTACCACAAGCAGGTGCTCATACAAAGACTTTGGAAATATTTTACCTAGGTAGCTTGGCCAAAGGATAACAGAAACTCATATCGAAAATATACTTGAATTTATAGTATGTAAAGAAATTTTGTTCTACCGGCTCATGCGTCGTTAAGATATTCCAAGACGCCGGAATATGTATGCTTGAATGATCCCCCGGGGGAAGAAATGTATGAGAAGAAAGTAAAATGAAAGTAAAGAAAAGCCGACAAAGCTGCAAATCAAGTGCGAGAAAAGTAAAAAAAAGTGGCGTGTGGACGTAAAAGGTCTTGATCGTGCGAGTACGGTGTCGTCAGACGTTGCATCGTGAAAATTCGAATGTCATCTGCAAGGCACAAAAGAGGGAAGTATATATACATGAAGCGTTTCTGTCGGGATGAGGTCAGGAGGTGAACATGAGTCGTAAACGGCTGGGACCCTTCTTTTTCTCCTTGGGCCGTTTCTCGGTTTCGGAGATGTAGGTCCCAGCCTTGGATGGAGCACGGCTGTGGATTTTGCTGGGTGCTCGACTGGGTGCATGGCTTGGGCCACGACTAGGCGCCCTGCTGGGTGTTTTGCTGGGGGCCATGCTTGGGGCTCTGGAGCGGGAGGAGCTTCGACCGAAGAAGCCACTCGGAGCCTCGGAGGGTGCTCTGGATCTCCGCTCGTGTCTTTCAGATCTTTCAGATCTTCCAGATCTTGCTGATGGGGCATGTGAGGGGGCGTGGGTGGGCACTCTCGTTGATCTTGAACGACGAGAACGACGCGAGGAGGCGACGGATACATCTTCGTCGAATTTAAATCGAGGATCCCGTCGTTCACGTGCGTTGGTCATGTCAATACCAGACATAGCGGCCGCGGTAGGTGTGATGAACTCGCCGTCGACAGATGTTCCGACGCTATCAGCTTGTTCGTCGGCAACACCACGTCTCCACATCTCTACAGAGCTGAGTGCTTCTGTGTTGAACTCAATCAGCTCCTCCATTTCAGCTTCCTGCTGTGGTGGAGCGGGTTCCCCGTTATCTTCCACTGCGCCTGTGCCACCTTTAATCCTTTGGATAATCTTGTATCCTCCGAACATAACAACAGTGGCGCCCAGACCTACACCCGCGGCGATGAGGAACTGAGGGCTGGAGAGAAGGGCGAAGATGGCTGGTGCTGCCGCCTTGAGACTGGTCAGTGCAGATGGTGCCATTTTGCGCGCTAGATTGCTGATCTCGGCCAGGGTCAGAGCGACAGCAGCCATGGCATCTGGATCTTTTTGGAGGTGGGCAATAGTTGCTGTAGCCCCATGGTGCACACAATGTGCTTCTTCCAAAAGCCACTGGGCACGGGTGACCAGACCATCGAGCTGTTTTTGATCGTTCTGAGGCTCGGGTGGAGTATATCGCGATAGGGCTGCATGAGAGGCATCTCCATATGCAAGGTCCATATCGATATGCGCCTCTGAGTTGGATCGAGCCGTTGTCGGGCGAGGCGCTTCACGGAGCGTGACATCATGGTGGGTATGGCGACGAGCGATGGTTCGGGTGTCCCCATAATGTGACTCCCGTCGTGATACTACTGTTCGCTCATCGTCGTCGTAGTGAGACTCGGCGCGACGACTTCGGCCCCCATGCCGTGATCTGGCCCGGCTTCGTCCCGATACTTCCGTTCGCGCGTCTTCAATTTGATAGTTGGCCAGTCCCTCTAGAGCCTGTTGCTCTGCAAGCTTGGCATTTCGCTCGGACTGAAAGCCTGCCTTGCGATCTCTATAGGCATTTTTTGCCTGGCTGAACACGCCGAATAGCTGCTTACTCTGAGAGCTGTTAGAATGCGGGGTCGATTTATGTGCCGATCTCAACTTACGGTGCTCACGACTTTGCCGGACTTGTCAATCACGGCGATCGTCTGACCGAAAGGCATGGCAAATGAGTCGTTTGGACGACCTTCCGAGGTTACCAGGAGCCAGTCATCAGAGAGCCGATCGACGGTGTGGAAGGAAGCGGTGTAGGGTGTAGGGGCTGCGGAGAGGGAACCCTCGGTATAGATCACAAAGTGAAATCTCGGAGAAGTTTGATCACCAGGGTCTTTGAGGGAGACAAACAAGGCACACAGGTGCTTAAGAAGGCAGTTGGGTTTCTAACCCCAGGGATCAGCGTTCAAAGGTCCGATCGGAGGCGTTCCAATGAGCTATAAAGTGGCAGCTGTGGGAGGCTGGGGAGTTCCGCATTCAGTTGGGCAGAGCAACGAACGAGAACAGCTGCAGGATCTATAGGGCCGAATAATTGGGTGCCACTTAGGAAGGCAGACACGTATCACAGGGCTGGGCAGGGCCGATGAGCTCACAGCACATATACATCGGAGTGTTGGGCGCGAAGGGTCGATCGGCGTTGGCGCGGAACAAAAAAAAAAGATCTAAACGAGACTTATTCTTTTCATTCTTTTTCCGGTATAATTAGAACAAACGAAAGGATTCAGATGACCAAGAAAATGATAGATTTTTTTTTTCTCTTCGGAATATACTTAGGCACAGAGTCATTTCAAAGAGCGGTGACCTCTTATTGCTGATTGGCTCACGGGGTGACCGCCACTATGGCTGATGACTGTGGCTGAACAGTGGCTGAGGCATCACGAGGAGACTTTGGCCTCTTCCTGTGTACTCCGGAGGCACGGAGTATTTTCAAGGTTATCTGTACAAGTAAACTGGGTTGGATTCGGAAAACTCCGTACGAGTACATAGACTTCCCAGGTTTCATCGTGCCTCGAAATAGGCACAATCTCGAGCAATCTCAAGCCAATCTCGTGCTTCGTGTTGTATCACTCCTGTATACGAAATCTCAGTTTCACACCGTTCATTCATGGGCACCTGCAGCCCAATGTCTCTAGCCCAGACTCTGAGGCGAGTTCACAACGGAAAACAGATACTACATAGTACTCCGGAATCCGGACGCCGTAGACGTAGACCTGGTCATACTAGCCTCTTATCTCGAACTTGGGCGCAGATCATTACCGGTGTTACGGTGTACTCAGCACAGCACACTTCCATTCCTCAGTCTGGAAGTACATTGAACACAGATTGCGCACTCTTCGATGGTAAACCGTATAAGCAATGGTCTTTCTGCAACGATCCAGTACCCCAATAGCTCGACTATGGTGGGAGCCCAGGTGTGTGTGTGTGTGGATGTGTAGAACGCGACCGCGAGACTAATGAAAAGCATAGACACTGTGAAAGGGATGCCAGGGGTGGTGAGTCGAATATTTTGTCGATGATGCAATATCCATGGCTTTATTAAGTGGTTTTTCCCCTATTCTTCTTCCAATTCCAGAAGTATTCCATGTATTTTGTGTATTTTGTGTTGTTGTGAAGTTGGAGGGTTGATGTTCCTGACATGAATCATTGGGGCAAAACTCTCGCTTTTGTTTGGTCATCGATCTAACGAGCCTGGAGAACCCGGAGAGATCACCACCTCGCAATTGTGCGATTTAACTAACTACTATGGATTTACTGGACTCAGGGAGCCTCTCTGATCTAGATGATCAGAAATGGAATTCAGATTCCCCCGACGATGCTGGCAGTGCTCATCCCACCAGTGATTGCGGTATCGGCCACCGCGTCCTAGCCAGTCGCTCCGTGCTCGCCTTGGCAGTCGACGAGCAATGTGTGTATGCCGGCCTACAAGGCGGCGATATCTTCGTGAGTCGAATACTCCCTCGGTCTCTGTGCGACGCCGTGGAAAGGCCCTTTCATCAAATTCGCACTGCCAAGACCTGTGGCTGATTATCTCAGGCGTGGTCCCTTGAAACATACGAGCTCGTGCTCTCAGTCCACGCACACAAGGAGAGCGTGCTCGGCCTTTATCTCTCCGGGGATGGCGATTTGCTCTTCTCAAGTGGCGGCGACTCTGTGGTCAATGTAAGTGGCCCCCGTTCAGACCGCGATGACTCAAATTAATGACCGCAGGTGTGGTCCACGCGAACCTTTGAACGACTCTTCTCAATCTACTCCCACCATGACGTGGGCGATATTTTTACTGTAGTGTATTCATCAGCCAACCAAAGTATCTACTGCGGTGCGCAGAATACGAGCATTCAGGTATGTAACTTATGATTCGCCCGTGCATAACCACATCTGACAAGTCACAGTGGTGTGATTTCTCGGAGGAAGGCTCAACGCTAAACCAAGCCTCGTCGGCCCACCCATTGAAACGAACACATCGTTTCTTTGATTCCCGGGGGCCGGATGGAACTCGTGCCCAGGGGTCATCCGATGGTGCCGTCTCTGACGGAGGCCGCGTGCTGAGCTTCAAGCGAGATCACCACAAGCTGTTCGCGCATCATGGTTATGTCTACTCAATGTTACTGGTCAAAGGATTGGTCGAGTCTGCTCCCTCCGAAGAGGTCTTACTCACTGGTGCGGGCGACGGAGTGGTGAAGTTATGGCGCGTCGGCCAGCAGCCTGGCGGAACACCGTCCCAAATTGCGAAATTGCAGAACGGAGATGCAGTACTGTCAATTGCCGTGGAGGGATCTTTGCTTTACTGCGGTCTTGCAGGCGGTGCTCTCAATATATGGAATTTGGACTCACAGCAGCTCGTGAAGCGAATCACCAGACACACCGGTGATTTATGGGCCGTCCACGTCATCCAGGGTGTCGCTATCTGCGGTGACTCTAGTGGCGTAGTGAAGGTATGTGATGTATGCGCTCACTCCAGGGATGCAAAACTGACTCAATCAGAAATTTAACTCCCGATTCGAAGAAGTTGGTGGCTGGGTTGCCCATGAAGGCACCATGTTGGCTTCCGCTGCTGGCCGGTTCAAGGACCGCCAGATATATGCGACGGGTGGAAACGATAACTCGGTGGGTATTTGGGACTTGACCGAGTTCTTCATGACCCAGGAGGAGCTTCCTCCAATCAGCAACGGTAAGTTTAATGACATTCAGGAGTGAGCCTGGCTAATGCATCGCAGATGAAATGGTCAACAGTCTGGCCAAGTTCGTCTCCTTCAAAACTATCTCGGCAAGCCCTAAATTCTCCGGCGAATGCAACCAGGGTGCAGCTTTCCTCCGACGACACTGCAACTACCTTGGTGCCAAAACAAAGCTTTTGACGACGGGACATCACACCAATCCCATCGTGTTCGCACGATTCAACGCGACTGCACCTGAAAAGGTGGACAAGACGATTCTTTTCTATGGCCACTACGATGTGGTGGGCGCAGAAACGAACCGACCCAAATGGAGAACTGATCCCTACCAACTTACCTCTATCAATGGGTTCCTGTATGGCCGTGGTGTCTCCGATAACAAGGGACCTATATTGGCCTCTCTGTATGCCGCAGCCGATCTTTTCCGAACAAAGACTCTGCGCTGCAATGTCGTTTTCCTCATCGAAGGTGAAGAAGAATCCGGGTCTCAAGGATTCCACCAGACTGTGCGAGAGCACAAGGAGCAGATTGGCTCTGTGGATTGGGTCTTGTTGGCCAACAGTTATTGGCTGGATGACTACAACCCCTGCTTGACCTACGGACTTCGCGGAGTGGTGCACGCCAACCTGGTGGTTACAAGTGACCATCCCGACCTCCACAGTGGTATCGATGGCAGCACTCTGCTAGATGAACCGGTTAAGGACATTGCCATGCTGCTGTCAACTATTGTCGGACGCAAGGGTAAAATCAACATTCCTGGCTTCCATGATGCTGTTCGACCCCTCACAGACGCCGAGCAGAAACGGTTCGAGGCTATTGCAGACGCATTGCTTCTCCAGCATCCCGAAATTCCCAACAGCGAAGCCTTGATCAAGTCCCTCATGCACCGCTGGCGCGAGCCCGCACTGACTGTTCATTCTGTCGAGGTCCCCGGCAGCAAGAGCGCCACAACGATTGCCCGACGTGCCAAAGCAAGCATGTCGATCCGTATCGTCCCAGACCAACAGGCCGACGAGGTCGCTGCCGACCTCACCGCGTATGCCCAAGAACAATTTGCCTTGCTCGATTCGCAAAACGACTTGACGGTCGAAATCACCGGTAAATCCGATGCCTGGCTCGGCGACCCGGATAACGAACTCTTCGCCACCCTGTCCAAGGCGATCACCGCAGCGTGGAGCCCCAACCAAGAGGAGGTGAAACGTCAATTCCCTCCTCCCCCGCTACCAACCAACAACCGGTCCGCCAAGCCGAAACCTGGCGGCCCAATCCCAGACCTCCGCCGTCAAGACTCTTCCGATAGTCTCGCTTCGCATGTGGAGCGGGTAATCACGTCAGCGACGACTTCTTCCGCCGGCAAGGAAGCCGCTCGCAAACAGTCCTCGCAGTCAGCCGCGACGGTGCCGACTTCGTCGACCCTCACCGCCACACCGCCAGAGGAACCGGCCGCATTACCAATCCGAACAAAGTCCGATGCAGACGGAAAGGTGAGGACTGAGCCGTCTCGTCTGGTGAAACCCATGTTTATTCGCGAGGGCGGGTCTATTCCGACGATCCGGTTCTTGGAAAAGGAGTTCTCGGCCCCGGCGGCTAACTTGCCATGTGGACAGGCGAGTGATAACGCCCATTTGGATAACGAGCGTATGCGAGTTGAGAATCTGTACAAGAGTCGGGAAATCTTCCGCTATGTCTTTGCCAATTTGGTTAAGTCATGAGGGGTGATCATCTCTGATTTTCTTCCAGTGGGGACATTTCTTACTTTTTTTTCCCTTATACCTTTTTTTTTTAATTTTCCATCTCTGTAAAGTATGACATCTCATTGGCATCTGATGTATTCCAAGCAGCCTACACATGTGTGTGTGGCGTTTCTCACATGGATTCATATCTAGCTCTAGACCAATTCCACAGTTCTATATGGACCCATTTCCACCGAGTTAAGTAAGAGCCTTGCTTGTACTTCGTAGAACGGGAGAAACAGGATCTTCGTTTCTAAATTCGTTTGAACCATTCCCTCATCGAAACGCCAGTGGATCCCTCCAACGGTCAGGGGCAAAAACACAGGCTCACTGGCCCAACTGGTAGATCATCTCCATTTCACCCCCTGACATTAACGGCGATGTCTCAGTTTAATCCCGTCCCGGTACCCCGCATGACGATCACGGCGTTCAAAGAAGTTAGTTTATCAACGTTATCCCGTACTTTTGCTAGATCGAACCGTTTAGCTCCAGCGCATCACTACACACCAGGCCTGTGCGGTGATATCCCCCGGCAAAAACTCGGCCTATACTGTAAAGGGGCTTCGATGCATATTCTTTTCTTTGTTTGAGGGTGGCTACGTGGTGGTTGTTATCGAGACCGCACCCCCGGTTGGAGAGCCGTCATGCCGGGCCGGAAGTAAGTTCCTGGATTGGCTGGGGAATGGTTTATATGCAGCCAAGTGGATGTCAGAAGTAGTATGGCAGATTGGGAAGTAAACGAACGATGGTGATTTTTTTTTGTTTTCTTTGTCTGTTGGCTGCGGTTGGTATGGGCGTTTACGGAGCAAGCAAGTGTATAGTTTGGGAAGTTTGGGATCCGCAAAGCAATTGGAAGTGTAAAGTAAAAGGATAAAATGAGGCAATTGCCCACTGGAAAGTAGAGGGTATATTCTTCAAACTCAACTTTCTCTCTCTCTCTCCCTTTCTGCTCTTTATTCTACAACATGTCTTTACTAACGAGCCCTTTCCCTCTTCCCTTCCAGAAGTTCCTCTGGAAGGTCAGGGACCTGGTGAGATCAATGGCCAAGATCGCTCTTCCTGTCAACGTGTATCTCTTGGGTCGAGATGAGGAGGAGACAAAACGGTAAGTACGATATACACTTGTGGGCGCCATTCCGGTTGACCATGTGTGCTTCATCTGCTGCAATTACTTTTTCGGATCAGACAAACCCTTCCCCTTTCCATTGCACTATGGAATCAAGTTCATTTCCGATGTTCCCGTTCTGCGGTGGACCCGATGGCCCCGTTTTCCTGCGTCTTCGCACTAACGATTTACAGCCTCAATGATCAGCACCGATTCCTCGTGGCTGTCTCAGGACACCACATCCACCCTTCTATCCCTAAAGAAAACCTCACTGCAATCGCCGACTTAGGTACTGGAACTGGGTAAGTCCATCTGAATTCCCAGCCCAGTCCTTATTTCTAATATATCCCAGAATCTGGCTTGAAGATGTCGCCCAAACACTCCCCGGATCAGTCTATCTGCACGGGTTCGACATTTCCTCAGCCCAGTTCCCATCCCATCAAAATCACCAAAGACCCATATCACTGAGCGTGCATGATGTCCTACACCCTTTCCCAGCAAAGCACCACTCCCGTTACGATCTCGTCCACATCCGACTTTTGACCGCGGGGTTGAAAAAGAATGACTATGCCACTGTTCTTGCCAATGCCAGAGCTTTACTAAGTAATACTCTCTCAGGGCTCTCCAGGCTCTCAACAGATCTTCGGAGTAATGCTAATGGAATACAGAACCAAACGGATACATCCAATGGGAAGAACTGGACCACTCGGCCTTCTGTACAGATGCAGTGCCCGAAGCACCCGTCATCCAGCAGCTTCGCAACTCCGTCATCAACGCCATGCTCAGCCTGGGACTATGGCCTTACGCGCCTAGCCGCGTGCACGAGGAAGTTGTAGCGGGTGGGTTTGCGGATGTCGTGATGAAGACATACACTGCGCAAGGAAAGGATCATTTGCGGGATATCTCGCGGAAGTGGGTGGGTGGTGTTATGAAGGCTCTGGTACCACCTTCTATGCTGGTTACTGGGGAAGCAAAAACGGAGAGCCAGGCGAGGGATATGGTGAATAGTTTGGTGGAAGAGTTTGATGCTCATTGTCGGTATGCTCGGGCAATGGTTAACTTGGGGGTTACGGTCGGGAGGAGGGTTGATTGATAGAATTGGGGGGCTACTTAAGTAACAAATCTAGAGATGGACTGGGTGGATTCGACTGGCTTTTACTGTTGCATTATTCGTTTGAGCTCGCATTGTTTTGATTCTGGAATTGGGCTGGGGGATTTGATCATTAAGTACTGTGTTTATGAATGGGACTCCAACATTTGAAGGTTGTTCTAAAGTTTTTCCAAGGTTCAGTAGATGTCTTAATTACAGAACTTGAGAAGCCATCGTGAATAAATTGACCAAATCCACTGTCGTACATATATATCGGGAACACTTGAGCAGATTGCTTCTAAAGTTTCTTGGCGAGGTGGAAATTCGAGCAGATATCGGACATCTGTTCATCGCACAACACATCAAACCTTGAAATGTCAGAATAATACCAGGTATCAATATCTGACAAGCTGCCCAGGTGCATTACTTGCATGCCAATCACAGTCTTAAAATGACTGCAGCATCGAATCCACTGGGCAGCCGTCGGCCCCACTTGCGGGGAAAAAAAGTCATCGCATCGAAAGAATTCTGAATTCTGATTCTAAAGTTGTTCCACGTTCCATCCTTCAACTTCATTTTTCAAAAATGGAAATTGAAGAGCCTACCGATGGCCGCGGCAAAATCCGCGTCGTGGCCATCATGCTAGCACTATCGGTACGCTCTAACCTCTAGGACAACGGACTTTAACTAATTCCCAATCTAGTTGTCCATGTTCATTGCAGCGCTGGATCAAACCATCATGGCCACGGCTATCCCCTCCATAGCCGCATACTTCCATTCCGCAGCTGGATATACATGGATTGGAGGGGCTTACCTGCTGGCCAACGCAGCCAGCGCTTGTATCTGGGCTAAGCTCTCTGACATCTGGGGCCGCAAGCCCATTCTGCTTCTGGCTGTGGCGTGGTTTTTCCTCAGCTCTATTGTCTGTGCTACTGCTACGAGTATGGAGGCTTTGATCATTGGCCGCTCGTTCCAGGGCGTTGCTGGTGGTGGTTTACTTCAGCTGGTTACTATCATCATCTCGGACTTGTTTAGTGTTAGGTGGGTTGTGCGGAAAGCAGGGCGTTGGTTTTTTGACTTTTAAACCGAGACTAACTGATCTTGCAGACACCGTAGCCTCTACCTTGGTCTTATGGAAGTGATGTGGGCGTTTGCCGGTGGTGTGGGTCCGTTGCTGGGAGGCGCTTTCTCGCAATACGTGACCTGGAGATGGACCTTTTGGATCAACTTGCCCATCTCCGGAATCACTTTTGTCCTCCTGGTCTTCTTCTTGGATGTGCATAATCCAAAGACAAAGATGATGGACGGATTCCGGGCCATTGATTGGTTCGGGAGTGCCTCGGTGCTGGGACTCACTCTGATGTTGCTGCTTGGGTTGGACTTCGGTGGTGGGACATTCGCCTGGAAGTCGCCGCAGGTGATTTGTTTGATTGTCTTTGGGGCTCTGTGTTCATTGCTCTTCATTTACAGTGAGAAGAAGTTGGCCAAGTACCCGCTGATGCCCATGGATATCTTCGCGCGGTTCTCGAACATCGCTACTTTGCTGGTGGCATTCGCGCATGGCTTCGTGAGTGAAAGCAACAATTCTCCCGTGATATTACTGCTGACAGATTGTTAGGTCTTCATCGCCGGAGAATACTATATGCCGCTCTATCTACAGTCTGTCAAAGGCTCGTCCCCGATGCGTTCCGGTGTTCTGATCCTCCCACTGGTCGTGATGGAAGCGTTCTCTGGGATGTTGACTGGAGCCATCATCCATCGCACAGGTCGCTACCTTGAGCTTGTCTGGGCCGGTCTGATTTTGTTGACTATCGGAAACGGCCTATATATCAACTTGGATATGGACTCTTCCATTGGAGAGATTGTCGGGTACCAGATTCTCAGCGGTCTGGGTGCCGGGTTCCTCTTCCAGACACCAATCATTGCCATCCAGGCAATGGTATCACAAGAGGATACCGCCACTGCCACTGCCACGCTCGGATTTATCCGCAATATGGCAACCGCGTTTTCCATTGTCATCGGTGGTGTTGTTTTCCAAAACAGCATGGGCGAAAAACAAGGCAGCTTACTGGCTTCCGGGATGTCAGCAGATCTGGCCGCACAGATGTCTGGGGACTCTGCTGCTGCGAGCATCGAATCTATCAAGGATATCACCGATCCTGCCCAGCTGGCTGCTGTGAGAGAGGCGTTTGCTTGGAGCTTGAGGAACATGTGGATTCTCTACACTTGCATGTCTGCACTTGGAATTCTTTTCTCGGTTTTCATTATGAAGGCTAAGCTGAACAAAGAACATGTCGAAACCAAGACGGGGCTGAATGTGGAGAAGACGCTTGTTGAGAACTCGCAGAGCTTATAAAATTGTCTGTTCGCTGTACATATCATATTTGGGAGTTCAACCTTGAAGACAGGCGAAAAGGCTCACCCTGGGATAAGAGGCAAAGCACCTTTCTTGATCGTAAGAAAATCAAATTCATCATTAATCTGAACCATTAAACTATATTTACGGAGTGTATATACACACTATAACATCCATCGATCTCTGGTCAAATGCACATCTAAATGTGCAACAAGCAGAGGATAAACTCCAGGCAAAATAAATATCAGCGACAGTACGCCGACACATCAGACAGAGCACTGTCCACCAACAACGCACAAAACAGGAAGATCGGCAACACTGCTACCAACCCAGATTTTGATACCCTTTCCATTGACGGGAGCCTTCCAATCTTGCACAACCACATCCCAAACACTCACATCCTTACGAGTGATATCAAGCGTAACAGTCTGACTCTCGCCAGGCGCAAGCTCCTTCGTCTTCTCAAACTGACGAAGCTGTAGCCTAGGCACGTCACCCAGGCTAGCAGGTAGCTCAACATAGAGCTGAGGTACAGCTTTGCCGGCTCGCTTGCCGGTGTTCCGGACCTGCAGCTGTACGGAGAATACTGTCTCGAAGAGAGCAGGGTTTCCACCCTCGCCACCCCCTGCGCGTGGAGACTCGTGAGCATCAGTCGTATAACCGGTTGGGTAGGGATATTTTTCTGTCGCTTTGATTGATCCGGGATTATCCAGGTAGGGGTAGAGGTAGCGCCAAATACGGTTGAAGGTGAATGAAGACCAGGCGACTTCCGAGGCGGCAGGAATAGCGCTTTCATAAACTGGGGTCGATGGTTTCACTGTTCTACTGCGTGGGTAGGCGGTGTCGAGTGGTGTCACGGTCGATAGCGAAGGCTGGGAGAAGTTGAAAGTGGTGTATGAAAGACCATGGCCGAAGGGATATCGGGGTGTGATGTTGGCTTTGAGGAAGTGACGGTAGTCGATATATAGACCCTCGGAGAAGGTATCTTGGATTTGACCAAATGGTTGACTAACCAAGCTGACACTGTCAGGGTAATCATCCTCGCTACGAGGAATAGTGTACGGCATGTGTCCACTTGGACTGTAGTCGCCGAAGAGAATGTCAGTGAGGGAGTTGCCTGCTTCCTGGCCGGGGAGGTGAGCCACAAGCACGGCTTTAACTGATTTCAATTCGATCCACTCTTCCATCAGGATTGGGCCGACAGTATGCACAATCACAACGACGTTGGAAAATTTATTCGCTGCAGCTTTGACGAGTTCATCACCATTATGCCAAGCTTTGAGTCCGGCCTGTGTTCGATCGCCGGGGTTTCCTTCGACGGTGATATAGTTCTCGCCTGAGTCGGCATTGATAAACACGAGAGCGATGTCCTTAGCACTGGAGGTGACGCTGGACGGGAAAGAGTCGGTGATATAAAACTCGACATTGCTGGTGATGTTTGCAATGGCCTCTTGCGGTGTGTTCAGGTAAGGCAGCCTGGCGGTACCACTACCCCATCCCATTGTCAAAACACCCTTGTTGCATCCTTGGTCGACACAGGAGTTCAGTCCATCTGGGTTTCCACCAGCGTCGCTTCCAAACACTTTGAGAGAGTCATTGCGACGAAGAGGAAGTATATTCATCTCATTCTTCAGCAATGTAATTGCCTCCCGGGCCACTTTCCGGACTGTGACCTTGTGGTTTCCTTGCACATCAACGAATTGATTGACAACACCGCTGGGGGAGAAGAGAGCACCGGGGTAAAGCGGACCCTCCTTGTCTTGAGTATTTGTCGAGAAGTTTGGAAGGGGATAGTGTTTATCCTGACCAAACTTGTACCATGTGGCGACAATACGAGTGACCTTGGCTTTGATTCAGCCCTGAGAACATATTTGGATGATGGATTTACTTACCATATCGTTGAGACGGCTCACAGGTACACTTCCGTTCAAGACGGAGCGCGAGAGTTCAGGTCCCCAGTAGCTGTCTCCGAACAATGGCAAGGCTCCATCGCCAGGCATGGCCATATCCAACCCAGCTAGTGCCGATGGGACACCCGAGTAATGACCCAGCCAATCAGTCATGACAAATCCTTGGAAGCCAAGCTCATCCTTGAGGACACCGTTGAGCAGCTTGCTGTTTTGACTACAACTGGAGCTATTGACCTAGACAGGGTCAGCAAGTTTCATCTCATGTTTGTGCAACAGTTCTTACGTCGCTGTAGGCGGTCATAACGGAGCCCACTCCAGCACGAACACCCTCGGCGAATGGCCAGAGATAAAGTTCATGCAATGTGCGGTCGTCAATGTTGGACGAATATCCCCGGGTCACAATACTGCTCATGCGATGCATTTCCTGCTCATTGCCAATGAAATGTTTCAGAGCCGCAATAGCTCCAGTGCTCTGCATTCCCTTGATAGTCTCAGCGCCTCCATAGGCTTGCAGGGCGGGATCGGCCCCAAATCCTTCCCAGTTCCGTCCGCCGCGAGGCTTCCGACCCAAGGCTCCGACGGAAGGGCCCAGCTGGATATTGACACCCTTGCCGCGAGCCTCCTCGCCAATGCCCACACCGCGCTCATACATGAGATCTTTGTTGAATGTGGCGCCTACCGTGATCCCAGGCGGGAAGGCAGTGTTATGATCTGAATTGCGGATCCCAAGCGGGCTGTCCTGGAGACAGATGTTTGGAATTCCAAATCGGGGAACGCTCCCCGTTTGACCCACGCAGGGGCCCATGAAGAAGCCTGTGCCGGTGGTGAGGTTGACTTTCTCGGCAAGTGTCATGTTGCTGACAATGTGTTGCGCCTTTGAATAGGCTTCGCTCCAATCGGCGATCCATCCTCCTGGAGGGGTGGGGTAGTATGGAGGCGACTCATAGCCCTCTGCTGCCCTTTGATGCAGATGAGAGTTATCTTCAGGTACCGGGGAAGCCAAGATGGGGGTGAAAAGAGAGACTATAGCTAGTTTTGCCCAGGGAGCCATGGCGGTGGTGGTCGGATTTCGACTGATGTAGACAAAAGAACAAATATAGTAATGAAGGTATCAGGGCTAGTTATTAGAAAGAATGCATACTTTTCCCCCGGATTTGAGATTCGAATCTGCATGAATTGAGATTGACAGCTGCCCCATTATAAGAAGAAACGTCTATGGCTCGGCAGGAAATCAGGAACAGGAAAGGAGCGACGCCCGCGTGCGCACATCTCGGAGGAATCAACCTTCTCGCCATGACGCGGGGATGATCACTATCGCGTTTGGAGAAGATCGTCATGGGATCCAGTCGACAGTAGACTTGGCGTGAGGGATTGTAATGGCTCGCAGCTAGTGACTTCGCTTGGATAACCGAGTGTTGATCGAAATGATCGTCCGGTACAAAGTAGACAGTGTTTGGAAATTTGCGCGCATAAGATGATTTATGAAGGCTATTGCAACGCAGTCCCCACATATTATCAGTGTGCCCCATCAAAGGCCAAGGAATTCATCCTTGTACTTTGCACTGGTTAGCTTTGGACACTAACCTGCCATACCCCTTTCCCCCGACGGCCTACCCACCGAGGTTCCTCCGATTGCCTGTGTGGGGATATTACTCGTACTCTGATGGCTCGCGCCGATCAGCTTTGTCTAATCCGTACTCAGATCCGCTGCATCCTGTGTGATATCACAAGGGAGATTTAGCTTGGCAGAACGCTACTCCGTGCGAAGAACTCCGTAGTGTGGCAGAGGTCAAGGCTTCACCCTGCCAAGCTAACCGACCCTCCTCGCACCCTGTATGAGGCCAGTGAGGCGCAATAGCGTTGTATCCCCCTCATCTCAACGCCGGTATTTCCATGCGTGTAATATCACGTCCTCATCGCTTGCCAAGACTGGGAAGAAATGGCGTGCAATATCCCTGCGGAGATTCGGCCCGTGAAGACGAAATAACCTGGTCATGCGGATTCCTCGGTCGATATGATCACTGACGCGGAGCAGACGGTGAGGACGGGTTCCTTATGGGCGAAGTGCCCGTACGGAGTGGTCAGCCACACCACATTTCAAGGTTCCCGGTCGGGGATCAACCTCGCTGGGTTTCAAGGATATCGACACCCAAGGTCACTCGCACTGGAAGAGCACATTAGCCAGGATTAGTACTTATTGCCAAGCGGTCTTTGACTGGTCCGCTTATCACTACGCCTCTTCAAGTCGTCTAGGCGAGCAGGTCTGGCAGCAGACGCGGTTGCTGGGTCTCGGGCACGGTGGAGCGACGACACGCGAGAGAGCACACGGTAGCTGTGCGGCTTATGCGGGGCGTAGAAAAGCTTCGAATAAAGGAACAGAACCTCCGACGCGAATTGATAGCGTTCTGCAGTTCAGCAATTGGAACCTTTGAACCCTTGTCCAGGTGGAACCCGGTGTCCAGGAGCTTGCAATGCCGACCTCGGGAAAATATCATCCTGACTAATCATCTATGGATTCCAAGGTTCTGAGGTTTTCGAATATTTCTCCATGAGGTTTGCCTTCATTTGATGTGTACTACATCTACTCCATACATCTGATTTGATCTTTCACAAATACCTCAAAATTGCCTTTACTATTTATCCGGCATGCAACACACTGCCGAACACGGAAGTTGATAGGCGGGTCCCGGATACGTACAATTCGCCGGACTTTTCCAGGTCTTTGGACTGGGAGACCTCCAGAATGTGAAGTCATCTATTGGGGTAATTAAATAGAACTGATGCAGATTGATCCCATATCCCCATCCCTTATCTGGCACTATTGCGTGGGACGGGAGTACATTCCAGCAATTGCGTGTCTGGGTGACCCATAAGCGATTTCAGCACTTTACAATCCAATTATAGATAAAAACCGTGGTTTATTGAAATAAAATGATTGGACTCTGCAGTGTCCCACTGTGACATGAGAGGCTCGATCTGAGACCCTTAATATCGACCCTTGGTCTCCCGCCGTTCTCGGCCTTGATCACGGAGATAGTGGTCCCACATTCTTCAACTACACCATGCAAACGACTGCTCTTTTTGGAAAGGGAACACAGATAATTCAACTAGATTTGACACAATTGGCCTCCAAAAAATTCATCTATGAACGAACTTGCATGACCCATGAAACTTTCAAAAGGAAGATATCCTCAAAAAAGAGTCTCAGACTTTTGTGGGCCCTCGGTGGATCTTGTACGGAGTTGATGACCTCGAAAAGACTCTCATAAGCCTTCCGGTTCCTCCAGAGCGTGCACTTTCATGCTTGCCTCATTCATCCTCTGAGAGGTTTCGTCACCTCCAAGATGGGGCGTTTTCATTACCTCCTGGGCATTTTGCTCTTATTTGTGTCTTCTTTTCTTTGGTTCGCCTCCAGTTTGAGAAGAGAGCCAGTACCGTCAGGCATCTCCCTCACCTACGGTCCATGTGTTTGCGCAACCGATCATGCGAACGACACCGCTCCCGAGCCCGATACCAAGCCTCTACCACCGCCAGATGTCACAACAGAAATCGAGACCTTGCCATTACCTACCCAATCAAGCTACCTTCCAACCACCAATACGCATGAGAACGCACAATCCCCATTCCCATTGAAGCTCTGGCAGAAAGCGGGATCAAAGGGCATTGCCCCCGACCGATGGAACGATATCCAAAGCTGGCTGAAGCAAAACCCATTTCTTCGACACGAGATCCTCACTGAGGGAAGTGCCGACCAGTATGTCCGGGAGAACTTTGCCGATTTCCCGGAAATTCGAGACCTCTATCTCTCATTACCCGTGCCGATCCTGAAAGCCGATCTACTTCGACAGCTGATTCTATACAACGACGGTGGAATCTGGAGCGATCTCGATGTGACATGCCACCATCCAATCGACATTTGGATCCCGGAGGAATACCGGAACAGAACAAACGTGGTGGTGGGGCTGGAATTTGATGGATCGCAATTCGCCAGCTGGACGGTCATGACAAAGCCTCGAACCAGCCACGGTGTGGCGGTGGTTAAATACGTCGTTGAAAAACTGCAAGCATCAGCCGCAGAACACAATCGCCCTACCGCCGAGCTCAACATGACTATGATTTCGGACGTGGTGGATGTGACGGGGCCGCAGGCCATGACCGTGGCTCTTCTACAGAATCTCGAGCGGGAGATGGGGATGCCGGTAGGACGGGCGAATATCTCGAACATTATGCAGCCAACGTTGCTACATGATGTGCTTGTGCTGCCCAATGCGGCTTTTGCTTCCCTGCAGGCTGGACACCCTGAAGACCGAGGCCCATATCTTGTTGAGCATCATTATGCCGGCTCTTGGAAGAATACTCAAGGAGGGGAAGGGCCGTAACTTTTTTTTGGGATTGTAATACATGAGATTGTACACAATGATAGCGGACATACAATAATCAATCGGGTATAGAGCCTTCAAACCTTCCAGTGTTGAATAGATTCATGCTGAATAATAAATTTTGATTACGCCCGTGGCACAGCCAAGAATCCCCACATACGGGCCGAAAAGCTTAATTCACGAGTCTATAGATCCACATGGCAACAATGGGATGTGTAGCTCATTGCTGGTCAATGGTTTTCTCAATTGGTTTGAAGTTCTCCAGATCAGTCGAAAGTCGTTCCTTCCATCTTGGGAACATCTCGAGAAGGAAGGAACGCGCTTTTGTTTACTTTAAAAAGACTCACCTCTCACCTCTCTCCTCTTCTCTCTTCTCTCTTCTCTCTCCACGTTCCAAAACTTTTTTTTTTCTCACTGCCCCAGCCCGCACCGAGAAAGATGTCTCCCGTGATCCTTGTGGTCGCCTTTGTTTTCGCGGTGGCTTCGGCCATTCGCTTCCGTGAACTAGCCATGCACCTGGCCGCAGTGCTGGCTGTAGTGTACTTCTCGCTGCGTCTCTTCTTGTAAGTCCCGACCGAGTTCAAGTCACATGCATGATTTTTCCCATCCATGTTTGTTTTCATCCATGCCTGCTGTCATCCATGCCTGCTGTCGTCCATGCCTGCTGTCGTCCATGCCTGCTGTCGTCCATGCCTGCTGTCGTCCATGCCTGCTGTCGTCCATGCCTGCTGTCGTCCATGCCTGCTGTCGTCCATGCCTGCTGTCGTCCATGCCTGCTGTCGTCCATGCCTGCTGTCGTCCATGCCTGCTGTCGTCCATGCCTCCTGTCGCTCAACGAGAGTCGATGCGAAGAGTTTCAGGATTTCCCCCATTCCCTCCCACATCAAGCCCCCTATCATCAGCCCAATCAACCTACCCGAGCCTCTTGCAAACACGCTAGAGAAACGACCAGCACATTGCGAACCATGCGTCACGATCATCAAACTAACGTTAGCAGGGCCTTTACCGAAGCGGCCGTCGGTGCGAAGGAGACCGAGATGGAGACCAGCATGGACAATGTGAAAAGGATGGTCAGCCAACTTCAGGAGGACAACACAAATCTCCGAGTGTCCGCCGACGCCCGTGTCGCCAAGGTCCAACGCTCGCTGGAAGCAGTACGCAACCAGCGGGCGGAGGATTTGAAAAACTTCCGAAACACGGTGCTCGGACACTCGGACACCACCAAGGATCTCTACCAAGAGATCCAGAAGTGGAAAGATTTGTGCAAGAATCCCGAAGTGGGGACATTGGATATTCGACTCGAAGAGATGACGGCCACCAACAAGGCACTGATGGATGCGGTCGCCCAAAGCCACGACAATGTCCGCCGCCTAGAGGCCCAGCTCGAAGCGGTTGGTCGCCGAAACCCATCATCAGCTGCCACCGTCAAATCAACCATTGCCGACCGTGACCGACTCAAGGTGCAACAACTTACTGCCCAGCTTCAGGAAGCTTGCCAGGTAACCGACCGACTGCGCCAGGAAAACCAAGCCCTGTGCAAGGAAAATCGGGAACTGGTCGAGGTCAAGACCGCCATGTACAATGAGGGGTCGCAGCTTGTTCGGGTCAGAGATAACCTGATCAAGCAATGTCAAGACTTGACCGCCAAGGTCGACACTTTGTCCCAGCAGAGTGAAGACCATCAAGCCTTGACAGCGAAGTGTGCCGACTTGTCGTCTGCCCTCGTCACTTTGTCCCAGCAGAGTGAGCAGAGGGAGCAAGCCGCTGCCACAACCCAAGTTGAGCATGACGCACTGAAGCGAGAGGTCACGCACCTTACGGCGATGGGAGTCGAATATGAGGGGAAGATGAAGGAGAAAGTGAAGGCGAGTGAGGCGGAGATGGCGTCCCTGCGTGGTGAAGCAGAGAAGTGGGTCAAGGGCTGCGAGAAGAAGCTGTCGGATCGGTTTACGGCAGAGTTGAAGCAAGCCCGAGATGCCCTTCATGCGGAGCCTCGCACCGTCATTGAAACCGAGCTTGAGCAGAAGGTTAAGACCCTGCAGGAAGACAAGGAGAAACTCCAGTTCGAGCTCGAGGGAGCCCAAGAGGCGCGCGCTCAAGAAGAAATCGCCAAGACCGGTTACTTCGAAAGCGCACTCGAGGCTGAAACGAACTGTGACGAGGCTGTTCGGAGATTCAACAATCTGAACAAGGAGTTAACCTCGCTCCGAGGGATGCACAAAGAATTAACCGACCGGTATAAAGAGTTCAAGTTCCAGAACATCGAGTTGCGTCGACGACTTGGTGAGCCCGAACCGGAGCAACTGAAGAAGTAACTTGGGCTTGGCGCCGCTGACGCAGCACCCGGTCTCAGCTACCAATTCACTGCTCACCTCACTCAAGTTCCGTCGGGTTTGTGTATCCTGGTCTCATCTCCTCTCTCTTCTTCTTTGCTTTTCTCCCCACCCCTTTCCCCAGGCGTCCATCCTTTGTCACTTTGATCCTTGTTTACCCCCATTTTTGTACTTGAGCTTGAGCCTGTATCTTTCCCTCTTCCCCACCTCCAGCGATTACCTCACAGTATGCCCTGGTGATCCCTCGCGCTCCGCTCATGAATTCTCCGCCATCTCGTTCGCTTGCGGCTCGGCCATTGATGCTGGGTCTAGCAAAGCTTCTGTTCATCGCGATCGCGCAAATTCCATTCGCTGCTGCTGCGCCCGTTCTATCGCCTCTGTTCAATTCCGCCGATGCAGAACCACCGAAAGAACCGAGCGATCCGAGTCTATGGCTATACTTGGGGGTTTCAGCTGCTCTTGTCCTCAGTGGGGGTGCATTTGCGGGGTTGACCATTGCTCTGATGGGTCAGGTGAGCTTTCTCTCAAACTTCATTTACTGGATCGATCCAGCTAACCGCGATTGGCGATGTAGGATGAAGTCCACCTTCAAGTCATCCAGAAATCCGGCTCGGACTACGAGAAAAAAAATGCGACCAGTGTTCTCAACCTCCTAAACCATGGAAAACATTGGGTTCTTGTCACCCTTCTTCTCAGCAATGTGATCACAAATGAAACCTTGCCCATCGTTCTCGACCGAACCCTCGGGGGTGGTTGGCCCGCTGTTTTAGGCAGCACGGCCCTGATTGTCATATTCGGCGAGATCGTCCCCCAATCAATCTGCGTTCGCTACGGCCTTCCGATCGGTGCATGGATGGCACCTTGTGTCTTGGGCTTGATGTACATCATGTCACCGGTCGCCTGGCCAATCGCAAAACTTCTGGACCGTCTTCTTGGCGAGGATCACGGCACTATCTACAAAAAAGCCGGCCTGAAAACGCTCGTTACCCTTCACAAAACCTTGGGTGAAGCCGGAGAGCAACTCAATTCCGATGAAGTCACCATAATCAGTGCCGTTCTGGATCTCAAGGAGAAGTCAGTCGGCAGCATAAAGACACCCATGGAAGATGTCTTTACCATGTCCGCCGATACCGTGCTTGATGAGCGCACAATGGATCTCATTCTCTCACAGGGCTACTCTCGCATTCCTATTCATGCCCCCGACAACACCATGAACTTCGTTGGCATGCTCCTTGTCAAGATGCTAATTACCTACGACCCCGAAGATTGCAAACGCGTCCGTGAATTTGCTCTCGCCACCCTTCCTGAGACACGCCCGGAGACGAGCTGTCTTGACATCGTCAATTTCTTCCAGGAGGGCAAGTCACACATGGTACTTGTCTCCGAATATCCCGGCGAGGATCGCGGCGCTCTCGGAGTTGTTACTCTTGAGGACGTCATCGAGGAATTAATCGGCGAAGAGATCATCGATGAGTCCGATGTGTTTATCGATGTCCACAAAGCCATCCGACGCATGGCACCTGCGCCAAAGTCCCGGGTTCCCAAAGGCAAGATTGTTGAGGAGCCTCCTTTGAATGCCTCGGTCGTCTCCGACGGCAACTTAATTGACGTGGATACCATCAAACCTTCATCTCTCCCCAAGCCCTCCGACTTGATTCGACGACGCAGCTCCGTGGAGGCGCCTCTCCCCCGCTTCCAGCTCCGCAAGACAAATGTGGACACCAACTCCACGTCGACAGATGGATGGGTCACGCAGATGGGCACGACCGATGAAATCAGAGAACATCTCAAGCATCTCGGTCCTTCCAATCTTGCTAGTCGGCCACGACAAACTCGCTACCATGCCGTCAAAATCAAACGCAGTGGTACTTCACCTTCCCGCTCCGCACAAACTGATCACGAATCCGGACACAGCATCTCCGACTCTCAAAAGCTTGTACAGCCATCCACGGCCTACCAAGGTGGCATCGGTGCAGGTTTGCTCAGCTCTGCTGGACCTGACGCTAAAGATGGCGCACATGCCCTGAAAATTGGCTACGGAACGATAACATCTTCCGACAATGCAAGTAAAGGGACCAGCGCCCAACAGTTCAAAGATCTTCCTCACGTTTCCATTCCCGAATCTGTCCGAGAGGAGCACGAAGACCAAACGCGTTCTGGGTTGACGCGCGAGGTTGGTAGTGGTATCCCAGGCCCCGAGGACCACGAAAACCAACCGCGTTCTGGGTTGACGCGGGAGGCAAGTAGTGCAGCCGAACAAGAATACGAACCCCCGACGCGTTCTGGGTTGACGCCGAAGGCTAGTAGTACAGAAGGCAGTATCAAATCGTCTGATTCGCCGACAGGATTTCCCTATCAACACCGTGGACCGGCACGCAGTGGCAGCATCACCGAACAGATTGTGGATGTTAATGGCATTCGCAAAGTTGTTCTCCATGCCAATTGCTCTAGTTCATCCGAGGGTGAATCACAGTCGGGACATCAGCACAGCAAACATTCGTCCTCCGGGCACAGTCATACCGACGGCACAGCCCCTGAGATGGATGATGCTCAATCTGAAACTCAAGACGGCATGCTGTCAAAAATCAAGAAACGACGTCGCCGCAAGAAGCATGCTAAAGCTTCCAAATCCGCTGGCGGTCCCTCAGAAGAGCAACCATTACTACAGTGAACATTTCCATTTGACTTGCGACCGGCACCCTTGCAAAAGCCCGCGACTCCTGGCTTGGGCGATCCTTGGGCTCCACGGGCTTTGATTCAAGTGATCAACAGATTGTATTTCTAGGGAAGCATGCCAAAACTTCCAAATTCCGCTGGCGGTCCCTCAGAAGAGCAACCATTACTACAGTGAATATCTTCCATTTGATTTGAGACCGACACCATTGCGAAAGCCCGCGACTCGTCGCTTGGGTCCTTCTTTTGCTGCACAGGCTTTCATCCATGATATCGGGGTTGTATTTCCGGGGTTTCTTATTACGAATATCAAATGTTCCCTCTTTCCATTTTCCATGAAAGTAGAGTAGGCTCCAAGTAGGGAGAGTAGAATTTGCGTACTTCATTCCGAGAGTAACTAGATGCATTTTGAGGGAACAGACATCTGGGCAGGATAGGAACGTTCCATCAGGATCATTTCATTGGGGGTGTAACCTTTGGGGTGACAATGGAGTATACTGTCCTACACTGTCCTACCTTTCCTCCCAAAAGCTGTACTCCATACCCGCCTCTTTTTTTAGAACTATCTGACAACTCTCACATAAGCGCAGGGCGGATACCTGCGCATTCTCCCGTATACCATGCGTCACGGTCGAACTTTAGAAGATACGAGGCGTGTCTTCGGAAGAGCGTCACTGGGTCTTGAAATCAACACTATAGGCGAAGGCGATATCTTCAATCAGGGTACCAGCCCTGGAGTACTTCGATTGAAACTAAAGTATCTTGTCAGTTTATCAAATCTGTATGTAACTCACGAGTATGGGGGTTGGATGCTCAATCGCATGATTGTATTCACAAATAGTCACTGCAACGGACTACACACTTTCGACCCAGGGGAGCGAGAAAAATTGCCTTCGATATTTTGAATGGCAGAGATCCGGAACGTTTCAAGAAGCCTGAGCAAGGTTAGCGTAAGGAATAATCTTATGGAGGGAATACTAGAACCGCTTGAATGAATGGCTTCAATGAGCCAGGGAGTAACCTTTGAAACCCTCTGGTGTGTCAAGATGGAGCTGTCAGGAGGTCAGGGCGTTCACGGCATGGAGTATGGGTTAGTCTTTGAGCTAAATCTGTATGTTGAATTAGTGTCAAATCTTTCTTCTCTGGGGATGAGGGGAGACCACTTAGCCGCTGCTTGCTCAACTGGCTAGCGAAGCTGTATTAAGGAGCTGGACGGCATCTATGCAAACCAAGTTAGCGCAAATAGGGGGGTGGAGACTTAGCTGCTCGGCATAGTGAGCCTGATTAAACACCTGGGCAGTCACTATAGTGAGAACCGGAAGGAGACGAGACTATTCTATGTTAGCACCAGGAGACGATTAGGTCGAGGGACTTAGCTGGAAGATATGGATATATGGATCATCGGGATTAAGAAAACCTGCAGATATTCACGTTAGCTTCACTGGGGCGGGATCGGACTTATCTATGTTAATGGGGGGTTCATAGGATTGGATATCGCTCACGCTAGGGCTGAACAGATCTAGATATCATTAGCTTCAGAAGATCCATAAGAAAGGGTAGAAAACTCAGTCTTGGAATCGAATATCATTCAACTTGGGCAAGTCATTGCAGGTTGCATGTTGCTTTCAATTAGCTACCTAAATCAACGAGTTAGTATATGCCCGCCTACTGGGAAAGACCTACTGGATGGATCATTTGAATTGCGTGCGATGAGTGGTTTTCCCTGTGTCTCGTTAGTGAATCAATTGATCATATGGGAAGGACTGGATTGTGGATGCTTAGCTGCTTCTTGATATCAGACACTTCGTATAGTAGAATCGGAATGTTTTCTTTTCTCATGTTAGCACACACACAGAGAGGGAAGTCCACGTACCAATAGCTGGAATTGTTACACCGAATCGCAGTGGAAGTGATCCTAGATAGCAGAGTCAGTACAAAAATCTACCCTGCAGGAAAGATGGATACTCAGTCAATGTGCATATTTGGAACATGTGGCTCGACGAGAGTCGAGTCTTGTCTTGGTCTGGAACTGCCCCGACTGATGAGGATAAAAGCGAGGGACATCAAGCCTATTATATAGACAATTGGGTCAACGACAAAGGGTTGTCCGAGTCCATTCATTTGCAACGAGGGCTTTGTCTCCACGCTGGTCAAGGACATTGTAAACGTGTTTCATCTATTAGTCGAGTCGAAAAGAAGGTCATTGTATTTGATGGGAAACAAAGAAAACCATGGATATGAACGGAATGGCCACTCTGGGCCTCGAGGCTGTGGCCCTGAAGTCCTCTTGTTGATGAAACACCATACAAAGGATTCGGGGGTCCATCGACCAGCACAAGGGAATGGAGTATTTTACGAGAAGGTATCTTTCTTTGAGGTTGCTTTGTCTAATGTCCGGACCTATAGATCTATTGGCGGATCTGTTTTTACTCCTGAATTCCTCACAATGCCAATGTCCATGGAAACACTCCAAAGCAGCTTTTAGTTGAATTATACTCGAACACCATCAACCTCCTTGCCCTCGGGGACCTTGGCAGCCTCCCGCTCAGCGGTACTCATCTGCAACCCTTGGTCATCCCACCCTTGAACACCCTTCTTATAAAGTGCCTGCTGCTCCTCACGACTGGCCATGGGGCCGCTTTTCCCCCGGCGCAGCCGCGAGTCAAGTGTCTCCTCAAGAGAAGCATTATCGCCATCCAAAGCACGTCCCTCCAGATCGGTTGTGTGTGTCTCCTCGGAGAATGCATATGTGCGATATTCGGTATTAGTCCAACCAGTGCCTGTCAAGCGTTAGCGCGGGGGTTCACAATAGTAGCACGGGCCGCACATACCCTGGAACTCGCTGCTATCTTCCCAATCGTCCGTAAAGTAGTGTAGGAAGCCACCGTGTGTGACCATGACGATCTCCTTCTCCGGGCGGGCTTTCAGCCATTGGCGGGCTGCGCGGGCACGCTCTTTGATCGCTTGGCTGGTTGGCGCAAAGCGACCGCTTTGCTACAGAGATCCTGGTTAGTTCATGTGTAACCGGAAACGGAGACCGCATCTCCGTAACACCTAGACACACCTTGTTATTCCACCCCTCATGTACGAGATCCAGATCAACGCCCGATTTGAACTCCTCCTTCAAGACCGAAGGCTCACTTCCAGTATCACACGCAACATCTGAGATCTCCTGGAGATCAGGGAGAGCAACAATCTTCAGATCGGGGTTTGCCTCAAAGACGGGCGCGAAGCTCTCGAGGGCGGTATACAAGGTGCGGCGAAGCGGGGAGGCCGTCACCAGGTCGATGTTGGCGTGACGGGGGAAGCTCTCGCGCAGCTTGCTGCATTGTTCGTGTCCAAGGTCGGTGAGGACGGGGTCCTGGATGACATGGTTCTCGGTGCAGAGGTTGTGCAGGCCCTGGGGTTGTTAGACTGGTCGGGACCAAATGCCGCGGGGTATTCGGGAGTTGCGAGTTGCGAGTTGCACGCCGATCGGTATGGACGTACCTGGGCATGTCGGACACAGTGAATAATAGGAGCCATGATGTAGAATGTGCTTTCAAGGTTGAAGAGAGCTCAACTTAAGAAAATGTGCGGAGTTGGAAGACCCTTACGAATCTTATCGGGGACCGCAGGTATACTGTAGACACCTGATACAACTGTATGTCGAATAGAAGGTATTTCCCAGCGTATTCTATGTAGACTGACAAAATATAAAAAAGAATCGAATAGAAAAGAGTCAACTCGGACCTCAGACGTCCGACTTATTTTCCTGGCGAACCACAGCTCGGCACGGGACCTGGACGACCTCTGATTTGCGACGAATTTAATGATCTTCAGGTGGACACGACACCTTAGACACAATGGACACGAGATGGAAATGAGAATGATCTATTTGCAACGCTGGACGCTAACAACAATTACAATGTACAACACAGGGTATGTAGAGGTAAAAACCTGCACTTTTTCTTTTCATGCAACGCCAAACCCTTGGGCATTGTCAAGGGCTTTCTCGAGTTTCTCCGCCAATGCCTCCCTAGATGAATATTCCGGTAGAAGCAAACGCCCGAAGCAAGTCAAGCTTGTAGGAATCCGCTGGAAACATAGTCAGTACGAAGTAGGATAAAAGTAAGAGACTTCAGACACATACCAGATCACCCACACCGTTCTTTTGGATCACGAACATGATGCTCGAGACTCCATTGACAGGAACACGGTCACTAGCAGTCACAAACTCAAGCAATCGAGCTCTCCTTTCATTTGGATAGTCCTGGACAATGCTCCAGAAATCACGAATCACGCGATGATTCGGCCCAAAGCCACCGTCGTACCGGGTGTGCTTCTCCAGCTCCTGAACATCGATGCTCTGGATTCCTTCCACGACCATTTTGAGTGCTTCAGGGGAGAATATGGACAGAGCTGATCGGTCCAAACACGTGCTAAGACCCCTTTGGAATGCCTCAAATTGTGGTCGAATAGACTTGTCCGTGAGCCAGAAGATGTAGTCTTTGACAAACTGGTGTCGGTTCTGGTTGGTCACAAGAGCGGCTTCATCCAGTGAAGGTGTTGGGGACCGAGAAAAGCCCTCAGCATCTGACTTGGAAGGTTCAGGTGAGTTGGAATGAGAGGTTGTGGCGTTGGTGGGGTCCGCTATAATGGGTTTGGATGGAACAGGATATGCAGAGTTGCGAGAATTTTGACTGCCCTTCGCTTTTGAATTATTCTTTGGTTTGGCAGGCCACGCAGCATCACGGCCGACCTTGTGCATATCTATAGTCTGAATGCTTCCAAAGACCTCAAAGCTGAACTCGTAGGTGCGAGTGAAGATATCCTCAACATCGCCGTCATTCCATGTCAGTAAAGTGTTCAGGCCCTGACTGAGTTCGGGCCAGCCGTCCTCAATGTGGTCCAAATGCTTCACCTTCAACCCCAAAACCTTGCGATAGAAAGCGATAGGGAGGTTGAGTGGAAGTGTCAGGCCATTGTAAATTGCGATGGACATCAACAATCCGATGAGTTCGAATTTATAGAGCGGCTCTAGTGAACAGGGCTGGAACCACGACACCCGATGTCGAATATCCACCGTGAACATGCCATAGGATGGATCAAAGGCTTGACCCATGAGGATGCGGAAGAATTCTTGTTGAACACCACCATGATCCAGCCCTTCTTCTCCTTCGTCCATGCCCATCTGTACCTTCAGTGGTCGCATAAGTTCTCGCTTTTCACGTCGCCACAGTTGACTGAGGGCATCGGAAAGTATGTTATCGCGGCGCACAGCGAGAACAAAATATGTTGACATGGATGTTTTCAAACGAGTGAGGAGTCGAGGGTCATCCGGAATTTGAATAGCACCGAAAGCTGTCTGGGTGACATGTCTAGTGGTGGTCATGGCAGCCTCATAAGACTTTGTCATGGCAGAATAGTTCAAGGCACGGAAGTAGATGACAAGGGAGGAAGGGGGGAAGAGGAATGAATATGACAAGAGATGCATCCTTCGGTTATTTGAAGTTCTCCCCACCCATGCCACAGGCATGTCCAGAGGGTCCAGCCGCTCTGTGAGAAGGGGGGTGTGGAAATCTTCAGAAGAAAGACCAAGTCTGGCTCGTGCTTTGTACATAGATGAAAGGATCTGAACCGCACCACCGGCAGGGCTACTGCGAGCCATATCTGGGTTGCCATCCCATTCACGTAAGAAGAGAGTCCGAAGCCATTCAACGATGAGCACCGCCGGGGTGATTGAATCGTCAGAGTCATTGCCGCTGGTGACATGCGAGTTGTATTGCTCACTGAGGTAGTCTAACACGCGGTCTAACACGCTCGTCCTGCGCTGTTTGGGCTGATCGACTTGATATGCGTAGCGTGTTTTCGAGATCTCATGATATGCCAGTCGTGCAGTGATGACTCGCACAAGCCGGGCGATCAAGCGCAGGCCCAACTCATGTTCGAACCTGTCCGTCACTTCGACAGCTTGCTCGGCATTCTGGGACGGGAGCTTGCCCATGTCCGAGAATGAGGCAACGGAACCATTAGCGCGCATTTGTGCGACTGCTCGCCATGTCACCGAGTCGATCTTTGGCATGGAGCTGACCAATGTAAACAACGCAATTGTTGAGATGTACGCTGCGTCGGGATCGGACAAATAATCTTCGTTGGCGGACGCAGAAATGCGGCGGGGAACAACCGAGGATGCAGGCCCAGACATGGTGGAGCTTCGAGAAGATCGGCGAGAGGGTCGTCCAGAGGAAGTGAATCCATTAGGAGGAATAAAGAGTGTATCTAAGGAGCTCCACACGCTGTGTAGAGCAACATCCCACGGGCAAACCGAAAACAGGCGTTGCAATGACACACGCAGGTGCGAAACATCCAGACGATTGGAGATGGCTCCGTTCGTATTTCCAGAGTCGGTACCAAACGAACGCAATATTTGCTGAGGACTACTTAGCACGTAGAATGTGCTTTGGGCGATGAAGGGAAATGCTTCGCGCTGTCGCAGAGTAGCGAAGCGCCATTCCGGTTGTTCAAAGCTTCCAGTGCATTGGATATGATCAAGTTCTTCTCTCCAAGCATCTGCGTCATCCTCTGTTTGTATCAACACCTTGGAGAGGCCATGGATGATGTCCGGGGTAAGGTGAGTGATGGTTTGGGCGAGCGGGATGATGTCTGGAAGCTCTTCAACGGAGACCTGTTCTGGGTTGTGTCCGCTTAGAGTGTGAGAGGAATAAGGGGGAGGAGAGGGTGGTGAAGAAGGGGGAGGCATGATATGTGTGCCTGCTGGGCTCTTCACAGGAGAAATCTCATTGAGCAACTTCTCACTGTCCCAAGAAACACGTCGTTGGCTTTTTCGTCTATCTTTCAGAGGGATGGACTCGACTTCGTCGATCCTTCCACGATGCTTTTGCGGACGGTGCTTTAATGCTGGAGGGGAGGGGAGGGGATGAAATTCCTCCGTGCCCACTGGAATCATCTTGTTGAACTCCGGCTTCCTTTTCTCCTCGAGACTTGTTCTTGGACTTTGATGCCAATTTTCAACTTCGGGTATTGATACTCGTTTGACATGTTGGTTTTGGACCTTGACTTCTACTGCAGCTGGCTGAGACCCTGATGTTCGGGATGACGGGGTACGAGGTTGGGAATCTGAGCGACTTGATTTCATAGATCTCGTTTCTTCCCTTTTTGGCTTGTCTTTTGTCTTGTCGCCGAGAGCATCTTTCGCAACCGCAAATGGACTCGTAGCCCGCGAGGGTTGAAGATCAATCCTTGGCTCAGAAGGACCTGTTGGGCGACGAAGGGGTAGCCATTCAACCATCCTGAGCGAAAGTGTATCGAACAAGTTCTGCGTAAAGGATTTGGGGTCCTTGGGCTCCAGCCCCGGCATACGATCGACTTGTTCACATTGAATGCGATCAAGCTCCTGCTGGCTGTTGCTCCTGACAGTCGGCGACGCTATTTTCGGAGCGCCTGTTGGGCGTGGGGTATATTTTGGAGGGCTAATCTGATGTGTTGTGTGTGTTCCACCTTCTGGGGGTGCGTTTGGCGACGTCGAGATCCCGGCTTCCTCCATCTGGAAGAATCGAGCTCGGCGCAGGGAAATGTGATGCAGATCCAACGATTCAAATTGCGACGTGGGTTTGAGTGTGTTGAGGCATAAGCCGGCCTCCGCATTGTCCAAGCTAGCTAGATAGCAAGCGAGAGTCCGCGCACTCAAATCGGTATATCGACGATATGGGCCTTCGCTGGTTCTCCGGCGACTACTCGCACACGTGGGATTTCGGCAGCCGGGGTTGTCACAGCCATGAAGTAGTTGCGCCTTATATCTTTTTCGTGAACCTGGTCAGCTTGGTGCGATAATAGGGGATCGGGGATCCGGGTTGTTATCGTTCCCTTTTGCTCACCTTCGCACCAACCCGTTGAATTTGCGTCTTCGGTCATCTCGATAGCGTGGAAGCACTCGCGAGGGGTCTGAGACTTCAATGGTATTCTGCTTTATAACCTCAGGTGCATTGGACGGAAGCTTTGACCGATAACTGTGCGATCGTCTGTGGCCGGAGGACGGCGCGGTGTCTGGAGAATCCATCGAACCTCCGCGGAGCCTAGTCATTTTCAAACAAATAGAACCATATCCATGGATCTGAACAAAGCAAGAAAAAGGTATGTAAGCAAGCGTACAACACAGAGTACCGATTCAGCGTCGGAGATCGCGACAGGCTCCAGCTCACCTGATATCATCGCTTGACGCCTCAGGCGGCAAGGTCCACTTTCGGCGTCGGAGGTTGTCGGGCCGTAGTTCTTCCGGATATGAGTCAGCGCTCATTTGGTGGATGAGTAATACGAGAGATGATGCCACACTTACCCAGATAGGCTTAGCCCACCCTCAGAACCGATAAGAAACATATTCAGCGGCGGGCAGAGAACCATAGACAACGGCCTATTTGGTGGACAAAGTCTGATCACTTGAGCTGTCGGCTTTCCCCTTTCGCATCTACTCTGCCCTCACTCCAGTGAATCGCTTTTTTCACCAGAGTCACCCTGCATCATTCAAAACCTTCTGAAATCGGGCCTGGGCAGAACCTTCATATGTACCCCGCCTGCAACAAATATCCATCCCACACACAGGAAAATCACAACCTCACAACCAAAGACAACCAACAAACCAGCAACATGTCTTCGACTACTCAGGGAGATGCACCTGCTCTGCAGTACACCTGCAACACATGCCTTGTCGGCTTCCACCACAGCGAAGCCCAGAGAGATCACATGAAGAAAGACTGGCAGTAAGTGGGATAAAAAAAAAAAAAAAAAACAAGATCATAGGCTAACCCCTACAAGTCATTACAACATGAAGCGTCGCATGGCCAGCTTGCCTCCTGTCACCCTTGAGACATTCAACGAAAAGGTCCTTGCCGCCAAAGCTGTGACCAACGAAGCTGCTGCCAAGGCCTCTTACGAAAAGACCTGTCACACCTGCAACAAGGCATTCTATAGCGAGAACTCTTACAAGAACCACATCAACAGCTCCAAGCACAAACAACGTGAAGCACATCTTCGTAAGGATGGCGACAACGCATCTGTCCAAAGTTCCGCCTTCTCTCTCGGAGAGCCCGTCACCAAGCCCAACGACAATGACGTCTCCAAGGTCACCGACAACCTCAAGTCAGCCACCATTGAGGAGAAAGATGAGGATGTTGATGTCGACGCTGATGAAGAACACAAGAGCGAGTTCTCACCCTCTCACTGCCTGTTCTGCAAAATCGATTCTACCGATATCCACTCCAATGTCGACCACATGCGCAAAGACCATGGAATGTTTATTCCCGAGCAGACATATCTGGCGGACATTGATGGCCTCATCCACTATCTCTGGAGGAAAATTACCGAAAACTTCGAATGTCTCTTCTGCCACACCATGCGCAACACCGCACAGGCCATTCAAACTCACATGCGTGACAAGAGCCACTGCCGCATCGCCTTCGAGACCGAGGATGAACAAGTCGAGATTGGTCAATACTATGACTTCCGGAGCACGTACGATGATGAGGACGGATCGTCGCCCGAGAGCGGCGGCGTCAAGGCCAATGGAAATGGGGAGGATCAAGGCTGGGAAACCGAAAGCTCCGCCGACTCTGACGAGGAGGATCTCGAGAACTACCGCGGCCCATCAGGCGTCTATGAGGATGACTTCGAACTTCATCTTCCCTCCGGCAAGAGTGTCGGTCATCGTTCGCTGGCTAAGTACTACCGTCAAAACATGCACAACTACATGACACCCTCGGAGCGTGCTGCCCGCCAGCTTGCTATTGAGAATGGTGAGATTGAGGAGGATAAGGCTCGTGTACGCAACAACCACCACCGGGCTATCACCACCCGTGCCAACGGCGGTCTGGGCATGATCAAGGCCACCGAAGAGCAAAAGGAGACCGCTCTCACCGCGGAGCGTCGCGAGAGAACCCGTGCGCAACGACAGGAGAACCGCTATATCGCACGCGTCCAAAAAGCCAACAACCACCAGAAGCACTACCGGGTATGTCTGACATCAATTCTTCTTACATTGTACACAATACTAACAGTCTTGATAGGATCCCCTTCTGCAATGATCAACCCGTCGTATTTCGAAAGAGAAAGCACAACGATCGATTGGTTCTCATCTCCGGCGTCGTCTCAACGCCACCCACAAGGCGTTCGCCAAAGTCTCCACCCCCGACAACCACCGCAGCTTTTCCACTCGCACGCCTTTTTCTTTCGTGCCTGGGTGCTGCTCGACTTCTGGCAAACCATGGGCTTTGGGGGGCTTCTTCGACCAATCCAAACATCACATGAGGTACTCTTTCCGAATCGGTGATTTTTCTCAATTACGATTGAGTTTTTCGACCCGGTCGGTTTTAATGAGGCCTCATCGACCACTCAACAAAGTTACGAAGGACATTTCATGGATAGCGATTGTTTGTTTGTATACACTTTGTATCGGTGCTATCCCTGTGCCGTGGTCTTCCCGCGTCATCTAGAGGTCCTGATGGACAATTTTTGTATCTGAGCATCAAATGAAGCATTTGCACAATTATTATTCCTGTAGATATACAATCAGTGAGTAAAATGTAGGACCTCCATTTTTGTTTACCTCTAGGGCTAGGTATTTTTGCTTCGTGGATATGGGTTCGACTCGTTTCTGTAGCCAACCTTGGACTTCAGGAAACGTGAAAGGCGAAGGACCTCGAAAGGATCTATAGATCATCTTATACCTAATTATGTTCTAGGCACCCATGCCCACTTGAGCAAATCATGAATCTGTTTCCTTCAACGGAGCAACAGTCTGCTCACATTCTCCAGAAGAGTGGTCTAAAAGCATACTATCTGGTGCTCAGTGAATGCTCAAATCAAGCAAATGAATATTACTTAAGTACGCGTCAACACCGCTTTAACCCAAAGAAGAATACCAAATCTGTATACGAGTAGTCGACTAAATTCATATGCCGTGTTACATTCACGTCGTCATCCTTTGGTGGAGTCACTGATCAGCTCCAGGGGCTACCAACCGACCCCAGCCCTGGAGAAGACTTTGTAGTGGCTTGGTTCTTTGGAAAGAAGTTGAGTGGCCGATCTTGAATATACATATACTTGGTACAGAGTATGTTGCAGGCTTCTACTTAGCATGTCGATCTAGCCCTGGAGAGTCGCAAATAAAATGCCTGTTTCAGACATACTACTCCACATAGGCCACAGCAACAGCTTTTATTACGTGCAGTGATAGGCAACTCAATTCGAATCTGCTGCAGGGCATTACCATGCAGCTTGACGCGTTTTCAAACAAAGCCCCAGGCTTAATGCTGGTGCCTCGATGGTAAAAGGCATCGGTTCTATTTTTAGGCGCCGATCACTGAGATCCCGTGGCGCAGACCTTGACTCCCACTATATCACTTCTCTAACACCCACTTGACTGTCAATAGGCTTATGAGCTACCTGTACATGTAATCCAGGGGCCAGAATGATCGATGAAAACCTGCCCAGTAAGGATCCTTGGATGCCCCCTGCCTTGCACCGTTTCTAGGGACTGACTCCCCGGACCAGCGTTCTTCTTGAAGAACAACTCGAAACAGCCTCAGGTTAGCACGGTATACCACCGCCAACATGGAAATGACCCAGAGCCTGCCTATACCTTGCGCGCCCTTGACCCCGCTGCCCCGACATCCCAAAACCGCTACGGAGTCGCCCTGTATGACCCCTACGTACCAGACGTCGTGTACGGCGAGGTCGCCGTGATCCCCGAATGGACCCAACCCAGTCTATCCGCGGAGACCATTCGAGCAAATGGTGGTACGGCGCCAACTCCAGAACCGATCCTCCCGAACGAGTTTACGGTTCAGCTCTACAACCCCGACCAAACGATCACCGTGAAATACCACACCAAGACATGGAACAAGCCCGCTCGATGGGAATTCGAGATGCCACAAAATACATTCCGTGTGCCCTCTGGTTCGACACTTGACCAGGGTCAGATCGACCCTTCTATTGCAGACATCACTCCGAAGTTGCGGTTCAGTTGGCGCAAGGATGGAAAACTGTCAAAGGATCTGACTTGTTTGCTACATGGGAAGACATCTACCATATCTGATACTCGGACAAAAAGTCGGGAACCGGATATCACCGTTGCTCTATTCCAGGGACTCAAGGAGCTGACCCTGTATCAGCCGAATCTTTACCGAGTAGAGATGGAGGATTTCAAGGGGTTAGAGGTAGTCTTACTCTTGGTGACTATCGCAATCCGAGACATATTCTTTGGCCTTGCGAAGGAGGCATTCCATATCTCTCACAACCCCGCCCCAATAACTCGCAAACCGACGGCCCCTGCTATGACCCCGGCCGCGGTAGCAACACCTGCCAATGTCACGTTTGACCGAAAACACCAGGCTGGACCTTCTGGACCCCCGACGAATGGGAGACCAATTCATCGTCAGAGCTTTCCAAACCCTACATCCCCCGGCCCTCAGGAGCGAATGCGCCAAGACGAACTCGCAAAGCAGGAAGAAGAGCGACGGAGGCAGGAGATCAAGGTCGCCGAAAGCAAGCGACGCCAGCGGGATTCAGACGTTGACAAGGAAACTAAGCGTCTGCAACAGCTCTATGGCCGGGAGGAAGAGCAAGCCCGAATGCAACGGCACACCCCAGCCCCGTCTGCGCGACCCTATCTCCCACCTCGACACTCGGGTCCCGCTCAGCCCTATTCTCACCAATACTCCCAATCCTCCATGCAACTCTCCCAAGCCCGTCCCCCTCACCCTCGCCAACATCCTCAAGGCCCCGTCCCATTCGCCCAACCCCATCCTACCGGCCGGGTGGACCCGCGCGTTCAATCTTCCACCCATCTCCAGCCCCGTCCTCAGTCTCGCCCACAAGCCCGGCCGCAGTCGGTGGCTTTCTATCAGCAACCTACTAGTAGTGGTGCACTTCCAGCGCCCTCCAAGCCGGCGCAACTGCAGTCGAAGAAGAGTAGTTTCTTTGGTTTCCGGCGCAACAAAGAAGAGACGGCTACGAAGTTGGCCAAAAAGCGGAGTTCGATGTTTTGATTTCTTATACCCTGGAGTTGTCATTTTTCTCACTTTTTGTCCCCGCCATGATACCATTTTGCATACATTTTCATTGACCACTTTTGGGTCCATTTGTATCTCTAGTTTATGTCTACAAATGATACAAAATATCACATTAAGAGATATACCGAGGTCCAGATGGTGGCGTGGTTGGCCAACACGCGGCTCAACGGTCTCTCGTATAGAACCCCATATGATTAGATCCCCAGATCGGAGATCCAAATTGCTGTGGACTCTTATGTGCCCCTGAAACGGCTTTGCTGCCACTGCTGACGCCCCTAACACTTGGCAGACTTGCACAAAATCCGGTCTTTTGTCAATTTACGTTTTCTTTCTAGTTTTCCCTACGGAGGGAATCTCGTCAAGATCTTCCGGTCCTCCGAACTGCCCATCCGAAAAATGGGTACATAGTCATTCGGAGAATTTCCGAGCCTTTTAACCGCCCCCAACTGAAGATAAACACTCTTCAACATGGTAGGAGTGCCACACAGCAAAGGCTGCTCTCTATGTCGGGAGCGACGGATCAAAGTCAGTCAATTTCTCCTGGGTACCGAGTACGAGAGAAGAAGAAAAAAAAAAACTAAGTCTCAATCTAGTGCGACGAGGCCGTCCCAGAATGCGGCCAGTGTCGAAAGTACGGACGCACCTGTCCAGGCTACCGTCGTGTATTTCGCTTTCAGGACGAAGGGCCCAATCTAACAAAGCGCCACAATTCGGGCCGTCAGACGGCATCTGTCGTGCGACCTGCTCGCCCCAAGCAGTATAGGTTCGTTCACGATGACTCCGCTATAGCGGCCGATGTGGTGCGGGAAAATGCGATTGCTCTCATGCGCCAGCAATCGATGTATGGCGGATGGGACGAGAAAGTCACCCCGTCCCTGGTGCGCAAATCCTTCCGTGCTGCTCAACCGCAATTGTTCCTCGATTATATCAGTGCCGCGTTCCCAACCCTCTACTACCACAATCGCTTCCGATCAGGTGATGGCGCAGGCTTTGCGGAATACATTATCATGAATTATGGCCAGGATTCCTTCATGGATTCCGCGATCTGCTGTTTGACCTCGATGTACTTGGCTCATTTGACCAAAGATCAGGCGCTGGCCAGGTCAAGTCGACAAATGTATTCCAAGTCATTGGGCGAGGTCATTCGGGCTATTTCGAACCCTGAACAGGCCAAATCAGATAACATGCTGTGCACATCTATCATTCTGAGCGTCTTTGAGATGTACGCGAAAACCACACCCGATGCCTGGGTCAGCCATTCGGACGGCGCGAAGCGGCTGATGATCAGTCGAGGACCCGAAGCACACGAGTCTGGCCTCGGCAGGTTCTGCTGGTATGCGTTCCGTGGGTAGGTACCAGACGCTTGAAATGGCAATCCCGAAGTCGAACGGCATCCTAATTCAGTTCTTAGATTCTTCATCGCCACCGCGGTCCATGAGGGCAAGGCCTGCTTTTTAGATGAGGAGGAATGGCAATCATACGCCGCCAAAGTCAGAGCCGAAGACTGCCAGAAGCCCGGCGAGTGGTCTGCATATGCCGAAATTTCCGATCTAGCGTATATGGAAATCGCGAAATGCCCCCGGTACATCAAGGAGACTCGTGATTTGCTCGCTAGTTCCACAGACCCAGATCCAAATGCTGTGCTCGATGTTATGTGTCGCATTCGAGACACATCAACCCTATTGTATACGCTCATGAGCGAGCTGCGGTCTTGCATCACTGCGCACAACGAGCGACAGCAAGGTATCATTCAACGACCCGGATCTTTCGTCGGTCCCGTCCCACCCATGTTTCCAGACACGGCTCCCTCATTGCTTCTCAGCGGTGCTGCAAGTATGCAGGAGACGTTACAACAGTTGTCTGAACGTCTTGAGGATCGATTGCGCTTCAACACGGTAGAGGCATCATCTCCAGGCTCGGTCGACTCGCCCAGCGACAGTGGCTCATCTTGCACCTCATCGTCAATGAGTGCCAAGAGTGTGCCCCTTCCGTTTCGAATTCATTCTGTGCTTGAAAATGGCCCGGCCAAGAGTGCTGATCCACATGATCCGCGTGCGGTGATTTGGCTGGACCGCGTAGCCTCTTCGATGGGTGTGCTGGACACAAGAGTGCTTCCGGGTGAAACGGACGGCTCGGATGATACGCGCTCATCTTTCCAGACGTCATAAATGGCGGTCTGAGCTTACATAAACGAGAAACGAACTGATACCTTTCATCTAGCATGTTTACTACATATCCTACGCTGCTTCTTACACACCAAGTTACTGCTCTCCTATACCCGAGCATAATAACCAAGTGCGAATTCAATTTCAATCGATTTCAATGCTTCATATCGACGTAGTTGAAGTAATATAGATCCAATACACCGTTCCACCCACACCGACACCAGTCCCAACAATCCTAATAATCCAATGACTGCTCAAGCAACTTCCTCAACTCTCCCCTCTCGGCCTGCAACTCAGTGCTCAGATTTGGCGCCAGCATAAGTACACGCTGCTGTGGAATGGTTCCATCAACCAGTCCCTCAACATCGGATCCCTTGAATCCCAAGTCCTTCAGTCCCCTGGGCTGTCCACCAAGCTTCACGAGGAACTCAGCAATCGCAGCACCAAGAACCTCACCAGCACTCTCACGCTTCACATTCGAGATATCCACACCGAATGCCTCCGCCGCCGCAAGATGGCGATCGGGGTTCGATGCCGCTGTGAATCGGAACACAGCTGGCGCTGTCACGGCAACGGAGACACCGTGCGGAATGATCGGGTGATCAACTTCATAGCCGTGGTGCTTGTAGCCCGGGTTCTGGCTGGAAATTGGGTAGCTCATTCCGTGGCACAGATGAACACCGGCATTACCGAAGCCGACACCGGCCAGAGTTGCGGCAAGTAGCATTTCAGACTGGGCTTCGTGGTCGTCGGGATCGCGCACTGCGCGTGGGAGATACTTCACTGTGCTGCGAAGGGCTGCTAGGGAGAAGATGTCGGATATGGGGTTTGCGCCCTGGTAGGCGGGGCGATTGATTGGGTTTGTGGGGCGTGGGGTGCGTTCATTGTAAGGGATTGCGGTCCAGGATTCGAGGGAGTGGCAGAGGACGTCCAGGCCCGAGGCAGCGTGGACGGCAGAGGGCATAGTGCGGGTATTGAGGGGGTCGCAGATTCCGAGGGTGGGCTTCAGGTTACGATGGGCGATTCCTGTTTTGGCCTTTTTGGAGACTAGGTCAAAGATTGCTGTGCCAGTGGTCTCTGAGCCCGTGCCGGCTGTCGTTGGGACTGCTACAAGGGGCAGAAGGGGCTTGTCGACTGGTCGGCCTTTGCCCAGTGGGGCATTGACAAAGTCGAGGAAGTCGGCTTCAGGGTATGCAGTGTATAGGTTCATCAATTTGGCGGTATCAATGACGGAGCCGCCGCCTGGTGGATGGTTAGGCTAATCAAAGTGGGTTGGATTAGAGACATACCGACGGCTAGGAAGGCATCAGGCCTATAGGGCTTGCTGAATTCAATTGCTTCCTTGATACTTTTCGAAGAAATGAATGTGAGCCATGCATCCCTCTTCAAGGCTGAATAGAATACTTACGAGCTATCTTTCGGCTCTGTGCGAACTTTATCAAATATCGTGAATTCAATCCCCTCACGCTTGAGCCCCTCCACGGCCTGCTTCATAGCATCGAGCTTGGCAACGTTGGAATCGGTGACAATGCACACACGCTTGGCACCCAGGTTCGTAAAGTCCATTCCAACCTCTTTAGTGGCGCCCGGACCGAAGCGGATGCTTGACGCAGCCATCTCGAAGGCATATTCCTTCTCACGCGATCGATCCACAGGCGTGGCTAAGTGGCGCTTTACTTGGTTGAGCAGTGACGGAGTCTGCTTGTGGTGATGGTGGTGATTGGGGTTGCCATGGCAAGGGCAGTTAGGTGGGTGGGTGTATTGTACAGTGCGCAATAGATTCAAAGCACGATTAGCTGCTGAGGGAGCTACCCTGATTGCTGGAGACACCATGGTAGATTGCAATTGAGCAGAGTACGGAGTATGCAAGAGGGAGACTGGGGTTGAAGTAAGGGAGAAGAGATCGTAATGTGGGACAAGTTGGAGAAATGCGGGGGGACCAAGCTCGGACTTCTGGCCGAGGTCAACCCCGGTCTTCTTATTAGCCCCTGGCTATTACTTAAGATACTTACACCGTTGGTTTGGCTTATTGTTCGCGGACCATTGACTCTATCTGTTTGGATTTACTACTTTCTCCATTTTGGGGAACATTACTGAAATGTGTGATATACTCCGTACAGCCGAGGTCCAACTACGCCGATCATGACATCAGCCGTTATATACTCGGCCCTACAATCACAGACTCCAAATGAGTGGATTGTCGGTATATGTTCCTCTTGGATCTGAAACTACTTTGAGCTAATATTACCATTCCTTCCTTATCCCTGACAGCCAAGTTATTCAACAGTCATCCCCAGTCAGACATCAGACACTTAACAAAGTGACAACGTCAAAGTGGTCGACGAAGCAATGACTCTGACTTGACTCCCAGCAGGGGGCACACCGTTCCGCCAATGAATAGAGGGTTCGGCGGGTGTAAGACTAACAGGATATCCCTCGAAAGGATCACCAAAGACATCAGAGAGATCGTACCACACTTTCTCGCCATTGTCCCCTCGACGCTTGAAATAAGAGAGATTATAGGCAAAGACCATCTGTGGCGCACTCGTATACAGTCCATCAACGTCGGTGCTGAGCTTAATTGCAATGCCGCCCGTGTTCGGGTCTTCGCGGAAGATCTCATCGTACGAGTCGGAAGGGTTTAGAGTTTGAACGGGTTGCACATTCGTGCCGACAGACCAGAGATAAACAGTGAAGTCGCAGTTATTGTTCACGATTGCGTGACCCAGCTTTCGTGTTTTGGGGGGAGGCGGTGGTGGTGTATAGGTTGGCATTGCTGACACTGTGCTTGAAGGGTTGTCAAATGCATTACTGAGTGGCACCTCCTCTCTTGCATGGAGGCCGTCGGAGTGGATTTGCGGGCGAGCAAGAGAGAGACCCGCAAATGCGAAAGCTAAAAAGCTCAAGGTAAGCATGGTGGAATAAGTGTAGAGGATTGATGGAAATTGTATAGAATCTGGCTCTGCAAACGGAGTTGAGCTTGGGATGCGTATCAGTCTTTATATAGGCCTCTACAAGTGTGCAAATACTATTGTGACATCCCATTCCCCTGAGAAGCCTAGATCCGTCTTCCTCGCTCTCGGTAAGCTGCGTCTGGGCACTCAGTATAGATTCTCAAGAAAATCAAACGGTGTACAACTTTGTGAAATGTAGGGGCTAATCAAAAGTGCCACAATGGCATAGTCAAATGAGCTTTCTCGGCTTGTCAAACAGACATGATTGTGCAATGTCACCACTTCCCTATATCGACTAGCGACTACATATAGGGGTATTCATTCACTGAGTGTCAATTTATGCTGTAAATCCTAGAATTGGCGCCACAAGGAATGTCTAAGCATTTATCCAACGTAGATTGGACTGGGCTGTCGGATATTTCAACACTTCTCGATCAGAAATGCGCCCAGCATTATGATAGTTTAGTCAATCCAGTGAGGGTTACACAATCTCATGAGTACCAAAAAAAAAAGACTAACCTAACTCAGATACCACAATCTTCAGTGCCCTGGCAGATTGGTTACATAGCGTCACACGGCGGAGATGAGAAAACACTCTTCAGCTTCCAGGGTTAGACCTGATCAAAATGCAACCACACGCAATTGTACTCTGCTTGGAATACTTCCAGGTAGCCAAGCACAGATTTTCATGGCGGAAATGGAGCCCCTGCGGAATGTGAGAGGATGAAGTTCAGTGGCTTATATCGGCATACTTCTCCCATAAATCTAGATAAAAATTTGAAAAGTAAAGCCCGTGCCATACAAATGACAGGGCCTTCACGACACATTTTGTTCAGCAGTCTGTGCTTTGGGCTCCTTTACTCAATGACTTGCTGGAGGACAAAGTAAGACCAGCGCCAGGGTGACCCTGGTCACATTTCAGCCACAGCCATAAAACGGGTTGAATTGTGTCGCATATCATACTTAGGCAATTTTCTTGAGCCTACCAGCGAGATAATGCGAGGAAGGCAAAGCTTCTACAAGAAAGAAGATTCAATTAAATGAAGAAATTCATGATGATGGAAGAAGAAAAAGCTATAGAAGTAGGCAAGCATACGAGTAAATAGCTAGAAATATGTGGAGCGCCAGAGCAAAAAAGCGGGCCTGGGCGGTAGACCGAAAAGGGAACGCCAAGAAGTGGCAGAAGGACAAACCTTGGAACCTAACGGTCTGGTGCGACTCAAAACAGTTGATGGCCGTGACATCGTGCCATGACTTCTTCACGGCTGAATAATGACTTATTCCAAAATCGAGGAGTTTCGTGGTTATCATAGTACAAGTCGCGAGTCTCAAATGCATGGACTGGTTGCTCGAGGACTGCCAGTTATTCTGCGAGCTCTGTGGATATGCAGTTATTTTGAATGTAGTCGGGGATGAAATTTTGATTCGCAGCCCTGCGGCAAACAGTGATAGCCCTGGAGGAGAGGTGGAGATCGGACATGTGCCCCCTGCCCAGGTGCTAATCGAGGGTCTATCTACTCGTACGGAGTACTCATACGGAGGACAGGGGGGGGGGGGCAAGATCACCCAATCGAACACATTTGGAACTGCTCGGTGATATGTTCAAATCTACTCGTACCAAGATGATTTCACTTTTCCCCCACTCCTGCCATTTCTCCTGCCATTTTGCTCGTGAAATATAACTTGAGTTGGAGGAAACTCTAAGCGGCAACTTTGGAAACAAAGATCCCGCCCCAGGTGCCGATCACAAGCGGAGGAGAACGGCCGTTGTACTCCGAACTGTCCACACCTGGGCAATACTTAAGTACTCCGCAGGTACACCAGAACTTTGGAAGGACAGAGATTATTGGAATTGAAAACTCGAGCAGCCAACTCCATCCATTTCAAATTTCCGGTGTTCTAAAGGTAATTCCAGAGAACGTGTAACTTTAGAACCACTTCTAAGTTGAGCAGAGAAAATACAATAAACCAAAATCTTACTGGTGGTTCCATATGATATATAAACAGCAACTTTAAAACCCATATGGGCAGTTTTTCTTTGAAATCTCACTTTCCCAAGAATGAAGCCTGGAGATATGGGACTATCGAGTAATAATTGATCTAAAACAAGTCCAAATCATTTCTAAAGTTGGACCTGAAGTCAAGGGTCCCAGCAGTAAGGGCTGTAGTCGTAAGCCTTGGAAAGCTTGTTTAGACGTTGCACAGAACTTCAAACTTCAAAATTGCCCACCTGGGCAATGTTATGATCGCGAACTTACTACGGGCTGCTCTGTACTACGTACCTGTAAGTAGACACTGATTACTTAATTCCATATCGCATATGACCCCTCCGGCGTTGGTGAGAATATGTTTAGGATATTTGCTGTCCTGCAGCAATGGGCGAGCCAAACAGGTTCAATGTGCCGCCCCTGGAGCCGAGGCCAGATCAAAGTTTTCCAAGGTTGGTGATTACGAGTACTAGGCACCATAGTATGTGCAGAGAATCTCGATCTCTCAGCCAGGTTTCAGGGACTCTAGAGCTGTAAAGAGTTTGTGCGGGCGCACTAGGTATTGCCACCTTGTTCCTCGTCTAAAGTCTAGACCTGCCCTATCAGCTCTGCGTCTTCAACTCACATTCGCCGGTGTGAGCCTTCCTAAGTTCGGCCTCTGATATGAAGTACAGTAAGGGTTCTACAGCTGACTGACACCCAAAACACGGGTGTGGAGGGCTATGGATTATTGGCTCATGTCTGCTGTGACTGCTAGTGTGGCAGCATATCCACAGAGATGAAACCGTCCAAATGCACCGCAGTGGTGTATAGGTGGATCAGAGACTTTTGGAGCTATTGGAAGTAGTCGATCGTGTTTGCGACGCTTTTCCTCCTTGATCAACCGTTCATTCTCAGTGGGTGTCGAGTGATTCCAAATGACCGCTCAGAATTGAGTCAAAATCCAGGAGTGAAGCTGAACGGGATGAGGTGCCTGACGATCTTCAGGCGAATAGCGGACACGGACAGTATCCTTGTGAAAATCATCTTGGCGGTTTGAAAGTCGTGGTCTGAAGGTTATATTCAGCCTGCCCTAGCGGGCATGGTGTCCGGTATGATCGCCCAAACCGTTGTCGCCGGGAACTACTGCGTACCTTGGAGCTTGATCGTACTGCAGACTAGTTTAGCTTGATGTACGGAGGATGTGCCTCGTTCCGACCCGTATGTGGCTTGTGTAGATCAGGGTCCAACACTAATAAATATTGTATTTACACCCATCTATCGTTCCAGAAGTACGTAATATGCCCCTGGCGCACTGCGTGGCCCCTGAGTATTGGTATTCACGTGAATTATAACACGCGTCGCCTCGATTGATAGTTCGAAAAGTGCCTTGAAAGGCGAGTTTGATCGTCGCATTCTACGAGTTTTAAGATGAGACAAGCAAGGGGGACAGGATCTTCGAGGACCTCATTCCACGGTGACATCACATTTTGTCGCAAGCCCGCAGGAACGCGAATCTATTGCGTTGATTGTCGATATCCCTGTCTATCCACCTGATGGCCTAGTAGATCCACGAAGATATAAGATTTAAGTAGCGGCCTGGGCAGATGGTTAAGCTTTTTATCAGACCATAGTTCACCATGGACAAGATGTCAAGCCTCGATCTCGCTTTGCGAGAAATGCAGCTGGAGTTGGAGCCCGTTACTGGACGTGTTAGCTGGTGCTCTTCGAACCCAAAGCACCCGAGGAATTGGTCCCTGCCCAGAAAGGTATGGGATATTGGGTTGATTGTCCTTCTAGAGGTTTATACGTGCGTCAGATCAAACATCACAATGAAGTCCTTTCAACATTTGCTAACAATATCCATAGATCTGCAATTAGTACTTCCGGAGTGCGTTCGTCTAATTTCAAGTGAATTGCATCATGATACTAACAGTTCACCTCTAGTCCACTGCTGCGAGATATTCCCAAGAAAGACTCAACATAAGTCTGACCTTATCTCAATTCCTTTTTGTCTCGACGTGAGTATTGGTGATGCGCCATAAAACACTGTTGCTAATCCAAACAGTTATCTTCTGGCTCAGGGTTTAGGCGGTATTGTTTTCCCACCATATGCGGAAGCCTTCGGCCGCAAAAAGCTGTATGTCATCAGCACCGTGTTGTACAGCGGGTTCTGTGCAATCATCGGGGGCGTTGACTCTCCAGTTGCTGCTGTCATTGGGCGATTGGTCACTGGATTCCTTTCTGCTATCCCAACCTGTTCCATAACGGGAAGTATAGAGGATATGTTCAACTCTAAGGACCGAATTTGGATGATGTTGTGCTACATCGGTGCTGCCAACCTTGGAGTAGCGATGGGTCCAGTCATGAGCGCTTATATTACCTTCGCATTCAGCTGGTAAGGAATCCATTCCCATATAGTCATATCCCTCGCTAACCCTCGAACCTAGGCAATGGATCTTTTACATCGCTGCCATGATCACAGGCGGTATTTCTCTGTTGCTGCTGTCGATCAGAGAATCCCGGCCGTCTCTAGTTCTGGAGGGCGAAGTCAAAGAACTGCGCAAGAGGACGGGCATAGAAACATTGGAGTGCCTGAATCACGACAGTGTGCCAGACATGAAGACATTTGTGCAGGTGAACCTTGGCCGACCGGTGAAACTCCTCTGCACCGAGCCCATCGTTTTCTGCGTATCATTCATGGGTGGAACCGCCATGGCTATCATCTATCTTTTGACGGAAGCACTACCCAAAATTTATGAGGCCAAGGGATTCAATCACGAACAGTCAAGTCTCCCGTTCCTGGCACTCGGTATTGGGTTTATATTCAATGTTCCGGGTCGCCTCGCTGATGTCCGAACGGCCAACGCACTCCGCAAGAATGATTGTCATGTTCCTCCTGAATATAAACTGGCAGGACTCAAATTCGCAGCTCCAATCCTTGCCGGAGCTTTGTGGTGGTTTGCCTGGACTATTCCCCCCACTATCCAAGGTGTTCATTGGATCGTTTCCGTCTTCGCCCTGCTGGCCATCGGATATGGACGAAATGAGTTGTCGATTGTTCTGACAGGTTATCTGGCTGATAGCTATTCTGCCTATACCGGTAGTGCGTTTGCCGCATGGGGACTTTTGCGGGCTATTTTATCAGCCGTGTTCCCCTTGTTCGCTCCTGCGATGTTTGACGCGCTGGGCGCGAATGTGGCGGTCTCAGTTCTCGCCGGTGCCATGACCGTGTTCATGATCATTCCTTTGTCCTTCCGTCGATACGGAAAGACTCTTCGCGAACGGAGCAAATTCGCACAATACAGCATGCAGAGGTACAAGGAGACCACCGTGGAAAAAGATGGTACCTAAGGGCGGGACCCTCACTGGTGGATCATTGAGCTCAGGGGCCAACGAACCAGTCCAAAAAAGTTTCCCCTGCTTTTTCAATTCGTGTCAATAATTACTCATTATAAATTAAATTCGAAATCATGGGGAAATACCTAAGTCTGTTGTAGTGTTAAGCTTTTACAGCCACCGAGCTGAGGCTGAAAATCTGAAAAGGTTTCGCTTCACCTCCCCTTGTTATCCGAGTAACGCCTGCAATCAGGCTAAATCAATCCAAAAGGGGTCTCTTTCAATATGCAATTCTTATTAGATTATAAACACAGCCTATTCCGTACGGAGCACCGGATGGACTCCTGTGCGCTGCACATATTTACTTTTGCTCTGGCGCATCATTGAACGCGCAATTCAAAACCACCTGCAGGTGGTCTGTCCTTGCTTTTCATTTCAGAACCAAACCTCAATGACTGGCCAAGAAGCTTCTCTGTTTTCCCCTTTCATGCTATGGGCAAGGGGTCTACAACCAAAGTCGCCACATGCATTCTTCGTTGTGGTGTGCTCGGTGTCAACGAAGCCGGCTAACTTGGTTGTCTTAGCTGCATGTACGATGTAAGGATAATTTACTCAACTATAAAGTAACTCAACCTGTGGTATGATTTCGATCAAATGTTCGAAATGCGAGTGTCAGGTTGTCTCTTTTTCATATGTTACTTCTCTCTCAGTCTCTTTGGCCACACCACACTTGCAAGTCACCCTCAATCCCATAACAACTTCAATAACCAAACAACGGTAAACATGGGGAACTCCACCCGGCAAAAACGAGTCCTGTGTGGTTATGGCATCGATTTGGATGCTGTCAGTGCTTGGTGTGTACCCGCTCTCGAATTAGCCAGATGATCAGCATTTAACGTGTCCCAAGGGCCAACACGGGGGATGGAACCTCCGCCAACCCGAGCGATGTCTCTCGAGGGATTTATGGTGCGACGGTCGGAGTTGATCGTCTCCTATCTTTCCTCGACAAACACCACATTAAGGCGACATGGTTCGTGCCGACACACTCGTTACACTCTTTTCCAAAACAAGTGACGAAGATCCGGGATGGAGGCCACGAAATGCAAGTACCCAGCCTATCATTCTTGTTGAACATTCTCGGACCAACATAAGCGACCGTGCTGATTTTGAAATATAATTAGTGGGCTCCATGGCTACACCCATGAACACATGAGTGCATTGAATGCTACCCAGGAAGAAGATGTCCTGTCCCGATCATTCGACGAACTCAGCAAGTTCCTCGGGAAAGCACCCAGTGGATGGACCGCACCGGGGTGGAAACCCTCATCCCAAACCGTACAGTTACTTGAAAAGTACGGCATCAAATACGACCACTCTTTCATGCATCACGACTCGCAGATGTACAGGCTACCGTATGCCCCAACTTTAAAAGCCACAGACGTGACCAAATCCCCGTCTACATGGATGCAACCAATGAGCAAACTGCACGCATCCAGCATCGTTGAGATTCCGGCAAACTGGCAACTAGATGATTGGCCTGCGTTTAATGTGGGAAACGGTGGAAATGGGTTCATTGACCCTGATGTCATCTTCAAACTTTGGACTGAGCAGTTTGATTTCTACTACCAGGAGTATGACTCTTTCGTGTTTCCGATCACCGTCCATCCTCAGGTCAGTGGAAAGCCACACGTGCTACGCATGCACGAGAGACTGGTCAAACACATCAATTCGCACGAAGGGGTGGAATGGATGACCATGGATGAAATGTCGGATCAATATAATTCGGGCCAAATATCGGGCCATGTGGTAGAGGGTGGTGTAGATCTATAGATATTAGTCCACAAGGCCCCAGGCTCTGAGGATACCCTGGCGCTTAGCATCACGACAGAACATTGAATCGAATCCTCGTGGTCGTTTTGTGGCTCCCTTCAACAATTGACTCTTTCTTAATTTGACGATATCGTAATGTTCCGAAGTCGCCTCAATCCATGGATATTTCATGAATTGTTCAATCTAAAGCATGGCGGACCTCTCGGATCCAATCAGGGTTAATTGGATCTCTCCCGGCTATGACAGGGGCTTAAAGCGGCCTGGAGACTTAGCATGAAACTGAAGTAGCTCCTAAAAATGCAGACCTCCGACCTTGAAAACAGATTTCCCCATTTAAATCTTCGATACTAGAAGCCTTAGCCAAGAAACACCCGAAGAAGATTGACAAATGCAGTTGTATGGTCGCTGATGTAGGGAGGAGTATAGCCGTTGAAGAATAACGATTCTGTATAATATTCGATACTTAAACACTCTATTCTAGACAGACAAGCACTTTGAATAAAACAGTACACAAAGCTCAGCAATTCAGTCCCGCCCAATCCCAGCACTTGGGAGCTCGAGGGGCAGTCTTGGAGTAGAAATCACAAATCTGAACTTCCGCGGGCATCTCGTCCAACGTTGGATCATGAGATTGTGGGAAGAATGTTTCTTTGAGCTTTCGCTTGACGACCTTTCCTCCAGAGTTGCGCGGGAAGGATTCCTCGCCGCTCAGAACTCGCAGCATGGTAGGCAGTTTGCTAATTGGCAACGTCCCGGAAAGGTCTTGACGCAGGGCCTGTAATGTTTTCTCGGGCACTGTGTCGGGAACATCGCGATAGGTCACAACAGCTGCTACACGACTTCCCAGCCGGGAGTCGGTGATTGGGACAACATGCGACTCCGAGATGTATCCTAAGCTGGAGATTGCGGTCTCGACCTCGTAAATGGGGACTTTGTAGCTATCGCAGTTGATGACTGTAGGTGCCAGATGTTAGCCAAGTCAATGGGTAAGATGAATCGCAGATCTCTTCTTACAGTCCTCTTTGGCGCGACCTTCAACCACAAACATGTCTCCTTGCATGTAGGCTTGATCACCAGTGTGGTACCAGCCTTCGTCGTCGAATACAGCGCGTGTGGCCTTTTCGTTTTGCCAGTACCTGTCCGGTCACGTCAGTTGAGCTACACTCCAGATGCTGCTGCTTGTTACTTACCCAACAAACATGGTGGGTGTTTTCATCAACAGCTCACTGTGGTCACCATTGGCCAGCTTGGCCTCAACACCAGGCAAGGGTCTGCCGATGACATGCTAGATGGAGCCATGATGTCAGCCAGCTGTGGGTGAGATAGACATTCTTAATCACTTACAAGGGAATCATCCTGGTCTTCAGGAGATGTTTCCAGCCCAATTGGTCCGGTTTCCGTTGTTCCAAACCGAATCACAAATCCTCTCCCGCCCATGTGCTTGCGATAGAACTTCTTTGTTGATGGCATTGTCAAGGCACCACTGCTCCGTGTGGTTTGGAGTCTTTGGAGGGCTTCTTCGGATTGCCGTAATGTCTCGGCGGGACCGTTGCTAATCTCCTTCTCAAAGTGCTCCTTGATTTGAATCCAAAAGTCCGGTGATCCTGTCAGGGCTGTCACTTTCTCCTGTTGCAGGTGCTTCCAGATGCGCTCTGCGCCAGAGTTCCAGTCCATCATGTCGACGCGGTTACCACGCAACATGAACCGTATGACATCGGTGACGCCGACTCCGTTGTGAATAGGACGTCGGAATAGGAAAACATCCTTTGAGCTTCCAAGCTCGCGAACAAACGCATCGAAGTACCGTATCGAGTGGATCAGGCCTTTGGGAGGTCCTGTGGTGCCAGAGGTGAACAGTGCCATGGCTGGGCGTTCTGAGTGGAACGAGACATTTTCGTCAAGATAAAGGTGTGCGGGGGATTTTGAAGGCGATGGAAGTTGGATGGGAACAGCCTGGTCCTCAGCTCCGGTTGCTTTAAATTGCTGTCGTACATTGGCGAGAAGATCGGTCTCGTTCGATCCAGTGAGTACAAAAGCGTTGTTGAACTTCTCGCGGAAGTAAAGCACCTCCTCGGGGAGAAGTGTAGTTGCTAAAACAATCAGTCAGACTTGCTTGCAACACTAAATGAATGGACTATTACCGAGTGGAATCACAGCTGCACCAATTGCCAGAACAGCGCAGAGGGCCACCATGAACTCATAGTCTCCTGGGGCGAGGATGATGACGAAGCGGTTCTCTTCGCGGACAATACCACGGTGGTCCAGATCTGGGCCAAATAGCTCTCTGAGAGTATCGCGATAGCGGAGAGTGTCACGGAGTAGACGAGAAGGTGTTGCTTGAATGTCGTTTTCGAGATCGTTCAGGGCAACCTCATCTCCCTCGTGGGCCAGAAAAAGGAGTCTCCGAAAGAACGCAGTATGGGGAAGTCCCTGGGACCAATTGGCTGAATTCAAACTTCCTGTGATGGCCATGGTTTTTGTATAATCGATTTACGGTTTTCCAATCGGGCACCCTGCGATGGTTTTATACTTGCCATCGATCTTAACAAGAAACGCAATGATGTCATTTGCCCTGCATCTGCACTGCATAGACTACTGTCGACTAGTCAAATCTATACGGGGCATTTTTCTACATGCCAGCTCTCTAACTCGGACAATATTCCAAGGCTATTGCGCCACAGAATCATTGCGGAATAGGGCAACGCGTCAAACGCAAATCTGCATATCGGCAAGATCACAAAGTACGCCATACTAATTGTACGAGTACTGAGTCGAAGGGCCCTTTAGTTTCAGAACTCGGGGCTATCCCCTTGCTGAATGCAATGCAAGATGACACGGCAATCTTGCGCAATCACATGGCACTGGCAGTGTGAATGGCGTGTCTGATTCCCCTGTCTTCGTCAACCCAGTCCTTTGACGATGAGGCAGCCATTCCTGCCAAATATTTTACAAATCTTGGCTAAAATACCCCGGACCCCGGACCTCACGAATAGTTACGTGTATCATTCCAGTCGGCGGTGAAAAAGAAAACCCTAAGCTGAAGTGGGCCTCGATGATCTACATCCCTTGCTGCAATTACGGATCCCATGTGCACGCTAGCTGACCCCCGGCCCGTCGGCCGCTGGGTGTGCTCTGTGTGATGCGTCTCGTATTCATGAGTAGGGTGTTTGCTTTGCAGCATACATTCCGTGGTGGTCGTCATTGACATGCACCACTCATGCAGCCAAGACGCCTGGAAGCTACTTTAGGGTTTTACACCACGACATACTGTACTTGGATATTCAGAGCCTACGTAAGTAGCGAGTACTTAGTGCGATCGTCCCCTGAACATTCTGTACTTCATATGCATCCTGCTGCCTGAATATTGAGACCTCACAGCCTACTCCGTAGGAGGGAATGAATAACCCTAGACTCCGTTCCGCCGTACCTGGTACACCTTAGCGTGTTGGATCTACTCTAGGGAGGAAGCCAAACTTTACAATATTTGGAACAGGGTGCTTGACGCGTCCTGGGATGAGAGTCAGACATGTCTCTTGACCCTAGATGGCAGATCAAAAGATCCTCGGGGGATCCGAAACAACTTTAGATCAACTTACGTGTATTATTGAGAAAGTTGATGTGGCTGAGTATCTATACTCGTAGATCTCGAATATTGATTATTGACGGGGGTTGGAGTGCTAGGCCAAATTACATCCCCTGAGGTCTCAATATCCTCGAATGCTCGTGCACAATACATAGATGTAAAAAGTTATAGATTTAGCGAATAAACTCGACTTGGAAACAATTGTACAAGGCTAAGGCTAGTGAGCGAGGCTTCATTTTGATCGGCGGACAGTGATAGAAAGACCAATATGTATGCAGCGATAGACACCTGAACATCAACAGCGGCGGGGAATCGGTGTAATATACACACACGCCCAAACTGCCGAGACGACCGGCCATCAAGGCTACTTAAAGAATCAGAAACGAAAAATCTTAGACGTGCCAACAGTATCACTGCCCTTACGAACAACGACTTGGACAAATCTGGTAGGTGGGTTGGTCAGATCAACCTTGGTTTCGAAGCCGGTGTGCTTGACAGGAGCGATGTTGGTAGTATTGGTCGAAGTGGCTGAAGAAGCAGCATAGACGATCCTACTTTCATACTCGATAGCCCAATTACAGCTTATACACACCGTCGCAGCGGGGGTAGTGTTATTTGTGGAAACGGAGGGCTTCCAGAAGGGAGTAGCCGACCACTGGCAGTGGTAGCTGCGATACGAACCGAGGGATTCATCATCACCGGACTGGGCGCCGAAGACGACGTTTCCATCGCCGTCGAACTCTTTCACCTTCGCGATGGATCCGTAGTCCATGAAGATGTGGCTGCCTGTCTCACCGAGAAGCTGGTAGCTACCCTGGAGGAAGATGTGGATGGGGCCGTTGGGATAGGCCAGGGAGCGGAGGCCCGTCACTGTTTTCTCGGATGAGTCGATGGCCAGGCTTACGCCTGTGGTCTCAAATTGCCGCTCGGTCGGGCTGTTGGCGTTGTTGAAGAGACTGAGCACGAGACCTATATCGGTCTTATTGTAGACGCGCATATCGTGTTGCCAGGAGAAGTCGGCTTTGGCAACTTGCTTGAAGTCCGCGCCATCTCCGCCGCTCACCAACCATATCATGCTGCCGTTCTGCGCAAGGTAGTATCCGGAAACATGTGGCGCAGGGAGACCAGGTAGCCGTGGTTGGTGACTGTGACGGTATTCATGTGGTGGGTATCATAGGGGTTGCCCTTGGTGCTGCCGACGTCTATGCCGAGACCTTGGTGGGTGGTGGCTATGGGGATATCGGCCTCATGGTCGAGAGCACTCCACCAGTTGATGGCGGTCGTCCAGCATTCAGCCCGAGGATGTCCCATCGATGGATTTCATGTCATGCTGCGTGACATTCTAGGTCTACCGCATCATCGTAAATGAGCGGGGGCCGCTCCAGCGCCAGGGAGGCCTCCCAGATCACCGATGAAATGTAGGTCAGATAGCCCCAAGCGGCGGCCTGAAGGTCCAGCAGGGCGCTGTCTGCCATGTAACACCATGGAGCCATATCCACGATCTTTGGAAGCCTAAAAATAGCACCGACTGCAACACTAAACTTTGGAACCAAAGATAAACTGGGTTGAGGGAGTGCAATATGCCTGTCAAGGTGTAATTTCAGATTTGGACACCTAAAGATCATTGCCTTCAGCGCTAAGTGGGGTTATATCTGGCTCAAAGTTATCCACAGGCAAAACCCAGGAACTATCAAAGCCAGTTAATGACTTGCCTGGTGACTTGGTGAAATTGACAAACGGATCAAGCCTCGATCACTTCATGGATATCTCAGTAGAATCAGTAGAATCTCAGAATACTCCGTAGATGACTCTTCTTCCAAGTCGGCAAAGTGGCAAATAATTATTGGAAGGAGCTCTTCTGATCTTGGAAGGTTCTACTCCGCAAGATGACAATTTCCAAGGTTCTCTCTTTTGTCTTTAACTAATTCATACTCTCTGTTTACTTCATGTTGACTCTCTGCTTCCAAAGCTTTGTCCGAATTGCAGAGTACAGAGTGCAAAGCGCAGCAGAGTACTCCGTGTCGGTGTAGTACCGATAGAGTCCCCTATTCATTTCCACCTGGCTGCAGGGGCCTTTGATCTCGATCTCGATTGAATTCGGAGGAATTTTACCCTCCAATGTCTACTCCATGCTCTCGGTCATCCGTTTCGAGACAGGTGTCCGTACTCCGGCCAACGGATATTTCAGCCGACAGCCCACACTACCCCAGACCGGCACGCGTCTGTGGAGACTAGCGCGACACGGCACTCGAGTGCTGAAATCTTCGCGTCAATACTTTGATCCCAGAATAGAAATTCATGGGTTTCAGCTATAAAGGGAGATCAAACAGAGAGAGAAAGAGAGAGAGAGAGAGAGAGAGACGAAAAGATGATCAAAGGGGGAAAAAGAAAGAATAAGAAACAAAGACCCCTGGACAGACTCTCGCAGCGCCACGCCCAGCACGGACGCCCAACTCGTGGTCCAAGAATTTAGAACGGGAGATCAACTGAGATTCAAAGGCCAGCAGTTTCAAATGCTTGGTGCATCCAAAGTAGCTATGCATTATCTGCCACAGCAGGTCCCGGCACTCCCCACATGGACATCCCTGTAGGTCTACTCCGTACAATGTGCGCTAAAAACCCAACGTTAGGCGACTTGGTGGCGTTGCAGTAAATTACTTTTGGCCAAGCTAACCATCTGGCTAAATAGCCACTTGCTTCCGCTGCTTTTTCACAAGTCTCCAAGAGATCCAGAGAGATCAGAGGACGGTGGGTGGCTCGCAACCCTAATTATGTCGCGTGTGTGCGACAGGATAGAGATGAGACCACGGCTCTTTTTATGATTTCCAGAGCTTCACGACCTAGAGAGCACTCTTTCCACTCTTCTTCTCTTCTTCTTTCAATTCCCTCAACTCTTGGGCAACTTTTCCTCTTTTCTCCATTCCCGACTTGCTCCTCCAACTACCATTCTGTCGCATCTTACTTCGTATGAGAACCATGACCATGGCGTCTGATCATGTCGCAAAACCTACCGACCCTGATGGGCTAATCCTCGAGGCCTGGGGCCAAGGCTTCTTGCTTGGAAGTCTGCTCATCTTGGCAGCCATAACAGTGTCCAACATGAGAGCCGGCGTTCTACTTCACAAGTTGATTCTACTGGAGGTAGGTTGACGCTCATAGCTTCATGCACCTACCTGCAGCCCGGGACATTTTTATACTGACCTAATGCAGCTAGTCTTGGCCATGGGCCACGGGACTTTCATATTTCCTCACGAGCCTGCTTATGGTTGGTATCTCAGTGTCACGGCCATCGGTCTCAATATCAGCTGGGCCTTGCACAATGTCATCGCCTGGATGAAGAATCGCCCATTTTTGTCCCGCAAGGTCTCGCGCTTCTACATCGTCACTGTCGTCCTCTGTTTCCCGTACTGGTGTCTGGAGATTTATGCCAACTTCGCATACTTCAACAACTTCAACAAGATTTTCCTACATACTCGACCTTTGGAGCCATTATTTCGGTATGTTGAGTCCCTTAGACTTGCGGGATGATATTATCCGCTCCGACACCCCAAGCTAATTCCTCTCAATAGCGATCCGTGGTGGATATTCACCACACTCAGCCTGTTCTGGACTATCAAGCGTGAGTATAGTTTCGGTTTGTGGGAGATCATTAAGATTAGTCCTCGCTTCGGTATCATGCTCGCTGCAATGATCCTCTCCATTGCTTTCATCATCGTCGACACTTGCAGCGTTCTAAATGCGTTCAAAAGCGTCCTCCCCACCGGCATCGAGCCATTCTGGAAGGTAATCCCGAACCAAACCATATACATCCTTCGACACCTTCAAAGCTGACCAATCTCAGATTTCATCCGTGTTCAAGTGTCTATGCGATACAGTCGTGCTAGACGATTTCAAAACCGCCCTCGACCACATGCGTAGGCACTGGATGGAGAGGAAGAACCGTGATATCTTCGTATCCCCATCCATAACACCCAATCCAAGCCCTCGTGCTTACAGAGTCCGCGGTGATATCGAATCGGCAGGATCCCCCGGATGGCCCGATTTTCCTTCCGTCTATAGCCCCACCAAGCAATCCGGAAGGTTGAGATACAGGGACAACTCCGAATCCCTTGAGTCCGGCAATGGCGACGAGATCACACGGAGTCCAACTTGCCTGGCAAATTCTGAGAGGCCCAGGGGAATTCCAAGCCCGGAGTCCAGATTCGAGAACCGCCATTCCATGAGGGAAGAGATCCCGGATATCCCTTTACAGCGGATGTAGGCCTCCCCAGGACTCTCAGTTTCATCCTTCCTTTCGCCACCGCTGCCTTTGTCGCTGTCGTCGTTTTTTTTTCTCTCTCTTTTCTTATCCTTCTTGTCCTTCATCTGTTCCTCCCTCCCTCTTCTTTTGGTTTTCTTTCCCGATTTTCTTTCTCTTAAGCGAATACCATTGTACATTACGGCGTTTTCGGTGTTGGGATGGGGATCTTGTTGAAAGAAGTCCCCTTGGGTTGGTGGGCTGAGCCATTGTGCACTTTCAGGCCCTATTCGCGAGTTCATGGCTCAAATTGCCACTGGGCAGGCTTCACTTTCGAGTCTGTCGCCTTACAACGGGGAGGGAGGATGATCGGCGGCATAGCGGATGCGGAGAAATAGCTCGGAGAATTGACATTTCGGCGGCATGACGCCTAATGAATGACTGTCTGGGCCATTGCATCAGAAAAATGTGTATCGATATTTCTCCGAGCTTGAACCTGTCTAACCGTCCTTGTTTGCTCGGATACCTGAACTCATGAAGCCTAAGAGTCATGAACAAATCAAAAGGCACATTTCACCCCAAGAACCATCCCATCCCACTCTACTTGGGGGTACATTCGGAGAATTGACGTAGATCTATGGTGTCTCATGTCTTACCTTTGAAGTTTGCAACACAACCAACCGTGAGATATAAATGTTCACATTCCCTCTTGGTATCCTATCAGCCATCCAAAGTCCTCATAGTATATCTCATACAAAGATGGGCTCTCTTGAAATTCCTCAGACTCAAACAGTCGCTTTGGTCCGCAATCTCGGCGGCGAAGTCGAGTTCAAAACAGACTATCCCGTTCCAAATCCAGGCCGCAACGAAGTCCTAGCAAAAGTGCTCTACACTGGAGTCTGTCAAAGTGGTATGTCATTCTTATTCGAACCCCAAATCATTCTCACAGAATCCCAGATCTACACACCAAGTCCGGTACTGCAGCCGGACCAGATGGTAACCCCATCACGAAGATCAAGCTACCGCATGTGGGTGGACACGAGGGCATTGGCCGTATTGTCGCGCTCGGTCCGGATATTGAACATGGTGCTGGACTGAAGCTTGGTGGATTGGTTGGGATCCGGTTCTCGAGTCGCATTTGTCGACGGTGTGAGTTCTGTCTTGCTGGCACGGAACAGTACTGTCTGGCAAGCACGAATCATCTGCATCATGAGGATGGGAGTTTCCAACAGTATATTGCGCTGGATGCGGATTACCTGACTCTTTTGCCGGATGATGTTGATCCGAAGGTCATGGGACCGGTGCTTTGTGCAGGACTGACGGCTTATAAGGTGAGTTGACTTATGATGCAAACGATGTGCTGGCTTTTTTGAACTGATGATATCTCAGGCTGTACTGAATACAAACATTCGCCCTGGGTGCTGGTTGGTGGTTGTTGGGGCCGGTGGTGGTCTTGGACATCTCGCTGGTATGTTATGTCTGCTACTATTTCTCTTTGGTATACTGACAACACAAAGTGCAGTATGCAAGAGCTCAAGGAGCTTTGGTAATTGGTGTTGACACGGGCGTGGGTAAGGGCGATTTTGTGAAAGGTCTGGGTGCCCAGGAGTACATTGATTTTGCTGTTGAGGATCCGGTCCAAAGAGTCCAAGAAATCACTGGATTGGGTGCACATGCCGCAGTTGTTACAGCAGGCAATGCGAAACCCTTTGCTCACGCCTGCGACATGCTGCGAGTCGGTGGCACTTTAAGTTGTGTTGGAATTCCCCCTGGCAGGCCCTGTCTCGAGACCCCTATCTGCACAATTGTGATCAAGGGTCTCCGAATTACAGGCAATTTGGTTGGGTCGTTGAAGGAATGCATGGAAGCCGTCAATCTAGTGCGACGCGGGGTGGTGAACCCTGCCATCCAGGTGAGACCATTCAAAGATCTGCCGCAGGTATACCAGGAGATGGAGAAGGGAGATATTGCTGGTCGGATTGTTCTTCGGGTAACGGAATAGTGGATGGTCAAGTTTTCATAGTGCTTGATCTCAGTATATCTGTTGGCCTGATTCTACCAACCAATTGAAATCGGCTAAAGATTCATCGTGCTTCCGCGGGTCTTCAGATGTAGATTCCAAGACATCGATCGGCACAGATTCACATTCATGTAGGCCTAGATTGAAGCTGATTTCTCCCACTGACAACAGCCTCGCTGGAGCGGTGATGAGAGCTTCTGCAGTCTTTGATCGAAGAATCGACTTCAATGTGTGATCTTGGTCGAGGAAAGGGACAATCTTCTGATAAAGGCCATGCAAAAAGTCCTGGGGTCCTAGTTCAAGCCGTGAGCAGGACCCCGCAGGACTCAAGAGGACAGTATCCGCGAGTGAATTCGCAACCTCAAAACACTTCAACAACTAGGGGCGGTCAGATCTAGTATTCTCCAAACGTGGTCTCACTAACCTGATCTCGTCCCAGTGGAAGCAAGTCCGTCTCACAAAACCATCTTAAAGCCTGCAGTAAGTCACGACCAACCTGCACAGGAAAGCCAAATGTCAAAACTGTTTCATATGCGGCAGAAGACAATAAGCCCATTGAGAGCGCATGCTGCCATAGGATTGTTCTCATCCACTGCCGCGTGATATGGTAATCGGCGGTTCTGGCAGAGACGAGATCCGCCATGCAGAAAGACAAAGAAGACAATTTATTTTCTGTATCAGTCAAATCGACCGTAGTGGCTCCTGTGGGTGATTTGCGACGCACTGCGATGCGGTCAAATGCGACAAAAAGCTTGGCTAGCTCCAGCAGCCCTTGAGCTTCAACGTCGGCATCATTGTCCATCTCTGGGTCCGTGATCGAGAGCGGCTCGTTATATGAAGGCGAGAGGCCCAAGTGTAAGGCATACCCTCTACGAAGAGTTATCCACCGGTCCTACAGATCGTGGCGTCGCAACTTACCTCTCCGATACCCAAAGTAATGGGAAGACCAAGGCCGTGTTTGAGAATACCTCATCCTGCTTCTGAGAACCCACTTCGTCTAGTCGCAAGACCCGGGCTCCAGCAATAGCTTCTTGAATATACATCATTGCCGAGTTCCGTTGGTTGGCCTTTGCATGATGAACATGTAAAAAGAACGAAACCATGATGCTCCGAAGATCAATGTGTTCTCCATGGTCGTGGAATTTATTGCGCCTTCGCAGACATGCCTGCACCAATGCTGTACTGTCCACGGTACCGAATTCGGTAACCTGGGGTTCGACATGCAACTGGGCCATTGTTGCCGCGCAGAGGGCAGTGGCTAGACAAACAATGTTCTGGGCATGGTGATCATCTTGGTCCGCTTCTATGTCTTTGATTTTGGATAGAAGTACTTCTGCGTTAATGACAGGCCAGATACTGTATGAGTACCTCTGATACAGCCGAACGATCGATTCAAGAACGGCGGTCGGAATGCGCTGAGTGCTGGAAGCTTCTGTGGGCTGAGAGAGTGAGATAGTCCTCTCGGCCTTTGCGATCGACTCAGATGCCTGGTCACGATGTTCATCACTCACTCGCAGTGTTGGTTGGTCGGCGTCTTCTCGGCATGTTCGCCGAGACTTCGGGCCCCGCCTGCGCGCGGGTCTCAAGTACGTACATTGCACCTTTTTCACTGCCCCGTGGCAAGTATCGCACGGCCAAGAGCCGTTGCATTTGACCTTGCGGGATATACAGATATCACAAGCTCGTTTAGGGGGCATTTGTTCAGAGTAGTGGGGGAATCACAAAGTGGCATGCACTGTCAATGCGGAGATGTCGGCCCTGCAGAGTCTCGGTGATCCACCGATCAAAGTATGCTGCCATTCGGTTTCACTCGGCTTCCAAGCTACTGAGCGCCTTTGAAGACAGTATATTCTCTATTGCCATCACATAGAAGTTTTTGAGAGTGTTCAGAGACCTAGGTACAGTCGACGTCAGCGGGTGATGGAAGGGAAGGTCCACCCTCTTGTAGAGACTCCACTCCCGAAGCCCGAGTACTATATATGAACTCTCCCCCACTCCCAATTGCCCCCCCCCCCCCATTTCTGCTCATTTAACTCACATCATGTCTCTCTCCGCACCTAGCACAGACGTATGTCCCCATAACCCACACAATATCCAGTGTTTAACTCTCTCCAGCCCGCCGTCCTCGCCGCGCAAGAAATCAGCGCTGAGCAGACCTTCCGCACCTTCACAACCAGCACCGCCTGGACCCTCGGTAATGCCCTGCGAGAGCGAATCCTGTCTCTCCCCGATGGACAACGCAAGCCCGCTCTGATCTCCATTGCTCTCGCAACCGCAACATCCGGCGGCCTTCCCCCGCACGTGGTATTCCAGTCCGCAACGGAGAGTGGCACCATTCCGGATAACGAGAACTGGGTGCGCCGCAAGCGGAACACCGTGCTCCGGTGGGGGTTGTCTAGCTGGGCGATGAGACAGAAGACCGTGGGCGGATTAACGGCTGGGGCTTCGGCGGATCAAATCGAGGCTGCTTTTGTTAACAAGTACGCTGTTGCCAGTGCGAATGGCGGCGCCGTTGCTGATGAATATGCCATCCATGGTGGTGGGTACCCGGTTCGTGTGGCTGGTGTCGAGGGCATTGTTGCTGTTGTGGTTGTTAGTGGGTTGAAGCAGGAGGATGATCATCAGGTGGTCGCCGAGACGATCAAGGAGGTCATTGCCAAGCAGAACTAAACCCGATTACGGAGTATAGATTAGACGGGTAGCCACTGGAATATAGACAAAGATTGACCATTGATTAAATGCAAAAGCAAAAGCCAGGGCTTGGATGTATCACATCTGCCCAGTCTACCCAGGGAACCTGGAAAAGTCATTGTGAGAGCTAGCCCTGGAGGATACGGCGTACTGATCTACTGAGATGGGACAATTGCAAGGTATCATTGTATTGTATTCTTGGTATGAACAACCAGGCCTAAAGTTAAAGAAACAGGAACGAAGCCAAGTTTGGATTCAAGACAAGTGACTCGAGCAAGGGAAAAAAGTGGAACTCCATGAATAATGCCTCAAAAGTAATTTTACAATTCGTCGTGGTCAAGGGGCTCGTCATCATCCTCAGGAGGAGAGGCGGAGCCGTAGAGCTTGCTGGTGATGGGGTACGCGACTCCAGAGAGCTGCTCCTTCTGCTCCTCGAAGTCCTCAAGGGTAGCAGTGGCAGCGTTGTCCTCGAGCCAGTCGGAGACCTCCTTGACAGCGTCGATGATGGCCTGCTTGTCATCCTCATCAATCTGGCCACCAAGACCGTTCTCGTCGTTGACCTGGTTCTTGAGGCTGAAAGCGTAGTTCTCGAGACCGTTACGGGCCTCGATCTTGCCCTTGAGGGCCTTGTCCTCCTCAGCGTACTCCTCGGCCTCCTGGACCATACGAGCGATCTCCTCCTCAGAGAGGCGACCCTTGTCGTTGGTGATGGTGATGGACTCGGCCTTGCCAGTGCCCTTGTCGGAGGCACTGACCTTGAGAATTCCATTGGCATCGAGATCGAAAGCGACCTCAATTTGAGGAACACCACGGGGCGCGGGAGGAATGTTGGTCAGCTCGAACTTGCCGAGCATGTTGTTGTCCTTGGTCATGGTACGCTCACCCTCGAACACCTGGATCAGAACGGTGGGCTGGTTGTCGGCGGCGGTCGAGAAGATCTGCGACTTGCGGGTAGGGATAACAGTGTTGCGGGGAATGAGCTTGGTCATAACACCACCAGTGGTCTCAATACCGAGAGTGAGAGGGTTGACATCCATGAGAACAACGTCGACCATGGAGTCATCACCAGAGAGAACACCACCTTGAACGGCGGCACCGAAAGCAACAGCCTCGTCGGGGTTAATACCCTTGCTGGCCTTCTTGCCGGCGAAGAACTCCTCGAGGAGAGCCTGGACCTTAGGGATACGGGTAGAACCACCAACAAGAACGATGTCATCAACCTCGGACTTCTTGACCTTAGCGTCCTTCAGAACCTGCTCAACGGGCTTGAGAGTCTTCTTGAACAGATCGACGTTGAGCTCTTCGAACTTGGCGCGGGTAAGAGTCTCGGAGAAGTCCTCGCCGTTGTGGAAGGCCTCGATTTCGATACGGGTGGACATCTGGGAAGAGAGAGTGCGCTTGGCCTTCTCAACCTCGCGCTTGAGCTTACCCATAGCCTTGAGGTCCTTCTTGACATCGGTGTTGTTCTTCTTGTTGTACTGCTTAACGAAGTACTCCATGACACGGTGGTCGAAGTCCTCACCACCAAGGTGAGTGTCACCAGCGGTAGCCAGAACCTCGAAGACACCGTTGTCGATGGACAGAAGAGACACATCGAAGGTACCACCACCAAGATCGTAGACAATAACCTGGCGTTCATCACCGGTCTTGTCAAGACCGTAGGCGATAGCGGCGGCGGTGGGCTCGTTGACGACACGCAGAACGTTGAGACCGGCAATGGTACCGGCATCCTTGGTGGCTTGACGCTGGGCGTCGCTGAAGTAGGCGGGAACGGTAACAACGGCGTGGGTAACAGTGTTGCCGAGGTATCCCTCAGCAATATCCTTCATCTTACCAAGGATCATGGCGGAGATTTCCTCCGGGGTGAAGGTCTTGGGGGTCTGGTTGACATCGACCTTAACGTGGGGCTTGCCATCCTTCTTGACAACCTTGAAGGGGTAGTTCTTGATGTCCTTCTGGATGTCCTTGTCCTCATACTTGCGACCGATCATACGCCTGCAATTGGTTAGCGGCAAATCCTAAAAATCCAGGGGTTGAACTGCTTACTTGACGTCGAAAACGGTGCGCTCGGGGTTGGCGGCGTATTGGTTCTTGGCGGCATCACCAACGAGACGTTCGTCATCGGTGAAAGCAACGTAGGAGGGTGTGATACGGTTTCCTTGGTCGTTGACGAGAATCTCGACCTTGCCGTTTTGCATCACACCAACACAACTGCAATTGAAGTTAGCGAGCCATTTCACCTTGGCATTGCATTCGGGCCAAAACACTTACGAGTAGGTGGTTCCCAAATCAATACCAATAACGTTGCCATAGCTCTCGGGGGAGGTCTCCTCCTGAGCGTGAGCGGTGTTTCCAAAGAAGGCCAGAGGGGCAACGAGGACGAAGAGGAGGTAGAAAATGGTGGTCCAAGCGAAGGGCTTGGACGCGCCATCGCGTGCGGATACGCGAGCCATTGTGAGGTGTGTGTATATGTCGAATCAAACTGACAATGCGAAGACAAAAGACGATGGGGCTTTGTCACGCTCTATTAGAGTAAACACAAGGCGTGTTTGGCTCTAATAACCCTTCTATTAGTCGATGTACGGGAGAGGGGCCCGGGGCGGAAGTGAGTGAGAGAATGGTTGAAGAAGAATTGCAGAGAGAGACTACTTGTACGCGAACCGGGCCCAGCGGCCATGCTGGCCTCTTCCACACAGATCAGGTCACTCCTCGCCTCCTGATTGGCGGGTCTATTTTCTGCAGTGGAGCTACCACTGTGCTTCCACACCGCCCCCTAACATGGTCTAGCGGCAGGGGTGTTCCTTTCGATGTCCACCAATCAGCAGGCGCCAAATCTGTCGAACTTGCTGGAAGGGGGCCAAGTTGCGGACCGCCTGCTTCAGGACCCTTCACTCTGACTCAATATTGCAATTTTGACGATCTGGCCTGTTGCTATCTTGCGTGCTTTGGCTGCTAGTTACTCCGGGGTCATATGTACTTCTGAAATGCTCTATCTGAGCAGGTGGCTTTTTGGGGGTCCATCTATGGAATACAACGCCTCCAAACCAACACTCGGAGATCGCCCGATAGGGACACAGGGTCCTTGGATGGATCACTTCTAAGGTCTCATCCAGGTATCCAGATCTCTTACGCATAAGGGGTCTATATGCACTCCGTACTCCGTACTCAGGACACATACAGAGTAGTGCCCTGACTAGCTGGTCTATGTTTCAATAATTGCCAAAATCAAGTCCTCCGTACTAATACTCTGTACCACAACAAAGTCTATTTTTTTGCAGATCATTAATTGGAGTCCGCACAGGCCGGTCTATCCAACATATATGTATATTCCAGATCTCACAAAAGAGACTGAGTAGGTAATGATGAACACTGAAAGGTACTTAAGTAATACGGACTGAAGCTCTATATTTGTAATGCACAGCCCAGGTAGTGGCTGATTTATTCGAGCAAACCGGCAGCCACAGTAGACCCTCCCGCACGCAGCACAATTCTCGTCGGCGCTTCGAGGGGAACAGCTTGGTCCATCTCAACGACAATGCGTGCCACAGTGCCAGGTCCGACGATCTTGGGCCGCTTTTTCAGAGCCTCTCCCGTGGCTTTGTCAAGAGATGCGACGAGCTTGCTAATGCGCCCGGGGACGTGGAGACGACCCCGGTGCACGTCCACTTGCATGGGCATGAGATGCTCAAAGGCCAAGACCTTGGTGGTGAAGGTCGTGATGGTGGGGATGGGAGACGAGGGACGACAGACAACATCGCCGGAGCGGAGGTGGATCGGATCAATGTTGGCAATGTTCAGAACAACGTTCTGGCCTGCTACAGCCCAGTCACTTGGCTTGTTGTCGACTTCCATGCTGCGCACGACTGCGGTTTCGCCACTTGGCATGGTGAGGATTTGGTCGCCAACTTGCACACTACCAGCATCAAGGCGACCGGAGATGGACAACGGGTTTTGGACACCGCCGCGGAACACATCTCCAATCGTCATGCGCAATGGCTTCTCGAGTGCATGAGTGTATGGCTCGGATGTCTCCAGCTCCTCGATCAGGGTGCGGCCTGTGTACCACGATGCGTGGGAATCTTCGCTTCGCCGAGAAATGTTGTCTCCCAGGACTCCAGAGCATGGGACGAACGAAATGTTGCTTTCTTGGAAGCCTGCAGTGGTCAAGAAGGAGGAAATTTGTTGTTCAATCTCCTCGAAGCGGGCATGGTCCCACTGCACCGCATCCATCTTGTTCACAGCCACAATGATCTTCTGGACGCCCATACTGCGCACCAGCAATGCATGTTCCTTGGTTTGGCCCTTCAACCCTGACTCAAACTTGCCCACGCTGGAGTCGATAACCAGAACGGCGAAGTCTGCCTGGCTGGCACCAGCGATCATGTTTGGCACAAAATCACGGTGACCCGGTGCATCAACGATGGTGAAAGCGGTTTTGTCAGTCTCGAATTGGTTGGTGGCGATATCTATCGTGACACCGCGTTCTCTTTCCTCTGTCCCTTGATCCAGGACCCAAGCCAGCGCAAATGATCCTTTACCGATCTTATCCGCATCGCGCCGATACTTCTCTAGTGTCCGTTGGTCGATAGCACCTTGATCCGCCAACAACCGTCCCATCAGAGTACTCTTTCCAGCATCAACATGTCCTGTGTGGGATATTCAGTTCAAGCTCACCCTCGATCACTAGCTGGGGATATACTGACCAATGACCACAAAGTTGGCGGACTTCTTGCGAGTGGACTTCTTATATTCTGCGAGAACATCAAGGTTTTTGCTCTTGACCGTCACCTTATCCTCAATTGATAAATCTTTCATGCCACCAGCCACTTCAGATTGACCTTTTTTGTCACCAGTCGACTTCGATGCAGCCGCTTTCGACTTGAGCCCTACATTGCATTAGGCGGTTGCCTTTAAGCTTTCCTTCGGATCGCCAAACCTTTCGCTGTGTTCTGTGCATTGAGAACGACATCGTCGGGGCTGGGTGCTGCAAAGTCAAAAGGTTCAGCGTCATTTTGTCCATAAATCTTTAGAAGATCGGTGCCGCTTGAGTGTAGATGGCTGGGCTCGGCAATTGTGGGACCAGTTGTCCCGACAATGGTACTCGCAAATGTAGAGGGCGAGGCACGAATACTCGGCACTGACTGCTGATGCTCTAACTCTTTGGGCTCATTGGCAGTCGGAGAAACCCGCAGAGGTACATGCGGTACGGACGGTCTCTTAGCCTCAGTCGTGGACTCTTTCTGTGCTGATAGAGAGGGCGAACGCATAACTGGCTTTGTCGGACGGTTCGTGGATCCAGGGCTCTCAGAAGACTTGGGTGTCGTTGTCGGCTTACCGCTGGCTGCGAGTCTCTCACGAAGGGACCGTGTGGTGCCTCGAGGATCAGGTGATGATACCTCAGTTCGATCAGACTGAGGAGTAGGCGGTGTTGAGGCCTCTGGCGTAGCACCCTCTTTTTTCTTCCGAGCGGCAGCCAAAGCAGCCAGCTTAGAGACCTTCCCACCACCTTCGGGCGCACCTCCTAAAAGACCCAAGCGCGGGTATAGAGGTTCAACCAGGATGTCCGCCTTTCGGTGGGCGGGGACGTTGAGCCAAGGACAGTCGCGAAAGAAGTCAGCGGCCGAGAAGTGTGCTGCCGTGGATGGTGGAGCAGGGTATGCTGGTACTGGAATGCCTGTTAGAACATTGTTCAAACTTTCAAATGCCGTTAGTTTCTAGTCTCGCGAGGTATCAGAGGGGACGCTTTCCACGGGGCCAGGCAGTTACACACCTTTCATTTCGAGAACCGCCATTGCGAACAACTCATACACTTGGTCCCAAGCCCAGCCATAACACTTCAAAATAAGAACAAGGTTTCAAATAACACGTCTTACCTGCTTGTGTCTTCGGCTTTTGCTTCACAGCCTCCTTCTCTTTCTTGCCTAACAATCTTCATGTTGGTAATCCATTCTTCTATGGGTGACCAATGCGCAAAGCACACAGACTGCACATACCTCTCAAATAGTTGACCGATTTCTCGATATCATTGTAATAATGCCACAAAGCCTCTTGGACTTCTTCTTTCGTAGCAGTCACCGGGGATTGCCCCGCACCAAGCTGTTGCAAAACAGCTGTGGTACACTGTTGCAGGAACTCCTGTTCTTCGGGGTCAGGTGACGCATACCCATCGTCGGAATAATAATCGTCGTCGTCGTAGCCAACATCCTTGACACGGTGTCGAGACATTATAGCGTTGGCGCAAATGCGAGTGCTTTGTCTAACGTAAACCGGAGGGGCGCTGGAGATTGGGCGAGCTCGTTTCTCTATAGGCGGGTGGAAATTCTAGACACAGTGAGACAATGGTTATCTGTCTTAGTTTCGTAGAGCTTGGAGATGTTCCATTGACGTTAAAACGGGAAGGACATGAGATGAAAGTGGGATTGTTGTGGCATATGGGCATCACTAGCGGCCATCGGTTCATTTATCCGCATCTTGACATACCGCCTCTGAGACCGCCCTAGGGAAAGGCACCAGTAACCAAAGCCAATTGGGGGCGCAATCTGCCGGCAGAAGGCAAAAACCCCATGGCCACTAAAAGAAACCTCCTGATCAAGAAACCCACACGTCATACCCCACTCCAAATTGGGATTCCAAGAAAGGCTTCACCAGGACGGAGTAGGGGCATCTACGATACTACGATCTGGAGAATACGAGGATCATTTAGCTGTGTATACAAGTTAATTCCAAGGCTAACTCTAAAGCTGTGCCCAAAATGAAAGGGTCTTGTTCCAAAAAGAACCAAAAAAGTCAACTGGATGATGCTTAAGGATATCATCTATCTAAGGGGACTCCCCCCAAAGAAGTCACTGGCACCGGGCCCGGAGAAGCTGCCATTGCTCGGAGTCAGAGCGATAGAGCGCCGGAAAGCCTGACGCGGGGTAGTAGGGGCACTGGGCGGCCCAGAGTTGGGTACCGCTGAGGTGGCAGAGACAGGGACCACGGGGCGGGTGTCGGGGGTGCTAGGAGTATTGCGACCACTGTCATTCTGCATAGTGACGGCGGTGCCAGGTCTGGAAAGGACTGCAGCTGTGCCGCCATTCTTAGGGGGTGGGCGGAAACCCAGTTTCGAACCTTCGCGGAAGATCTCTTCGAGCATCTGTGCGACGATGCCGGCGTCTTCGTATTCCTGGAATTTTTTCCAGAGACGTAGGGCCATGCGAGCATCTTCAATGGAGTCATGACCCTGGAGTGTGTCGGGTGTGGGGTCTTCTTGAATGAACTCCTTGAAAACTGCCCAGGCAAGGTACCTTAAACTCAGGCGGCGGTTCTTCCCTGGATGGAAGAAGAGATATTGCGTGTCCACAGTTTGGGCCTTTGGCACTTGGATGTTGATTTTGCGGAAATCGGACGCCAAGCCATGACCGACAAATACACAGCCAAGATTTAGAAGTAGCCATAATTTCTTGTAGGCTGCCTTTAGCGGAACGAGATTGTGTTCGCTGGTTCGCGGATCCAGGTCGCCAGGCTTGATGCCGGAATATTGGGTTACATAGTCCACGATTGGCTCGCGGATAGTAATGTAATCATCAATGAAAGGAACTCCCTCTCGAACACCTAATCCCCGTAGCACGGAAACACGGGCTAAGCCACTCTTGTTAGGGCGAACCATCTCTTGCGAGCCGTCAGCCTTGACGTCAATTTCGGCCTTTTCGAGGTCGACAAATTCGGTATCGAGGGCAACCGGGGTCCCGGGCTGTGGCTGTTCTTCCTCAGTCAGGTTCTGGCAAGAATCAACCTGGCGGCCACCGTTCAGGGACCACTCGCGGAACAGCAGAGTTTTGTCGAGATGCCTCTTCCATGAGTCATCGACAACATGTCGGGGGTCTCTCACTTGGAAAGCTAGAACGCAAGGCTGCTTCCATGGCTGAGTAAACCGAAGTGCTTCATCTCTATCAAGCTCGGTGACCAAGAAGTCATTGAACAAGTGCCATTTGCTTTGCGTTTGGCCCTCACGTCCAGAAAGAGAGACATTGACGAAAGAAACCAAATGCGGCTTTTGGTGTTCTGGAATGTCAATCTCCGCAACCAAACCCACTAAATCATAGATCACGAGTCCGGGCGTTTGGTTTTGGATTCGGAGCTGCAGCTCATCGCCTTCGAAGCATAACACCTGTCCACCCGAGTCGACTATGATACCAACAGCATCGGGGAGCCAGCCGGGGACTGCCCATAACCGGCGGCACAACGGATTAGTGAGCGCGGCGTTGAGAACAAGAATCAATGGCATCCGGTGGATAGTTTTGCGAATCGTCACTTGTTGGTAGCGACGGCAGTAGTTGCACCAACCGCGATTTTGTGTTTCTCGTTCGATACTCGCGCGGAGGATGTTGGAGAATCGGAAGAGGGGGTTGCGCCGCGCATGTTTGATGTCGATGTTCGGATAGATGAGCTCATTGGCGAGGGAATTACCAGGTCGCACAATCTCATTTTGGCAATACATGCACCGAATGGATTCGGATGCTATGGTGGCAAGGCGTTGGTCAAGATCTTCCGAGCTCGGTTGGGTCATGCGGAAGTCATGAGCAATCTGGGTCAAGAAGAAACGATTGACGGCCTGAATAGCAGTCGAGAGGGATTTGTTGGTGAGGTTTTCTTCCAAGAGCCCCAGATTAGAGGCTTCTCGGAAACTGCTGAACGTCTTGAGAAGGTTCGTGGCTTGACAATTTTGACCACTTGCTTTCTCAAGCATATCAAATAGGTAGCCAAGTTCACAAAGAAGACAGTGCTCAAAGATGCATGATCCGGCTGCATGGTTCAGCGCAAGATTTCGGAACAAAGGGATGGATTTGAGGAGTTGAAGGAGGGAATTGATGAAGGAATTAGCAATGTGAGTCTCGAGGCCAGAGAATGAGGTCTTGTTGTAGAAGCTGCAGAATGTAAGCGACATCTAAAAACGTTGGACACAGGAAGAAGGAACCCATACCGGAAATCAAAATCATCAACGCCAAATCGGCTGTATTTGATTTCAACGTTGCTATATTTCAAGAGCGGGTCGTCGTCGCTCTCTCCGTTGATTTTGGCGCCTGCAAGTGCTTCTGCAGTGTCGCCAACCAAGCCGTCCGATTTGCTGTATTCTCGAGCCTTCTCGCTCAGGAACTTTGGGGCAATGAGTGCTGGCTCCGCCGTGGTCATAGCACGGGTGTTTTCCGCTTGGTACCGACGAGTCTTGCGTGGGTTCGGAGCGTGATGGCCCATTTCTGCAGGACGTAGATATGGCAAGAGAGATTGATCTAACGGAGCAGGCGGATCGCCAACTTCGAAGACCAAGTGGCTTGGCCATGCTGAATAAAGACGTTCGTGGTAGTATGGCATGCCAGCCATGCTCAGTGGGGTTTCAGGTGACCAATCTACCTGGGCAGGTCGTGTGGGGACATCTGCAAACTCCGCCTCTTTGCTCATTTCATTGAAATGAACCTTCGCTGGCGAGCCCCACAGATGTATGGAGGCTTCGGCATCGTTAATGGCCAAGGCTTCTCCCGAAGGTGATAAGTCAATACCGAGCATCAATGTGACATTTGCTTGCCTCAGGTTCACAGAGTTGGGGTTCATCAGGTCTATGACTTGAAGCTGGCCTGTTTGTGACGCCACGAAACTCGTCGTGTGAAGTTTGGGGTGCATGCGTACATATGCTGCCCCTGCATGGAATGGAATCGGAGGTAATGGGGTCAGAGTCTTCAAATCATACACATTGGCTAGCGGGTCCACGATTGGTGCCCCAAGGTGGCGGGCAGAAAAGCCGCAGGTGACGAGCAAATCGTTTCGCGCATCCATGTCGTTTACAGCTGTTCCGTGGGCTTTCCATGATTTGACAACACTAAAGTCTCCCAGGCTAAGTGCGTTGACTGAGCCCGTGTCTGTTGCGGCGCAGAGATACCGACTCTTCTTCATCATTGTGTAATTGTACTCTGTCGGCAGCTTGTCGACAATCGTACCTTTGTCGATGTCCACCGTGAACATGACTCGTTGGCATCCTGCGACTATGATTCGATTTGTCTGGGCTGTAAAGCTCATACAGCGTAGATCGACCATTTCATCATGCGTAAGATGCCACTGCGTCAACCCTCTCCGCGATATCATGTGTACACTCTTGGAAGACAACGAAATCACGCCTCGCTCGTGAAAGATGATCTGTCGTACTGAGCCCTCTGATGGTGGATGTGCTCGCACAGAGGTATAGCGCTGTAGCTCTGGTCCGTAAAATGAAGATAACCTGCCCTGGAGAGAAACAAACACACCGGTCAATATCCCGCTGTCATGACATCCGAGTAGGGACTCACATATTCATTGCCTGTCCAAAGAAGTTCCATCATATCATCAAATGCAATCGCCGTGGCCACAGTCGGTAGGCCATGCGCCGTCGGTGGTGGCACCGGGATACGCGACAGCTCATCCCAGTCGGCCTCCATGTTTGCGGTGGCCGCTTCGGCCCGGCTTCAACCCCGTGCTTTGGTATTATATATGCTTGTTGTTCGGTATCGCGAGATCAATGCTAGAATCGTTGGCTTTACCCACGTGGGAACACGGCGAGTGTGGGCATAGTTTGGCGCGAGGGACGCGATTGCGGGGAAGCTGTCCGGTCAGATTGGCGATCGATAGGGGAAGAGGACAGGGGAACAACGTCCAAAATTCCAACAGGGAGTGGATTTCAAATCCAATGCTTGACTGAAGCTGCCCACGACTGAAGAAGGAACGGTCGGGACATCAAGGGCTTCATGGTTTCCGGCGAGGGACGGTGAAGTTGTTGGTATCGTCACGTGATCGAAACCCAAGATCGTGTCAGGAACCCGAGAGACCTTCATTCTATACATGAAATATCCGTATAACATTGGAAGAAAAAAATGGAAGACTTAAATCCTCTGTTCCTGTGTTGAAAAGGGAAAGAAGATGGCAAGAGGCGAAGAAAACACATTGAGGGTGTTCCCTGTCTCGTTTCTACCTGTAGACAAACACACAAAAGGAGATGTTGCCATTTTCAAGATAAGCCTTTGAACCTCCAGGGCTATCTGTCTAGAATGATAATTATAGTTGGTTGTGCACTCATTTCAAGGTATCTCTATGGTGTTCTGAACCATGAAATGCTCCAATGGGCTTTCGGTACTTGTTTTGTGACTGTAGCCCACCTGTTATATATTCCAGCGGGGAGTATTATTCCACTGCACCGACTTCCGAGCGCTTCTAGAGGTCCACCAGAGCAAACACTGGAGGTTGTTGATTTTCGCCAGAAGGGTTTCCTGACTTCAGGAAGACCTAGGCACCATCTGCACTACCCATTTTTGGAGGACAATGCCGGGAGTGGCATCCCTAAGGCTCCAAAGTTGGTTGAGGCATGAGACATAATAGAAGAAATATTACAGCCAAAGCAATTAAGTATCAGTTTACCTGTAGACACATGCCCAAACACGCCAGTGGATCCCTCATGGCGCACCGATAACTTTCTCAATCTCCAACCAATCAATATAGTCTACCCCTGTCAGAGGTAATGTTGGATGATTGAAACTTGAATAGATTCCTTCTGCCTCACCAGAAAGATCCAAATCCCATTCTCCTTGCATATCAAACATCGCATCTGGGATATTGATGTCGGCCAAGGGCTCGAGCAATCTCGCCTCATCTCGATGAACACCCCAACCGGCGTGTAAAGCCGTGTTGGAAGGAGGCTCTGATGACAATAAGAATGGATCCTGTGAGTCTTTTTGTGGTAGATCTTTCTGATGTTGGTCTCGCAATACGGAATCTGTTGGCAAAGAATCGCTCATCAAGACATTTTCTGGCCAGACATGTGAACATGATTGTGTGATATCGTGCAAGCGACGCTCAGCAGCCAGGTTACCTGCCTGGGATAGGAACTGGAGCACTTCAAACGCTTGATACAGTGCTGGGGGTGGTTGGGCTTGGGATTTGTCCGAAAAGCCCACCATTACCAAGACAAATGCTGCGGAGAACGTTGCGTCTAAATCAAAAAATCCATACCGAGCTTCAATGTATTGTGTTAGCTCCGTTAAGCACGCCAAGTCGAAACACCGGGGGGCCGAGAATGGCGGAATCTCTTGAGATAGAACACTCACGGATTGTTTGTTGTCGTCGAAGTACTGCGAGGATGGCAAGACTTCTGGTAGCTGCCTCGTTGCAAGTATCGCATAGACGGTTGAGTACTTCTGGAATCTGGTCCAGAGGTTGTGGCTCTTTATTTTCAGCTACCAATCGAGCCCTCTGCAAGAGGATTGGTCGTGTACAAAGAATGATAGCCTTTTCCGAAGTGAGCTACAAGTAGCCACAAGTGTTGGTTCAAGGACTAAACTTACCTGAAACAGCATCAAGTACAGCGATGCACCTGTGCGAGTAGCCCACTGTAGTGGTTTCCCGAAATCCAAAACCAAAGGCGTGGGGAATGATCTTGCGGTGTCGTGTAACTCTTGCAGACTGTGCTTGATTTTGTGAACCAGCTCCAATTGAGTGATTGACTTGTTTCCATACAGAGCTTGACAGATATTTGAGTACATTGTCTTCCAGCGGGGAAATCAGAATAACTCACTTGACATGATGTCGTCTGTAACGCGTGCAATACGGACATTGATTGTAAGAGCAACGGGCGACTGATACCCTGCCGCTTGTCGCGGGAGTTCGATACAAAGTTGTCGCTCATCTGCCCCTGCAGCTAGCCCAAGTCCTGTAGACAGTCGTCTATAACATGTCAGTTCCCACACTGAGCCGTATGTGCCAGAGAAATTGATACCTGTCGAGCATATATACCGTCCACCAAAGCCGTAGTCGGTGGGCACTTTGAGAGGGAAGGCAGCTCTGCTCAGTTTCACGCAAATTGCATCTCAGGGCAATGGCCAGCCGCAGAGCAACTCCTATCTGTCTCGTGTCAGCATAATTTAGTTCGGCTCGTGGGCTTTGACGTGACCTACATAAAGATAAGCATCGTGTTTGTGGTCGGACCATTGCAGATATGTAGTGATGAGGGTAAGTATTTCGACCATGATGACACTCTCTCCGCCCATTTGATGCAGGGGAGGCAATCGTTTCAATGCCTCAGCGAACAGATCTGACCCTGGCGGCTGAGACGTTGGATGTCGAACATTGATCAGCTTTGCCATTGCCATCACTAAGAGATATTCAGTGAACCAAGGGGAGCGCATCTGCTTCTTCCTGCTCTCCGAGTTTTGAAACAGCAACATAAGTTCATCCGAAAATGACCTAGGGTCGAAGAAATGTTGGCTTACGCCAAGGTAGAACAGGAAAAGCTCAAGTAGGTGCTGGGACTCTTCCAACGACGGGAAAGTAACATCGGAATTTTCGCCAACCAGCTCTCGCACTGAGGTCCATTCGGGAATCTGCTCAGAGAGATCTTGAGGAGTTGAATCTGGACCATAGAATGTCTCATTGGGGTGCGACCTGTGAAGTAGAGATCTAACTTGAGACTCGAATGCAGGACCAGAGGTTAAGTCCGTTGCTGAATGCAGAGTAAGCACATGATCGCGACTGGAAATAGAAAACCAGAGGAGATTTGGAGAGGCGATATACCGGGGCTTATTGCAGCATCATTGCCGGCATATGATATGCCGTCTGGCAACAATTGATGGGCCTCTTTATTTGCGGCCGTCGCAGATGGACGCGTCGACGAAGGAGAAGCCGGCGTATCAAATCCTGCAGCCGGAGAGTTCAATACCGTTGAAGAGCCTCCCGAGACCTGGGGGTTTGACTGCTCCTCATAGATTCGAATTTTATCCAAAAGATGCTTCACTTGACTAGATATAAATCAGCAAGCCTGGCCCGAGCCTTCAGGACACATTGACCGACGCTTCTGAGTATCTTCTGCGACCTGAATGTCCGAAAGTACACTCCCAATTGTGCTTTATACAGGCGCGACAAGGCTTATCTCCGGAGCACTTCACTTTGCGCCTCCGGCATGTCTCGCATCTGCGCGGTTGTTATCAATGTCACGCAAATCGCCAATATCTTGAATACTTACGCATTGGTAGATCGAGGATTTGAACCTGCCATGCTGTATTCGAGCTTTACACAGCTATTCCCATTCATCGGAGTCAAAGGCAAACGTTGACGGCATCGCTCGGGCGATGATCCGAGGTGCGGGGCCTACGGCTTGGACACCCGAGGGCCCGCAATTGCCGAACAGCAACAGCAAATAATCCTCGCGGGCCTCGGGAATTAGGCCATAAAGGGGCAAAAAATACGAGAATAGGGAAAAAAAGACGTTAGCAAATCTATGTAGTGACTTTATCATCTTCACCGGCGAAAAATAACAGCACCGCCTCTGCGGTTACCTTCGAATCATCCTCGTCCTCTCTGTCCGGCCTCACTGAGCGCCGGATTCGTTCCAAATGGGTGTCCAGTACTTCCTGGGACCAGCCAAACTGACCGGCAAACTTGTAGCATAGCTCGGCAGTAGCAAACGCGTCAAATTCGAAATGCCCTTGCAAAGTTAGGACGCGACCAGGCTGATAGAGACCTTGAATTGGACACTTCAAGCTGCTTCCCACGCTCAACCATGACCCGGGCAACATGTCGCCTGTAGATTCTTCGGGTACGGGAGCATCGGGAGAAGATATCACGGAATCACCGTGGATAAGTTGAATATTGAAAGGTTCCTGGGCGAAACGGGCCAGAGGGGGAAAGTGCGAGACAAACGAAGGGTTCAAGGTGATTGGAAACATGCCAATTTCGTGACCTTGAGATGCAGCTTCAACGGAGATTTTGAAAGAAGACGTTTCGGACGTGTAGCTTATGTCGCTTGCAAGGAGCACTTCGCCTATAAGCTGGTGGCCAAAGCACGATCCGAATATTTTGACCAGAGGATAATCGGAGTACACTCTTTGAATGAAAGAACGCAATCCTGGGATCCAATGAAGCTTATCATAGACTGCTGCAGTCGCACCAGTGACCAAAATTGCATCAATGGGGCCATGGGACCCGGGGGTGTGCCTCTCCACGGCGGACCAAGGGCTAGCTCGTAGCGTTGCGGCATGCGGGTATGAATTTCCAACGATATCGAATGCAGTTACATGCACACTGAGAAGGCCTCTTGGCAACTCAGATCCCGTCGCGTTGATTCGACCTGCGGCGGCATTGAGAAGGGAGTTGAATTGGGAGCTATACAGTCCTCGTTTGGCATAGACATGATAGCATGGAATGTCTGTGTCTAGGACAGCAATGTGTATCTCCCGAGAACTCATTTTTGAGCGAGTCGAATTGGAGGGGCCAAGTGTCAAATTCAGTCTTGCTGGGTTGAGGGGCCCAAACTGGTGTTTGTCAATGCGTCGGATGTTACCCGACGCCAGTCGGCATGGGCTGCCGATTACCAAGGAGCACAGCGACCGATGCCTGCAGTTATACCCTCCTTGTGCTGTTAGCAAGTAAAAATGAGTTTTGCTCACATAATTCCATTCTCAGTGGCCTCACGCTTCCTCCCGATTCTCTAAAAAAAAGCCGAAAAAGCTCGTGGAAAGCGGCGTTGGTTTGGATGGTTGTTTGAGGAATGTCTAGATATTGGCATCTTCATTAATGTCTCAACAGAAGAAAAAAAAACTGAATTCGACAATATCTTTTTTCATGTATGCTGTGAAGGGAATCGATGCAGACGCCCGGGCGGGACATAGTAAAGTAAATCCCATCACACTTGGAGCCCATGCTAGCCGAAATCTACACCGTCAAACTGCGCCTTCAGGACCCTGATGATAAAAATTTCAACCCGGCATAATTCAGAGTGTATCTTGGAATTCAAAAGTTCCTAGTTAAACTAGGCTAACATGGTGGACTGTGTAATTTAGCCCACCCAACTTTAGAATTATTACATCCACGACAAACGTGTTCAACACGATATGCAATTCTTGGATGTATAGATCGAGGATATGACACCCTCCTCAACACTAAAAATAGGTCAAAAAGAGCACAGATATATGCCATAAACCATAGACTCATTCAGCAGTCTGAGCCTTCAAGAAGCAACAGGGCAACACAGCAGGGACTCCTCTGAGACAACACACGTACATGTAATGGAGATCATCCTTAGCCACCCAAGGCGTAAGTAACTCCTGCTGTGGACGCGGCTTTGGAATTAGCCATTCTTCTGCGGCTGTTATCTTCGTCCATATAGTCGTTTAACTTCCGTTCGTATTTGGCATAGGCCTTCTGGTACTTCTCCTCGGTTTTGAAATTCTCTCGTACCGGCGGCAGCGGCTTTATCCCGTCAAAGAAACCAAAGCACATGTTCATTGAAAAAGGGTTGAGTAAAGCTTGTATTGGTGGGTTTTGCTTTTGGATAGATATAGACATAGGAGGATGAAGGAATGGTAATGTTTGTCTGTCTTGGAATCACAGCGGAGCATTTAATTTAGTTATATGGACGTAATGAACACATGCTGTCTTTGCCCGGGGCTTGGCTTCGTCATAGGGGGCCAGAAGGGTGGCTTTGATACTCTGGGGCCAATCTGTGACCACCAACCACTACGGCCCCCCGTAGGCAGGTGATCGTTCAGCCTTGCAAGAGGATGTTCTATGGCCGTAGTGGGTCGATGAGATGTACTAAGAATTCGATTAGACATGGCGTCCCCAGAGAAACGAATCATGCGTCATGTGCTGCATCCAAGATAATTAGATGTAGGCGAGGGGAGAGTGGCGAACCAGACTGGGAAGAAATTGTCGATAATCAGAATGGAAGAGTAATACATAGAGCAGATCTGAGCCAATAGAGAAAGAAGCTCATTAAAGGATCATGTTTAGTAGGTACGAGTACCGTGGTACACGGTTGGATTTCAACCTGCCATGTCCCAAAGGTCTCTTCTGGCCTCTGTAATTCAATGTCAAGTATTGAGTGATCTGAAGATTCATGGGAAGCAGCACATTGTTATTATTCCACTATTTACTTTTCCAAGATCAGGTATCCTTGTTGTTCAGTCATTTCGCCTGAGTTTGGTCTGTATTAGATACTCAAAAACTCCGGACTTTAACCCCGGTAGCTCAAACAGAAGAGTTCTCTCGCACCAGCCAAAGGCGAAAACAAAACGGGTGTTAATAGTGGCTATTGAAAGGAATTGTAGGAAGCAGCGCTTCCAATGGTACAAAGGCTTGCGGTCTAGATAACTACCTTCATCCTCCTCCTCCTCCTCCTCCTCTTCTCCTCTTCCGAAGCTATAACTTCTGCTCTGACAATGATCATTTCAGACAACCCCCCTGAATCCTGAGTAGCACTGATACTCTACATGGCTCAGACATGATGTGTAATATCTATATTTATTCTCCTCGTATGGACTATTCCATCAAAATACGATCAATTATGCCATGTTGAAGCATAGCGTTGATAATTAAGTAGTGTTCATGGTTTGTACTGCCTGGCATCTTGCGCAACCTCAAATCTAGTGGGAGATTTCCTCCTTCATTTCCTTTGTGGCTATATAAGCTGCTCCGTAGATGTTTGGTTCTTCCTTCTGAAAATCATTGTTCTTACTTTTGCAAAGCAGTAGTCATCCATCTCTTAAATCTATCCATTGTCTTATTTCTCTTGATCCTTCTACTTTGAGCGTGACTACTTGAAGCGTCCACTCACAACCATCATGGCCTCTAGCTCATCTGTAAAGTCACTGTCAGATGGTGTTCCGGAGTCTCTTGTTGGTAAATTCACTGGACTCACAATCGCCGTTGCTGGAAAGTTCCCTTCAGGAATCACACATGGTAACGTCTACTTCGTTTCTCTCCCTTTTCCCTGTTCACTGGAATCAAAACCTTAGGAACCCATGCTAAATGTACTTATTCTTGATGATGGTTCCAGGTGATCTAAAGCGACTAGTGACTGCCCTCGGGGGGACCTTCGAGACACAGGATGTTGCTCGGTGCACACACCTCATCACTGCATCCACAAAGCTCAAAACTATCAAAGGTTTGAAAACACCCCATTAAAGTCCTAGGGGCTAATTGCAAAATATGGTATCAGTTTCATCGGCTCGCAAGCACGAAAACTGCCTGCTTGTATCTTACGATTGGTTGTGCAAAGCCATATTGACGGACGACATCAAGGAACTGTTGGATCAAATCTCTGGCCTCAAGATTTCGGATACACCACTGGGTGTCAAGCGCAAACACGACCAAGATCTCGATCAAGACAACGGGGACAAGGAAAGAAAAACAGCCAAAGACTACGATAGAAACGTTCCAGTGGAGGTCCTTGAAAGTAGCACCGTAAAACCACCTGTGCTCACTCAGCTCAGTGGATCGATTGAGCTTTTACTGCGTCTCCTCACTCGACCAGGTTATGAGCGCGTCATCCAAGGTTATGTTAATCATCAAGCAAAGAGCCAAAACCCGGGGTCCACCAGTGCCTTGCAGTTCTTTCAAACCTTGATGAGAGAAACCCCCACCGCCGATAGATTGAGCGAGGGGCTTTCGAGGCTTCAATTAAAAGAGATCACAGCTTGTACGGTCACCTTATTTTTTCTTTTCAAATCACCATTGACTGAAATCTAACCATTTACGTTGCATCCAGTGAAGAAAGACTCTGACGAGTTCAAGATCCTAGCAGAGTACTGCAGCAAGACTGCTCTTGGGGCAATTGGATATCCTCCCCCCAGCTTTGATGTAAACCTAATTCTTCGAGTACGGCCTACGAAAATCTGATGGTTGTTTATTTTTAGGTGTTCAACATTATGCGCATCGAACGCTCTGGTGAGAGCGAAAGGTTCCTCGAGTGGAGCAAAAAGCACAGTTCTACAATCGGCGACAGGCGACTCCTTTGGCATGGCTCGTATCTTCCAAACTTTATTGGAATTCTCAGCCAGGGCCTTTGTGACAACGCTCCTGGTATAGGTGGAAGATGCAAAGGTGTTTATCTTGCAGAACGGTCCAGCCTTTCAATGTCTTTCTGCAGGGTCGCTGCCAAAGGCGATGATGCTCTGATGCTGCTCTGTGAGGTTGAATGTGGAATAGGCATGGTGGGTGTCGAGCTCCCAAAATTATGTGTTTGAAATTTTTCAATTGCAGACGCTAATCATTTCCAAGCGCAATCTGTCACAACGTATTATTTCCGGGCATAGCGAATGGCGTGATGCCAGCTGTGTCCACCCAAACCTGAAGGGAGCCACGCTGGCGGATGTCAACAAGACCAAAGGAATTACACATGTTGAGTACGTTGTTCCTAACAAGGAACAGATACGCCAGCGGTATCTGTTTCATTTGAAATTCTAGGTAGACTCGCCTCTGCCCTGTGGCCACTCACCCGAGAGCGTGTGTGAAAGGCGACGATGCTGTATCTTTCTGGTCGTGGGAAATGACAAGAGACAACACACTGGAGAGGAGAAAAGAGAAAGAAAGCAAATCAAAAGCAGATAAGCGGAGGGTCGAATGAGAAAAGGTTTTCTAAAATGGTCGCCTATCATTGTAATCAAACTATAGGCTCTTCCATTTGCTCACAGCTTTCGCGTCAAATTTCAAGTCATCAAGTCTTTCCGCCACACTCAACCCCACAAAAGGACCATGGTGGCCAGACGGGAGGTAATTAGCTCCTACACAGACCACAAATGGTTCATCAACCATGCCCGACTGTTGCAGCCTCTCCCGATCCCAAAAGACATATCCTCGATCCCGCAGGTCGTACAAAGCTGGACTGTCAGATTTGACAAAATCCTGGAAACTAGTTCCCCATTTCCAACCCAAGTTCGGTCCATCCAGCCTATCCTCAGGTATGTCCACTATCTTTCCGCGGAGAAAGACCTCTCTCTGCTTCTCATCGCAGGACTCCAGGTCCAAAGCACCCTGAGAGAAGAACACGGTCCCTGCGAACCCCTGCGAATCCATGTATGACTTGAGTATAGCACGCTTGAGCTTTGGGGGCTCCATGAGGCTCATATGCAGGATATATGGTAAACCACATGATATCAGATATTTCATGTGGCTGGAGTGGTGTTTATCCCTGTACGACTTCGTGAAGAAGGAAAGGCCAGAGTCTTCGAGGAGTTGGCTTATTTTCTCCTGCTCCGTCTCCCGCTCGGCGCCGGCACCAGCAGTACTAGATAGTAGATGAGAAAAGAAATCATCTTCAACTCTTTCACATAGAGATCTGATGAACTGTGCGAGGAACTGTTGAACGCAGACAAATTCCTCGAACTCATACAACGTGAATTGCGAGACGAAGCTTAAAACAATCTGTGAGAAGTTCAGAGCGCCTCCCTTGTCGAGGAGGCTTAATACCCGCTGAAATCTTGTGTATACCTCGCATCGGTAGAACGCTCGTTGTAGGCGACCAACTTCTGTAGGGGAGAGGTTGGATCTTAGGTGACCGGTGGTTGTGTGATACTGAGCTGGCCTTTCTCGGTAGTGAGATAAATTTCCCAAGGTCCAGTCACAGTAGGCATCAATCAGGCGTTCGATATCGGCCTGGAGGTAGAAAAGTGTGTCCAAATTGTCGGTGTTTACTTTAAGTTCATCGTGACTCTGGCGACGGCGAGTGCGGTCGTTGGAGAAGAGCGAAAAGCATTCCAATTTGACTTTTGTAATGGGCTCGCCAGATTTGAGTAGGCGGGGGATTTTCTGGGCGTCCAGCGCAGTAAGGACGTCTGCTCGGCATGTCGGATGGATGGATTCACGAAGAGCATGTCGGATTAGATGGTGTTTGTAGGCGTTGAAGGTGCGGTATAGAAGTGACGAGGCACGGACTGCGCAGAGGATATCAAGCGGGGTGAGACATTCTAGTATGTTCAACAGGATCTCTGTTGACAGACCATCTAGAGCCATTGTTGAGGACATCAAGATCCGCCTGAGGCTGGGTTTGTGGTCCACTTTTCTCTCAAATAGCCGTAATCCCATTGGCTTTCGCGACCGGCGCGAGCCTTGTCCATGAGGCACATTTAAGCTTATTTTGTCCTTCGCCAGGGTCTGTGGCGATATGAGTGGGGACTTATTTTGCTCTGGAGACTATTTTATATCGAGATATTGTTTGAAAATTCAATATTGAGGAGGAAAACGGGCAAAGGTGCAACCAACATTACTGTGGACTACCAAATGTTCACATCTACTCCGTAGCCCGTAAAAGATTTCATGACCAAATTTGGGTCAATAGGATCGCACAGAGATCTAATTTAACGATACTGATTACTTATGTTGAAAATTCCGCTACTAATTAGTGGCCTCGTCGGGCGAACCAAGCGAAGGAGACGCAAGGCCTGGTAAACAGTGGTTGGTCTATTGCTACATTCAAACATCGTAGCTTGAAATGGATTCTCACAAATATGGACCGCCAAATACTGGATGACGCCTCAACGGTAAGCTAGAAACTTTAAAGGAGAAAATGCAACAAGAGGACAACAGAATGAGTCCGTATCGAATGTCATACAAAGCCAACATAAAGCACAGGCGGGAGATTGATTTGTGATTTAACAGATGCAGACCCTCGCGACGAATCATCTACCGGTAGAACGAAGCGGGATTTGAGCCGGCTGCTCCTCCCTGCGGCTGGTAGGCCTGATACTCACTCGCTGGAGCGGGGGCAGGGGGCGTGTAGGATGTGTACTGTGGCTGAGCTGCGCTAGGAACTGGTGGGGGTTGGTGTGAGGGTGGGGGTTGTTGAGCATCGGGGGAATTGGGGTAAGGGGCTTGGTGCTGTTGTTGCTGCTGCTGGAATTGGTGCGGGATTTGTGGCATGATAGATGCGGGCGGGGCTTGGGGTGGATCTTCAGGGGAGTACGCCGAAGGCGAGTAATCCTGCTGTTGCTGCTGCAATTGCTGGTGACCAACACCAGGGGCTTGGCCAGCTTGAGGGTAGGGCAGACGCTGAGCAGAAGCTGGCTGGTCGACGGGTGAATCATAAACAGATGTTCCCAGCTCTTGGGGATGGTCAAATGTAGACTGGGGGCGGTGGTGGACAGCTTGATAAGGGTCAGGTTGCGGGGTATGTTGTTGCACAGGCGGCACCCCAGCTTGAATCTGGTTGCGGGGATCGGGCGAGTGAGAGGCAGGTCGGTAAGGGATTGTCTGCTCGCCGCCCGGGTATGGCGCATATGGTGCGGCCGCTGGGGTGGGAGTGGTTTCTATAACAGTCAGTATGGACAGGAAAGCAACGGGGTAGAATATTTGTATGCGACGTACCTTGAGGCCGAGGAGTGAAGTATCGTGGATCAGCCTGCGCAGGAGGGTAACCAGCAGGTGCAGCACCAGGATAACCGTACTGTTGCTGGACAGGTCGTCCGTATTGAGGCTGGGGAGGATGGGCCATCGATGCTTCCAGGAGAGATTCATAATCACGACGAGCCTTGATGAACTTCTCATTAAGCTGGGTGAATTCGTCTGCGGACATGTGAGTAAAATGACTAGAAGTAATGATTGGTCATATGCATACCTTTCTTTTGCGAGTACTTCCCGATCAATTCAATCAGCTTGGGGCGAATCGCAAGGGTAGCCTGGTAAAGTGTCGTAATTTCTTCGTTTTCTTGGACATTCAGATCGGAGTTGCGAGTGCTCAGCAAAGTGAGGAGCTTTTCCACGCTCTTGATCTGACCAAAGACATCTGCCTCCATCTGAGCCTCTCGCTGAAGTTCATCCACGGTCGGGTCGGGAAGCTTCTCCACATAGTTGAGTGGGAAGATACCCGTTTGACCTCTCAAGGAACCCTTCCACCAATCTTTGTACACTGACTCCAAAACCGCAATAATATCCCCTTTGCGGAACTGCAGCTCACCGGGCTCAGATGGTTGGAAGTCAAACAATGCTCTCACGCGGGATACAGTTGCTACCGATGTTCCGGAGAGAACGGCCTGGGCTTCAGCAGGCTCCGCTTGGTTCGTAGGGGCCGGTGCAGACACGGCAGCTGCAGACGAGGGCTCGGCTCGAGGGGCCGCTGCAGCCGCGGCCTGGGCCGGTGCCGCTCCTGGGACTGTTTTGTCCTTAATTGAGAGAGCAAGGGCCATCTGTAGCTCCTCCTCCTCCATCTGCCGATCAACATCGGTGATCTCACGCTTACCCGGCTTCGACGGCGGTTGGAGATTGGGGTCTGCGATTGGATTAGCCAAGGCTTTTACCGTGCCCGTGCCTAGGAACTCAATACTCACTCGTAGTCTTTAATTTCATATAAGCCTGCTCCATAATACCAAAGTCTGGGTTAGAGGCAAACATCTCTGTCCACTCATCCATGCGCTCGAGAATCTTTGACTTGACTTGTTGGTGTGTGTTCTGCATGAGAGTCCGTCAGAAACTGCCGTATACTCGGATTTTAGCATCAATATACTTACCCGGTCAGCAGCCAGGCGCAACAACGCATCGGTAAAACTTCTGGAGGCCAACTCGCGATGGATCTTGAGACCACAGTTCTGTGCCAGCGAATTTCCAAGCTAGTTCAGGTCAGTATAACTCAACCAAGCAGAGACAGAGATCACGAACTTCCAATGTATACAGTTGCACGTTGGCATTCCGGTGGGCTAATCGCTTGATCATAGCAGCAACAGCTTCCTTCGCACTATACCGTCGTGTATTCTAATCAGTAGGGGTTCCTTCAGTGGAGCTGTCATTCGAATTGTTCCGCATACCCTGATTCTTCTGACCCAACTTTGTCACAAACATCCTGTATCATGACATCAGATTAGTTCCGGGGTACTTCGAATGCGACAGATCGCTATGGTTCCATCACAACATACAAGAATGTATTCCCAGTTCTCGGATGTGAGGTTCTCGTCCGTCGCCTTGGCTAATTAATGACCACAAGGTCAGCAATCATATCACAAATAGTCCCGCTTGCGCCTCCAGATTGGTTCTGAAACCGCCAGCTCCCGGCGCAGTCATAGGGAAGGGGCCTGAGATCGAAAAATACGTACCGACGGCATCGTCGAAGGCATTCTGCTGCGCGCGAAACATAGCTCACGTATTCCCCTAAAGAGTCGGTATGGGGAGGTGGGTATCGGGCGTTGAGAAGCACTCCGTCTCGGTAAATCGCTGTCTGAAACGTCACAGGGGCGTCAAAGCCAAGTTCCAATCCGGATTCTTGCTCGGGAGCTCGGAGCTTTCTTTCCAAATGTGTGTGGCTAGCGATATCCAGCGAATGCGGGGAGTCGGCGGTGCGGCTGGAATGGATGCGGGCGGTGAGTTCACAAGTAGATGGTGGCTTGGCAGGGAAATGCACTGGGAACGCGGGTTCGTGAAGTTCGAAAGTTTTGAAGAAGAATTGCTACTGGGCAAATCGTCACCTGATTCAGCACGATGACGATGGTGGGCAGCCTTGCGAACTGTCCCTGAAGGTATGATTAGTCAGATTATATCCCGTCTGCCTGCCCAAGTGGGCTCTACTTCGTATTCGTATATCAATATAGCTTCACGTCTAGGCTCCAGGCTGATACATTCACAGTTTCTCCATATTTCCTAATATGTCTTTACTATATATGGAACATACTTCCAGGGCTATTATAGCGAAGTGATCCTCTTCGAGTAGTTTTGGCCTCTCATAAGTAAACAAAACACTACGACACCAAGAAGTACCAACGAATGCGATATAGCAACAAAAAATGTCAAAAGACGGGAGCTCAATGGGAGTCATTTTCATCGACAAGCGATGTGGGGAGATAGATATGGGAATCAAAATGAGTACAGAGAATAAATTTCCAACGACGAACAACACTGCAGGTCGGGATCTAGAAGAAACATCGGGAGTGACGGGGTATCTGAGCGAGGCGTCAAGAGATATCAGGGCATGACAAAAGAAAACCGAAACATAGGGACTAGTGGTCGTTCAAGGGCCTCCTTTTTGGGCCTTTTCCTGGGCGCGACTGACACGAGCAGCCTTGACCAGGGGGGCGAGATGCGAAAGCGGTGCGCAGAGGGACATGAATGGGTGCTGGAGAAGACGTTAGGGATTGAGATCAATCTCAAGGCCGGTTGGGGTTATTACCTTCAACAAATCATGTGCGGATGCACGCTTCTCGGGATCAACCTTGAGTGCAAAATGGAGGAATTCACGGAAGATGGGGGACAGGTTGTGTTCATCTTTGATGGTAGGCGTGCCATTGGTGGCGATGAGGTAAAGGGCTCTCAATGGCGATTCCGTCAGGTATGGGGGCTCGCCCTCGATCATCTCGATGGCCATGATACCCAAACTCCAAATGTCAACTTTGCGGCCATACTCCTTACGAGTAACAACTTCAGGGGCCATCCAATATGGAGTTCCAACCATGGTGTTGCGCTTATTCTGCGAGTCGTTGATTTGGGCACAGAAACCGAAATCAGCTAAGTTTTGTTAGAATGCTTGCGTGTACCAAAGGCAGGCGAGACTCACTCAGCTTGATGTTGCCATCCAATGCTAGCAAAATGTTGTCGGATTTGATATCACGATGGATCACTCCCTTGGAGTGCAAATGCTGGAGGCCGTTCAAAGTCTATAAACCATTAGTACCCCACGCGATTCTTGTCGGGTATTGGACTGGTACTCACCTCGCGGCAGACAGCGGCAATCTGTCCTTCACTCATAATGTTAAAGGTGACCACGTCCGTGAGACTACCACCTTCCATATACTCCATGACCACCCACAGATCCAGCCCGTGGAGGAAGCTCTCCAAGAAATTCACTATGTTCTTGTGCTTGCTATCTTTCATAACCAATATCTCATTAATGATAAGGTCCTTCTTCGGCTGTAGGTCCAAGTTCATCTGCTTAATAGCAACACAGTTGTTGTGAGGGTGTTCATATGCAGTGAAAACACCACCCGAGGCACCTTGACCGATCTTGTTGAGATTATAATAGATTTGCGTAGGATCTCCAGGGTGACAGATGGACATGAGACGTGAGCGAATGTCCATGGCGTTACTCTGGCGCTGGCGCTGCTGGCGTGGGCGGGCAGCAGGCGGTGCGCGCACGGTGGGCGACACGCCAGAAGAGAGATCCGGCGCGGGCGCAGTTGTGGAGGTGGAGATTGGAGGAGGTTGCTGTGCTTGCTGGCGCTGGGTACGGTTCCGGTCCAGAGCCTGTTGAGCTGCAGCCATGACCTGCTCCTGCTGACGCTGGTATTGGGTTGGGGATGCGATGACGTTGGGGGCGCTGGAGGCGGGGGTGCCATTTCTGGAGCCAGAGGGACTGCGTTGAGGGGATACGGGCAACGGTTCGGTTTCTGGGATAGTGGGGGTACCAAATGCAGTTCCATAATTGTCCTGGGCCCGCTGCGGCTGCGGAGTTGCATACGGGTTCAAGACGGGGGGTTGAGGAGGGGGGCGGGAGGGGGTCATCCCGGTCGGGGGCTTCGGCGGAGCGCGATGAGGGACCATGCCTGCAGACGGAGGAGACATTGACGGGGTCCCAGCCGGAGGGCCACGAGGAATTGGTGGAGGCGACCGCGGATTCTCAAAGCTACTCTCGTGATTTTGCGGGAATCTTGGGCTTCCCGGGGGCGATTGTCGCCCGCTAGGACTCGTGGCTTGCGCATTGTCGAATTTATGCCATACCTCGTCGTCGCTGTCGCCGCGTGTGTTCTTTTCGTAGAATCGCATGATGTCCACCATAGTCTGCGGGTGCTCCTCCTGTTCTTTCTTCGAGATACCGTTCTCCTGGAGTAGGCGCTGCCATTCTTTGGGGAGACCAGTGAACTGACCGGTTTGGTTGTCGTAGCCGACGTGAGTGACGTGGACAGGGTTCTCGGGGGCTGAAATCTTCATGTTGCGACCGGGAGTTCCAAGCATACTGTCGACGAATCTCGAAAAGCTCGCCTTCTTGCTCTGTCTTGTTCGGGGCGCTGGCGGATTGTTACCATCGTCAGAATATCGCTTGTTCCCATTTCCGTTTGTGGCCCGCTCGGTCTCGCGGTGGGCGAATGGATCCATGCGGTGCGTTAGAGTAGTGAAGCTGGCGGACTGCCGGAGGGAGTGGCGGCCGCGATTATCGGGGCTGGTGTGGTGGGAGCGGAGTGGGGGTTTCTGCTGGGAGTGAGGCTCTGGCTCGGCGGTGTTCTCGTCGAGGGCACTGAGCATGCCCCGCGTTTCGTACGGGGCGTTTAATTCATCCGAGCTTTGCTCGTTATAGGAGAAGCGGTTGGAGCTGCGGGTGCGAGAACGGGAGGTGAAGCCGGAGAAAAAGCCACTTGATTCGTCGTTGGATGGCGAGGGGCCGCCACTGTTCTGCTCCAAGGAGGACGAGGAGGATCCCGGGAATTGTGCGTTAGATCGCGACCGGTTGTGCTCGCGGCTGTTGCTGGGAGAGGAGCGCGGGTAGACGGGGGCGGAGGGGGTGCGTTTCAATGAGGTGGTGCTCTGATGACTCCGAAGAATGCGCGAGCTGAAGCTAGGGGCTTCCTTGCCCAGTTTACTGGAGGCTCGGCGGAATTTCAATGGGAAATTGTCCTGATTCATGATGGGCAAATTTCGTCTGTCTCTACACGAGACAGATTGAAATTGGGCCGAGGAGGGGTCAGATGCAGGATTTTTTGCTCTAACCAACCAGATGGGCGAGCTGCCGCGGAGAATAACCGGGTCCCCGAAGGTTTCTGTATTCGATGGGGGGGAGGATACGAGGATGCAAAAAGAGATAGATGAGATGAGGTTCAACGGAGTAAGTCGCACGTGGAGACTTTAGGAAAAAGGAGACGGGTGGCTGGGTGACGGGTTGTCAAATTTAGGACTGAAGATCACTATTTCAGTATAGTGTTTCTATCTGGGCTATTCCATCTAGACTGGTAATTATCATTAATTCTTCGCATGCTTTCAATTGTATATCTTTATAGTACGGAGTACTTTAAGTGCCTTAATACGTACTCCGTACTCCGTACTATACTCCGTATCCCATCTCCAGACCAAGAATAGAACTAGCCCCAAAACACATATCAACGGCTAGTGGATCTGAGACATGACATTTCACATTCTTCTTCTACCTCTCACATTTGACCAAGGATCTCTGTCCTGGGACCTCTGTCGATTCCATATAGTCCGAGCAAACGCAAAATCCTGAAAGTACCTGCGCCGCTGCTCTGCCCCTGGCAGCCGAACACGTCTCAAAAAGTTTAATCGGACAGGGACAAGTGTGACAGACGCAAGCCAACCCTCCTGAGCACCTCAGCACCTCAGCACTTTTCTGTCGCACAGATCCCTTTCATCTGGCCATTGGAACCGACGCGCCTCCACAGCCGCGACCTTGGTTTATCCCGTGGATTTGGATTCTGTTCTATTTCTGATATTTTCTCAATATCGCTATGCTTGGGGAATATAAGTACTCCATATGAAGTACTCGTACTAGATGCAGACCCTCTTGAATCCCTGTCCCCTCCGTTGGATATCCGTTGGGCCACCGTTGGTACCTGACCCATGTCACGGTAAGCGCCTTTGATTTGGTTGACTCGGATGGGCTCAACGAAGTTTGGGGAGAGGCCAGGAATGGAGTACAGAGGAGCGCTCTTCCAGCTATGGTTTTCGTTTACTTTTGCTATAGGCTTCGGATATAACCAACAGCGCATGAAGGGCGAATAGATGCCCACTGTTCAAGTCACGAGGAATAGGTTCCCCCATGTCACTTCAAACTTGCCTTCATGGCAAATTGAGATCTGGGATATTACCTCCGACGCCTCTTCTTCGGTCGTTGTCCGCTGTCAAACGCCCAATCTCTCGGCTGATGGCAAGGCGTGCCCGTACTCAGTTGTCTCAGGTGTTGATCCAAGATCCAATTTACTCTTACAGCATTCATCCATGAGCATATTTCATCGACCTATGCTCCTTAACCCTCGACAGTACTGACCATGCAGCTGAATCGTTCGACACCATGCCCATGGGGTACAGACGGCTCACCCCTGCTCCACCTTGTACGTCGAGGCGTGGCGCATTCCGGCTCGGCTAAACGGTCGACTAGAACTCGAGGGAAGAAAAAATAGATTCTGTGCCGGTGGTGAGATTCGCCTGCCATTTTGTCTCATGGCTTTCCCCAAGACTCGCTTCGAGTACGGAGTAAACCAAAATCTCACGGCCCTTGTCTTACAAACTCCCACTGGCTTCTGGAACAAATTAAAGGGGCAAGCGGCCGAAAATCGGAGATTGTTCGGGGAATAAATATCCACCAAGATCAGATTTCAAGATCAGAACAATGATCCTGATCTGAAGATCAGGAACAAAGGAAGGTTCTGCACAGCAATTTCGCCGAATCTGCTCCATACGAGGGGGGGATCTTACCCTAACTAGTACTAGATATGTTTGACTTCTTCACTCCGCGTTCCGTCAGAAAGTGGATATCTTGACATCACCTAAAGAACCTTCTTTTAAGCTTGATCGCCCCCTGAGAAGAACTCCCACAACACCCAAGATGGCTGCTCTTCATTCTAGTGTGGCACGCGCCAACTCTTCTATTCCCTCCGCATTTGCGGTATACAACACCAGCTTCTTAGACATCATCGGTCATGCCCCGAAGCTAGACCTCCTGGTCGAGAACAATGACTACCCTTTCGCCCACGAAGCCAGTGTGTACATCCCGACCTCGGATGAGCTCTTCATGTCAAGCAACATGTTCACCGACCCGGCGACCAACAAGACCACCATCAAGGTTTCCAAGGTTAGTTTGAGCAAGCACCCGCTCACAGCGGAGATCGTCAATACCACCGTTCCCATGCCGAATGGCGGAATCAACCACGACAATGGAATAGTCTGGACTGCCCAGGGTGGTATGAACGATACAGGAGGCCTATTCCAGATGTCTGCTACGCCGCCTTATAACACGACTCTCCTACTGAGCACGTTCTACGGCCGCCAGTTCAACTCGCTCAACGACGTTGCTGTCAGTGACGATGGCTCGATCTGGTTCACCGACCCGGAATACGGCTGGCACCAGGGTATCCGTCCCAAGCCTAAGCTTCCCAACCAAGTCTATCGCTATGACCCTGCCACCAAGGACGTGCGTGTCGTTGCTGATGGCTTCGGGCGTCCTAATGGTATTGCTTTCTCGCCTGATCAAAAGGTGGTGTACATTACCGACACGGCGGAGACGGTGGGTGATGGCTCGAAGGATAACTCCTTACCTGCTGCTATGTAAGTGGAGTTGCCTGTTCTGTCCAGGCGTGTATTTTGAATGCTGATTCTGTGTAGTTATGCCTTCGATGTGACCACTTCGCATGGCCAGCCATTCTTGAGCAACCGCCGCTTCTTCGCTATGCCTGGTGAGGGTATCCCTGATGGAATCAAGGTGGATATCGATGGCAATGTGTATGCCGGCTGTGGTGACGGTGTGAATGTGTGGTCTCCTGGCGGTGTTCTGCTCGGCAAGATTCTTGTCAAGGATGGCGCTTCAAACTTTTCGTTTGGCCTTGATGGTCGGATGTTCATTCTCAACGAGAACAAGCTCTACGCGGCCCAGTTGAACCGCCGAGTTCAAGGCACTCTTGTGAAGTCCCGAGGCTAGTCTGTGTTATGTTTGTGTGATTTGCGGATCATCCTGATATAACATAGGGGCCTGTGTTCTAAAGTTGATATGTTGTATTGTATAACGCACATACTTGAGTAAACCTAGGCATGTATTTGGATTGGTAATCCAGAGATATACCCGTGGACCCGTGGACGGAGCACAACAATCATAGTGGGTATGATCTGGTGAATACCGATGCAATCGCGAAAGGATCTCCAGGCTCCGGGGGCTGTGAGCATCCTCAACCTGAGAAGCACAGCCGGCTCTTAGATAGGTTCCAAGGTTTCATCAAGTGTTGTTCCGTGAGATAGCTTTGCCAAAGAGGACACACCGAGGTCTTTCTAAGTATTCCAAGATTGAGCTTGGTTGTGAGGCCGTGCAGGCTGGAATTAGTAGACACCGTGAACCTAAACCTGATTAAAGTGTAGGAACCTGAAAGTCCAACCTCAAAGGCTCTAAGGTTCAACCCTAGAATCATCGGTATTTGTCAACAAAAAGGTCAGATGTTGCCTCGGAACCAGGTTCCCTTTAAATCCCGTGTTCACTGCCAGCACAGCGAATATGCGTTGAATCGTAGCGGTGTGGTTTCCAAGACATGGAGGTTCAGTGTAGACGCCCCACCGGTGAGGAGATGCACAAGAGATACGAGAAGCAAGGTGGGATAATCTCGTCAAAGCCTTATCTGACAGGGATGCAGTCATCTCGCTAGTGAATTCTTGATGCTTCAGCCCCGTCCAGCCGCGACGTGAAGAGTAATCGGGCTGAATTGCGAATCTGAGTAGGCACATGTTCCAAGGTTAGTAAATACCGCATGTTAGGTAGCACTTGAGCAAAACTTGGATCTTGGTACGAAGGCTCGGCTGAAGGGATATGGTACCTAGGTTGCAGGGACCCGTGGACCGCATGGATGCATAATGTAAACATGAAAAATCTTGGAAAAACTTTAGAAATAACAAACTCTGGTTGGTCCTGAAGTCCTCATGCCCGTATGTCTGGACTTTCTTTGTTGGGCTGTTTGCTGACACAACGACTCTGTGGATCGGGCGATGGCCGAGGCACAGGGAATATATATAGAATGTCGTCATGATCGCGGCTCGCTTCCATGCAGATACTAACTAAATGGGGGAACCTTGGAACTGAGTAATTTATAACGAAAGCGCGAGAGGGGAATGATTCGCTCTTTGAATTGAATCAGCCACCCCATTTGGCCCCCGTCGTCTCGTATTTGGACACTTTTGGCCTCGATCTGGCGGTGTGGCAGGGTCATAACGATCCAATAGCTATTGACCACTTGAGCAAGACTAGACCCCCCAGACTCTCGGGACGACCAGGGGGGTTGACCTGATAGAAACCCTCCAGACCCCGACCCATGTAACTTCGACTCAGTCTTGGGTCAAAAGCGGGGGAAGAGCCTCTATATCATCTTGGATCTGATTTGATGATTAAAGTGCCGATGACATAGGCTGCTTACACTCTGCGTCGGCCGTCGGGTAATTAATGATTTTCTGGAGAAGCCAAGGCATACTAAATCGCCTAAAAATGTCGCTGTCTACCCACCATCTGATGTGATTGTCTTCGTCGATGGCGAAAATCCGTTGAAAAGAGTCTCGTTGAGAACTCTCTCCGAGATCTGCACTCACGGTGATAGCTTCGCGTGACACACTCTGGTAGCTCTTTAGTTTCTTTAGTGTTGTTAGTCTGATAAATTGGCCAAGAGGAGCAAGGTGCTAAGACTCTAAATGGGATCTCAAGATGGCCCAGGCGGTGATTGGCGGAGGTGGCCCCTAACTCGGTCCACATGGACGCAGATCATTTGCTCGGACCACAAACAAGAATCAAGCCACGGCGATATGATGTATAAGATCTTGTGCTCTCGGGACATGCTTGTGTACACACAAATTCTGGAGAAGAATAGTCGGAATTATCGACATACAGTACGGGGTAGCGAAGTCTCACGACTGGCAGTGTTTTAGAATTCACTAGTGTGCAAAGGGTTATCTCCCCTTGCTGATGAGAATGTGGGACCAACACACACATGCATTGACCAACTCATCTCTACAAGTAATCCAGTTCCTAGCGTCTCCGAAATGATTCTCGATCGTGTGAGGCAGTCATCGGTGGGACTTATGTGGGGGATATGCAAAAGATCCAATGGAGTTAACCTAAACTTTGTGTACTTTGTACTGCGCCTTGCACAATCGATGCGAGACATCACACCAAATTCGGAGACTTCCTGGGTAACCCTTTGTTTACGTTTGTTTTTGGATCAACCGGCCCACAGGACGCAGCAACACAGAGTCTCGCTTGAATGGGCTCGCTATCCCTTTCGGCAAGAGCTACGCCCAACTCTCGATACTGACATGCGCCTTACATTGCCCAGAGACGATGGACAGGGGTCGAGAGCCGATGATTGGGTCAGCTGTTCCTTGCCATGCGAAATGGTCATACTCGGCGGCCGACATCCTACGTGGGGATGAAGAAGAGTTGCGAAGGAAGAGTACTCCCGATTTTTCAACATAAATTAGACTAGATTCCCAGCCTGAGAGTTTCTTATTCTCATCACGCCTCATCTTCTCTTCTCTCCCTCTCTTCCTTACATACCGTCATCATGTTCGGTCTGTCCATAGTTCCTCTTCTCTTCACCGCGCTTGCCAGCGCATACCCCAACCGCGGCCCTTGCACTGGTGCCTGCCAGACTAAAGATCCTGCCGTGATTCAGCGTGTGTCTGACGGGAAGTTCTACCGTTTCGGAACTGGCACCGGTATCACCACTCACAGTGCCCCCTCTATCAGGGGTCCATGGACAGAGCTTGGAGGTGCGCTGCCAGAGGGAACCAGCCTGAGACTCGACAACACCGACCCCAAGAACCTATGGGTAAGAATTACAGCTGTATCGCAGTATTAAGTACGGATGTTAACAAACATTTAAGGCTCCCGATGTTCACTACCAGAATGATCAGTACTACATGTACTACGTTCTGTCAGAGCTCGGCACCAAGAACTCCCAAATCGGAGTTGCAACATCCAAGAATCTGGAGCCTGGCAGCTGGACCGACCACGGTGCCATTGGAATCCCTGCCAACGATGCTTACAACCGCATCGACCCTGCTTTTATCAAGATTGGTGACAAGAACGTCCTAGTCTTCGGCTCTTTCTGGGGTGATATTCACCAGATCATCATGGACACACCCCTCAAGGTCGGCAGTGCTGCCCCGTACCAGGTCTCTTGGAACTCTACTCTCAACCACCGCGAGGAGGGCGCCTATGAGTTCAAGCACGGTGACTTCTACTACCTGCTCTACTCTGCTGGTATCGCTGGTGGCTACACCAAGAACTTCCCTCCCACCGGTGCCGAGTACCACATCCGCGTCTGCCGTTCCTCCACTGGACTCGGTGACTTTGTAAGTTTCCTAAGGGATCAAATTTTTGAAAATCCAACTAATAAATATCTAGGTTGATGCCGATGGCAAGGACTGCAAACAGACTGGCGGCACCATGCTCCTCTCCAGCCACGGTCAGGTTTTCGGACCCGGTGGCCCTGGTGTCTACACTGACAAGGACCTCGGTGTGGTGATGTACTACCACTACTACCCCCTCGCTACCAAACAGCAGACCGAGACCGCCAACGGCAATGTCAACTACAAATTCTCCTGGAACGTTCTCGGCTTCGAGAACGGCTGGCCTTACGTTAAGGCCAACTAATGCACATATTCCGAGACAAGCCCTGAGGCATACATAGCATCTCTTACTTTCTCTTCTCCTGTCAATGGTTGGGTCATTATACCTTTTTTTCACCAGAGCATCGCACCATTTTGTTCGATACCCATGTCGTGTTGATCCTCATCATCATGTCGCTTTTTGTGTCTGGGCGAAGATCTTTAATGTATTAATTAAACCTGGCTAATGCCAAGGTTAATGCACATTTATTCATTATATTCTATGCTATCGTGTCGCGAGTTCCAATAATAAGGCCCTGCACAATAAACACTGTAACATGATGTATCTCAACTTGAGACCCAAGCATTCCATCATGTATGTACTGTATTGTGAGGCCACATGCCATGTTCAACGTCCCACATACCGCAACTCCAGTTTGCGCATGGGAAGATACGATACCGAGCTGAAAACCAGCGCCAGCTCGTTAGCAATGTCACCACCGTCCTTTCCGATCATGTTGGCAAGTGCACCGACATAGTATGTCTCCACCATACCCACAATCCAGCCTGCAGCACCGCACAAGAATGCTCCTAGACCCGCATACCCGACCGGCATGCGGGACGAATCGTTCCAGGCGTCTAGATCGTAGTTGGCCAGGCTTCCCTTGCGGAAATAGTAATGCTCAATAAATAGAATTGCAAAGAAGGAGGTATTCCAGTACCCGAGAAGCGAGAGGAAATTCTCCAACACGTCCAGCAGTTTGTTACGTCCTGCAATTCCCAGTGCAAGCACACCGGCAAACACCAGGAATGACCAGATCGCTCTCGGCACTTTGGCGCACGGGGGAGCGAAAAGTTGCGCTGATAGCGCACCAGAGTATATGGCGATCACGTTCACGCCGACTAGAAGTTCACAGTTAGCGTACAATTTGGTCTCGGTGCGGGAAGTACACACTCCCAGATAGGACGAGTAGCACCAAAAGAAATTTGGCGAATCCAGTTGGGTAAATGATTGTCTTCAGGATTTCCCCAATTCCGTCGTCATAAGCAGCTTGCCATTCAGGGTTTGTGTCCAAAGCAGAGCTGATGCATGCACCTAGCAGCATTCCAATGCATGTTGGGATTGTGATACCAAGTGTGGTATACAAGAAGACTTTGATCTTCGGCGTGTTGACGGGATAATGAACGTAGAAGTCCGACACAATAGAGCTCCACGACGCGCTAGATCCGTACACGACACTAATCAAGCTCAGGACATTACCTGAGCGTTCAAGACCTGAGACCGTAGGCGGCGCCGAGATGTTGGCGCGGTGGGCGGCCTCACCGTAGATGATCATGAAGATAACAAAGAACAGCATCCAAGCGTACTTCTCATACAGCAGGACGCCGCGCAGTCCGACGAAACTGAAGAGCAGACTCACACACGCGATGATCACCACGCCCACGGCAATGGAGACACGTCCGTCTGAGACAGCACTGAGGGCAAGTCCACCAGTGATGCAATTGACGGATGCCCATCCAAGCTGCTCGATCACATTTAGCAATGCGATAATCGATGAGGGATAGTATCCGAACGAGAATCGAGCAATCGCAACTTGACGCAGACCCGTCCCGGGTCCCATAGTTGCACACCAACCCTAATTGCCGTCAGCTTTTTTTTCTCTCTCTCTTCACCCGCAAAAAATATCACTTAGCCATACAGTCACCATTGCACCTAGCAGTGTGGAAAACATCACAATTGGAATCGTCTGTCCCAACGATAATCCAAATTGCTTCCCCAGGAACCCTGTACTGAAACAGCTGATGTTCATAGTGGCAGACGCCCACATGAACGCCATGACCACATCACTCGGCGGGTGACGATCTTCGGGATGCACTCGGTCTAAACTGTGAGACTCGATGCCGAGTTTGCGGTCGAGCAGCTCCTCATAGTAGCGGATTTTGGCGAAGAATCCCCGTGGTTTAACAGGCTCCTGGTCCACTGCTGAGACAGTCGGCTCACTTTGCACCTTCTTCTCAATATCTTCCATGTTGATATGTATTCAGGTAACTCCCTGGCCCTGGAGGGGAAGAGGAGAGGAGAGGAGAGAAGAAATGCTTCTCGCAAAATCTCGAGCATGGCATCCCCGCAATGAGCTAGCGTATCAGACCTCGCCCCTATCTCTGGTGGGACTTTATCGCCGAGTTTTCTTCGGTGCGGGTTGATATCTGGAAATATTCGACCTGTCTGTTTTCTTATATTTACATACATGATCTTTATCTTCATGGTCTTATGCGTATCAAAATACTCTCAGATATCCGATATACTCATGTGCATGGAAAATGCCAAGTATATAGATCTTAAGCTTTGCGGAAGAATGGCAAAACCCTCCCGGTGGAGCCTTCGCTTCGCGTCGGCTTTTTTCTTTTCTCCAGCCCTGGGCTTTTTTCCAGGGGTTTTCGGCTGATAACGAATATTTGTACTTCTCGGATCCAATTGGTCATTCCATATCGCATATTCGTAATGTAGACAGGTTCTAAAGTTGAAGTACAAACTTTAGAACATGGATACATATACTCGTCTGTACGGTATGAGCCCATCACTGGCTAAATCGGGGATTCGGATCTCAACGGTCGTTCAATATAATATGCAAGGAATACCAAAACCCCCGGGAACTTGTAAAGTTCGGGACGTGCCGGTCATAGTTAGCCCTGGACATCGGAGCCAATATGTACTGAAGTTCTATGACGCCCACGGATGACACCCCCAAGCCTCCAGGGCTGCGATTAACAGCCCTGAAGCATTGAGGCTTTGTTCGAGGCTATCTGTGTTAATACTTAAGTATTTTCTGCTTAGGCTGCGTCTTTCATTCCAGATATGTATCTATATAGATGAAGCACGGCCACATTGATCTCTAAACAGACTTTCATGATAGGCTGGGATCGGCATGTCAGACAGGTGTGGCCATCGACATTAGTCGTGCATACGGCGTGCATCAAACCTTTCTGGCCACCGCCACTTGGCCACGAGCCCCATCGGTTTGCGAATATCGAATGTTTACATCATGTGTACTCCGAGTAACTACGGAGTAGACGTTATGTGTCTCAAGAAATACCGAGTACAAGTCTCGATATGCGATTGGCTTCCCGGATCTGCAATTGACTTTGAGCGTTGAGCATTCCACATCAACTTTCAAAGAGAAGAAAATTAAATTGAGATCAATGCAAATAAGACCAGTATTCTACTAGTTATTCTACTGGTCTTTTCATAGATATATCACAGGTCAACGTAGGCTCGGCCTCGGAGAAAACTTCCCCGGAAACCTCGAGCTGGCCTTTTCGGTGACTTTGTGTACCGTCCGGGGTTCTCGAACTTCACTTCGCATCTCTCACTTCTCACCTCTCCCCCCCCCTTTTCACTTTCTTTTCAGGTCGCTTTCTTTTGGGGCTCCTGTGTTTTTCTCTCGTTTTTTTCTCTCTGGCGCATTGCCACGGATTATTGCGATTGCATTTTCTTTGCATTGATCTTCTCCTGAGATCTCCCAGAATCCTATAATATCTCTCTTCCTCCACCACAAAGGAAGATAGTCCTGCTCCGGTTCTTTATTCTCACCGGTGAGTCTCCCACAATGCACAGAGTTGACAAGTGAAGTGATTTCTTCCCATTGCATACTGATCCAGACTCGTCTTGATTGCAGGATCTTGTGCATAGCCCGTTGCCAAATCCATCCCCAACTCCGAACTCTCTTACACCTCCCCTCTCAAGATGGCCGCCGAACCTTCAACCACCAACGGTGGATCTCTCGCCGCCATGCTGGAACAGCAGCACGCCCGTGACGAGGCGCACAAGGCCACCGTGGAGGAAACCCAGGACGAAGAAGACCTCAAGCACCCCCCTCCCGCCGCCAGCGAACCCGTGCAACCTATTCTCGTTGATGCAGACACCCCCGAGCAACCCTCAGTAGCCGACGCTGTCGCAGGCCCCACCAAGCCTGCTCCCAAAAAGGCTCCGGCTTTTGATGTTCAATCGGAGGAACTGTTCCCGGCCCTGGGAAGTGGCCCCAAGCCCACTGCCCCCGCTGCCGCTACATGGGGTGCGAAGAAGCCTTCAGCGGCGGCCGCAGTCTCAAATGGCCAGCCTGTCAAGTCAATGGGTATGTGGAAAACTCCGGCGATTCCCAGCCTACCTCAGAGACTTCTAACACTCTTGTAGAAATTCCTCGTGTGATGGCTCTCCCTGGAAAGCACATGGAGCAGCTTCGCCTTGCCCCCTCTCAAATGCAGCCCCGCGGCCAACTGAAGAAGCCCCTCCGTGATATTCTGCGCGACATTTCCCGTCGCTCCAAGGCCAATGTGGACATGCGCGGTGGCCCAGGTGGCTCCATTATTTTCGAAGGAAAGGGCTCTGTGGATGCCGTGCGCCAGGCTCTACGGGAGGTTGCCCAGCAGGTCGGATCCAAGGTACGCCCGTCGTACTCAGCAAAGAACATTCAATGTCTAATGATTCACAACAGCAATCCGTCCGTGTTCCTATCCCCACATCCGCTCGCGCCCACATCATCGGTCGTCAAGGTTCCGTGATCACGGACATCCAGACCCGCACCGGTGCTCGTGTGCAGGTTCCCCGCGCCGATGGCAACGCCGCTGCCGAAGAGGACGACGACGACACCATTGACATCTTGATTGAGGGTGACGCCGTGGCCGCAGAGATGGCTCGCCGCGAGATCGAGGCAATTGTTAAGGAGCGCGGTTCCAGCATGAGCTTTAAGCTGAAGACTGTTCCCCCCGAATTCTTCCCATTCATTGCGGGTGCACACGATGCCAACCTCCGAGCGATTGAGGAGCGCACAAAAGCGCAGATCAGCGTTCCCCGCTACGATACTTGGTCCAGCCAGCCTCCTCCCCAGGAAGCCAACCCCGGCCAGGTCCAGTTTGTTGCTTGCCCCGACAGGCATATTTCTATCTCTGGAGAACGCGCTGCTGCTCAGGAGGCTCGCGCTGAGATTGAGCGTCTGGCTGCGCAATTGCGTCAGCAGCTGACTCTTCGCCAGCTGGCGATCAACCGTGGCCAACACCAGTTCATCCTGGGCAACGAGGCTGACGCTCTGCACAAATTTATTGCGCAGACTGGATGCGCCGTGGTCCTGCCTCCTCCTTCTGACGATAGCGAGTTCCTCACCATCACTGGTCCCCTTGACCAGATCGAGGCTGGTATTGAACACGCCATGGATCTTGCTACCAGCATGCAGATGGCCAGCGTTGACCTGTCCCGTCAGCACCCCACAGCTCCCGCCGGCCCTCACGCCCACGCCAGTGCCTTGTCTCAGTACCTCCGCCGCCGCCAGGTCATCAAGGAACTCGAATCTACCTACGATGCTCACATCGCTCTCCCGCCAAGCGTCGGTGGTCCCGTCACCTGGGAGGTGTATTCCCGCGACGGCAAGAACACCATCCGCGCCCGCTCCGACATCATGAACCTGATCCAGGCTCTTCCTCCTTCCAAACTCCGCCACGTTCCCGTCGATCCGTACTTCCACCAATACCTTCGTAACCGCAGCGCAAGCACTCTTCAGGGCGACTACGGTGTTCACTTGATGATTCCGGATGACATCGACAGCACTGAGGTTGTTCTGGTTTATGAAGGTCCCTCTGCCACTGCCTCCCGCTTCGAGGTCCCCAGACAGCGTCCCTCCCCCGCGGATGTTGCTGCTTTCGAGAAGAGTCTGCAGGAGGCCCAGGAGTACTTGCTGAACACCCTCGGAGACCAGAACGACATCGTCTCCAAGTCGGTCGCCATTCCCTCCAAGTACCAGGAGAAGGCCCGCAAGTTCATCAACCGCGAGCAGGAGGCTAAGGGCGAGGACAGCATCCCTGTTCGCGCCATTGTTGGTGAAGCCAAGGGATCCCAATGCCAGGTCTCCCTCCGTGGTCCCTCCGCTACTGTCGCTGACCTCGTCACCAAGCTTGAGGCTTTCGTCGTCGAGCAAGAGCAGGATGACAAGGAGCGTGGATACATCACCAGCTTTGACTTCCCCCAGAAGTATGCCAACTTCCTGATTGGCAAGCGTGGTGAGAACATCAACAAGCTGCGTGAAGAGTTCGATGTCGACATCAAGGTTGAGAACGGCAAGGTTGAAGTCAAGGGCCCTAAGGCTAAGGCTGACGCCACTCGCATGCGCATCATCAACATGGGCCGCAAGCTTGAGGATGAGACCACTCACATCCTCAAGGTCCCCGCACAATACCACCGTGAGCTGATTGGACAGCGCGGAATCCAAGTCAACAAACTCCAGGACCGTTACTCCGTCCGTGTCCAGTTCCCTCGCGCTACTGTCACCGACGATGTCGCCGAGACTGGCAGTGATGCTGGTGGTGCCCGCCCCAGCCGCGCCCAGCAAGGTCCCGATGAGGTCCTGGTGAAGGGCCCCAGCAAGGGCGCTGACTCTGCCCGAGACGAGATTCTTAGCCTGTTGCAGTGGATCATCGAGAACGGTCACTCCGCCGCTATCTCTGTGGCCCAGAGCCAGGTTGCTTCTTTGATCGGCCAGCGCGGTCGGGAGATGGAGAAGCTTCGTGCTGATACTGGTGCCCAGATCGACGTGCCCAACGCCAATGATGCACCGGACGCATCGGGCCGTGTTGAGATTCGCGTCAAGGGTACCAAGCAGCAAGTTGCTGAGGCCAAGAAGATCTTGCAGCAGCGCGCCAGCGAGTTCGACGCTACTGTTACCAAGTCTATTGACGTTGAGAAGAAGTATCACAAGGCCCTCATTGGTGGAGGCGGTAAGTTTCATTGCAAGAATCTCCATTCTATGGCATTTACTAATCTATTACAGGTGCCAACATCCGCAAGATTGTGACTGAGGCTGGGGGTCCCAGTGACGGCAGTGCCGCCAGAATGGTCCGCTTCCCCAAGCCCGACAGCACCGAGTCGACCATTCGTCTCGAAGGTAACGGCAAGATTGTCGACAGCATCATCGCCGCTATCGAGGAGTTTGTAAAGGAACGCCAGGATCAGGTCACCGAGATTCTCGACGTCCCCACTGCCCAACACCGTCTGCTCATCGGCCGCGGAGGTGACACCCGTCGCGGCATCGAGTCCAAGTTCAACGTGACCCTCGACATCCCCAAGCTTGGCTCTGGCCGTACGGACGTCAAGCTGAAGGGTCCCAGCACCGCCGTGGAAAGCGCCAAGGAGCACGTCAAGTCTATGCTGAAGGAGCAGCACGCCGAGACCATTGAAGTCCCCAGCCACTTGCACCACGCCGTGGCTGACAATGGCACCATCTTCCGCCGCTTGCGCAACGACCACCAAGTCACCGTCGACCACGCCGGTCAGCCTGTCCCCGCCATCAATGCCACTGAGGAAACCCGTGCCAACGGCGCGGCCATGCCCCTGATCACCGACGACCCCAATGCTGCCGCCGATGCCCACTCCTGGACCATTGTCGACAACACCGTGCCCTCTTCCCCCTCCACTCCCTACCCCTGGGTCCTGACCGGATCCCCCGAGAACGTCGCCAAGGCTCGCGCCGCTATTGAGAAGGCCGTCGCCTCCGCGTCGCAGAAGTCGGCCACCGGCTATCTCATCTTGCCCGACCCCAAGACCTACCGCTTCGTTGTTGGCCAGGGTGGCAGCCAGATCAACGCAATCCGCAAGCAGACTGGCTGCCAGATCAACGTGCCCAAGCAGCAGGCACCCGGTGAGGCAATCCAAATCCGCGGTAGCTCCGCCGGCCTGGAACAGGCGAAGGAGCTGATCCTTGAAGCTGTGCAGAATGGTCTCAACAACTTCCGTTGAGAAAAAAATTAAACATAGAGTCCCGAACCCCGATACATACATGTCTGCTTCAGGTTTCAGCGAGCGGGATCTGTATTTTGTTCCTTTACTTTGACTCCTGTCTTTTCTTTGATATCTATTTTCATGAATATTGGCTTTTATTTATTCTTGTCCCCGAAAAGAGATCCCTCCTGTTGCATCTTTCTTGTAGCTACTTGCCGTAGGGTCGAGAAATGGACTTTCCAGTTACATTGATACATAGTTCGTGGATTTGCTTGGCCTCTGTCGTGATGCAATCGATACCCTACCCACGATGGACTTTAGAAGTCTAGACCACTTTACCAGAACCTTGGAATACCATCGAACATCTTAGAAAATCCCTCCGCAGGGAATTGGAGATGAAAGTGAGGGGAACTTTGGAATCGAACAGTCGGCGAATGGAACGGGATCGTCACGCCCAAAAGAGTAAAGGATTCCGCTAAACAGACGGGGTCAATTGCCCTGCAAGAACCTGTAGACCCCCAAGTCTCACTTACCCTGGAAAGTCGGGGCCTATCAATCCCCATAGTAAACAGATGCAATTTGCAATATAGAAGGGTACAAAATCGAAAGATCCGTTAAAAAAAAGTTATATAGTTCCGTATAAAAAAAATATAATAAAAAGAATCGGGAGACAATCCACAGAAATAAATAAAATCAGCAAAACCCGCTTCTTTGCTCTTTTAGCCAGATTCTCCCCTGGGGATTTTGAAATTGACTGCATTTGTCTGAAAATATCCCAAGCATCACACATCTATTAACACGCGCATTCTCATTCTCCTAAAATCCAATAGTCCAAAAATCACTGCTGCTGAGCCTGCTGGGCCTGCAGGTAGTTGTATACACCATAGGCGATGGCACCACCGACCAGGACAAAGGCGTAGAGACCGACACCGAAGCCAGCAGAAGAGGAAGAGGAGGAGGAAGCTGAGGGGGCGGCGTGGGCGGACTTGGGCTCGGGGTCACCGGGCTGGAGAAGGGTTAGTATGAAGGCAGATTATGGGATATGGGTGCATGTGATCTTGCGCGTGCGTCGGAGCCGAGGATGCGGGGACATTGGGCTGGATTTTTTTTTCTCGGGGTTTTTGAGGTTTGGAGATTGGGGGTGGTGGGAAACTCACCATGCGCTTCACGGTGCCGACCAGCATGGCGTCTAGGATTTCGCGCGCTTCATCGCTGTGGCCGACATCTTCAAAGGCTTCGGTGCTGTCTTGACCGCCGACGTCGAGGAGGACTTCTTCGCCACCGCTATTTGGAGATTGAAGTTAGTTGGATGTTTCTTGCAGGGGAGTTTGTTGGTTTATGCGAGTGTGGGATTGTGGGATTGTCACTGCGACAAGGAGGTGCCAAGAAGATTGGTTGATTCGGGGGGTTTTTGTTCCCTCTTCCCTCTCCTTTCTCACTATCGCAGTGCGATCAGGATGAGGGCCTAGGGAGATGAAGGGGGGGATAGGGTAGTAGGCATGGAATTGTCCATCCACTGGAGATGTGACGGAAAATCGGGTTCACGTACGGGTGCTCATCGACGAAGCTGGAGCAGTCGTAGACCTTGTCGTGGACAATCAGGTAAAGATCCTTCTTGGTGTTGTGCTCAGCGATTTCCTGGAAGGTAAGTTCCTTGGTCTCAGACATAATGGCGGTGGACTGAGGAATTGGATTAGCAGGAGATTGTTGAGTGGAGTTGGCGATAGGAGAAAAAGGGCGGAGAAATGTTGGGACGACCGGAGATAGGCACTCACATTAAAGGACACGTGTAAAGAGTCTAAAGAAAACAGACAAGATCGAGAATTGAGAAGAGGGGAGAAGAGAGAGAGTGCGGAGAGAGGTGAAAAGGAAAGTTGACAAGATGTAAAGCGAGTCAGCGTCTGGGCTGTGGGGCCTCTGTACCTGGGATTTGCGATGCCGTGAATTGCACCCGCGAAGTAAAGAGTGTGGTTGGCAATTCTCTACTGCTCAAGTGGGCATTATTGATGCGTTTGTACGACTCACATTCTAACTACACAAGTACATATGTACAAAAAGAAGGTGAACGGGGAGTACAGATCATACTGGACTCTTGCATACTTACAGCTCTCGGCGAATCAGAGGGTGCTTATTAGAGGTGATACTATTCATAACTATATTGTGTATATTTTGTATGTTCTGTAATAGGGAGTATGGGGTATAGTGGGATAGTATAGAATAACAGTACTGACAATAATACCCCTACTACCCCTACTATCCAACAATGTCTATAGATCAACTGCCAGCCACTCTGCCAGATACCCGTTAACCTCGGGGGTCAAATCTTCGGGTAGCGCCGTCGGTATCCGCTTTCCGCTGGCGGAATTACCTCTCCATAGTTACTACACATAGTACTATTCCTGAAGTCACTATTTACTTATGCCGTACTCTTGATTTTCAGGGCGATGTGCTCAATGTACGTGTATAGGCTAATATACTCTCTAAATAATGCCAAAAACCCAAAATTGAACGCTCATTTCGCTGGGACTCGCTCGTAAAACACAATGTATGCCTGTTCATTCTGCAACCGTTCCCGCGAGCGGAGATCTCGCGGGTTGAAGTCCGTCGCCCGCTCGTCATCGAACTTCCGCCAGCACTGCCGCTCCGCATCGCGCACCAAGGAGATGTAGTGACCGCTACCCATCGACGAACCGAGATGCCGGAGCACCGCAAACGCGTCATACGTGAACGGGGGAATCGTGGCCCCCGTGATAGGGGCCATTCCGGATTCCGGAGGTGCCGGGCTCGGGTGCGAAATGACAAAGTCGTCCATCCGGAGGCCGTGGAGCGGAAACTCGATCGGGGTGTGGATCTTCCGCGCACTTTGGGTCTTGGACGCGGAGAAGCGCTTAAAGTGGACGACCAAAATCTGCGGGGCCCGTGTGATGATGATTTGCTTGGTAGCCATGCGTTTGCACTTGCAATGCGGGCACTTCCAGACCTCATCGCCGCTTAGCATCTCCTCCTTGCAGTAGCTGCGGAGACACTGGTAGATGTCACCCGTGCCGGTGGGCGGGATCTCAACACTGATACTGTAGAAAGCTTCGTAGGTCGTCGATGTCTGTCGACACGTGGTACAGCGCAATCGACTGGCATGCTGTCCCGCAAAGAGTGACGAGATAAAAGACTCTTCCCGATGGCAGTATCGGTCCCATTCGATGCGAGAGACCCGGGTCATCGGCATCCGTTCACGTTGCATTTCCTCCGAGAAGGTCAGCGGTCTCAAAGGCGTACGTTGCCAGTTGACGTTGAGATCTTCATGAAGACAATCCACCAAGAAGTCGAAAAACTCCTTTGCGTCTTGCTGTCGGTCAATCGCCCATTCTCGATTCAAGCGTCCGCAGAAATTGCGGAACGAGGTCGGCATGATGACTTCGACGTCATTTTTCCACAACGACCGTGTGAGATTCGCATAAAGTCCCGGCATAACACCCTGAGAACCCTTCCAGTTTTTCTGTACATAGTAACGGAACCGATTATCGATGAAAAATCGGCTCATCGAGATGGTTGCGCTCAGGCATTGGATGGTGGAATTCATGTAGCATGTAACACCGAAATTCGTCAAGCCAGTCCGTGGAAGCTTCAGACGATCCAGTCGAGATGCTGGGGTGTACAGCGCTGTTCTACTCGCTGAATTTTGGCGCTCCAGATGTGGTTGGATCTGCCGACCATCCGAAACTCCACTGTAACTTGGACGGGGGACCGCTGGACGCGGCCGAGAGGGAACGATCGGCATCTGCACAGCATAGTCTGGGGCAGGGGATTGAGATTGAGAATGGGGGTGGGCGTGAGTATGGACAGGGGGTTGCACAGGACGTGAATCCGGGTGGGTCATGGACTGCTGTACATCATGAGCTTCGGGGAATCGCCGGAAGAAGGCCTCGTATGTGTGGACATAGGGAGTTGATGGCTCTTGTGAGGCCACCTCTGGCTCCTCGGTGAATGAGTCGTCTTCGGCATAACCGCTTGCGTCAATCTCCTCGGTCTTCGATTTTTCCATCCACTCCGATAACTCCTTCGAGTTCAAAGGAGTGAACTCGCGCAGCCGTCTCTTTCGAATTTCGAGGCTTGAATTCGCACTGGCCATGGTGGGTACTCGACCTAGAGGTCGACCAGGTTTTGGTACTGGCTTCCTGGCCTGCAGAGAGCTCATGACGGCGGCGGTGGAAGAAGTAGCCAGTGACTGTTGCCCGAGAAGATCGATCCAAGCGTCCAATCCACCACGCAGCAGAGCAGGAGGCCGCCCAGCCTTCAGTGGTTTGTACGCATTGAACTCGTAGAGAGTGTCGTAAATCGCCCTCAGATGAGGAGCAGACGTCCCAACAGGTGATCCGGCGAGGTAACTGACAGAGGTTGTACTTTGGTCGTAGTATACCACAAGATCGTACTCATTTCGTTTCTCAAACAGGACCTGCTCGTGCTCCGGCGAAACAACCAATCGTTCTTCGAGTTCCTCCGCAGACACATTCTCTTTCAGCACCACAGGCTCTATGCAAATAATGGATTTCGCATATATATGTCCGTTGTCATATTGGTCCCGGGGTCGAATGTCGATGAGCAATATGTTACACTTGCGCAGGTTTTCTAGAAGGGTTTGGGCAGTTATTGTTGGACTGTACGGTAATTCTGGCGAGTTGCTTCTTGTCTCTCGTGCCGAATTTAGCCCATTGGGCGTCATGGATCTGTACGGGTTTTCATCGGGACCGCCTCGATTTGGACTGACGCGAGGCGAACTGCTAAACTGCGAGTATCTTGGATGTCCTGACCGTGTACTATCTGTCGAGGACCTAGGAGGATTCGCTGTTGGCTTCGGGGGTGCAGTAAAGATAGGGCTGTAGGCCGGGTCGGGTGCTCGTGGAAGCGTTGTGTTGAGGGGAACTTTGGGTGGTAGTGTGGGTACATTGGACGAGGACCCCATTCCACGAGGTCCCATGGGTCGTCTTGGCGGTGGAGAGTCGTGCGCACTCGGGGGCGCATTTGACGGATGGAGTGGGGTCTGCGCTGCAGATCCCAGAGTCGGGCTCCTCGGTCCATCGGTATTTGATCCCATGTCATATTGATTCGAAGGCGGTGACGCTTTGAGTTTCGCGAAACGTTGCGCAAGCATGTCATCCGGAGTGCTAGAGGACGGCGGTGAATGTACCTGAGGGTCGGGCATTCCCTGATACTGCGTCGGACTTGGCATTCTGGCCGAATTCGTTCCCGATTCTCGGTTCTCGCGGCCTCTTGGGACGGCATAATGCAATTCTGGTGAATAGGATGCAAATGCACCCGTAGGCTGCATATTACTGGCCAAGTTGTCCTCGATAATTGCTTGCTTTATAGCACCCATGGTGCCCTGTTTAGCGCGCACCGCCTTCATAAGAACCGTAAACTCCTTAAACCAGTCAGGACATTGAACGGCCGTTGTTCGATAGTTTGGGTGGTGTGGAATGATGTTGATAGTAATCTCAGAGGCTCGGAGATACTGAATGTAAGCTTTGTCGGGGTATTCATCCACAAGGTTCCTGGCGTTGTCAATTGCCTCGGCGGCGGTTGTCAGGAGGATAGCAAGCTAATCTTGCCGTTAATGACTTTGAACAAGGCGGCTTGAATTGATTGCGAGTCCATACCGGTGTCGTATCATTCACATTTAATGCAGCAGCCTGATCCTGCAGGTCTTTGATGTTGGGAAATCGAGGTCGTCGCGGGGTGGGCGGGGAATTGCCCTTTGAATAGGAATCCGGCCTGCTGCCGAGATCACTGGAATACATGGTACTCCCCACCGAGTAAGGACGTTGAGTGTCCTTCCACGGTGGCATACTGGGCGGAGATGGTAATGTCGCCGCATCGGAGGACATTGTAGATCCAGGCAGCGATGATCCGGACTTAGCACATGGTTATGTGAAGCCAAAGAGACGCAGGGTCCTCGAGCACGTTGTACAACTTTAGAAGCAGTTTGCGCAAGCCAAAACCAAGTCCAAATAAGCGAATGTAATGAAAAAGACAGACCAAAATAAAGAGGACAGAATCCAGGAACGCAATGCGGGATGTCTCTGGGGTATCAGATGACAGTACTTCACCGCCCGCGGCCTATGACGCCAGGGGCTTAGTCAATCGCTCGAGTGCCTAGAAGCTCCTCCTTCAACTTATCAGCCTGATCTTCATTTCCGTTGCATTTCACGTGTCTTGGCTGCCTTCTGTCCCTTTATTGCGCAGTGAATTGAACATTGCGCGCGTCTTGGCCTCGAAGTACACCCACCATGGCTGGCTGGTTCTCCTCAACGTCGCCGCTCGATGAGCAAATCGAGCGGGCGACAGCTTCATCGCTGTGAGTCTGGATCGCTGCACGCTGCACGGTCACGATACCTTAATCTCCTGTGCTATGTACATGGATCGCCTCAAATGCATAATAACTGACTGGTTGGGTGATAGGGAAGACATTGCCCTCAATCTAGAAATATCGGACATGCTGCGATCGAAGAGCGTTCAGCCCAAGGATGGAATGAGGTCTTTGAAACGTCGACTCGAGAACAGAAACCCCAACATACAGTTAGCAACGTTGAAGGTAAGTCGCAAGCGTTCCGTGAATCTAAGAGTCGAAACAGACACTGATAGACGTGTCTGCCTACAGTTAACCGACACATGTGTCAAGAACGGAGGCACCCACTTCCTGGCCGAAATTGCTTCACGCGAATTCATGGACAACCTTGTCTCCCTCCTTAAATCCGAAGGAGCCCCGCTTAATGCCGACGTCCAAGGGAAGATGCTGGAGCTCATTCAAAACTGGGCCATGGCCGCGCAGGGTCGGATGGATTTGATGTATCTGGGCGAGACATATCGCAAACTGCAGAGCGAAGGCTATCGATTTCCACCAAAGACAGAAGTGAGCGGAAGTATGCTCGAAAGCAGCGCAGTGAGTAGCTCGGAATATCATGTGTGGAGACATGCTCACATATCAAATTCGTTGTAGCCCCCGGAGTGGATCGACTCCGACGTCTGCATGCGATGCCGGACTGCCTTCAGTTTCATGAACCGCAAACATCACTGTCGAAACTGTGGTAATGTATTCGACGCTCAATGTTCTAGTAAAACGATTCCACTGCCCCATCTTGGCATTCTACAGCCAGTCAGAGTGGATGATGGTTGCCACGCCAAATTAACATCCAAGACCTTTGCACCTCCGGGACTCATGGACCGGTCGGCCTTCAAGAACAATTCGATCAGTAAATCCAACAATATGGAACCTCGGGCTGCTAAGGCAGATACTGGATTCGATGACGATCTGCGCAAGGCCTTACAAATGAGCCTTGATGAAGCGGAAGGGAGAGGCTCTACTGGATTCGTACCCCAAACACGGAATGTCCCTGAACCTGCTCAGGTCCCTGAGGTTACGGACAATGGCGAAGAGGAAGATGCAGATCTCAAGGCTGCGATTGAGGCGTCTCTGCGCGATATGGAACAGCACAAGCAACAACATGCTGCCGCATTGAAAAACGTCCCTGCCCCAAGCTCTGGACTGCGTGATTCCTCCAGCACACCTGCTCCTGTGGCCAAGAATCCGTATGAGCTGACTGCTGTTGAAATTGAGAACATTCATCTTTTCTCTACACTGGTTGACAGGCTCCAACATCAACCCCCGGGCACAATACTGAGGGAGCCACAGATTCAAGAGTTATACGAAAGTATCGGTACACTTCGGCCAAAGTTGGCTCGGAGTTATGGGGAGACTATGAGCAAGCATGGTGAGTCGACTTTCCCCTAATGCGTTCGTTCTATGACGGCAATCTAATGGCCACAGATACATTATTGGATTTGCACGCAAAGCTCTCCACCGTCGTTCGCTACTATGATCGGATGCTAGAAGAGCGTCTCACTAATGCCTATTCCAACCATAATCTTGGCTATGGAGCCATCCCTGGAGCCACCCAATATCCGAACATCCAACCCGGGTATCAACCCCAAGCCCCTGATGTCAAATCAGGCGTCGAGAATTACTACTATGGTAATCAGATGGACACTTCTCGGCCGCCAAACGCCATGTATGCGCCGCAAGTAAATAATGAGGCATACCAAGGCGCACCCAGCACTGTCCAAGGCTCCGTCTATCCGCCGCAGGCTCAGCATGGAGTTCCGACAAACGAGTCCCACGCTCAAGCTTGGGGCGCAAGCCCATATCCAACTCTCGGTTCCCCCTCACCCAGCAACGTCGTTCCAAATCACTATACCACTGCTCCGACACCCAGTGCTCCAGGTCAACATTATGCTGGACCCTCAGCTCCAACCTCGGCAAAGTCACCTGGTGCAGAAGCCCCATACCAACCATCACCGACCATGGGACGGGAATCCCAGTATGAACCCAGCGCACCGCCCACCGGCCCGACGTCCCCGTCCGAGCAACACTCGTCTGCTATATATGGACAGCAACATGGGTATTCTGTTCCTCCCGCTGCACCGGCACTTCATCAGCAAGCCACAGGCCCTTCTGCACAGTCTTACTATTATCCGCCTCAGCCTCAGCAGCCTCCCCACACCGTGGCATCTGCTTACCCCCCGACGCACGACGGCCAACCGGGGACGTATGCACCCGAAACCTCCGGCCAACCGCCTTATCAGCAACCCTCTCGACCAGTAGTAGAGGAGAGCTTGATTGAGCTGTAGCATTGATCAATTTGGGCGTTCCATGCGATTTTATTCTTGTCCTCCAGTGTTTACCTGATGATACCTGAAGAATTTTAGCAGAATGCGTAGCTCGAAGCGGGTGAATTAAGAGAAGTTCAATATACAACCGAGTATAAGTACATACCAAAATCAGCAATCAAGTACTCCGTACTACGTACCTTTTATGAACTCTGCCGACATTACTCCGTAGACTTCTGCCCTTTTGCATTTTGGCGCAATTTGGCGCGTGTCCCCAGGTGATTTAACACATCCATATAAAATGATGCCCCGATACTAACACCCTATCCATTAGTATTATTGATTGAATGCACCGAAGTATACAATTTCGAAACTGGGCAAATGAAGAGAACTGGAGAGGGAGAGAGAATTTGCTTTGTACGAAGACCATACTAAAAACATAAATATGATGGATTTTGAATCAATCTAGCCTTCACTATGGATCAGGTTTGGTTACGATATCTGAGAAGCGGCGAAGAAAGCAGTGAAATCGATAAAAAAAGGTACTCGGTAGAATGTACGGAGTAAGTAGTTGCGGGAAATGAAGTCATTTAACTGGGGCCTGAGGCATCTTGCCTTATGCGTCAGGTGTCGACCCCCACAGCTCCTTAATCGCCGAAGACAGCGAGATCAACCTCTCATCCTCACTTTTGCAATTTGCCTAGATTTCGTGGCACTTTGTTCTTCTCTTTTCAAAGCTCTCGTTTTGTATTCATTGTTTTGCTGTCGCCAACGCTGGTGTAACGTAGCCGGCTTCCCACTATTGATTTCTCATTGCTTTTTGCCTGCATCTCCGATCTGCCGTGAGACCTCTTGACCAGCTTGCCTCGGCCAATCCCCACATTCTATGCTTCGGGATACCTGATTACCCAGCTGTGGCTCTCACGCCCCCAAGGAGCTGTTCGTTTACCGCCATGCCCACCTCCAATACCTCCAATACCTCCTCCCCGGTCAAGCGCCCCGGTCTCGGTCGCCGCGCAGTGTCCTCTCATGCAGTTGTCACGCGTGCCAATACTAGTGACCTGTCGGAGATACAGAAGGCAGCCGCGCATCATAAGCCTCACCGCGCCCATGTCGTTCACCGCAATCATCATCGAAACCCCTCCACCAACAAAAACTTCAATAAACTTCAAAGGTTCCAACTAGGCCCCGAGACCACTGGGCGACATCACCAGCGCAAAAAGTCAGCACCCGCAACCCCCATCGCAAGCCCAAAAGAAGGCGGACACATCCGCTGGGATAACGCCGTAGGGGATCACCAAACCGATCCTTCCATGAAGAGAAACTATTCGACTCCTGTGCTACGCCGGAACCCGTCGGCTGTTGGAAAGAAGGCCTTGGTAACAGAGCGACCTACCTCTAGCGGAGTAAAGAAGACGGTCGGTTTTGAGTTGGGCGATGATGAGACCGATGAGGCGGAGTGGGAAGATACTACGCAGTCGCCCGAAAGTACGAGGCGCAACTCTGTCGCACCATCTAATCCCAGCGCCGAGAACAGCACCGTCCTTGTCGATCACCTTACTTTTGTCAAAAGACCCTATCCCCAGATGCCTCGAGCGACTAGTCTCCCGGAGTCGGTTACACACAAGTTCGCTCGAGAACGCGCTGAGCAGGTCGAAGACGAAGATGATAAAGACGAGGAGGATCAAGATACGGCAGACGAGGCCGAACAGTCCAGCCAGCATACCGAGCAGGGAGATATCGCAAGTCGCTTGCTCAGCCCCTCACACTCGTCCAAAGCACCCCCTGCTATGTCATCCATCTCCGCCATGGTGAAGCCCGAGACCAAACACACCAACCCCGCATCGCGCAGTAGTGCATCTCTCAACCTCGCGGCCGGCCAGGATAATGCTCGACGCACCTTCTCTTCTGCGAGTATGGCAAGCATTCCAGGTTCTCACCCGCAAGCCACCTCATCTTCCATGGAAGGCGGTGTCTCAAGGTTCATTCTAAACAACAAGAACAGCATGCAAGCATCCTCTCGTACCGATTCAGACCCGAATACGCCTTCATCATTCCTGCCTCATTACCACCCACAAACACCCCCCTCGCCTAAGAGTGGCGCTGGCAAATCGACGGCCTCCTCTGCGCGACCTCGAGGCGCTGAGCTACCCTCTCGCACTCAGCAGAAGCTCTGGCTTCAGCGTACAGCCACTCTCAACAATTCTCCCCCAGATACCCATGGAGTGGCAACCGTAGCATCACCTGCGATTGACCCATCGTTTATCACCGCCAACCAACGCCCCACCACTGGCGCTTACGATGCCGGGAGAGGATTGAATGGCGATAGCCGGGTTGGCGTCACGGGACATGATAGCGAAACTCGCCACATTCGCAAGGCATATGAGAAGACTTCTCTCGAATTAATGGTCGTGCGGCGCTTCCAGTCACCTACTGCGCAGAGTTTCTCTCGCCTGCGCCATATCGCGCAAGCTCGCAAGGCTTTGCAAGGTCCAGGCCTCGGCAAGCAAGTGAAATCTGCCCCATCTCTACCTCTCCTCCAGCACGGAAAACGTCCAAATCAGTTGAGCTCGAGTCCTACGACGAAACCTCAGTCACGTAGTCCCATTCCCACCGATGATCCAACGAACAGCGATCCCACCACCCCTTCGGGTACCATGAACCCTTCCAAGTCCAACGACCCATCTCACCGCATACTCTCCACCTCGGATGAAGCATCGCGTGACCCCAGTGGCGAGAACCAGGAGGAGGAATTCCCCGCTAATGACAGCGCCATGTTGATCCGCCGGATGTGGGAGAGCCGAGAAGTTGCCATCCATGGCTAGTTTGCGCTTTTTATTTCCATCATTTTTACCCCTTTATGTTCATGACGGTGTTTGAAAACACTAAAGTCCGGCGTTGATGGTATTCTGCTTTCTATTCTCTCTTGTCTTATTGCGAGACTGGACATAATGATATTCCTATTCCTTTTTTGTTCATATATTATTTTTAGCCAGCCAATGCCACTTTTCCCACGTTTACCTCACATCCACATGCATATCAACCGGATTTCCTCTTCCACTTCTTGGCTTTTCCTTTCCGCTTCTTATTTACTAATTGAATCTCGAGCCATGGTCCATCAGCCTGAAACTAAGCCTGAATCCCAAGGATTTTCCTTTCATGTGGGCATGTGGGCATGTGAGCTTGAAATCGCGTTTGCTTCCACTTCAAGCCAACACCAAGTGATCGTGTTTATTTCTTGATGCCATTCAGATGGAATTCCTCATGAGCAGGAGCTTAAATCACGCGCTTTACGACCCAACACCTTTCTCCCGTCTGTGGTAGGATGCTGGGTGATCAGAAGAGATTCACCTATGCACTGATATCTTTCTTCCTCCCTCTTTCACCCTTTTCATCTTTTCTATCTTTTTCATCGTCATCATCATCGTCATCATCCTTTTCTTCATCTTCCTCTTCCGTTCTACCCAGTTCGTGAGGGTCGTCACAAATTGTATTGCCTCTCTTTATCTGTTTCCTCATTCAGGAGTTGAGACATTGCTCGCTCACTCATCTGAGCGTATCATCTTCGATTGAACCTCCAAAATGGGCTTGTCGACCTCACTAATCCCGATGCCTCTCAAGTTACAAACAACTTGCTTCAACTGGAATATCGAGCGCGAGGAATGATGAGGATGACAAAGCTCCGACCTGGCGTCTTTTTCGAGCCTGATTCTAGTGAGAAAATCCATGAATTTGTTGGACCTACAACAAAGGGAAGAAAGGCGTACGGAATCCCTCGAACCATCTGTCGCAGAGAAGAACTTTAGAAGACAGGCAGAGTGAAAAGAGAAGGGTAGAAGGGCCGGTCTCGTATATCTACAAAGGGCTAGGGCGAGCACACAACAGAAACCTCTATGCTTCTTGATTTTGAAAATTTTGAGAGAAGGCGAAGGACTTATTGGGTCCTTTCAATTACATATTTGATTGGGCTTCCCGAGGTCTCATGCACGCACCGGATTCCCATACTGTGACCATTCTGGCCGTACTTAAAAGCGGTTGAAAAAGTCCCAAGACTGTGTCTGCAGCCTTGGAATTTAATCCCACAATGGCTATCTTCTGTCGATGGATCGTATGCTGGCCAGACTTCAGCAGAACCTCTAAAACTTCCCCCCTTCCTTCTTCTAAAATTCCCGTTCTGCAGTACATAACCGTCCCTTCTAAACTCTAGAAGTTATCCGGGGCTAGCATCGATACCTAGACAGACAGTTTTTCTGGGGCTCCGGCGCTTGAAGTAAGAACAAACTGAAACTTTAGAAGTAGAACCCTAGGAAGACTTATTGCAGTGAAGGTTCGTAGAAAGTCACTCAGCAAACAACTTTAAGTAGAACACCTCCAGGCTGGGCACTCGCCAGCAGGTAGCTAAGTCCGACAAAGCGGACGATGAGCATTCCAATTTTACTTAAGTATTTCCCACGCTGTGTTATCGTGAATGCTTAATCCCTAGACGATTGGGAGCCAGGAGGGCACAGCTTTAAAGTAGCATTGCGGGTAGATCTAGCTTGATGATACTCAAGTATGTACAGCCCTTACCTGCCCAGGTGGGGACACGGTTTAGTGAGGGTCACCCGCCCGCACGGCCCGTAGTGGCCCGGATTGGCCGAATTCACCAGCCTCTTGTATTCGGCGTAATACAACATTCTACTGATTTTGTAATGATCAAAAAAAAAGGGCTTGAATAAATATATAGCTGTGGTATAATACAATCAGCGGAAGTCAAGACCTTTAGAAATTGCCCGGGTGTTGGCTACAATCCAAGGTTCCAGCCTCATAAGGTTGGTGTCAAGGTAGCCCTGGACCTCGAGTCACACCGACAACATATGATACCTTGCCCGCACCGAACCCACAATTTGCAGTTTTTGCGTTGAGCTGGGTAACCTCAATCCAATTTCAACCGGCCCCAGTCAACACGAAACATTGTATAGCGGGAACCATGCAGTACATCGTGAAGCTACTCCGTAGTTCATGTTGCGATCTCCTCTCTTTGCTGGTGCATGTACTTAAGTACTTTAGTCAACCGGAGCTCATGCAGTGTGATCTACGAGTGGATGCATTTGATGTTGTACAACATATTACTCATTAGTCACTCGACTGCATCGTGTAACCATGCCCAAGTGGGATCTGCTGAATGAGACCTGCGTCAGCTCCACTGGAACCAATAGAAACAACTCCTTAGAATTTTTGTTAATGCATAAGATCGACATCTTGCAACATTGGCAATATAGTGTACAATTTATGGAGTACGGAATCATCGAAATTGATTTCTCGATAAGGATCATGCCGCCCATTAGTACCTCTCAAAACGCTACAGAGGAAGGGGACGAAGAAGCGAACGGAAAGGCCCTCGATTCGGGTCTTTCTGTCGAGAGAAAGAGAGAGAGGGAGAAAGTGGAGCTGGCAACCTATCTATGTACACTGGGGCTGGGGCGAACCCACATACCACAAAAGTAGCAATCCACCTTGAGAAAATGTGCAGAGTGATCCTTTATGTAGTATCCGAATAGAAGTCAACGGAAACTACTCCGTAGCTCGCTTGGATGAAGTATTCGTCGAGATACCTAGTTGATAAAAAAATGGAAACAGAAGGAGATAAAATGAAGCTTGGAATAAATAGTGATTGTTGAATGAGGGTTGAGATTGCCTAGATCGTAGATCCATCTGGGGCCGAGTTTAGGAGTCCACGGTATAACCTCACCTATGGAGTGCTCTGTGCGGAGTACGAGTGCATATATTCAGCTCACTGACGTCAGATGTAAGGGCCTGGCACTATTGGAATGTACATGCGGAATACGAGTATGTAGCTTCGACCTGTGGGATTTCTCGCATTTGATCTACAGATTTTTAAAGGTCTATCCTGGGAAGAGCTTTGAGACGGTGGCTAACCAGGCATTAAATACCTCCTCCTCCCCGCCACATATTCTCAATTCCCCATCAATTATAATCCTATCATCCAACTGAAACCCTCTGACACAAAAAATCCTTCTATCTTGCACATACATCCGGCATCATGGTGCGATCGTATCTTTTGGTCGGAATCCTTGCCGCTCTCAGTCAATCAGCTCACTGCTTGGAGTTCAACGATGGAGTCAAGTCAAAAGTTGGTGACAGCCTACTCCCATTGCTCCATGATGTTGAGGATGCCACAACTGTGAGATTCGGCGAGTCGTCCGATGCCAGTAAGCAGGTGTGGAAGTTTAACACTGAGGGCCTCAATGATGATGAGGCCGTTATTACGCCTTCGGACTCCTCAAAAGCCCTCATATGCCGGCAAGGTAGCTCCTGCAGCCTGGATCTTGACGGAGAGAAGCAAGCCTATCGGGTTGTCAGAGTCGAGGAGGAAAATCCCATTTTTACTTTCCAAGACCTTGCCACCGGGCTGTTTGTGTCACGGTCACCCGACCTATACCTGGAGTTGACCGAGGACCAATCTGAGAACATGTACTTCCTGTTGGACAAGACAGTCGGTAAGTTGCTCACTTGCTCCCAACTCAAACTGTATGCTAACAACACTATTCCTCCTAGGCCAACACGAGGAAATCTAGGCCAGGGATACTATGGCACTTGTTCAAAGTTATGTGTAGCCTGCTAAAGACTATCATGTGAGGCTTTGCGAGATGGAAAAGTTTGCATAACTAGGTATTAGGGATACTTCAAAAGGTCTTGGGGCTGCTTGCCCAAAAGCCCCTCTTGTTCTTTGGGTAAACTTAGGAAATGAATCATAAGTCAGACTTCTGATGACTATAGATACCAATGGTAGTCAAGTAATCATCCTGAGTTGTTGGATAGTCCGAGAGCCCCGCCCATGCGATATCTCTCCGTTGCTGAGTGATGTTTCTTGGGTATAGGCAAGGGTCCAGTCAAGAAAATCACTAGAGATAACAAAGAGAAAGGCAACAAAAACTACTATCATGGTCCAACAAGGTCAGGTCATAAGGTACCCCGATAAAATGATCTCTCAGTAGGACACTTTATACTCCGTACATAATCGGGGTTATAGGAACAATGGTAATATTCAGAGGTTGATAACCAGTGTTCAGCTCTGGATTTATGGGGGGAAGATACAAAGATCTGGAGGGAATTCAGCGAGATCGGTTCTCAAGGTTGCAGATTGCTTAGAAAAGAAAAAAGAGAGGGAAGGCACAAGAGAAACGAGTTGTAAGAGCGAGCTCTTCCCACTATTTGCACCAAGACGGTATGACCTTATGTCTGTCAACGATTTTGTAATAATTACATCGAATATAAGTACACCAACGTGACGATAGCTATGGATGCCAGTCAGTTGATAGGATATTATGTAGGTAGGTATCATCGAATTTCGAATGTGGCAAGGATTCAAACTTGGATATGAAATTTCGTTGGTTTTGCAAACTCAATTCTTGCCAGTATCAACCCTGTTCTATGTGAATAGAATGAGGATGCCACTAACAATGGCAAGAGCTGTTGCAAGTCCTACAGAAATTAGTATGCACTTCGACTTGAGAGGTGAGGAATCATACCTGGAATGAGACGGAACGCCTCGATGTAGCTAGATTGGACAGCTCTTTGCAAGCTGTCAGGCAAATCTATAATGGAACCGTAGTTTTGGAGAATTTTGCGGATGATCTAAACGGCGTGTCAGAATATCGCAGATGAACGTCAAGATACTTGGAAAGAGCCGATACCTCTGTCTTGTCCGGTAGAGGTGTGCCATTCAAGTTGACACCAAGTCGGAGGCGGAAAAGTTGCTGTAGAGCTGCTGTGCTGCCACTGGTACCCACTATTTGACCAATCTGTTGTGCCAGGCAATAAATTGCCGTAGCACTCGCCAATTGGTCCGCTGGGGACCATTTAGTCAACGCAAGAAACTGTGCTGAGAGCAAGATTCCATTTCCTGCTGCCCAGGGGAAGCCGAAATGCACCTCAGCTCCTTTGATACCATCCTTCCATCGTATCATCATAACAAGCAGAGAGAAGACGCAAGCCGCCACTCCGATAAGAGATAGTTTGCGGAATTTGACGGTTCTGGAATTGTTAGCGAATGTTGTTCGTTTGGCCAGCTTATAACCCACGTTCTCAGGACTCTCCCCGCTATCATGGCACCAAAAATCAAGCCGACGCAGGTAGGCCAGATTTGGAGGGCAATCTGTGAGCTGTTGAGATCTTCAATCTGGGATAGATAGGGCGGAAGATTGTTCAGAACCTTCGATGCATTAGCCACGCCTCTGGACCACAACTTGTTGTCAACTGGGGATGCTGATTTCCACTCACTGCGCTGATACTTGCGAAGAATGTGACCTGCCCCATGAAAATGTTCCGTAAGCCCTGCGCTGGGACGACAGAGGCAGGGAAAATGGGCCTCGACGACATTGTCTCAATGATGACCAGGATGACTAAAAACGCAGCTGAAGCGATAAATAGAGCAAGCCTATTATCATCCAAGGCGGGACTTCCAGAAGTCGTGCCTAGAACGAATGCAGTAGCGGAGATGATGAAAGCTGCAAGTCCCAAATAATCAAAGCTCCATAAAGACAATCCAACCTCCTCATCATTGTCCTTTTCAACCCGTGGAAGTTGCCAGTATGCTAGGACCAGGCAGAGGAGTCCGATTGGTGCTTGACCGAGCAAGGCCCTAGGAAATCATAAGTCAATGGAAAATGTCATTGGGAACCACCCACGTCGAACGAATGACTTACCATCTCCAGCCAAAATTGTCAGTGACAAGGCCACCAAGTGGTCCTCCACATCCATGGCCAAAGATCTCGGCAGCGATGACATAGCTGCGAACAGACGCGATTTCTGAAACTTCGAAGACCTCTGGTAATACAATCAGCCTTTGTTTCTCGAATCGCATCAAAAGAAATGCTCACCATTTATGAGCACGGAGAGCAAATCCGTCATTCCAGAACCCCCTACACCTGCCAAGAACCGACCGAATGCAAATGGCCATACTGAGTCGACGGCGCCGCTGGAATCCAATGTGAGAATGAGGAGAACGCAGTGAGGTTTAAACCCTAGAGCGTTTGGGATACGCTTGCGGGCTTGTGTTTTACTCACGATATTGCGCATCCAACGGAGAATAAAGCATATGACACCAGGAGAAAGTTTCGACTGCCGTATATATCGCTCAAGAAGCCGTACTAGAATTTGTCGATCAGTGGGGTCCACTTCATCAGAAAAATTAACACCCTGAAAGGGTGTGAAAGGGGCACGTACCACAGGTAGTGCAACGCAGAAACCGAGGTTATATGACACCAATAGCAGGGGCGCAGAAGAGGGGGAGTGTAGCGAAGACGCAATTTGATTTTGAGTCGTTAGCAGAACGGATTTGTCTGCACCAGCGAGGAAGACGCCTACATAAAGGGTGAAAAGTCAGTGAACCTACCGGGCGCGGTAGACCAAGAAAGGTTTTACATACCAACCAGTCCAGCAAGAAGTCTTGTAATGCCAAGTGACCTGGGCTTCTGGTGTTTTGCATATTCTAGCAAAGGAGCCCGCTCGTCTAGCATTTCGACCTATATACTGGAGAGTTTCAATACTCTGGCTGCAGTGTGAGTGAAGTGTCTGCTTGGAATGGGCTCTGGCTCTGAAATACTAGTAGACTTAAAAATTGTAAGCGGAATGATCTTTGTTGGCAAAGAATTGAGATCTGACTTGAGACAATCAATATTCAGTTCAAATATGCACCCTTGCCTACTCCTGGGAGAGTTTTCAGCTGAACGACCCACTTGGCAACTCAATGGTAGCACACTAGGGGTGATCAGATCTGCGCCGGAAGCTGAACAAAGAAAAAGCAAAACCCAATATCTGTAAGGAGCAAGTAACCACACCAATCAGCGTGGATGCTGCCTCTTGAAAAGGTAATCGTCTCGAGTGTCCAAGCCTTGGAATGAGAATGGAATACATCACGCCGCCACCGCAGCCAGAGTAAGCCTACAATGACATGTTATCAATTCTCAGAAAGTGGTGTGACTACTTTCCAAGGTTGTGATGCATACATAGCCTTGATTGCTTTCCTTGACTCTCCGAGTCAGTCAGATTAATGTTGAGCCAACAGCGTGTTCGTTGGCTCGGTCGGACGACCCCGGTTTACCTGGGCAGTTTGCTGGCCAGTAGATCCTTGTTCAATCTACCTGTTCATTATGTTTTCGGCTTTTGCCCATGTTGTAAAGTATCAGCTTGCTTCAGCAACCGATCGGGACTTCTTTTCGTTCGATTGACTGACGATATTAGTATTCGCCACATCCACTCCATACGTCACAATCAATGCCGTTTATCGTCTACAAACAAAATTGACACCGCCGCAGGTTTGTCTGGTGTTGCCATTTCTTCTTTACAGAATCATCATCAACGAGGCAGAGAACGGAGCCAATCCTATTGGACACTGAATCCAAAACCAAGGCTAAACCGATGAGGAAGGAGAAAGACAAACCCCATGCTCGGGCGCTAAATACGAGTACTAATCAACCAGATCCCCGAACCTATAGATAGATTCAACCAGTCGATATCCATGGATCAATGTTTGGTGAACCCGTTACACAATCTCCAGCCATGAAATCTTAGAAAGTTGATGCCTGTACAAAGTACGGTCATGTCACTCAAAGCCATTGTAGATTTGACTTTTGGGAGTAAAAACCAAGTTTGAATGGGATGTAACTCCCCCAGACCTTGATTTGGCGCAGTAAGTTGTACATATCATCAATGGATTAGACGCTTATGTGAATGGGCGAGTGGGCCTCGGGATTGGCGATCAATGCAAACTTATGCAGGCCTCCCAATTAGGAACCCTACACTCTGCGCCTGAGATAGAAATGACGGGGCAAGTGTTTGAATAGTTATCTGGTACTTCGTATACCTTAGAGGGTTCAGATATAAAGTTCGAGTTTGGTATGTTTGCACATGCATGCATCCCGACTGATTCGTACTAGTCTATGTAGGCAGTCCGCTGTAATCCGTACTATTTTTCAATCCACCTACAGTTACTCTGTACTAGCTACGGAGTAGTGCGATTCTTGATGAGAAGTCTCATTATAGAGATCTGGGGCTTCTGAAAGCCGAGAAATAGAAATGAAAGCAAATAAAGTAGTGTAAGAGAGAGAGAAGAGGGGCAAGGTATGAAAATCCCAATCCATTCATAGACTTAGCTAAGGACCTCAGGTTGCGAGGGCAGAGTGCAATAGGTAGTATCATTGAGGCACTCATCCATGGATTCGTACACTTGGAGGGAGAATGGATCTGGGAGGGGGATTAGACGCCTGAGGCTCTATATCTGCCCCAGGCACCAACTGTGCCGAACTTCAGAGATCCTCCCGACACCGTCGGATTTTCAGTTGTTGGTAAAGATGAAGATGAATTCTTTGATTTCTATGTGGCATTCGAAATATAGTGGTTCAGATATTGCTATCATTGAATTGTAAGTGCAGTGTTCATCTTTGCACAAATTATCAATACGTTCAAACTTGTGTTTACTTGGAACAGCCGGACAGCCCTACTGACCTACCCCAGGGCCTCAACCAGAACCATTGGGCGCAACCTCCGCTTCTCGCTGCCATTTATCCATTGTTTCTTCCATCAGGCCCTTGGTCAAAACCACCTATGCATGTTTAGTAAGGCGGCCAAATTCAGGCAAAAAGTTAAGTGAAGCGACACTCACCAGTTCTTCAGACTCTATAAGCGTGTCGTGATCCGCATCTTCCACAATACCCCATTCAACGTGGTCCGGTCCAACCATTTCGTCCCAGCCACCAGCATCAAAAGATTCACGCGGGAGCTGAAGCCAGTCACCACTTGTTTTCATCTTAGTGTCCGGTCCTTCTCTCTTCAAAACCTCCATCGCGTCGAGAACCATCGCTCCCATCCTATCATGATCGCCATGGCCGGCCCAGATGACAAAGATCCGCGGTCGGGTTGCATTGCCCGAAATGTCAAAGGGACGAGGCACATATTTCATCTTCGCGTAGTAAGCCGCGACTCGATGCTTCTTTCTGAAAGCAGGGATCTCCACATCGGGTTGCCCCTGGCGACGAATTGGGGGGAATACGCCCATCATTTCAAACAGCTCGACGGTTGCCTCCGCAATTTTGGGCGGCGGTCGAGGTAATGCCAGGTCCAGCATGATTATCCCCAGGACTTGCTTTCCTTGTTCATGGAGTTGATATGCGGTTTCGTATGCAGTGGCAGTTCCCATTGACCAACCGCATAGTATGTATGGGCCGTGAGGATCGATATTGCGAATTGTGTTTGCGTAGATGGTGGCTGTTTCTTCGATCGTCCAAGAGGACTCTGATTTGGTCATGAGGAATGGAGAGCCAAAACTGTAGACGGCACGATCATTGGTAAATTTGGGAAGCATCCTGTACACGAACGCATTCCCAGAGCCAGGAGGGGCGAGGAAGAGGGAGGGAACGCCGGGCCTCGGCGTCCCCTGGAGTAGGACTGAAAAGCATAGGTTGCTCGGCTTTTCTTCGATGACAGGTGTAAACCGAAGGAAGCCTTCTGGCTCTGAGACGGCACTGATCTGTTGACAGACTGCACCGATCGTTGCTTGGGTGAAGAAGAGAGACGACGGCAATGATACTCGTGTTTCTTTTTTGACGTAGCTGAGAATTGCGATAGACATGATCGAATCGATTCCGAGTTCGATCATCCGCATAGACAAGTCAATTTGCTGACCTTTCTTCTTTTCGATGGCCGTGCATAACGACCTCATGACATGAGAGCCCAACGAAGAACCATTTATACTATGGTCGCCATTTGTGTCTGTTTGCTCTTGGGCTTGCTGGCGCTCCCAGCGTGTTCTCACCAAACTTTCCAGTTCAGTCTTTTGGACCTTCCCTGCCATGGTCTTAGGGTATGTCTCTTGTCCCAGCGCTTGTATGGGGATCACTTCTGCCGGAACATAAAGATTTCCCATTTGCGCTAAGACGGTTTCTTTTAGCACATTAGCTGTATTGCTGTCAACTTCCCGGTTCACCACCAGAACGGGAACTTCGCCAGCGACATGGTCGGGTGCGCGAATAACCTGAGGTTGAAGAACATTGATCTCGGGGATTTGACCCAGAACCGCTTCAATAGCCGATGGTTCAATGTTCTCACCTCCGCGAATAATCGTATCCTTGTACCTACCAATCAAGTACAGACGATTGTCGCTACCAATGAAGGCTTTATCGCCAGTGCGGAACCAGGCACGGCCATCCGCATCGTTGTAAAAGTTTTCATCAGCACCCCCGACATATCCATTGATCAGGCTTGGACCTGAGAAGTGCATCTCGCCGGCCTCTCCGGTCCCAGGTGCCACTTTGCTGTCTTTGGCATACACACGGACAGTCATTCCAGGAAGAGGGGTACCGATAGAAACATCTCTGCCCTTGATCATCTCGCTGGACTGGCTCACAACGCCAGAAGAAACAAGAATACCCTCTGTCATACCGTAGAGATTCTCCACCCCCGACGAACCTAGAGACTCAAGGCAAACCCGGATGACTTCTTCGGTTGGGGGAGAGCCTCCTAGTACAATCCGGACAAGAGAGCTCAGTTTCTCAGATGGAAGCGGCATGCTACCGAGAGCATGAATCATGGTTGGCACCAGTCCAGCATGGCTCACTTGCTCCTCATGGATGGCCTTGATCGTAGCTTCTGGAATAAAGCTTGGTCCTGGGAGGACAACGGTAGCTGCGTTGAGGAAAGGAGCTATGATACAAAGCCAACCAAACCCGTGGTTGTTTGGCAATGTAAATAATACCCGGTCTCCGGGAAGCATGGGAACATTGCTCTCGCGCCAGCGCAATGCGGCCGCATAACCATACGAAGATGGCATCATGCAACCTTTGGGGAGGGATGTCGTGCCACTTGTGAAGAAGAGTGTTTGATCAGGGAGCTCCGAGTAGTGATCTCTGCAGAGGTTTGCTTCGGACTGTGGAGCCGCAATCTGCATCAACTCTTCAAAAGGTGTCCAGCCATCCACCTCTCCTTCGACCAATATCCGCGCACAATTCAATCCGGCCGTCAACTCTTCAATGCGCGCGCACATATCAGATGATCCCGCAATGACGCCCAAAAAGTCTGACTGACATCCTTTCATCACGGTCTGCATCATGTGCCGGATATCTCTGACATTCAAGAGACCCTTGGGGTTGATTGGAACGTAGGTGCATCCGATTTGGTAGGCCGCCCAGGTGGCAATCACATATTCGGCGATATTTGGCATGAACATCACCAATGGATCTCCCGCCTTTAGGCCTCGTCCCTTTAAACCAACGACAAGTCGCTGTATAGCTTGATCGAGCTCCTGGTAGGTCCATCGTAGACAGTCGTTTTTACCCTCGGAGCTGCTGATGGATGGGCTCTGGGTTTCGTAGTGGGTAGAGGCTTGCTGGGTACTGACAAGAGCCACGACGTCCGGGTATTTCACGACATTCTGATAGAACGCCGCGTAGAGAGGCGTGTCGGGATTTGGAAGGGGAGCTCCATGCAGTTCGTTGAGGGCTGCCATGGTGAATGATTTCTCGCAATTGATTCCTGACAGTCTTTGGACTCACAACAAAATAAAAAAAAAAAGAACCAAACGTAGCTGTGGCCTTTAGGGCTGCAGACACTGGAATTGATTAAACACGAAGTATAATACAATACAAGCTCATTACGAAGTTGGGTATTTGCACAGCTTGGGGCCCGCTCACCCAGTCGGTGAAGCCCGGAAGACAAATCGATCTGTCTGCCGTGCGGGGCCTTACAGAGAGATCTTCAAGCATGCTACCCCACCTACCTTCCCCTCTATTTGATTCAATCAAGATTGCGCTAATCCGGGAACAGAGAGCTGAGATGGGTCCACGACGTCGTGCATAATCATTCAGATGTGACGAAGGTCGTGAAAATTAGACAGAGTGGGCCCAGGAAGTCAAATAACCAGAGAAACAATCACATTCTATGAGATAGGTCAAAACCTGTCCCTGCACGCTTAGGCTGCAGCAGAACTGTGGAGTAAACTCATGCGGTGACAGCAATTGTGGCGGATGTATGTAATAAATTTGCGTGAGTTGTTGAGTATGCGTGGGACTGAAATGCAGTGTGAATTGTAATCCAATAGACTCGGTCGTGGGTTACTCCGTACATACCTAGGTATGGTGTGACCGATCGCATTGCGTGTCTCGCGGCCCTGAGAGGTACCTACCTAGGTACCAATGTAGGTACCCGTATGTAACAGGCAAACACAATCAATATTTAGCCAGTATTATCCGTTCTTCTGGCGAATTTGAAGCTATTAAAGGAACACCTAGGTGTAATATACTATTCCACGGATCATCGTAGCCCAGGGATACTTGTATTGTAATATCCTCCGTACTGGGTTTCTTGACAGGCAAACCCTTCTCACACAGGTTAAGACTGCGCAGGTGGATTGTCAAATAGGAAAGCCTAGAATTGCTCGTACATGAATGCAGATGTAGAGCACAGGCCGTTCATCCATTCCCCGAAAATGAGAGCGCTAGCATGAGCTGGCTCATTCGTGGCAAGACATTATCACGTGGCATGAAGTAGAGCGTTCACTTATCTCTCATTTGATATAGCTATCAATACTCCGTAGGTTAGAACCAATTTTTGAAACACCCTCGCAAAAATCTTGGACCTTGGAATCTCTTTGCCTCAGCACCGCAGCTCATCATGTCTCAAACCATGACTTCCTCTCTCTTGAAGACCACCAGGATTGTGGGAAATCAATCTTTGGACGTCGCTGATCTTGAAGTCATCAATTTTGAAAAGATTGCTGCGAAGGATCCCGTTGAGATGGCGAAGCTTCTGAAGGCTGCCGAGTCGACGGGATTTTTCTTCTTCAGTTTCAACAAAGAGCTGTCGGAAACGATGTCCAAGTATCTTCAGACTTGTTACCAGAACAGCGAGGGCTATTTCACCAAGCCTATTGACGAGAAGATGAAGGACTTTAGAGAAGATGTGGATCGTGGGTATGTCTGCCGCTACTGTTCTTACCAATCATGCACGCAGCCACTCACACGTTGATAGCTACAAACATAGACCGGGCGTTGAATCATACGAAGTATGTATATCCAAGTAGCTTGGATACGTGATACTTATGATACATAGATTGCTCGAGACGAACAAAACAGCATCGCTTTACCAACCCCCTTCGCAGCGCACGCTGGGACAACGAACGACTTCATTGATATTTGCGACACCATAGTTCGCGCCTGCCTCCGCAGCCTTTCAGCTAGCCTTGGTCTTGAAGGCTCCTCGCATCTCGAAAAATCCCATCCTCCAGAAGGACCGAGCGATTCCGGACTAAAGTTCGTCTCTAGTCCGACTCTTGCACACACCGCCGATGTTCCCGACTCTACACACACCGACAGCGGTTCAGTCACCTTGCTATGGTGCGAAAAATGGGCCAGTCAGTTGCAGACAAAGGAGACAAAAGAGTGGCTATGGATTGAGCCCAAACGTGATTGTGTCTTGATCAACCTTGCCAACTATCTGCAAAATCAGACCGGCGACCGCTTGCACTCCCCAGTCCACCGGCTAATGCAGCCGAGTGACGGTGTAGAGGACCGGCACTTTGTATCATATTTCCTCAGACCAACCTGCTAGTCTCAGGAAAAGGATTCGGTGCCCTTAATCTTCGAGGAGAAAAAAGAAAAAAACGAGTGTGTCAGTGACAAAACCATGTTGATGCGGGACCGGTGGGCATGTTCATATAAAAGCTTTGGAAACGTAACAGATAACACGTTTCAATCTCAGTATTTATCGGTCTACAATATTTTATTCCATAGTTTGTATGGAGTACTTAGTGGATGAGGAGACTGATATTTTTTTCTAACAAAACTGCTTTCGCTTGTACCTATTCAATGCGTGTACGAAGTACCCGATAGAATTGGATTATCAAATCCACATTTAGAATCTCCCTGCACCGGGATCGCCTGCCAAGTTTTATAAAAACAAAAGAAAAACATCTGATTGAATGTTGCCTTCGGATACTAGGGAGGCTTGGTAAGATTTAAATTAGAACTGGGAGATCTCAATGTACATCTGTAAAAGGACGGGTCGTCGGGCTGACTTCCTCCCTAGATAGGGAACGACTGCTTAGGTTTGCAGCAACTCCACTACAGGTCACATACGAGTACGTACGAGTAGTAAGTAGCTCCAAATTTGATTCTCGCCACCAAGTTGGAAATTCACAAATCCCGATCTCTACTCCGTACCGGACAAGAGGATAGCGCTGCCCTGCGTACCGACCCATTTTCAAGATCAGCCACCAGATAGTGGAGCGCCAATTGATTTCTAATCCCCGAATAGTTCACCGTTGACTCATCGATAAATCATGTATCCAATATGTGCACGCAGGAAGTGCACGATGTTCACGCAGGGGCACATGGGTCAGGGTTGCATGTATTGATGCCTTGGTGCCTGGTATTTGCGTAAGTTTGGCCTGGCAGAAAAACAGATTTACCCGAATTATAGGGAGTACATACTCCGAGCAAGGCTCTAAGATAGGGGTTTTTATTTTTCCAGCCACGGGTAAAATTGAGCTGGGTAATATGATGCTGATCCTATGTACATATAAAACCACAGAGATTTCAGTTCTCTATACGTGGAATTATACCTATTTTCCAGTGTGCCGAAGCAACTTACATTACAGTGTATCCCGAGTTCTGAAAGCGGTCAGAATGAACCATACCAAGATCAGGCAGAAAGGCACCCATGCACCAAAGCCGAAAGCAACCCTGACCCGCTGCAAACGATCGTACCTAGCTGAAGAGCATTCATCACATCCCGGTCCGAGCTCTCACCCCAATATAGACCGCTCATTCTCACAGTGCATAAGTGAGCGGTCTCAGCCAGCCACACCCGACAGGATACCCCGATTCGTCCGGCCGAGATGCAGGAATGGTTGTTCTGTGTGACCATCCTGCAGAATAGCAACGTCATCTAAACATACCTACCCAAGTAGGTATGTAGCTATGTATGTACTCGTATAACAGTGAATTTTGGAACCGAGTCGGTGGATTCTGCAAGCAGGGGGGCAAGGGGCAACAGTGCAATCAATGCTTTCTTTTTTCTTTTTTTCAATTTGATTTTGTGTTTTTGTTTTTTGTTTTTGGGCTTTCAATGATCCCACTGAGACACCAACGCGATACAGTCCAATGTGATACTCGTACCTCAGTACGGAGTAGAGATGCGCAGCTGAAAAGTCGAACGAAGGCAAGGTAAATATGCAATTTTCTTGGAGTTTGGCGCTTCCGGGCCCTATCACTGCCAGCACTGCCGAGGTCTTATAATAACTGTATTTTTCAAGCTTTCTAGGGCACTTGAAACCAATTCAACATTGAGAGAGGGCTACCCGATTCGAAATCCCCAAATACACGAAGCCAAACTCCCACCATGTCCGTCCAATTTGATTTGATCATTAAGGATCGTCGAGTCACCTTCTCTGTTATCCTCGTTCTCATATGCATTTGTCCCTTCACCTTTTTATATTTCAAATCACTCAAACCCCCCACAAACCACGAAAAGTGCAACACTTTAGCCGCGTCGGACCGTGAACGTTTCAAAGCATCTCGATATGTCAAATCAACTGCGGAATGGACATCCACCAAAGAGCTTGAATTCTACAAAGAACTTTATTTCAAGCTCCAGAATTTGGAAGAGCATTGCGACACATTACCAACGGCAAGACGTGCCTTTCAAATTTTGCTTTCACAGGCCTTGGAGGATTCCGTCAAAGCATCTGGGGTCAACTTACTGTCAATCAAACACTTCGACAAGAAGAAACTTGCCCGCTTTCTCCAGAGTGAGCAAGATGATGTCACAAGTCAATATCATGGTTATATCACTCGCCGACGAGCGGGCGGTGCACGTGAGATTTTAAAAGATCGACAGGCAGCCGGAGATTGGCTGAGGGAAATTGCACCGGTGAAATTGGTTGACGGCGCCTGGCTGGGACATTTAAACACAATCAAGATGCCCTTCTCTTTGAGGCAAATCGTGAAACAGACATGGCAAGTGTTTACGGAGGAATTGGGGAATGGAAACAGTGACCAACATCATGTCAAGATCTTCGAGGACCTTTTGGAAACATTTGAACCTGATTTGCCCGCGCCAACGACAAAGGCTATTCTGCATCCTCGATACAGGCTAGGTAGCCTAAAGTATTGGAGAGCAGCCGTGGCGCAACTGCTGGTGTCTCTTTTCCCGCAAGACTTTTTGCCTGAGATCCTCGGATTCAATATGCATTTTGAAGCCCTGCAGTTAGATACTTTACAGGCGGCGAAGGAGTTGCCGGAAGTTGGTCTCAACCCGTCTTATTTTCTTCTCCATATTTCTATCGACAATAGTCATTCGGGACACGCTGCTATGGCCATGGAGGTCGTTTCCGACTACATTGAACATGTTGCCAAGACTGAGGGTGAAGCGGCTGCTGAAGTTGCGTGGAAAAGAGTCCAGGCAGGATATGTTTTCAGCGAGTGGCAGTTTCAAAAAGGCAATCAAGTTACCAACATTCTTGACCATCTCAATGATGACTCCCATGATCGATTGGAGTCGAAGGTTCTTGCAATCTTTGGCTCAAAAATCCAGGCTGCCCATAGACTGCATTGTGGCAGCCGGGTGAAGATTGGAAAGCGCTCGCTGGCTGACTGGCTTGATCCTGAAGCCTTCTCGTCGGAGGAATGGCAGAGGGACTTTATTCGATGTTTGAGTGTATGCGAACCATGGATTTATCAAGGTGACAGCCAGAGAAGTAAGTTGGTACGGGAGATTCAATGGGGAGGAAGGATGTATGGCTCTTTCACAAAGAGCGAACTCGAAGCACTCGAGCTTTGGATCAACTCCCTGGGTTCCGACCGAACCCCTTTTTATTGCTCCTTCATTCAACCCACCGCATCCCCAGTGAGCCAACAACCCAACCGATCAGACACCGATTCCCCAGATCATTTTGAAATTATTTCTGGCAGTGAGAATCTGCAAACGGCAGATCTGCCTCTCAACGGCACACCAACGAAGTCCTCGGGAGACTTGACAACAAGTCTCAATTTGCCTATCTTATTACCGCTCTGGTTTACGCAGTGCTGCCTGTTTGAATCATTTTTGTATGCCCCGGGGAGAACGAGTGACAAGATTGGCTGTGCTGTGATACGATTCTTGCGAGCTCAATCCGGCTTTGAAACGGAGGATTTGCTCGTCACAGGAACAGATGAGCCCAGCATAACAGAGAATGGAGGAATCGTTGAATTTGGCTTGGAGATAATTCTTCGAGCGTCGCTGCCCATACCCCAAGACCTTCAAGGTCTTCTCTCCCTTTGGCCCTCCGAGTTCGCCGCAAAGATGCTCGCATTATCATCCAGTCCCAATCGAAACTTTGGTACTCTGTTGGGTATATCAATGGCCTTTCTCGAATTGCAGGAGTTGGTATCGGAATATTCAATCTCTGGGTTACTTTGCCCCAAGAGCAGTGAGCGCCTTGCCTCGCTGGTTCGGAGGCAGTACCATTGCTTGCAAGTCTGTCTTCAGGAGATCCCCGCCGGAGATTCACGTCGTGTAGACTTCCACCATGGGTATAAATTGGCGAAAAAGGAAGTCGAAAGATGCTCCAATCTGAAGGTGTGAAACAGGTTTCTCTTGGGCATACATCTGGTGCGGTTCTCTTTTTATGTTACGGCAAGCTCAAATTCTAAAGTTTTTGTTCTCCTATCAAGATAACTGTTTCTTTTTTTCGCTTTCCATTTTCCCCCAGTCAATCAAAATATGAATGATATTCCCCACCATGGCCTAGGACTTTAGCGTCCAGTCAGTCAGGATACTAATAATATGTGACCCGTTATGAAGACCATATTTCATTATTGAGACTGCTGTGTGGGGTTCCAAGGTTCTCCCCAACACTATGTAGATAGACGAGACCTCGCCTCCTCCCGAGGTCTTTTTCTTTTGTCCATTTACTATCTCTCTCCCCCAGACTGATGAGCCAAGAACTCTTAAGTACAAATTTTCTTCCTTCCGCTGTAGGCCTGAGAGACACGTCTACTTTAGAGAATGTGCCGCCTTTCCAAGCGAAGGAAAATGAAAATTGAGCTTACAATCCAGGTGTTCACAAAAGTGTCTTGATTATCAACTGATTACCCCTAATCGAATGAAGAGTTACATCTGGCTTAACATACTGAACACAGACAACAGAAATAGAGAATGAAGCACGGGAGCTTCAGTTACTCGTGTAGGCTGAAGCACAGTCGGGTCCCAAACTAATCGACCAATCACATGATAGCAGTATCACCAAAACACCAATCACACAATGGAATGACTCAATAGGCGATACAACGGAGATCGGAGATCAGAAAACATGTGGCTCATGCTACTTATTCGGTATCACAGCAGGTCCAGCAGCCCTATAGGTGATCTTTAATATTCATTGTGTTGAATGATAAACCAGGCCATCAAATTTTGAACTTACGCTAGAAAGCTGGGTCTTCTCGGTACCGGGTGGGCACGAGTAGTCCGCTGGAGCATCCTTGCAAATATTAAGGCAGTCGGTATCGGCGTTCAACTGATGCTGGGCACTAGCGGCAAAGGCTGTGGAAACAGTCAAAGTCAGAGTGGCGATAAGGATAGAGTAGAACTGCATTTTGATTGATAGAGATGATAGAGGAATTCGAAATTGAGGAGATATGTTGTGTGATTGTTCTAAAATGTTGAACGATAATAATATTTATACAATTCGAGCGCCTCGCCAAGAATTTTGAATTTCTATCTTTCACTTAATCAGAGGAGATAGGTAACTTCACATTTAGCAAGGAGTGTCGCACAAGGGACATACTGCTCATTAGCTCAAATGTAACCCGCAGATCACAGGAGATCTTCAGGAGATCCAGCTATGTACCTGTATACGGAGTACTCGTATGTATTCCGTGCGAACCCTGCTCAACATTACTATCTATCCACAAATTAGGTACTAACAGACTACAAAATACTCCAATCAGAATGGCGAAGCGATGAAAATTGAGTGGTACCTAGGTATCAACCAAGAGTAAGATATCCCATGTATACTTGTAAGATTGCGCACAATAATTTGAGTTAGGAAACATCGCGCTTGGCGGATAACTCTGGATTATGGTCTCAGGTTGTGTGTGAGTACGAGTATACTCGTACTTTCACGAATCCCTTACCTAGGTTACCTATGGCTGGCTGACATTCCACCTGTGCGCATATTGCGGTGTAGCCGCTCCATACTGAGATATACTTGTTCAATTTACAGGTCTATAGTCAGTACCTTTTTTAATCGTTGCAACCAAATGATTCCAAAATTGAGCATGAGTACTCCATAAGCAGAAAATTAATATTTAAAATGACCACCTAGCATTTATCTCTCCAAGCCACATTTGTTTTACCGACTCGCTTTGCCTCCATTTGCGGCCCGCTCCCGAGTTCCACGATCATTGCAAGGTTGGTTCTCCACTATTTGCTTATTCCCCCGCTGATTGGTTGTGAGAGGTTCAGCTAATGCACGGACCTCCGGGGCTGAGGTTCAGGTGCAGAATGTGACGAATGAATTTCAATAAGTTGAACAGTTGCATCAGGTACGGAGTACTCCGAGGGATGATGTGTCATCGAGTGGGTTGGTCTAGCCCGAGGGCTCGGAGTGGAACTGAGGTACCTCCACCGTCCACGGGATCTTTTTGAAACCAAATTGAATTGATTCAGGCCAGACCTCGGGATACCTGGGGGGATCCAGAGTATTAGGGAATGCACGGACCTTGCGTAACAGGCGCATACGGTAATGACATCACTCGTGGACTGGAGCAGTTGCCAAATCATCAGCCAACGTAGTTACTCGTATACGGTCATGAGCCTTGGAGTGCGGGGCAACCTTTGTAATACTTGAGTATACGGAGTATATCACTTTGAAAATCGCTCAACACAGATTCTTGAGACAGGTCGAGCTATTATGACAGCGTCACATAAATAGCACTGGAATCACAATACAAACTACTCCGTGCCAACTTTAGAACTTCGTTAAAGATGTCTCCCTCTCAGAATGATATCGCCAAGGGCTTCCGCGCCCTCCACAAACCTCTGGATCCTCTCATCCTCACAAACGTCTGGGACGCCAGCACCGCCTCAACCATTGCTTCGCTCCCCAAAACCCGCGCCATCGCCACAGCCTCCTTTGCCATCGCAGCGTCCATCGGCGTCAGTGATGAAGAGCTCACAAAAGCTCAGAATCTGGCCTCTTTGAAGATAATCATATCCGCAGCCCACCGTGTTAACCCTGACCTACCCGTCACAGCCGATCTGCAAGATGGGTGGGACAACGACTTGCCAAGCTTGGCGGCATCAGTGAAGGAAGCTATCGGCTTGGGCGTGGTGGGCTGCAACCTGGAAGATATGAATAATGTGACCGGCACATTGCGGCCACTAGATGAGGCTGTTGCGCGTGTGAAGACTGTGGTTGAGGCAGCGAAGGAGGCCGGAGTTCCCGACTTTGCACTCAATGCTCGGACAGATGTGTTATCGCAGGAGGGGAAGACATTGGATGATGCTATTGTGCGGGGAAAGGCGTTTTTGGAAGCCGGGGCTCATACAGTGTTTATCTGGGGTGGACCCAAGGGACGGGGTGTTTCGAGTGAAGAGGTGAAGACTTTGGTGAAGGAACTGGATGGCAGACTGAATGTGATGATGATGTCGGGAGATGGCTTCTTGGGGCCACAGGAGATTCGGCAGTTGGGAGTTGCAAGAGTGAGTATTGGACCTGGATTGTGGTTCGCTGCAATGAACACGGTTAAGCAGCAGGCAGAGTCGCTGCTTTGAGATAGTACGTGTATAAGAACGAGCATATAGGCCAGCGAGCTTAGTGAACAGCCCATTGAACCTGAATTCATACAAATACATCATCCTTTCTTGAAGATAGCTATAACTGGCGAAGCTGAAGAGACCTCTGTTGTGGTATGAGGGTCCATCCCAGCCCCAGTGTAGTAGATAGGTTGCCAGCTTCTCTCTCTCTCTCTCTCTCTCTCTCTCTCTCTCTCTTTCTCTCTTTCTCTCTCAACCCACAACTCATTACCTATTATTCAAATCCACATGAAGAAGAACTGTAAGTGCACATTTGTTTTGGTCGCAGTAACAAAACCCCAAGAAGCAAGCCTCCAAAGTCAAAGTCTCGGCCATCTTCGGACCACTAGGATCGTTGAGATCTACATATGCCCCAATCTGTGGCATTAAATTAATTACAAGCTGGAATTAATTACCACCGGGATGCTGACCGCAATTCGGCACATACAGCGCCCAGATTTGGGCCCTGGCAACGACCAATCTCGATATGTTGTCTCCTCAGATGGGTATGCCCGCATGTTCGCATGCATATGTGATCTCTATATGTGCGTCACATCCGAATTTACCCCACAGTAAAAATTTTGATCTCCACCACGGGGCCTGAAATTCACATTAATGCGACGTGGACAGTGATAGTCATAGAAAACTGTAGAATCTATGCAATGACATCCTGTGCAATATCCACTGCGTACGCGTGGACGGGATATGAAGTACAAGCATGTATTTTGTAACGTATTCATCGATCGGCTCATGCATAGCAACACAATGCTATTTACTCGTATTATCGACAAGAATGGAAGCTAGCGAGCCTTCGTGCATATTTCCGCCCCAATTAGCGTTCGGGGATCGGGGCGGGCCGATCCCTGTAACATAATTGGGAATTGAAAATAGACTGCATGAATTTTGGTATTTATTGTAATTCATTACAATGTAATTAATTACAGGAAAAATGCACAAGACAGATGCTAGTTAGCGAGCGTGTTCAACTTTAGAATGATCACCATGCTTGGTCTTTGTGAAGGCAGACAAAATGCTTTAATCAAACGGTACTATCTATTGAGACTCAAATTGGACAGAGGAAGAGAAGGAAAAGAAAGACTGGAGTAACGAACTTTAGAAGATCCGGGAGGGTTGACTGAGGCTTGATGTCTGAGGTGTCTATTATGCCTCAGGCACCAAATCTGCCAGCCCTCATTCCTACGGAGTACCTAGTGAAGAGATAAGAGCACGATAGCGTTTTGACGGAATTTAGCAGACAGGATAGGAGGGAGACTTCAGGAGACACTGGCTTGGGCATGGGAGCAGAGGTGGGCGTTGCAATAAGTAAGCCCCTCATCGGTCAACATAGTGCCCAGTGTAAAGTCGCAGATTTCAGGAAGATGATCCTCAATTTCCTGAGAATGAAGACTGCTATATAAAGGAGCCGCTGATGAATTATCCATTTATGCGGGCCCCTGAGATCATACTTAAGTGCGGACTTCAGGAGTACATTGTATAGCGCTCTATCATTCCATTAGGCGGCGTTTCTTTTTGCACATTTGCTGCCATCATGGATATTCTGTACAAAATAGTGCCCTTCGCTGAGGCCTGAAGTAGTCGCAGTAAGAGGTGCTAGGATACTTAAGTAGTAATTTTACAAGTGGATATGAAAGTATCCGGAATCCCGCTCTGCCTCAACCTCAGAAGTAAGACCCAAGTCAAATGAATCTGACAAGTGAGTAACCTCCCTACAAAGTCAGGAGAATGATATATCTTCTCATCAGAATACTAAAGTCAAATTATTGATATGGACCGACCTTGGATTCCAAGACATCGAGTCAAATTGCTCACCACTTTGAAATTATACAATAGGCGATTCGGGTGGTGGCTAATTGGGGACGCTCGGACGAGAGCAGAGAGGTTGACTCTAGATGGGAGGGCGATGGTATGCAGTTCTCGTTGTCTAAGCTAGTTATCATTCAAGTCCTAAATGCTCGCGGCAGAACTTCCGACTCTCCTCGTTTACATCATATCCCTGTACCCACATTCGACCACCGGGCTCAAATGTGCTTTTACAAGCTGGGTCAGGAACCGGTCTCTCCCTGATTACCTTCTCTTTGACTTTCTCAAGTCCAAGCTCGGCCAGCTGTGCGCGCTGCTTATCACGAATGGCTTTCCATTTGGCATCTCGCAAAATCTGAGCTTCGCCATCTGGAAGAGTCATATCGATGGCAGTGCCACGACTGATACTGCGCAAATGCTCTACACGAGCCTGTCTAAACTCACTCCACGCACCCATCACTCTCGGCAGATCGTCCGTAGACCTCAGATATCCCACAAACTCCGCCAGACTCGCCGCATCCTCCATCGCCATTCCTGCCCCCTGTGCAGCATGCGGGAGAAGAGCATGCGCCGCGTCCCCGACTAGCGCTACTCTTCCAGATGCACTCACATAGCTGGGAATAGGAGCGACCTCACCCAAGGTCCAGGAAACGCACTCTCCATCTTGAACGAGGGATGCCAAGGCCCGCACTTCCTCGCACCATTCCGATACAAGCCCGCGCATCGTCCCAATATCGGCAGGGTGATTCCACGACCCGACAGGCACCCCTTCGCTCGGTCGCGGAACACCGATAACGAGATTGTACAGCTCGCTCGAGGCGACCGTGTACCCCAACACAAACGCGTTCGGTCCTACCCACGTCTTTGCCTCTGGGGAAGCCATGAACGGCGCAGTGATGGGGTTGGACAGCATTCTTGACCGTGGAATCACAGCGCGATAATTATGCTCCCGATACGGCGTGGGTGCCACATCTTTTGACGCCGGCAAGCATCGCCTGGTCCGGGACCAAATGCCGTCTGCTGCGACTGTAAAGTCTCCCTCAAATATCTCGCCGTTTGTTCCGTGAACGGTGCCGGTCTCATGATCCACAGACGCAACGGATTTCCCGAATAAGACGGATACGTTGGGAAGCTGCTTTACCCGCTCGAAGAGTGCTTGTTGCAGGTCGGGTCGGTAGACCTGCATTTGAGGCCAGCCATAGAGCCATGTGCTTGTAGGATTGTTCATGTTGAAGGACAGCTCGGCGTTATCTTCCCAGCGTCGGACGGAGATATGTGAGGATTGAAAAGCAACCTTCTCCATGGCTGGTCCAAGACCCCATTTGTGTAGGAGGCGAGTACTGTTTGGAAATAGTTGCAGACCGGCTCCGAGCTCACTGAGAGAGGCGTTTGACTCTAGAACTGTGATCTGGTGGTCGGGATTTATGTCGGAGATTGCTATTGCTGTCGAGAGACCGGCCATACCGGCGCCGATGACCGTTATTCTCAATGGCTTGCCCGATTGATTGAAAGACATTGTGTTATGCAAAAGCTCAGCAGATCTATTTCAGATTCAGGTGCTGTTTTTCGTTGTCCTTTCACGATAACAATTGTTATAAACATTCCATAGTCCTGGGTCCTTCAGGTGTCAGCAACGAGCTCCGACGATCGGCGCCTAAACTCGAAGAACGCATCGCTACCACCACAAATTAATTCTGCTGACTTTTCGTTCTGTATCACAAACTGCATGTATCTCGTGGCAGCACACCGACATTTCACCGGAGTATCGGACAAAGTGAATCATCTTAAAATACGATCGGAGCGCCGGTACTAGCACAATACGCGTGTGGGGTGAAAACGATCGATTTGACTAGATCGCTGTGGCTTTGACTTAATTTATGCACTTGTGATACAGCGCTACTCGCAGATGCGATTGTGTGTCCTCGCACGTGTGGCTCTAGATAATCCCTCAGATCGTCAGCTCAATTTCTCGGCGTGCTTTGCTTGCTTTTTCTGTTCGTCCCTATTCGTGCTCTGCAGAAATTCCTGCATGTACATTGATGGATTTTGTCATTGATGCAGATCACCGAGCTACACTCCCCCGCTGTCCCTGGACTCGTCATATCCCGAGTCCGACCTGCATTGCGGCCATTTCAGCCCCGTTTACTATTGATAGTATTCCCCATGTCGTGATTACGCAAGTAAATGAAATAGCCAGGGTCCATTTTCGCGCCTTGTAAGCTGAACCTTTGCGAGTATTCATGGATGCCTTCCCGTTACTAAAATGTTTGTCACCAATCGACCCTAGAATTACCAGATACTTCTGCAAGCTAGAAGCTGAATGGTAAACATGTGACTTTTGTCTACAGTTGCAATGGGTTCCTATTCAAGTAGTTATCCTTGGATATTCCTGAAGTCTTGTAGCTGGTTCAAAAGCACATCGGGAACCCTGTAGACAGAATCGAATAGGACCTTCGGGCTTTGGGAAATACGAGAAAATGCCATCTCCACATAGAGGACCATACCAGGGCTTCAAGTTGTAATCTCCAGAGTGCGATTTCTCTCTCCAGTATGTTTTCAAATATACCATGCGATACGACAGGTTTCTAATGCTCAAGTATTGCTTTCTGAAATTTGCATAAGAACCTGAAATACAGCTCTCACAAATATCAACCTATGACTTCAGGACATGCTGAGTATCAGATCTCGAGTCTACGGCGAAGGGAAGCATCCATGGATAGCGGACGGAAAATCTCGATTCGTCTATCTGGGAGAGAAACAGAGAAAGGAGGAAACAGAAGAAAAAGTAGAAGAGAAGAAGGATCTCTTCCACTCCTGAAGTCATACATGACTGAGACAAAGCAAACAACCATAGAATACCATATGGTCATCCCGAAATCAGGCTCATAATTGACTTAGATATTGGGGATGTAATCCTTCAGAGCCTTAATCGAGGGAGTGAAGAAATACTCTCCACCGTGGGGAATGCATAGCCGGGCCAGATCAACTGTCTTGTCGTAGACCTGAGGAGCTTCTTTTCCATAGACTGTTTCCGGGAAGTGAAGTTTGGGAGGATTTTTGTATTTGGCCCTGCCCCCATCAGCCGGACACTCTTCAAGGTGACTCGGGTGAACTTGACCAATAATAGGGTCAATTCCTTGGCTGTTTCCTCCATTGTGCTTTGACATGTCTGTTGGGCCATCCTCAGTATTGGCCCATCCTGCTATATGTCAGAAAATATCGCACGCATGAAAAAAGGGCAGCACTTACGCTTCTGCTGTGTACAGAACCCATTGTCAATGCTGCTCTGGTAGCAAACGAATAGAAGACCACGCTCCTGCTTTGTAACGCCACCGGCCCTTTCTTCATCTTCGCACCACTCTCCGTAAGGGATTCCCCGGCGCATGATTAAATGCTTGGTGTAGTTGGGACAATCGTCGCGAGGGCCAGTCTTGCGCATATGAGAGGCGTAAGGGCACTTGGTCTGGTCCATGGCAGTGTAGTTGAAAGCGTCCGTGTGGTTCTCGGTTTGCATCTTCTTGAGCCGGTCCAGTCCTTCTTGTTGCAGATTCGCTTCAACAATCTTCATGTTTTCTTCCTTGTCTTTGGACTTTTTAAGACCATCCATTGGATCAGTGCTGGGGTAAAGCTCCACTGGAGCACCTATTTTACCGTACTTGATTAGTATCTTGGGTCGTGTATTGGGAGTGCGAAATTATTTATTCGCCAGTAAACTAACCGTCAGGCCACCGGCCTATCAGTCTGGAGGAGAAGAGACCCATTTCATTGTAAGCATCGCTAGACCATGAGATCTCTTTCTGCGCTTTCTGGGCCTCTATGATCTCTTTAACAGCAAGGGGTGTGTTGAAGGCACACCAGCTGAACAAGAATGATTAGTCTACTGAGAAAAACAGACAAAGATGGCGGTCTTCTATTTGGAAAACTCACTGGTAGAATTCAGGGACCAGCTGCTCGTAGATCCGGAAGACCATGAAGCTACCATCTTTGGCCCAATCGGGGTGGTTGCTCTCATCCCCCTCACCTCCGACAATGATAATTCTAGAATTTCATCAAGTTAGATTTGGAAAAGGGCGAAATCGGATCAGACAATAAAGTGGCTTACCCCGGATCGATGGGTGTCATCCCCTTAGCATCACTCTTCTTCTCAATATCGTCAAATCCTTTGACAACAGGCTGGCTAATACCGTCCACCCACCCAAAGCTGTTACCATGGCTGTTAGTCGTCATGTTCATACCCAGGCAGGATTTGGTAAAACTGACTGTTCAAGATGGTCGGGATAGACTACGCCAACCTTGGTATAGACCTCTTCAACGCTTTGTTTGTCGTTTCCAATGTTGAAAACCCATTCATATGTCTTCTTGGTGGTTTTGTCGATGCTTTCAAGACTGTCACCAGCGACAACAAGAACACCATCGATGCCACCACCGCTAGGCTTAAACTGGGGAAGCCATTCGTGCTGGGCATCAAGACCTTGGTGGTCTTCCTCCGTCTCACCCGCAGACGGCGCAGTCATGTCTTTAAACTGACCACCATTGAAGACATCGTCGTTGAGTTTCTCCGCTTTGAGCTATTATGAATAAGTAATTGCATGTATTACACTGTAACTTTTCTGGTGCTTACCTTGGCCAGGCCAATAGATGAGAATGCAATGTTGATCGAAACCAAGCTGATCAATCCCTTGAGAGTTCCTTCGGCTTTCTTTTTGAAGATATTGTCACGATTCTGGGAGGCAGCGTGGGCTGTAGTGATGAAGTCGGCCATCATTGGCAGGCCCTTCTTGAATTCTTCCACATTGGTAATCCGGAAGAACACAAACTTTTCGGCCTTTTTGGGCAAACGTGGCCTAATTTGATTAGTATTCAGGTCAAGCTGTAGCCCATCAATGGGCGCCTAGTAAATATTAGGCAAAGGGTAGCCCGCCCAACATACCAGATATCTCCCTGGACGTTCTTTTGGTCCACCATTTTGACTGATGGTTGGTTTGGGACCGATTGTTTGCTTGGGACTGGTGATTCCTCTGGTGCCTTCTGTCTGTTTGGTAGCTCTGAAAGAGTATTTCCCATTTGTTCAAGGCGAATTGAGATATATTCTAAGTTCTAGCGGCGAGAAACTGGGTTCTCTTTATAGGGACGAGCTAATCTGCGACAACACATGATCTTTCGATAGCGGTGTAAGGGAAAAAGAAACCTTGGAATGTCGCGCCGCCTAAAAAGAGGTCATATGCATGTCGAACCGCTCTCAGCGCCACGATGGGAAGGGAGGGGCCACGTTGTGCGACCTTATACTCATGCATACGTGCGGGGATGCATTTTGGAGCGAATCATTGCAAAGACGATTATATTTGTTGGCAAAGTATTGACATCATCAGGAGTACAATAGTGGGCATTTTCCACCTGGGCAGCGGTTACAAAAGGCAGTGATATATTCAGCTGCGTCATGAAATCATGTGTGAACTATCATGCATGTAAAGTCGCGGCTTTCCTCGCCTTCCACGTTTCAACGAAATGCCCAGGTGCCCAGATCGTTGCAGCGTATGTTGTAAGGCACGGATATTGAAGAGTAAACAGTTTGCCCTGGATGAAAAATCACATTACCAAAATAAACGGCAATACCTTTTACTTCTAAATCTTTTTGGTAGCTCTATCACCATAAGTATAGGCATAGCTGTTCATTAAAGCAGTACGGTGGGCTCAGCTGGATGTTGATGTATATCAGGCCTAGTTAGGCTAAAAGCTCTGCAACATGCATGCCCAGACTTTGGCCGATCCTAGCTGGATATCGTCCTATGACAATTATCCTTTCTCTAATTTGCCGCCTAGTATATATCGCCTTCTATGTGTTTCAGACATGGCACGATGTGAGTGAATGTTAATTGGGCATCCATTTAAAAATGTACTTTGACTATTTAGGTGATAAAGGATCTAAGATTGAAGACCCCGAGGTCTACTCATGAGGAGTGAAGCCCACAGCTTCCAGGTTTCAACCTCTAAGGCGAGCTACTAGATCTAGTCTCTGGAATCAATTAGCCCATCCATGTTTCCAAGTGTTCCATACTAGTATGGGCCTCATGCATGTTGAGAATCTCCAACTCGTGTACATACGAGTACTCGTACGACCATACCTAAGCATTCTGTAGATCTTTTGCTTTTATGGGGCTTTTTGATCTATCAACTGCATTCAAATGGATTGAATTGGGCCACTTACACTCTTGGGGCTTTCATGACCCCAAGACGTTTACGTGGTTCTACTCGTAGTCAGTGTAACTCCCTCTTTCCCTAATCTGACCGAGTTGTATATTGATATTTCATTTTGTTTTCTAATCTTTGGCATCAAGTTGTAAGAAGCAGAAGAAAAGTTGAAAGAGTAAGTATACCCGAAGAAATGTTGTAAAACCGGGAGAAGTTGTGCCCTTCCGCGTCCTACTGATGTTAGGGAGGCAAAGCACAATTAGACGGTCCTTTTCATTGAAGCAATAAAGCAAGAGAAGGAAGAGAGAGAAAGACTACTGAGGGTTGGGTGCCTGAGGTACCAACGCCTCAAGCACCTAACCTGCCAACCTGGGGCCTCACAACTACTCGTAACTTCCAAGGTTCCTTATCAACGGCGCATACTCTCGGCACAATACTCCGTACTTTCCTACTTTATCCTACCTGTAGACTTCGTACTCCCCTAGTCGGTCTCTCCCTTCCATTATTGTTCTCACTGCACGTGATAAAGGGTTGAACGCAAATCATCCGGGGTCCCGAATAGAATCACACTGAGCTGAATTTCGTATCGGCCAATCATGCGAAAGAAACAGAAATAAAGTGGGAATCATTTCATGAGGGAAGTTTCTCGCGATGGACGTAGTACTCGTATTCTACTCCCTACTCCGTACGGATACAGTAATTCAGAGTAACTACGGAGTAAGGGGTGCAATTGACTATGGAGAACCTTGGGATGTTCAAGATATCCACGGCGGGGGAAGAGGAAGTGGGTTGCAATACTAGCACTCCGTAGTGCGGGTACACTACAGCCAGCCACGCCAGTCGACCATGGACCAATCACATGATAGCAGAATGGCCAAAGCAACCTATTGTGGGTACGGAGTAATTGCACCTGCATGATGAAGAAGCTGAATGAATTGATACATAAAAAGTACATACTCGTACTCGTACTGTACTCCGTAGCGGAGATAATGATGCATCGGACAGAATGCAGCTAAGATTTCCGAACACAGCAACACTCCCGCTGAATCGTGCTCGAAATAGTTATGCAAAAAGTTGAAAAGGTGCATCATAATGCATGAGTATCCAACCCTTGGGAGACCACTATTCGTAGACTATTGTACGAGTACATAGCACTCTGAACTATAAATACAGTGAAATAGATGGCACAGACAAACGTAAGCTTTCCAAGGTTGTCCTTTCAATTCCTCATCATGTTTCACAATGGTAGGAGGGCCCCTTCACTCTTCTAGTGTTGGATTTCGCTGACGATAGAAAGCTCTCCTAGTGCAGCGATCTGCGACGGAGCATGGTGTTTATAAGATAAACCAAGTTGAGAACCCAGCATTATGTGGTAACAAGAGCAAGGATCGAATGCCTTTCAGTCTGACTACGGGTATATTTACCGTAAGCAATGGCGCTGGCTTGGTTTCCAAAGGCGTTCGCTGACTTGATGGTTCTAAAACAGGTGTCTGGATCACTACACACAACGACCCTAGAAATGGAAGCCACACTGGCAGTGTATAAGATGGATATGGGTATCCTCTATGGATATGCGAACCATGGGATTAAAGTTGATATAGATCTTAATATGGTGAAGGGTCGCATTGAGCTACGATTGACAGGTCTTGATGAACTGTGGCTTCACATCGATACGAAGGTCCTTCAGGTGGCCGAACAGGGCCTTGGGGAGTTCATAGAATATAAGAAGGCCCATCTTATCCAAGAACTTCCAGGAATTAGATGCGCACCCTGGGTTTCTGATGGTGTTAATCTTTAGCAAAAACTGCAAACAAAACAGATCAATATATCAGTATTAGGATCAGTCGAATAGGATCTACAGTGAGATTTGGTGGATTGATTGCCTGAGGCATCATAACCTCTGGTTCTCAACCCCACCAACAATGGGTCGCACTGGGAGCACATACTCGTAGGTACCTAGGCGGGGTTGGAACAGCTGTGGATTAAGAAGTTGAGTGATCAATGAGGTTAGTTAATCGGTTTTTTTTTTTTGTTTTTGTTTTTTTTAAAAAAAAATAATGATTTAATAATAAATTAAAAATTAAAGTAATAATGAAAACTATGTGAGTGCCTAAGGCTGGATGCGATCATGACCTGGGGACTGTCCAGCGTGTGCGGACCCAATTCTGCTGCCGTGAAATTATTTCAACACATCCTCTCAATTCCAAACTTCTCGAGGGGGGAAGGAGGAGGAGGGGGTTGAGAAAATATTGGCTGGATAATTTTTCTCATGCGCAGATTGTGCGACCTGGTTCTACGGCTGCAGGCCAGGCGCAGATCCAGGTCGTACTCGGACACGGAGCAGAAAGATCCCCATCAATATGCCAAGAGGAGGACCAGCGAGGAGCACAGGTGGCTTTCGCGCCAAAAAGACCACACATCTAGGAGACACGCGTGGTGTTTGTGATGTTTAATGGATACCGAGGAAGTGCTCCGTATACGGAGCACAGATAGGGCTTGTCCTGACTGGCTTTCGCTACTGGGCAACTCTAGCTTAGATCTGCATCTTCCGCATCTTCAGTGTATTTTACTCTGCATGATTCCATAGGTGACTGGTCCAAGTTTCAGCTTGGATCTAGATCTCGTAGGTGGGCCCGGTTGATGCCGATCCCTGCAGTTTAAGCCAGCCACCGCCATCCGAGAATATGTTTGTTTGTGCAGCTGGTTAGTACACCAGTGAGACGATCAAACATAAGTACGAGTAGTTAATCAACTTGGATTACTCCGTATTTGAAACCGCTGTTTTCGATTAGACATTTCTGTTTTGTACTCGTATTTATGTTGAAATAATATGGCGCATCATATCAAGGCAAACATAGGCGCTATATATGCGTAGGCCGAAGGATTACCCTCGTTCGATGTATGGAGTACTCCGCAGTCGATGGATTATCATCTAGGATCAGTCACAACGTTTGTTAAATACATCATCCCGGCGATTGTTTGTCCCCACTAGTACTAGAATATGTTGTCTACTGCTTTATGTTATGTACGCTTTAATATGTGGGCAAGGTCTGTGAAAATGGAATTGATAATATTAATTAATTGGTAGGTATTAGGATACTGACACTGTATTATGGGTGATGCACCCGCCTCGCTTTCTAAAGTTAGGTAGAGTGGAAACATCAAATGTCGGAGACAGACGATGATAAATAGAACCTCAACTCCCTGAAATATCTTAAAAAACCCTTCGCATTCTTTGATATTGAAAGCCCTATTAGGTGCTAATTCGCATATCCAACATGACGATCGACGAGTTTTTCACTATTTCGAGTCTGACTACGAAAGTCGTGGCCTCGATCGATGCATACAAAGAAGCCAAGACTGATTTATCGCGACGTGAGGCCCTTCAGAATGCTACAAGCCTCGTCAGGGCTCTCGAAAACCCTGCAGATGCGATTTACAAGTTGTTCGCTTCGGTATGACCCAGTTCACGGTCGCTCCGCTGTTTTAGTACTGACAATGCGGTCAAAAGCCTTCCGTTCTCATGGCAGTGAAGACCGCCAATGATCTCGGCATTTTCAATGTTTTATCCGAAAGTACTTCTTTTGTCACACCCAAGAATCTGGCTGTGGAAAAGAACGCTGACATTCAGCTTGTTGGTGGGTATTATCCATGTCCACGTCGACCTTCTTACACACATTAACCGCGTTTTGGCAGAACGAATTATGCGTGTCCTTGTTTGCAATGGTTTCGCTGGTGAACTAGGTCCTGGTCAATATGAACCTACCCATTTATCAAGGCAAATGACGGAGAGGAAAACGATTGGAACAATGGATTCATTGTATGTGTTTTGCTTGGCTGTTCATTCCCGATCTAACAGTCGATCTAGGTTTGTCGACTTTCTACCTATCATTCAGAAAACACCAGAATTCTTTCAAAAGTCTGGCTATAAGAATCCCGGAGACCCCAAAGATGGGCCACTTCAACATGCCTACAACACATCCGGCTCCTGTTGGGACTGGTTAGCCGAAAACCCAGAAGCACTAGACCGCTTCAACACTTTCATGGAGGGCTCCCGTGACGAAATCGCTCACTGGGCTGACTGGTTCCCCGTTCAGGAGCGGTTACTCGATGCATCATTGGATGGTCGACCTCTGCTTGTTGATGTTGGTGGAAATCGCGGTCATGAGCTCGTTGGATTCAAGGAAAGATTCCCATCGGGGGCTGGAAAGCTTGTACTTGAGGATTTGCCTACGGTCATCGAGGATATTCAAACCCTTGACAGCGATATTGAGAGAGTCAAACATGACTTTTTCAGCCCTCAGCCAGTCAAAGGTTCGTTACTCTTCTTTCTAGCTCCCACATTCTCTAACAGGTACTATAGGTGCTCGCGCATACTACTTCAAGCATATCATGCATGACTGGTCCGATGATAACTGCAGAATAATCCTGAATCACACTATTGCTGCAATGGAGAGGGGGTATTCCAAAATCTTGATTGAGGATTATATCGTTCCTGATCAAAATGCCGGGGTGAAGGAGACCTTGATCGACATGGTTGTTATGGTATGGTGTCCAGGAATTGAACGGACCCGTCAACAATGGACCGATCTCCTACAGTCAGTGGGATTGACGATCGGAAATTTCTGGCTACGTGACGAGCACAACAAAGGCATTATCGAAGCCGAACTACAATAGATTAGGTCGTTATGTGAAGAGCCTGCGTGAAGGGAATTATTCATTATTCTAGAAACCAGGAGTGCCAAAAGACAGTGCTCTCACAAAAGAAATTGGCCAAATTTAATCTTACCTGAAGAGTCTCTTGAAGCGTCAGACATGAATAGAAATCGTCGGGAATTCGTTTTCCGCCCTACGATTGGTAAAAAGAGCAGGCTGTGATCTTGTCCGTCATGGAACACCCAAAGGTTACTCTGGATTGATATAAGCCCTGAAATGAACCATATTGTCAATCTTATGACTCTCTTTCAAGAGGAAGGGGGGAACCTATCTACGCCTATGGACTGGGAGTGGGGAGAATCCCACACCACAACAGGTGCCCAGGTGATAAGATCAACCATCCATGTATTCAGATATGCCGAAATAGAGTATATTTTGAAACTGCGAAGCTAGCAATTCTCACACAAATTGATTGAACCCTCAATGATAACCTGTTGCTGGGCGGAAGTCCCCTCGGGTTTCCAGAATCCAGTAAGCTTCAGTTGAGCTCTGTTCAACAGAGTCTCCCATTCGTTCTTGGTTCTTTCCCTTGCTGAGAAAGCAGTCATCATAGTCATATCACCAATGGCGGCCATCCAGGGGATATTAGTTTCCGGCATAGCTTTCTCATGGATCAAGACCAAAGACCCGGGGCTCATGGCTTCACGAAGTCTTGATAAGATCTCCACGGCCTCCTTGTCCGGCCAGTCGTGGAGAACAGTGCGGAGGTAGTACGCCTTTGCACCCTTGACGGGCTGTTCGTCGAAGAAGTTATGAGCCTGGGTCTCGATCTCAGAAGGAATATTGGCGGTTCCTGCGACATGTGACAGATCCTGGAGAACAAGCCTTCCCTGCAAATCAGGGAATCTTTCGCGGAAGATCTGAAGGTCTTTCCCCCGACCACCTCCGACGTCCACTAGAAGAACGTCGGAAGCATTTTGTACCCGTAACTTCTCCTCCACTGGGAAGAAATCCATCCAGCTCTTCTCATCGCGGCGGTAGGGAGATGCCATGACTGTGTCGAAGGCATTTTGGTAATAAGGCTTCGACGACATGTAGTCGAAATATCCACGCTTGGACCCGAGCGCGAAGTTGAACGGGGAGTCCTGGATATCATCTGGATTCTTCCATCCTTTTTCTTCGAAATACTCTGGAAGCTTCGCAACGAACAGAAACAAGTGAGTGCTGGAAATGTTAGTTGTATTCTGAGACATGAAATCTTAATGAAAAAAGACTTACAAAAAGATAACTGCAGAAGACATCCAAGAGCTCGAAACATAGGCTTCGGTGAATCGAGTGGTGGAGAAAGTATCAGAGGTATGCTGCTTGAGAATATCCAATGGTACAAGTGACTTCATGATTCTTCCTTTTTTGGGTCAGCAAGACACTTCATGGCGGATAGAGGACGAGGACAGTCTTACCAACTAGTTTTGGATCACCTTTGACATCTTCTGAAAGCTGGCCCACGCGCACTTTTCCATCTTTACTTTCAGAGCTGCGCTTGGCGATTGCATCGAAGAGCTTCAAATCTACAGCCAAACGAACCGCGATTGCTTGGTGGCACTTGAGATTCATTAGCCTAGCGCCCGTTCAGGGAATCGATTTTAGAGTCTCAAGATTACAGTATAAAGCAGCCCGAGGGTTTTGTCCAAGGGAGATTCACATTGACCCTTCAGTCGATTGCAAGCTTCAAAAAGTTGAGCTCGCTGTTGCGGGTCAATAGTTTCGAGTTTTCCGGAGGAAGTGGCCGAGTCAATGGACTCAATGAGCTGAGAGATATCCATGACCAAACTTTGAAGATAGACGTTGGTAGTTGTAGTAAAGATGGTGAGCTGCACTTGTACGGGCGCCTCAGATACCTATACCGATCAGACAACCCACGAAGGATGAGGAGGGGAAATACTGTTAAAAGAATCAAGTCGGATAGATGAGATTATGTCTGCTGCCGCAATTGCCACGTGTCTCGGGTGCTTCGGGGGCCCAAGAAAGCATGCGAATCAAAACAAAATGCCCGTTTCCTTAGGTAGGAAAATTGATCATAGTCTTGCATGGCTAACTAGCCCGAAAAGGAGCCTTTGAGTGGAGGCCTCTGAGGGGTTAGTATTACGAGTAGTTATCTCAACCTGGGAGAACTTGACGATGTGATAGATCGCTTTCAGTTTTTGCATGCAGGTACATGTGTACTCCGTAATACGGAGTATTTCGTATATTTATATTATTCAACATCGTGGAATAAACTCCATACTCTGTACGAGTACGAGGAGTACTCAGTACCTAGGTCGGTAATTGAGTGCGTCACATAATCGTAAGTGTCCCCCGGGGCCAGTGTTGTTGCTGATGCACTACTCCGTACTTAAGTACGTTCCAAGGTCTACAGGTTGTAATATCCTGAATTCCGCCCTGGAATCGTGAAACATGCCCAACGTATCACTGAGTAAATCGTACTCCGTACTGTTCAAATTAATAGCCGAAATTGGCCACATGACCTTCAACACATACTACTCATAGGGCCTACTTAAGTACGGAGTATCTTGACCTCAAATTTTATCATTGCTACACAGCCTACGAGTATAGCCTTCGTGCTTTGAAATTTGGACTGTCTACATATGGATACATTTGAATTAAAAGTCGGTGAAGTTTGGTGGCTGGCTAAATAATGCATGAGCTAATGCAATGCTATCTGTGAGACGCTGCAGATGTTTATTGCATATGTATCCACTTATGTTACACGGGCAAATTAAGGGATTCGAAGTTGGGATGAGTAAATTGTCTTGGAACTAGTAGTTTCCTGCATATTGATATAAGTAATTCAATTGGCGAAGGATTTTTTTTTTGCTTATATCTTAGTACTCCGTACTCCATACCTTTATGTACAGGTAGGACCTCGGAAGTTGACCTCGGGAACCTTACTTGTAAATCCACTTGAGCATGGACAATAGGTATGTTTGTGTACGCCATGACTTCAGCTGTACTTAAATATTTCACATATCTTGAATGCACGTCTACTTGGCTGCAGTAAGATATTGAGCCCTCAACTGGGATTCAATTACGACTTATAAATACGTCATCGGTCCTTTCTAGCAGGCGCAATCGCCTAGAGTTCCAAGATTCCGTTCACGCTCCCTGAACAGCGCAATTTGTTACCGGCGCTCAGGGTCAACATTTGGACTATCTCAATTCGCCACGGATTGCTTCAAAATGGGGTTCAATCTGCAAGATACAATTTCAAAATATCAAAATTTTGACCTGAGCTCGACCTATGTCACTTATGGAATTGTTATCTTTACTCTATGTTACTGGTGGAAATTTACAGAGCTAAACAACCCCTCTGGCGTACCAGTTGTTGGTAGAAGATGGTATGAGCTGGGTTATGGCAAAGCCAAACAGCGGTTCCGGGATGACTGCCTTGGCACTGTCAGGTCTTGCATGAGGAAGGTCAGTGAAATTTCAACTTCGATTTGTGGTCTGGACTGACTCTTAGATTTGATTCTGGGTAGTATGGGGATGCTTTCTTTCTATACACCGACGGTAGCTATCGTTTGATCCTTTCTCACAATTATGTCGAGATGCTCCGCAATGAAAAGCGACTTGATTTTATCGCAGCGCTCGCCGATGTAAGAAGGGTGACACCCTGAAGAGAGCAAGAACTTACATGAGAAAAGAAACTTGACAGTGGAGTGCATGGCTTTGAGCCAATGGCATCAATGACAAGCGACAAAAAGATCTTGCATGCTGTAACGAAGAACTCATTAAATCGCTATTTGGGTTAGCTTTTCCATACCTCGCTTGCTTTCACATGCGATGCCTACAATTTGCAGCGGACAAGTACTAATCTGATTCCATAAAAGGGACCTTTGTTGAGTCGCTTAATGAAGAATCCGACTTTGCACTTCGTCAGATCTGGACCGACAAGCCTGGTACTTTTCCACATACCCTGCGTTAAAGCGAGTTTAGCACTGAAGCTGACAAATTCCTCAGATGGCCAAGAGTTCATGTTGAAAGACTCTGTTTGGAGAATGTTTGCCCAGATAATGTCCAGGACCTTTATCAATGACAAGGACTTTTATCGGAACCCGGAGTGGGTCAATGCAAGCTCGGAGTATGTTGAGCTATCGGCTTTGGCTGGGTATGAACTTCGAGCCTTCCCACAATGGGCGAAACGCTTTGCTGCACCCTTCCTTCCAAACTGTCGGAAGCTTCAGTCCCTTTATAGGCATATCAATGCCCTGTTGGAGCCTTTGAAGAAAAAGCTAGATGGACAAACCTTGGAAGGCGATGCCAAGAACCCGCTGGATTACCTCCATCAAAAGCTCGAAGGTAAATCGGATGAGCTTGCTTCCATGTTGATTGCCCTCTGTCTAGTATCATATGATGGAGGAGCCGAGCTATTCACTAATGTTCTTCATTCGATTTGGGGGAATGATCAACTCATAAATGACCTTCGTTCCGAGATTGTGAATGAGGTCGGGAAAGAGGGATTCAACAGAAACTCCTTACAGAATCTAGTGCTCATGGACAGTGTCCTAAAGGAGACTCAGCGTATGCATCCCGAGTCCGTTCGTAAGTATTGCTCGCCTATACACCAAAAGGCTCCCATTGACTCTTTATAATAGTCTTGATGCAGCGAAAAGCTTTGGAAGAGGTCGTTTTCCCTGATGGACTCATCATACCGAAAGGAACTACCATCATGGTCTCCACTTGCGATGTACTTGATGATTCTATTTGGTCAAACGGTGATAAGTTCGATGGCTACCGTTATTTCAATTTACGCCAAAAGCCGGACTCTTCTGTCAACTCGGCATCATACAACTTCACATCCACGTCTCCACACCATTTCAGCTTCGGTCACGGTTCCCAGGCATGTCCCGGAAGATTCTTCGCGTCGTATATGCAGAAGATACTTCTCTGCCATGTGGTCTTGAAATACGATCTTTCAGTCACAATTCCGGAGGAGGGTGCATGGTTCCAACGTGCCCACACTCATGTGGCCCATCCAGGCCTGAAGGCCCATGTTACGCGAAGAAATGAGGAGTTTCAGTTGTTGAAAAATGATTTGTGAATGAAGAACTTCGGAAATGCTCGAGTCCTATGGGTACACTCTTCTAGGACTGTGATGGATTATTCAACAGCAGACCTGGATGTATTTACGGAGATAAATCTATGCAGTGCGATGATCCATGGATAAATGTGTAGTCAACAAACAATGAACGACTTCAGGGCAACTTCCAAGGTGCCATTGAAGCGAAAATGAATTTGCAATATATTAAAAAAAAAAAAAAAAAAAAAAAAAAAAAAAAACACCAACAAAAAAAAAAAAAAAAAAAAAAAAAAAAAACAAACTCACAACAAAACCCCATAAACAATAAACAA